TCTTTGTCCGGTGCTTTGGTGGGTGGTAGGAGGTCAGTTGAGCCACCGGTGCTCACTGACCATAGTCGTTTTCCGTCGGATAGACCAAGGTCATTCCGCCGCCGTTATTGGAAGGAAAGACAGTCGGTCCATAATATGAGGGCTGCAGAGCGGTGGGCTGCTGCATCTGACCGGTGAAATTCTGTTGTTCATCCGATCCATAGTTGTGTCCGCCGCCATCCGGTAGGTTTCCACCGTTGGCTCCGTTTCCGGTGCCAGGCTGCCAGTTCCGGTTGGCTCTGCCACTGGGTCGACCAGCGCCATGTGGGCGCGGTGGGACCAAGGCCGCGCGGTTCGGATTTGCCGCGCCAAGTGGGCCGCGGGCGTCGTATCTCTGACGCCAGTCCATGTACCAGTTCCGGTTTGGGTTACAGGCCGGGTCAACGTTGGCGTATGCGCAGGCATTGCTGTGGTGGTTTCCCCACATGCAGTGGCCGCAGGTTATTCCGTTCTGGAAAGTCCACTGCCGAAACAGACCTTCCTGTCTGTTTATATATGCGTCCTGGTTCCGCTGACTCTGGTTGGGTCCAGCGAGGCTTTGACCGCTCTGTCCGGCGCCTCCTGCTTGGTCGCGATTTGTCCGGCCGTTTCCGTTGTTACGTCTTCCGCCGGAGTTCCCGTTCTGGCCAGCGAGTGGCTGAGCCGTATACTGACCCGAGCCTCCGTTACTGCCGAAGTAGAGCAGTGGGGCTCCGGGTTGCACGGGGGATGACCCATGTGGGGTCACATAATACACCACCTGCGGTCTGTCGTGGGCCAGCGAGTGGTTCTGTCCGATGGTTTCTCCATACGGTACATCGTATTTTGCCTTTCCAGTGGTGTATTGTCGGATGTACTTTAGGAACTCTGCCGTAGTCGCCGGCATCCAGATATCCAGAGCTTCCCGTAGTTTGGGTTCGAGGATGTTCTCCTTTAGGTAGTGGACCGCCATTACGTCGGTGATGGATGGGACTCGAGATTTGATACTCATCATGGCATCGTAGTACTGTTCCGGCGTCTCTTGTCCGAAACGGTATTTCCGCTTAGCCATCGTTGCTAAAGCGTTAATCTCCTTATTTTTGTCCGCGAACCGCTCCTCGAATTTCGCAAGCCACAGATTTACTGGCCATCCGCCAAGTGGTTCGTCGGCTGCAGCCAGTCTGTGCCATTCTTCAGCCTGTCCTTTGAGTTGGGCAGCAAGGTCGGTCATAAAGCGGATATCCGACTCAAACCATTCCTGGGCCTCGGCGTGTAGGCGACGGATCTGTTTCATCCAACCATCAAGTTTGGTGTGGTCGCCGTCGAAGTCCGGTAAGGGTTGTCTACGTCCGCGGGCACATGCTCGTATCATCGTTCGTGTGAGCTGATCGCTGGGCCGTCCCTCTCCCTCCTGATTAAACGCGTGTCCAGCCTCCGGATGCTGAGGGTGTTGAGGTGCCACTGATGCATTCTGTTGTACATCCAGGGCGGGTGGTGGGTTGGCGTTTGGTATCCGACCTTGTTGGTCCGGATAACCTGCCAGATAACGAGCCGGTTCTAGTTGACCATCGTGTCCGTTCGCTTGCGGAGGTGATACTTGAGCTGATTGTGGTGGCTCCGGATAGAATCCCTCAGGTAGGTTGGGGACTCTTCCGTATAGGCCAGGTTGCAACCCAAGTGGAGTCTGTCGACCTTCTGTGGGTCGATATAGCTGCACCCGGCTGTGTTGTTCCGGGTAGCCGGCCGGATCAGGTTGGCCACCATACCCGCCTAGTTGCGAGTCGGCCGTGTTGTATGACCGAGTGCGTGCTCTCTGAAGGTTGAACTCCGGTTGGTTCAGACATTTCGGATCGTCTATGTCAAGGGGGAACTTGTTCGTTCCATGTGTGGACTGGTTTCTCCGGCGGCTGCGTTATGGAGCGCGGACGGGTAAGAGGCCGGATAATGCGGCTGTGGTGCTGTTGACCACGGCACCGACGTGTTAGTCGGCGTGATGACCCTTCCTTCGGGTGATGTTCCGTCGAAGGTCACATATTTGGTCGGCTGTGGCTGCTTATGTGGCGCCACCGTTGCCGGTCCGTGGTTCTTTGGACACTGAACTACCGGTCCGGTAGGTACCTGCAGCGGCAGTCCAGTTGGCCGGTTCGCATCCGTCCAAGGTGGTTCCGACTGATGCTGCTCCAGATCGGAGATCCGACGGTTTAGCGCGTCGACAGCCTGCAGAGTTACGGTGTGGTTCTTCTGCAGTGTGTCGACGGCTTGCAGGGTTTCGTCCTGACTCCTTTGTAGTTGGAGCAGGAGGCCAGCAATCTGTTGGTAGAGTGGCGCGTTTTGTTCGCGCTCCTCCGCCTGGTAGGGTTGGCTGTCCGGTCCACTTCCGTACCTGGGGTCCGGCTTCATGTTGCCGTCCTCTAGGCCGCTGTAAGACTGTACGGTGGCCGCTGATGGATTCTCCATCCGCCGTTCCGGGGTTCTGCATGCGATTTGCCGGTCGACCACTGTCAGTGGTGCTGTCGACCGCGTCAGATGCACCATGTCATAGTTGGGCCGGGTTGGTGCCGGGTAACCGCCTTCGTTGACGACCGGGACCAAGCCGTTCTCGTAGGTGTCCTGGAGGCCGCTGTCAAATGCGGCGAATCCGGTCGGTGGGATGCGCTGGTCGCGCGCTCCCGGTACCTCCGTTCGCCTAAGTGGGCTCGCGGATGGCACCTGACGACCGACTGGGCTGGCATGTTGGAAGCTGTATCCACCCGCCTTGAGTGGCCCAGGTTGGTGAGCGTAGGTGTTGTTGACCAACGCGGCCATTTTCACAGTCAGCTGGTGATGGCCCGGGTATTTGTTTACCTCGGCCGAGACGAACGGACGTTAATCCCTTTTGTGGGGATGCCCGTAGACACCAGGTCCCTTTTGTTAGGGAAGCCGGCGGTCTGCACTGGTCGGTTGGACTATGTCCCAAGTGGGGATGTCCGTTTGGATCCGATGATGTACAGCACCGTCAAAGTGTGAAAGGCTTGAGCGTTCTCGCTTCAGCCAATCAATCGGACAATCCCTTATGTGGGGATTTCCGATGAGAGCAGGAACTTTTTTCGGTTCAGGAACTTCCGTGTGTCCGGTAGATGTGGGCCAACGTTGTTGATGGCGTAATCCTGTGTGTGACTCAGTATGGGTTACAACACAGTACTATATTACAGTACAGTGCTATGTTACAGTACAGTAGTATACTACAGTACATTAAGGTGATACGGTTCTACGTGCGTCCTGTACTACTGCCAATGACCGGTGTGACGTCACACGAAATGGTCTTGCTGTTATCTGCCTACGTCACGACGTTAGTGCCGTGCGCACAAAAGGCGTAAACAAGTATGACTCACTACGACGGTCACTATGTTATAAGTATGGGGACTTTCCCAGAGCTCTGATTGGTCGGCTCTAAAGTACTGAAAGTAAGTCCTTCTGACGTCACACAGAAAATCAGAAATTTTCGCGCTAATTTTAAGCGGAAAAACAAGTTATTTTTGGTCGGCCAGAGTTGTTATCTGGTCGAAATTTTAAGTTTTTAGCCGTTAGAAATTAATTCTAAAAATTTAGGAATTTTTCTGACGGTGGGAAATCCGTCGAAAATGAAAATCAAGAAAATGACCAACCTCTGGTCGGTTAGCCAGAAGTGGTCGGTTAGTCAAAAAAAGAGGTCAGTGAAAGTAAGTTTTTAGGTCGGTTTCTCCGACGAAAATTTATTTTTATCCGTTAAAAAGTTGTTTTTAACCGTTAGAAATTAAAGTTAACAGTCAAAAACTAGGAATTCGACCTAGTTTCGACCTGTTTCGACCTGTAACCACGACTTTACCGGTTTGTTACGGGTCCGTGGAGGTCGGTTATCCGCTGTTGGGAGGTCGGTGATCCGCCGTTTCTCGGTCGAAATCCGCCGTTAAAGTTGCGGGTCGCCGTTCAAGGCGAAGGTCCCCGTATTAATGGAGTAATCCTATCGCGCTGCAGGCTATCGTAGCGAGCCTGGTCCGTCAGCGTCCCGTAAGGTCGGGGAAAAAACTGTCCGCTCTTCTTATGTGGAAGAGTTAAGGAACTGATGCTCACCGATTGCGTCAGGGATCGCTTTTGCGGTCAACCTGTGCTTCCACAATCGTAAGACGGCAAGATCTGTCTGATCAGCGGTCGAAGCAGAGGCTGCGTTTGCAGTCTATCTGACTTTTACCGTAGGTTCCTCAGGTTCTCCGAAAAATGCCTTTACCGTCTCCTCAAAGGGTCCGGTGGATCGAAAAGCCAAACGATCTGCTTACCATGTGACAGGCAAGCGCAGGGGACTCACAGTGAGCTTTATTGACAGATAAAGGGAGCAAATACCGCGTGATTGCGGGAGAGGAAGAACCAAGAGCCAATGTCTGGCTATGCAAAATCAGCACGTCAAGTTGCTGAGAGCAAGTTCTAGAGCGTAATGAAATGTAGAGAGAGAAGTGTGCTGGCGGCAACGTCGTGCTGTCCAGACATGTCGAATGTGATGCGCAGACTGGACTCGTATCCAACGCGAGCGTATAAGCGCTGAGTCATACAGCGAGAGAGGAACGAGAGAGCAAGTATGCTCAGTGAGTGCGCCCGCGGTGGATCCGCTAGGCGGAGAGTGCAGTGCAGCCACTCACGTACGTACAAGAGAGGGCGAATCAGCATGTGTGCGTTGGTACGCATACGCAAAGTGGCGTATCTACCACGCAGGCTGTCGTGCCTCTAACATTGTCCTTTTGCCTTCTGATTTTTGTGAGACTGCACTCACTGCAGCGCATAATTTTTGGATCAAGATTTAAATTAACATAATTATCATTTATTTTTTATTTTATTTTGGATTTTTAACATAATAATTTTTTGTTAAAACATATCCTCTGGACTCTGATTAACAGTGCCTGTTAGATTTCTGTGTTTTACCGGTAACATTCGTTTACCGATAGTAATTTAAGCAGACAATTCATAGTAAGTCATAATATGCTCTGACTTTTCAGATACTGTGCAATGGACCCGGGACTTGCGTACCCATTTGCTTGGTTGCCTGGATTTTCAATGTGAGCAGTGTTTCGATTGAAGGACTGAATTTAAATATCAAATCATTGTCTGCTACAACAGTATTCTAAGTCATACACGAACAGTTTACAGATTGTTTTTGGTACTAATGATTTGCCTTTTTTTCTGCAGATTGTCGGATTACGGAGAAGTATAATAACTTTTGTGGAGAGCATCTGTCGCGTTAAGTCACTGTCATTGTCTGGAAAAATCCTTTATTATGTTGCCGATGTGTTTTTTGTTCAGTATCAGTACTTGAAAGAGCGTTATCCTAGAGCGGTTTTTCTTGGACGTTTGGTGTAGAGCGGTTGTTGTTTGGGCGTAAGATTGTAACTCGTATGCTGTTCTGCAATATTTACGACTGCTTCTAACGACAGTACATTTTACTTTTACTGGTTATCAGCACTTCTATAAATGTAAATGAACTTTTTGTATGGAAACTGGGTTTTACCTTTGCTGGACTTGTGGTTACTTACTTGTTAGTATCATAGTCAACGCGGCATTCGTTCTTTAAAAACGGTGATGATTAAATACTGCTATGCGCATGGTTTTCCATAATTCAAATGTCTTGATTGTAATTAAGTACTACTGGGTTTCGAGAATGACATCCGGGTTTTTTTACCATGCTTCATACGGAAGTCCAACAGCTTTTGCCAAGTCGGACTGCTTCCTCGCTTGTTTTCCTACAGATGGAAAATCATAAGTCGGGCCATTCACTAGCCACCCATATTTCCGGCTCTCGGTTTTAGGGAATGGAGGCGCGTAAGTTTCCAGCTTCGGTTGGGATTCAGTATGGACATTGCGGACAATGTGTTTCAGCGGTCGCTCGGGCAGATTAACTTTGTAGGATTGCAGTTGTGGGTAGACATGGTGGGAATGCAGTTGTGGCATGTGGAAATGGCGCTGAATGAACCGATTGGAGAGGTCAACCTGGATATCAGGATCATAGTGCATCGGCAGCCGACCGCGCACCGGTAGACGCAATGGTTTCTCTTTGGTTAATCGGAGCTTGGGTTGTGCTCCCAAGAGAAATTTTCCGTATCCTGCTTTCCATCGTGCTTCACGACGAACTTCGTCCAGGCAGTGGTCGCGCCTGTAAATTTCAGCAGCGCAAATTTACTTCTAGCTAGAGCCTGTGCTGTCTGTTTTTTTACTAACCAATAGTTTGCTTGGTGAACGGGGTTTTTCTGGTTTGCAGATTCAGTTTTGGGGGGCATGATGTCTTACCTGATGACCTTTAATCTTGATCACCATGTGATTATGTGAATATCCACTCATTTAAAGCCTATGACAACGTATTCAGTAGAAGTGTCGATAGTCAATATAAAATTATTATGTTAACAATAAAAGCAGCAAGTACTTACTAGTTACTACAGATCATAAAATTTAATCAGGAATTTAAAAATATATTCCGACAACCTATCAAAACACAAAATTAGCGACCCCTGGTTCTATAGTTACTCGAGTAGGCTCTCAGCAAATTTATGATTTGGTCACATGAAGTTAGTAAGTTACTACTTACTCGCATTACCCTGTACTGTACACAGTGTACAGTGTACAGCTCTTTTTCGACTTCGAGAAAGTGATGTACAGAATGAATGAGAACTCAGATTTCCATAGAAAGTATGAAATACGAACATTACCGGGTAGAAGCACAGTTGTGGCATAAAAATGTTCATAATGTTCAATATTCATGTTTTTTTAAAAGAAAGATATTCATAATGTTTTTTTTCGTGCATCAAACTGCCTTCTGCGCTGTGTACGGATTAAACAATAGTTATAATACGAATAAAAATCCATAATTATTGCCTCTAATGTTATTAAGTCTACTGTCTACTACAAATCTCTACAATAGTAGTTCAGTTCATACTGTTAAGTACTGTATGGACTAAATTAAACTTAATGATAATTACGTATTCGCAGTAAAAGTAATATAATTTTTGTCTTGTCAAAACAACATAAATTTGTCATACAGTATACTTCGCTATGTGGTATGCATATGTATGACAATATATCATACTCTTATCATACAATATATTTATATATCATACAATTATATTTATAGAACAGTTTACGCTCTTAGTGGGAAAATACAGAATTGTCGAAACTGAAATATGACAGTCTAAAATGCCACTTAACCATCGGTTGGCACCAACTTTGGTGCCACCAAGTGATTATTATTAAATGTCAACCGGCAATTAACGCCCCAGGTGTACCATGTGCCGGTTTAGGCGCAAAGATACAGTACGTGAGTAACTTATTTATATAATTATGGTCAATTTCTATACAGAAACGTATAAAGTTGTGTATTTGCACTTACACGGATTAGGATACATTGCACTGCCGGAACTTCATGTATATAGTAATTATAGATTTAATGAATTTCTTACAATAAAGTTTGCATTATTTGACAACTTCTCTTCATAGAGATATTTAATAGTTTTACGCCTACTCCATCTTGCACCACATTCTCTTGGTACTGTAATTGGCAATTTGGCAGTGCGAGAACAAGCTCCGGCATTTCACTGTTTAAAACGATCAGATTTTCGGTCGCTGATAACATTAATGATAAATTGATAATACATGTAGGGCTTTTTATCCGGCACGAAGTTCGCAAAGGTGCAATACCGTTAACCGCATCTGTTCATATTGCAGCCACCAGACACCAGCGGTTACTAGATTTTCGAAGCTGAAAGCTCAACCCTGGATGGATCGCAATCACCAGTGCAGCCACATCACTGCAAGCGCACTGCAGAACACTGAAAAACAGAATTTATCAACTTTTTATGATTTATCTTTGAACACAAGCAGAAGGAGATGCAACGAATCAAGGTGAGTTTTATGCTAACGATTACGCTCAACGGCTTTGTATTAGTGTTGCTGTAGCGGCCTATTGCGTTGATGCCTTATCGATTCACTGCAGATTGTACAAGAGTGATGGCGATTTTTAAGTCTATATTCGATTGTCAAAAATCTCCTGCGTTCAAATTAAACTAAGTATTAAAGTAAGTACTCGTACAGTTAGCACCTCCTGCCGTATTTAACCGGTGACGGATAACCTGTTGCATTGCATCGCCGTGGCAGGTTGTCCTTAAATGATCGGTGTATAACCTACAATGTTTGGCCTTTAAGATCGGCGCACTGTGGAGCTGATTTGTGATTACTTGCTAAAAAAGAGGATAGTAATTGTATTTACTACTACTCTACTTTAATTAACTTAGTGCGCGTTATATGTACAGATTGGAATCATCGGTGGAACCGGTTTGGATGAGCCGAATATTTTAAAAAATCCTCAGCGCAAAGAAGTCACTACACCTTGGGGACCGGTAGGTTAATAAATTTATTAACAGCTGTAACGCATAACGTGTTGGCATCACAATACTGGAAAAGACGTTTCTGGGATGTTTTGCAGCCATCGGATCGGTTGGTTCTTGGAGACATTCATGGAGTTCCCGTGGTCCTTCTGGCTCGGTAAAACGAAAACTGAGACTAACAAATAGTAACAATAAGCTCCGCTTACGATTTTCAGTTGAAATTAATTTTGTCAGTCTGTTCGGGATACATACGCTTGTGAGCATATGACCATTGACCATCCGTACCAACGCCGACCGCGGCAAAAAATATACTGCTTATTACATTTAATTTTGATATGCAGCTTTCATCGTAATAAGACATAATTATTATAATTTCTTTTCACATCTGCAGACATGGTCGACACCATTCCATTCATCCGGGCTTAATCAATTACCGTGCCAATTTATGGGCACTGAAAGAAGAAGGATGCACTCATGTGATTGTTACGAATGCCGTTGGCTCGTTGCGAGAGGAAATGCAGCCAGGAGATATTGTCTTACTTGACCAGTTTATTGACAGGTTATTTCTCGTAAAATGACAATTTTAACAGAGATGCAATAATGGCAAGTTTATAAATGATAGACTTAAGTGCTGGGCTGGAAGGTAATAAACTTATTTGAGTACTTATGTTTGTTTCTTTGTTGCAGGACAACCAGACGAGAGCAGACATTTTACGATGGAACGCCGACCGGACTTCCGGGTATCTGCCACATTCCTATGGCCACACCATTTTGCGAAGAGACTCGTCAAGTAAGATATGCAACTTCCGCGTGAAGACTACTCGTCATATTAACGATTATCTTAATGATAACACGAAACTGATAACTTCTATGAACAAACTTTACCTAACGCTATGTAAAAACAGTATACTTTACCTTCACTGTGCTGCTGTGCAAATGTACACTAATTTTACGTGCTTTTGAATAATGCAACAAAAATTTATTAATATATATGCTTTTATTTAAATGTTTTTCTTGTGACAATAGGTGCTCTTGTCGGTGATTCGATCAATGAATGTGCCGGTTCGACTCCATGAGCGCGGAACAATCATGGTCATCGAAGGGCCACGTTACGCCTCAAAAGCCGAAAGCCATCTGCATCGGCTGTTCAATTGCGACGTTGTGGGGATGACGAGTGTTCCGGAAGTACGGTTTACTTTTGTGATGTTAATCATTAAATTAATTTCATTGCTTACTTCGCTATTTCCTTATTATACTGCAGTTATTTCTTGGCTTTGTTTAGGTGGTCCTGGCCAATGAGTTAGGATTGTCGTACAATTCCATTGCGCTGGTTACCGATATGGACTGCTGGAAGGAAGATGCGGTACATGTCACCGCTGATTTGGTAGTGCAGCGTTTTAACCAGTTTTCCAGGATACTGGTGGATGTTCTGCATAATGCTATTCTGAAAATGAAGGAGTATGATTGGGAACCGATGATCAGACAGAGACAGGTACAACTCCGCATTCTGAGAATTTTTGAGAAAAGCATCGGATGCAGCCAAGCGTTTTTCTGGTGGCACGTACTAATTACTGCTTCTGAAATTGATTAGCATTATTATTTTATTTTGTATTTGATTTTACTTCCCTACTATGTTATACGACGTGAGGGTAAGAATGTGATAATATTATGGCATACAAACGCAAGTAATTACGTACTCAAGATACTCGCTGTAATATTGATTCTATTTCTGTGGCGATATTCCGTTGGGTAAATCACCGTTAGAAATTTGAATATCTTTGCAGTTAATGCTACGCGATGCAATCATGTTACCGAAAGCGAGCGAGAAAGATCATCCGTTTGTCAATCCAATTCCACCGGCAGATGTTTCGATCCCGGATGATAAGCGAATCCCAAAAGTGCATGGAAATGAAAAGAAAAAGCCGGCCTCTGGTGAAACCGCTGATCTGCCATGAACGAAGCTCAATAAATCAGAAACTGTTTAAAAATTCCCTTTTCTGATATGAATTATATAAAGGCCTAAGGCTGACTATTATTTGTTCACGCTTGTATTAGCTGCATGGTAAACTGATCGTTTTGTCCATGTTTCTTTTTCACCGGAGTTTTTTCTGCAAATCGTGCAGAATGTAATACCATTTGCAAACGTTCAAACTAACTGCTAAAATCTCCTATTTTATGGTACTGTAAAACTTATGGTCAGCAGGATTTTAATTAAGTAGTCTTCCACCAATTTACTATCGAAATGTTATAAACGGCATGGTTGAACGGTAGAACCTGTGAAGACGTTCACGGATTGAACAATACCGTATTTAAACGACATTAACGCGAAACAACCCACTGCAATAAGCTACCAAAGACCAAGAAAAACGACGGTCTTTCCCTTTCGTTCTTCCAAAAACAGCCAAAATTTCAGTCGATATAGCCGTATCGTTTACTCCTCGGCTATTTTGGGGTTTTGGGTTAGTAACAGGCCAAAACGCTTCTTGATGGTAATTCTCTGACGGGAATACTTGTCTTCCGGAGAAAATTTCGCTACGAGCAAAAATTCAATGATAATTAATCCCAATTGTAACGTTTGAAATAATAATAAGATAATAATAATAATTTTGAAATAATTGAAATAATAAGATATTCATTACAATTTATTAACGATAACATACTGACTTCTACAGATCAAAACCAAAAAGGGACCGGCTAATGTTTTCACAAGTGTAGAAACAGTAATCCGCAACGAAAATAATAAAAATCAAAGAAAGAAAGACTGAAAATAAAGTATAACATGAGAATAAAGAATTTAACCAGTTTTCGAACAACGTTCTTCCGCTGCTGAAAGTATTTTTCAAAGTATTTTTCAAGTCAAGCTGAAAGTATTTTTCAAGTCCAAACTTTACACGAAGACGAAGTTATGTAATACAGTAACGTTTTTAAAAAAAGCTGGAAAGAAGGAAACGACTGCTCAAGCTCCTGCATATCTCGTTTGGAATTGTACGTAGCAGCCTGTAAGTACTCACCTGGATGAGCGGTGTGAGTAGGTCTTCCATCAGGATCGAGTGCCTATGACGAAATTCAATGTTCCAGTTCCGAAGACTAAGGATATGCGTATGCCATGCAAGAAGTGTAACCACTGCCCACTTACTTTCAGGGTGTACACCCGAGTGTTATTCTCGTCCAAGTAGAATCTCAACAACATTTTTCGAAACTCGAAAAGCAGAAAATAACCAAATTCTGCGCAAAACGTAAGTGTTCAGACTTTACTGTCCTTGGTCCCGTGCTGATCTGACAAACTGGCTGACAAACAAACAAACTGCTGAACAAAATTAAGTACTAGCGGACACCGATAAGTGAAGTTGTAAGATGTTGCTAGTTGAGAAGAAAAAAGTGTACTCCAGAAATTTAATAAGATGTCCTTTGTAAGAATCTTGTTAGTTGTCAATTTTAGGTACAATACAACGTTTGTAAACACTAAGCAGAAAAGCGAGAGAGAAAAGAGAAAACCATTCAAAAATTTTCGTTTTTGACCGGTATCCGTATTAAAAGTGCAGCAAAGATGATACGAGTAGCGCGACGAGCTGGCTATGTTATTGCGTAGTAGCCAACCGCCATCGGCTGAAGTGCCATAAATCGAGAGATCTGCTTCAGAGTCAGCCTTCTCTAATTATTACTACGTATACGACTCTGTACTGTATCCCCATTAAATTTTCCCCAAGAGTACTACAAAAAATTGTGTTGATTCAACTTGATTGTAACAGTTGTTGCTTTTTCACCTTTTGAAACCTATTTAGAAGGCTATACGGAGGCTGTTTAAGGTCTATATGGAGCTCCGCTCTGTATAATATTATGGCAGCCAGTAAGGACAATCTGCAAGCGCTCTTTGGATCGGACAGTTCTGACTCTGAAGAGGACTCGCGTAGACCCAAAGCACCGCGCATCGCTAGTTCACACGATGAAGCTTCGTCTCCCGACGCATCTCCTTCCCGCACTCAAACTGACAACGGGGAAACACGCTCGCCAGCTGAGGCTGAGAGCTCCGCGAACAAGTCATCGGATTTCCATCTTCTTGCTGACGAAGAAGACTCTTCAGAATCCGTTCAGGAAGAAAACGAAGTTGTGAAGGATGATATCGGCGAGACCATTGCGGAAGAAGGGGATCTCGAAGAGCAGCCCGTGGGGGAACAGATTCCCGCAGAGGGCGACGGGGAAGATGACGAGGAGACACGGATTGAAGTGGATATCGCGCGTTTGACTCCGAACCTGGAAGGACGGTTTATATACTGGAAGATGCCAGACTTCATAAAAGCGGAATCTAAGCCCTTCGATCCGGAAGGATATGACGACGAATTTGAAGATTACGACGAAGATCCACCTCCAGAAGTGCAGGATGCAATTCGACAGAAAGTGAAAGGCACCCTACGATGGAGATGGTCGACGTTGGCGGATGGATCTCGTGGGGGACCGGAATCAAATGCGAAACTGGTCAAGTGGTCAGATGGAAGGTGAGTTTGAAGAAATCTTTTAGCATTTCGGTTTTACATCACCAGTTGAAAGAGGGTGAACCATTTTTTTGCGAATCATCGCTGAAAATTAGCTTTATTGGACTGCGTTTGCGTCCAAAAATAAAATTACTTATGGCTTTACAGTAACAGCGTTAGCCACCAACATTGACGAAAACGTTCAGAAAGCCAGAAATCATAAATCAAGGGTCTGATTCAAGACGTGCAAAAGTTTAACCATTATCCTAAGATGGTGAAGCTAAGCTCACAAATTTAACTTTGCTAAGTTTTCGCATTGTTTTTATGAATTGGTTAAGTCGATATCAGCAGTTGTGGATAGTAATTTTGGTAATAAATTTTTTACATTGAAATCATGATATGGTGGAGCAAATTTTCGTGGTGAAACAATAAAAACTATTAATTTCCTAAGTAATTTTTGGTTTAGATAGATTATGGCTTACAATTTATTAGCACAAGCTGGTTGCCAATACGGAAGTTGTTGTTGCAAATCGTTGAAGATGCTCTACAGTCTACAGTGTACAGTATTGCTGGAATTGGTCATTTGCTAAAAATTTATCGATCGACAAACGCATTTAGTGACTCTGGAAATTCAGATAGGTGTAACTTGTAGGGGTGTACTTGTAGGTATCAACTTACTTATTGTTAGTTAGATAAATGTTGCATTCAAATAACGTATCATTAGTAAAATCAAATAAGGCGTTGTTTTTGCAGCACTTCGATCGTAATCGGAAACGAGTATTTCGATGCGTCTCTCATTCCGTTCAAAGGCGAATACCATCAGCTATTCATTCGACAAGGCACTGGTTTACAGGGCGGAGTGATCTTTCCAGAGAAGCTGACTTTGCGTCCGGCTGTGGCCAACCCGTTATCAAGGAAATCACGCATGCCCACTCGTGTGTCGGCAAGCGGACGGCCTGGCGCCAAGGATCAAGGGCCAAGCCTCGTTTTTCTGCACGATGTTGGAGCAAACAGCAAAGACCCCGAGAAATTACGAGCGGAGTTGATGCGAAAAGAAGAGGAGCGTCTTAAGGCGTCCATTCGGCGCGAAACCCAGCAGCGGCGCATTCGCGAACGAGTATACAATCGGGGAATCACTAGTGGCTTTTTGGAAGGGAATGATGAAGAAGACGATAACACTATTTCGTTATCGGCTATTAAAAATAGTTATAAACGAGGAGATTATACGCGGCCTGCATTTTCCGATGAGGAGGAATCCGATAGCGAAAGTCGAAGGAAGAAACTGGAGAATGCGAAGGATGAAGAGGACGACGATGACGATTTCGGTGTGAAGAAAAAGAAAACAGAAGAAGGAGGTGCGAAGAAACGTGTCGCGATTATTCAGGATGATGACGAAGAGTAGTTGCAGTTCTATTGTTACTGTACTAGTTATTACAGTAATTATAAATTGATACGAGTATGTTTTTTGTGGTATAACTGTTTGTACACTGTGCAGATCTTTGTCTGTAGAGGTTTAATTGCTGGTTTAATCCGAATAATTGGAGCGAGTGTATCGTGAATTGAGTTTTTGTCAAAATGTACCGCTTTTCATAATTGAAAATATGAAAAATTTTGAGAACTTCCGCGCTGGTTGTATACGTTCAGGAGAAAAATTTTAGGGATTGCACTTTGCCAAATGTATATCTGCGTAAGAAATGATAATTTACAGTTAAGTAATTTAATTAATCCTTCGATCGTAAATTTGAAATTTTTAATTAGTGTCTATCAGCGCAGGCTTGTTGTTCTGTTATTAATTAATTACTATTTCCTGAAAAAAGTATAATTTACTTACAATAATTTTTACAGTATACGGGTTTTAATATCGTTGCATTGTTATTAAATATTATTACTAAACTAACATTACTGTAGCCGCTAGATGAAGTGGCTCCACTGTTAGATCCGACCGCTGCCTGCCTCTGGCCGGGCATTGAGCACGAGCCTTCCCCCCACCGAGAGGCGCACACTTTGCTTTTCGATAAACTGTTGCCTGCCCCTGCCAGGGGCACCCCAAAAACCACAACAAACCAGGTTTATAAATTGAAAACTGTCAGTGCTCTGACATTATGCTCTTACAATAATTATTGTACTTTGCTAAAAAATAATAAAACTCAGTAAAACATGTAGAACGTCAGCATCAGAGTCAAAATTGTTTGAAACCAAAAACAATTCTGCACGGAGCAATGTGTGTATATTGGGCTTGCATTTTCCCGTATACCAGACTCTGTGGAGCCACTTCATCTAGCGGCTACAGTAGTTAAAGTAATATGACATGTAATAATAATAATATTATTATTAGTTTAGTTTAGTAGTATTAGTTTTGTTTAATTAGTTTAGAAATATTATGAATATATATGAATATATGATTGTAATTATGGGGATCAGAATCATTGTGCAGTTCTGGGATTAGCGCAGGCCTTGAGACCACGCGGTCTGGACATCGCCCAATGGACGATACTGGCACATAATAATTATGCTATCTGGTACACATACTACTGTCACCCCTGTTGTATGTATTGTATCTGTATAATACTCCGTATTACTCGTAAAAAAGGTGATGCGCAGCACACTCACGTTCGCAAAATTCGTTTATGGAACATATTTTTGACTTTTGAAGATATTGCTTATCAGTAAGTACTTCTTTCTCCATTGCTTTCTCCATTCCTGTGTGATTATGCAGTCGTAACAGTGCTGGCGAGTTTTGAATTTTCACTTTTTCTGCTTCTATTAGTTCTATATACAATGGACTATGTGCGAAAACAAGCTGCCAGGCGTGCCGAATTGAAGCTGCCTGGCGAAAATCTTTTGATTGGTCGGAGCTGCCAGGCGTGCCGAATTGAAGCTGCCTGGCGAAAATCTTTCGATTGGTCGGTTTAATTAGAAATTAATTAAACCGACCAATCAAAAGATTTTCGCCAGGCAGCTTCAATTCGGCACGGCTGGCAGCTTGTTTTCGCATTCGCGTCAATATAATATATATAACTCGTAAGTACTAGTACTTGTACACTTAGCACGGTAGTAATTTTACTCCAATTGTCGCACAGCCAATTGTCGCACAGCCTCGCACTGCAAAGCAAAAAATCACAAATGTCGTTCTTTCAAAGCACTGCGACCTATGATTTTTTATGGCAAAGTGTGTGTGGATCTTGCGAAGAGCCATGCAGAGAAAAAGTTTCGAAATTGGCTTCCTTTTGTGAAAGTATCTGCAAACTGAAAAAGAGCTGCGCGCTAGTTACGGTAAGTTCAGGAACCAGTACTCTTTATAGAATTTGTTCACTCTTTAGTCTTTTTGGTTGTATTATGTGTGCCTTAATCTCTACTTTAATTCACAGAGTGGTGGAACGCGTGTGCCGCTAGAAAAGAATGCGGTGCGTTTCGTTGAAAACTTCAGCACAGGAATGCGCGGATCGAAATCAGCTGAATATTTCCTAGAATCTGGATTCGCTGTTGTTTTCCTGTACAGTCGGAAATCCGCACGGCCCTGGTTGTGGCGCTTTGACTTTGATCGTTATTGCGACACCGTGACTGCAAAAAGCAAGTCCGATTCCGCTGCAAATGAGATCTGTCCCGTTCCGGAATCTACAGGGAACGGATGTCACAATTCAGTCGACGAGTCATCTAACTCAGCAAATAACAGTGCGGAGTCCGCAGTGGCACTTGCCGAAAGTGCGGCGGAAGAAGTACAGTCTCACCCGAAACAAAATAATGAAGACCAGAAGACAAATGCGACAAACATTTCAAACCCCTCACAGGTGAATTTATTGGGAAAACTATTTTTTGTTCGCGTAATGCAGCTAGTTTACTGCTTGGCAGTTGGCAGTGGGTTGTGTTTTTAATAATTTTTTTAATGACTAAGGAAGTGATGAGATCTTTAACTACGCGACGTTAGATTTTTAAAGTTCAGTCTGCTGTCATTTTCGGCAATGAGTACGCGACGCGCTTTTCGGAAATGGAATTCCGCGAATAGTTTTGCTTTCGTTGTTATTTTGAATTCTTACTGAACTGCGCAGTCTGAAATTCCATTTTCATATGCCATGCAGTTCGAAAATTGCTTGTACTAGTACTTTACTTGACACGGATCTTACCATTCTTATGATAAGTAACTGAAATTTTTTGGTGGAATTTGTATCCGTTTATCCATCCAATTTTTTTTGTAGGGAAATGGCACTGACATTGACTGGGATATGTTTGCTCTGGAGAAACTTGCCGAACATAAAGCCAACACGCTTTACCTTGAATATGACGATCTTGACGAATACCTTTTTCTTCTTCGGCGCTGTTGTGAATATCTCAACGGATCTTTCGAAACAAGTGTCCTTTATTTGGCCGCAGCGGTATCTGACTTTTATATCCCTTTTCGACATATGGTAAGTAACCGTATGTTGAAGTGATTATATTTTACCAGTTAAAATATTTAAGGGTTTGCGCATTGACTGGCCGCTGTGATAACGTACTAGTAACTAGTACTTGATATTCTGTTCTGTGCGTTGTTGTACGGTTGTACCAACTAATGCCTGCGCACTAGATCGCAGTTTCTATTTATTTGTTAGCCTGAAGACAAAATAGAATCGGGCGGCTCCTTGAATTTGCATTTGGAACCAGTTCCGAAATTTTTGGGAGCAGTAAAAGCGGCCTGGGCACCAAAAGCTTTTGTGGTCGGATTTAAGGTAAGTGCGAGTAATTATGTATATTTCAGTAATTGTAACTTGGGCAGATCACGCAAATCGCATACAATCGAATGGAAGTCCTAAGTACAAGTACTTCAAAGCCGCTGTAATATGAAACTTACAATCCACGATTCAAGTTAACTTGAACTGTTGTTTTTACAGCTGGAGACAAATGTCCATGTTCTTCGCAACAAAGCCGAACAGTCACTTCGGCGTTACAAACTGGATTTAGTGATTGCCAATGAACTTGCCACACGTTACGAGTGCGTACATTTTTGTACCACTAATGGTTTCGTTACGCTTAGCGCCAGAAAGGATCTCACACAATCCGATGAACCGATTGAAAGGTTGATAGTTGCGAAAATTACGGAAATGGTTAAGGGTGCTGTTTAGCACATTTCAGTTGTTTTTGTTATTGCCCTGGTTTGATATCGTTTCAAATTCCAGTTGCTTTTGCATAACTGATATAATATGTAATGCGACGTTTTTTCGTTGAGGTACCGAGTTTTTTTCGATAAAGAACTGCTAAACACACGGAAATGTATAACAACCGTACCATTACTATTATTATTTCTTTTCACACTACAGTAACCAAACTCCATTAACGGAGATATGTTACCAGGCGGTTGGAAAATTTTTTTGCTTAATTCAGAAAATTTTATACTTTTTTTGGTTAAATTTGATGAGATGAAAGTTACTCAACCTACTGAAATAGGAACTGCGAACAGGACATACAATCTTAAAGCCAGACGTACTACTACCACAAGTAATTCACTGAATGCGTTCGATACCACTGCTCAATATTGTGAAATAAAAACAAATTTACAGAACCCTTAAAACACCACAGATAAAACTGCCAAACACCACAACAAGTAAAACAGATCAGTAATGAAACCAGACGGAAAGTCTACAGAACTGATTTAACGTCCAAATTCACTAGGTCCAATCTGACCGACAGTCACAATGAGTAGTGAAAGTCCAGTATTCATCTGGGTGTCGTCGTTCGTAAATCACTCTCGGAATCACTTTCCAGCTCTTTCTCTTCTACTATCAAGGCAATTGCGTTCCCCGGATCAAGCGTAGCAATCACCTTATTTGTATCAGGTTTACAATCAATGGATTTTCGAGGGTAACTGGTGAAAACTTCGAAATGCTCTGGAGCATCCGGTTGGGAAAAGATGTAGTTATACAGATCCTGAAATTCAGAAGCAAGATTGTATAAGATCTGTACAACCCAGAGCAAACAAAATTGCTTACAAAACAAACCCAATCTGCTAATTAAATAATCCAACCTACCGCAACTGTATCGGATTTCAGAAATCGTCGCTTCAAATTTTTCCCATCCGGTAATTTTATACTAACTCGGCACATATCCGTGGCATTTTCTTCGGGCTCTCTTGGCATTTTTTTAAAAGCTTCTTGTTTGCGGTATGCCAAATTCTAACGCAAATAAGATGAAACAATCATATATGGCTGGAAAAAAACTTGACAGAGACAACTGCTTACCTCGCCTCGCATTTTTTCCTCTCTTTCTTGACGCTCGGCTTCTTCTCTTTGGTGCCTTTCCTCCATTTCTTTTCGCATTTTTTCTTCCAACTTAGACCGTGCCTTATCCTGGTCTGCCTTCAAAGACTTCTGGTACGCTTCGTCTTGCTCTCTTCGTAATGTTTGATTCATATCCAATTGCCGGCTACAATAAAACAAAAACGTGAAAGCATGATAATCCTTAAAACCAAGTCAATATAACATATACCGAATATCCATTTTAAAATACATATATTATTATGTTCTTTTTTCTTGAAATTATCGTCAAATTGGATATACATGTTTTCATACCACTAAAAATTTTGAAAAATCCATTGTCTATCGAATCTTCCTAACAGCTTTTAGAAAATCCATTGTCTTGCAATTGCGACAACAGACAAGTAGCCCTGAACCAAAATATACCTCAAATCTGTTTCAAAAATATCTGTGAGCTTCTTCATTCCTCCATACCGTAAGGCTTAAAGACAACTGGTCGCCGGACCATCACGAATACATTACAGATATCCGTATATAATTACTTACCGTTCCATCCGCGCGGCGTTTAAATGCCGATCATTGGCGGAAAACAACTGATTCAGTCGATCAATCAGCTCCCGTGGAGCATGATAGCCATGAAGACGTCCCACAAGGGTCATTTGGCCACTTTTGCAAGCTATCAGGCCCAAGGATGGGAATCGAGTAGCTTGAAGCGCTTGAGCAACTGCAACACAAACATTAACTAAACTGCTACAGTCTGACAAACCGAGTCATTAATCCACCTTTGTATCCCTCCGACAACTGCGTAGAACAAGCCCAGAAGAGTGTTTTAGAGTTTATCAGTGCCACAACTTCCGGGTTGGTTAAAGCATCTCTACGAAAACACATTCGTACCGATAAAAACGCAATGCAGCAGACTAGTCAAAGAAGCATGACTCACGCGCAAAAACGATCGGAATCGCTGTCGCTATCCTGATGCAAATACAAGAGAAGAAAACGCAGCTCTTTCTTGGCATCGCTATATGCCTGAAACGTCAGATGCGAAACTCTTCACATGCCGAAAATCGTCGAGAAAACAATCTCCGGAGAAAAATATTTTTCAAAAAATTATCATGCAATTTATGCAGCAGTATTAAACGGCAACCTCTAAAAAAGATAACAAGCAAGCAAAAAACGCACCTCTTTGTAACCTCCGCGGTAGAAAACAGGATGTTGTACACCATATTTGTGTTCGAAGTCCTCGATAAACTTTTGAACATCTTGAACTGGAGTGCTGGGGGCTATGAGAAGCTTATATATTAAGCATGCTTCGAGAAAATAATAACAATAATAATCCACAAGCAAAGTTACCAAGCTTACCAAAACGGGGATTTCCAGACGCAAAAAACGACCCTACAAGACCGATGAAGTATTACGTTAGTACGATCGCCGCTGGCAATAATTAGAATATTTTAGAAAGCCATGGCTTACACACAAACTTCAGAATCTCGTATATCGAGTTGAATACAAAACGGAAAGGAAACACCGCCCCGGCCCTGACCCATTCCATCCAGCCCCACCGTTCGATGGGGGCTGGTCCACCTTCGTATGACCTAACAATAAGCAGGAAGATAAATCAGAATGATTTTCGTTCAAATCTTCAATCCATTCATATCTGCATGTGATGCAAAGATAGACACGATCAATAAAATGGCTACCTGAAATGGAGGTAATTAATTGTGCATCTCATAATGTGATCGAAATGCAAAAAAACAATATTAACTTTTTATGTTAAACGCAGTCTCAAACGACTGGAAAACGTCAGATGAATCAGCATTGGCAAGAAACATCAGACCAAAAACGAAAAACCCAACTTGAATTACTGGCTTCCATTCTGTTCTTTCCGATGAAAAACAAATTCAACTAACTTTAATTTAAAACTGCAACTTAAAATTGCAAAAAATGTGCTGTTCCTTACCTGTGAGTGGAAGGAGATATGGCAACGCGGGGCGTGGCGGATGCAGGAGAACGTGGAGACACCGGTTCATGCAGTGATCCTTCTCCCATTCCTCGTTCTTGGGTATCTTCGACAGCTGGCTCTGGCTCACCAAATATGTGTTGAACGGCAATCTGCAACATCCAATAAGAATGAAAACCAGCTTTTCAAAGTATAAAATAAGAAGAAACAAATGTTACATTCGGATCCCAGCCACTGCGTTCTAGGATCTGTCGGCAATGATTTAAATCGTCTAATCCCGATAAGTTCTGAAACAGATTACACACCACAGTCCACAGTATATCTTAAAAAAGATTTCAAATTTTCGGCTCCAAAGCCAGGAAATGTTCCACTGTGCAAACTCAAACGGAAAACAACGCATAATGTAAACAGAATTGTAGGCAATTGTACCTGAAAATTAATCAAGATGTCAGTCTGCTCTGCGGTCAATTCCTTATCCTCATCCTCGTCCATGGTATTGGATTTTGGGTTGAGCAACCCACACGAGAGCGCAACAGCTTTAAAAAGAAGAACATTTCCGGTTTTAATCTCAACTGTATTAATTATTAGGTGAGATACAAAAACGGTGGCGCATGCTTGTTGGCTCACGCAACACTATAATGGATTTTCAACATCATACTAAAGAAATGGCTTGTTTATCGCGTATGAAAAATTGTGACTTTGGAAAGCATATTATAATGTATCACCACATTGACTGGCAACAAGAACATGAAAGAGAAGTCCGGAAAATTATTTTGACACAAATTATTACTACCCATTGCTGTCTGCTTAACCACAGCTTTTACTGCAGCCCACCGCTAGTTAATTTCGATACAAATATAAACTAAATTTCGAAAATTATGAACATAATCAATAATGCTATCATACCTCTCATCTACATAGGAGTAAAACTGACTGGTAAGTATGATAATATATCATAACCAAAACGCTAACAAATAACCTACGGTTATTCGTTGGTGACACTTTTAAAAGGCTTCATACCTTCGCATTTCAATCTAATTGTAAATTGTACTCGTATGTAACAGCTTCAAAAACTTTTCCCCGCTTCTATTCTTCATGTATAACAGTATAAGTACTTTATACTCGTACAGATTATACGGCATGCAAACATCTTCAGGCTCGCGGATTTATATCAACACCCTTTATACGTACACAGGCGTTAATACAATACAATATTTCGAATTAGGTGACCAGAGACTAGTTAGAGGAAAAACCACACGACAAACGACACTTTGCCATTTACGAAGTGAAAACAGAAAATTTAATATCAACGAAAACAAGCAAAAATCAGCAGTGTTCGAATTTCTTGCTCACCCACCTTTGCCCAAGAATATCCAGACTTAAATGACCATCGCGCTGATCAACGAATTCCAAAATGTCGAAACTGCCTTCTTACACTTAAAATCCAAGAATAACGACCATGGAAAATCTAAAATCACTTATTAAGTGTTTAAAAATTTATGAAACTTATGAGAAAACAAACTAAAATTTAAACGAGAAATCAAAAGCGAAAGCTGCACGGCCTGGTGACGGCCAACGAAGCGATGACGACTCTCAGTAACGAACGCTAAACCTCAGCCTGAGCCAATACCCCTGAGTTCACAAAATTTAACAAAATAAGCAGAACAAAATAATTCGTGACAAGCTCTCACATAATTACGCGAGCTACTTTTCATAAAAATAATAATAAATTAATAATTATGAAAATTCCATGAATACAATTCAGTACTGTAATATATAATACATTAATATATTATATATAATTATTACACATTTTCAAAAAAATCATTGACATTACGATGTGCTTTACGGCTTTCGGCAGTAGTGCACGTCGCAGGTGCTCCGGCACATGCGCCAAGTTCAAACTATGGAGTGGCGTAACAACGTCGGCGTGTTCAGTAAATCATTAAATTACGGACAGGTTAATTTCCTCTGGGTTTTGGCTTGATTTACGACACTTGTGCGATAATATCATAATATACAGCATTTGTGACTTGCAGACTGCTTTACCGTTTTAACTTACAGACTGGTACAGTAGTTGTTTCGTTGCTTATATAATTTTATGTTTTTTAGGAAACGCAGTAATCGAGAAACGTTACGACTCTACGGCATCAAAATGATTGAACTCAATGGATTACTCTTTAGAAAAGATATCGTATCTGGATCCAGGAGGATATCCGTGCATCACTTAGAAATTTGATCTCATTGACAAAATGACTAATCACCCCGACGAGCCTGTGATCGATACTTTAAATGACTTTGACTTTATTAATTTTGGATTAAAATAAGCTACTGCCGCAAGCTGACGCCTCACCTTGATTATTTTTTCTGCCTGTGCCATCCGATCTATCCACTTTAGTTTTCTGACATTTATCGCCAAAAATAACTCCTTGCAGAATGCTGACGAAGTAAGCATAACGTAACGCAATGAAGAATAATATTTGTCGGGCAGCATTTTGCCGCGCATCTATTCGCTTCTTTCGTAGTGACTGTAATGTCACCAGCAGTGATCGAGAATTTCTAAGGGCATCTTGGTTTTTTAGGCGTTTTAATCAGTTAAATGGTTTGCTTGGCGTAATATTTTATGATTGTTTTCCTGTTTGTAGAAACGCTGAAATTCTTGTTTAATTTTCGTGCATGATGAATTAATTAATCGCTGCCATGGAAGATCAGCGTGTCGCAGATTATTTTATCGTGGCTGGATTGGATGAAAAGGCGGATTTATTGAAGATATCTGACGAGGCAGAAGGCGATACCAAGGAGAACATCCGTGATCCCATTACTGATCTGGCCATTATAAACCGCTCCGACCACGAGACCGTTCCCGATGGATACTTCTGTGTGGAATTAACGCCCAGCGGCGTGACGGCCGATCTGAATTACGGAAGTTTTCGCTGTCCGGAATTGTTTCTGTGTTATCGTCGCGGCCGCGATAAGCCGCCGCTGGTGCATATCGGCGTGATCTTTGAAGGCCGCGACAAAGTGCTGCCGCAGTGCGAGGTGATCCGCGAAACCCCGGAGGGGCGCTGCGCCAACGTCAACAACACCACCTCCCACCGCACCTTCATCACCTTCAAACGCGCCAGTCCGCGCTCCAATCCCAACGACCTGGTGGTGACGGAAGTGTGCGTGGTAATTAAGGACGAAAAGCCACCGCACACGTTCTGGAAGATCAGCGATCGCAATCTGAACAATGCTCTTTTTGGGTCGGATGTCTTTCTGTGCTACAAGAAAGCGACGGGGAATCGGAATTTTTTGACTTATCAGCCGGCACTGCTGTTCCGTTATCCACAGCGGAATCATGCGTCAATGGCGCTGCCGGATGATGTCCAATCCTTCTCCATGCCCATGGGCGCGTCATTGGAGGCTTGGCCGCGTGAAGCAGAATCGCCGCGGCCGATCTTTGCCAAATTTGTTCTGACGGTCTCAGGCAATCGGAATCAAGTGTACGGTGGTGGTAAACTGGTACAGAAGCTGTACGGTGCGGCGTTGACATTTTATGAGTCGTATCCACGGGATAAATTGACAGCTGAGCAGAAAAGAGACTTGCTAAAAACGCTGCGCGACGAAGAGTCGAATTTCTTTGTCAATAAATCCATCTGTATTTTATCGAAATGGCCGTTTTTTGACGTCTTCCAGTCAGTTTTGCATCATTTGCTGACAATGTGTTTCTCCACAAGCGCACATTCCGTTCCCATTGAGAGAGTGATTTCGCATTTTATCCAAGAAGTACCGTTTCCCTCCGCATACCGGCCCAAGGTGCAGGTGCAGTTGACAAGTAGCAGCAGCACTCCTGTCATCACTTTGACTCGACCCGGGGATTCTCCGATTCCGCTCAATGGAGCTTCATTTAGCACTATGGTGAAGAATCTGTCTCCGGAGAATTGTGCTCTGATATTGCTGGTGTCATTACTCGAACAGAAAATTTGTCTGCATTCACTGCGACCGGATGTGCTGACAGCTGTAGCCGAAAGTGTTACCACAATCATTTTCCCATTTGTTTGGCAGTGTTCATATGTTCCCTTGTGCCCGTTGAAATTATGCGCGTTACTGCAAGCACCGGTGCCGTTTGTCTACGGGGTGGATTCCCGTTATTTTGAATTATGCGATCCACCGCCGGATGTGATTTATGTCGATTTAGATACGAACAGTATTGAAATACCTAAAGAGAAATTTGAGTTCAATCTGAAAATGATGCCCAAGAAACCGATGAAGGCCTTAATGGAAAAACTGGAGAAGATTAACCTGAAAATGGCGAAGGATGCCGCCAAGAATCTGATGGAGCGTAAGAAGGCTAGTCCGGCCGCGGCCATGCCCGGTGAAAAGGAATTCAAGCAGAAAATTAGAACACGTCAGTTTGACATGGAAATTCAAGAAGCCTTCCTTTCGTTTATGGTATCGATTTTGAAAGGTTACCGTAGCTTCCTTAAACCGATGGTGCGGGCGCCGGCCGAGGGGGCCACCGATCCCGGTGCACTGTTTGACATTGCAGGATTTCTAAAAAGCCGCGATCGATCGTATGCCAAGTTTTACGACTCCTTGATTCATACACAACAATTTATACGCTTTATTGAAGAGCGCAGTATCATGTCGGATCGTGAAGCCAGCTATGGTATGGCGTTCTTTGATGAATGTGTTCAACGTGTGGAGAAAGAGGGCACATTAGAGGTAAAGATAGTTTGTAAAATAAATTGAAACTGTCGAATTTTCCTTCTGACATGATGGTATTGTATCGATAATATTGAATGTTAGGCTGTCAAATCTAAAGTAGTAAGGCTTTTGTTCGCAACCAGTTTGCGTGCCCTTGCGTGCAGTCCGTAACCGGTAAAGCGTTAAATATCGTATACCGGTTTCGCTTTTTATTATCTGCCATAACCCATACTGATATATTGATTCTTTTACCACGATTTTCGTGCTGCTTTTCTTCACTATTGGGTGTTTGTTAGGTTGACAATACACCGATTAAGATCGCTATTCAGTCGGTTTTTAAACAACCAGTTGTAAAATTATGTTTTATGTAGCGTATCGTAGCAAGACATGAATTCCTATTTTGAATGGATTTCAGTCACAATCAGTAAAAGCTTAGCACATTAACAATGACTTGCATTATACGTCAACACAGCTTGTATTTTCAGATTTCGCTACTTGATACGGATGAAATGGTAAACGAGCGGACGGTGTTCATTCCCCCTCCCGAAAATGAAAAGTCAACGGAGAAATTCGTGTACGGCAAAGGCTTCCCTCCGCTTCGTTACGAACTATTCGGCAATGCTCCTTCCGAATCGGGACTCCAGACACCGGAACTAGGGGAGCGGGAATCAAAACCAACCGGTACATCCAACGATCTGGTCACTATGCGCACAAAACAGGAGGTGAAAACTTTTCAATCATACGCTCAGATGGCCAATCAACATACGAAACGCTGGGCGAAATGTTTGCTGTCCACTGGGTACGCTCTGTGGTTCATGTACCTTCCCTCGCTTGTCGCTTCCTCCAACTCACCCTCCCGCACACTGCGCAATGCATTTGAAACATTGAAGCGAATGCTGCACGCTAAAATCCAGCCGTCTGATGAAGTGGCGTATCGCATCATGATGCAGCTTTGTGGGAAGTATAGCCAGCCGGCACTGGCCGTTAAAGTCTTATCGGAAATGAAAAATTATAAAATTCAGCCTGACGCGGTGACGTACGGATTTTATAATAAAGTCGTCTTCGAAAGCACCTGGCCATCGGCATCGCATTCGCCGTACATGTTGTGGATGAAGACTAAGCATGTTATCCGTGGAGTGACACTGTTCCGAGAAGCCGGCGCACAACGACGCCAGAATCGCTTGAAAAGCGATGAAATCGATGCAGCGAGAACTCAATTGATTGCGGATAACGCATCCGACGAAGGGAAGGGTACTCGAGGATCGTCGGATACCGGATTCTTTTCGTTGGACCAAGACACAAAAAGGAACAGTATGATGAGCTTGACCAGTGGAGAATTCATGGCGGCCATTGCGGAATTGAAACCGAATGAACCGGCACTTGACGAGAGTTCGGCGGATATTACGCTAGATACTAGTGCAACGCTAGTGCCGGATTCGAGTCCCACAAAATCGTCAGAAGTCCCCGAAGCTGTCCCTTTTGATATGTTTCCCTTTGAATCGAACTGCATTGTTCGAAAATCAGCAGGTTCGGCTGGAAAGAGCAGAATTCCTTCGATCGGCAGTGCCAGGGCGGTGCAGAATGAAAATGATACGGAATTCAATTCTGCTGGTTTGTTGATGGTGCACCGCAGCCGACGTCACACTGCAGAAAAAACGACGAGCAATTCGTGGCGACCTAAGCATCGGCGTCACAGGAGCTGGACAGAGGGAACACGGCATTCAGTATCGGCTTCGAAGCGCAAACATTTGAGTACTTCCGGTCTGGCATTGTCTCCACAGCACCTCAAACGATCTTTACTGAGCCGGAAGAGTTCCAAATCGGAAAGTACAGTTCCCATGCAAACCCCGCAACAGCGGGCTGTTTCGCCACTAAACAAGATGCATCTTTCCAGTGAAACCGTCGTTGTACTCGAAGAAACGGTTCGCACGGTGGAGATACCGTCACCTACCTTGGATTTCCCTCCCGAAGACGATGAAATCACTTTCGGATTTAATAGACGGAATAAAAGTATGTCGGTGCCCCGTGATTCCGATGGATCCGATTCCGTCTCGCGCCTTCCTGGATCATCTTCCATCGAGTTCGCCTCAACAACCCTTCCGAAACTCGGAGCTTTTATTCGTAATTCGAAATCATATTCGTCCATTAAGAAGTTCTGGAATACCGGTGATCGGAAAAAATCTCGGGATGGCGATATGGGTATGGAATCCGTAGAGACATCGCCTCTGGTCAAAGGCAGTGCGGCACTTGTATCCGGGATGAAATCGATGACTTTGGCATTAGGGAAAAAAATTGGGGAATTATCGACCACTTTGACGACAGCTTCCTCAGAAACCGGTTCTCCCAGCCGCATCGGATCATCTCTTCGCGATCTGCCCGGTGCGCTGAATTTCACAGATTATGGCTTTGATTCGTTTGGGCCAATGACGTCATCGCAGGACTGGGAAGAAGAGGAGGAAGAAGTGAGCGGTAGGGATGACGTTGATGCGGGGCTGTCGTCCAGTAAAAGTTGGGAGTTTCCGGCGTACCATTTTTCGCCCCGCCATGCGTATCGGCTTGATGGAACGGTGCACGGCATTGATGGACACGTTTTAGTCCATGTGGATATGTGCAGTGTAGTAGCGTGTCATAAATGTGAAACTGCCGTATATGACGAAGAGGTTTTGGCTGGATTTTATCCGGACGAATCAAATCTAAATGCAAGGTGAGTCATGTTTAGTTGATGACAATACCGTACATCGTTTTGAGTTTTAAATTAATTTCACTGCCATTAATTTTTTTTTTCGACAGTTTTGCTTTACATACGTGAATGCATTATTAGATCGTCAGATAATTAAGTAGAAGAATAAATGGTTACCGAATTTCGAAAGTCGGGTGAGGTTAGCCTACGTACAAAATGTTGTAGGTGCCCTTATTGTGCAACGAAGTTTCTACCAGTATTAACAATTGTCGTGCATGATCACATCGAGGTGGAGGAGGAAAAAGACGAAGATCCGAATGCCGATGGCTACGATAACAACTGTCCACTGCTAAAGCTTTCCTCAAAATCTACAAACGCATCTGTCTCTACGACCGATAAACGCTCGTCATCCTTATTTAGTTCTCAGGATAACATTTCTGCGCACAATGCTTCTATTAACACGGATTCGGAGTCCACGGAGACGGGTGTTGTACCGGTCGTCGATACTCTTCGAATCGAAGAGACGCTATCCGTGAACAGTGGCCAGGGTGTTCCATCAGAAGACATATCCCAGTCAAACAGTATCTGCGGCCGGAGTAACCGGTGTAAATTGCGTCAAGCTATCACGGTGCCATACCTTAGTCCGTTGGTTATGCGGAAGGAACTGGAAACGCTCATGGCTAACGAAGGGGATACTTGCTTGTTGGACCCGGATTTTGTAAAATCCCATGATATTATTTACTGGAATCTGGTAAGTCTTCGGGTTTGATTCGACAATTTGTACGTAGGTATTATAAGTGGGGCAGTCGTTATCCCGGCTGATTCTTGTTGATTGACGAAATTCATCTCAGATGGACTTCGATTGAAATGGCTTGACTACAACTGCTTTTTCAGCTCTGGTATTGTGAACGAATGAACCTGCCACAAAGTCTGTCCGGAATGTTGCTGGATGCTAATGGATTGCGTCTCCTTTCGCAGTTGGTACGTTTACAGTAGTGTAGCACTTTACTGGTGTGTGGGATTTATAATTGTTTTTACTAATGTTTGTGTTTTGACTCAGGGCCATTCTGTGACACTGACGTCAAGAAGTCGTTATGTTTTGGTCTCATGCCGATGGGATAATCCTGAACTGCATCCGCAGCTAGGCGTTCCCATGTATATCAGCTACACCGAAGAAGGTAGCAACGAAAACTCTCAGATTTCTTACTATGTAAATGACAATAATTATTGTTAGCTTGGAAATTATTTTTAGTAAGCTGGTGTAATTTGCCATCAGAAAGACGTTCTTTCGATTTGTTCGGTGTTGTGTGATTCGTTTGTTCTTAATGTTTATCGCTAGCTGTCAGCGTTCGTTCGAAACGAATATCAGTTATGAATTTATTCTTGTAGGTTCGATATCTTCACAGTTGAACGCTTTGGGAATTGAGGATACGGGCCTGAGTTTCTGCCGCAACTTAATGGACCAAATGTTGGCGCGGATCCGCGATGAAAGCGACCTGGAGTCGCCCATGCGGCTTTTCCTGCATGAACTGCAGAAGCGGCCGGATCAGCGCCATCGCAGCATGTACCGGGAATTGTTATTCCTGGCCATCCGTGCCCTGGACTCGGAGAATATTGACCGCATGGCATTTGATAAAGTGTACAAACCCGCCTTCCAGTCGCTGCGGAAGGACGAGGGCTTCATTAGTATTCTACAGGCCGATGATCGACCGCCCAGTGTTACGGCTACCTGGTGCCGTCAGGCATTTCGACCGCTGGAAGTGTGAAAAAATGTGGTGGTTCTGAAGTGGCCGGTGATTTTTTGTTTGCGAGGGTGGGGTGGTGTGGCACCGTGGTCACATTGTGTTGATTGCGTTGTCGAAGATCCGATATGGTCTGGGCTGTGATAAGAAGTGACGGGTTGGGTGTTGTGTTGTAACGAATCCGCACCAGTGGTACAGTGCACTGCTTAAGCGTGTTCAATTGTTACGGTGTTACCTTACATTTTGAATGTTGTTTTCTAGCCAGTTGAAGTTTTCTTCCTAAAAATATCGTACCAAAAATGACAAAGCAACAGCTTCTCTGACGGCCGATTTGTATTCACGGAAGCAGTTTGATGGCATTTTTGCACTTGAATCGATAAACTTACAGGAGAGTGCGCTAAGCAATTCTGAGCGATTAACGAAAAGCGATTAAAAAGGTGTTCCAGAGAAACTTCTTGATCGCTCGAGTTTTTAATCGGTCTGCTACCAACCGATTAAAGAAATTCGCGAATTTCGTTAATCGGAAGTTTCTTCATCGGTAGTGATTAAAAACTGCCACTGGGAGGTGGCTTGAAATCTACAAATAGTACCGTTCTGAGTCTGAGTTCTGAGTCAAGCCGCTTCTGGTAATTCGTAAAACTCTTAATCGCTCAAGTTTTTAATCGCTTTCGGTGCTTAGCGCACTCCCCTGTTAGATAAAGCCATAAAGGTGCGTAAAGGTTCGACAGTTTGCGTTTTTTATCGCATTTTGCCATTTACCAATAACCTAATATGGCAGAGATACTCCTCAAAAAGGACAAACAAATCTTCACAGAATTCCATTTGAGTAGCTCGAGTCTGACTTGTTGTTTTTTATTAACTGATCATAAATGGCTATTACGATTGATAACCTGTAGCCAGGTTTCAGCCACGCGTGGAGATCATAACCGTAAAAAGTGGAAAAACTGATTACTAACGATAGCAGTTGAAGTTACACACTTCGCCATATGTTCAAAAATGATTTGCTAATAATCATTCGGACACCTATAGCCAACAGGACGTCTGATTCTATCAGCGAGCTTAATCTTATACGAGCGAAATCGAGAGACGTCAGCACATGAAACAGAATTAGATGGGTTTAATCTTGAAGTGCAAGGCGATCAAGGAAAAGACCAGGCACTTGAGATCCTGCACCAGATAATAGAAGCAGCGCAGTCCTTCGGGATCGGTGCTGTTATTGACGTCCATCAGGGACCCGATCTTACTGGTGGTGAAGGAAATATGCTCCGAGCCCATGAGAATCTCCAGCTCCTGACGACCCACACGATCGGGAACAGGCCACTTCTGATCGTTCTCCCGCAAGATTTCGCTCTCGGAGATGATGCGGCGCACCTCGTCCATCACGGCGGGATGCACCACTACTTCCTTGCGGATCATCGTGTCGTTCTTGTAGTTGGAGTTGTTGGCATACCGTAAGCGTCCATCAGGACGAAACTCGAACTCTAGGAACTCATGCCCAAATTTTCCTTTGTGACCCACATAATAACGCACATACAAGTTGTCCATTTTGCTGCAAACACCAGTTTTTCAATCTACTTAATGACAGTAGATCTTTCCAAATTATCAAAAAATATTTTTTCCGGTATAGCACTAAGTCTTATTAATTTATACACATAAAGAAAATAAGTTGTGAACCAGTAAAGCTGAGTAAACGGTTAAAAATTTAACAATGGCGACTAATATTTCACAGCCTATGGGCCAAGTCGCAGTTCGCAGGTACGCCAGTAACGCCACCACAGCGTACTGCGTTTAACAGGCATCTGTTTAACCGAGTACGGATGATGATATGATCCGATGGGCCTGCAGAGGTTGAGATGCCACATACCAAACTGCCGCCCGCGGCAAAATTCAAGATGCGCGGCTAGTCAAATCGAGATCCACCCTTCCAGCGATTGTCACCTTCGAATAACTTCGGCTATGACTTCGTGAACCATCGGAACCACTTTCTGATGTCCGACTCCAGTATCGGCACCACTTTCCAATATGTTGCGGGCGCGAATAAAAGGAAAAGCGAGACACCACTGATGCGATGGTTTACAATTTACACGTTAGTGACTTTACAGTGTATAGGATTCTGGTAAAATAATAATATTTCGAAAACGCACTATACAAGTACTGTAGCCGCTAGACGAAATGGCACCACTTTTAGATCTGGCCGCTGCCTGCCCCCTGCCGGACAACGCACACGTTACACCACCGTGTGCGGTGTTTTCCGTGCACCAGAGTGACCAGACTCTGTGGTGCCATTTCATATACATCGATGTATAGCGGCTACAGCACATTGTATGTACACTACATTCGCAGACCGGCTTTAACTGGCAGTCTCCTTTTTATCGACCGGAAGTAGCTGACAAGCCTGCCGCTCACCGTGCAGTTTATCGATTGCGTACTGCATGCAGTAGCTGTTTTTGTTTAGAACATACGAGATAGAATACCAATGTTTCGAGATAGAATTTGCAAAAACTCCAGTATTTTGTTAATATTAACTGTGTTTGCAACTTTGCGTAAGGCTGCAATTAATTATAACTGCAGTTTGCGCATTATTCTCGTAAATATATATCCATTGATATCATAAATTCATAATCCATATCCGCTGCTGAGTATATTAATTTCCTGTCAGCTTGTGAGGTACGGCACTTGTAGATGGCCGTGCAAACAAACACGTATTTTATGGACAAACCCATTTTACTCGTACTTTTATAAGTTTTATTTAGGTTATACAACTCTTCAAACATTTCCAATGCATTTGTAACTAGTTCGAGCGGAGCATGCATCGGGGATGCCATTGATCTGTACATACAAATCAAGTGCGGGTTTCATCCTGCTTAGCTATTTGTTGCAACTTCGGCAATAATTAATTTTGTGAGCGTTGTTTGGACTGGAATACTGTAGAGTGCAGTCTACAGAGCGAAAGCAGAGTTGCATGCGAGCTGGACCCGGAAGCGAGAGTGGAAGACATCAACTGAGGATTAAATACGCGCACAATGGACAGCACAACGATAGCGGCATTGGACTGGGGCTGGCAGGGAAAAGGCTTAACCTTCAAACTGACCGACAAGACCAAGTACGTCATCGAACACCAGGCTGTGCCGGGCGATGTGATATTTCGCGTGGGCAAGACGGGCGAGGAAGAGGACATTCCTGCACATAAGTAAGCACTACGTCAACCGTCGAGGAATTGCCTGGGCGAAATTAGTTTGTCAATTTGTTGCGAGCGAAATGGCAGTGTCCATGATTCATGACGACGTTATCCCGATACAACAAAATCCACCCGAGCCACGCTGCGCAAACCCAGTGTTTTTGAGCGGCGTGGCTCGGACTGATTTGGGTTGAATCACAAAATTAACAAAACCTAGAAATGAACTGCAAATCGGTGTCTGTAAAGTGCAAAAATACGACAGCAATGATCGATGTAAAATTAATAAACATCTGTACAAATGGCTTAGCGAAACACTGGGTGCGAGAAAGTTACGGTAATTGCGCTGGTTAAAAATACGAGTAATTTGTAACCGTACTTGCAATAATTCACGTACATGTGCTGTGTGTTGTTCCAGATCGATCATATCCATGGGTTCGGCTCCCTTCTACGCCATGTTCTACGGCCCAGCAGCCGATAAATCGGAAGACTGCATTCGAATTCCCGATCTCGACGCAGCGGCATTTAACAACCTTATCCGGTATCATTTATTTGTTAGATATACACTAGCGATTGATGACATGCTTGCAGCCTGCCCGTTATTAATAGCCATGGTCTAACGTTCACAGCCTGCCGTTTTCACAGCAATTACTGTAACTGAGGACAATTGTATAATTATTGTCGTTGTAGCTTTTTGTATACGGAGTGCACGGATCGTGTAACGTGGGAGAATGTCATGGGAACGTTGGCCTGCGCAAAAAAGTATGGCGTGCCGGCACTGATGACCGCCTGCCGCTATTTCGCCCAAGAGAATATTTCTCCATACAATGCCTGTTATTTCCTGGTCCAGGTGCGCATATAATAATTAGTTTTGCCCTATATAGTTTTGCTGCGGCACAGTGCAGTGCACCAAGACAGTTGCAACTGTCCCAACAATTAAACCATCCACAATTTTACTTTTTTATTAGGTCTACCGAATAGCTGCATGAGCGCTAGCAATTAATACTAAACGGCCAATTAATACTAGCAATTAATACTAAAATGCAGATAGAAAACGAATGTCTTACAGAATAATCTACAATTGCAAATAGGAAATATGAATACTACACAGTATGAAGTATTCTAGAGTATAAACATGAACTGAAAGTACAGTACTTCCGATGGGATAAAACCTGAACGAACGATTTGGCTAATTTGGTATTCTGTTTTCTTTGAATAGGCTCGAGGTCTGGATGAAAACGACCTTATTGTCATTGCGCTGGCGATAATTGATCGGCAAACGCGAGAAGTTTTTGCAGCAGAGAGTTTTACCGACATTGATCATGATTTGCTTTGCGAGATTATTTCCAGGGATACACTGACCATCAACGAACTGGATCTCTATCATGCTGTTCACCGGTATGTCAAAACTGATTTAACTGACAGGAACAGTTAAGCTGAATGGTAAAATTACAGTACGAGTATTGTACACCTGACTGCAATTTGCAGATTCGTTTCATACGCGAAAATGTTAATAAACTTGCACGGAATCCTTTCCGTGAATTTGTTGCAGATGGGCTGTGGAAGAGTGCAAACTGCACGGTGAAGTGACGGCTGACCGGAAACGCGAAGTACTGGGTCGCGGCATCGGTCTGGTTCGTTTTCCGTTGTTAACGACAACCGAGATCGCTGATGGACCTGCGCAGGTCAAATATGACAACCACGGCGAGATTTCTTACTAAATTTCATTATGTTGCTGCCACAAAATAAATCATTCATTGCTAGTACGCTAAGTGCCAAACTTTGATTTCCGGCAAGCAGGTCCTGACCTAGTAGTCCTCCCGCTGTATCTTCATGAGTTCCGAAATCATTAAAATCACATAATGCAGTCATTGCAGTGCCTCGCAGAGAACGTTATCGACCGTTTAATGGCGCCCTTAAATTAATTGCTATTCACGTTTACTTTCGGAGACCGTTCCAGTTATTCACTTAATTTGCTATCATTACTGAATGCCATAATGAATGCGGTTTCTATATGTAGGACGGTATCCTGACGATAATCGAAGAAAACAACCTGTACCGGCATTTCCTGGCCAGCCAGAAGCCTCCATTGCCCTACACAATGGCCCCTCGTCTTCCCCGTCCCCATCTCCTCACTGTTAAACTGAACCTTTGGCGCGGCATCAACAAACCCAACGAAACCGATGAAGACACCCTGGGCCGCATTGTCATCGTCTTCCGCACCGACATTGCCCCGCACGCCTGCCGCGTCATCCAGGACATCTGTTCCAAGAGCCGCGATACCATCCGCGTGCACTGGGGCCCGGCGCCCTCCGTTAACGAACTGGAATTTGACGGAAACTACGAGAGTGTGCGACCGCATCCGGCCATTCCCATTGAGAACTTCGTCTTGAAGCACGCCTATGCCGGCATCGTTTCACTGGAGTCGACCAGTTCCACGGGCGATGGGAAGGTGGATCCCACGCGTTGGTGGATCTGTAAGGGACCGGAGCCGGAAAAGGATGGACGGAATATGGTTGTGGGGAAGGTCACGGAGGGCCTGGAAATCCTGGATGTAGCGCAGGCGTGGATTTCGCGACCGGACGACGATGGGGTGTCCATTTGGATTGAAAGTATTGTTGTGGTGGATGATGAGGAGGAGGATACGGAGGACGAGGAAGATGTGCCGGATGAGCGTAGCGATCATTAGTCCAGACATATATCCAGCGGCACAAATAAATCAAAATTAATAATCTTTCATCAGCAATATGCCTTTCATTTCGGTCAGTATACTATTTTCCATCTCCCATTACTTTTTTTAACATAAAGAGCAAGCAGAGTTCCAAATTTTCATTAAATCCTTTCTGCAGAGTGATACTGTACTTAATCAAGTATAACTGCACAAGATTTTTAATCCGTTGGCTGAGCTCCGAATTTGTGAGTTGTGTTGTGCTCCAAGTAAAATGTACAAAACGATTTTACACCCGTCGTGCAAAACTAGTTAAAATCACTTCCAAACAAATCAAAATTTGCGCTTAGGTCAAACCCTTTCGGAGATCCATATTGCTGCTTTGCAACCAACTTGCACAAAATTTTTCAAAGTTTTATATGCAGGCGCTAACTCAGCATCATGTTTCAGTCCCGTGTCCAAATGCTCCAGTTCTTCATCACGAAACTTTTTCAAGGTCATTAAGAGATCCTTAAATTGGCCAGGATATTTTTCCATGATGTCGCGAATCTGGTTATTATAATGATTACCAATCGTTTCCTCCACGGCCACCGTACAGGCCATGGCCGCTTCGGGGCCCAGTAGAGCCGTTCCAGCTCCCAAAACAAAACCTGCCAAAAACGGTTTGCTAACAAGATTTGCGTGACTTCTGAGTTTTATATGTGAACGGTTGCTCCCGGTTGCTTAATAAACCGATTAAAGATATTTTTCCAAAGCCTTTTATTTACGGTTAGCATTTTGCAAGCAGTGGCAAAAATGTCAGACCTGACATCAGTCAGATACTCAGATGTACAATTTATTTATGGCATCAAATTTCAAAGAATTAAATTCCAAAATTTATTATCCAAGAATTTTCAAGTAAATCAGCACGGCAGTAATAACCCAAAAGGTGGTCAATGCTAGTTTAACATTATTTTAACAACTCAAAATCTGTAATATGTACTAATACCATAGTACCGTACTCGGCAATAGCCAATAAGTAGTGTTTTTATGAGATACGGACTATACGTGTCATAACGTATGTAGCATATCTCCTGCACCTGCAACATTCCAAAAGGGAAGCAAAGCTGTCGGCCTGGCACGGTGTTCGCGGATCAATCGTTCAAACGTCTCTCGGTGGTGGACCTCTTGCTCGCGCATTTCTTGAATAACGGGACCAACGGAAGTTCGCCCGAGGACTGCTAGTTGGCCAGCGTAAATCATATCAGCACCCACTTCTCCTGCATGATCCACTCGCAGCACGCGGTCCAGCAGAGGATTGTTTCGCGCGCTGGTATGCACTGCTCTTGACAGTCTTTGTATTAACATGATCAGAGCCTCGTGATTCGTGTATGATCTGCTCAACACCACATCAGGAAATCAACAGCAACGCACGCAGTCCATAGATATGAAACTGAAGAAGTTGAAGAACCCAAGCAAAACACGAAAGTAAAGACTGTAAAGTCGTAAAGACTTTCGTTTGTAATTACACAATCCGACGAGCGCCGTCTGAATTGAAATATATTAAATGCTGAGTCCGAACCCAAGTCCATACTGTGCCAAAACAAAGTTCATAAAAGTGCAAGTATTAAAAAATAATTAATCTAGTTATACAGTCAATCTAGGGTAGTGTTCTACCAATAGCTACACTCAATATGACATATCTATATTGAGTATGACATAATTATTGAATTTGTAAACAATGTAAAGATTTACTTACAGTATTTTTAAAATTTAATCGTAAAAAAATGTGAATTTCTTCCTTTAAATTGCACTTGGCGCTGGCCCTGTGAAAGCAGCTACCGCTCTCAGGATGGTGGTTTTGAGGCTTTTGAGAGATTTTCGGCACAATTTTATTGGTTCCCGCTTAACACGCACTAAGCAAAGTTGTAGTATAGTCACATATGTAGCGCTCTAGCTCGCCTTCTGAATTTTACAAAATATTGTGTTTGCAGTTTAAAATGAATTTGAAACCTGAGTGAAACACCTCTTGGAAATCAGAATGGTGAATTTATATTGACAGCTTGTTACCTTTATTAATTTAGTTGCTGGTCTTTGCTTTGCTTGTTGATCTTTGGTTGGTCACAATGCCGTCAGCCGTGCATTCCGAAACAGACGATGGCGCGAGCCATGTGAACGAGCAGGGACATGATGCAGGTTGGCTGTTAAAGTGCTGCAAGAACTCAGCATATATTTGTTAACATTCTTACGGTTCCCAGGACGAAACCTACGAAAATCCCGAAATCCAAAAGCTGCTGTTAAGGAATCTCGTTTGGATGAACTGCGTCGTTTGCGCGAAGAGGGCAAGAAAAAGAAGCACGAGGTTTGATCCTCCAGATTTGAATCATTGCTTACAGTTACTGAGTTACAGTACTTCCATAATTTGATGATGGTGAACTGAAGAGATGCTTTTGAAAATAAATATGGCAGGTGGAAGAAGCTAAGCCGGTTTACGACTACGTTACCGAGGAGGAGTACGAGAAGATCGTTCAGAAACGCCAAGAGGAGAACTGGATCGAGCTGAGCGCCACTGACGATGCGGATTACTACGACGATGGTCGAGAAATATTCGACGACGAAGAGGAAGATCGTAAACGTGGTAAGTAGCCACATGATTTGCATAAATATTTTGGGGATCTTCATTTGCCAGATTAATTGATGTGATTGTAAAATACAAATCAAAATTCTCTTCTTTTGTCATTTATACTGTATCATCTATGGTGTGTTGGTGCTTTTGTTTGTTATCGACTTAATCGAAGCCTTCTCTGATTTTCCCAGATAAGAAAAATAAAAACGATCGGAAAACGAAGAATGGAGCAAAAGAGGCCCGCGGCGAAGAAGAGCGACCAGATATTTGTTCACCGGATATCAGAAATTTCATGATCGCTGGACCGTCGGGAAAGCCCAAAAGCAAAGGCGTAAGTGAATTCACTTATTGTCAGGAATTAATTCTGGAGTAATGCAATTGCAGCGTCGTCAGGAACAGGGATGCGACAGTTTAATTTCTGTTACATCTTAGAGCTTATAACATAAATTTTTAAGTGCCAGCTTTGGCAGTCATTTTTATTCGCTAATAATGGGTTTAATTTCGTTATGTATTATTAATCGTTAACCTGAATGCCTTAGTGTGTTAGTCGTTATAGATGTTATAATCCGTAGTTGGCTCCGTTGACCAAAGGAAAGGAAATTCTCCTTGACGATTTGTTGGATGAGCTGCAAGGCTGCGTCCCGGAGCCTAAGCAGCCCAACCGTTTGCAGTTGTTCTATGGCGATAAGGCGCCTTCTTTTGCATTGGCAAGACTGCAGAAAAATCAGCAGAAGCCCAGTACGGATACCAACAAATCGCCCTTTCAGTTTAACCAACCTGATTCCGTTCAGAAAGACCAGAGTGATGCCAGTGTTTTGCCGCCTGATATGGGACTTGAACCGCAAAGCCCGGTATTATTCCCAACTTCCCAAGAGCATCCTACCGAAAGAACAAAGCGCCCTGTGTCGGAGAGTCCAAAAAAACCGGAAGAAACGGAAGTGGTGGCGCTCAAACCGAAGATCACGGCATTTGCAATGGATCGGCCGTTGAAGAACAGCAGCAACAATGGATCAGCAAAGAAAACCAAACCGAATACACCGGTGAAGAAACAGTCTTTTGAATCCGACTGGAGTGGGGATCTGGATTTTACGGAGGATTTGGAGATCAGTCTGAATCTGGCTGAAAACGTTGGGGCGGCAAGTGGACACACTGATAGTCATCAGTCAGAAAAATTAAATCGGTGTGTAAAATTGAAACAGAATTCGTTTGTTAGATCTTGTATTATTTATTGCATTTATTTAACATGACAGATCAGTTTGATTTCAGAAACTTAGGTTGATGGAATTTGTTGTGTTTCGTAGAATGCCGGTTTTGACGAAACAGTTTGAAGCGTCAAGGGATATTAATAGCGCACCACAAATGGTTGTGGATTTTGACGAATATTTACACGACGAAAATTCATCAGATGGAGCACGAAAATTCTACTGGCTGGATGCTTTTGAAGATGTCCATCATGAAGGTTTGAAATGCTTGAATACATCCACATCTCGGCTTTTTGGTCTTTTTTGTCATGTCCTCGTTTCTAGGCTGCGTTTTCTTGTTCGGTGTTTTTATGGACAAAATTAACTCCAGTGACGGCACCCATCGGAGTTGTGTAAAAATCGAAGGAATTCAGCGTCGGCTTTACTTTTGCTTACGCGAAGGGGTAAGTAAGATTTCGTTTTCTGTCAACGAAATTTGCAAAAGTTCCGACGGGTTTAGGCGGAGATCGCTGATTTGAAAGCTGAAGTTGCCGAAATTATGCGCTCCAAAGGCAAAACTGATAACTACCGAGAGAAGGAAGTGGATAAAAGTTATGCCTTTGACAAAGTCGAAATTCCTAGTAATGTTCGATGTCTGGAGGTTCGCTACTCGGTAAGTAAATGTTTTTCAATAGGTATAATAGTGAACACCCTGGAAAGCGCCTTTTGTCAGTTTAAAGATCCGATACTTCCGGAAAACATTGCTACCGAAAACATCAGCCATGTGTTCGGGCGCAACACTTCCGCTCTTGAAATCTTTTTATTGGATCGCAAATTGCGTGGGCCTTGCTGGCTGAATGTGAATGCTTTAAAGCCACAGCAGCATAAGATCAGCTTGTGCAAACATGAGTTTATTGTGGAGAAACCTTCGCTGGTTTCCATTATACCCGATACTAAGGATAAAGCTAAAGTCCCGGCACCTCTCGTTACCATAATGGCTCTGCAGCTGCGCGTGGTTGTCGATTCGAGGACCAAGCAAAACGAGGTAAATACATAGAAACCGATCGAAAATACGTAGTGAGTATAAATGTCCTTCCTCTGCCGTTTAAAAATCGAAAATTACAGATTGTGGCCGCCGCGTTATTGTGGCGGAAAGATTTCCCCTTGGATAATACAGTGAAAGGCGAGCTGTATTCTGACCATTTGATGCTGCTGGCTCCGACTGTGGACACTCCATTTCCTTGTAGTTTTAACGAAATGGAAAGCGTTGCGGACATCTGGAAACAAAGAAATGTAGGTTCCATGCGCAACTGCTGCCAATAGATATTTGCGTATTTCTGGCATACTTGCGGTAAGCATTGTGCTGTATTTCTGATTAGGCCTTGAAAGTTGAAGTTTGCCGGAATGAGCGCCAGTTGCTCAGTTCGGTGTTTACGCGCATGCAACAAATTGATCCAGATTTTTTAATATTCCACGATGCTTTGGGATACCAACTGGACGTTCTGCTACATCGTGCGACTCGACTGGGCGTTCCCAACTGGTCTCGATTAGGCAGACTCCAGCGTAAAGTCATGCCTCAAGTAAGTGGACATCTTTATTGCAGTGTTATATAGGAAGTGTAAAACCTGATTTACAATGCGTAAAAACACATGCAATATAGTATAGGTGGAAGTTTCGTGTGAAGCCGGTTCAAACTTTCAGTTTAGTTTAGCTTTGCGAATTTGTTCGTTACATGAGTAAAGGTGGGTATTAGTTATACGATTACCAACTACATAAACACTTTCAATAGGGCCGTCATGCCGTGCAAGCCGTAACAGCTGGCCGGTTGATAGTCGACATTCGACGTTCTGCAGAAGAGCTGATCCACTGCAAAAGTTATGACTTGAATGAACTGGTGTGGGAAGAACTGAAGGAAACCCGGAACGATCTGGACAGTGATTTAATAAAGGAAATGTACAGGTATGGTGGTTGATTTACGGGACACCGCCGATAAAGCACTTGTCTTCGTTCTGCCTATTTGGACTCTTTTAAATCTTGTTACAATTGTTAATCGCAGAGTTGAGAATTTTATGATTGCAGATCCCTTGATAACTTGAAACTGTTAGTGGATTTGACCCTTACCGATGTCCTTTACATCCTGCGCATCATGTGCAAACTGGACGCCATACCGCTGGCATTGCAGATAACCAAAATTGCCGGAAATATTCTTGTAAAGCAGTTCTATTATGTCTGTTCTCATGATTCCGCACCTATCCGTTGATATATTCCGAATTTGTAGTCGCGGACGTTTCTTGGTGGTCGGTCGGAGCGCAACGAATTTTTATTGCTCCATGCGTTTACGGAGAAAAATTTCATATGTCCGGACAAAGAGTGGAAAGCGCCGCCGAAGAAACAGTCAAAGAAAGGAAAAGAGCAGCAGAGTCAGTCGACAGAGGAAAAGGAAGTGAAAGAAGAACCCCACCGCGAAGACGAGGTAGAAGAACCAGAGACTGTTCATGCCGATGCACCAACGACGGGTGGAAAACGGAAACCGGCGTACGCAGGAGGTTTGGTACTGGAACCAAAGAAAGGTTAGCGCCATATAGACATCTAGTTAACAATATTTGTACGACTTTATTTTGATAGATAAATATATAGCGTTCAATTCGATTTTGCTACTAAAAAAAACGATTGTCTTTAGATTTTTCTAATCCTTATTACGCTAATGATAGTGTTTAAAGACCTTGCATTAATATTTTCAGGCTTACACGATCATTTCATCTTGTTGATGGATTTCAACAGTCTGTATCCGTCGATCATTCAAGAGTATAACATCTGTTTCACAACCGTGGACCGTGCTATTTTGTCCGAGGAGAATGCGGATGTTATTCCAGAATTACCTGATAAGCCCGGCAAAGAAGAGAACAGTAACCGGGGAGTTCTGCCAGCCGAAATCTACCGTTTAGTGGAAGACCGGAAAGCTGTTAAAAGCCAAATCAAATCGGAGACCGAAAAGAATCCGCAGTCCGATCGTTTGAAACAAGTTAGTTTACCTCGATGTGAAGGGAGCTGTAAAATTAGGGGGTAAAACGTTGTTTTTTGCAGTTGGAGATTCGTCAGAAAGCGCTGAAACTAACCGCGAACAGCATGTACGGTTGCCTCGGATTCGCCAGTTCGCGATTCTTTGCACGCCCACTAGCTGCACTCATTACCTCCCAAGGCCGCGAAGTAATAATGACTTACAGCTGGATATTAAAACCATATGATGCTTTGAAATAATAAGTTAGCATTTAATAATTGATAGATCTTGAAAAATACCAAAGAACTAGTGGAGAAACAAGGGTTGGAGGTCATCTATGGTGATACGGATTCCATTATGATTAATACCCATTTGGACGAATACGATAAGGTTCTGGAAAAAGGCAATGAGGTTGGCGAAAAATGTAAACAGTGTGTTTCTGCTGTCCTGTTAAAGGAAAGCATAAATCAAGTAGCTCATAAACCAACCTATCAACTACATACGAGTAGCATGTTTCTTTGATTAGTGCGACTGAAGAAATGTATATCGGACCGTGTATTATAAAGTGTTACGGCTTATCAATTTCTCACTACTGTATCCGGCGGGCCCAACATACTTTTTCAGAATGCTTTTTGAAATTCAGCGTTACAGAATCTTGTGAAAAATCTCCTATTTATTTTTGATAGATAAATATATATTATTATATTTTATCCGAAAAATAATACATTAAACGATATTTTTCACCCATGCTTAAATTTTGGCACACCAGGATTGATTGTCCGGGAAATTGATCATAGAGCATCTGAGGCGAAGCCGATGTTAATTACTCTTGCTACAACTGAAATAATTACTGTAGTGTGGTGAATGATGTGCCATGCCACAGGTTAAGCATAAGGTTGGCCGGCAGTATAAATGCCTGGAACTGGGAATCGACGGGATCTTTCGCAAGCTGCTTCTGCTGCAAAAAAAGAAGTATGCTGCTCTGGTGGTCAAGAGGGAGAAAAATACGCTGAAATATGATCGCGAACTGAAAGGTCTCGATATTGTAAGACGTGACTGGAGTGAATTGGCCCGCAAGGCTGGCAGGTAAGTAAATCACTGACGAGTTGTGACGGCGTCTTTCGCGCACTACATCGGAGCTAAATTTTTAAAAATTAAATTAAGTTGAAGTCTGGTTGATTGAAACCTTCGTTTTTACAGTGAGGTTGTGGAGCAGATCCTTGCTATCCAAGATATGCCAACGATGTTGGGAGAGATTCAGGCCATCCTGCAAAAATACAACACCAGAGTCACCAATTTTCAAATGACTGATGTGGAGTTATATGTTATTACAAAGGTGAGTCCTGTAGATCGCATCAACTAAGGGTTATCATTCCTTCAGATGCAGCATTTCAACGCAAAATTTTCTTAAGCGCACCATTCCTCAGCACTCAGACGCTACGTCCAAATGTAAAATTACAAGAAATCGAAAGGTTAATTCATGGAAAACTGACGAAAGTGATGTGATTAATGGTTTATTTACAGCAACTAACGAAGGATCCGTTGAAATATGCCGATTCGAAAGGTCAGCCCCACGTGCAAGTAGCCGTTCGCTGGAACGAATCCGGGCGCAATGCAAAGAAGCTGGGCGCCGGTGACGTGGTGCCCTTTGTCATCTGCAACGAGCCACCACCCAAAGTGGCGGCGGTCGCTTCGGGTCAGAAGATCCCGCACACACAGCGCGCCTATCATGTGGAAGAGCTTTTGGCCAGCAATGGTGCGCTGACTATCGACAAGCAATATTATTTGGCTGAGCAGGTGCACAAGGTGGTCAACCGCTTGTGTGAGTTCGTGGAAGGCCTGGATTCCGCGACTATCGCGCAATTGTTGGGTGTAGATAGGAGTCAGTTCCCGCAGTTCTTTGTCGTACGCGTCGACGAGGATGATGCAGCTGGCGCTGTACCGGATAGTGAACTGTACCGGAACTGCCAGCCGTTGCAGATTCTGTGTCCGAAGTGTAGCGAACGATGGGAAATGGCCGAACCTGTTTATGAAAAGGTTAGTCGTTTTTCCGATATATATTAATTAGTAACATGAATTCTGATCTTACCCAATACGTGTGCATAAAAATTCCTTACGCTTCTTTTCCACAATACACTGTGGTAACTGTAAGCAAAATGGATACTGTATTATCCGCGAGGCGTATTGCGCCTGTCGCAAAATTGCTGCGGTAAAGAATTTCAGATTGGACTTGTCTTTGTGCTTATAGGACGGTCAGTTTTTTCTCAGCCTGGCAAAATGTTCAGCCTGTGACGTTGTTCCCATGAACTATATTTTGCGTATTCGAAACCTACTTACGCTGGAGATTAACCGGAATATCCAGCGGTATTATGAGGTGAGGCCACACCAGCGCATAGTAAATTCAATAAACTGTTTCTTTAAAAATTTTATACATTTAAATTTAAAATTTATATTAGCGATATGTAAGCTACTCTTTTTTGTTATTCGGGTGACATTCGCCTGTCAAAGTTACCAGTATATTGGTGGCTTGTCCGGGTCGATTGCACCCCAGGCCCGTCTTTAAGGGAGGGGGGGGCCTTCGGGAGCGAAAATTTTTGAAAAAGTATTTTTTTGCGTCCGGAGCTGGCGCAGACGCGAGCAAATGGGATTGGCGCAGGGGGCGCACCGAAATTTTTGAAGGAAATCGTAGAAAAGTGGCTCAAAAAAGCCACTTTTCTACGGTTTTTCTCGAATTTTCGGCCATTTTCCAACTGGCGCGAAGTCATTGCGTACCCCCTTCAAAAAACTAAAGACGGTCATGAATGCACCACATCCTTTCGGAATTCCTAAGTACAGAGAACATTTACCGGTTATTGCAGATGCAGTTACAAAGGATTTGTTTTAGGTTAACTTTGTTTGCGAAGATGCCGATTGTCACTTTATGTGTAATTTCATGCCGCCAAAGTTCCATCGTAGTCGGCCAATATGTCCAGTATGCAATAAGTCCGGAATGAAAGCCGACTTCACCGAGAGGGATTTGTATTTACAACTGGGTTATTGGAGAAATGCTTTTGATCCGTCTCGGACAATCGAAAAGATAAAAAATCAGGCCGTAAAAGGTATGGTAAAAGGTAGCAGTTTGTTTTTTGGCCTTTCTGTTTGTGGATAATCAACTACAACAAATGCCCCTTTCTTAATCGTTAATAAGGGGCATTTCTACAACGACCGTAATGATATACCAGTACCACAATTCTCTCTGAAAAGGTCTCGCTTTGTTTACTGTTTCATAGTCACTGTTGTGGTAAGGAATCGCTTTTGTATAATGTTCGCTTTTTTTCGAAATTGCAGATAAGTTGAAGAACGATTTACTGAAATTCAACGCGGGGCAGTTAGCAAAGATATACGATGATCTTGCCGGCGTCATCAAGATGTATATGGATCGGAGTGCTTATGCAGAAGTCAGATTTGATACGTTTTTCTTAAGAAATGAATTTACTAAACTGAATCTGGGCCAGCGTTTCAAGGACATTTGAATTCTGAAATTTTTGAAGTTTAAATTTTTTTCGCTTTGTGTAAAACATTGAGAACATATTACTGATTTATTGTGCATATATCCGTGTAATCGGAAGCGAGACTTTTCGCGTTTCTATCCTTTTTTCAAGTATTTTTTCTTTCTCGTGTGATTTTGACTATGTATAGGCTGTTTTGAATTAAGTACTGAAACTTGAAAACGGCAACGACAGCATTTGCTCACTGTTAACTGCTTTCGATTAAAACTGTAGGAAACAATGATTTCCAGAAGCTAGACTTGCTACGCATAGTATTACAAGTAGAAGAATCCAAAGTTATAATCCAAGGTAAACTGCTGACAGTAGGATATTGTGGTACAAGAGCAAAGCGATCAACACTGCAAACATTCCTATCACAAATGCAGAACGAACTACTGATAAAAACAAGAATAATGCACTAAGCCACTTCTTCCCTTTCCGGTTCGTTCAGATCATCCAGAAAGGTTTCCTGACTGACGGCCCACATGGAGTAGCCGTAGATGGCCAGGACAGTGCAGGCTATCGCCCCTCCGACCAGGATATTCGCTCGCAGCAGCTGCTTGCGTGCCAGAACCCGTTCGCGGTTCCAGTTTTCGGCCTTCTTCATGAAATCCTTCTGCACTTGCGTCGCGCTCACTTCCTGTCGCACTGACGTCGGCACAGCCATCAGCAACCTTCTATTCGTTAAACAAGAATGCTGTCATCCTGTTCTTTCCAATGGCAATATCGTGTTTTAACATACTCCATTCAGTCATTATTCTATTATTTTCAGGCAAGTTCTCAAACAGAAACGAAATCTTCGCCATGAAAGTTCAAAGAAAAAGTAAGTAACTTGTAATTTGTACTATACAGTAAATACAGTACTATTCGTACTCGCCTGAACAACCACATCCTGTGATTCGATATAGATCCAAGAATTTGTTGCACCGTGTGTATCTCGCAAGTCGCAACAATACTTAAACACAAGGGCAGACTAACGTCTCACAATATCCCAAGGAGGAAAACAACGGATAATATTGAAAGCGCTAATTAAGTGTGTAATTCTGGAAAACTAGAAAACCCGATGTGTGCAGACCAGCAGTGGCTGTCTGGCTATAAAGTTGCTGCAGAATTGAACGGAGCGGACTAACTATTCTCCAGAAGGACAAGAATTAATAACCAATCTAAAATCTCAAATCAAAAGCTTGGAAAGCTTAAAAATTGCAGAAGATTAGAAATAAAAATTGAGCTTCCTGGCTTCCAAGTCTTACCGGAAAACTTCTGATTTCATTTAAGTTTCCATTCGGTAGTCTTCCTCCGCGAGCGGTATGGGTACCTCTTCAAAAACAGAAGACGCTGCGCTTCCAGCTTGCTGTTTACGTTTTTGCTGGTCATAGTTTTTCGGATTTTATATTTTCATTTGTTGCCAGTGGGGATTCCCATCAAAATTCAGATCAAGAGTTTTTAACCTCCGTAAGCAGATTCAATTTATAAGTAGTTCAATCACAATTAATAACGTTATCTCTTTAATATTTCCAGTCCGCAGCTTCAAAACCAGAAATGAGGTCCTACGACGAGGAATTACAGTACATTGACAAGATCTCAGCGTGTTCTTGGCGTATCAAGAAGGGATTCGTTCCCAACATGAACGTAAGACTCGACAACTCCGAAACACCTACCCTGGTGTCATGATTCATCCATGTTTTCCAGGTGGAGGGCATCTTCTACGTGAACGAGCATCTGGAGAAGCTCATGTTCGAGGAGTTGCGCATGTCGGTGGGTTCCCGGGGCGGCGGTGTGGGGGGATTTCTGCCCGGAGTGAAACAGATCGCCAATGTGGCGGCGCTGCCCGGCATTGTGGGGCGTTCGGTGGGGCTGCCGGACATCCACTCGGGATACGGATTCGCCATCGGGAATATGGCGGCGTTCGATAGCAGTGATCCGCTGGCGGTGGTGTCGCCGGGCGGAGTGGGATTCGATATTAACTGCGGTGTGCGTCTGCTGCGCACCAATCTGGACGAGAAGGATGTGGCGCCGGTCAAGGAACAGTTGGCGCAGAGCTTGTTCGACCATATTCCCGTGGGAGTGGGTTCCAAGGGGGTCATTCCAATGAACGCCAAGTTAGTGAGAAATTTTGGCTGACGAGATTTTGTTACAACAAATAATGACGTTCGTGATTTCGTGGAAAATTATGGTTAAAAAATGCTATATCACCTTATGAAATACCTACCTCGTATTATCTTTTTACAAGAGTCATTTTCGGCTTCGCCTCATATGTTCATGTGGTCTACAATCATTTCCCTGAAATACAGTTCTTGTAATCCGAAATTATACAGTGCGCTGTTTTAATTATTTGCGCCTTAATTATAGTGGTAGTATAACATTTCTTATCTTTTGCAATTATCGTGGGCTTTCTGAGTGTTTTACTTTATTTATACCAAATATTTTTCACAATATTTTTGCTGGTGTAACTACTAACTACTAGCAGCAATGGAATTTTTATGAGGTAATTTTATCTTATGCTTGTGCAGAGGCAGCAGAACATTGCAGTTGTATATACAGATAGCTTGGTAGCATTAAAGCGGAAATGAGCATGAATTGCCCTCGATCGGAAGCGTATATTGTGTTCTAGAGATTTGGAAGAAGCCCTGGAAATGGGCATGGATTGGTCATTACGTGAGGGTTACGCGTGGGCGGAAGACAAGGAGCACTGCGAGGAATATGGACGCATGCTGCAAGCGGATCCCAGCAAGGTGTCTTTACGTGCCAAGAAACGAGGCCTCCCACAGTTGGGCACACTGGGAGCCGGCAATCACTACGCGGAAATCCAAGTAGTCGATGAAATCTACGATGACCACAGCGCCCGAGTCATGGGCGTCGATCACAAGGGACAAGTTTTGGTTATGATCCACAGCGGAAGTCGCGGTCTGGGACATCAGGTAAGATTTCGCATTCGCTGTATTTATACGATTACAGCACAACGATGCGAATTGTAAACCTCAACGCAACTATCTACGATCACTTTTCTTAAAAGAGGTGTTAAGAAATGTGCTAAAGGGATAAGCGAATGAATATTTCGATTGCTACAAATCACTGATGTGACAGTCGTTTTCTGTGAGTCGACTAATTACTAATTTACTATCAAAGCAACGAAAATGGTCCGTCAAATCAATAGTGCTCGTAGTGTTGCTGTGTTGGTTTTAATATGAAGAATTCCAGAATACTGCTTTTGGGTAACGCTGTAAATAGGCACGCGTGTTGCTGATGGTAAATGGCATTGTTTTGTACTTACTATCATTATAATTTATAGGTAGCCACAGACGCTTTAGTACAAATGGAGAAAGCCATGAAACGTGATCAAATAGAGGTGAATGATCGCCAACTAGCCTGCGCCCGTATCAGTTCTCCGGAAGGACAGGATTACCTGAAAGGAATGGCAGCGGCTGCCAATTTCGCTTGGGTCAATCGCAGCAGTATGACCTTCCTTACTCGCCAGGTATGTTTGATTGTACATTTGAACTATTGGGCCTTTGGGCGCGATTGTGAGACCGACATAACTTTTCCAGGCATTCGCCAAGCAGTTCAAAACTGCTCCCGACGATCTGGACATGCATGTGATCTACGATGTCTCCCACAACATCGCCAAATTTGAAGAACATGTTGTGAACGGCAGCCAGCGCACACTACTCGTGCACCGTAAAGGAGCCACGCGTGCCTTTCCGCCGCATCATCCGCTCATTCCCGTGGATTATCAGCTAACCGGCCAGCCCGTGCTGATTGGAGGCACGATGGGAACATGTAGCTATGTCTTGACGGGAACGGAACAAGGCATGATTGAGACCTTTGGATCAACGTGCCACGGTGCTGGCCGGGCGTTGTCCCGAGCGAAATCGCGGCGGAATCTGGATTATACTGACGTACTGGCCCAGCTCCAGCAGAAGGGAATCTCCATACGCGTGGCGTCACCCAAACTGGTCATGGAAGAGGCACCTGAGTCCTACAAGAATGTGACAGATGTTGTGGATACTTGTCACATGGCTGGCATTAGCAAAAAATGTATGAAACTCCGTCCGATTGCTGTGATTAAAGGCTAGTCGATCGAACATGTGAACTGTAATCAACGGTTTATGGCGTCACCCGAATCTGATTTACCGGTTTCGTTTTAGTAGTTCTCTTTTTGTCTTCCTAATTCTTTTGCAGTCCATTGGAGTATTTATCAGTTTTCGCAAGTTTGTACTTTTTTCTGCGGTGTGTTCTGCACAGGCAAATAGTTCACTGTTGAATAAATTTAATAATATGGATGCAAATTCATAGTTGTCATATTTATTTATCGATATTATTATGGAAATATCTATAACGCACCGTACAAACTTGGAAATTTATGGACCCGAACATAATAATTATAGTAGGCAGCCAGCTTGACTAAAACGCATACAGCAGATCGACAAACTACCAAAACAGAATATTGACAAAAGCGCAGCATACAACTAAAAACGAATCTATCTTTATCTTTCGTTAGCCGCGCGAAAATTCAAACGTAAATACAAGCACTCTACAGCGGAAGTGGAACAAAAAATCCTGATAACCCATTACAACCCGTTCGTGGTCGCCTATAATCTCAAAGACAGGAAAGGAACGAGACCACATTTTATTCAGCAAAAACCGAGCTATCACGTGTGTAGTTGTACCATGGTTGGGACTTGGGAGGCACTGTACTCATTCGGGGCGCTTCTCCGCATTCTTCTTAGTGAACTCTTCGGCATTTTTCATGAACTTCTTTCGGTCCTTAGTGTATTCTTCAGCTAATTCTGCACGCAGGGGATGTTCTGGCTCCGGTTCGGCAATGAGATCCAAAAGCGACTGGATGACTGCAGAATACAAGACAGTACTAGTTACTACTACTAGTATCGTAAATATAAGTACATAATAAACTTACTGCAACGGCAAACCGTAGGAAAGAGAGAATTTTTCAAAGGCATTTGTTCCATGCATTAATTTGATTATAAACTAACACCTCATCCATATACATATTATAACACAAACACACAAACAAATAATATTCGTAAAAATTCGTCACAATTTAATAAAAATCTGTGGATGTACAAACACAATTAACCTCGTAAACTCGTTTCAATTAGAAATTCTTTTCTTGTTTTTAGCATAAATATTTGAAGATCCCTAGGAAAATGATGACATTCATACAGAATAAAGCCATAAAAGGCAAAAACAACCCATACATTTCAACAAAAAATGCAGCCACATGAATTGCATTGCATGTGATGTTATCGATGAATGAATAATAATATCAGACTAGGCGGAAAACATTGGTGCAACTGCAAACGTTTACGCTCTTCACGGTGGCTCACACCTAGAGGATGAATGGATGATGTCACACGCTTTGTACTGTCATTCAAGCGATGTCACTTTCAGTTCGGTCGCGAATTAAAACAACGCACGCGGCAGACGAAGATGGAAATTCACATGAACTCACAAAATTTACTTACTTACCGAAATATCAACGTTACAAAAGTAAAGAATACCGTAACGTCCCACAACAGTGGTAAAATTTTGTAAAAATACGAAAACTAACGCAAGAACTACGAAATCTCATCTGATTATCGTGGTCTGCTCACAGCAGTCTTCTCGTGAGTACTCGCACTGGACTGGGGCCGTAAAAACAAACGTTGCTCTTTTTTATCGTTAGAATAACTATAAGAGAGATTCAGTTCTGTTGTTGACTGCATAATACGAGAAGTGATACAAGGACAAATGCTGCTCCATGGTAGCCAGCGGCTGCGGAGCATATGACGAAACCAACCTTCCGAGTGTCCTTACGACGAATCATACCTTGTTCAGTTTTGGTAGCAGGCTTCCAGTTTTCAGCCTGAATAATGGGCAGACAGACGAGGCCCTTTTCATCGATATTGGGATGATAAATCTTCGTGCGGAAATTGATCTTGGGAGGCTTGAACGGATACTCCGCTGGGAAATTTATCTCAATGCGGAAGGCCCCCTTATTGTACGGCGGATTCTCCTGCACGAAACCACAAACATTCATAAACCCACAATGAATACGGTGAAATTCAAATTTTCCAGACACAAGTTGGCAAACTTGCAGACTTGTCAGTTCACGATGTAAAGGCTAATAAAGCATGTCTGAACACGTACAGGAACCAGAAGGCCCTGCCATTGAAGGATATTCGATTCATCCACTTTAATGTCTCTGAAGTACTTGGAATTAGAGCTCTGAAGGTCCTGAAGTTCCTATAATGAAAATTGCTCAGATTATCACCGGTCAGTCACGGCCGTGAAGGATGAATTAGTCACGCATACTTTAGTGAGGCGTCGTGTGGCTGCCATGGTTCTCCAGCACTGAAATTCAAATAAACAGTCCCCAGGAAACCAAATCTTATAAGGAACACTAAGAAACCAATTGCTGCTAGATATCCCAATTGAAAAATGAAAATAACTAACTTCGACAAAAATAATCACAAAAATTACCCCTACTGATCAGCAGTAAGATTTTATTCCCAAAAATTCGCCTTCACAGTTTTGAGGAGTCTCACCAGTCAGTCAGTTTGCCTTGCTTGCATATGTTTGTAAGCTGAACGGGTTGCTATTGTACACATATGATGAGCTAAATGGGACATAATACACTGTATAATTATAAACTATAAAGTGTAGTGCACTGCAGTCTGTAGATTGTGCATGCGCAATGGAAGATGTTTACTTTCGTAGTAACTAGTAAGAGAACAGTACCAGTATTCGTTTCAAAATTTCACATCATCAAATTTTTGGTACTCCACATGCGAGCGATTTTAAAGAGCATATGTTTTGCCCAGGAAATATAGTATATTTACGGACTTGCACCAAATGCTTCTTTGATAAACTATGAAGTAAAAGAGATGAGGTTATTATCGTTAGGTATTGTATACCGTACTTGTATATCGCCGTTAACTCTTAACATATACGGACTGTATACAGATATGAATTTCCTGTAGTATACTCACTCCAGTTTATAACAAAATGCGATGCGGATTCGTTTCTAAAATAAAACAGGACCATAAAGCAGAAACAACACAAATTCGAACTGAACCTATTTAGTATCTACACACAAGAACCATCAAATCAGACAGGCTTTGGTTGGTTTTGATTTGTCATCATTTTTGCCCGTTTGGCAAGCGATTCCGCGCTCAATTCTGGATACGTAAGTTTGTCGTGGACCTCTTCCGTAGCCGATCGGTAATACGCCCGGGCTTCCGTCCGCGTATGGTACGGTTCATAAGGATCATCAATGAAATAATAAGGCATTCGATATTCCCGCCGGACCATCCGGTCAAACTTTTGTGAGTTTCTTTTCGTAACGAAATAATGCATGTCCTTATTGTAGCGACCCTGGGCGTTCATCTTCCACATGGCTTTATGGGCGGCCGGGAAGCGGCGCAGCCAACCACCCCAATGAAGGCGGAAATAGCGCTTGGGGATTTCCTGGTCGGTCTGCTTCTCACCGTCCACCGCGTCGCAGTGCACAAACGGTCGACAAGGCACGAGTGAGATGGCGCCGGGGTGGGTCAACAACAGCCTATCGGAAAAAAACGCTGCATTTTATAAGGGTGAACTTGTGGTGTCATTTCGATAAGGTATAACCGTACAACCCAAACAGAGTTACAATGGTCTTATAAACCCAACAACAATAACAAATCCATTACTTACGGTGATAGAGTGACTTATCAGGCTCTTCCATAATCGGCCTTCGTCATTTTTTCGAAAATGTGTACGTGCCTGTCGTCAGGTTTTATCATTTTGATGTCCGCAAGTTCATTCGTAAGTACCATTACGGCATTACCAATAATATGCTAAAAACTCTATTCTTAAAGTTAACAAACTTAACACATCGTTTTAGTAAATAAAATTACTTCATTGCACTTTTAGAGATATGGACATTTGTACATATTAGTATACAGGATGCAGTTTTTAATACCGGAAGCCGGAACTACATGTATACTCGGTGTGCGTTGATTGCGTTCATACCTGCACTCACTATCAATAAAATTTGGAGACAAATTACGAATTCACTATCAATAAAGTTTGGTAACAATTTACGAATCCAAGAACCCGTACAGGCAATTAAACAAACCACAAAAAAGCTGATTGTAAGCGAACGAAAAGAAACGGATTAATCTATCATTAGTTTTAACTTTCACGCAGACGAGTACAGAATGAACCAAAAATATACATTCACCGACGGATCAACAACTCCAAGTGGAGTGGAACACAACAATGTTTTCCGTTTTGAACTAACCTGTTTCCCGCCCCATCTAGAGAGCGTCCTAAATTCATGGGATTTCCAAAACTGCGGGAGACACTTGAATGAATCCAGGAGCACTGCGAGAACAGCTTGGAGCGCATGACCGACTCAACGGAGTTAGAGTGTCGCCAGTGGCCGTGCAGCACTAAATAGCAAAAAACTCAATTTAGATTGCACCAGCAACTTGATTATTATCAGACAGAAACCTTGCATATCCATAAAGCACAAAGATGTATGGAGCGAAAATGAAGTTATTTTTACGGTTTTCTGTACTGAATGTACCCGTATTTTAAGGTAACTGTTTTTCGAACTCGAGTTACCAGACAGTCAAAGTCCAGACTTACGTCGATTGCAGGTTTTCCACATTGTCCACGATGGCAAACTGCACCGATCTGCAATAGTACTAGTAACACGACAGCGGCTTCCAGAATTATTACTCAGATCTCGAATAACGTTGATGAAAAGGAAAAAAAGCGAGAAAACTGTACCGTATATGAATTTGATCGGTATGATTATACCATGTGCGTGCTTTGGCATACCAAAAATTTTCAAAAATTCTACATTCTTATCATTATGGAACTGATGGAGCGTGTTCGTGGCTTCGTGCAGTGTTCAGCCTAGTGTAGCGCGCAACCACCACGAGCGACCATAAGCACGGTCCGTGGCCTGGGCCGATTTTGAATGTTTGTTTATGCATCACAAAGATTTTTTGAAGTTTAAACAACAGACAACGAATCGATAATGTTAATCACCTATAAATGACGTGCTAATACTTGCTTTTTCTCTGCACTGTCTGAAGCCGCCTTTTCGATCTGATACAGAAAAAATGAAACCATAATCAACATTAACATTCGTAATTCTGTCCCTTGCAATGATACTGCCGGGTGTCCGATTAAGAATCCAGATCAATGCGTAATAATTGTTATGATTGAAACCCTTCTGCAAGTTCAGGAGTCTGATACGGTAACATTGACACCCCGTCAAAGAGAGCATAGTGCTTACCGACATGAGAAGTACCGCCGTAAAGAATCGGTGACAAAATTTAGCGATTAGAGTGCGGTCAATTGTGGTGTTGCGTACCGCCGCACCTGGAGAGCACAGCACACTATGCTAAATCGTCTACTTCTGTAAACAGCATAAAAACATTCAAAATAATTCTTTAATGATACTGATAAATACGTTTGGAATGTTCAGATAATTAATATTTGACTTGTTGTCAAAAAAGTCAAACTCAAGTACGATTACCCAACCAAGCTGGAAAATACAAGTACAGATTAGAGAAAGTTTGGGAAAGTCATCAACGTTCAAAATTATAGTCTAACCATAAGAATATCGTTGTCGGTCGTGTATACACCAATATTCAATTAAAAAGTTTTTAACAAAACACTATGCCAGCTTAACCCATCAGACCACCGGCACCAGGAAACCGAAGTGAAATTCTATACAAGATCTGCCCGACAGTACAGCTAGAAGTAGAGCCACTGCCGTGTTAAATTTACAAAACAAAATTAAAGAATGCTATGATTACTTACAGCCTTATACTGTACACAACTTATTTTCTATTGAATTTACATAAACCGTATATAATTTGTACAACATGGGACAATTTCCAGTTCCTCGGACATCCATCGGACACTCGAATTACCGTTCCTTCACGCTCATAGAAAACTCTTTTGTCCATGACCTTTCGCTGGATGACGCAGGAGGTCGGCCTGTAAGGGCATCGATCACACAAACTCAGCAAGGCGCTGACGGAAGATACGAATAAAGGGGAAGTAGTAAAGTACAGAGAGCGCCGAAAGACTGGTCAAACAGTCTATCTTACTCATCATCAACGGGAAAAGGCAGCGGTTTGTGACTTTTAACATGAGTCGTACCATTGAGGAAGAGCTTAGATTCAATGAAGCGGATAACGGAGTCAGCCTTCTTTTCCACACTCAGTTCTTCTTGCGTCTCGTCCATCACTGACGCGTGACCTCGAGAAAGTGTACCATCGCGGTTAAAGTACTCTTCGTGCGCTTCAAACAAGCGCGTCTCGTACTCCAGATCCAGAACGTTCGCGTTTTCATCCAGACCGTCTCCACCATCAGCTGACAGCGCGCAGCGGGCCAGTCGTCGCTTACGGCAGATCTCAGGCGGTGTGCGCAGATAAATCATAGCATCCATTTTCTTCAAATGACCAGAGCGGATACCGGCGTCACAATGGTCCTGGATAATCTGCAGATCACGCGCACTCGTGTATCCCATTTTAGAATTAACCACGGAGAAAATGTGTGCAGCCGACACAGGCGACCTTTCGTAGATGTGGATTTCACCGGGAGGTTCACTGCCATACAGCTCCGCATAACTATCAATCACCACTTTTTGCAGTTCGCGCGAGTTTTTGCTATCAAACTTGTTATCGTAAAACTGTTTCAGATAATCGATTCCATCGGGTCCCCAGCAACCCCAGCGTTCTATCGGCTCTTCATGGATGCTCCAGATAGGCCGCAATTCCCGTATTCGATGCAAGAGGCTTGTCTTTCCAGCTCCGATGCCCCCCTCCAGGGCAAATCGATAAACACGAGCACTGGCCAAATCCATTTCGAAATGCATCGGCTTTTTAAACACTCATAACAGCTGCGCAGTAATAATTGCTAAGAATTATATTGTCCAGTATCAAATTGACAATTATCATGAAATTGAGCAACTCTGTTAAAACGTATAACCAAAACGAATAAACCTTTTTTGTGAGCAAATAAGCAAGTATTGTTTTTATTAAATTTTAAAAGTGCTAATTCATCTGCCTTTCGTAGCCCAACCAGCCAACCCGAAATGCACCCGCATACTACAGTGGTATTTAAAGCTCTAGTTCAAGTATAGTACAGTGATTACTACTGTACGAGTACTCGTACTTGTACTAGCGCACTTTTAGCTATCGGGAGTATTTAGGACTACTTTTTAATATTGGAGTGTAGTACTGTACTTACGGACTTCCTAAAGTGTTCGATACTTCTATTGGTTTTTAGTATAATTTTACCACAGACTACGTATACAGAGCCTGACCGTGAGTGCACTGGCTTGCAATTGGATTCTGCTGTTTCGTTTTTGGCGGATTTCGGATTTTAGATTTATTTTGCCGGGAATTTTCTTTTAGTGATTTCTATAGTAGAACTTCCAGTAGACGATATAATAATGCATTTATAGGATATTACTAGTCAATAACACTCGCGTTTCCACCACGTTACATTTTGACGGTAGCTGACCGATATGTTCCTTTCGCACCGGTCAGCTGTTGTTAATCCAATGTTGACGTTGCCGCGATAAGGTGCATAATGATTTGTCGTTTATGGGTTATGGTACCGCAGCTACCGCGGTGTGAAGTTATGAATGCATCAATTCCGGCACGAATTCCGGCACGATGCTCGACAGCATCAATTTTATTGTTCGTAGCGGACAATAACGCAAATACAGTACATCTATTTTATTAGCAGCATCATGTACTGACAGTACTGTAACAACATCATTAAATTTTTGTTAGCAGTCGCAGTATGTAACCCCTTGCACTTGTGTAGATTAATTTAAAGACTTTGATAAGACTTACTGGCTACTGCAAAAACATACTTCATTACAACTCTCTAATCTGTTATGCAGTAGCGCGCAGTACTGTACAATCAGCGTGAACATGTTGGTCAATGTTGGTCCTTTGTGTTGTGAACGTGTTGGTCACTCTGAGTGAACATGTTGGTCACTCTGAGTTCAGGCTGCGAGTGCACGGCCCGCAAGGCCTGTGTGCGAAGTGCTTGGCTGAGGCAGCAATACCACCACGGAGACGGGCACGGGAGATGGAGGATCACAATACCACCCTGGCTACTCAGTAACGGCTTGGACTGAAAGGCCTGTGATGTCCGCAGTACCAATCGTGCCAAATGGAAGGAGACAGGGAGATCAGTCGAAGCAGAGGATTGGCGCCTTCCCTAGAGATGTGCTTGCTGTCTACCTGTTTAGAATTCTCTTAGTCTGGTTCTGTTGAACGTCTTGCTCTGCCCGAGCCGGTTAGCGCCATTGCGCGTTAAAATAAAGCTGGCGCTCGCGTTTGCGAGCTGCTGCATACGATCTGTCTGTTGCAGTGTTATAGCCTCCATTGTAACTCTGCGTGAATGAATTACCGTACTTTGCACAAAATGTTCTGTCTGTCACCTGATTAATGCATTGCTGAACATGTAAACCGAGCCGTTTTCGAAACAACTAGCCGCATAAAGCAATCGCAAAGTACCGGCTGTGTTTTTTTTTTTTGCAAAATAGTAAAACTGCTTATTGTACATTCACTTGTTTGTCATAAATGCGGTATACGTTAGTGCTAGATTACATCTGTCCATTAAATTACTATCGCGATCTGGATGCTGCTACTCTGTATATGAGCGAAATCACTTCTTGACCATTTCTCAATCAGCCAACTGTCAAATCAATGAAAAATAAAAAATAAGAACACCATCAGAGCTTGAGCAAAAAACACCCTAAGATTTATCTAACGACAATAATTATACCCAGCTCTGACACACTATAAAATCCCAAACGTAATAGGTAACGATCCGTACAACCCATTCAAATTTGGAAAAGCCCTAACACCGTATCATGAATTTAAAAACAAAACAGCGCAGTTATCTATTACCCAGCTAATTACATTTTGTTGCATAAACTGTACAGCATAAGGAATGCATTTCCAGTCCATCAGGGACTCAGGTTACCGTTCCTTCGTGTTCGCGCAATAATTTCTCATCCATGACCTTTAGCTGGGTGACATGTGGTCAGTCTGCAACGGCATCCATCACACGTACAAACTCATACAAGGCGCTGACGGAAGTTATTTCAGCGAATATTAAAAGGAATTGTAAAGCACAGAGAGTCGTGAAGGACTGTCCACACAGTCCTTCTTACTCGTCATCAACGGGAAAAGGCAGCGGCCTGCGACTTTTCAAACAAGTCGTACCGTTTAAGAAGCGCTTCGATTCGATAAACGAAATGATGGATTCAACCTTTTCTTCCACACTCATTTCGCCGTAGGTCTCATCGATAACCAATGTGTTACCGCGAGGAAATCGACCATCTGGGTTGAAGTAGGCTTCGTGAGCGTCGTACAGGTGCTGCTCGTACTCCAGATTCAGTACGTTTCCTCTGACATCCAAATTGTCACCGCGAGTCAAGCGTCGCTGACGGCAGAGCTTCGGCGGTGCGCGCAAAAAGATTGTCCCATCCATTTTGGGCAGATAACCGGAGCGCACACCAGTGTCGTAATACTCTTGGATAACCTGCAGATCGTCTGCACTCGTGTAGCCCCGCTTGTGATTAGCTGCGGAAATGATGCGGGCCGCCGACAAAGGAGACCTTTCGTAAATATGGATCTGAACTGTGGAAGGCTCACTGGCATATAGCTCCGCATAGCTGTCCATGATGACGAACTGCAGTTCCCGTCCGATTTTGCTGTCCAACTTGTTATCATAAAAGCGCTGCAGATAGTCAATCTTGCTCGGACCCCAGCTCCTCCAGCGCTCGACTGGCTCTTTATTGATGTTCCAAAATGGTCTGTATCGTTCAAGACAACGCGAAATTTCAGTTTTTCCAGCTCCGACGCCTCCTTCCAGGGCAATACGAAAAACCGGGACAATGTTCTGATCATGGGGCTTATCCATCTTGGAGGATAAAAACCTAACCAACGCAGACCACTTGGATAAAAACTAATTCTTACTACGTACAACAATATCGGTAATACATTGCTGTATAATAATAATGTTCGTTATGATTATGGTAACACGTCCTTAAATCTTAGAAAATAAACTTCTCTGAGTTCTCTCCGCAAAACGAAGGCCTTTTTTACGATTACCTAGTGAATTCTAATCCGTAAATGGTACGACTCTTGTGCCTGCTATATGCACTGACCACAATTAATAAGCATACACCTAAAGAAAAACTTTTTTGCATTGTTGTTCCTAATTCTACTCTGCGCCGTGAGTGAGCATGCAAAGCAGCGGTAGGCACTATAAGTGTAATGATTATAATTATTTTGTGAATATAAGCGTCACCTGATGATGGCGGAGAATGCACGCACTGCACCTGCGTGCGCAACTCACAAGTCATGATCATCATTCACAATCAGCTGTCCGCGGCTCGCAGTCGTTTATTGTTTAAATTAGTACGATTTCATTATTTTGGTATCCTAAAATTCCAGCTAATTTCATTGTGCGTTCGCAAATTATAAACGTAACCACAACTGCGAAAATATTCAAAAACTGTTATACTATAATAAATTATCAGAATACGAATTAGATGGACATCAAGCAACAGCAACAGTACGTACTGCGCGCGAAGTCAAACACATACATATCAAAATTAATTACTGTAAAACAATATACCGGCTCCTTTCACATAAAACGGAGCAAACTGCATTTGCGTTACAATTAATTAATGCTGATTGTCTGTGATAAATATAATAGTATTGACTACCTCACCCTTTATCGTACCTCACCATCGTAGCAGATGTTAGTATAATTTATTATGCCATCAGCCATGTAAATAAAACTGTACCCAGTGCAATGCATAACACATTTTAATTATACTGACACGTACATTGCCAAATTATGTTAATACACTATCTGCAAAATTTTTGTAGTAGAAATCGGTCTTTGTTCCAAGCGGTAGCTGCATTCCCTTGCAAATGGAATAATGGAATATGCATACGACTGATACGAGTACAAAAAATGAACAGATTTTTTACAGAAAAAGAACATTCTGCTACGGTACAGGTAGTTGTGCTTACCTGAAGATCGTTTTCGTAGTTTCGCGCATGCATAAATGGCCGTCGTCTTTTTCGCAGTTCCTTTCATGCATTTTCATAACCAGAAAATCCATACAATATTTAACCGGAATACCTAAAGGGCAACTGATTCTGTGCAAGCAGTAAAACACAATTACAGGAATGCGCTTTAGCTGCTTATGGGTTCGACAAGCGTCAGATCAGAACATTTATGTTACGACGAAGCGGATCAGAGCATACTTCTCGACTGTTCGAGACTGACGCAGAACTATGTTTATGAAAGAGTTTTGAGTCATTCTTTGCTCACAAGTGGTTCCACAAGCTTTTCGACATATCGGCGATTTTATGGTAATCGCTGAGTTATCGGTAAGATCAACAACAATAAGCGTCCTTTTGTGTACTGACAACATTTTATTGACAGCAGCTGACCGGGCGAATAGGTAGCGGTGTCGATAAGGATGTGATATCATTAATTTGCGGGCAATAATGCAACATGGATTTTGAAGCCCTACTACAGTCTGTAGTTACAAGTGCATAGTACGTCATAGTTATCGCATACTGCCAATTAATAAACGGCGCGTAGTAGGCATACGTAAATTACAGCCAATTAATTACGGTAGAGCAGTAAAAATTAAAATTAGGACGCCGGCTGCAACGCGCATCGGATTTTTTTTATTAAGCTGTACAATCGATCACTCGTACGATATAGTACTGGCTCTACCGAGAATGCAATTTTTAATTTTATTCTTACCATTAGTTTTATCCTTACTTGTGCTAATGTATTTCGACGTAGAAATATACAGATATTAGTCTAAAATCTATCTGTATGAAGTAAAAGTATGAGCTATTTCTTTTGAATTACAAAGATTAATGGCAAAACTTTATTTCTGAAAACGAAATTATGACAGATGCCGCTGGCTCTGCTTGTTTCTTGCATGCAGTTTTTAGAAATCATCCCGTATTGTGCCTCTCCATAGATTTGCAAGCATTCCATAATTCTGCATGATATGGTGTAGCATTGTGCATTGTTATAATGTCCAGCATTATTAATCGTAACAGTAAGTACTAAAAGTGTATCTGCGCAACCTTTACGTTGATATCGCACACCACCTCCCTTTTAACTTATTATGAAAACTAAAATTAATTACGTTAAAATCTTTTAAGTACTCACTACTCACGAGTCAGTTAGCTCGAACTTGTATCGGTTACGAAATTAACAGAGTTGAAAGTTATTCAGCCATCCACTGTCAGGTACTCCGCCAAGGTCAATTGTACATTTATTTTTTCGGTGCATTTACACTCTTTGTGGAACATCAAGATATCTGGAGGCACTTCGACCACTCGTACTGGCATCAGAATGTGGCCCATTCTGATGGTCACCGGCATGTTTGGTTCCTTTAACAGTATAGTCGGCATGTTTGCCCTTTCGCAGGTACACAAACTTTACAACAAGGATAACAATGATAAGAAATAATAAAATCGCAATGGCCGCCGCTAACCACATCATTGTCATGTAGTATTGCAAGGAGTTTGAAGAGGAGCTAGTGGCCACCGCGTCGGACTTCTCCGTGCCTAGACTGGCTACAATGGGCATGTAGCTGTTCCAGAATACCACATGTTCGTGTCGGTAATATTGTTGTCGTCGGGGCAGTGACGCACTGATGTTGAGGTAATACTGACCTGTTATGAGCAAGCAATGGTGCCTCATTACTTCGATTCATTTATATTAATTGAAGCAAGTACAGTGACAACATGCAAAAATAAATAATAATGAAGCTATGACTTCAAACGTCTGCAACGATCGAGCTACCAATTCGCTAACAAGTACAAGTTTACACTATAATTGTTACGAAGGTGGATACATGTAAATCATGCTTTGAAAGCCTGTGCAGTTCTTGTGTAAAAAAATGCGCATTCGACTGACCAGTATCGTGACGGTAGGGAGACCATCCAATTTTCTGCGTAAAATCATTCGAGTTTATGGGATCTCTAAAAATAGCAAATAATAGCAATATTTTCGTAAATCTGAGTATACAAGTATACGACGTATTACTCGTCAATAAATAAAATTTTTTTTTGTATTCGCTTCCGATGCTATATATATATACGTATTCACTGGGTAGACTGTACCGTCTGTACGAAAGCCGATTATACTGTATTCCCCCAGTAAGAACAAGGGATATGCTAATGCTACTAGTCCTGAAGTGCTCCTGATAACTCCATAATGAAGATAATTAAATTAGAAAATCACGTACCCATTCTGTGCGAAATTGATCCACAGCTTCATCATTAAATCACTAATGACCTTATCGAGTTCTTCCTGCAGTTCACTGCTGCCCTGGATGAAGGGACACCCGAAGAGGTACTTGAGATCCACTCCATGGTAAGCGCCGGTCCATGCCGGCAGACTGTCGTTTTGACTGTGGTAGTCGAAAACAAAAAAGTACGTGGGTATCCCAATTTGGGAATGGTATTTGATCGATCGCAGGACGCCGGATGTGAAAATAGCATCAGTAAGCATCTGGAATAACACAATTTATTGTTGACATTGGTTTACTTTACAAACGACTGCGCTGTGTCGTACGATGTACCACTTGGGAGATTTTGTACATGTCGGCGAATTACATAGTACAAATGTACCATAATACATAACTGTACATGCTTGCTTTGCTGTACGACAAAATGTCACTACTGCATACTTGCGCGTAATTTTGTCTCATTGTGCCGACTGATTCTTCTCGCGCTGTGTCAATATAATAAAATTTGAGAGCTGCCTCAATTTCGCGTGGATTCTTGTAGCCTGCTTCCTCTACCAGCCGGGGTATGACCTTGTCGATGACGAACTGTTTGGTCATGTTGAATGTGCGATTGCGCGCCTGCACGCTGGGTAAGTTATCTGCCAGAAATTGCTTTCAATCGAAATTGTGGTTTTCCAAAGAAAAACATGCGAGATGGAGGTGCTTACACAGAACAATTGTGGCCTCGTCATCCGTTACGCCGATAATCACCGATTTGTTCTGAATGTGACCTTTCTGTAGGAGAATTTCCGGTTCCTCCATAATCCAATCGCGATCCACAACCGGCGCCCACGGGATACTGAATAATTGCTGTAAATTGGATAATATTCGGTCGATTACTAGGTCGCGTGCACATCTTGCTTATTCTTCCGCGCCATGAGGGAAATAACTAACAGTAAATTACTGACACTGGGCAAGCTTTATTAATTTATGCCACCGCCATGATGCAATGCTTTAAAAATTGATGTGTTGAATTATACTTATATAATGTCACTGCCTGGTTCAGTATCGAGTCTACTGCAGCATCATGATGAACGTACCGGTACAGCCAGAGATTCGCAGTCAAGCAAATAATATTATACGGCATACTGCTAGAAGTTGACGGTTTTACTCGTCTATACGAATATGGAACCAGAATTTAAAAAAATTATGAAACTTCGTTTAGGGATTCTTACTGATAATACCGCGCTTCACATGATATAGAAGAAAAAAATACGCACCCCGAGATCTGTAAAGCCCAGTATCTCCGATTCATTCTTATTCCTTAAACAGGAAACCATAACGGATGAGGGCGAAATAGGACAGCCAACTGCTTCCGCCAAGACACTAAAGAAAACGCCACAAAGAATGACAAAAGGATAACTCAACAGCTACGATGATGGAGGTTAAATACCGAAGCAAATGTCATTTGCGTTATTTGACATGCTTAACGGCATGTCTGTATAGATGTACGATAATGCGAAAATCTGGAATCTACAGTTCCGCACTTCTGCGTCATGACATATCTGTACGTACCGTGCGTTAGAACTCGGCATCCGCTGGATCGCCCTTTAAAGCAATAAAATAATAATGGTACATCAAGGGGAAAGAATAGAGCTGTTGTTATTCGGTTTTAAATTAGATAAATAAAGTTCTTGCACAAAACTAATAATTAAGTTTTTTTCACATCCACCATCTACGATTACTCATCAATGCAATTTAACCATATCCAAATACAATAAATTATATGAGTCTTTTGACACTGACAAATTTTTTGATAACATTCGAACTGCAGTTTATACTGAATTAAAAATGTACAGTTTTTATTTAACGTTATTTTTAAGATTTATCGTTAAGATCGGTGAAGTACATAATTTACGTACTTTTTTCAGAGTTTCTAAGCAGTCATGTCTGTTTAAGGTACTTAAAACAATGCTTACCATACGGTTAGTGAGAATCACAGTACGTGCAATGCTATGTAGTTGCTAAAGCGTTTAATGAACACGGTTGAAGTGGTCAATGGTCATATTTTATTTAAATGTTACAGAATTAACCTAAACAATTATCCTACAATAATTTGTGGTAAATTCGATCGTTAATGAATTCTATAAATGGTTGATCAAATTTTCTATTCTTCAAGTCGATCCCAGGTCGAATCACCTACCATGGCGCTAGTCCGACACCTGTAACGTTAAGTGCAAATCAGCCATATTTTGTCATTGCGTGTTTCGTGCGTGCCGGCATCACATGCACGATGCATTAATATGGAAAAACATACCGCTGTGCATAATGGCTGTGGTGAACATATCTGCAAACAAAATCACGAACTGTCAAGCATGGACAATGACATGTGATAAACGATTTTAAAGTCGCTTGCTCATTTCTTCCTCGGGCTTTAATGCCAGTTGGGAGAGGAGTCCCGAATACACACAGGCAGCACACACAATACACCGGCCTGCACTGACAATCTGATCTACTTCACTGAACAAATTAAAAAGCCGCCGCGCACTACAGCAACCCGGCAAAGCGGGATGAGGCGCGCTGCATATGCGCATTGCGCATCAACGCAGCCCTGCGTGAAGGAAAAAGTATCATTTCCTTTCAATTGCAGTAACATTCAAACACCATGTCAGATGTCACTGGCGTCCGACATTAGTCCGGGAATATTTGCTAATCTTTCTTTTGTCGGCACTTTTACTGCCATTGCTGATGGTAAAACATAAGCAAATTTTTCGAAAAAAAAAACTGAAAAAGGGTAAATTTATGTTACCCTTTAGCGTGCATGCAACAACGTATCCACCGACTATCAGAAAAGAACGCCCAAAAAGTTATGTACATAGAATTTTAAGTTCAAAAAATAAAATTTTCTGAGGGTAGCAGTATTACTCCTTTTTTTATAAAACCAAACTGGCAGCGATAATATTGCGTATGTTATGTAAAATGTATATACGATCGCGATGCGTAAAGTCAATTATCTAACTGAGAAAATAGAAACTGCTTTTTATAATTTGGCCAAGTATTGTACATTAATCACGTGATAACATGCGTTACTGCACTGAAAACTCCCTTAAAATTGATTACCTTTGGTTTTGTTGGATAAGAGATGCAGATGAACCGCCGCCGCGCCGGCCGATTGGCCAAATATCGTAATATTTCTGGGATTTCCACCGAATAGAGCAATGTTTTCATGGACCCATTCCAGTGCCATGACCTGATCCATCAGACCGTAATTTCCCGGGGCTGCCGAATCAGCCGTACTCAAAAAACCTTTTAAAACATCTTGTCATCTTCAGCACGAGCTGCACACTTACACTCTAACAATTATTGTAAGACATATACGGTCGAGTACAAAGGCATGCATGCAGTTCTACGTATACTCATCGCCCAGAACAGGCAGCTAGCGTAGTGAATGTCACGTTTTTGGACATTTTTCTTTACCAAAAACTCCCAGCCGGTAATTGAAAGTTACAACCACTGTTCCCATGTAGGATAGTCGTTCGCCCGGATGCAGTCCTCCGGCACCCACAATGTACGAGCCGCCGTGTATAAAAAACATCACCGGATTAGAACCTGTCAGCTGCAAAAAATAATTCCAACATATACTGAAAGGATACGCTTTCTGTAACCAGTTATTAAGTGAAACTGTATATAAGTAATAAGTATTTGCAGAATATAATATTTGGAGTGCTGTGTTCAAACTTTTCAATAAGAGCGCATGCTAATTAGTATTAATATTGTATGTTGCTTGTTTGCGGTTTTGGTGTAAACAGTAAATGTATACAAATGTGCAAAACATTGCACCGGTTTATTCTTTTGCTTTACGCCTTGACGTTGTACTCTGTATGTTCTTCCGATCCCGTTATGTCATAGCTTTTAGCAAATAAAAAGTCTTAACAAATCAATCCGTTTCGGTATGTACCAATTTGCAACCTGGGATGTGGACAGCCCGATTCGGTTTCGACCGGCGACCAGAGCCACCGACGTTAACCGTGAATTCGAATAACGTTTACATGGGTGAATTCTGTTGACGCTGTGACAACCATAATTAGTGTCCATGTGAAATTGTAGTCAAACTAACATTTAAAAGACCAATTCACCAGATGACATAACCATTTAGACAAATTGAAACTTGCCCAACACGTAACAATACGTTGGGGCGTGCTATTTGCAAGGGCAATTGATGAATTTCTGTTAGGCACTGCGGCGCGTCGGTACATACACGCAGCCATTTGCCGGAACCGGGAGAAAAAAATCGATCCAGTCTGCATGTACAGTCTGTTGCTACTACTGGTAAGCTTAATGGCTCCTTAAGCTTTTTAAACAGATTAGGATATATATTATAATGTTCGCAGCCGGCTAAATCTGCTCGCCGGGAAGATAGATTGCCCTACGCGCACCCGGCGAAACGGGATACATAAAGCGCGATCATGACCGCCGGCTGCACTTTGTCATCCCGTATATGCCGCTGCATTAAATCAACAGCATTCTTGAGAACGATTTACGCCATAAAAAGATTATTCTTTGCAAAGTAAAAATGTACAATGCCTATTTCAGAAAACACATGAAACGATTCATGGCGTAGTTCCACTGCAGTGGGTAATCTATCAACCACTTTCTTGCCATTTTGTAATCTAACAAACTCTACTATGTCAGGATGACCTTTTCCTGTAATTTTAAAAAAATTCATGGTGCACAGTATTTTTAAAACTGCTTTCTAGTGTTTAAGTTAATTTATTTTCATGCGGATCTTTTATGTAAGCTAACTTATTTTCAGGCTTTCAGTGAACTGGATTAATTTTAAATGTAACTTTGACAATTCAGATATAATTATGTTTGTTAACGTGAAATTGGTCAACAGAGCCCTGTGGTTCAGTGCTAAAAAAGTTTTCTTATGACAAATCGCAACTTCACCAGGCCTATTATGACCTATTAATTTGAGTAAAGTATATTTTAAGCGCACGATTCAAATTAAGTGCTCAATTACTTTCAGAATTTGATCCAACAATGATTTGGTACGTACGTTGGGTGTGAAAATATTTAGGGTTAAACAGTCCTCGCTTTGATTGAAGAGCGCATATGGTGGCGAAGTCCACATCCGTTCACAAATACTCGGCATTTCTCCTGGCTGGAGACAAACTGGTCCAAAGCGGAAAGCCTCTAGGGTACTGTTCCAGTGTGCTTTCTTCACTGGTGGCTACAACAGACATCATGACACTTTAATTATAATATTCGCGAAATCATCTAATATGAGCTCTGTATACATGCATTTGCAATATATGATATGCCCTGCCTAGATGGTTTTTTGCCTGCAAAAACAATCTCAAGGATCGCAGAAATTACATCAGTTCGTTTGTGCACAGATATCAACCAACACAAAGTCACCTTTTTTCGTGATTTGGTTTGTTTATTATTTTAATTTTCATAGTCTTATGACGGCCTTGCATATTAAAGTCGTGTCGGTTTAGTTGTATGCGTAAAATGTTATTGTAATAATGTGAACATGGCTGTTGTTTGTGCACACACGACGCACGATGTGTGGATACATACACAGAAACCGATTTTTCCCCTTTGTCAAGTGCACTCGTATGCACGTGGGACTGGGTGTATCGCGTAATTGGGTAAAAATAATTTGATACGCCAATATTGGCAAATGGCTCATATTTCAGCCGGCATAATTTCTGTTTGTAAAAGAGTTACCCGGAATCGAAGATTATTGAGAGGCGGCTCCGCATATGGTATACCTGAAAAGCTTCATCTTATTAATTCATTCCGCAAATTAAAAATTAAATGAAAAGTTAACCCACCCAGGAAAGCCATGACTCGCTCATTCTTTGATATACAGGCAGTTGTTCCTGAAAAAAGAAGGAAAAAAGTGGTTCACAGAACAAATCATACTTGTTTAATTATAAAACTAAGGCATTTTCAAACAGTACTTTTACTAAACGATGCTTTATAGAAGGGCATGTAGTTAGTAAGGTTGTAATTAATAATTATTATTTGTTAAATCAGATTGGTTTGTGATGCTAGTGTTTGCCACACAGACACTCATAGCAAATGAATTAGCGGACCTGTTAAAGAAATTATGCATATCCGTCCTCGACGCCGCTCATTTTAAAACATCATGCCTTTAATGTCAATGATCGCGTGCATTAATATTGGTGCTGTAATATGTATCTGTAATTATGAATTGGTGGCGCATGTATCAAAGCATACTGTATGCTACGCAAATATGAATATAGATATCACTGCTATACGTATTCAGTTTCTCATATATCTATATTCAGCTACTTTTCTGTAATGTATACCTTTAATAACAAGCAGTCGATATTCCTGCCTAATTAAATGTTGATCATACCTTCCACTGGACCCGACGTGGTATGGACCATTAACCGGCGTTTGTGGTATTTTGAGCATTGTAACCGTGTTGTACCATTTCGTGCACTCGGTGTCTTGGAAAAAGCGTAAGGAACGTCCAGAAGATAAAGTACCGGTAAAACATGCAGCCAAAAAACATTCATCTTCACACGATGATACAAAAGCACACGTCGGCGCTGGCCCTTGATGTTGGCTGTTAAGAAGCATTTATGCTTCTCAATACACCACACTCAATAATCCCATCGTCGCTATTTTCCATCCTTAAACGTGTTTATATGCCACTTCAATTCCCTGTTCAAACGGCATGGAAAGGGACTTTGACTATATTAAGGAAAAGAGTCCGCAATGTATTTTCAACGGCGTTTATCGTGTGTCGATGAGGTGTATACAAGTGATGTTATGGCTGCACTGACTATTCATCCGCGTCTCACATTTCACAGCGACGAAAACGGGAACAATATACCTTATCGTGCCGATGTCCGCTCACTCGCCCCGTTAAGCTGCTGAAGAAATTACCATAAAATGACATGGAGATGAATTTTCACCTGGATGATTCTTCCGGAAAAACGGCACAATATATGGATGTAGAGCAATTCCTGCAGCGCGTGTGTTTAAGTTTGAAAACAGTTGCATTTCATTCACGCGGCACAAGCAGATTCAGTAATTATCACTGAAGGAGAATAAATGCCGGTAGTCTGTATACCGAGCACATGACAAAAATTCCCGGAGATTCCGGCGACGAAAACAAAGTATGATGTTACCAATCATTAATCAAGATGCACAGCGATCAACCAGAATCCATTTTCATCAGAGTGACCGCACACAGGATTCGTGTATTTATACTATTACGCAGCGTGTATGTACAATTGTACAGCATTTACATACGGTATAGGGTATACGCCGAATGTAAATTACGCAGTGGCGTCTATTCATTGTCAGCATAGCGACATATGATTTTCCTTCAACCGGGCAATATCACGCGTATAACAGCCTCCGTTGTTGCCGCGGTGGGAGGAAACGTTGGCCTGATCAGCTGCTCCGTCTGTCCTGTCTGCCGTCGTTTTTATCCGTTCTCAACTGAGCCGAGCTGAGACCGGGACGTGTATCGCTGTGGCGGAAACTTGGCTATTCTCCAGCGAACATCAGCAGTCGTCGGGAAGAAAGCAAAGCGGATGCCGCTATCACGTTAAGCTACCGTACATACATATGCATACTGTCGCTTCACTGGCCGACCGGCCTTTCATTCCGCGATGAGGATTTAACGTTTTTGCACGGCATTGTTGTGCCGACAACAAACAGAGTGCGAGCGCTCGCGGGATTTAAATACGAAGGCGGCACCTAAAACGATGGGGATGAGCAAAAGCAGCGAAACAGTAACACGGGAAGTTACACTGGCACAGACTGAGAAGAAGAGATAGTGTATGGGCGGAATTTTGGAAGGTTTACAGAGAATAAAAAGGATTATGCTAAAAGCGTCAATCAGAATATTACTGACAGCCGTATATGTCAATGCATAATAGTTAATACCACACTCGCGCGTATATATGCAAATGCTGTGTAGACTTTAAAAGAATTTAATGAGTTATTCACCTGAACACTGAAGCTACACAAACACACGCATTAGAATAGTATTTCGATGATTCTATCGCCTCAATACATAATGCATTTCGTCCAACCTCTTGTCAATACAGAACGCTTCCTAAACACAAGCAGCACTGCCCCGCAATAACGCAGTACGCGCTGTTTCGCTGTTTCAGGAACTGGGTGGACCGCCTTTTTGTGTCCATTCAAAAAGCATCTTGCCCAGGCCACCGATCTTACGTTTAGCCTCTTTGCCCCAGGCCCCCATGTATCCATAGTTTCAAAAACCAGAGGAGAAAAATGAAGTTATCGCAAAGAAGGCCATGTTTTGGGTGTTCCTTTGTCTGTGCATGCCATAGCGGCGGCAGTGCCTGCTTCCTGGGACGTCTTGGCGATGTACAGTACGTACTACGTAGGGGGTGGCCATGGTGTTTGGGCAGATGATGTCCCAGACCCAAGATTTTCCTTGGCTGAACGGGACCGAAGTCATACCATCCGGTATTTTTGGCTGTCACGGTACGAGTCTGGTGGTTCCAGGAAAGAAGGGATGCAGGCTGAGCCACATGCGCGGTGCGAGCTATAAATGCTTAGGCACAAAATTTCCGGTCTACGTACCACACTGACCGCGAAGGGTCACTGTTCTTTACGGTACCGATGCGATATCGTTGATTTTATAGTTTCCAGCTTTAATGATAAGTGAAAGAAGAATTAAGTGCGAATATCTATTAATTACTAGGATGTGCGTCACAGAAAAAAAGAAATCATGCAGCATTCAAAAACTACTCTGCTGGTCTCACTGTATAATTATAGTGCCAATTTGGTAATATTGTACCGTAAATATACCAAAGCTTTACACCGAAATACACATTAATACCGGATTTATATCGAAAATATAAGCGGTCTTCGTATACAATACTTACTGGTACAGACATCTATTAGTCCTATTACGTCTTCCATATTACATACTGTCTTTCTTCGTTATTTTAAGCTTGTAGAGACAGTACGGTATATCAAATATGCAGGTTTTTATTAAATGCACCTAATAATACACTCTGTAACTTATGGTTATATTAGCGGTAAACCCACCGAGCTAGCGCTAAAACAAGCAAAAATTCGTAATGTGACACTTTATTTCGTTTGCACTCTTTATTCCTGTTCACAGTTCTCCGATAATGAATACGTACGAGTATGCTGCACAGCATTACTCGTACGAAATGTTGATTGGTTATGAAAACCCGCTACTCATAACAGAAGGACCATTAAAAGAAGTCTGTGAACCAGTAGTCGCTCCTGCGCCGAAACCAGGATTCTGGAAGCCCGTCTGACCGCTGTTCTGGAACTGTGATGTGCCTGTCGCTCCTGGGAATCCCCCGCCAAAGGACGGCATATTCGTCGAACCAGACGATGTAAAGGGCATCTGACCTTGCTGACCAGTGGTCAATCCGCTCTGCATGCTACCTGGAAAACCGGATGGTTGTCCCGTAGCAGTACCCTGCGATCCAGAATTAACAAACCCACCACTCTGGCTGCTCCCAGGGAATCCCGACAGCTGTCCCAGCATTTGGCCGCTGGAACCGAGACCCTGTTGGCCGGTCAGTGTTTGTTGACTGCCACTGCCGGGAAATCCTGGCATCTGCATTTGTCCCGTTCCACCGCTGGCCGAGTTGAAAAACTGTCCACTGTTTTGGCCGGAAACTCCACTTTGACCGCTGCTCGCCATCTGTCCCGGGAACTGCATCGTGGTCGCTTGCCCGTTGGTGCCGGTAGACTGACCCGGAAAACCAAACTGCCCGGAATTAACAAAACCGCCCTGTTGGTTGGTGGACCCGGACATACTGCTGCTGCTGGGGAATCCCGGTGGCATAGGACCGAAACCGGAAGTGAACTGCGATCCGGATGTTTGGCCGGTGTTCTGGAAACCCCCAGGCTGGCCGGGAAACTGCATGGTATTCGTCTGACCACTCGACTGACCGGAGTTCTGACCAAACGTTTGACCCTGCATTCCCGGAAAACCGGCGTTCTGGAAACCGCTTTGACCGGGCATGGTGTTTGTATTCGACTGAGTCGATTGCCCGGAAGTTTGTCCAAATTGCTGGCCCTGCATTCCAGGAAAACCAGACTGACCTGGAAACTGCATGGTGTTTATTTGACCGGTTGTGCCGGTGCCAGTGGATTGGGAGGGGAAGCCGAACTGCGGTTGTTGGAAGCTGTTACTGTTTTGACCAAACGAGCCTCCAGGAAACCCGTTGGATGTCTGACCGGTGGAAGTCGTTGGCATTCCTGGAAAACCGTTAGATGAGCCCGTTGGACTGCTCACGGCGCTTCCCGACGAGGTCACACCCGGCATACCGAACTGCGCCTGGCCGGTTGTTGACTGCCCGGGAAAACCGCTGTTCATGGTGGGCGGCCGTCCGGCGACACTGGTTTGCATATTGGTGGCTCCTGTTTGTGTGACCTGAGCGCCGGTAGTGCCCATATTGGGTGGTCCTCCCATTTGCCCGCCGAATTGTCCACCTGTTGACCCGCTCATCTGGGGTGGTCGGCCGCCTCCGGACTGCCCGCCCATCGGGCCACCTTGGCCGCCAGGTCCGCCAGGAGGTGGCTGGCAATAAGTCGATGAAAATAACACTAAAAATGCAATAAAACCTCTTGAAAGCATCGTTGCCGCTTTATTTAACCAACGAAGAAATCCGAAGAGGTTAAAAAGAGAACAGTTTCCAAAGACTCGTTGCTACCAAACACGGCCAAACCACTGGCTAATATGCTATCCGTAGAGAAAGCCGTGATATATATGCCGGTTTAACAAAGGCCATCTGAGAATTGCAGTTTTCTTTTTTAAAAATGTTGCATTGGCATTTCTGTTGTGTAGAGGGTTTTGTCCCGTTGAAGATGCGTCAAAGTCGCCTGACTGAACAACGGTCGTTGTATCGATGCGGAATTTTCTTTATAAACTTGGCTTTTACTATCAGCAAAACCGGTTCCATTTCAACAAACTGCTGTGATTTTATCTATGGAATCATTTTCTCTTTGTATTAAGTACTAAAAATACGTAAATGGAGCATCTCCTGGATTCATTGTTATTTGTTTGTTACTTGTAATGTAATAAACTTTGCCCAATCATTCGATGTACATATATTGGGCATTCTGCGCGGGACCGCTGGTTGACGATAGCGACAATACATGTACAACGATGAAACAACCGGAAGTTCTTAAGGTACAAAATTCTGAGCACTACGGAACAGACAGCAAAATTGCTTTTCATCATTGCTACCCAACCAAAGCCATTAATTCAGTATGTAATGCGAGTAATATTTGTATAATAACTGTTGTACAGTAATTTACGGAGCATCTTTGGAATTAACAATGGCAGCGGCATTTACCGCCGCCTCCGTGCCATCCACAAAAATTCCGCCACTAAACCCTGTCGAATTAATCGCTGTGGCATTAGCAGAATTGTCAAAGCTGTTTGGTGCAACCGTGGACACTGCAACGGGGGTCATTTCCGTCGTGGCAGTCACACCAACCGGCGCGCGCGGTACCATTCCATTCCCGGTCATCGCAGGCGCACCACTCCCCATCCACGGCCGTCCATTGGCGTTAAACGCACCCTGTGATGCGGGATACGCATTTCCACTCATTCTCGACCAACCTGCTGCGAATGTCTGGGGAATCATCGGATTGTAGGGCGCATTTGGTCGCTGGAGATTTCCCATTCCCATCGCACTCTGGCCTGGGAAACGGCCGTATGGAGCAGCTGGGAACTGCGGCGGAAATGGTCGCATGCCGGGATACGGTGCGGCCGGCTGACTTGGAATGTTCCAGTTGTTGTTGTTATTGTTGGGGAAGCCGTTAGGGAGAACGTTGAATGCGGGGTTGAATGGATAGCGCTGATCAAACACCGTTCCACCGGGAAACTGCATCGGATAGTTAGACTGGAGTGTGGCATTGCGGGTCCGATTGGCAAACTGTGTCGCGGTGTCTGATTCGGTCGGCGCCGCTTGGGAGACATTTACAACGGTCAGCAGCGTTATGATAAAAGACCGGAAGTACATTTTAAATAACGATGGAACTTAAAAAGCGATTCCTTTAAAATATGACAGGCGATGGCAAGTATACTACACAGCCAAAGAATAATAACTATCACGTACAAGAAAAAAATTAAAGTGTTTTATATGATTATATGTTATTGTTATAATAAAAAGTTTGGAAATCTTTGTAAGTTTAGCAGGTTGTTATGGTTAACCAAGTACTGCTTGGTTCGAATTTATACTGTAGTTTGCCGGCTGCATAAATGCAGATGCAGATGATTTTAGGCTCGTCGTGTTTGCGTATGTCTGCGGCTTCTTGGATTTGGCGGATTTATCATACAGAAAAACAAAACAGTTCCATGATTGCGGTAGAGAAAAGCGCCGTGTCAGCCAAAAAAAGCTGTAAGTGCAGGGCTTATCCCAGTGGTGACTGGCCGGCAGGCCAGCCTGTTTCGCCATATAGTCCTACAGACTGTGTACCCGATACGTAAGTGCACCGGTAATTTCGCCGGATGTTTGTGAAGTCTGACAGTGTCCCTATGAGTCATACATAAAGGTAAGAAGTGATAACCGGCTAATGCAGTGTTGAATTAAATTTAGTACGAGTACTGCATACGAGTGTAAAGACAGACGAATCCGCAAATAAAGTTTCCAAGTTCACCAACACTATCATACGGCCACATCTATTCCCATACAATTAAATTTTAAAACATGAAATGATAAAGGTACTACTCTGTATATAGTAAGTAATGTCATCATGCGGGATGGTCACCACCTCGTTATCAAAACAAAACCATCCAACACGAACTCACACTGCTTTTTACTCCAGTTCAAACTGACAGTCGCCAATGTTTTTTTTCGTGCTGTAACTTGTACGTAAGAACAAAGTAAATCGTATAAAGATTCACCGTTTAAGTTACTAAAAAAAAGCGCAGCGACTCAAGCAGCATATAAAAATCTGTTAGAATTAAGCAGTTGCAGACAGGCACTAGCAAAACTAATATCGTCCATTGCTTCCACCGTACTGGTTTCCACGCTGACCGCTTCCCGAATTATACTGCCCCGATCCGCCAGCGTTGTACTGTCCAGACCCTCCGGAATTATATTGCCCTCCTGATCCTCCGGAGTTGTACTGTCCACCATTTCCGGAGTACTGCTGCGATCCACCACTGCCATAGATCTGACTGTACCAACCCGGATTGGGATTACCCAGAAGTCCATTGTAGCGGATCCACTGCTGAGCCACATCGCGATAGTCAGGCATATACAGATCCGTGCCGCCAAAGCCCCGCCCTTGACCGTTGTATCCGCCGCTTCCGCCGCCGCCGTTGTACTGGCCACCACCGGAATTATATTGTCCACTTCCTCCGGCATTGTATTGACCACTTCCGCCACTGCTTCCGTATTGCTGCGATCCCGATCCACCACCGTACTGCCGGGCACTCATGTAATTGTTGTTGTAATACTGTGAGTATACGGCACAAATTGTACCGAAGAGCAGGAACACGGTCAATGAGGAGATGGCGGCCATTTTGAAGAAACTGGAAGTTGTTAGTGAGCGACTTTAGATGATGAGATGAGCTGATATTTTGCATAAATTAGTCTGCATCGCCAGGCTTTATATATGACTGCCGATTTGGGATGGTTATTGTGTGTGCGAAACCGGTACCGGTAATAATGCAACACCGTCGTTTTCTTGTCATACAACATGTTATGAAAGTAAACATTATTAATTAAACCTCTGCAATTTCAGCAGATTACAATTTTTCATTATGAGTATTACACGCATTGTTTGAGCTCAATAACGAAATTAAACATGGCAACAATGGATTACCTGTGCGTTGTCTGCCAATCGAAGTAAATAAACCAGCATGCAATATGCAGGGTCTTTTCATGTGCAGTATAACCAAGTGCAATGCGCTAGCACTGCATGCCCATACGGTAGAAGACGAGAGCAATCTACAAAAAATCGCTGCAGCTTCAGTATTTTTTATTGCCGATGCTGCTGGTTGCACATGTTAAATTATGCTAAATGCACATGTTAAATTACTGCTGGTTATGTTAAATTTTAAACAAATCTTATTTATTATACAGGGTCGCTGTCTGGATTATCATAGTGCATATACAGGAGATTAGATACAGAGGAAGGAGAATATACGCGGCTATTCATATGCACTACGGGATGTACTTTTATTAATTACTCTCTCCACCAACAATTTTACATCAAATTCGAAAACAATCAATTAATAAGCACCAAGGGGCGCAAGGACAGAGAAAATTTCATTTAAATTTGCTCCCATCGGCGCTGTCCGCAGGTTAGCGCAAGGGCAATCGCAGTGACACTAGTTTTACATTACATATATTTCGTTAAATACATTTCATACTGATTCAGTACACATACATTACTCGTTTGAGTGGGACGTAACCATTTTTCGAAAACGAATTCGCAACGGAATTAATAAATCAGTCAGTACGCCTGCGGCATTTTACTCCATAAAATTGGGGTGCAGTACAATGGCATCTACCCGTTCTGATATTAAAAGTGTCAACACCTCACTGATATTATCATTGCGGTAGTTGTACTCGATTTAGCCGGCTGACTGACTTTTGGTCCTCATAATCATTGTGTTGCTATTTGTATTTATTTTCATATGGTAACGAATAAGTATTAACCGTTACAGAGTTCAGATCTGGTCGGTTGCTATTTCAATGTACCGCCGTGGCGGGCGCAAGCGCCTAAAGTCAGTAAAGGTCACATAAGAAATTCATACTGGTTCCCGAGTCCAAGGCGTATAATAACAAAAATGGAGATTCATGGTCTGCCGATCCGTCGATGTGATAAAGGGAAAATTCCCGGACAGTACACCCTTCCGCAATGACTGAATCCTAAGCGCAGATTGCATTCCCTGTACCTTTTGACACTGCGCACCGGTAGACAGCAAGGTAAACGGTGCGGCGGTCGGCAGAATGATGGCTTGATCGACGGCCCGATCATTGCGGCAGCAAAACTCCAGCGAATGAGATGAACCATCGAAATTCCCATCTGGGAGCGCGTCATTGGCTAGCGTGACCCGCGCATATACTGTCGTTATGGCGCCCTCCGTGAAACCCGTCGGACAGCGGCGCTTCTTGAACACACAGTATGAACCGGCCGGCCACTCGTAGCTGCCCTCCGTGGTGTCCGCCAACTTAACACAGAAGCGCAACGTTAATTCGCCGTTGGGATTTAAATCCATGTCGAATTCCGTTGGTGAAAGGGATAATGTGTAAACTTGCAGCGCGTCCGGCAGAACTAACGTCCCGGGACCGTACCACACATGGCTCGGCCCGGTTTCCGGACAGTTTTGGTTTTTAATGAGAGCGTATGTGCCTTTCGGCCAGGCCAATTTAAAGGTACGTGTGAATGGATAAGCGACGGCCGCCGCTGTATAAATGGGATAATCACAAATCGCCCGTCGGACGTTCGCTTGTACCATATTGAGCACTTCGGGCAGCAGCAATTGAGGGCATTTCTCCGATGCGGGACCTTCTGCGTAATCCCTGGCAATGAAATAGTCCAATCGGCGCAAATTCATGTGGATGGGAGCCGGAACCGCGTCGGAGCCGGTGGAAAATTTCCACTTAGTGATTACACTGTCTAACTCGCTGGTTTTCACCAGTAAATCGATCAGCGTTTGAATGGTAAGAATATCTTGGAAGTCCGAGGAGTTGTAGGAAAGTGTCGATAGAGCGATGTCCATTTTGGACATTTTCGTCAGGATGGGAACACGTAGCATGAGATTATTGAGGATGTTGAAAGGGATTTTATAGCGGACAATATCCAACCGGCCCAGTTTCGCGGCCACCATCACATGGCTTCCCCATGACGCAATGAAACGGCGGTAGACTTCGAACTTGTATATCAATGGAAGATCGCAAAGCTCGGTGACAAATTCCGTTGTTAGGCGTCGATTTTCTTTGTAGTTAAACCGAAACTCCGACATCACTGTCAGCTTGCGTTTATCTAGAATAATATCACCGGTTTTTTCGATGACGTCACGGGCTTCTTTGGTCTGTGGGCTTTCCATGCCGGCGTAGACACTTTCAATGGGTAGCAACTGAATAAAATGAAATGGACATTGGACAGCAATGGTATGAAAACAGGATCGCAATTTTACAAAGAGATATTCATCAGTGTTCAGCAGGACAGTTAAAGCGCCTGGGGTATGTGTAATTTTTGCGAAAAATGTGAATATTCAATTTTATTTGTTACCGGCTCCTCGGTGTCATAATCCCAAGCTGTGGAATACAATTTCTGGAACTGTTCCAAGTCTGTTACGAGAGCGTATTGGTCGTCGGACACATCAGATGCCACTTCGGTACAAATGGCTTCATCCGGACAATAACCAGTCGACAGGGTTTTCTGCAGAATAATTTTTGTTGGCAATAGACCAGAGTCCGGCCCACCGCTGGTCATGTGTGAGCCATCGGGATTCCCGAGCAGCAAATTGTAGCCAGATCCCACATACCCCGCTCCGGCGCTCATTATGCGCGCGGTGGCCGGTTGCATGCGTACCGCATAAAGATACAGTAGGATCCATAAATCTACACATAGCCGCGTGGAACCAAATTGCTGCATCGTTCTTGGAATCCTGGACAATTGTTCTGAATGCAAGAAAATTAAAGAAGAAAGCGCTAGAGTTAATGTTGAGAATATATAGAATTCGCAATGCGGTCTGATGTGCAACCATTAATATTTTTCCAACATGTACTTGCTGTTGCAGAATTCGATCGACTTCACCTGTATCGGCACAAACTTTTTTACAGCATGACTAAAACTGTTCTTGTTCTTACTCTAACGATAAAATAGGCTAACGGAGACGACACTCAAACCAATTATAATTACCTAATTATTGTTTATTTCATGAGCAACAGCAGTAAGGTGAATAAGTCGTCACTCGCCAGAATCTATGGCATTTAGAGTTCATTTGTAATACAGTTCTATACAGACGATACACTTTGACATCGGTTTGAATTTCGTAGCTGCAAAATCATTTGGTCAGATCGTATCTTTGGTATTTGCAACGTCTAACTATTTGACTAATTTAAAAAATTCAGTAGGTCCACAATGATGATAGTACACCGAACTGAGCAAATCTGCGTGTTTCATAAAATTATTGTTTCTTAATATTTCACAAAATTGTTGCAATCAGTACTAATAATAAGGTCAGATTTGCAATTAACCGTATACAAAGCTTACAATGAGTAGCATCAGTCAACGAATATGTTATGATATTGTACAATTTCTCGCACACACAAAGGTCTGCTAGTAAGCTAGAAGTATAGTTGTTCAATTATTGTTAGCAGATTAATTTTGGTTACGGATGCCGGCCGCTGCAAATGATTGCCGCCGGATTGATTCTCGGCGTTCCAATATGTATATGCGGTGTTCTTTGAAAACTGTTTCGATATCCTTCATATTCTGCACACCTACAAAATAGACTGTCATTAAACTTTGAAATAATAGTAAATCACTCCACTCATTTGAATCATGTCTAGTGTTTTAAATGACTATTTTAACATACGATAGAAGAAATGTTCGAATCTTCGCACTACTGGCGGGATTATCAGGCCTAAACACAACACTCCCGTCACGGCACAAACACATCCAACAACCTTCCCACTTCCGGTTCTTGGGTAAGCATCGCCGTATCCGATGGTCGTCCCTAGCATAAATAATGCATGTAGTGTATATATTCCACGCCTAACAGCCCCAGACAAAAAATTTGATAAAACATTGTGGATGATCATACAGATACATATAAATACGTATATCTACGGTTCACAAATTAATTTTGTCTTTTGATTTTCGGTTTGTATTTTGAAATCTAAATCGTATCCTTGGATGGAATAAATGTTTCAATGAGAATAGATGCGAAATTTTATTTCTCTTTTTTTTTTAAATTACTGCAGAATTTTAACTTACACGTGATCACGGCCCACCAAAATGATGCCGGTATACTAGTGTAATCAGTGATGGGCACTCCACGTTCGGCGTAATATATACTCGCACCGAAAAAGATCATGCCCGTAATTAAGAATAACGCCATTATGCCCAGTTCCCGGTGGGCAGTTTTCACGGTGTTGGTAAGAACAGCCAGGCCATCAGAATATTCATCCATTTTAAATATTCGGAACATGCGAAACAACCGAAGGATTCGAAATGCCACGAGAAACTGAATGGAACCGGCATTGTACACTTCGTTGGTAGCGTATGAGACAATCAAATCCAGGAAGAACGGGAGAATGGAAACGATATCCGCAAATACCATAAAATTGCAGAAAAATGATCTCTTGTTGGGCGCAACAACTAAGCGAATGATGATATCCATAAGAAACCAGTTGTTACAGGCAATTTCAATGCAAAAGAATGGATTAGTGAAGCTGTTGATGACGTAAGCGTTGGATTGCTCCACAACTGTTCCGTTGGGAAAAAATAGAAAGTCTTGATACTCCGGTAAGCTGCTGATGGACATCGATACTGCAAATAAGGGACAAGAATACATTTAACTTGGGACAGCTAATAAAGCGTCACCTCACGTGCACCAAGTTCCGATAGCAATTATTTAATGAATCATTTTACTACGAAAAGTCAAGGTATCGATATTAAGCATGTGTAGTCTGTTGTACAGTTGGCTCGTTTCTAAATGATTAAAGGATTACAAAACAAATACGTATTGAATGCTTACCGATGGCTAAAGCGACGACCAGAATATCCAGTACCGCAATGATCTTTGCCGCAAAGGAGCTTTCCGGCGTATTCAAAAGGTCGTAAAAGAACCTGTGATTGGGATTCGTCGGTAGTTCTACTGGTTCATCCAAAAGTTCTTCCTCTCGCAGAAAATCCTTGACCAGCTCATCGCCAAGATCGTAGAACAGCAATTCGCGCACGAAAAGGTGGATGGGCACTAAAGGGCTGCGTACTATTCTTCCCGACCTGTAGCACTCCAGAATGGCATCAAATGCTAAACGATCGCGATCGAAGAAATATTCTTGTAGTGCATTGTTATAAAATTCCGCTCGACGTTTGGGACTGCCCAAAAGCGAGTCAGGAAATCGCGCCAGTGTCCTTTCGTATGTTTGGTAGCGGACGCCGCCGACGTTTATAGTGACCAGCTCCCAGCTGTCTAATAACGCAGTGATGGACCTATCCATTAATAAGTAACAGGGACAATTTAATACCCATTTTATGCAGTATAGTACTAGCATGGTATACTTACTCAAATGCAGCTAATGCACCTTTGCAGCTAATGTATCTCAAACAAACCATACTATCAGGCGTTGATGCTAAACAAACGTTCCATACCTTTCATCATCTGCAGCGAAAGTGGAATTAGCCGACACCACAGAGAACTTGGATTCCGAACGTAAAAGGTCACTCTGGGATTCGGAATTTGTTACAAATCTCAGCTCCATGGTCGTGCTTTGGCACTGACAATGGCAACTTATACTTATTACGTACAGGTTCTTATTACACAGACAAATAAAACAGACAAATTCATGCAATAACCCTGCATTTCAGTAACCATGTTCTAGGAGAACGATTGTTAACTCATCAGCTGCACCACATTTACTACTTTGTTGTTTAGCAGAATTAGGTATGAATTTAATTCACCGGTATTTTCTGTGAATAACACTGGTTCTTTGACAAATGCTATCATTGTTTCTGCAGATTTGCAAGAAAGTTCATATGTGTTAGCTGTAGAGAAAAGAATCGTGCAGGTTATGAATGGAACCCGCAAGATCAGCGACAACCGCTGCGACTTCTTCTTATGTTTTGACTCGGATATGCATTATGCGTTTGAACTTCACCGTTTGAATATATTTAACGATATATTAGAGTTGTATCATGTTTCCATTGGTCTGCATTTTTCATTTCATGAAAGTTGCAGTGCGCAACGGCCAGAAACAAAATGCAGTACTGAACTCGCTGAATGGCAGTATTGTACAGAAATATATGCTGCATATGGTTGGTTCAGGACCGCGCTCCAGGAGTAGCACATACGAATGATACGAGTACAGAATCGAAGGAATGCATAAAGATACTGTACCTCCTTTCCTCTTAAAGCATGATCGTGAATGTTCGATCATTCTTTCTGTATTCCTAGAGGCGGTTATGGTGGGTTATTTACAATACGTACATTACTATATTCGTAAGTTTAAATTATGGTAACAATAGTAAGTGTTATTTATTATTTAAAATTTGTATTTTGTAGGTCCCAATTAAGTAGCGAATCATGCTCCATATTTTCCGGTTTTTTAGTTGGTAACGTTATTTTTAAAGTGTTTGCTGTAAATGCATAGCAAATTAAACTTCATGCGGTAAACATTTGAAGTATAAGTACGTTTTTAAAGGTCATCAGATCGCAAGCTCTGGGGAGTGATTATACCGGTAACCAAAGCACATAGCACTTTCCATAACAAAGCGTATGGTAATTGGTAACTGAGACTTACATCGCATCTTTACACTTGAACATACTGGATGGAAACCTCATTTAATAATTGTTTGTAAAATTAATGTTGAGTGCGCAGTAGGTAAATGCAAAACACGCCTGAAGGTTGCCTGTATAGAAATCCCTCTCTTTAGGGATATCAAAAGTACAGTAACAACTGTAAGCAGCAAAATTACAAACTTTCACCCGCGGTGGCGGGTGCCGTCCAGTGCGAAATGACCAGTTGGTTTCAGTTTTCGTTCGAATTCTGTAATTGCAACGCTTTCGCGCACAAGGCATGGGTATTTGTTACATGTGAATTGTCCACACCGAAATTTTGTCTATTCCATCAAATTGCCTTCCCATAAAATTCGCCGAACTTTTGTCTATTAAATCGAATAAATTCGAAACAAATGTTTAACAGCAGTATTTGGCGCTACGGCACCGTGGATGTGAAGGGCGACAACGGGCTAGTTCGTCACGGGATCATTACTGACCTGATCGATCCTCGGCTCTTCATCGTCAATTTCGACTATCCCGATCATCACACAGAAGAAGTCTCTTTTTCCCAGCTGCTCTTGTGTCGAGATGGATCCCACAACATTGCCGTCGGGAATCGTGTACAGACGCTGTATCGGACTTCCCCGAATCAGCCATGGTGCTGGCATCCTTCCACACTCTTGGCGTACTCGTTCGCTGGCCGTTACGCTATTGTGGAAATCGATTGTGATTGTGGGGATATCGATGGGGCAGTGCTGCGGGAAGTCGTAGCGGAGGAGTGCGTGCAGGCGCAAGGGGAATGGTCTGCGTTGCCCTGGACAGAGGACTGTGTGCGCCATTGGAAGCATTGCGTCGCGTTGCCACCGCCGAACCCGGAAGTAACGGCACTGGCGAAGAGAAACGAGTTTTGGCAACTTTGGAATCGTAAGACGCGCACCATCGGTGTGCAGCTTGATGATTGCAGATTGATTTATATCGCGCCCATGCAGGATGGGGCAGCCGTGGAGGATGCGGAGTGCGTAAGTGGAAGTCAGGATCGAACCAGTTTGATAATGATAAATTCGTAACTGCACCGTTGTCGCTTTCCCACTCTCATATTTCTGTTCTTTCCCGAACTACGATTTGTAACCATTACAACAAATTTTCCAGGTTGGATGATGTTCGTAAATGTTGTTAAGTCGGGATGGGATGGCTGTTGTAACTGTCATGTGTTGTCATGTTGTAACTGATCGATGCGACAATATGCATAGTGAAATTTCGCTTTTACGATCACGTCGTGGATTCGCGTTAGTCTAACATATACTTAGCTCTTTTGTCCACATTACAATATCGTACTCCATAATAAAAATTTCCTTGCATACGGCAGCTAATTTATTCGTTTCTGACGTAGGCAACCCTCCTTCAACGCTTATATGGAGAAATTGCATCGCGAAATTCAATTCAGATCGCCAGTTCAGCGTTGGTAAGGGATCGTTAACGCAGTCTACGGTAACAACAACAGCAGCGCGTAACGATTCAATTTTATTTGGGCATTGGATGAAGACACTAGCACCGGAACACGGGACACCGGCGCAACCGGCCCCGTCGTCCTTGCTAAAACAACCCCCCATCTCCTCTCCAAAGAGGGTGGGCGGGAGGGAAGAACAACTTGTAACACGAGAACAATCTTTACTCCAACACAACAGGAACTGAAAATGCACTAACAGAAATGCACAAACACTACACATGAAACATCCACAACCAAAACTGCATTGCTTATACAGCATCGGGATATGCATCGCAAGACACACCCTAATGGGTTTTCTTGGCTGGACACTGGTCAACAAAGTCGTCCAGCCTTGCGATCGCCTCCGCTGCGTTAACCGGAATTAGCTTTGCTAATTCTATTTAATATCTATATACGTAGAAGCACGGATAGCAGCTTCGGTGATTTCTAATAGCTTTGCGAGAATTGTTTGCAGTTTCGGTAATAACTTGTAATCAGATTACTACTAGTTTCTTATTAAATGGTACTGTTATACAGTTTGCATTTACACGTAAATACAGCTGCTCGCTACAGGTTTTCAATTAGCGTTTTATTCCTGTCACCCTTATTCGGATGCAATCGTATTACTAATTTCAGTGTACAGCACATATGCATGCATAAGCATAACTTTCATAGTAATATTCCACGAGCCTTGCAGACGGATGCCGACACATCGCCAGCAGCTTGTATGAACTCCTATCTGTCAAGGGAAATTCTCTGCACAATCTTTGCATTCTTGTCCATTGACGAACAAGTCAAGTTCCGTACGGTATCCAAAAGCTGGGATGCCCTTCTCATGTCGCACCCGGTGTCGTCCCGAATCGACATCGAGTTGGCCGATTACCGTCTGGAAGCGCACAATTACCGGCTGGCGGTGATGCTTCACCGGATGGTCAACAAGTCCACGAAGACACTGTTCATTACCGGACGGTCGGCATTACGCCTGCGAATCGGCTGCCGGAATCACTGTCTGATGAACACCATCGCGGATGTTCTGCAAGCTAAAAACATTCGCATCCCCTTAATTGTGATCTCCGAAGTTAGCGGACGCTATCTGACGTTTCAGGGTGATTCATTGTCGTCATGGTTTCGCCGAACGCACTGGAAGTGCATTTGTCTGCAGCTATTGTTAGAGAAGATTGGAAGTGGGTTCTGGAGAGCTGAACTTTCCAAACATTTTGAAAGTGACTACGCTGTTTCCTGTGGATCGAAGTGGATTAGAGTTGGCTTTGGTCATGATTTGGCTGGTGGAAAATGATTTCTCTTGATAGAAAGACCAAAGCCATGTAAAGTACTCGCAGTAAGGCTGCTTGAACTTGTACATACAATGTAGTAAGAGGTTTGCTGTATAGGTCCGGTAATATGGCTTTAGACTTTAGACATATATGTCTAACGGTTTCCTGGTACGAGTGTTATTAAAGTTTTCTCTTGTGAAATTGGTTTTGTTCCGTTTTGAATTCTGAAGTTTCCTTTTTTAAATGTAGCAAAACATTTTTTGTATTCTTGCGTATATTTTATGTCTGTACGTGTCCCTAATGCTTTATATAACGTTTGTGCCGGTGTGTTCGCACAGTAACTGCACACAGTCATCCTGATAAGAACAAAAAATCTACGCAGTTCACAGTATTTTTCTCAGCTGTAAGACGTGTTTGTCTCTGAACACACAATGCAAAAGTTGAATTTTAATGCGAACAAACGTTTTATAGCAGGCAATTTGTGAAACAAAGTCAAACTACATACACGAGTATCGAGCATGGCACTAACACTGCTATCCAAAGGTCACACTTAGAACCGAATTATGTGCATTTTTCGGTACAGATCTTGTTATGTGAGATCATCTCCGAATTTGAAATAAAGAATAACAGCGAGAATTTTTAATACTATTATTCCAGCAGCAATTCCCAATTTTACATCCCGTCGTAGCTGTATCTGGAACAAAATGCAATACACTTTTACCGGAACATGCTACCGTATTGTAGTAATTATTGTTAGTATCGTACTTCTCACAGTAAAACCCATAAGTACTACACGAAGTGTGTAACCTAACGCCACTACTTACTCTTCTTTTACGGCTCGTCCGTATTATAGCTTTGTCAAGAAGCGGAACGGCAGACCGCGTGGTTTCGGCCGCGTTGTGGGTTTGTTTTTCGAGTATTTGGACAGATTTTGCCTAGAAAAGCAGCGTATTTCGCATTAATAAGGTCGCCCAGAAAACGATGTTAAAACCAAGAAGATACGAACTCTTTACCAGGAATTCACCTGCTTCTCGATCGTTTCGGTATAATAGGCGATGTCCGCCATCAAATCACGGATTTCGCGAAGATCAATTTCCGCTTTATCAGAGTCGCGTTTGTAAAACTGTGTCATATCAATATCACGCGAGTTGGACAACTGCAAAAAGGAAAACTGTTTGCGCTACTGATTATAAGATGCTTAATGAGTGATAATCACCTACGTACAATATTATAATAATTATTATAATATTTTGAATTCAGCGTGCGCACGTACTTCTGTTTCTTGATGAGGCTCGATTAAAGGACAACCTTAAACAAACCAAAGTATAAAAAATTAGTGCAAATATATTGCGGGCTACCTAGTATTGTACAGTAGTAGTACGAGTACAGGAAATTTGATAATGGATTTACCAACTTCTTTGTCCATGTCCGGAAATGTTGCCCTTTGCCATTCTTCATATTGTTTCTGCGCCTCGGCACACACTGCCATCACTTCCGCCAGTTTGTTCACCATTCTTATATACTGTTGAAGGCAAACAAAATGTTTCGAAATCAGCAAGAAGGTACTTGCATGGTTACTATGAGCAAAATTGGATAAGCAGTGGTTGTAAATGCTACATACTAGAATTCTCCTATAGGTAATTGAAATTTTAAGGTACGCATATACATAAGATGAAAATTACGAGTATATTCTTGGTCACATATATCGTGTGTCGTGTATTTCGTGCCTATCTTGAAAGTCGTAATCAAACGGCAGAGATGGTTCTTCTGCAGGTAAAACAATAAAAAATACTACGAGTAGTTTTTTCTATGCAGTTAGCATTTGTTTACAAAATTATTTCTTCATAAGCACTGCGAAGTTAATTCTGATACGCGTATTAACCATAACCATATGCACCGGTTGGACTACGACATTCGTGTGCAGTGGTATCATGAACTTACATGGAAGTTGCAGATCTTATTCTCTGTACTAGTACTGCTCCATGTATACAAACTAGGGATGTCCGGTGCAATTTCTGGAAAACGAAACCATAATAATCATAACATACGTAGATATGTCAGATATCAAACGCCAACGGTAGCTGTGATAAAAATAATATTTCATATGTTTCCAACCTTGTAATTTTTCTTTGACAATTTCGCAGTGTTTCTTGACTTCATGGACCAGTGTAGGAAACGGCAGTGACTGAAAGGTGTGATGAAAAGGTATTACGCATAACGAGTAGGCGAGATGCGCGACCGCTGACGAATTGGCCGTTCTTCCGGTCCCGGTTATCGTTGTAAAGATCTCTTTCAACGCCCGAATATTCGTATCAATCGCGTTCGTAATGTCAATCACAATTTCTACCTTTGAAAAAAATGTATATTGGAAAGCAGTTGCTTCGAAGGATCATCTTATTGTTGTAATTTTTGCTCACTCTTGTCAAAAACCACTCCATCGTTCGATCGGCAATTCCATCCGAGCCCGTTTGCACTTCGATGACAGTCTCTTCGCCTGCTTGATTGGACGCTGGAGTGTTATCGCTGGTTTTTACGGACGCTCTAAACTGTAAAATTAAAAGCAAGCGGCTTTTAATATCATATATAATTTGCATTCGCAAATTGATACAAATAATATAATACTTACCATTGCTGCGTAATCTAGTGAGTAGTATCACAGAAACAACATAATAATTATATTGTACCTAATATATTAGCTAACTGTCGTACGATTGCATAGTTGAGGTGTAACATCTGTACAAAAATCTATTCCAATTCATGTCAAATGTAGTTTCCAGATTAATATTATGATTATTACTGATATATTATGAATCGTGTGTTCTGTTGATTAGTTATTATAATAATTTTACGCGGCACGGATGCGACCGCAGTCAAAGGTGTGTTTTATCGATGTTATTCGAAAATTAACAACTGTGAACTAATTTAACAATACCTTACAAAGCAAACAGTTGAATTTCTTCAAACCTCTCGAACGTAAAGTATTAGAATACCAATCGGCATACCAAGGCAGAATAACACACTATACACTACCGAAAGTGTTTCATTATGTATTCATGAAATATGTAATTAGACACTACCAGGTAGTGTATAGTGTATTATTCTGGATGGAAATGGATGAATTTCTTTATATAGTACTTACCCCCCGGTAATCCCTGATTCTGTCTTTTATGGTGGACATAATATGGCACGCGTATGGTCAGACGACATATAGAAGTATATATAGAGTCCTATACTATATTAAGATCCGGAGGAAGGTGATCGTCGAATCACTTTCCGTGCATTGGCTTTCAGAATTTCGCACAGAAAAGCGTGCACTAACCGTAAGCAGGTAGCAATAAATTAATGTGAGCAATTATTCACAATGGCTACAACTGTCCGGTTTCCGTGATTCGACTGTATTCCAGTTCATAATACGGATGGCCTCTTGGAATAAGATCAACCGCGATAAATGCAAACTATAATATCTCTCCCTTCGTGCGGAAGTACATAATTCGAATTTGCATATGTGAACCGTAATGGTTAGTTAGCGCCAGTGTTAGACTGTTTTGTGCTTCTCAGGCCCAATCGGCCAAAACATCGTCCATTCGGCATTCGCTAAACGCTGCATCTTCATAGCTGCGTCACTTAGTTTCCTTTTGGTGTGTAAAAAATTTATTATGTGACTAACTGTCCACGCCTTGTGAAATCGATTACCGATACGTGTATTACTCGGCACCAGAGTTGCACAACAAGTTTGCACCCATTCTTGTCAGTGACAAAATTTCGCACAGAATTCATTAACGTTCAGATGACCGCATTACGATGCCGGTGAAAGACTATGTGTGTAACAGCAGTGAAAATTCCCGCTTACTCCAGCAGGAAAACCGAAATCATGAATAGCAAGCACGGTAGGAAATTTTTACGACTACATGTTTAAAATCAAGAGCAAAAATGAGCAGCTTTTGAAAAATATCGATTGCAACCGATGATGTATTGTAGTAGAACAGTTTTCCTCCGGCGGTAAATTCAGTGCCGGCTATCAACATCAATCAAGACCATGTTAAGAAATATTTCTTCAGGGTACGGAAAAGTGCCACCTCTTCTGGACTTCAACATTTGTCATCCCGCATCCGCGATATACACATGCGCAGACCATAAATCACGACCAACTGAACTGTGCCACTTTTTCTCACAATTCCGACATGCGTGCCTAATTAATCGTAAGTACTCGTAGCATGGTACTCCAGGAGAAAAGGCGCTGCTAAACGTCTTCGCGAATGCCGAATCCTGTACATACATCGCAAATTCCTTTCAGCCAAATTTTTTTGCGAAAACGTTACGTCCACAGCGCCACGTATCCCGATGAAATTCATTTTATTTAATTCCGGTATCAGAAAAAGAATCACTTAAAATGGGAATGAAGATTCATGGGACTGTTTAACAAAACTAATGAAAGACAGTGTCAAATGAGAACGATTTGCCAGATCAACTGGTCCACAATTAAAAGAGCATCAAAACCACGTGTAACACGCTTCAGTACCTTCCATTTAAACCCGTCTTCGCAAGAGTGCCATCATCGATGACGGCTTAATTTGGCTGTGGCATTGGACTGGTGCTCGGCCACGTAACGATCCCACGATGCAGCACTGGGAACCAAATCCCACATCTGCTTCCGCAGGGCACTCTTCTCCGGAGTTTCCATATTAGTCATGCAGCCCACGTGCCAAAATCCCACGCCGTGCATGTTGTTAGATACCGCGAACAAATATCGTAACACCAGACTCTGCGGATCTGAAAAGTAAAAACAATCAATTTCTTATCGAAAGTGCGCAATAACGATCCAAAAGACTGTCGCAGATGATATTAGTTTATCATAATAACCGTGTTTTCGCAATAACAAAAAATACCAGGAAGTTAAAAGTTAAAAACTAGGTAACAGTATAAGAAAAAGTTTAAAAACGAATTTATTTCTTTGACTTATTCTCGACATGCGATAGTAACCCGTTCATAGCCGAACACAACCAAGAGCGTCTGCCAACCAAGCTGTATTCCTTTATGCGTTCCTGTGATTGGATTCACTGCATAAGGCAGCAGATAATATTAAAATGAAATTCAATATGTAAAGTGCTAAACTTTATAAGAAAAAACGAATACCTGACAATGAAATAAGTCAAATGTTTATTAGCAATCAGATTACGTAATTTCTGCACATAAAAAATGATATGTAATATCAAGCATACTTCTACGAGTACATATGTATACGAGTATACAATATCGCTGCGATACTCACCATCGTAATGCACTTGCCGTATATGTCCAGTAGCATTCTGCAAACATCAACGCCCAGTGAAATTCAATTTCCACTCAAATTTACGACAGCCACTTGAAAGCAAAGCAATTAAGTGAGGAAACCGTAACAAACAGCTTCCTTATAAACCATAAATAGCTTTCTATCGATTAATGCTGCCGCAACCTTGTAATTGAACTGCGGTGCCTCTCCATCCAAATTCCACTGCCGACCATTTGTACTGTTCTCCATTAAAATCATTATCTCATCAAACTGTTTCTGGTTGCCGACCAGGTCCGAGCAGGGGGCACCATGGTAGGTTGCCCTTGGAATTTCGCAGATATCCTTCTGCTAACACGATACATGCATAAATAAATGCATGAAATTGTATTTTAGGCAGCCAAGCAGAAAACTTACGTCAGATAAACTGACGCACGGATAATCGTAACCGTACCAAGGTAAACCCAACACCATTTTTTCCGGAGAAATGCCTAATGATAAATATCCGCTGATGCCTAACCAAAAGAAACAAGAATGAGAAAACTTCCTATAAATGTAGCACCGACAAGGCGACAACAACAGCTCCTACAGAACGCAAGAGGCAGTTCCAACGATTGTTCAGGAATATCTTTTAAGTAGAATCGTCAATAGAACTAAATCGATTTATCTTCCCAAATATTTTTGAGAAAAATGACGATAGCCAAGCGAAGAAGTAATAGTGAGTCGGCGGTATCGGCCGTAAACCGCAAAACGAGCACCGCTTTTAATCAAAATTACAGAGTTAGACAGAGCGTGTGTCTAACGAATTTCTGTCTGCTCCCTTGATTAAATGCGTTTTACGGCGCCCGCTTGCTTCCCCAGGCGGACATCGCCGACTCACTAATAAGTTAACGCGTAATTTCGTAGGTTTTTTGTATTACCATCCACCATTTTATCGTAGGGCGTATTGGACATGGCAATACAATCCGGACCCCAGATCTGCCCCTGAATATCGTAGGACATGATAAACAGCCAATCAGCCGCATCGGAAAGTCCTTTGTAATCATAACAGCGATCATCCACGCAAAACGAAGCCCATGCCGCATCGAAACTGACCTAGTTCGGCAACGTACGATTACGCGATTAGAAGTGCGGACAATGTTTGTCGCGGCACACTAACCTTGGAGTCCGGAAGTACTTTTTTGAGTGCCAGTCTGGTTTCATTGACCAGATCAACAAGTGCTTGACGTTCAGGGCTGCCCAGAGCAATGCCGTACTCGGGATCGTAATTCAAACCGTCCAGAAAACCATTGGTGATGATATCAACTTTCTGCTGAATGTAAGTCTTTCGCCATTCCGGATCGGTCAATTTGTCTTTGGGAATTTCAGATACTACCAAACTGCAAAATGAACAGTAGGAATTACACAAAAGTCCATGACTGTTGAAATCTGGCTTTTAAAAAATGTATGATTTGAAAGTTTGTAAAGCCGTAGAACACATTCGCATAACGTAAGAAACACTTTCACTTACTCAAGCCGCACCCCTTTACTGTGAGCATAACACATCAGTTCATCCGTAAATTCCCACATGGCTAACTGCAAAAAGATTGATATCTCATAAGTCCTCCTTTTGCACCTTGGAAGCCGAAACTTTCAACATCAAAAATGATCGAAAAAGCAAAAAACAAAGGCGATTCTACCAAGTGGGCCATAAGCCAATAACGGATGAGCATGCAATCTGCGCAAAGCATAATTACGTTCACACAATTAAGCGAATAAAGCAGTCCTACAATCATGGCATTAAATTTTCTTGCCAGCGGATATAGCAATGACAATCCAATGAAGAAGGTACACGTACCGAAGTCAATTTAGACCAGTCATATTTGAGATAAACCTCTTTCTTGGTGTTTGTTGCGAATCCATAGACTTCCTTTTTGGCAATGGATCGCGCCGGAATAGGTTTACATAAATCGGCATCTGCAAATACATTCTGCACCGGCGATTCCCAAAACAAACTGCTGGACACATACTTTCACAAGGGCAATGGCGAGTGCCAGAGTTATTCCTAGTCGGAACCTTCTGCTGGGTGGCATTGTCCGTTCCCATTCCCTGGCGAACACACCATGCATAATGTTACCGATTGCACAGTCGCAAGAGGCAAAACTATTATAAGGATATCACGGTGGTGGCGTGTCAAGTCCAACTTACCCATAGCTGACAAAAAACGCCATTCTGTGGCGACTTTCCACAAAATAACAAAAAACACCCTAGTGCAGGCAATAGCGTCGTTATCCGAAACATGGCATCAAGTGTCGCAAAACACGCTGTTCCTATAGACCTCGCCTTGTGTTCAAACACCTGCAAGCCACAGCTGATAATTGCTGACTAACACAGATAAATAGCGAGGTACTGAAAGTTGGACTTCCTAAATGTTTACGAAGAACATATGGATGAATGACGGTTGTTGTCACCTGTTTGATACTTTGATTGCAGTCGACTCACATCAACAAATAAACTGTTTGTGCAAAAGAGCTCCGCTGTTTGTACGTCTTGGCTTGCCATTCACCTGAATATAGCTCGACTCACCACCTCACCAAAATGGTGCACCGTTCGTTCCTTGTGTTACTGCGGAGACGGAAATCATCTGTTCGGCTTTGTTCGGTATCTGCTGTTTTGATTTTTGTTCCGCAAAAAATTACTGTATTGTTATGTTGCTACCGTATATGAATGCATAAATATAACGAATTTAGTTTATATTTGGTTAACCGTTAACTGTTGGCTGTTCTCTGCGGTAACGGTCGTAGCAGTTAAGCTCAAGGTTCGAATTCCTTTCTGGTCGTTCGGTGTTTGTTTTGTAACTTTTGTTTGGTGTTTGGCGAACTGTTAGGTATTAATCGTGAAGTATGGAGACCAGCCGTGAGCAGCATCCTTCAACTTGCACAACGCAGTACTGGCTGTACGAAATGGACGAGCGTTTCCATTACACGGAGTGCGATGGAAAATGGATGTATTTCTTCCCACGATCCGTCATCGATGATCGCTGGAAGGAAGCTGTCGAGCTCTACAATGCAGGCAAACTGCCAGGCATTGCGTCCATGAAAGTCAGCACAGCGGTACCGAATCCGCGCGCCAGCAGCAGCTCCCATGTTCTCATCTTCTACTGTGGCCCTCCGAACAACGAAGCCCGGGTGAAGGAAATCGGTCGCAAACTCGTGGCTGCCTTTCCACCGCCTACGAAAATCATCTATTATAAATCGGACGAACAGACTGAAGGAGGAACTCGTGCCACGGGGCAGAAGAAGAATTCCAAATACAGCTTGACGGACTGTGTTGTGCGTCCTAATCAGGTTCGTGCTCGCGATGTGCCAAGCAAGGACGGAGAAGAGGCCAAGAACTCGACGGGTGCGACTCGTTCGTTGGAGGGAGCACCGAAGGCCAACGCAGTCCGGGTATGCTGTTACTAGTAATCCTCTTTTGAGTTGTGTGTGCACTTAAAATTTTAAACACAGTAGTGAGTAGTACAATACTACGTGCAGTTCAGAAAGCGAAGTGCGTTAAGTGTATACATACTTAATATATTTGACTATCTGAAAAAATGGATTTTCATTGTGGATGTTTCATATGCAGGACGACGAGAATGACGATATCGTGTTCATTCAAGATGTCAAGAAGGCAAAAACCAACTGACTGTTTTTTTTGCGTGGTGAGAAGTTGGAAACTTGGGGCGATGGTATACCGTGGATGATTTCGAAGGTCTTGAGTCGTTAGTTCAGTTTAGTCTAGTTGTTGCATTGTTTTCCTCTTTCAGCTAGTACTAGTACGTCTTTTGTTGTTTCATGTATTTTTTGATACGATGATAGGTGGATTAGTTTCAGATTCGGTCGAAATGGTGGGGTTGCACCATTGCATTAGACTTTGTAATCTCGGTCTCCTTTGCACATTTTTTATCGGGATGTGAAACCTGATTTCAGTGATTTGGTAGTCGTGCAGCAGTGAATTAATTTTGATTTTTGAATCTAACCTGCTTTTGTTGCTAATTGTTGGTGATGGGAATACTGATTTTGGGGATTTTTATGACTAATAAAATCAAGTTTCAGGAATGCAACCAGGCTGAACCAGCTGTAAAACAGACTTCGGGCAAGATTTTGGAAAACAAAACTGAAGTGTTCTACTTCTACGAAAGGAAGCGGAAATGCTGATTTTGTATAACAGATGCAACCCGCCCGATTTATTTTCAGGCTACCGCCCTGAGTTGGCAATTTTTGAACAGTCTAAACTCTAAAGTTCTCTAAACATGAACAATACGCGAGACACAACGCAAGTGCATTTGCTGCCATGATTTACATCTAATCTAATCTCAACTCGGGGAGTTTCGTTTGTTCAAAAATTGGCTTACTGACAGAGTCGGGAAAATCGAGAATTTTTGCATTAAATTTGTCTGCCAGTTCTGAAAGCTGCGAAGAGGCAAGTGGATATGGCCTTTACAAATGGAGATCGTCCAGAGCCTGATTTGGACCACTGGGACGAATACTGTGAACCAGACGTTGATCCAAATGAAGTTGACGAAGGATCCCTTGCCGTGAGTGTATATTTCTGGATTTATCATAATTGATTTGGTTATGTTAAAAGGGAAAACGGAACTCAAGATACTCTGGAAAGCAGTTTATGGGACATATAGTAGGTACAACTTGTTGTATTTTGCACAGGAAATTTTGGACGGTAAATTTCCCAAGGAGCCTCGTTTGCAGTTGTTGGTAAGTACTTATCAAGATTTATGAACCAATCGTGTAGGTATTTTATGGGTCGGTGATGTTTAAGTGTCAGATGGTGAATATTTGTGAAACCTGGCCTGTAAATAAATTTGCGTACTGTCGTACATAAAGGCTGATGAGAATTCCTGGATGTCAATAACTTTGATTATTTATATTAATCATAATGGTGTACGAATTAATTCTAGGATCTGGAACTGCTTCAGCAGCAGCGTTACAGGCTACTGCTCAGTGACAGACGGAATACTTATTCTTGTACGTAATCTGCTCCTTGCAGTTTAATATTTGCGGTAACTAAAATTGGGAGTAAAGTGTGCTAACATGTATTTGATATTGCAGTCGCTATGCTGGCCTTTACAAAGAACAGTCTGGTTGATACAGGAAAACTGACACCGTTTTCCATAATCGTACTAAAAAGATATTTAGTAGATGTTCGCCAAAAAAGGTGAGTGCACTGGTTTGGACCTGTTTCAGTATTCCGGAACTAAATGCTTGCGGCAGTTGTTCAGTTTGTCTGTGTTTTTTTATCTTGGAGGTCCCTTATTATAATACTGGATGCCGAGGTCTGTGTTCCCGGCGATCAGGTTAGCGAAAGGTTAGGGTCACCCGTTTCATTGGAAAACGACATGTCGGTTGCGGATGGAGCTTCGGGCGAAGGGAGGGGTTCTGCGAAGCCAGCTCGAGTTTCCATGGAAATTTGAGTACATGCTTTAATTCAGTTTCCAGAATATTTTTAATACAAAAATGTCGGCATAAGAATTATTTTGTGATATCATGATATTATAGAACAATAACCGAGATCACTATTAATTGACCAGCTGATCGGTGTATTTTGCTTTGATTATTGACGCGTGTGAAGTTGCCGCATGCTGCAAGATGCTGACTTACTTTTGACTACAGTGTTCCTTACATTAAACAATCCGGCCACTGTCACCACGCCTTCCAGCTACCGGTGTCCAAAATAACCCACATTGTTTCATATGGAAATTTTTTTTTAAAAACTGATTTAATGATGTGGTTTATTGTCGTTATACAACTTTATCTTAAAAAGGGAGACAGTTTTGGAGATTTATAAAAATTTACGATATTTTGCTGGAGGTCCGCTAATGCAGTACAATGGCCGGAATGACGATTTGTGGAAGTGGTCAGAATGCGAGAAACATTGAAGCATTATAATTTTGCGGATTAATCTACTCGGTTGCGTAGTACTGTGTATTTACTCAATCTGTACTTTATCTTGCAGCGCGAACTTCCTACGCACATTTCTCCTGATTGTTCGAGAAGGATAAGCGTTGTTTTTCGACTATGGTTATCAATTCCGGGGCAAATGGATGCATTTCTTTTACCACGATTCTGTATTTAACGATCGGCGAGAAGAGTCAGTAGATTTCCTGTCCAGAGTGCAATTCTTATCCAGTTTTTATTCAATGGAAGTGAAGTTGAGTTGAACCAATGGATGTCTTCCTCAAATATTCTACTGTGGTCCCGCGGATGAAAGGATGGAGATAAAGATTATTGGCAACGGAGTTGTCGCCACGTTCCCACTTCCCTCGATTAGTAAAATCCATCGATTGGTAAAATCTTTACCACGAATCCGATGAACGACATTTGGAGAAGCGGGGTGGGAAACGAATCCTGATTACAGTTTAACGGGCAGCAGCGTATACCCAAATTTAAGTCTGCGGCTCGATCTATTCCAGTAGAAACAGGAGGAAAAATAAAGCTGGACATTGCCCTAATACGATCTTTCATCTTTGCTAAGGGTGAGATTTTAAATTGGCCATCTTGGGTGATGTTAGCGACTGCTACGTAGCGTGTAATCAATGCGATTAAATATCTTTGTATGCATCTGTATGTTTTAGGTAAAGGGAGATTTATGAGGTTGTGCAGGGTATTTCGGAAGACGAAGGCCTTACAGTGCGTCATAACGCGCGGACTTCATTGACCTTAGCGCACATTATTGTTGCTCTAGATGACTTCGATACTCGTATCGCAGCTGGGATCACTGATCCTTCCGACTAGCAGTGGCTTTCCTTTTGCCGAGATTTTTGATTGTTTTTGGACTGTGTCGCTTTGTCCGAATGACAAAATTACTTGCATGGATCTTTCCTGCTTAGGTTAGTTACCTTTTGTGTTAATGGTATCGTTTGTTTGGGGTTTGTGATTTTCCCATCAATAATCCCGTCTGTCCATTCCCGTCAAGATGTATTTAGTGCGTACTATGTTTATGTGGCCTTTTTCTAAATGCTGGTCAGTGGTGCACGGCCGAACTATCAGAAATTCTTTCAAACTTCTGTATCACCACTTTTTTAACGTTTAAATTTGAACCATTTTAAAGTGCAGTGCCACGCAAGCGCGCCTTTTATTGCTTTGATGGCTGTTATCAAATACTTAATAAACGTATTCGCTACCGCCGATCTTGCCAGAATCTCAGTACTGGCAGTAGTGTAATTATTGTCTTTCGGGCCTGTGTTTGCGCAAAGTGAATGCCTGAATGGCAGTGAAAGATTGTTTATTGTACGGTAGCATTTTTACGTTGACGATTTGTTGAGAGCGAAGGGTTTTTCTCTTCCAGCTAGAAGGTAAGTTAGCTCGTCGGGAGGGATGTGTTCTGTAAATGAGGCGCTGCTATACATGCAACACACATATGCACATGTGGATCTGTTTTGTGATACATCTGCAGTGATCTGCTACCACGGCCATAGAAAAAACTTAACGCATGTACTACGTGAATTAAAATTAATAGCCGATTCCTGTCTTGCGAAAGCAACCAAAATTAAAACTAAATTTTGCTCTGGTAGCCTATGTATATTTTGCATTGCATCGTACAAGGATGGACCGTGCCTTAACCTTACAGCAGTAATGTATTCGAAAAGCATGAATGCGGAGTGACCTGTGAATAGCAATTTAGAAAAACAAAATGTGGCTGCCCGGAGGTTGCGCCGCCACTTCTTCGAAAGATGGATTTTGTTATTGTGGCCTACACGTGCAACAGCACATAATGTTATTAGTTATTACCACTAACTTTTCTTTCCTTGCACTTTGCAGCCATCGAACTGAAAACATCGGCACATGAACCTACTTTATCGTTGTTGCAGAAGTTTTTTTCGGTTAAAGGTTAAAACGCTTTCTCATTTTATCCCGAGTATCTAATACTGTATTTTTACCGATTTTGGTGAATTTTGAACTTCAATTTTCCTACTCTGATCTGTGCATTTTTTTTGCGCTGGCAAAACTGATTACACCTTCCAGTTCATCGTCTGCAGACTCTGCACCTTCCAGCATGTGTTGTACCGCAATTGCAACATCCATATCTTGGAGATCCGTACCATTAATTACGCTTTGCATCTTATTCTCCTTAAGTCACAACCTGAGAGTGACAGCGGTACGTTTTACCTACTCTAAAAAAACGTTCATCATTTAATCCAGAGAAATTTTCCATAATTCCCCCGATTATTTCCGTATATTATAATAAATCTATCAGACATTTCTTTTTAATAAAATAATTTTTATATCTATATTATTGTCCCGAATCTCCCGATGCTTACTGATTTTACAATTTTCATGTTTCGGCCTTGCAAGTCATGTAATACTTACAGTTCGTCTAAGGAGAATGATTACGGTATAGCATAAAACTTTTATTCTGAAATTAGGAGATAGTGGACAACGATGCCCAAAAGATAACAGCTAACATAAGTCAAGCCTTACCCAATGTCACACTGATATTGCATCCGCCGGTTATGGTTCCCGCAATCAGCCTACCCGATAGACAGGAGATTCAGGCCGCCGCGGAAGGTAACAGTTTTCGAGTGCAGTTTGTCCACTCCGCACTTCCAGAGACTGAGTCTTGACAAAATCGTATAAAACAACCTCGATCTTATTCCATAATAACTGTGTTTCAGATGCTAACAAAATTCATGGAAATAAACTGACTGAAATTGTGAAAAACGATACTCTTACAGTGACCCACGCAGTAAGTTGTTATTTTGCACAGACTGGTAATAATGTACTACTGGAAGTTGTATCATAATAGCATCAGTTTGACAATATTGCACTGCAACAGCACGATTCGCGTTTAGCTTACAGCATTTTGGCGTCACGCTTTTGTAGTTCGCAAAATTATCACTTGTTACATATATATATACAGAATTCTGCGTTTGCCAGGAGATCTGAGATGCTGGATGTCGGCGATGCCAAATTTATGCCGTAATAAAGTTAACAATTACCTCTTATAGCGATAACTATGGTACAGCACCTGATGAAATGTATAGTACGCACGATTGCACGAATATCTAGATCTTTTCTTATGAAACTGTTTCTGTGAATGTATGATTTATGCGCACATCAATAATACGATTACTTATACAGTGTAACATTAATGTCATGCAGTCAAGTTCGTGGTTATGTAAATTATTTAATTAATGACAGGCAAAAAACACACTTAAGCTTAACGCGGCACACATGTACGTTAAGCAAGCCTAACTTAACCATATTAAGTAGCTGTCTCGATAAGAAAAACAAAATATGGAAACATGTACTGTAGTTTATCAGATATATAAAAATTTAAATATGTAAGCAAATACGGATTACGATTAACGAAATGCAGCCGCTTAACTAATGCAAGTACTGCAGTAACCTGCTGAAGACCTTGTTAAAGCGATTTACATACAGGTCTACAATTACGACGAATTGTGCGCTCCTAACATCGTCTTAGAGAACGTTCAATTGTCTTCTTTAGCCAGTACTTGCGTAATTTTGAAATGTTACCAAATTAATTTTGTAGAAAAGAAACAAGGCATTAGTTGTTGCCAGCACGCGGGAGTGCTAAAGCGCCAGAATAGAAACTGAGTACTCGCAGTGTAGTGTTACGTAACTTTACGCTGATGGTAGACATGTTTTGGTAGGTGTTGCAGGCGGTCGAGCACTTAACCAACGTTTCCCAGGAAAACCCGGCAATGGCTCCGCCCGTCATACCGGTGGCACCGCAACGCTCCCAAAATGCTTCCGGTTCGTCGGTATCCGTCGTCGTCGTTCCGCTAGTTCAGAACGCCTTTGACCTCGTGGATCATAACACATCAACACTTGCACAAGCTGCCGCGGAAAATCCTTTGGTGATCAGTTCGAAGAACGGCAGTCACACCACACTTCACGTGGTAAGTTGTGAATCTGACGTCATCAAGCACGACACGAGAGACCACGTCGCGATTATTATTTATTTTTCTTGGTCAACGACCATCACAACCGGCATTAATCAAGCAGCAATACTTTGACAGGTGGTCAAACGTGAATCTGCCGACGCTAACGTGCACAACATCACGTCAGCCACGGATAATTCACATGGACCGCTCAACACTGACGTCGATCTCAGCGCCAGTGCAGTGCAGTCACTGCCACGGTCACCGGTGCTGATAATCGAGAAGAACGCAACCGGACCGCTTTTGGCGAAACCGGCCGAATTGGTCACACAGAAAGTGGTACCGGAGACTAACGCCTCTACAAATGTCGATGCGGTGCCCTTTGCCAAAGTGACCACTAACGCGACGGAGGGAAATACTACCGGACCAGGTGCACCACTCCTGCTGCCGTCGCTACTGGTACCGGCTCCCGGTCCGGTGATTCATCTGGCGCCGCAGCTAGGATTTCTCCCCTTAATCAACGCATCCGATGTGCCCGCTCATGTCGCAGATCAACCACAAACAGCGGCTGTTGACCATGAGGCGACGACACAAGAAATGCTATCAAATAATTTTACGGTCGGCTTACCGACGTTGTCGCCAGTACAGATTGCCAAAGTTGCACAACCCAGTCAGGTCAATCCACTTCCTGTCGGAACGTTTGCCTTCATTCCCGACAAGAATCAGAACAATGTCTCTCGCACAGATTTGTTGCTACATCTGCAGTGATGCCGTTATGCTTATTATTATTATTACCACAAAAGACATTATCTTCGCATTGCAAAATATTCAACGAAGAGCAGTTATCGGAATTTATTTTTAGAATACCGAAAAATAAAACTACTGAACGAAACAATAACGGGACAACAAATTAACGGTTCACGTAGAAATATCGACAAGGATGCAATCTGTTCATACAGTCATACTTTTGGTGTTTTTCAATGCTGTCTAGTTATGATTTATGTCATACGTTTAATATGTATCGATAACTAATCATAATTTCATAGCAAAGCTGAACTTCGGATTTTATCATCTTTCCGTTAGAATGAGGAAAATGTATGTGCCATCACGATCGACATGCTTCTACCAAAAGGCGTCCGCTACAACAATAATCTTCTCGCAACAAAAATAACATAACCGTGATCAACAGTACAAGACTAACAAAATGTAACAGCAGAAAAACAAACCATCGAACCATTAATTTGAGGAAGCTGGAGTTGGATACAGTGGACAAAGCCACTAACAGACTTTTAAAGTGTTAATTTCCGAACAGTGTCGAAACCCCAAACCCGGACTTAATCCATTCAATTACCTTATGTCCTTCCTGACTTATATAAAACAAAGGCAGTGTACACACTAGCGCTGAGATCAGATGGGCTTTATTTTGAAGTGCAAAGCTATCAAGGAGAAGACCAGGCACTTGAGATCCTGCACCAGATAATAGAAGCAGCGCAGTCCTTCGGGATCGGTGCTGTTATTGACGTCCATCAGGGACCCGATCTTACTGGTGGTGAAGGAAATATGCTCAGAGCCCATGAGAATCTCCAGCTCCTGACGACCCACACGATCGGGAACAGGCCACTTCTGATCGTTCTCCCGCAAGATTTCGCTCTCGGAGATGATGCGGCGCACCTCGTCCATCACGGCGGGATGCACCACGACTTCCTTGCGGATCATCGTGTCGTTCTTGTAGTTAGAGTTGTTGGCATACCGTAAGCGTCCATCAGGACGAAACTCGAACTCCAGGAACTCGTGCCCAAATTTTCCTCTATGGCCCACATAATAGCGCACGTAGAAGCTATTTTCATTCATCCTTCCAGACTCAAAAGTACGAGTACTCACGCAGTGGAGTGGGACAAGCTCGTTCACGTTGTAAATGAGTAAATCCGTTGTCAAGAAGCTGCTGATGGTTCACAAAACCAGCGAAGACAGCAATATGGTGTTTTCAATTACAAATATCCCAACTCAAAGGCAAAAATATCAAGCAATAAAAATGAATGTAAGGTTTGATCCGTTTGAAAGAAAATATGTTTACGATTAATAAATATAAAAGTTAATGTTAATCATAAGTTCATAAATCATAACGATAACATCATAACACTGATCACAGTACCGTAGCATAGAAGAGGAAAATAGTACTACTACTTAAATTCCCGTAGTATTCTCTATACAAACGGTAAAGAAACTGCCGTCCGCAGCGGTATGCTCACTCTTAAATTAAAATTTTAATATTGCTTCCTGGGACGGGTAAATATTGTACATACATACTGTACGTGGTCGACCGTTTTTCGTGATGCGTATGGTGTTGCCGTGTTTAGCCCTGTTAAAAGCCCTTCGTAACACTTTTTTCCAACCCATGACGTCGACTGACCATGAGGTAAAATGACATCAATGTAACCGGAAGCGAAATCGCTTTCGGCATTGTTTTACTACGAAACATTTCTAAATTTGAATTTCTGATTACCACAGTATTGTAGACATGTAAACAGCTTATAACAGCAGTTTGACTTGTAGTAACAATATTTTTACTGATGACAATAACAAATTAACAACTGCCGACCGCAACCTTCGAACCACAGTTATCGATGCATGCAGTAAAACAACTGCTGTTAGCTTAAAACTGCAGCTGTCAGCACTTCGTAAAAGTATTGGGTCACCGTTAAAGTATCCATAGTTAAAGGAGACAGCGCATAAAGGTTTTGAAGGTCGTACTCTTACAAGAATGATAACCTGGTCAAGTGGTCAACCACAGCGGGTATATATAGAACCCGGTGCAGCTATCGGGTGGTTTGTGTCCGGTGATTTCGTAACTTCTTGAGCCCAGTAATTTTCCCAACTCCATTGTTTGCGTCGAGTCAGGGACAGGATTGAACCACCATGACCTTTCTCTCCACGCTGATATTCCTTGGCATATTCGGCCTCATCCTACCTTCGAAGAGTGTGGTTGCAGTATCAGGTGACCTTTACACTAGTATATACTACAGCTGTTTTTTCGAAATTTTTTGCAATTTTGCGTTGTTAGATGTGACAGAGATAATTAATAACATCCTGTGCAGGTACGGAATTTAACCTGTTGTTTAAATTAGATCGATTACCAAAATTTATTTTGATTCTTTAGTGCCAAGTTTCGACTTGCCACATCGCGGATGTTATTTCACCAACTGGGCTCAGTATCGCACCGGAAATGCCAAGCATACCGCCAGCGACATAGACGCCAGTTTATGCACCTACATTATGGTGGCTTTCGGAAAAATTGACGGAGGTCAGCTGGCTATTCGTGAATGGAACGATGAAGGTAATGAACGATCAGCTTTGGACATGTACTACAGATTGGACTACAAGCCTCGCTTTACTGACGTTAATGTTAGCACGTAGCATAAAAAGGGTAGCTCTTCCTTAACTCGGGTATGACAATAATTTTGTCCGAAAATTTTCAGCGACCTTTGCAACACTAAGCAAACTTCGCTCCGCCAACCCAAAGCTGAAGATTTTGCTGAGCATTGGTGGTGCCACAACGAGTAACCGAGTGGCGGATATGGCAGCCGCGCCAGCGGCAACGCAGCAGGCTTTTGCTAAATCCGCTGTGTCGCAGCTACGAAAGTGGGGTTTGGATGGACTGGACATTGACTGGGAATTCCCAGAAGCCGCACAGAAGGTCCAGTTTGTTAACCTTGCCAAGGTTAGCATATTGATATAATCATCACAATGCACATGAGGTGCGCTTCACAATCAGTTGGTAACCGAATCTGGTTGGCATCTTCTTCTGTAACACGATTATTGCAATTGACAGACTCTGAAAAATACATTCGAAAAAGACGCAAAGCAGCCCCGCTTATTATTAACCGCTGCGGTCCAGGTTACAACCCACAAGGGATACGATGGTCCAGCTCTTAACGGGTAATGTATTTTCCAAATGATTGGAGGGTGAGAGCAGCACTACAACTGTGCCGCAAGTTAAAGTTTAAATTAATAATAAGTATGTTGTATAATGCAATACTGTATCTGTGCTAGAACTAGACCACCCAGTTATAATATGATAGGACTACTCTGGATCTGTAGAATACGTCCACGTTACACTGAACAAATTGACGATTTTGGGCTTTACTACGAGTAGTGAATATTAACAGCAATGGTAGTGGCGACCGTAGTGCGCTTCTTGTACGTAATTCATTTGATTACTATGAAAGAATCATAATAAAAAGGTTTTTCTTAATTTAATGCGAATACATTGGTTCTGCTATCAGCTATCTTATATTTTACCAGTTCGAAGTATGTAAAAGCAAATTAACTTTGCAGCTTGCTCGATCTGGTACAAGTTATGGCCTATGATTTATATGGAGCGTGGAGTCCGTCAAAGACCGGTCACGAAGCTCCTTTGCTGAAGGGACCTTTTGGTGTGGAAGGTGATCTGTCCGTGGTAAGAACTGCTGACATGCATGCTTGATTTTACTTTTGACTGTTGACTATTGGTAAATTTTTTGAGGCACTAATCGAGCCTGTAAAATTACGTACTTTGTTGAAGCGTGAGCAACGTCACTTACTTAATGATACTGTTTGCATTCTTAGCGATTTTGCATCGGTGTACTATAAAACACCAGCGTACCAGTTCTGATAAATAAGTTCTGGGAGAATTAGTTGTCGAATGTTGATTTGTGGGAAGTTGACAATAACAAATTTTAACTTGCGGTGATATCGTGGTCTGTACTCGTAGGCAAGTGTGATGAAATCGTGGGTTGATCTGGGTTTTAACAAGAGCAAGCTCGTTGTGGGTCTGCCGCTGTACGGACGCGGCTGGACAGTGTCGGGGAGCAGCGTTGGGTTGGGTGGCGCGGCTACTAGCGCTATGCCCGCCAGTAAGTATACGACGGAAGTAGGCAACTGGCCGTATTACGAAATCTGCGAATGGATCAAGCAGAAGAATGCAAAAGTGACCTTTGACAACAACATCAAGGCATCGTATGCTCAGGCTGCCGGTGTTTGGGTGGGCTACGACGACAAGGCCACAATTACAGAAAAGGTGGGTGCAACTGTGGTAGAGTTAGCGTATGTCGGCTGAGCTAGAATTCTACTAATTAAAACTAGCAAGAGACCTCACTGAACAGAAGTACCGTAATTACTGTACTACGATTTTGTGTACTTCTACGTGAGTTGCTGCTTACAGACTAAATGGGCTAAAGCAGACGGTTACGCTGGGGTGTATGTTTGGGATCTTGCCCAGGACGACTTTAAAAATATTTGCGGTGAAGGAAAGTATCCTCTCCTGAATGCCATCAAGAGTGTCCTCAAACCATAAAGAAAAATTTTTAAGTCGAAGGATGTAAAATCCATTTTTACACACGTTGAAAATGCATGATTCTCACATAGCGGTAGGGGGAATGGTGTGGGTGTTTGGTTCAGAAATTAGAACGGTGGTGGACCTGATTGCTGCAAACCGTTCATGCATGCTGCAAGCAGATTATGAATTGTTATTTCATTTTAATGCGTATCTTAAAATCATCAAAAATGTGTACGCGCTAAACAAATAATGCGCATAAAAATGATAACACACTTGATTGAGTGGTGGTATTATTTACACACTAAATGGTACGTAAGCACTACGCTTCCTTAAATCTGTTGAAAGAGCCCGAAGGATCAGTTTTACACGACTTCTGAATTTCACGAGGTTTTCGGACAATTTTTACTGATGCTTCAAAGACTGGGATGCATGATTTTGATTTATGTTTTAGTTTAGAATCAAAGACCTTAACATTTTCTAAGCAGAACGGCAGATGGTACTCAAAACATTTCCAAGTTTCGTTCTACAGGAGTTATCGCAAATATAGACTTACACTTTTAAACTACCGTATGATAAACTAACGTATCTTACCATTAAGGATATTGCGGCAGATCGTCAAATACAGAGCTGTTGAAACAGCGCGAAAAGCTAAAGATAACTCGTGTTTTGCATGGGTTATGCAAGGTGTAATTAGGATGTTACAATTTGCGGAATTCTGACTGCCACCTTATTGTGAGCAATTAACGAAGCGTGCAATATCAATTCTGTCATCAGTCATGGTTTTTTTTCCAGTTGTCATCTCCCGTAGCTGTAATCGGGTCGGGAGTTAATAAACCGGAAAAATTCTTGAATAACGGTAACGAATAATTAATCAACGCCAAGTTAGATTTAGCAAGATTCCAGGGAGTAAGAATAGTTTGTCGTGTTGTGTGGAAGTATTCCAAAACGTGCGGTACGTAAATCTTAGATTTAATGAGATGGGAAACGATATGGCTATCACATTACAATATTTTACTATTGAATGTTGATGCTGATTACGGAAACCTGTCAGCTGTCGCTGTAAATAGTTTTGGCAATTCGATTACGAAATTACCATGCTCTTTATACGTAATTCGTCGCCTTGTCCATTCAAATATCAAAAGAAAAGAATGTTGTCATTTTTCTCACTGAATTTTGATATGGAGGAGGCGGTTGTATTTGGAAATCTGGAACGTGCACGTCAAAAGTGAAATTGAAAATTGTGTTCTGCGGGAGTTGAATTACTAGTGCAGTGTGCTTTTTTGATAGATACGCTTGGTCTGGACAAATGTTACATCATTAACTGATACCCGTGCACAAATAACTGAAATATTTCTGAAATGCAGCGTCCGGAAATATTTTATTTTGCACTTCCGTTTTATTTTACTTTAGTCTGTACTTACTTCATTTGCTACTTTCCAATATTATTTGACACGTACGTCTCATTCGTATAGGTATCAAAATATTACGTTTGAAAATTTGTTCGCAATTTGTCATAACCACGTAAGTGTTTTACCGTACGCGTAAACAAACAGGGAACGAAATATTAGATAATTATGATCACTAGAAGTATAAATACCTATACTACAGAGTACTAATGCCGTTTCTCCGAATGGAGAGGCCTTTTGATGTTGTTAAAAAAGTCGAAAACTGAACGTTCAAGTGTTACTGTAATGTAGGTGATGATTCAGCTAGCACAAAAAGTTACTGTACATAAATAGTGACACCAATACACGCATAAAAAGAATCAAAATATTTTTTAGTGTCATGCGTTATAAAGGTTACGGTCAACTTAATGAGCCGGCATGTGTGATCCTACATTAGGTACGTGCGATTGCGGAACCGCCCTTCGACATGGGAAAAGTATGACTTAATCGCCAGACTATTTCTTGCTGACGGATTGAGGATCTTATCGTTATCGTATGTCGAACTAATTTACAGAAAAAGAAACAGGAGCCAGTATGACTGGATTGATGGTAATACATTAGGAACATAACATACCGAGAAGAACAAGTACGGATGCGTAACATGTAGCGCCACCGGCGTGAAATGATCTACATAGATTATGTGGATTTTGGCTAGGCTTGGATGAACACAGATTTCAACACTCCCAAAGTTTTGAAATATATGTACTCCCACGAGAAGCAAGGTGGCCTGCTCTACAAGGGAGCCGAGGCTAATTATACGCCAGATTGGAACAGCTGTTCTAATCTTACGATTATAAGGACGTCTTGTCGTGTACAAGTACTTTGATATATAATAGCGGTTTTATGTTTCATATATCGGGATCACATTTAGTCAAACTCTCATTTCACACTTCTTCGTTCCAGTCCGTTTATCGACTTCCGTATCCATGTTATGAAGTAGCCGATGCCCTTGAGCGTTTGTACAGCTCGCCGTAGCCAAAGATGGTGAGGCGGAAGTCGGAGGTGTTATAAGCGGCCAGAGTGAAGAGGCAGACCGTAGTCTGTGTTACATCTGTTTCAAATCCGAAAAATGATGGTCAATCACCCTATTCTTTTGGGCGAACACGCCTAATATTCTCGAAGAATGCAGAGTAAGTAGCATACAAGTATAGAAGAGTCTCTTTAATTAATTTAAAACTATTAAAAGACAAAATCTTTGATTCCTGTGCGCCACTATCTATTTATCTATTTTTTTTACTATACGTTACTTTTTTTCTATGAGCTAATGTTTTATGGGCCATTATTACTATTATTTTACTGTTTAGCTACTTTTCTGCAACCCGGTTCGCAGTATTTTGAGCTGTGTTTGTGAAATTGCAATCGCTATTTTATTTTGCTAGCTAGCAAAAGCACTATAATAATAAGCCGGTAAATAACTGCGAATCAAAAATACTTGATTACCATAAATGACATAAACAGTTATTTTAACTCAAAAATAGCACTATGGTAATTTTTGTATGTGCATTTCTGTGCCACGTGCTTTTATACACACATGTAATACTTGTACGCGTACAGATTACATTCTCATGCAAAAAAACTGTTTTTTCAAGCGAATGTTATTTTTAGAAATGTTGTCCGCTTATCAGTAGCACATTCGTAACACACTGCATGAGTTAATTGTAAGTGTTCATGAAATATGTAATTAGCTACTGGTAGCCAATGTGTTATTAGGTAAAGCATGCAATTTGTACATGGTGCTTGCAGTAAATTAAAACTGTAACATTTTGAACCGTGATATAAGAAGAGGAAAAAATAGTGACGTGACATTTTGTGGGCACATTTAATGGACACATGGTTTACATAATTTTTGTCGTCCTTGAAATATATGAACCGGGTGGGGATTTTGTAATTCTGTGCAATTTGTCAGTTGAGCGGATTTTGGGTTAAGTGGGTCGTATGTGTCCATTATGATGGGGAAAAATTTAGCTCATAAATCTCGATAAGACGGCGCTAGTGTAAGATACACTTCTGATAGACTGTTTCGGCTTGATTGCTTCTTTTTGGCCCCGACGACAATGACTTTGACACACATCTTCCGGATTATAACGATGATAACAGGAGAGCGGCCCAAGGGCGGAAATCAATGCCGACATGTTATGTGAGTGATGAATTTCCTGCCGATCCAGCGGCGAGATATTATATAGGGAACAGATTGATTCTGCCGCGAAAAGTTAGGTCACTGTCGGTGGTGGAACACAGAAACTAGGTTTACTCCAGCGGCAGTTGGGAAATTCTTTACGTAAGATAATCGTATCCCCATTGCGATGTGATGTGGTAATCGGAAGTCAGGGCAGTTAGCATACAAATCCTGATATCTTACTGATCCAGTGACATAATAAGCATTGTGCCGGCATGCATGGATCTCGAATGGCGGCGAGTGGTACCCACAGAATGCGATAAGCGTAAATTACGTTACTTTTACATTTTGCACATTGCATAAAACTTCATTTAGGGATTAACTTTTTACAACGCTGAAAGCGGCGATTAATGGGAGTAAATCGGCTTTCACTCGGCTGACAGATGAGGGGATAATTTTGTTTGTCCAAAGTGTCCCGTCTTAATACAGTTGTAAAAAAACTAGGTTATTCCGCAATGTCAGTGTGTAATATGTATCGCCGTCCTCTGTTATCATGTTCAGTACGGCACTGGGAATCTGAGAACTGTCCAGGGCATAGTCAGAAATGCCATTGATGACAGGATAACTGTACTTCCCACGCTCTCCTTTTTTAATTGTCCCGCATCGTTTCCGGGACGATTCACTAGCTGTGTCCCTTAATTAAATGCCGAGCAATTATGGTGTCATTTAAGTCCGCTGTTGTCCTTGTCTGGCGTCTTCCGTTCTCTAGACGGCGACGTTTTGCGTACCGGTCACAAGAATGATATTAAAGAAGGAAAACAATTGCGGTAAACTGCGTATCATGTTTTGCATAACAGGATGGCAATTAAGGTTACGTGGTTTCCAATGGGCAATGTCTCCATGTGAAGCTTTGTTCAATTAGGAATTCCGAATTACAAGTGTATAGTGGTATTTCGGGTCGTTTTTTCTTACTGTTGTAAATTGTAACCAAATCCTTATGGTTTTCTGAATCATTTCTTACCACATTGCGTCTACAACAATATGATTAATCAATAACGCTCACAAACGGAAATATACCAAATGTTATTTTTTTACACTGACTGATAAATTCTGTATCGCTGGATCATGGAAATACTGCTTCACTATCATCTACACATCTGTATCTGTACGTCTGTAAATTTTTGTCCGTCTGATGCCTACCGTTTGGCATTTCGTAGTGCCAAACGGTAGGCCGCCAGCAGTCTACCGGCGATTTCCATAATTATTCTAACACACTGTATCTGTACATATGATTATGATAGTACTTATCCAGAATATAAAACTACGAGTACACAAAATATAACGCAATCCCTGCGCGACGCAGTACTTAAAAAACCTCATTAGAAAAACTTAAAATACAAATATTTTATACGAGCAGAGGATGCGAGAGTATTTGATGAGAATGAAATGCTGCATGAGAGTACGTGCACTTTATCCACGCAGACGTCTTACGACGAAAATTAACCACAGAGTCTTTGTACGTACACACTGCTGCTTCTCGATAAAGCTCTGCAGCTCTTATGGTTAGCCGCTTTAAGACGTTGTCTGCAATAGGGGCAGCGCAGTGCAGTTGTTTTTTGTGCCACATCATACAATAAGTGGCATTGTTACGCGTGTATCCCAGATCCCATCCGATGCCGCGCATTGGTGGCATTCACAGTAATTGGGGAATGCGCTGACAGGAGTCGAAATAATTGGTTTACAGATGCGATAATTTGTGGTTTTTTGCTCAGATCGAGGCCCGAATTGATGTAAAAGACAACCGGAGCAAAAAACGCCATCTAATTCTATAGTGGACAATGCCCACAATCCCGCAGTTGATGGGCAGCTTTCATCAGCGCTTACTGCAGTTGGTTGCAGGCGCACGAAGCGATCAAAGAGATGGACGCAATGTACCTCTGGGTGAGTTTTTATGTTGCACTGCGCAATAATTATGTGAAATCAATCTTTTAGCGCCTGCACTTTTGTTATTCTGGTGACTATTGCCTATTAAATAATAACTACATATTTTGCAACTGCATACCTTTAGTAACCCAAATTTTCACTAGATTAAAATTAACGCACATTTAAATCTGTACATGTTTTTAGCACAAAAATAATACCTATCTGAAAATATTTAAAATAAATTTTAATTGGTATACTATCAGATAACTGATAAGCAAGCCTCAGCTTGCAAGTTCTTTGTAACCATTATTCATATTGATATGTTATCAATATAGAAGTATAGATATATCAATATACTGTATATATATATTGTAAGTATTTATAAAATTTTTAAACAGTAATACTACATTTAAAGTTGAGCAGCGAGGCAAGAAACGTCAAACTTACAACAGCAGGTTAAGCGTGAGCGTGACAGATCTGTATTATTCTACCTTGCTTCCCCTTTTGATTTATGTACATAGTTAGTGAACCTCTAGTTAAATGTGCCTGATTTCATAAGGTCATGGGTGGTGTTAAAAACTGACAGGAGGCTGATAGTACGAGTATAATTATGCAGGATAGTGACGGGTACCATTGCAGAATTTTAGTTTTGTTCCAGTAGTTACTAGTTAGTAATGAAAAGTTTAAGTTATAACCATCGTCACGGTCAGATTCGTGCTTAAATAGACGGACAAAAATGTGGCGTGCTTATGAAAATCTGCTCGTGCACGTAAAAAAATAAAAATATACGTGGTCTTATACAGAGTCTGTTATCGGTCGACGTATTCTCCTGAACTGCAGATTAGCAGTTGCATTGTAAGTACATAATAATTATAACATGAGTACACATTATAACACGACGAATATCTAAGCGGCTGGAAGATTTACTGTATTGTAAAATATTATATCGATGCCGAAACCGAATACGATGTCGATATTATTACCGAAGAGTATTAGTTATTAGCAATAATAACTTAATAATTTGTTTGTAATAACGCTTGAAGGAGCCGCACTTTTTCGGTTCTATTACTTATAACGACGAAGTAACAAATGAATAAAATTATTGGTTAATATGCAGGTACAATATGTAAAATAACTGTCGTAGTTACTTAATCAATACCTGAAATAAAGTATTGTGCGATATTAACAGGAAAGAACAGTGGCACTACCAATAGTGTGTAAAAGCTTGAATTTCTTCCGCATAACATCAGCTGATCTTTACTTGGAGTTTGTCTCGAAAGTTAATATGAACACCAGTTGAAAAATTGGGGTGGGTAACGGTTCTCCGTATCGAGTGGCTATCGTTAATTATACAACCTGTTTATTCATGTATGAATACCAGGATTCGTAGTAACTACATCATACATGCGTATGGTATCACCAGTGTTGCTACGTATCCCAGTATCCTGACTAACGTAAGGCATCCACTGCAACACCAGTGATCATAGGCACAGCGCCGATCGCAACGTCTTCCTAATTCCCACGCCGTTTCCGGCGACACACGTACGGTCATACAGTGCCATAGGCGCGATGAGTGCAGAGCCGTCGCTTGTATGATTATACGTCGGCGTTTCCGCGCACTCTTCTTTGCTGATGGTGATCCCAGAAGCCAATAAGTTAAATAGGAAGTTGCTTGATTAGCGAGATGGCGGGATCCAAAACAAGCCGGTGGTGATGAGGACTACATATTTAATTCGTCTTCATGGCCACATTCGGGTGTCAGAATAACCATTTATATTTGACCTATGGCCCTCCCGTATTGTCGATGGCCGTTTAACTTTGCTCCGTGGATTATTTGATATGACGTAACAAATGCTGTGTTGGTTTTCTTGACGGGATGGCAATGATCTGATCCTACATGTATAATCGTGTTTCGGATAAGTGACTAAAAATCTTGCAGGTGAGGTAACCTTTGGCTAACAAAGTTGTTTCCTCACGGTCAGTGAGACAATGTCGTAGACTCGCTGGGCGATTTCTGCTTTAAGATCCGGTGTTATAGTAATTTGATTGTAATTTTGCTGGAAGATACTGTTTCATTTTTTCATTTATACATGTCTTAATTGCCACTGAATACTTTATGATTAAATTATTATTTTATATACTATATACAGTAGTTAACCTTTTTATACATTTACTCTGTAGCTGTCATAAATTTTGTCTTTCTGGGGCAATAGACAAAAGTGTTTGTGCAGTATGTAACACGAAGCCGTACATTTGGGTTTAACGCATAATGACACAACCCAGCACAGGAAGTGTCAAAGATTAATCAAAAAAATTGCTTTTTCTGTTTTTAACTAAATGTCCAACTATCGTCTTGCAGTTAAGGCATAAGTACCAAAAATGATACATTACTCAGCCATGATGAATGGACATGTTAATTCTCCATGTAAATGGTAATAAAAAACATGCCGGCTCTCCCGGCATCTGCCTAGCTGCTGACCAACTTTACCATTTCCGTTTCCACAGTATGCATGCATATAATATTTCTTCCTTCGCTTGTAAGTAAATTGACAGATTGGCCTACATTCGTCTAGTGTCATATCACACTTATATTGATTTTGCGGTCATGGCATTTCTTTGTACATTTCCCCAGTTACATATGCGATTATATATTGTAGTATAATTTTAGCTAGGGTAAAAATGACTTGCACGAGTACACATCTTCCCTGTCGCTGCAGGTCAGTCCGGTGTTTGCTTCGCAGAACAACGCGAACCAATGGAAAATCCTAAATCCTCCCGACCGGGACAGTCATCGCTCTCCAGCAGCTTCCGGGCTGCTAATTGGCCCAGGTCCCAATTAGATAGGTGGATTACGACTTTTCCCGAGGAGATTGCACTGAAAATTCATAAGGCAAAGACAGAGGGCGAGAATGTCAAGATAAAGGTGAACAAAATATCATTAGAATAATTACACTTAGTCGGAGTAGGATAGCCTTAGTACGGATATGGTAGAGATGCTACAGAAAGATGAGCACTGCACTATTGATAACCGAAGTTATTCATACTCTATAATGCCAATATAGGTAAATATCGCATCGTATTTCATATAAAGTCACGTTTTGCTGTCGATTGCTGTCTGTACTCTCTAAACTTTCATATACCTAATTATTTTACAAACAATTCGCTGTTTTTCCAAAAAAAATTCGGAGTAACACATAATGTTGCTAAACCATAAAGAATTTTTGAATAAGTGTATATATGCAAACAATTGCAGTTTTATCTGATTGATTTTCAGCTTCCAAAGTGGACTGCGCAAGTCATACTACAGCAAACCAGCCATGCTGACCGCAAAAAAACATTAGCGGCTCTGCTCCGTTTAGTGGATGCTTTGCGGTCCAATTACGATGTGGATGAAGCGGATAGTCTTGTAAAAGGACTTGAGTAAGCACTGCTGTAATGTTGCTTAGCGCATAATAAAAAATTATTCACACAGCCGGATAGCGAGCGCAAACTATGTGCACTTTCCCTTATAATTATGATAACGGACGATCCACTTCACACAAATGTGGTACCATATTACAGGCTTATGTAGTTCAGCGGGTAATTACATCGGGGATAGGATGTCCATACCGTAATGTTCACGGTCAGACATGGGGCGGGGTAATTCAAGGGAATTTACATCGCCCAAATTAAAGTGAATTGTCTCTCCCGAAACGTCGTTAATCTTCCCAACCGGCGACATGTTCTTATTGTTGGTATAATGTAAGCGCACTAACTTGCATGAGTGTTAACAAATTTTGAAACGTTATTGTTTATTTACGTGTTCAAACCCTATAAATAACGAAAAATAAATTCTGTTTACGTGATATATACATTGTAGCTTTTGCTTATCAAGAAAGCAGTCTTAATGGAGTCAGCAAAGATGAAATAGAAAGCCGCGAGCTACGCACTAATAATTTGTGGTGATGTTACGTCTTCCTGAACAAATGAATATGCTTTACTGCACCTTATCAAAATACGCAAATGAGGGAAAAACAGAATAGCACAATTTTCAGTAGCTGCAATGGCGCACGTAAGGAAGCATTTCCGGCACATGGCGTCGGCAGCCGCTAATCGATGCAGTCTGTAACCGGTAGTGTGCGCCCATTAACAAGCCAGTGCCGGCTTTTCCATGGGGACAACTGCTGCGGTGGCGCATCTTCCAAATATATGTATATAAACGATTTTTTAAGAACTGATTACAGCATCATCTATAGCCTATGATTGGCGTTTTATGAACAGGTTTTATAACACTTTGGTTTTGGGGATTATCGTTTTACTACGCTTCCTTGGGGGCAAATTGAAAGGAAACCAACGCTTGGTTAGACTGTTACACAAGTGCTGAAAATACAGTCTACTCTCTACGTCCCCGGTTGGGGCTTTTTTTCCGGCCAGCATCTGGCTGTGCTGGAATACAGCAGTGACTACTGACGCATAAACTTATGCGATTTTTATGCTTGACATACGGGGGAATTTACTGGTAATTTGAGAGGATAGTTGAGGGTCAGAAAATTAGTGCTGTTAGGCAGGGGCGTCACAGGTTCGGCAAAAGGGGGGTGTCAAATTTTGACAGGGGGGCAAAATTTGACGGGGGGCAATCGGTTTTGAAAAACATACTCTGTCTGCTCTCTTCAGTATTACTCTGTCTGTTCTCTTCTAAATTTTGACGGGGGGCAATCGGTTTTGAAAAACAGGGGGAGTCAAACTCCGAAAAATTGCCGGTTGACACCCCCTCTATGACGCCCCTGCTGTTAGGTAACCAGTTTATGCTGTTCTGCGCTGCGCATTTGTATATGTACTGTACTGTATATACATACAGAACACCCAGATGATGGAATGTCCCTGGGAAGAGCGCTTGAATGTGCTCATATCAAAGCACAACATTTTTGACAGAAAAACGATGATTGGCTTGCTTGCTAAGCAAAGTCGAAAGGAAGATGTTATGAAAAATTAATTCCAGACAGTTTCACTCGAAAATTTATGTTTGATAATTTACGGTATAGGTATAAAATAAATTAAACAATATAATTCGTGAACTTACCTTTTTTCTGAAAGTGAACTGACTGAAAGTCTTTTTTACCTGCTAAATGCGTACTTGCCTATGAAGTTTGTATTACACATACTTGCTTAATGGTTCAGTTACTAGCATGCAAATATTTGTTATAATTATATTTTTACCGGCAGACATATCGGTTGCTGATTATTCGCATAAGCGTATGTATCTGTCACACTCTTGTACTGTACATATACAGAGTACTAGTAATAACACACTTGAAGTTGATCAATGGGGTGGCACACGTGAACAAAAGCCAAACACGAAAAACACTCCAGAATCCATAACAGCCCAGTTCACACTTTACAGCTGCAACAATATCCTAGCGTTAGCGCGCCTACATGTACATGTACTGTACAACTCATGACCGGATATATTATCATATACACACACAAACAATTAGCCAAAGTGTTTATGTATGTTTCTTTTTTTCGGAGCCATTCCTAGAATGTCAACACTGAGTTGACCTTTGGGATATTATTGTAAATCAGCCGCGCATGCGTTGTTGAAATTTTTTCGATGGGTTGGGGAAGACCAGAAAGAGAGACCAGAGAGAAGGCGAGTTAACCTTGGGATGCGGATGTGTCGCTTTAATAAGCACCGGGTCGGGTTATAATCCGCTTGTTTACATAAGCGAGTTATTCAACAGTTCAATGCAGAAGGGATATAGGGTTTCATAAATCATTCCCTCCATGGGATGATACACTGATGAATGATAATGTGATATATTTGGAATCCCCTTTTGCAGAGCGGATGATCTCAAGCCGGTATGGTTATCCTTATCTGGACTGGCAGTGCCGCCCCAGCTCGGAGCCGCCTCGGATTCCGACGTTGAGGAGGACGTTCATGCCGGCACACCCACCCCTCCCCCCGCGCCGGCCTGGACGCGCATCGGCGTCACGTGCTACATCCGACGGGACCAGTTGACCCATCCGACACCGTATAAACTGTACATCGACGATGATAATCTGACCCTGGTGTGGATAGAAGCCGGCTGGTGGACATCCAATGGCAGCGGCAACAGCCTTACCACGGTGCAGTCGCTGAAACGCCGGCCACAACCACTGCTACGTCCAGGGGAGCCGCCCGTGAGCGGCGGTGTCAGTGCCGGTAATGGATCACTGGACATAACGCTGATCAAGGAGCTGTTCGTGCAGCGAAGTGGCGCCGGCGGCGGTGGTGGTTGTCTGTTGGAGGGGTTTCAAGTGGATGATCTAGTGGTGTTAGTGGTGATCTACGGCGGCTGTTTGTTAGCCGACAATAAGGCTCTGACACTGGTCCTCAGCCGGCAGTGTGCCGATGTCTTTCTTAATCAACTCCAGGATGCTGTGCGTATGGCGCGGATGGATCGCAAGAGTACGTGGTTACGCAAGACATACTTTCAGCTGCAGCAGGCTAATGAGTTTAGCCGGGAAAATGGACCGAATATTGCCGCAACGATTCGGGTGAGTTTGGATGAAAAATGCTAGGGAGAAACAAAAATAAAAATCGTTGTACTAGTAAATCGTAGCGTTGAGCGATGCAGGCTGCATGCGCGTTCGATCTGTAACACTGTGATCACCTGGGTAAAATTTTCCGTGCATTAGATGTGGAACCGTGTACGCTTGGAATAAATTTCTGCCGATTTTACTGAGATAAAGTTGTGTGAATTTAATTAATCGCTACGAAGAATCCACGATAGTTTCTCGAATTGTGCATCATGTATATTTATGTATCGTGTGTACAGAGAATGCGTTTAATATAGGCGTATAAGAGCCAAGGTAATGGAGTATATGTTCATTATTCATATACTCATTTATTTCGCGATTTTTATGGGAAATCAAAAGATCTTAATATGTAATATTAAATAGCCAGCTTGTCAGTTAATCGGAACGTACTTTTCTGTAAGGATAGACTTATCTTATTAATCTTTAATGCTCGCACGCCACCCACCCAGTGGTTCTCCTTTCCTGCCTTCGGGGAATCTTCATGGCGGTCTCCGCATTTTGCCGTAAAAGGTCTGCACCAATCATTCATCGGCACAGCAGCTGGTAAATCTGGATAAATTTGCTCGGTCTTTTGTGGGAATTGAAAATCCTGCAAAATGCCGGCTCTGTGCTCCATGGGTGGGCAATCACGCCCGGCCCGTTACATCACCTTGACAATTTTGTCCTTGACATTTAGTGGGATAGCAGCATGACACATGGATGGGGCCCATTCTTGTGAAACAAGTGTCATCTTACACCTTATTTGTACTCAAATGCGCAGCACCAAATCAATAGCACCCTATAGCTAAGATTAGGCGCTGCTTACGCAAGTCGAATGCTAAATAATGCACTGCATTTCCGTTGCTTTTCGGCTGTAGTGTGGAAATTCTAATATTGCCGCGTTTGTTCTGGAGCGTTTTATGTCTATATAAATATGCAATTCTGAAGATCTAAGACTATAAATAGCTGAGAGTTGAGAAGCGTCCTTTTGAATTGCTACGGTGAAATTTATACATTTTCCAAAGGTTGTGTAGTAAGGTTCTGATTGCTTTTATAGGCACTTGGCGGGAAAGATTTGTCTGCGGGTGCCAGTGTGAACAGGACAGCCACAGCTGTCGCTAATGCTGCCTTATCATGCACGCGACTGGGCTCAGTCGCAGTCGAGGTATGTCGCAAATCTGGCACCATAATAATTATTAATATTAGTACTCGTACATAAGAAACATGGACAAATGCATACTTCTGCTGGTAGTAAAAAAATTATGCGATTGGTGAGAATGACATAATTAACCAAAATGTGAACAAATTATGACCAGCTTCTCTTATTGTTCATACAGCTGCTTAATACGGCACTCGTAAAATGTATAATACGACGTTTTTCATAAAAAATTGTAGGTGCATGGATCGTCAGCGTCGATTTCGCCCATTCCTCTACGACGCGTCAGTACACCGACCCGAGCATTACGGGAGAAAGATGCCTCGAGTGGATCACTGACACTCTCTCCCGCGCTGCAGCCGACGACGATGGGCAATCGGAACAAGAATCGCCGGCAAAGTGAGCCCAATCTGCAGCATATGCACACGCTGCTGCGGTGCAGCGCACTCAAGCCGCCTTGCGCACCGGAAATGGATCTTCTTCTGCGTCGCGTGAGCACCAGTCAGGGCTTTGCCGACATGGCGGAAACGCTGCACGGATTGGACTTTTTTGAATTTGGCGAATTATGCGAAACATTCTTCACACAATCCCGTAAAGATCTGCGCGAGATCTTCTGCCGATTAATGAACACCGACCCACCCAGCGCGTGCTGGCCGCTTCCGCTCAAGCAACGTGAGTACTGGCTTTTTCTACTATGTAGCTAGAACTCAATATTCGTGATGCAAAAAAAGGAGAAATCTCAATATCCGCTACAAAATCCGGATAGGCTGCAGAAATACGCTGGAAAGCATTTTTACTTTCAAGCATTAATTACTGGAGTTGTATTTATCATTCCACAGATGTGGCAGTCTGTTATTTCAGCGCCTCTGTTGTACACTTTGGTAACTCAAGCAAAAATTGATTTTCATAGCAAAAGTATTGTCAAAGGAACAGCAGCTGTTCCGAGCCATTTAGAAAAGTCGAAGAAAATCCTTGAAAATTGAATACATTACTGGAACTGCGGATGCGATATTCGGGAAATGTAAATTCGGAAAATGGTTCAATACGCTGCATCAATAGATAGAAGCAGACGAATTCTGTAAATAATTAAGCTCATCGTTTTTGTGCGGACAGTAATAACAGTAGGTGTGCCCTGACCTGACAACATTTCCGTGCAGCTCAGCAAAAAGTTTCCCATTTACAGATGCGATTATGGTACTTTGCTGGTAAATAATTAAGTGGAATTTCATTTAACACTGAAGCGGATATTTGAACGCATTCCGAGTGGGAACAAAGTATGCGTGCCGTGTTTTTCTAGACCCGGCATTCCGATTAGACTCATAAAACGATGGGAAAGCATCCATCTGATTTATGATCCGTCACCGTGTCCCTCACAGTGCGGCCGTTTATTGAATGCCATTTTTCAAGTTCATCCCGCAGTTTAGCGCATAATAACGCCGGGTTAAAGAACCGATGCCGGCCACTTAAATCAAATTCCTGCAACTGCCGGACTGTTTTTCACCGTTCGACATGGAAACGCGCCGTTCAAAGCAGTGGTCAGGGTCAAGATCGCTTGAATTACTGCAGTTTGGAGTCGTTCGATGCAAACAGAAACCCAATATATTGCGTAACTTTCCATAAATTAGATAAATCGCACACAATACAACAGCTGCCCTAGCATCTTTATGACAGTATGGTACGATCTGCGTTATTCGGAGCGCCGGCAAAATTAATATTCCGAGCTGATTGTATTCTGGTATAAAGAATTATTTTCTTTCTCTGTTTCTGCCACGTAAATATTAATGGAACACAGAATATATTACCAAACTTTATTACCTGAAAGTGTTTTCATGCGAGCAATCACTTAAGCATGTTATAATATAGGTATGTTCACTGGATCCTACAAAGGTCATGAAAAATTGTATAAATTAAAGATGAAATTGCAAGTGTATAATAATTATATTATATCATGCAACAGCACATACGGTATGGCAAGAAACTTGAAAAAGGGATGTTGGTTTATCTTGTTGCTGTAGAAAGTTGAGAAAGCTTTTTCATTACTATGTACGGAATTTTACTGTAAATGAAGGGTGTACATGTACGTGTACATGTAATTTTGTATTTTAATAACATTTGATAATAGGCAACGCACCCGCGGACACACAACAGATCTTTGATGCCGTCTGCGCCGCCAGTGTCCTGTACAATTCCGCCGGTGTGGAACCACCGCGCCGGCGCACCGCCTTAGACGTCAATAAACTGTGCGAATTTTTCCGTGAACACCAAGACATCCCGCTCAGCAATCAGGAAGTGGAGGATCTCATCGACAAATACGAAAGTGATCAACACCTGCGTGATGCCCGCCAAATGTCATTTGCCACGTTCGCCAAGATGATCCGCGACGACGGCATGTTCATGATTGATGAGGAACTGCCGTGCAGCGATAAGGTCGGTACTCTGCACACATGCGTGCTGACACTTTCCCCCCAATGCATGCTTATTACGGGGTGTTTAATTGTCGTGGCTGAATTCTTCGTGTGGATTAGGACATGCACTGGCCCTTTAATGAGTACATCATTGCCTCCTCGCACAATACGTATCTGACAGGACATCAGCTCAAAGGGGACTCTTCCGCCTATAATTACTCACAGGCGCTGCTGAAGGGGTTCCGCTGTGTGGAGTTGGATTGCTGGGATGGAGAGGGAGGACTGCCGGTGGTTTACCATGGCCGCACGCTGACGACCAAAGTTCCACTTAAGGTTAGTGTTATCGTTGCAAGATACCGGAAAATTAAATTTCATGATACAGTTGCCAATCGGTGTTTGTTTTTTTCTTGCGCTTTAAAAATTATATTTTAAAATAACCTTTTGCATGTGACTCTCTGCTTGCTTGCGCATGGATAACATACACTTCGAAACCGCGTAAATAGCTGATTTAAGTTTGCATAAAAGATCTCGCGATAGGTGCTATGCTGTTACTGTAATTGTGCAGGTAGACTGTCAAATGCGCAACACTCGAAGCTAATTCATTGCTTGAAGCTCTAAGCTTGAAGCTGCGCACATTTCCATTCAGTTATATTATTAATTAGCTTTATAATAGCATTTCTGCAATACTTCATAAATAATTCTTTGTCACTATAACTGCTAGTGAGTAAAAGATTGATCTATCTCGCTCTGCGAAAACACAATTATGCTGAAATGCACTTATGATTGGACACATATGCAATAATTATTGATCACACTAGTTATCTGTACCGCTAGCGCTTTGTAAAACAGTCCCTTCCATCTTCCTGTTGATGTGCTCGTAGCCAATTCAAACCGAATAAGTCATGATTATTTTTCGAAAATAAAAAGGTGTTATATAAGTAGCCAGTTAAGTTGTCGGCGCTTGTCGCGGTATTTATTGACTTTAAGAAAGATACAAGACTATGCTTTTAACACCAAGTATGTACACTAGTGTTGTGAACACAGTAGTGCTTGACATGCTAAGAATCTCTTACATAAAGGCAATGTTTAACAGTGATCTTGCCGATTGTGGTGTTGTATGTGTTTACTTGGTTATAGGGCACACATGTATACAAAGTGATAACCATTAACTGTCATTTTATCATCCTTCAGAAAATCGTGGAAGAAATCAACCGGACAGCTTTCGTAACGTCCGATTATCCTGTAATCCTATCGATTGAGAATCACTGCTCCCTGGTACAGCAGCGTAAAGTGGCTGAGATTTTCGAAGTACGTATGTTACTGTATTTACATCCGTAGTACGGTGCAACACCGGCGCGGCAGTAATTGAATGGACTCATGTCCGGTGCCGTAATCACTGCTGACACATACGCCATTGCAGGAAATCTTCGCGGATAAGTTATTCCGAAATTATCTACCCGACAAGACCTACTTCCCCACTTCGGACTGCCCGTTTCCATCTCCGGCACAGCTTAAACATAAAATCCTCATCAAATGCAAAAAATTGGTTCAAGATGAACTGAATTGCCGGGAGTTTCCTGTGGTTAGTATAAAAGGCATTAAGCCGACAATAATGCGACAGCATGTGGGCCAACATTTCAAACAAAGCAGGAATCAATGCAATTTATTCATCAGGCCTCGACATTTCTTTATGCAGTGCATCAGCAAAATTATTGTCAATTAAACTGAATGATTTAGATACTGAAATTAACTTAACCCGTTTGTGTAGTTCGTGTTCACTGGGTGCTTTTAATTAATTTGCTTAATTTCTTCCAGTGGCATATTAGGTTATTTACTTATAGCTATAAAGCAAATAAACAAGGTAAACTGATATGAAATTACTCAAAAATCGCAACAACTATTTTAGACTCTGAATCACCAGTGGCAAACATGAACCATTTGTGCCATAGTAGTGCACGAAATTTTTTATATTTATGCAAGCACTTTGTGACTTTTTTAAACACCGATCTTCACGAATGCTGCACTATATATTACTGCAACACTTTGATTTGAATTCGGAAACATGCATGGCAGTCTTCGGTTTTTTGAGTCAAGAAGTAACGACTCAGATTCACGGAAAAATTTTTCATACATGTGTGGATAAAAGTAAGCGGAGACAATTGCCTGATTTGCTAAATCGGAAAGTGTCACAACTGCAGCTACGGTCAGGAATTCCGTAATTACTTTGTCAGATTGCATACACAATGTTTTTTCTTCAGAGCCGGCAGTCATCCATGAGTGACGAATCAGGCCTTTCCGGCGAAGTGGGCTACACGGCGCTGGATGATGACCTAGAAAACTGGGGAGTCAGCGGAGATGGTAATACTGCTATATTGTATATTATTTGCCGCAGTGTATTCTTTACAAGGCCCGGATATTGATGATCCGATCAGAGCGCGACTAATGTCCTGTCTCCCATCATTCCCTATGTTCTGATGATATAGAGCTGGACGAATACCCCGGCGGTGATTGCGCATTGGGCGCCGAGCTGGAGGCCGGCCAGGCGCCGTCGCCCGTCATGACCCGGCACATGTGTGTCCGCCGGCTGAGTGAATGCACCGGCGACTACAGCGGCGCGGAGATGGAGAGCTTTGATTCGGGTGTCTGCGACATATCCAGTCCGGTGTCGGCGGAGTACGCGCGGGGCCGCTTTCCGCTGGCGGTCAGCGGGAAACTCTCCAGCAGTACGGTGGGCAGCTACCATCGGAAAAGCCGGAAACAGGTGAAAATCAAAGAACGAATTGATTTACAAAATTTTTTAAATTAAAAACATGTCAAGGAAGTATTTATGGTAGTAATTTTCTGACCGGTTGAGCAGTGTTTAATATTGAAAGGGCGAAGAACTCAGTAACAATAAACGGAAATAATTTAGCACATCAAAATTAGGAATGTCTTTTTTGAGCCCAATATGCGACTATTGAATTTAAAGCAGCAAGCTTTGTTGGCTTTGTTTTGCAGTCTAAGCAGATAGTGGTAACAGATACCTAACAGACATGCACAGTCTTGTCGTATTATTTTTGTTAACTGCAGGTGGATAAATTTACGTTGGCCGTGGAACTGTCCAATCTGGTCACGTACTTCCAAGCGGTGAAGTTCCAGCCCAAACTGGAATACCATTTACCCGGGAAATTCCATGTGGTGTCCATGAATGAGCTGGCCGCCCGGAAACTGGCCAAGAAGGCCCCGGAGGCGTTCAAATCATATCCTTTTTCTTACGACCACAAACATTTAGAGCAGGTTACAGTGCCATCTATCAAGAAATTAGGGTTTGTAGTTTATCCAGTCAGTACACAAGATTGGACTAGATTTCCCTGTTCCCGAAAAAAATTAGTACACCCACTGTCGTAATTTGACGGACATTTTGATAGTGTAATTCGACCACAATATCGAGGTTTATAGGCAATAATTTAACTGATGAGATAATGACAGTAAGTAACTGTTTTTCGCAGCCGCAGCGCTTAGTGATTTAGAAAAACACTGTGATTAGGGAATCCAGTAGCGTAGTTCGTCAATTGTACCATTAGCACATGTACAAGGTGCGGCAAGTTTGACCATGTATAGATAGAGCATTGTTGTAGTTAATTGCCGGTGTATTTTAAAGTGTTTCCTACACAGTGGTTACTGTAGTACAATAATTATGCAAAATTGCAAATCATTCATAATAAAATTAGTAATGGAGCGAAAATTTTGTCAACAGTCAAAATATTGCGCAAAACATTTTGCTAAAGGTTTGAAATGTTCTGAAGTGACTCACATATGAAGTATATTTCTATCGTACAAAGAAAGTACTGTTAGGAAATTGGTGATTGTATAACGGGTTTGACATCATTTCCCTGAATTGTTCATGACCGTGAAAATATGTAAATCGAATTCGTATCTATTATCGGAATACCCAATGGCATTGACCCTGCTCTGTCAGATCGCGATGCTACTGCGCTGATCATGTTACAAATGCGGTTTCCTTAACGCTTGACCGGCTCGTCGTTTTAGCCGGTGATTACATTGGTAGCATCATCCATAATCCGCGTTTACCCGGCAGCCACGCGTATCGATTCCAGTAATTTCAATCCAATCTCAGCCTGGATCCTCGGCGTGCAGGTACACAGCAGAGTAAATGAGACGTTAACAGAAACAGCACATACAATAGACAGCCTATCTAACAACATTTTGTAACGACAGTGTATTCATAGGCCGCATGAACCTCATTGTTAAGTTAAGCGCACAATTATTTCTGGCCCATCATTCCACTCCACTAGACCAAATTGTTTTTTTTATTTATACAGATGTCGGCGCTTAACTGTCAGACTTCCGGTAAGTGGTAACACATATACACATTACCGTTTGCCGGCAAAAATGGGAATGAATTGACCTGGTTTCTGCTTTTCCGGCACTGTCCATGGCGCAGATGTTGGCATGCAGATCAATAACGCACTCTTTGCCACAACCGGTGGCTGTGGTTACGTTCGCCGGCCGGGCTTTATCCTCGGTAAACAGGAGATGGCCGAGCGGAAGCCGGTGGAATGCCAGATTACGGTAAACTACTTAACTGTGGTCGGGGCGCGCGGCCCGACAATTATCACTTGATCAGCATAAATGCCTTAATGTCCTTGTTTATCCATGGGGCTTTTAAGCGGCCCTCTTATTCCGTAAATGTACGATAATTGCACACTTAATGATAATCAATACCTGTCAGACTAAAAAGCCGGTAATAATCGGGAAGGTTAAAGTGGTATTGCCGAGCATAATTGCATCCCATTGCCATTAAAATGCAGCACGGTATTACACATTATTAGATAAATGCATTATTTAATTTGTGGCACATGTCTTTTGTCTCTTTGGGGATTTTGCTGCAAAGGTCACTTAAACGGAACTCTCGACAAACAAACTATGAAAGTTCAAACTATGAAAGTTTAGTGCTCTATGCATATAATTCCAAAGCTCCTTTCCATAATATACTAACCTGACATGGTATATTTTAATTAACTGCATTGTTCATGATAATTTCAACTTTCAAGTAGGATTAATAATGCGTACATTAAGTACTGCATATGCTACAATAAAATGAAAACTTTTAACGCCAATTCATTAATATAACTGAGACCCAAAATTTAGTATATTTAAAAAAAAGATGGTTGTAAGATTTTCTTAATTGTTTACACTTATTAGGTTGTTTCCGGTCAGTACGTATTAGGTGACCTGATGAGCGGAAGTCCTGCCGTGGAACTGGAAGTGTACGATGGATGCGCCGAGCCACGACGGCATAAAATCAAATGTGTTTTGAAGAATTCCGTTAATCCTATTTTTATGCACAGCCTAAGCGTTGAGGTATGGAAGAGAGCAGTTCAGCTCAAAAATAATACACAAAGTAATTACGGTCGCTGTGGAATTAACCCGGCCCGTGTAATGCAGCGTGTGTCGGTATTTTCCCTAAAGTTATACCGTAAATACAGAGACTTTACGTCTTCTATTACGCATGCGGTTTCACGAGGTCAGTCAACAGCAGATAAAAATTAATACTTTGATGCTCTATGCCTGTATTCATTTTGCAGATCGTTAATCCGGAATTGGCGTTTTTGCGTTTCCTCGTCAGCGATGCCAGCACAAATCAGCTGGTCTGCCAACGTACTTTGCATTTTTCCCTATTCAAAACAGGTTCGTCCTATTCCGCTTTTTTATCAGCTCACCGGAAATCGCTTCCGCTTTTCGGTCTTGCGTCGCAGAGTCATTGACTTCCTACATTTTACCACATGTCGAAGCCGCGAACGTCAACGCAATCAATCCTTGTAGCATAGTATTGTATTACAACCGAATGTTGCACTTTTGAAAATAACCTGTCTCCGAAAAACGCATGATTAACAGTCGTTACTGGTTACAGCAGTGTTTGCTCAGAGTACTTGCATTTGTAAACGATACAATTATTGGCAGAAATCATAAAAATGGCTCGATTTTGATGAAATTGTTCAGTATATATACAATGTACAAAGTACGCATTTTACGTTACTAGTGCAGTTAAGTCTCTGTTTTTTCAGGGTATCGCCATGTGGCACTCCACGATTTGACTGACGATATTTTGCCTTTATCGAAGCTGTTCCTACACAGTAGCTACCGCTGCAAGGAACCGGCAACGGCCTGTTCCCGTCGCGAATCCATCGAGCCGATCCAGGAGGTGGACGTGGAGGAGGACAGTTCACACGCCGCCTATTCGGTGTACAGTCGTACAATGAAGGAGAAATCCTCGGTCGTGCAGCGCCTGTCCATGCGCTTTCAGCGTTTTGCCGGCTTTGTTGAACTGCACCGCTCATCCAAGACGGAAACCACGAAGCGCACTTATGTCGCACAGTTCCATAAGAATACGTGAAACTCTGTGCGTGGAAAAGGAAAGGGGTGATTATGGATGTGCCATGAAAAACGAATGTTGCCTGACAAGGAACTGTATCATTGTAAAGACGTAAAATATCCTGCTGTAGCAGTGCACCCGGTATTACATTAATAATAGTGGATCTCACGTGGAAAACCGGCTTCCCCTAAAATTCTTTGGATATATCTGCAATACTGCCCCCGCTTTCTGTGTTGGCTTGCACTATTTTTTTGCATTTTATTTGCGCATGGTTGCAGTTGACGACTTTTTTTTGACAAGACGTTTTGGTTTTTAGTTGTTCCGCTTTCAGAAACTGTAGGGACAGTACAGTATTTCCGGCTGGTAGCGCTTGACCGGCTTTTTCGCTTTCTAGTCGATTGCGATATGATCACGGATTAATTAGGCTTATTTTCGCGCTGATAGCTAGTTTTGTAGCAGCATGCTGAATTATCTGGGCATTATTGTTTAATACGCGTAGTATGCATTATCGGAAATTGTTCTTACTCCTAAACAAAACCCAATTGTAAAACGACTATTTTATTGATCAGACCGGAAAATGCGGAAATCAATAAAAAGATGGTGCGAGTGTGCTTCTTGCGTGCGAGTTTTGCGCGTTTTGGGAGTGAACTAAACAGCAGTCAAAAATCGCGGTTTGGACACTCGAGGGTAATAGTGCAAACAATATTTCCGTTAAAAGCAAAATAAAACCAAAACAAAGACTAAAAAACCGAAAAACTGCAAATAAGAACAAAATCACAACACAGTGAATAATATTAAAAACGGCAACAATATATAAAAATAACTTCAGCTGGACTCTCCCAGTGACATTGACGAATCTTTGGGATCGGTGAGACTCTTTGGTAAAGCAGAAAGGCACAGAATTTAATAATCAAACAGCTAAACAATGTTTTTTTCTAAAACTCCATTTCGTCCAGCCCCTTCCGTTGCCTGATGTACAATGTGCACACCACAATTAGCACTATCAAAATAATTCCTCCCAGCACTACCGTTGTATATGTGGCGATCATGTACCTGGAAATTGAGGACAGATTAGTAAAAGCGCAAACCTTTTTGCCACTGATCAACTTTGTCATAGAAGCCAAATTAAGCCAGGCAAATTATTTGCGCAAAAATCTGCTAATATTTCCAAAAAATTTCCCAGTGTGGTAAAAAGTACTATGCCAGCCACACAAAACTTGAATCGCAGTTAACTTATAAATCGGGAATCAATATGGCAATGCATAAATCTGGAATCAATAACAAAGCAACCCTTATGTTTGGCAGCAAGGAAGTATCATATTACTATACCTCCGTCGATCAAATTCAATGGGGGATTCCGTCGGCCACGGGGCCATCGTCGTGGGAAAGAACTGCCCGGGAAGATAATCAATCCAGAAGGCCGACTCCAAGGGCCTGTAGCCCTGGTAGATGTAGCTGGTATTGGTCATATTCAGTACCAGGTAGGAATCGCGCATCAGAGTGTATTTCTCCCAGCTGGTGTTGCATACTCGCCACGGAGTGGGGTTCTCATATTTGGCGAAGTTAGCCCACATCTGCATCATGAAATCGCTCATATTCCTATCTCCCTGCTTCCAGTCGTAGCGCCTCAGGGTTGGGGGGACGACGGGCGGCGTGTAGTTGTCATGGCGAGGATCGTTCAAGAAGGGGAATCCAAAAACGAAATGCAAGTCTTCCATGTGCGGAACAAATCCAAAAGCTATCAAAGCGAATTTTCACACCATTAACGCCCACACGTAAGCACAACCTGTTGCAAAGTGAAAAGTGCGCAAACATCTTCTCCTGTTCAAATCGATATAAAGCAAATACCAGTAAATTTATTTAAAATATCAAATTCGTTGTAGGCAGTACTAGGTACAAGGTTCGTTTAATTATTTTTCGATTACTACAAATTGTGCCTAAAATTCTAATTCTCAAAATACACCTACAAAACATCGGATCGGTGATATTCCGCGTGGCTTCAATCGAGTAATTCAAAACATATTGGTATACAGGGGCGCCAATGGAGGCGCGAAGGTTGATGGATTTGTATGCCGGTGATTTATAATAGATATCCGAGAACAACTGCAACCATATTAAGAGCATCAGATCCGTGCTTTTAATTACGTCAATTGTGGTTGACATTGTTTACATCCGACAGATGTAGCATTGAATACTTCCGTAACAGTTATCGGTGCTGCTGGAATTAATAGTTTCCTTTGGTTTCTTACGTTAACGTATTGCTTCCTCCGCATTGTTTCGTTTTTCGGGTCTGGCCAGTGTGTATACATAAATCGCACCGCTGCCTCCACGGCTGCTGCATTCTGCGTGTAGTTTTCCCTCTTTAGTAGGTCCCGGATTGCGTCATCCATGTCAGCCGTTGTAATCAGATAGTTTACACGCTTTGTCTTAGCGATATCGTTGTTTTCTACAAAAAAAGATGATTGTACAAAATGCGACACAGAAGACAGGGCAAATCGTTGTAACGTACTAATAATAATCGTTGTACGCATTATCACAGAGGCCTGGTTACGAACGAGAAATCAAAACTGGTTACTGGTGCACAATAGGAACAACAAAAAACCAGAAATTTCGGAATGTACAAAATTGACCAAACCAATGCCATTTTTATTTACTTAAGAAGCCATATCCTTCGTCTTCGGTAACACCGCTCAAGAACGGCATTCGTGAATCGTATGCGCCGCTCCTCAGCAAAACCTCCGGTTTATTAGGAAGAAACTGGAAATCCGGCGCTAATATACCGCGATCCTGGGGGATATCCACAACCGGCGCAAATCCAAAAAGCCCAATGTCGGGCTGGAATACCGCAGCAGTTGCTGAGAACGGCAGTTCAAAAACGGTTTACTTTTAATAGTAGTTATGCTTACCTGAAAATTTTCTACCGCACGAGCCAAATCCACTTCTGAGCGACTATATCGCAGACAGTTAACCAATCGATCAGATGAATAAGTCGGACAATTGACATGTTCACCAAATTTTCGACTGTTATTCCAAGCGTGCTCCCAGTGCTTAATTACGGACCAGGGTGCCAGCTCTGACCCGCTCTGAGCAATCGCAGATCGAAAAAGGCCTAAAACATCCCAGCTTGTTCATCGAGCAAAGTACTTAACTGAACTACAAAATCAATACAAATACGAATAAAAATACATTTTAATACTTTTTTAGTAAATAACAAGATTTCGCACGACTTTGTTGATATAAAGGTCATATCATGCTGCAACAGTTTGGCAATTGGCGATATACGAGTATAAAAGGGGATGTTTCGATTTTTCAGCAAAGAACCATGAAAAGAACTTTCTACGCCACTAACTGTAAGGCCTGCCAAATTAACTATAATGAGCAAAAGCCTAAAAGCGCCTTCGTGGACGAAAAACCAGGCTATTAACTAGGTGTACGCTCTCTCTGTCGCGCAAAGCAGGCCTCGCGTGAATACAGAGAGTTTAACTCTTCCGAAAACATGCAAACGCAGTCAGGACTCGAGTGCAGCAAAAGCCTTATTGTGGACGGATCTTCTCCAAGTTTTACATAGAATTACACATGATAAGCAAATAGAATTTTTTGACACAGAACGGGAATGTTGGCATTTCAATTTCAAAATGAATTCCAAAAAATTTATCATTAATTTTACATTTCAAAAACCTGATGGAAACCTGGAACGGCGTCAAAAAAAACTTTCGCAGAACTGCATATTTGCGTTTTTACGAAAACGTTGTGCTGAATGTTTTCAAGGAGAAGGTCGATAATGAGACTTTTGGTGCACTCGATTGCATGAAAACTTCCTGGAATTTTCTTACAGCCATAATTTCCCAGCCGGATGGTAATCTCACAAACGGTTTTTTTGTCAGCGTATACAGATCATTTCGCCACGCCGCGTCATAAGATACCGTAAAAACCTGTTTGGGAGGGACGTGGTGGACGGAGCGAAAGGTGGTGCCGGGAAAGGGTAAAAGTAAATACGAAATGAAAGGTAATGCGAAAAGGTCAATATAGTGCAATGAGTCAGGATTGTGAACTCCGGTGTCCACCAAAAGCAAAAAAAAAATCTCGAAGTAGTCGTCGTGTCAAAACGTGCAAACCAGAATTTATAAACATGCCTTAGAGCCATTTAATATGCTGCCAGTTGCTCTATGCTGTTTTAGTGAAACTGCTCCACGGTTTTCTCTAGTTTCGTATTACTACTGCGTTTATAGATAGAAGTACGCTTCCTTTGTTCAAAGTACGCTTTCGAAGTACGCTTCCTTCCTCCTTCATCTTAGCACTTGCAACAAACCTCTGGAACGGAAGGATAAAGTATGGAGGCCGACAGATGCCGCTCCGGAACTTTGTCCGAATATTGTTATACGGTCGGGATCACCGCGGAAGGCGCGGATATTGTTTTTCACCCATTCGATGGCCATCCTCTGATCCAACATACCATAATTCCCCGGACTATTAATATCCCCGGTGGACAGGAAGCCAAGAGCGCCCAAACGGTAATTAAAAGTAACCACAACGACGCCCTGTGAGGCGGATAAAACATGACCGGGATATATATCACTGGCGCCCCAATAAAATCCTCCACCGTGGATGAAAACCATTACGGGGAATGTTAATTCCGTTATCTAAGAAAACCAACAGCCTTCATATTACAAACAGTTTATGGTACGAAGTAAACAAACGCCATTCTTTAAGTTTTAAAGTTTGTTCAACAAACTGCAGACTCCGTAAAAAAGACTAGCAAATCAAAAAGGGGTAAGGAAATCATGATCAATAATATAGTTTTAAACAATACTTAAACTTAAATTACCGGTTATCAAATTCAGTGTAGAACTGTAGATGTACCTACATTTGGTGTGAAGACGTTTAGATATAAACAATCTTCGCTCATGTTGAACCTATTTTTTACGACTTCGATGAATCTCTCCGGTTGCGGACACACAGCGCCGTAGCGAATGGCGGGGAGAGTAGCCGGACGCCAAGCCGGCTTCTCACGTGGGGGCTGAAAGGGTAGACGGTGTTATTTTTGGAATACCGGCGTAAAAATAACCTATTTTTAAATTACACGCGTCATAAGCATCACATGTTCAACATCTTGCGCAATTCTAAAAAACATAATAAGTAAAACCAATGTCTGCAACAGCATGCTGAAAATTTGCAAAAGGCCAATACTTTATCAAATGCAAAAGCCACATCAGACTGTACATAATACTACATATAGATATACAGTTCTGGATTACTTGGGTAAAATACACAAATCTACGATTATATTACGATTTACGATGATGTTAAATTGTGTAATGCCTAAAGCCTCATTCTAGTCTCTACGTAGTCAAAAATAAGCACCGAACTAGCATTGATAAAATTATAGACACTGGATAAAACCTGGCAATGCCTTATTAGGCTACTCCGGTTACGAGTACAAAAAAAAGTTTTGCTGATTTAATTTCGTTCGTACAAAGCTTAAACAGTAAAAGCAGTAAACAATTGCTCCAAAAATAGTACGTCATAAACACATTACCATGAATCTGAGATCTCTGAGCGGTGGTTCGGCATAGGGAATACCCAGGAAGACGGTCACATTGAGCCAGGGCATATAAGGCGCCTGGTTGCTGAAGGCCAGATGCCGCTTGTCCCATTCCCGACCCGGACCGTCATACAGCCGCACCACGCGCCCCGTCACTTTTCCCTTCGTCGTCTCCACCGTGACAAACACGTCGTCCGACTCAAACTGCGGTTTGAAGAAGGGATTATTCGGTTGGTATAAGTTGGGACCGGGATAAGGATAGCGCACGCCGATACTCTGCGGATCCGCAAAGCCGAACTGTGCGTCGGTTAAACTGGCGAAAACAATTACTAACAAAAACAACCAATAATCAGCGTCCATAGTGTTAACTGTCGAAGAAAGATGTGGCAGTGTTCACGGGCAAAAATCAGCAGTGGCCAAAAATTCCAAATTCCACGCTTCAATGACGTGCCGTGCATCAAAATTTCACAGCAGACTCTGATGAGTTACGATATAACATTGACGGTTAACTGCAGCGAAGAGTGCGATAAACCGATGCAACGATGTCAAACTTTGGTCCGCCGAAATCAGTCGTTGTCATGTTCGGTAGCCTTCGAATTAACAAAAATCTAACGAAAAAAAGGGAAAGAAAAGACAACTAGTGAATAGTTTAACGAAAATATTGCGATACCGATTTGTGAAACAGCATCAATATTACAGTAATCTATGTACCATCTACTGGATGCATGCCATTCAACAACTGCACTACAAATTTTAAAATTAAAGCTTAAACAACCAAACCTTAATTACAAATTGTCCATTGTCGGTTACCCTTACTTGCGTACCAACACGACAATCCGTCACAACCCAGAGAACAGTATAGCAACAGCTTCAAATTAGAGTAGCCGGAAATGGAATCAATAAGCCAAAGGATGTAAAATGGAAGGGTAGCGAACAATCCACATCAACCACTCAACAGCACCAACTGGCAAATCTTCGCAAGTGAAGGTTATTAGTGAATCTGGCTTTTCACTTACGATTATTACACTGAACACTACACTCAGAGCTGCTGCTAGTGCTATCCCCAGTTTCCACGCATGAATACAGAAACTACACGCATTTGTTGCTGGTCCTAAAAGTAGTACCAGAATACCCTGACTCCGCAAGCCTTACTTATCCGTTTCTCCACCGTGTTTGCATGCAGCATGAAGTGTTTAGAATGACTCACGTCCTTATCAGTAAAGTGAAAAGGCCCCAAACCTCTAGCCAGCATCATGGATATGCAATAGTTTCAAGATCAGTCAACAGTAACTGTCAACTACACAAAAATAAAGAATTGTTAAAACAAAAAAATTGCTAATATTATGTTTTAATAAAGTAATAAATACTGTGCGCCACTAAACTGGCGGCAGCGTTTGACTGGGAGTTCTGGCAGTTGGTCATCGTTGGTCAGACAGGCATTTCGAAATAGGTAGAAGGGAGACAGAGTCAGAGACTGAGAGAGCTATGATTCAACGGCAACCCCCCGGATGCGGCAGCCATCAAAGTCCTGTCGCACACAGTTCGATAGGACGTACAGTATCCGTTTTCGTATTTTGGAATATTTGGATTTTTACTTCGCTTCGCTTTGCTGGTTTCGTTCATTCAGGTGTTTCTGAGGCAGTTTCTCTTAACAAATCTATATGTGAAAATTTTTTGTTTTTACAGCTTACTGTATTTGTGAACCTTTATAATTTAGGCATTGGGAATATCGAATATATCGACCGAGAGCCAGAATACGTATAAACGGACTCAGGTTGCATCAGGTTGGCAAACATGTCGGGTGATACAGCTGTTCAAGAATTTCCTAATCCAGTCCTTCCGAATCCCGAAACGAAGTACCCTATTGTTGTGGACTACTGCGGAGGTAATTGGTTATGCATGAAGGTTTTGAAATGAATTTCTGCAGATTCTTCCTTAACTTAACATTTACGTTTTATTTGCAGTGTGCTCGTTGCCAGTCGAGGTCTCTGACTTTACTTATTACATCTCGTTCAACTTACAGGCGTACATTTATTAGTGGTAGATCCGCATATTAAATTTTGATCTTTGTCGTCGTTGCTAGTATTGTGATTATTCCCCGGAGCCAGAAAAGTGCAAAGAATGGTTAAAGCAGAATCTTCCCGGTCAATTCAAACAGCTGAATGTGGGCGCGGCGGAAGAACCTGCAACAACTTCGACTGCAGACGAAGACGGTGGGTATTCACTGTTCCATATTCGATCTAAAGAATAAGAAACGGATGGCTGAGAAACCAGTTTTTCGTTGGAATTTCACATTTAAACTTTTGGTGCATCAAGCTAAGCGTTTGCAACGTTGAAAAATACGTAGAATTGATTTGTAAATTTTTTTCCAAATATTTTTGTGTCCAAAAAAATTGAAAAAAATTATTACAGAGATTCAGGGAATATAAAAACTTAACTCCCAAAAAATGGATGCTAAGCTTTTATAGTCGTTCTGATACAGTGTGACAGTAAGTACTTAATATGCTAAATTGCTAAACATGTTTAATCCGATTCGAATTTCGTTATTATTATTGTAAAATTGGATTGGCATGGCGTTAACGCTAAATTTTCGATGCTTAAGTACTTATTTATATCCCCTTCCCGGGCGGCTTATGTGCGTCGGTACGACCATGGTACGACTGTACGAGTACTAGTACAGTTTAAACAGTTTCCGTGTCAAGTGTTAAGCAAGAAGAGTGTGTAACTAAAGATAAAGGATACTTCGTACTTCATGCAACCTGAATCAATTTTTTGCCTTTCGAAAACGTTAGTGTTCCTCTTAGGTGACGGAAAGGAAGAAGAAGCTAAGAAGCGGCAAACTCGAGGTGGCAAAGCGCGCATAAAACTCCCTGCAGCCGAAGAGAAAAAGAAGCCTGGCTTGATAAAATTATCCATTGCTTCGCGAGGAAAAAAGAAATACGTTACTCTCATTACAGGCCTGGGAACTCATGGTACAAGTAAATTGCACGCGTCTTTTATATTTCAGTTTTTTTAGAGCACTGATGGTAAAAGTATTCATACATACTTTAACTGACCAGTATGCAATGTAAACATTTGAGTAACTGTTCTAACTGAAAAGCGGTTTAACAAAGAAGCGAGTTACGAATTTCCTGCCAGATTCTCTCACCATTAGTGCTGTTTTTGCCTTTTTAGGGATCGATCTGAAACTTGCAGCAAAATTTTTTGGACAGAAATTTGCCTGTGGTTCCTCGGTTACAGGAGAGGATGAAATTGTTATCCAGGGCGATGTTAAGGATGATTTATTGGACTTAATTCCAGAAAAGTGGTCGGAGGTATAACTGTTCTTTACTCTTAGTCTGTGATAGGCTTTGCACAGCTAACGAACGGGCAGAAGAACGTTAGTTAGATCGTACCTCTGTTGTTCTTGTAAGTTGTATTGGCTTCGTTTTATTTGAAGTGTCAGCAATTTAATTACTGGAAAGTAGTGAGTCGAAATGTACAACTACAGACTAAAGAGCACATGTAGTTTTAATATTATAATTATACTGTTGTTGCAGATTGATGAAGATCTGATCGAGGATTTGGGAGAGCAAAAACGATGAGTGCGGTTTTCCGCTACCGTATTTCTTCGAGCTGACCTTTTTTTCAGTTGCCAGTTTTATTCGTAATATTTCATTAGAGTATGTATTTTTGCGTCCTTTAATTTAGATAAGTCATTGCATGCGGCATGTATTAAACATACTGGAACTGTCTGGGAAATCAAAAACAAAATTGTGAATGCAGTCAATGCACTGGGTAATAAATGCGCATTCTGAAATTTTTTGGCACAACGAATAATTCGCTTCTCTCCGGCTATACAAGAACAGTTGCAAGTTTCTAACAAGATATATAATGGAAAAGAAAAAGAATAAACGCAGAAAGATGTACTCCATTTACGTTTTTGGAAGATCAGACGGTAATAAACAAAGCGCACTGAAAATTCAAAATCTAACAAAGGCACACTTAACTCAGTTTAACTGTGCTATGTACTGAAATGGGCACAGTATACTGGAAAGGAACACGCCAGACATCCATCAAAATTCATGCGATTCCCATATGGGCCAGCGCTTCGCTTAGCCGTTTTGTTTCGGCTACAAAGTTTAATGGCTCAGCCGTGATAACGGTGTACTTTCGCCGCCATTCGTCCTGCAATCACAAAAGTGGCAGGTCGGCACTGGTATAAAAACATATTCTTTGGCTGTTTACATAGTTTGGGTGCAAAAAACTGTCAAAACACAGTCAATCACCAATAGTAAGGAAAACTTTAACAGCCATATTTCTAACGGTTAGATGAACAAAAACACTGAGAAACAGGTGGAAGTACAAAACCAAAGAGTACATGGAAGTACCAAACTACAGCAATAACAAATTTACAGCAAAACTTACGTTGTAGTTTTCCATTTTCACCTTCATCTTGAACATGAAAGCTAGAAACTGGCAGTTATTAATGGCCTTTTCGAACACCGTGGCGTCCTGGGTTTTCATTTCGCCGAGTGCTTGAGCGTCCTGCTGCAGAACTTTCTCGGCATTTTCTTGAAACAGCGTAGCATAGGCACCACCAGTACAATCCGACACTTCAACCTGAAAAGTGAAAACTGAAAAGTATGTTGATATGAACAAAATCAGTTATCACAATAGCTATTAAACAGAAAACCAAATATCCTTACTGTTAACATCAACCGCCAGACAAAACTATCGTTTTCGGTGTTGCACTTTTCGCAACGGAACGTCCCGTTACCCTGGTCCGTAACCTTCTTATTGCAGCCGCTGTTGATGCAGGCTCGGTACAAGGTGTTGTCACGTGCAAATGCCTTCATAATAACAGCACGTATCATGAAAAAATCCGCTTTATCCCCGTTACCCAACCCTTCGGCTTCTATCTGCCAGAAGCACTTGAACGGTGTGGATCCTGATCCTGGAAGCAGCCATACAAATACCGGTAAACACTTCTGATAATACAATAGGCTATGCTATTTTAATTAAAAATGAGAACATTATGTCACATTTAGCGAAATAGAAAGCTGTGTGTACATACTACATACCGAAATTCCCGGACATTCCTGCGCCCATGAGTGCTTGCGTAGCGACATTGCAGCCACCGCTATCGTACCACCCACGCAGTTTGTGGCCTTCTGGAATGTCGGGATCCACTTCCACTATAGCGTCGAACGAGGTAGACAAGCTCCGAGTGCCGTTGAATTCCGCCAACCGGCAGCCGTGTATGGCCAACACCTTATTTAGCACTACGTCCTTATCGTACTTTTCCGCCTATGTGAAAGAGAAGCATCGGAACTACTGTAGACTGTTCACCATGTTCAAACGAAAGAACTGAATTAACTGATCTAGCCAACCGGTGAACTACACAACCGATTAGGAGCTGAACAGCTCATACGCAGTATGGGAAGGCTATACTTCTATGTGGTTTCCAATTAATGAGATGGCGCTTACATATATATCCCAACAACATATCGGCAATTGGTCCTCACCTGAGACCCCCATAATGTGACACGCACGCTAGTACTGGTGTCATCTACGATATCCAAATCGCGTTTTGTAAAATCCCGTCCACTCTGGCGACTCTTTCCTTGAAAGAGTTCTCCAGCCGATGAACAAACTCCGATAACATCTGCAACATATTAGAAAACGGAACATGATCCAACACGTCGTGCGTTAATACCTGCGTATTCGGACCATTCGCGTAACAACATATAATGAAATAACACAATACAAACCGATGTTGGAATCTCCGCTGATTGTTAGCAAAGAATAAAATGGCACGAAGTTATAGCGGATTTTAACAGGTCCCGCATCCTCCAGACACTCTTCAACAATACTTTCCGGTTTAAGATTGAGGTCATACATACGGCCCCGGCTGAATTTCGGATCGGCGTTTTTAACCAATCCATTTTTGATATAATAAGTCTGTTAGGAATGCAAACAGTACAGTAAGTATTAAAATCAAGCAGTGAGTAGGATGCACAGATTAGACGAAAACGGATTGAATGACCGCACCTTGCCCACTTCAAACACGTCGTAAAACCGATCGACTTCATTATTGAATCCAGATATTTTTATTTCGCTTTCCCCGTCGGTTACCAGAACACTGAACACTTTGCCCTGAGAATTGGGCTTGTTCCAAAACCGAATGGAATCTTTACTCATCACTTTAGCTCTGATAACCCAGCTAAAACCATACCAAACTTGAGCAACAGTAGTTTCTAAACAACACCAGATATTAAGAAAATGCATTACTTACACGCTGTTGTAGGGATTAAGGGCCGAAATCGGGTGGATATTCTGGGTATCGTTTTGCGAGAGCGATGCGGATCCCGTTGGTGGCATTGTCGGTTGCTGTGCTTGGAAAGATCCTCCCGAATTATACGTTGCCGCCACTGGGACGTTTCGCGCACCAAAACTGTTATTCCCCATGGATGGCGAGCCCAGATTTGCTGGAAAAGCAATATGATTATTCGAAGCCTATAGAGTGCATCGAACACTGCTCTACATACGACGTTTGGCAACTGGTCCCCCTGGAAACTGAGCAGGCTGTTTTGAAGGGCTTTGGAATGAAGAGCTGTTGAAAGTTGCTCGATTCGGGAATCCCTGTTGTGGAACAGGGGGACGTAATGCAGCCGGCGCGACTACAAATCCAAAATCAACACGATAACTACAATCTCACAATTCACGTAAACCTAGTTTATAAACTCAAAAATGAGTGAGAAAAATCGCACCAGCTGGACTGCCTGCATGAGCGCTAGGGTTTGCATTGGGTGCTCCAGTTGGCATCCCATTGTCCCCCAAGGAAACAGGAGAGCCGAGTTTTCTGCCAACTTGATCGCCTGGAACGGCAACTTGTACTTCCAACAGGATAATAAGGTTCCTACAAATGCCAGATTAATACAATTCGAAAATTAACCCTTCTCCCCAAAAACTGCAAGAAACTGACTTATTTTGCTGGTTATTCACGACGTATTTCTTCATAATGATGACAGAATATGGTGTCAAGGTGTTGTTGTCCACGAGGTGATTCAGTTGGGTGGCCAACATGGCGACTACAAGTTTTCTAATTAATTGCCAACTAACTGCAACTTCCCACGAACTACACGTATGACTTCCTTACAGGAGTACGTATTCCGTTTGTCGTTGATCAAAAGGCGATAACGATTCTGGTTGATGTTACGGGCTTCCTAAAGAGCGCATACCATTGATTGCATTGAAGGAGATTTTACAAAAAAACAGTGAAATGTTCAATTATTACCAATTAATTACGTAGTACGTACCAGTAGCTGCACTCGAGGTTCCTTGATGTCAACACTGTTGAGAATTGCCTACAGAAATCGAAAAACAGCATAAGAAGATACGAATCGTTTCAGCGAATCAACCAGCCGGAAGTAAGAGTTTCTATCACTACACGGTAAGTTTTCATTTTCATATAAATAACTGATGGTTAGCCGTGAGGTAAATTATTAGCAGTTCTGAGTGCTTGGACGATTTTCATTTTTGTCTCCGTTTCCGACAGATGAGAAAGTAAAAACCATTCAGTCTTCCGATATAATCTAAGCTTACCCGAATACAGCCTTCACTCAGCTCCGGTTCGCCCGTCGCAAATGCCATGGTTTGTATAAATTTCTCGAGCCAAAGAGAAAAAATCGAACAAACCAGATGTTGTGACTGCAGCCTGCAAATTGCGCCCAACAATTCCTGAAAGGCTCAAAATTCAGAAACCGCAAACGCTGGTGATCACCTCAGTAACTTCTTAAAAGATATGAAACTGGCGATAATAAAGCAAAAAAATTCCAAAAATACCAAAATCGTTCACAGAATTTTCGAAGAAGCTCCAAGTGATCAAAGCTTTCCGTTTGTTTTGAAAGCATATAGCATATTCTTCCATTTGCCCGCGATTTCTGTCTTCGCTTCAACATGTTCTCGATTGATTAGTCATTCCCTCCGCGCGCGCTAGTGCGCCGGTGCGCCACCTTAGTCACTTACATAGCAAAGATTCAAAGTGTACTCTGTGGTAGTTGCATTGGTGCAAGGTATTTGCGCATGGTGCGTACTGTGCCCTTGGTGGAGTGCCTTTATACCCGTACGAATAGGGTAAGAAACGCACATCAAGGAACTGTCAAGCCAACGAACTTGCAGGAACTTATCTCAGCTGCCATCTTCCTCATCATTCTGGCTTTAGGTTACGTATGTTAATCAATTTAATATTTGGTTTTTATCAGTGGGACTCTGGGACATAAATATTCTAATTTATTCTTTATGCCTGATATGATTTTCTCTTTGGTTAGGAACATCCCGTGAAAGAGGCTTATGAACACCTGTATTTGAAGCCTTGTAGTTGATCGGGTTAGCTGCCCGTTAGCATTTATTTTTTCCCCAAGCGCATTTATTAACAGCGAAGGCATGCCGAAAACGAAAGCAGCGTCTGCGACCCGAGCCAAGAAAACCACCGGAAAGAAAATTCCCAGTTTGGCTTCCTTATCAGCTTCGGCGGGAGGGGGAATCAGCGGTCACAGTACTCAACAACTTGAAGAGAAGGAGAATGTGGCAACGCCGTCTGCGCCCGGGCCAAACGGTGCAGCGCAAACGCCAACCGCCATTAGTACGACATACTCAAAGAAAAATCTCCGTGAATTGTTCTCCGCTGAAGAGACGATCGTGGAGGATATCTCTTTGCGTAGCACAAAATCCCGACATGGCGTCGCTAGTGCGCAACAGTCGGAGAACATGGAGATATTCCTGCGAGTGCGTCCATTCCTGCCGCATGAAATAAAGGGTGGAGAAAATAAGGTACTAGTATGTGCATCGTGTACGTATCTGTATAACGGTGTTTTGACTGGATAATGTAATATGAATATTTTACTCTTGTATTGGTTTTTAAGTGTACCACAGTACCAGTTATTGGTGAAAGAAATTCTGAAAAGTGGTTGATGAGCCGTTTTTGTGCCAGAACTGCTTCGCCTTGCTGCCCAAAAGCCGCGGCATTGCGCTCAACCCGCCAGTGTCTTCGTACCAGTACCGACGTTTAGCCAATTCGCAGAATGGGAAGGTCTGTTATGAGTTCACTCGAGTTCTGGCCGATGATATGACGCAAAAGGACGTGTTCGAAATGACGATGCGGAAGCCCATCCAGCAGTTTCTGTGTGGAACATCGCAGCTTATATTTACTTATGGAGTGACCAATTCAGGAAAGACTTATACTTTGTTAGGTGAGGAATAAGTTTTAGCTTAAGTTTTGTATTTTTACGTTTGTTTAGTGCGCGATGTTAGATTGATTTTCCAAGATTGCGTTTGATAGTAGTAATTTTCGTAGGTCCAAGAAGCAACCAGGGGATTTTGCCCCGTGCGTTGGAGCGCATTTTCAGCGCCCTGGGAAATAACGTCACCAGGCGGGCCACTTTAAAGCCGAATAAATACGAAGATATTCAAGTCCTGGAAAAAGCATCGGAAGATGATTTTTTGGCCCGTCGTGATTCACTCTTAAACCTGAAAATTCCAAAGTTTCCCAAAGTCGCCGAGACACCTGTTGTCACAGCGTTGCAGCAGATGCCTGCGCCTGCCAGTGATGGCCTTTCACTGGGTAAACAATTTGGTGTTCCCAAAAAAATCAGGTTTTTACCTGCTTGATGTCGGTTGTAGACTCACATGGATTTTTCGACTTTCGGCCAGTTTCGCAAGCGGAGGAAGATGTCCGTGAAGACCGCGACTGCATTGACCCGGATGCTCAGTATTATGCTTGGGTGTCTTACGTTGAAATTTACGAAGATGTTATGTACGACCTGCTGGAAAGCGGAAGTGGACACAAATCGGGACGAGTGCTGCGGAGTGGTACATTGAAATTGTGCGACGAAGGGAACACTTGTTATCCTAAAGGTAACTGGAAGGTGTATGCTATCGGAAAACGTGAGGCGATGTGATTCCCTAATTTTCTTACAGGGGTCGTGGAAGTTCCAGTGTTCTCCGCTTCGGAGGCCTATCATATTCTGGGTCTGGGACGAAAGAATTTGCATGTTGCCCAAACGAAACTTAACGAGTATTCCAGCCGCAGTCATTCGGTGTTCACCATTAAATTAATCAAAAGCAAGGGAAAGGAGGCCTCGGTTACGCAGTGAGGATGTTGTTCACAAAAAGCCCAAAAGAAAATCGGCCTTGATGTTGTCTTACCTGTTGCTTCTTAGGTTGGCATTTTGTGATCTAGCTGGCACGGAACGTGCTAACCGCACCGAAAATATCGGAACACGCCTAAAAGAATCTCAGAATATCAATAAGGATCTGCATCATCTGAAGGAATGTATTGAGGCCTTGCGAAAAGTAACGGTGCAACCAGAAAAAAAGTAAGCCACCGGAGATCATTGTATGCATAACTAACGCAAGCCGAATGAGAGTATATTTGTTTAATCTTCTGTGATTTCAGGAAAGGCCGCAAGAAGGATCTTGTGCCGTATCGAAACTGCAAACTCACCCGCTTGTTCCGCAGTTTCTTTTCGGGAAAAGGTTCCGCGTCCATGATAGTTAATATCAGTCAGTGTGTGTCGGATTTTGACGAGACCGTGCAGGCCATCAGATTTGGCTCATCCGCTTTACGCGTAAGATAAACTTTGTTTCGAGGATTGGTTGCCATTATTGGATGAACACATTTGATTCAACATCGCTCATCATTGGGTAAACAGTAAACTTTGTACTTCTGTAATGATTTGCAGATCATGATCCCCATGACGCGCCGTGAAAGCATCCTGTTACAAGTTCCCGATCTCGACGGAATAGATACGACAGTGATTCAACAAGTATGTGGGATTGTTTCTTATTGTAGTACATATACGACAGTCGTTTGATTCCTGTATCGTACATATATGGCGAAAACAGAAGCTGGTTTAAACAAGAAAATGTTCGTTTGTGCGTAATTTTTGAATTTGCCGACTGTTTTCCGTAGAATGTTGTTAGCGTCAAAGTGCGCGAAGCTATTGACGATTACATCGAAGAAGATGAAGAAGAAGAAGAAGAGGCGGATTCGGAAGAAGAAAGCTTGCTGAATACGGTAAAAAAGCAGCCACGTCGTCCACAGATCGGTAATACCACCGTTGTATTGAGTAAAGCCCTCGAGCCTCAAACCGATCCAAACGCTACCGTGGTGAAAAAGCCGGCTGCCAGAAAGGGTTCAACAGGCAGTAAAACGATCATTAAGAAACGCAATGGAACGATGAACCGTACCTGGAACATTGAAGCATCAGGCGAGGATGTGCCACAAGTGGACACAACCTCTGAAAGCTCGGACATATCAGAAAATGAATCAGGACTGTTTTCCATTCCGACGGACAGCGAGGCAGAAAGCAGCACCTCCGAAATAATTGAAGATGAGGATAATGTCGCCGATCTCACTCTTGGCACGGCAATGTCAGGCACTTTCGATATACCGGATGATTACTGGGAAGGCCACTGTCCGTACGAAAAATTCATGAACGAGAAAGACAGCCGCACCAGAGTAAGTGCGAACCCGAACTACAGTTATGCGTTTTTGAATGATTAAGTTTCATCCCACATATTTCCGCATCGGACTTATGGTGATGGTGTTTACTTATCTCATTTTAACTTTTACCGAGTCAAGAAGTTAATTCGGAATAAGAAGCCTTGTATATTTGTAATTTCAACTGTATTTAGAATATAATATTTTGTGGTCTTTATGCGCTAAACGAAACGCTGAAATGGCGGAATTTTTCTTGCAGGCGTTGCTGTTTCTTCTCGCAGAACTGCAGAAACAGCTGAAAACAATTAAGGGACGCAATGCCTACGGTGAAATGTTATTGCGTAACGAATTGTGCGGTCATTTTGAGAAGCAGATTGAAAAGCAAGCTAAAGAACACCGTGATAAAATTAAGAAGATGGAAAAAGAATTTGAGGATGATCTTAACAAACAGCTGGCCATGCAAAAAGAGCAGTTGGAACGCCAGTATATGATGCGTGGAGACCCATCGTTGTTGCGTTTTGAGAGTAACGAGAAAAGTGCGGAAATTGATGCGCTTAATGAAGAGATTACTGCTCTCAAAGAGCGTATTGAAGAATTAGAGGGCGAAAAAGGTGGGTTTAAGCTTATTTTTGTAATTATAAACTCATGCAGTGCATCTGTTGTCCAGTAAAAGCACTTCCTGAAATAAGTGGCTACTGAATCCTTGATACAAATTCGTTTTCTAGCTTCTTAAATTCTACACCATCTGGATGAAAAAGCTCACGCGGATAGGCAACAGAAAAATTTGCGGACATGTTTTGGACCATTATATGTACAAACGTTACTGGTAATTGAAACTTGGCTGATTTTCATTTTTTCGGTTATTATGTTTTGTAATTATACAGTTTGGGTAGATAAACAAATACAGGTTTGTTTATCAGTTTTGTATGGCATTCTAGATATGTGAATTTGTACGCTATATCTCTCCGTTGAGGCATTTCCGCGGTTAATTTTAATAAAAAGTCGAAATGATGACCTTACATGCACCATTATTTTGGAATTAAGTGACAACCCAACTTGTAAGCACTGTGCAGTGTGAACGTAGCCGGCTAAATCCGATAGCAAGAAACTTAACTTTGAGCTCTCCGAAAAAAAAATCAATTACTTATTGTTAAAATCATAAAAATTAGTTAGTTTTTGTATGTCTGAACAAACATGCAGTCAGTATATCTTATGCTAAAAAAATTTGATAGCGCAGAACTGGAGAAGATGTTGCTGGTTAGTGGTTATTGATAGATCTGTAGTAGAGTAGATTTCTTTCGCACGCTAGAAAACCTCAGTCGCAGATTTCCCCAGCCCAGATTTGGTACGAACTAGTTTTCACGGGAGTGTGCTCGGTGTGGCACGGAAATCGGAAGTTCGGAAAAGAGCAGCACCCGCTGTCTACACGTCAACCGCCCGATTTCCAGAAATAGGGGTACTGCAGAGTGCAGAGCGCAGACTGTGTATTGTGTCACATTTGTGTGGACCAGTGCGATCTGTCTTGCATCGATGAAACGACGATGCGTCCTCGTGCTGCCAGTTGAACGTCTACTTTTGACTTGTTGATTTTACGATTAATTGAGACGTTCTACGAATGCTATCTTTTTCGAAAGATTCGAAAATTTGAAGGCCAGACTCTTTCACAGTTTTGCTCATTATATGGCTTTCTCCACCGCATTCAGTAAATCGTTTAGGATTATTCTGAAGATCTGCTTTCGCTCTACCAGATCTGCGTTGAATGATGGTTCTCGGTAAGTGAGAGTGAGGCACTGCCAATCTGCCATCCTGCTTTGTACTGTACTGCTGAGTTTGGCGCTTAATTACCTCAGCTAGATTTTTGTAAGTAAATAAAATTTAAGTTGATAATTGTTAATCGTTGTAGCTCCTTTTTGTCGGTGGAGCACTCATCTTTGCCTAACTCGAGAAGACCTGCACTCAGTCGGTACGACAGACATATGTACGTACGCTACCGTTGTATTGTATGTATGCCGTTATAGTTGAAATAAGTTAAACTATTACTAATCGTGAAGTCGTCGGAAGACCAGGGTTTTTTTTGTACATATTAACCGAGGAAAATTTTAAAATTGAAAAGCTGTTGTTAGAATGGAATTCCCCTCATGCCGGAGAAACTTGTCAGAGACTTCCAACAGCTTGCATACGAGGACGGTTCTTGCATCAGACGGGCATCCCAGCGCTCGGCTGCAGAATTTAAAGCATTCAACCGTAAGAAGAAGAGATTTTACGTATGCGCCGTAATATTCCACGTTTTGTCTGCGTAGCAAGAACCTTTAACTTCATTCAGATTCTCGTTGAGGGAAATATTGGTTGTGGGAAAGCTGAGTTTCTTCGATATATCGAAAGCGAGCCTTCTGTACAGGTATTTCTTCCTTAAAATTATTTTTGGCAATTGTTCTGCCGCTCATAATTTTGCTTAGATTCTTATTTTCTGGAAATAGCGTTTTCTGGTTCGGATCGTTTTTATAAGTTGTGAGTTCAGTTCTTTTTGGTTGACCAGTGACCACTGACGACTGACCGATCAGTATTTACTATCTACTGATTGTGGAATAGAGATTGCGTATCCAAAAATAGCATTCCAAAAGTATGAAAGTGAAAATTTTGTTATAGAATTCGAGAATCGAAATTCTGTTGATTCTAAAAATAGTTCAGCCCTTGAGACACCTTTTTTTACAGGTGTCAGAAGAACCGATAGATTTATGGAGAAATAAAGATGGTCAAAATTTACTAGTAAGTGATCCTGTTCGTTGAAGTGCTTTCGCATATTCACATGATTAATATTCTTGCTCGGCTTCCTTCGATTTCAGGATCTCATGTATAAAGATCCGAAGAAAAACAGTTATAAATTTCAGCAGTATGTTTTGGAGACTATGGTCGATCAACATGACCGAAGCACCAACCGGCCAGTGCATATTTTGGAGCGGTCTTTCTATAGTGCTCGATACATCTTTGTGGAAAATTTATGGAGAAAGTGCGTGACCACTTCACATATTTATGCGTGCTCATCAAGGTCTTGATACATAAATGAAGGTTCATTGGTAATTTTCTGCTAGTGGTCTGATGTCCAGTGAAGAATATCAAGCGTTGGACCGGCAGTTCCGAAGTTACTTGGATGGATCTCGGCATGTCGATGTTGATTTGATTGTCTACATTCGAGCTTCACCGGAAACCGTGCACAAGCGCATTTTGCACCGCGGCCGAGAGGAGGAAAAGAATATTTCTGTTGTACGTAGAGGACGTTACTGACCGTTTTGTTCGAGGCTTGCTTTGATTTTCTGTCTCCGTTCACAGGCTTACTTGTCGCAGTTGCATAACCTTTATGAAGCCTGGTTAATTGACCACAAATTTCCTGTTCCTGCACAAGTGCTAGTAAGTTCAGAATTTGAATTTGGATTTTTTGCAAGAAGGTGGTGTGTAATTAGTAATCCTAATCTTTTTGATTTATTTACAGGTGATTGACGGTGAAGCGCCACTGGAAAAAGTTTTCCAACAAATCAATAACGAAAGAGAGCGCATATTATATAGCCCTGCATCTTCTGGTAGCTTGGGCGAAGTGCAGCCGTCTGCAAAAATTCCTATTGTAATGACTTGAAATGGACTGGAATCTCAGAATCATGATCATTCTTTGTAAAGTTGTGATAAAACTTTGTTTATGCTGAGTACGAGTAGTGAAAATAAAATCTTCAACACTGTTAGGTACATATTTGCATCAACTGCATGTTAGGCTATAGTATCATGTATTATATTGCGGAAAACTTGAATTGTTTCGGACTTTCTCTTGTTGCTTGATTTTTACTTCCGTGGACATAAAATGATTAAAATCGTAGGTGTGTCACCGTGTGTGTGGGAAAATATGGAAATTATTACTGACTTCGGGTCGTAGTCAATAATTCTTGCTTGCATCAGTGAGGGCTACGGCAAATCTCAGGGTTGAATTAGTCATTAAACTTTTAACTGTTAACTTTTCATATTCAGTCTTGAAATGTTTTTCTGCGTGCCTTTCTCAGCTATAATTCTATGTAATCTCCCCGTAATCTGTAATTTAAATCTGTAATTTCTGGTGTTCGTTGCGACGTCGGCCAAGTGCAATGCGGGTGACGTCGACAAGGCATACTACCTCCGGATGTCGCAACACCGCAATAGCTTCACTGTGTTTAACTATGCAGTTTGCAGTCTCATAACTTATTTCTGATTTTTTAATCGAAAATAATTAATTTTTAATACTTTTGTCATTTGATCTAACAATAAGTTGATAATTCCAACAAGTGCCAAATTCAGTAAATTGCTAATGCTGTTTACTACGTACGTCAAAGTTTAATTTATAATTCGCCGGAACATTCCACGAAATTCCAGTTTACAATTTTAAGGAATAAGCCCTTATATTCTGGCTGATAGTGCGTTATAGTAATTTCGCGAAGCCTTTGGATTTTTGTGAAATGTACCGGTGAATTATAAAATTTTGTGGCGAATTTCGTGGAATGCACCGGTGCATTACTGACAAAATTTTTAGAGAGGCACCAGCATAAAAATGCACCTTCTGACTCCACATTTTTTTTAAAAAGTCCGTCCAGAAAATTTAAAATCTTCATTTTCTTGCATTCATCGAGTAAAATTTTCGCTACGCTGAAGATTTTGCCGCATTCTTTGGATCATTCTTTTGCAATAACTTTGCATTGAATTGTAGGTCGAAAATAAGCACTTCGAAGAGGGCAGATGCCGGCTTCCACAGTACTGCGGCTAAATGTTTTTTTCACTAACAATAATAAAATCATACAGTCTAACATTTTACAATAATATCAATAGTACCAAATAATACTTCGTAAGTTACACGTACATACCAGGAAAATAATTTTTAAGGAAATGGGCTTGCAACATCAGGCGGCTAAACGTAATTAAGGTTATTTTTTATTTGCCAATTACCATTAATCAGGTGCTGGCCGAAAGCCGACTACTCTGTATCACTAGTGCAGGTTCCACATATACTGTTACACATATAATCCCTGATGTGGTATAACTATATCTGCGAAATATAACGCAAGTGAGATGAAAATTAATATTGCAACAACAGCACACTTAATTTTGAATAAAAAAGTTTTGAACAGCCGCAGGGTAAAATTATGATGCCGGCTAGTAGGTGTCACAAGCGCACCAGCACTATGCGCTAAATGGCGCTAAATGATTATTTTCAGAAAAGTCAGGAATCATTTTGTGGTGCACAGTAATCAGCATTTGGAGACACCGTGGTGCACAACAATGCTGCACGACTAGGACTTGGTCTGCCATAAATTCATGCCGGAAACGAACGGTCTGTTTGCCGTCCCTCCAAATGTTTTGGTGTATAAACGAGATAAAGAAAGTTTATCGTAGCGCACAAGTGCTTATACAATTACATTTAGTAATCATAAATGTATAATCTGTAAGTGTCTTATCACAGTGCAATCATCTACAGTGCTATTTTTTTAATTCTCAAAATCTGTAACATACGTAAACTGTAATTATATAACGAGAGATTCACTATTAACTAAACTGCATGCGCGAGTATTTATTGTTAGAGCTTAGCATTATAATCGGGTTCATAAACACTTAAACAAAAGCAAAAGTTTTGTTTAAATAATTTAGCATAGCATGATTGAAAGTATTGTACGGGCTCTGAATGTGCACTAATTATTGTAATATTTTTGAGATTTTACAAAATTTGTGAATACAAAATTAAATCGACAAATTTTTAAAGTGAACTACTGAAATCGACAACAGAGTAGAATTATGACATTACTAGCAAACTTTGACGTACAAGTGCGCAGTGAACAGCATTAGCAATTTACTGAATTTAGCACTTGTTAGAATTATCAACTTATTGTTAGATCAAATGACAAAAGTATCAAAAATTAATTATTTTCGATTAAAAAATCAGAAATAAGTTATCAGACTGCAAACTGCATAGTTAAACTGTTAAACACAGTAAAGCTATTGCCGGTGTTGCGACATCCGGAGGTAGTATGCCTTATCGACGTCACCCGCATTGCACTTGGCCGACGTCGCAACGAACACCAGCGCGCTCAACGCATTGGCAGTGCAGTCGTATGTCCTTACTCGCATCTGTCTGTGTATTATACACAGACCATGAACAGTTCTAAACCAAGTTATAGTACATACTTACTAGACTCTCCATCTGTTTTCCGTTCAACGTTTCCAATGGGTGTTTGTGGCTCTTTGATTTGGTGCCTCAAACTTTCCTGAAAGAGTACGAGTACAAAAATTTGACTTTTTTGGGTGCATCGGTTTGGTCACACGCTTCAAGTATAGTCGCAAGTTCAGCAACATGGCGACGGTATCATCCGAACCTGAAGAAGTCGTTCGGGTTAGCGAACTTCTCGAGACGAGCTACGACGTCAATCTCCTGCACATCCAGAGCAATCTGTTTGATCCTGTCCAGCACGGTCTGAAACCCGAGTTCAGACTGACCAACTTCACCGATCTGAAAGGGTGAGGATGCAAAGTCCCTCGTGCTGTGCTGCTGAAGCTCCTCGAGGGACTGCAGCATCATTCTACTTCTGTACACATTGCTCCCGAGTCTGCCTCCGACATTAATAACTATTCTGACGGATCTTCATACAGCGTACAACCGCCTGATATAAACGGATTTCCTAATGTTCATCACGTACATGCCAATGCTCCCGTTGGAACGGGAAATCTTACCAGTGCTTCGTTATCTCCGATTGGTAAGAACATGGAGCTATCTGCTGTCATAATATTATTCTTTCCTCTTTCTTTCATATTGGGAGTTCCATTTCGTATGTCGAAGATGTTGTGGTTACTTCAACTTGTTAATACAAATTTTGATTTAGAGTACTTGTTTGTATTTCGTAATAACTATTGTATTGCTTGAATACGTTCGTCTGACAATCGCTTGTAAAGTTGTATGTCTTCGCTTTGGTAGGTATCGGTCTTGATTCCTGCCTCATTCCATTAAGACATCTGGGCTTGTATTTGGTTCAGACGACAGATTTCTTCTATCCGTTGGTGGATGACCCGTACATGATGGTTGGTATATGCAGTGGCGTTGGCGCTTTATTGATTCTCGGAATTAAAATGTTCTTTTTTCTGCTACGTGAATCCAGTTACTTACTTGGGAGAGTGGGAGAGAATAGATAAATAATCAAGCGGGCGAGCGAAGCGAGCCCGCGTTTCTAATTCAAGACATATTGAGGGTTCGATGCGACGGGGAGTACCCATGACCTTTGGGTCGCCGCTTGACCTTTGGGTCGCCACCAATTTTCAAGGTGATTCCTATACAGTTTGATGTGCTGAGTCGAACTGAAGTACTCGGAGACCTCGAACCCGGGTCCCCGAGGTCGCCCCCACGATATGTACTGCAAACGCACAGTTTGACCTGCTGAGTCGAACTGAAGTACTCGGGGACCTCGAACCCGGGTCCCCGAGGTTGCCACCACGATATGTACTGTAAATGCACAGCTTGACCTACTGAGTCGAACTGAAGTACTCAGGGACCTCGAACCCGGGTCTCCGAGGTCGCCACCACGATATGTACTGTAAATGCACAGTTTCACTTGCTGAGTCTAACTGAAGTACTCGGAGACCTCGAACTCGGGTCACCGAGGTCGCCACCACGATATGTACTGCAAATGCACACTTTGACCTGTAGAGTCTAACCTAAGTACTCGGGGATCGCGAACCTGGGTCCCCGAGGTCGCCAAAAAGTCTTCATTGAATATGCATATGACACTCGGGGACCACGTCGTTGGGGGCGCCAAAGTTCCAATGTGTATTTTTTAAGTGCTCAGTCAAAGCGAAGTCTTCGGAAAACTCGAATTCGGATCCCCGATGTATCATTTATACTCGTATTTACGCACTTTAGAAATGCTTCGAAAACGTGGGTCCATCTGTAGCCGCTATAACCACATCTGAAGAACAAAATGAACTTCTCAAAATTTTTAAATATTGTTTTTTTTCAAATTTTTAAAAATTTCTGAATGTTTTTAAATATTTCTGAATCTTTTTCTAAATATTCTGAACATTTTTTCATTTCTAAATGTTTTCATTTCTATAATATTTTCGTTTCTAAATATTTCTAAATCTTTCTAAATCTTTCTGAATATTTCTAAATATTTCTAAATATTTCTAAATACTTCTAAGTATTTCTAAATATTTCTAAATATTTCTAAATATTTCTAAATATTTCTAAATATTTCTAAATATTTCTAAATATTTTTAAATATTTCTAAATATTTCTAAATATTTCTAAATATTTCTCTAAATATTTCTAAATATTTCTAAATATTTCTCTAAATATTTCTAAATATTTCTAAATATTTCTCTAAATATTTCTAAATATTTCTAAATATTTCTAAATATTTCTAAATATTTCTAAATATTTCTCTAAATATTTCTAAATATTTCTAAATATTTCTAAATATTTCTAAATATTTCTCTAAATATTTCTAAATATTTCTAAATATTTCTAAATATTTCTCTAAATATTTCTAAATATTTCTAAATATTTCTAAATATTTCTAAATGTTTCTAAATATTTCTCTAAATATTTCTAAATATTTCTAAATATTTCTAAATATTTCTAAATATTTCTAAATATTTCTAAATATTTCTAAATATTTCTCTAAATATTTCTAAATATTTCTAAATATTTCTAAATATTTCTCTAAATATTTCTAAATATTTCTAAATATTTCTAAATATTTCTAAATATTTCTAAATATTTCTCTAAATATTTCTAAATATTTCTAAATATTTCTAAATATTTCTAAATTTTTCTAAATATTTCTAAATATTTCTAAATATTTCTAAATATTTCTCTAAATATTTCTAAATATTTCTAAATATTTCTAAATGTTTCTAAATATTTCTCTAAATATTTCTAAATATTTCTCTAAGTATTTCGAAATATTTCTGAATTTTTTCTGAACAGTTTTAAATATTTTGAAGATTTGTAAATACCGATGTTATATATTTTTAAAATTTCTGAATTTTATTCTAAATATTTCTATATCGCTTGATATTTTTGATCATTTTAAAATATAACTAAATTTTAAATGTGTAAAAACATTCATATTAATTTAACTAACCGAATATCTACACATTTAACCAACCGGATACGTAAGGTGCAAAAGCTTTTGCTGCGTTGTTAAAGGTCTAAAAAGTCGTGCAAAAACACTAACGTAATAGTTTGTTTTTAGATTGGTTTTCCTATTATTTTTTCCAATAAGTCGATCAGCATTAAATTAAAAGCCCGAAGATGCAAAATTAGGTTCTAGCAAATTTTATTCCCGGTAAAAATGCCAAACGCAAAATGAAATGAATAAAATTATAACAAGTCCCCGTTATTTATTTATTTGTTCTTAATAAAAATGCCAAATTATAAAATGGTTTATGAATTTCAAAGTGAATATTAAACTGGTGCTCCCATCCTTCTAATTAATACGAGAATCATTTCTCAAATCCAAGGCTCACTGAAAAACAACCCACATATTCTAAAATTTTTTGAGGTTTAATTTTTTAAAAATTTTCTTAATCAATTTGTTAAATATGCATTCAATTTCAAATCAAAACCGGATTATATTTCTGATTTTAAGTTGTGGATCCAGTGTCTATCAGTTTCCCACGTTTCTACTCCAAAGTTGATGTCATATTTTTTAGTATAATTGTCGAGACGTGGTTTTGGTTTCGAAATCAGTATTCAGACTGATAATTTTCTAATCTATCAAATTTCTTTTCTTTTATAAATTTTTAAATTCTCTTAATCTATTTGTTAAATATGCATTCAGTTTCAAATCAAAACCGGATTATATCTCTGATTTTCAGCTGGTGGTTTGGGTTTAAATTTCACCCACTTCCAAATAGTAGAATATACTAATTTTTCGACTTTATGCTGGTTTGGTAAATTCTGGAACCACCAAAACAGTTCTTTTAAATGGTTACTGCAAGTTTTTGGTCATCTAAAAGCCATATTAGCCTGCCTCAACGTGCTCCTCAAATGCGTTCTGTAAATTAAAATCCCGGATATTCTGTAAAAGCGAAACTACCAAATTTGCAGCGCCGAATTTTACAGGAAGCGATATCACAAAACTCTAAATTTCACCAACTTCCAAACAGTAGAATATATTAATTTTTCTATTGTATAGAGCGGTCGCAATAGACAACACCCGGTTAGTGGCCGATCGCGATCGTAACGGTTATTCGCGATCAGAATAGTGAACCCGAGAAATTTAGGTAATCCTGTTTTTAATTCACGACTATCGAATTGCTCGTTCCGCTGTAATTTTGCTTTTTGCCACTGATGGTTTTTTTGCTGTAAAAAAAATTAATTACAACAACGTAGGGAAATTTTACATCCGGTTAGAGTGATTTTAGACAGAAGTGACGGAACCACTGTTACGGTATTTTTTCCAAGTTTTAAAATAAATTTTATAATTTCTGAAATCTGTTTCAAAATTGAGAAAAACTGCTTAGAGCCGTTGTTCGGTATACACACGGAGTACAATACACACATACTTTGTGGACTAAATACTTATGTGCAATTACATACAAGATTTGAGCAAGTTGGTCGATAATGAGATTTTTTCTGTACCGGGTAGCTTTGAAACTTATTGAAATTTATCTCGCCCATCCTTCTCCAACCAGATGTTGCGTCGACAAATGGCATTTACTTCAGTGTCGCAAATTATTTGTTCACAAAATGTTACTGAGGAGTGAGGACTGTAAAAAAGTTTTTGGGATGGCGCAAAAGCGAAAGTTTGCACCGATTTAGCAACATGCACGCGGCAGTTCCTTTGAAACTAAATGTTAACTACCAAGGCCAATTTGCAGCTTTCGTGTTTACATGTTAGTGAATGCTTGCCGCTTGGCACATTTGCTGCCTTATACATTTAAAATTAAAGACCGCCGCCCGCTTGCCCTAAGGGCGTATGAGACCTTATACTAGTACCTGTATTTGATGCCTTTCTTTTGAGTGTGTGATTACTCACTAATTAGCTACAGAGTGGACAATAATCTGGGTATTTTGCATTTTCTCTACAGGGTAAAATTGCAGCCGCCAATGTTCTCTCCGACCTGTACGCCATGGGTGTGACAGAATGTGATAATGTACTGATGATTTTGGCCAGCAGTCAGAAGTTCACCGCAGAAGAGCGCGATGTGGTGATGCCGCTCATCATCCAAGGCTTCAGGGTATGCGAAAACTTAATGTTCGTGTGTACTGTGTACTGACCGCAATGGTATTATTACTTACTAATGAGCTCGTTTAAAACAGCGCTGAAGATCTCTTATTAAATCGACAAAAGGAAGAACCCGATTGTAGTTTAGAAATTATACGAGTACACATATTATTAAAGTAATTTTGAGATGGTTCAGAACTTAAGAAAAATATTTGTACGTTCGGAAAGCTTGTCTGTTGCATGCTTCTTTCATCTTCTGGCCTCTTGTTTTGTTTTATGTAGCAGCCTTATGTTTGCTGTAGTGACTGTTTGCTGGGAATTCGCTTTTTGAAACGACGTTTATGTGATTAATTTACGATTAAGTAGCTTTCCGCAAGCTGGAATCGGAAATTACATGCTTCCTGCTGTAATGTTAACTGTTAATGCTGTTGCACGATAGGACTGCGCTGTCGAAGCTGGCACTTCCATCAACGGCGGCCAGACTGTGATAAACCCTTGGGTAACGATTGGAGGAACTGCATCGTCGATTGTCAGGGCGGAAGAGATAATTCCGTAAGCGTTCCCTGTTCCGCGTGCTGCATTTTAAATTTTGTATTGACAAGTACAGTACTTGTTCGGTTAGACCGGATGGTGCACAGCCAGGTGATGTGCTGATTTTGACAAAGCCTCTCGGGACACAGATTGCTGTAAATGCTCATCAGTGGCTAACAACCAATCCAGAAAAAGCTGCCAAAGTACGAACTATTCTAACGGATGAGGAAGTCAAGCAGGCGTACCTCCGTGCGATGCACATCATGGCGAGATTGAATCGCAACGGTAAAGAGGGTAGTGTAGCACGACGTGAACATATGAAATTTTTGAGATTGACTTTTTTGCTTTAAGCAACCTTCTATGTACGTAATATATGGATTTTGGTTGAATTTTTCTACAATTAGATTAATTCGGCTGCATTTAAAAATTTATTTTTAGCGGCAAAATTGATGCATGTCCATGGAGCCCACGCTGCAACGGATATTACTGGATTCGGCTTGATGGGCCATGCTGAGAATTTAGCGAGAAACCAGAAATGCGCTGTGATGTTCATCATACAGAACATGCCAGTCATCGCAAAAATGGGTCAAGTGGCTAGAATGTTCCCAGGGTTCGGGTTTCTACAAGGACGATCAGCCGAAACCTCGGGTATGTGCACTGTACTTCGGGATCTGCGTAATGCCATAATATGTTATAACTTGAAACCATGAAGTGTGATTTCCCATTTTGATTGCATGGTAAGTTTCTTTGCAAATTTGTTCTGTTCATGCACCGGCATAATTATTACAGTTAACCTGTTTTATTCTTGAGAGACATTTGCGTGCCTCCGAATCGAAATTTTCGGTGTATGCCAGATACCAACTGTATCTAAAAAGGTTTTTTTTTACTTATGTAAGTACTTTTTGTACAGTAAATTTTGATAAGAACTTTACTTACACCGGTATGGTACTATAATGGTAGGGCCAGGGAGGCACCGATTGCACGTATGTACTTTCGAACGAATTATTATTTGCTGTTGGTGTAATTTAATGAACTTCAGTGTGGCTTTTCAGGTGGCTTGTTAGTTTGCATGCCAAGGAACAAAGCAGCAGGTTTCATTGCTGATTATAAGCGACTGGAAGGCCATCCAGCTTGGATTATCGGCAGTGTGGAACGAGGTGACCGCAATGCCAAAATCATTGATAAAGTCAGAATAATCGATGTTCCTTCTCATGATACTGCGGATAAGCTGTGGTAAAATTATGACTTATTTTCAGTTGTTTTTTTTATTTTGCACATTAATAAATGCATGTAGTTCGTTATATGCTTTCGGGAGGCAGACTTGAGGTTGTGGACTTCGGGGTGGGTTACTTTTTTCCGGAAATGTAGTTATGAAGTTTGGCATCGAAAGGTGTAACGGCCAGATGCTTGACGGATGCCCTACTGTCCTGTTAAAAGCTTTTACGCTGTACATGTTGTTTCGTTCGGTTTGATTTGTTAGAATCATGGGCAAGAAAGTACTAGCATTTAATACTAACAATAAGTGGTAAACGAGAACTTTTGTCTCGAGCTACTGGCTTGTGGTATGGACTCGTGACTCAGGTCATTTCGGCATCCTCATTATCATTGTTTTGTGCTAGCCGTCGAAAAAAACGGAAGCTGCTGCGATTTTGTAGTATTGACCGTTACAGTTCATAAATAAGTACAATCCTTTCACATGATTATAAGTAGCCACAGCAGACTAAACGACACACAATAACTATGAAAATAAAATTGATCTCGGTGGCGCTTCTTAATCATGCAATTCTATTGTATTACAATTAACTCGACTATTTGAACTCCAAATTTTAAAAGTTATTACCAGAGTTGTACTGTTTACATTAACAATTGTAAGATAAATCAGCCATAGGCTGGTGTACTGTTTCATTTTGAGTTAAGTATTTTTGAGCCTCAGTATTACTGTGTCCCTTCAGACCTGCATTCATCGCTCATTCGCGTGAGAAATGACCACTTGCAACTTATCTGAAACGGTACTGGAATCAAACGAACCTACTGCTAACTGCGATGGTCACAAGTTCACAACATCCTTCCCCAGTACTGACATAGGCGCCACTCTTGCACGAGTAACAAGGTAAAAATGATGGAATGTCAATTAAACCACACTAAAACGGTGGCCCGGAATTTACGAAATTTTTTATTGAAGAACAGACAGAAACCAGGTAACATCCAGCGTCATCTTAAAAGATCGGCTCGGGAAACTCGAAACTGACAGCTTTACCTGTTAACTTTTTGTATAACGATGCGAACACATCAGTCTTATGCTCGACATGGTTCAAACTAGCTTTATCCAGATGCACCTTAATCAACCGCGATCCGTCCGTCTTGATGCGGATCCTCTTGCCGACAATCTCCGCAGGATAGACAATATCGGCCAGCATGTTTTCGTGCACCGCTGTCAATGTGCGGGACCGTGGGCGCTTCTGATTGAGCTTAACGGTCTTCCGGGTGGGTTTGGGCAGCATACGGCGCTTGGCGATGAAGATCACGGTCCGTCCACCCAGCTTCTTCTCCAGCTCGCGCACCACCCGCACATGGATCTTCTGCCAGGCCTTCAGCTGTGGCGGTGGTACCAGCAGAACGATCACGTTCTTTCCGCCGACTTCCATCTCCTTGGCTTCATTGACCAGCAGCTCCTGCATCTGGTTGCGCAGGTCGTTGTTGTTCTGCTCGAGATCCAACAGCAACTGACTGACCTGGGATTCAAAAGGAGTGGTCTTCTCGCCTCCCTGTTTCAGGAACTTGCCTTCAGCCATGTTGATCCGATGGGGTCTTCGACAATCTGCAACGTTCACGTTTCACAGCCGTATTTTCGCGAATTAATTTCGATTTTTTAGTTGACTCACATTTTTAACTTGATGGTAGATGGAGGAAGTATGAGGAAACAATGAGTTCCTTCCGTTTTTGAAGAAAGTTCGTGAAATACCTCTCCAACAACTGGAACTGCTTTTAACGAGAACGCGAGGACCGTATGCCGCTACACTGGCATATACACACGTGTCTGTGCAGCTATCGCCAGCCAGATACACACTCTGCAATTACAGGGATATGCTCTGGTGGCCTGAATGCATTGTGACATTCTCTTGATTGCCGCCTGCGGGGGCGATGCATTCGATTCGCACGGTATTAAAAATCAATAAATGACTGGTACTGTACAGTCTGTACTGAATGAATTGCGAAATTAATATATAGTATATTAAATTAAATTATAAAATAGTAATAAAACCGTAAAAAATCATTGCATCATGCCTTCTGCATATTTATTGCGTGTAATAAATTATTAGCCCCATAATCCCATTTAAACAAGTACAGTATTTCCTGAAGAGTGAAGAGTGCAGGCGACAGAGCGTACAAGTACAGACTTCCCAACCGGGATAATTATGATCATTTGGAATTTGGATAATAAAATTGGATGTATATATTGTTTTGATATTAGGTCAGGGACATGACAGATCGCGATAATAAACTTAATTTTAATTCATGCAAAAAACAAAAAATTGCGGTTATTCGTTTGCTTCGTAGTTTCTTGGGAATCGTTCAAATTGACAATGATGATTTGATCACTTCCCTGTAGTTTTTCCATAGGTTGCTGTTTGCACTGGACCGATTTTATCCAAACTATTTTTCGTGTACGAGTACGAGTAGTACTTTAACTGGCAAAGTTGTCAACGAACAGAAGAGAAATCCTTGATTTCTGGTTTTTTTCGTCCTTTGACTTTTATTTTCCCAGGTATCGTAATAATAGACGATATGTAGGTCTTATCAAGATCTGTCTTTTGATCTTTCCGTGGTCTAAAGATTCGGATATGCTGCCGAATCCCATCGTGCGACGTTGTTTTCGTGGATTACTTTTCCAAAACACTCGGCAGTGTGCTGATTGACTGACTGAGCTCTGGTTGCATTGGTTTCATTGGTTTGCAAACTATATGAAATGGAGAATTCAGATTCTTTTTTTGGATTTGATACGCGGCTGCCGGTAAGAACTAATCTGTTTCTGATCCTGATGGAATAAGCCTGAATATGGATTATTATACAGGAAGATGCGGAGAGAGACTCCATAGGCAGTCCGGAGAACTTTGATTTTCAGCTGACCAATCTTGCTTCGCTGCAGCTCGACGATAGTGTCACGAGTGTGCCGGACGTTTCGGAAGCAGGAAAAACATCTGGTTAGTAATGCGGCTCTCTGAGTGTAACGCTGCATGGAAATTAAATTTCCGGTCGAGATCGTTTTCAAGAAAACGTGAAAATTCTGATTTTCAATTTTTTAAACTAAGGAGTTTTTTGTAGTTATTGGTAGTATTTTGAGCTGTAAGGAGACAGATGCAAATCGTATTTTTACTTTAAGTTTATGCAACATTTTAGGGTTGCGATTTAGTCAGATTAAAATTTTTGGAAAATCCCCTTTCCTTGGCGTTTTATTCGTTTTTAATTTCTTAAAAGTTAAAAATAGGAATATTAATGATGTCATAATGTCATTATCATAACTTACAAATTAATTCATGTAAATGTAGATTTGGAGAATCGAGGCTGATTATGTTGCATTGTAGCGCTAATTAGCACATCAAAATATTATTAATAATTGACTGAGGCAGACTGACTGAATGAACGGCGTTTTTTGTGACCACGTGCGTCCACGATGGCCAGTGAACCCGATACCGGAATAAGTGACTTTGTGAAACCGAAAATGCACGAAGTCTTATTTAAATTATTGTAGGCTCCGATCCATGGCGGTCCGCAGCCGCTGAACTGGACAAAATCGCCACCGGAAAATTCTTTTCCGATTCTCGTAGTTCCCCGTCCAGCTACCTTACTGATCTGCGATCAAGCAATTCCGGCTACACGTCCTTGGATGCTGACTGGCGCAAGAGCTCACCCAAGCCGACGGGCGAACGAGATATCGAAGAGGTAAATTCCGTTATTTCTCCTTCTTCTAAACGTGTAGTTTTAATTTTTTCCGTTCCGACTGGTTTAGCGATTGTTTTGAAAAAAAATTTGTGATACCGGTAATTCTTCTTTTTATGAAAGGCACAATCAATGGATAATGTTGGATCCGATTGCCTGATCAGTGTTGACGTTAACAGTTTACTCACAAATGTTGTAGAATTTGGCGGATACCCTTGCACGTATGATCGACGAGGATTCCTTCTCCTCTGCAAGGATTGAGCGCAATTATATGGATCCTTTTGAGGTAAAACTTTTTATTGATTACTGTACCAGTTCTTTCGGCAGTATTTCGAGCTCTGCTTGCTTCTATTATTCTATACGTGTAGTATAATTTTATAATAATTATTTTGTTGATAAAAAAAGCGTTGCCGGCTTTGGATTGACTGGTAAGATTAACTATCTTGAAAGCACAAGTATTTCGGTTGTTTCATTTGGGGCGTATTCGGTTTTGATCTATTGCCTGGTTTAGGTAAAACACTGTATTTATACAGTGTGTGCACATAAACCTCATTGATGTACTGAATTTGATACTTTCACTTTATGAATTCTATAATACCGAAAAAATAAATAAGGTTGCTTTTTAGGGGGAGTTCGTAAATGACCGTACTCCTGATGCACCGCCCAGTAGCCGCATTGTGAGATCAGAATCGTTATTTTGGAAAACTCATGCTGAAATAGTATGACAAAATAATACTTCTTTAGGATTCCTTTTCTCCGTGGGGATCGACTGGCTCGTTCGCCACTCTTGGTGACTCTTGGTCAAAACGAGAGAGCGTTGTCCATCCAACACTGGTTAACTCACAGGTATTGTATTGTGAAGTGCCGTCACTAACCGCTTCCTGTTAATGAGAAATTTACAGTCTTCTCCTGCAATTCCAACTGCTGCTGTCAGTGGAGCTCAGGATGCTTCGTCCAAACCCAATGTCGTGAGAAAAGTGATGACTTTAGAGGAACTGGAAGGAATGATATTGCCAAAAAGCCACGACGGTGAAAAGAAAGATATGGAACGGTCCATACAATCTCCCGTGCGCCTTCCGTTACATCCGCATGAACCACCAAGAGGAGCTCTGAGAACTATCAGCAACCTTCCATATGGTTTGGTGAGCTCAGTTTGTATCTGTCAGACATCCGTATCATTTCCCTATAAATTCGATTTGACGACCACTTTATAGAATTTGTATCGTTTGTATGCGCATTTTGATAGAGCATTTCAAAAATTCGTCATTGCCATTTCCGAAAATTGACCTGGTAACTGCAACTGGCAGTAAACGTTGAATCGTACATTTCGTAGATGTTTTTCTTTTAGCAAGTACTAATCTAGTGGATTTGTTGTAAGTCGGAGCTGTACAGCACAAAATTAATATTCCTCTTAAATTAAAACTTGGTTTTTATTTCTTTAATTTTCGTGGTTGAATCATGACAGACTTGCGGCTTTGTATAGAATATTCCCACTCCTACCGGCACGCCGGGCCCTGATGGGCGATATGCTCCCTTCGATATGGGTGTACCTCTCCAACAGCGGGATGGCCAGTTTTTCATGCCTCCGTCTGCTCATTTGCGTTACCCTCCTGGCATGCCGCAGCCGCCTCTTCCCCACGCAGTGCCTCACAATGCTCGATTCCCTGCTCGGCCGCAGTATCAGTATTATCAGTCGCGCGTGTTTGAGAACGCCAACCATGCTCAGATGATGCGTATGCAGAATGGAGGCATGGGGCAAGCACGGTCACCCCTGCCGCAGTGGATGCCGGGACACCACCAAATGCGCGGAATGAGGTTCGTAAGTAAAAAATTGTAGAACCTAGATTCTTGAAGTTCTCAAAAAGAGGAGCTTTTAATTAGACCAGTGCTGTAATACGAGGTATTTGATTTCATCGCATTTTGTTGGCGGTTCTTTTCGGCCACTTTGTCTTACTGTGAGAAGATATCTTTCAAATCTTTTCTCATTTCGAAAATTTAGAAAAGTAACTCTGTCTGTAGTACTCGTACGGTTACTGGACGAAAAGGTAGAAAAATCTCAAATTTGAAGCTTAAACTCGGCTGTTCATTGTTGCAATACACATAGTTATTATTATTTATTTTTGATTTTCGATATATTATCATTCGGACAATTGTTCTGGTGTTTAGACCAATGCCTATGAATCGGTTCCATCCGCAAACGAACAAAGGAATGCCTATGCATAATCAGTACATGATGCGCATGCCTCAGTATGGAATAGAGAATTATGACCCTGAAGAAGAGAACTGCGGATGGATGACTGAACGGGAAAAAGAGTGGGTCATTAAAGTGCAGCAGTCACAAGTCAAAACCGAAAACCCGTATTTGGATGACTACTATTATTACGTACGTGACGTTTGTTTATGTTCCACCTGTGTCAGATTTCTTTCAGTTTATGATTTACTTGTAGGTGCGCTCTCTAAAGAGATCCTTAAAAGATAGCGGCAAACAGCATTTACTGAATGAGGATTTCATTTTTCCTGCGCGTGCTGCTAACGAGCCAAAAGAAGAACGACCAAGTAAAGAATATTATTTATGAATAATGAAAATTTACTGTATATGTACCGGAAATCTTCTTGCGTTTTTTAGATTTTTTTGAGGGTTCGCTGGGAAAGGTTTGCATATCGAGTGTATTTAATCCCCGCAAAACTGTGGATGTCGATCCCGTTAACATTGCCAAAACCCGTCCGCCGCCGACGAATCAGAAGCGTCGATGGTTTGTGGATCCTCTACAGAAAGAAAAAGGTTATTCGAAGGGATTGCTCTTAGGCATTGAGGACGTGAGTGATTACAAGTATTTTACGGTTTAGATACAGGCTTCGATGTTGATATCGAACTTTTCGGTTACAGTTATATAAGCTCATCCTAGAGTTTCAAGATTTCTCCCGGGAGATGGCCGCACTTCCGGCTGATCAACGGTACTGCAACTGTGCAACATAGCTTGGGAACTAGGTGAAACTTTCGAATTATTGGTTGTTTGGCGTTATACAGGGAAGAGAACTTGGAAACGCGGCGCAACATTGTTAACCTGATTTTTGACAAATTAATTCAGGGCACTAGCCCTGATGCCCGAGCGCGTAACTTTTCCGAAACTTTGAAAATTCGCAAAGGACGAGAACTGGTGCGGCGTGCAATGCCCGTTTTATTCAAAGTAAGATGAACCTTTGTGCGGTTAATGTACAGAATGTGAAAGTTAGGTGCACATTTCCGAAGCGGTTTCGTTTTTTAGGAGCAGATTGTTATTCTTACCGGATATTTTGTTCGTGCTTTGCCAGTTCTTGTCGAACCTCTCGTCGACGCGCACGAGGTGTGTGTCTATCTGTATATATGTTACCGCATTAGGATTTATGGTGCAACGAACATTTCTTTAATATTCGATTTGAAATGTGCGATCATATGTTTGAAGGGATTTTTCTGGTGTCTCACCGTTATTGGAGAATGTGTTCGTTCTGTGAAGTTTGCATCGCTCGTGGACATGATTCTGCCGTTGGTCGAAGCGAAGCACGGCATGCTGGATACTGCGTACAGTGGACATAGTATTCTTGGACTAGCTGTTAAATGCCGGGTAAATTTGCTCCTTATCTTGTGGCGATGCGTCCTTAGTATATTAATTAGTGCGTCTTAATTAACGTCTTTTCCATCGTTTTCTCAGTTTGCTTCCAACTTCTTATCTTTACTGATTGCTCAAGCCGAGCGATGTCATCAGGCAGAGTGGGAAGATTTGGAGCCGGAAGAGAAAAATAAATGGTTGGTTGACTTCATAAGTACATCTATGAAGAATTATTATATTTATATATACTAAATACTGCAGGTAAACGGTATTGTATATTGAATAGAAAAAAACATTAGATATTAAAGACTGAAGAACTAGCTATTTATTTGTAGGACGTTGTTCATTACCTACTATCTGATTTCCCTTTCGAAAACTGATTCGTCGGATGTCGCCACAATTTCGGATCCTGAGGTGTATTTGGCAGTTTCAGTTCACATTGGACGCTTTCCTTTTTCCGCTGTACGTACGAATCTACGAGAAAAGCGTTGGATTACAGACCGGGTGTACCAGATTTAATTTATTTGCTGAATAAGCTGCAATTCTGTAATGATTGAATAAGCTGAAATTCAAAAGAAATTGCATAATGACAGCGAAGTGTATAGAAATAATTGTTATGTTTCGTTTGTAGGATCAGATTGAAGGGTGCCGTGAAAAACTTCGGAACCGCGATTGATTCATTACTTCGAACTTGCAATGGAATTTGAGCTTTTTTTGGCCTGTCAGGATGGATAGTGAATGTTTTATGTTTGGCGATAGTGGTAATATATCTTTAACTTTCTGTTTTCGTTTTTAATTAAGTACCTATACGCATTTCGTCACAGTTTGCGGATGTCGCTACATTAATGTTAGGCCGGCCTCCAGAATTTTTATTTAAATTTGGAAACTTTGTTTGTTGGATATTTGCACTGTGAATAATTTGATTCGCTTTGGTCTGTTTTAAAGTTCTCTGTTCTTTCAGATGGTTTTATAAGTTTTTTTTGTTTGGCCGCTTATACACAGCCCGTTTCACGCATTGCGTATCACATCTGTGAAACTGTGCCAGCTAAATTAATCGTTGATTGATTGAATTATGAGTAATTTGACCGTGCAATGTTTTCGGTTAAGTAATAATGTGGGAATGGATGTTTGAAAATGAAAAATGAGATTCCAGATTAGTGCTGTTGATTGCTCTTATCTGTACATGTGACTGATGTACTGTAAGTGTCAACTAAATTGTCGTCGCGTAGGAGAAATTATTATGGAAAAAGAACCAAAATAGCAAAGATGGATGCAAAGTAAAACAGCATTAATTTAAATAGCAATCAGAAATGTACTGTAGCATCAGCAATAGTTACTAGCAATAGCAATAATTATATTGAAATTTAATTTAAAACTCACACTCGTCTATGGTTTAAATACACGGAGTTTTCTTGTGTGCCGTGTAGGCGCAGCCCATGGGTTCGTCCCAGTCTGGTGCAGAACGATTTAATATTCATGCAAAATGTTTTCTACGCTTAGTTCTTCCTTTTCATAAAGCACCCAAATACAAAGAATTGGTTTTGAATCGGCAAACCGAATTTGAAATGAAGTGAGGACTTCGCAAAAAAATTCGCAGCAGAGCCAAATCACGCTGCCACACTGGGAGGCTGCCATTTGTTCACCAACCGGAAGCGGTTTCTAAGTTTTCAGTTCACCTCGCCCTCGTCCATGTGCCTGAGAGGCACATTTAATCATTCAAAAATTCATGGAACGTTACGCTGGCTGTTGACTTCTCCCTACCTAACCTGAATTCCTCGGGAAATTTGTTTGCTTTTCACTTTATATTGAAACAGTTAGTAAAAATAAGCGAGTGTTAATAGAAGAAAAAGAATTAAAATTTAATAGCGGTCGATCGCTTGGTGAGGCGGCTACGTTCGGTTTTTGTTGACGACGTCACGCCAGTATCTTTACGTGCACGAAAAAAACTTCCGGTACTCTTCTCGATGTTCTCACATTGATTTCAGCACCACAAATTTCATCACCTCTGGCTCTGGCATCTCGTTTTTTACCAATTCTCGCTGCTCGCTTTTTGTTCTCAGTTTGAAACTAGTCTGTGTAATTCGCAAAATGGTTCTGGATATTGATCTGTTTCGCGAGGAGAAGGGGGGAAACGTTGAACTGATTCGCGACTGTCAGCGCAAACGCTTTAAAGACCTTGGTTTAGTTGATCAGGTCCTTCAAAACGATATCGACTGGCGCAAATGTATGTGGTTCAGATTGCTTATTCATTTATTTATCCCCATTGTTACAGCAGTGTAATTTGAAGTGAATTCTTCTCTAGACCGTTTCGCTGTCGATCAGTGGAATAAATGGAAGCGGTCTGGCAGCAAGGAAATTGGCGAACGCATGAAGGTTCGTTTAATTACATTATTACAGTATTAATAATACTGTATTATATATAAGTCAAAGTGTTATATTTATGCGAATTCAGAGGCAGTATAACGTTATGGTTGTTGATGTCGTAGAAAAAAGAGGCTCAAGATGGAACCGATGGAGGCCTTCCATCTTCCTTGGAGTTGGTGTTGGAAGAAATGTCCTTGGAGGAAATCAAGGTTTAGTAATGTTATTAATACATTTTCATAAATGTATGTTTAAATAAAAATATGGAACTATTGCTATTTTTTTGTAATGCCCTAATGGTCAGTTTTTTGTAGACTCTTAACATTCCCCAGCTGAAGACTCTGGGCTCAAAGATTGACGAAGAGATTGACAAATGCACCAAGAAAATGGAAGAACTGGACGAGAAGCGCAGTGCCGCTCTGCGAGAAATCGGGAATCTCCTTCACGACAGTTGCATCATTAGCAATAACGAGGTGATTGAACTGACCTAACTTTTCTCTCTGATTCCCTTCTGTAATTTTTATACTGTAATCTTAAATCAGTGTTGCTGCTGGATGGAATCGACCGTCAAGCGTTGGAGTTGTCGATTCCAATTTGTTTTGTTATTATTGCTGTTTTTAGTAATAATATTCATACAGTTCACGGACTTTTATTTGCTTTTTCAGTAATATCCGCAAATTTTTCCTCTTATTATCGTTTTTTGTTTTGCCGCGTGGATGTGTAACGTTTTGTTTTGCCGCGTGCAAGTGTAACCGAATTTTCCTTAAATTTTAGGATGAAAATGGTGTGGAGCGAACGTTCGGGAATATTGAACAGAAAAAAAAGTATTCGCACGTTGATCTGATTGCGATGGTGGATGGGTTTGATGGAGATCGCGGCTCGGTTGTTGCCGGTGGTCGCGGATATTATCTGTTGGTAAAGACGCTGCTTTCATTGTGCGACGTTGCGTTCAGATTTTATTTACGCACTTTGTCTTATCTTGCAAGGGCCCCGCTGTCTTCCTCGAACAAGCATTGATACAACTTTCTTTGAGACTTTTGGATAAAAAAGGATATAAACCGATGTACACGCCCTTTTTCATGCGCAAGGAAATCATGCAGGAAGTGGCACAACTGTCTCAATTTGATGAAGAATTGTATAAGGTTCGTTACAGCATGGGGTGGTTTTTTATGCTTGTTGTACCTTTGCCTTGACAGAGGTTAAATTACAAGTTTCATATGTTGTGTCAGCCAAAAGTCGAATTTGTACTGTAATTTTTTTTGGCTTAATATTTTGGACTACGCGTACTGGTTCCTTTTTTGTGTAGTTCAGTTGGTTACTTTTCGCTTTATTTTGTGTCTGATATATTCTTTGTTTTGGAAGTATTAGGCATGTTTGTAAACTTGACATTTCCACAATGCGATATTAGCGGCCTCATTTTCGACAGGTTGTGGGGAAAGGCAGCGAAAATAAAGAGGATGTTTCCGTTGATGAGAAATATTTGATTGCCACGTCTGAACAGCCCATTGCGGCGTTTCACCGGGACGAATGGATTCCCGCTGATCAGCTACCCATTCGTTATGCTGGTATTTCTTCGTGTTTTCGCCAGGAAGTGGGATCGCATGGACGTGATACGACAGGCATCTTCCGAGTTCATCAATTTGAAAAAGTATAATTCGGTTCGCCTTAACCTGTATTATTGTTCTTGAGCATGTAGTTATGATGTGCTGGTAGGTTGAACAATTTTGTATTACTTCGCCACATGATGGTGAGTCTTGGAAAATGATGGATGAAATGATTGGAAACGCGGAAAACTTTTGCCAGGTTCTCGGTATTCCATACCGAATTGTTAATATTGTCTCAGGTATGGTCTTACATTTTAGCACTCGTGTATTTCAAGGATAGGGATTAGATTTGAGAAGTTTGAAAATTTATCGCCCGCGATTGAACAATTTTTCACCTGGTCTTCGATTGTTGTCGGCTTTGTTTATAGTAAACACCTGCATCCACGATAATATGTTATAATAATAATAGTTATTCATAAAATTTATTTTTTTGTTATGTATTTATTAATAATTGTTGCAGTTGTTCATTATATAGTACTTGTCAGTTATAAGAATTGTTATTTGTTTTGTTACAGGAGCCCTAAACAACGCTGCAGCCAAAAAACTGGATTTAGAAGCTTGGTTTCCTGGTAGTGGCGCTTTTCGAGAGCTGGTATCATGTTCTAACTGCACCGATTATCAATCACGTCGTCTCGCTATACGCTATGGGCAAACGAAAAAATTGAACGATAAGGTGAAGAATTTTGTGGTTGTGATGTTCCGTGATTAAGTGCAGATCAGAGTTTTTAAATCATGGCTTTCTCTGTTAATTAGGTGGAATACGTGCATATGCTTAATGCCACCATGTGCGCTACGACTAGAGTGATTTGCGCTATTTTGGAGAATTTCCAGGATGATAACGGTATTGTTGTTCCCGAACCACTGAGACCGTATATGCCTGAAAGTAAGCCATTTTTTATTGATATCCATTGGCTTGGATGTTATTATTAAAAGTCTGTCAGTGACAGTGAGTCGAACATTGACGATATTTCTTGTTGTAGGATATAAGGAAAGAATTCCATTCGTAAAGCCTGCTCCTATCGATGAAATTGCCAAGAAACAGGCTGGAAAATCAAAGACGAAGGAAGATTTGGCTGGAGGTGACTCGAAGTAATGCGATTCAAATGGGTTTTAACTCGAAGTAGTACTTAATGTTTCCGCTTTTTTCGGTTTCTTTTGTGGTTTTTTCTTATTGATAAGATCGCTCGCTTTTGCAGTAACACGCGCAGTTTCATGGATTGCTGTTTTATCTTGTTTGCAGTCATTAAAGTTCAGTAATCGCAAGTGACTGGTATAGATGAAAATACCCTTGTCAAAAAATTTGGTAGTACGATGAACACCTGCTGGATTATGTCCTTGCAGGGAAGCTATCGATATTAAAAAAACATCCTTATACTGTTACATGTTCGTGTCTATGAAAGGCGAACTTTAGCGAAGGCCAGCGTAAGCTGGTACTGGGTCCAGTTGCGTTTCGTTTTCTGTGGAGCATCCGCGGTGATGTTTTTGTGGGCGAAAGAGCCAAACATTAGAATTTTTGACTGACTCTTGAACTTTGTCCGTATATTGCCCGGTACTCTCAGTAGGCTACAATTCTGACTTTTTGGATTCTGATCGAATTGTGAAGCTGACCGTCAGTACTGCTGCTAACCATATCGGGTCAGTAAATTCCATACAAAAAGGTTGCATTTAAAAGTAAATAAAGTAACTACAGCAATAGATTTTCAAATAAATCTGTAAGCAGACGAAATTTGTAACTTTTATTTCTGCCTGTTAAACCCTACTGTTTAAAGTTGCGTAAATACACTAGTTTGGAAGGTTCTTCCAAAGCAATTTAATATTTACATTAAAATCTTGGTGGCAAAGTTATGATAAACAATAAAACAATAGCTATGATAACCCTCTAAAACGCTGTTACTTCTTTGGTGGTGTATTAGCCGTTGGTTGCTGCGGAAGTCCAGGCGTCACTTGCGGTTTATCTTCCGGTTTGCCAGAGTGCAGTGGAACTTCCATTGATTCCCTGAATTCAGGAAACACTTCCCATGGACTGGGCAGGTCGAACTTCCGGTATTCCTGAGTGAGTTCCAAAGGCTCCACCACCACTCGCGTCGCTTCGTCATCGTATCTCAACTAGAGTAGAATTTACAGTTTCATGTTTTCAGAACTTACTTTCAAAAGTCAATCTCAGAAGTTTAAGCACGGATTACAGCACTGCAATGCTCTACTTTACACTTCACCAACCTCAACATATCCGGATAATGGGAAATCCTTTCGGAAAGGGTGGCCTTCGAACCCGTAATCCGTCAATATTCGTCGCAGATCGGGATGATTATGGAAAAACACTCCGAACATGTCCCAGGCTTCGCGTTCGTACCAGTTGGCCGCCGGAAAAATGGGACAAAGGGAATCAATCGGCGTCATTTCGTCGGTGTAAGTCTTCACGCGGATGCGAGAGTTGTATTGTAGCGACAAAAAATTGTAAATGATCTACAGAATTAACACAGAATTAACACAGAATTAATGCAGAATTAACACAGTTTCACCATTTGCGCTGATCATGTCTATAACAAACTGCGCATGCATTTCCAGTTTACCTCAAAGCGGTACTTTCTTGTGGGCACATCCATTACAGCAAGATCCACTAAATTCCAAAACATACACAAGTGATGGTTTTTCAGAAACAACATCACGGGAAGAACACCTTCTGGAGCAATCAACACCTGTGAATGCGCCAAATACAAATATGAAAACCGATCACGGATGCGTTGGAGAAACTTTCGCAACAAACCTCGAGTTCATCCGTGCCAGTAACCAAAACCTTCTGCACATACTTGGGCAAGCACTGCGCGACAAACTGCCCGAACTCTGTCAGTCGTTCCTTCAAGGCCTTATCGTGTTTGGCAACAGTGGCTGGAACACAGCAAATTTTACAATTATTTATAGTACTCTGTACGTCCAGAGTACTATAAATATTCTGTACTCTGTATGTCCAGAATATGTAGCACTGTATAGTGTATACAGGTAGCGCATTCTCATTTATTCAACAATCGTCTGTTGTGCAATTCAAACACTTGCACTTAGAGTCTTACTGCTTACAGCTTACTAGTCTATCTGCAGTTAATAACATGTCACCAGTTATCAAGTACTTTTTCCCGTTTTTGCATATCTGCTCTTCGACTTACGAGCATGCGGAGGAGCTGTGGTGGGGCCTGCGCCAGGTGCAGGATTGGCAGCAGGGGCAGTTTGCCATCGCTGCTGCTGAATGCCCAGTCGAGGAGCCTGGCAGCCTGTTGTAACATATTGGTGTTCAGAAACTCAGATTAATCTGGCGGTTCTGGACACAGAATCTGGTTTGCAGATTGAGTAGACCAAAAGTACCTGTCAACTTTAGCACTGAATTCCTCGCTGTTGCATTGAGCACGGTCTTTGTGAACAATGATACAGCTCTACCAGCCATAATGAGGGAGAGAAGACTACAACATGCAAATCCGTAAAGTAAATGCACACAGAAATAAAGGATACCAAAGTACTCACATAACCTCAAAACCAAACAAACAGAAACTCAGAAATGGGGAAATATTTTTGGATGTACGGTAATAATGATATCTGGACTGATTCTGGAATCGACAACATTTACAGTACGTGCTAGCACGCCTTTTTAACTGCTTTCCTTGTCGTAGTGATAACCCCCGTAAGGTGTGAGTGTGGTGTAAAAAACCATTATGAAATAACTCACGCCTCCAGAATTTTGCAAAATTTGGTAGCTACTAGCTAATCGTTCAAATTGATTGACTTGTTTTGCGGTTGCAGTTTAGACTGCAGTTCACAAATTTTAATCAGTCAGCTGATGTACTCATCACTAGGCAGCACCAGCCATCTTCCTTGATATTCCCGTTGTCCGTCCGCACTTCGTCAGTAAGATGGATAACGTCAAGACAGATGAGACGCTGGTAAAATCATCGCCAGTTCTGTGTGACAGCGAGGATGACGATCCTCTTTTGGATGCTGTCCACAAAAGTGGCGAAAGTTGTGATGAGGACCACAATCCCGCTGGCTACTGCCATCCTGCCAGGTTTGGTTACAGATTTGCCGTGCTGGTTCTCGTGTGCCTGACGAGCTTAGGTAAAATCTGCGTGCAATCGCTTAGCCAGGCAAAATTGTTCGAAAATTTTGTTTATCTTAATTAGGCAGCTATTTCTGCTATGACAATCCAGCGGCACTACAGACGGAGATTATCAAGGATATGAAGATCAACACCAGCCAGTTCCAGCTTCTGTATTCGTTGTACAGCTGGCCCAATGTAATCGTATGCTTTTTCGGTGGCTTCCTTGTGGATCGGATTTTGGGAGTGCGAATGGGAGCGATTATCTTTGGCGCACTATTGCTTGTCGGTCATGTACGTGCTCCTATTGTGCAAATTGGATTTATTTCCGGTTCGTTAATATTTGAACTTTTTTTTCTTTGTAGTACATTTTCGCCGTGGGGGCCTTCGTTAACAAGTTTTGGGTGATGGAAGCCGGACGATTTATTTTTGGGTATTAGTTCTGTTTGAATCTGTGCTATTCTTGCACTTAAGATAGAATTTAAATATATTTGTAAGTTAAAACGATCATACAGATATTTTGGCCAATAAGCTCGTTCATCTTAAGTATTACTGTACCACTGTACAATTGAAAGTTTTAGTTATGAATTTTTTATCATATCTCTACGCGGTTGGGGTGAAATTTGACAGAATTAAGCTGGAGTGCAGTATTATTTGCATTCTTATGGTTGGCTTGCAAATTTTATCATTTGTACTTGTACACTGATGTCTGGCGTGATACAGCACATACACTTTTATACTAAACAACTGTATTTTTGCAATTTTGTACTAAATAACTGTATCTTTGCAGTCTGGGTGGAGAGAATCTGCAGGTGGCAGTAAATGCTTACGCTGTCAATTGGTTTAAAGGTATTGTCAGCTCTTGTGCACGTGAAGTAACAATTTAATTTGGTGGTGTAAGTATGTAATAAACGCAATTTTTTTGTACAGGAAATATGCTCAACTTGGTCATGGGGTTGAGCTTGAGCGTCAGCCGAGCAGTAAGTGGGATGAGCTGCTTCTCTCGTCGTTTTTTTTGCCTGGCATGCACATATTTTATAGGGCAGCGCCATGAACATGAATTTGATGGAACCCATATACAATGCTCTGAAGACACATTATGCGGGATACATTTGTCTGGGATTGACGCTGTTTATCGGTGGAACGACGCTGATTTTCTCGCAGTATTGTACTCTTCAGCTGGCGTTCCTCGATAAGCGTGCCGAAAAAATTCTCAAGCCCAAATCCAAGATTGCTGCCGGTATCACCATAATAGTCTGTTATTGAAAGCTGTATGCTGCTTCATTAATAAACTACTATTACCTACGTATATTAAAACCTATGAAGTGGATGTTATAGCATTTGATCAGGGTATTGAGAACCGCTGCCAGCTGACGTTCGTGCTTTTCTGCACTTGCATATGGATGGCTTTGAAATTTGCAAAGTACGCTGAACATGACTGGTAAGCGGATGATTTATTTTTCGGATAGGCGAGAAGATATCTTTCCGGGATGTCCTGAAGTTTCCTCTGAGCTTGTGGCTTATATCCATCATTTGTGTTGGTTACTATACGGTATGTTTCGAACATTCACCAATTGTGTGCTAAGTTTTCATTTAATTCTAAATTTTTTGCTTTAGGCGATTTTTCCCTTCATCAGCCTTGGACTGTAAGTACTTGCACTATTAGATTTATTACTGTAAACTGCTGGGCGTTAAACTGTGATTTTTCTAATGTTAGAGTATTCTACGAAAGCAAGTTTGGAGAAAGTTCCTATACGGCTCAGAAAATCAATAGCCTTGTATTTTTGATTTCCGCTGTTGCTTCACCTCTTCTGGGCTTCACGATCGACAGAGTCGGGAGGAACGTTATGTGGTGTCTGGCCTCTATTTTGCTTACATTGCGTAAGTCAGGCATTACTGTGTGGCAGTGTGTGCAGTATTAAAAAAATGAAGGCGGTAAGAATAATATAAACGGCTTTTCTGTAGTTGCCCATGCCCTCCTATCCTTCACCTTCTGGAATCCATTTATTGCCGTGGTAAGTGCATTGCTAAATTTGCAAGTTATGTAATGATTAAGTCAAGTTCTGTTTTTGGTTGTTAGCTTGTTTGAAATAAGTGCTTACTCCTGCATTGGCTCTCACAAAAACTTCATATCAACGTTTGTTTTCGAATAAACTGCGGTAGTTTCACTGGGTGCTGTATTTTTATGATTCGCACTTCAAATAAATTTATTTTAAATATTTTTTGCAGTCGATCATGGGAATTGCATATTCCATGTTGGCTAGCTCCTTATGGCCAATGGTTGCTTTGGTCGTCAAAGAAGAGCATCTCGGAACAGCTTATGGAGTGTAAGTACGGAGCGTACGCTGTTATTGGTTTGTAATAATAAAAATTTCGCTTTTGCATGATTGTGATGCATGAAATTAAGTGGATAATACGTACTCTGTACATATACCAGTTAATAATCATGAAAGGGGAACTTCTGCTTAAGGAAATAGCTCCGAAGGAATTGACCGAATGGAATTTAGCTATGTCTACCGAATTTACCTGAGCAGGGCTTTGAACTTACATTCCTTCGATAACACAATCATACCAATCAGATGCTAACAAATTACATACTGTACTCTGTCCCATCGTGTTGTAAGGTGTAACAGAAAATGTTTTTTCGCCAGTTCACTTTTGTTTTAAAAAACGGTAAGTATTGTTGATTGTGGTTTATTGTGCAAACGATTCATTATTGCACTTGTGCCTTTTGATGCAGGATGCAAGCTGTGCAGAATTTAGGGCTGGCAGTCTTCTCCATTGTGACGGGGGTGATCGTGGATGGCGCTGGGTATCTGATACTGGGTGTTTTCTTCTTGGGTTGCTTATGCGGTAAGTGCAGATTACCTTCAGTTTTTAAGCTTTTTACTGCACAATCGTGGTACCTTGATTTAGTGGCTCTTCTTGCTGGAATCGTACTATTTCTGTACAACGAAAAAGTCGATGGTCTCCTCAATTTGTCCGCCCGCGAGCAACACGAAAGGTTCAAAAAGCACCAAGAAGCCACGGCTGCCCAAGCCGGCATGGATCACAGTGAAACGGATAAGCAAATTTTAGAAGCATAAACCGGTGTGTTGATTATGCTCAAATGTTATTGTGATTGATGCTCATTCATTGTTGACTCATTTACGAGTTCCGCGATTGCTTGGCCAGCATTCGTTTACGTTGTGATACTTTTTATTTCGTATTGTTATATCTTTTATATTTGCTTTCTATGTATACCTTTTCGGCAGTTTTATTCACTTCCGTTACACGGATGCAGTGTTAAGCAGTTAAATTAAAGGAAACGCGAATAAAATATTGGTTGTTTTTGTCGGATCAGCAATTAGTTTCCACTGGAAAGTGCGTATTACGTCGTCATTTGACGAAGTTTCACAAACGAAAATTAATTACATTGTGTTTGTCATTGAACGGCTTTGTATGACTGCAAATGCATACGTGTGTTCTAACAAGTTTGCGATGCAGAATTGCAATCGTTGCCGATTTCTATGGTTCATTTGGCTGATAATAACAAAAGTAAAGGCGCATTAATCCAAGCACGCCCCGTTGCCGGCTGTTTGACGTTATGTACGGATGGATTCCCGACAATTCACCTTTGCGAAAACTCTGCACACGCAGACTTGAACGCATACCTTGCACTTTCTGGCACTGTCCTCCGCTGGACAATAAGGTGAACGGCTGTGTTGTCGGCAAGATAATGGCTTCGTTAATAGCCCGATCATTTCTGCAACAGAACTCCAGATTACTAGTGCGGCGTAAATAATATCCATCTGGCAGCGCATCGTTCTCGAGGAAGGCTTTCCGCGACCGAATACTGATGGAACCGACGGCAAAACCTGCTGGACATTTATCTTTTTTGAAAATGCAGTACGATCCCATCGGCCAGTCATACCGGCCATTAATTCCATCGGCGTATTTCACACAGAATTTCATGGTTAAATCCGCCCGATTGCCGCGCCGCGGCGTTAGTTGGACGTCGAATTCCGTACTGGGCAGGGATTCTGCGAACATCCCAAATCGATCGCGCAGTCGCAGTGATCCCGCGGCGGACCACATGGGAAACGTTCCGGTTTCGGGACAATTAGTGTTTTTGATCAGCGCATACGTTCCATGCGGCCAATCCAACTGAAAAGATCGCGAAATCACTCCAAAACTCGGTGAGGGAAAGTACTGCGGGTAATCATACAATCCCTGTCGCATATTTGCTCTGGTCTGGTTAAGTTTATCCTCTGCGGTAATGTAATTTGGACAATAAGATTTCATATTGGGATACGAATTGTCCAGCAGATTCTTCGTCAAAAGAGTATCGATGCGCCGAAGAGTCAGTTGAATGGGCGTAGGTGCGGAGGGCGTTCCCCGTGTGAACTGATGTTTGATGGTGCCGGAAAAGTTGCCCTGCTTGGCTAATTCGATTATTTTTTCCACAATAAATGGATTCTGGAACGCGGAACTGTCGTACGACACGGACGAAGTGGCTACGTCCAGATGGACGATAGATGCCAGGGACGGCGCTTTCATGATGAGATTATTCAGCGAGGTCACGGGGATTTCGTCGCGGCTGATGACGAGACGACCGACTTTCACCGCTACAACGACGTGTGTGCCCCATGTGGAGAAAAACCGTCGGTACACATCGCGGTTGTAGTCTGCCGGGAGATTGCAAAGATCGTTAAGGAATTCAGTGGTTAGTTTTCCGGTGGATTTGTATTTCATCCGCAATTCCGCTACCGTAATGATGTTGCGAGTATCCAAAATGACATTGCCTTTGGCTTCCAGTACTTCTTTCGCCTCGTTCATGGTGGCGCTGCGGCTTCCCGCTAAATCGGTTTCCAGAGGTAGTGGCTGAAACGGAAACAATTACATACGTGGGTACATCTGCCGCATTATTACTGATGTAATCCAAAACATTAATTTTGATACAGGCAAAACTATCAAGTTTGTATTACCGGCTCATCGGGATCACTGTCAAATATCCATGCAGTGGCATATAATCTTTGCAGCTGCTGCAAATCCGCCACTACCGCTTCCTGATTATCCGTTGTTTCCTCCGCCGATCCCATGCATACGATACTCTGGTCGGCACAGTAGTCTTCGCCGGGTGCCGATGCCAGAACTTTGTCCAAGATCATTTTTGTCGACAGCATGCCGGCGTCCGGTCCACCGCTATAGCTAAACAAGTGGTCGCCGTCGTTATTGCCGATCAAGATATTGTAACCGGCGCCCACGTAGCCGGCTCCGGCCGGTACAACGTAGCCATCGGAAGCTGACAGCAGAAGCGAAAGCACAAGAACAGTTTGCACATTCTGCGGTCGAGGCATTATAGAGTGTATAAGTAGTGATTACCCAGCTTACAAGTTAGGTAATTACGTCTGTTATTTCCGATCTGTTTGGTGTTTCTGCACTCTGAGATGGTTTAAATAAGACTTATTGCTGCGGAAAATAATTAACTGTAAAATCATCCACTACCGTTTAACTGTAGCTACACAGTTTACGAACATAAATATTATTCAAAGTGAAACGAAGAATTTTGTCCAGCAGCTTGTGTTTCAGCTGGGTTAATGCAGTAATTATGCATGTCTATGATCAACAATGCGTACTTGTACATACATTCGGATAACAGAAATATCATGGGTGAAATACAACTTTATACAAACCGGAATGAGCAACAACGCAATCGGTCGCGTTAGTGCCATCGACAAGCAGTTTGTAATAACATAATATGAGGTTAAGCGATTCACAATGGACTTATTTAGCTGATAATTTTATAGGTTGAAGCATTGTAATTATTATGACTTTACATCGGCGTACTCTTATGCTTGCTTGGAAGTTTTTCTTTAACGGTTTACAATGCCTTGAATTCTAGATTCTGATTAGTTTAATTTAATAGTGACCGTAGAGTAATGATTCATACTGATCACACACTGCACGTTAAATCTTTTAATATGGATGTCAGTAGTTTCGCCATAACGGCACAAAGCTACGGCGAATTGCAGTAAATTATTTACAATTAGTACCCGTACTTTTGCAACAAACCGGAAAACGCATGCTAAGTTCTACTGACACATTGGGAAAATGAGAATTCCTCGAGAAATAATGCAAGCTTGCTAAACAACAATTTTTAACTAGCAACCAAATAAATCAAGAACGATCCTTGGCAAAATTTCGCCCATATAAGCCAAACACAAGGATGCTTTTCAACGATTCTGACCCATGCAGCACTTGGCGTGAACGATCGAATCTCCATTGCCCGGCACTGGCCAACAGCGCATTATCCACCAGGACAGTGGGATAGGCGTAGGAACCAGAAGAGAAATTGCCGGTCAGGGATAGATCGGAAAGGCCACCAACGGCCGACGCTATACCATCGCCACAATGTCGCTCATCCAAACACCGCACTACCGCACACATTTCGTTATACAGTGTATAATTCTCGGTATGCATTCCGGAAAATAATCCTAGAGCGAAGTAACCTGGATGTTGTGGCTCCTGTTTGTATGTATAATTAACTTGGCAGCACAGATTATCCCGGCAAAAAATGGTGTTTTGATTTATACCCTCTCCTAGAGCAGTGTACCAAAATAGATCACCGTTTGTCATCGTCTGAAATGCATGCTGGTCATTCTCGTGGGAATTCAGTATTAACGCTGACGGTACGGCTCGTGATTGACCTTTTACTGGCATCGGCAGTGGGGCAACAATTAACTGTCCACCGGAACTGACGTCAGTTACATATGTGTAGTCAATAACACCATCTGGACCAAAAATCCCGCTGCCGACATGCGCGGTGATGGGACTGTGCACATTGGCCACCAGCAGGGTGATCCCGGTGCGCACTGCCCATCCTTCGGCGATCTCATACAGCGCCAGAAAAGGAATGCGGTTAAACCACAAACTAGGCAACACAACAGCGTCCACCCGGCGCTCTTGGATTAAGCGCAACAAGGGATCACTCTGCAGCAAGTCAAAACAGGTGCCCACTCCAATCACGCCCCAGGGGGTGGTAAAGGTCACAAAGTCCAATGGCGGTGTATCGAAAAAGCGTTCACCGAAGAGATTGTATTTGTGATAGACGGCGATGATGGCGCCGCGCTCGTTGAATACCAGATTGCTGTTGTACTGGAAGCGACCGTCGGGTGGACATTGCGGATTACTCTTGCCGGTGTGGTTGCACCAGTGGATGGTGCCCAAGTTGACGATGATGGTGAGGCCATGAGATTTGGCTAGACAGGAAATTTCTTTAATGACTTCGCTTTCCAGTGCCGAAGAAGATTCACAAGGGTCCGGGTCTGTGGGAATTTGTTGTAAATATTTTAGCAGCTGATCCCGAGATGAATAAGATGCTGTGGAAAGCAGACCGTATTCTGGAAATCAAAGCACTGCATATTTAGAATCGGTGTTTTCGGGCCGTAAACAAACAATAATAAAAATTATCTAAAACTGCTTTTTTTCTTTTACCGTTTAAAGTATTTTTATTCAGAGAGTCTGAAATGCGCATGCGTGATGTTTTTGATGTTTACAGGTATTACACGGAGACATCCACGCACCTGGAAACACAATCAGTCTGGCTCCGAGCGCGGCGGCTTCCGTTGCGGCTGCTGCATACGCGCGCAAATTCTGCAGCATAAGCTGCACAGGTGGATCCTTGCCGGTGCCTACCGGCTTATGCTCATAAACGGCCACTTTCCAGTCGGCTTTTGATCGATCAACGCTATTTTGGCCATTTGTCCACCGAATATTGGTCAGAAAAAGCAGTGGCAGAAAGAGGAAGAGCAACATGATCAGAAGTTCCGAACTGCGGTGAAACAATAGCGAACTGATATACACGATCGAGGCAAGCCTTCGAAATACTTGCGTACAGTAAATCAGTATTTGCCAGACACTCAGGCTCCCAGTCAGCTGAGTGTCCCGCTTAAGATTCCCGATACTGATTGTAAGATTTTTGATATTTATATCTATATGCTGTGAGCCTGTGCAACTACTTTAATCACTTATCAGTTTCCATCTGTGATACCATTTAGCAAGAGATAAGGTATTCGACTACTCGCAATGTCTTAATCGGTACTTATGCGGTTATTGTTAGTACTTACTGTCCTTGTAACTCTATTAAAATTAATGGTAAACGCACTTTTGGCAGTTTCTCATGATGTCCACGACAAGTTTGTACGTTTGCTCGTAGTCCATGCAGCTCATGTTGCCATAATTATGAGGACAAAATTGATATTTTCGTCGACTGCTGAATATCAATTCGGCTGGCTTGAGAGCGAGAAATTATTTCGCTTCTGTAAGCCGTACACGGTTGTCAGTTTCATTTATAATGATAGAAGTATGATTAACTCTTGGATGTAATAAAATATCACAGAAAAGAACTAGCAACGAAAAGAAGCTAGATTGCCCCGATTTAAAAATAAAAACACTTTTTGTGTCATGTTTTTAAACAATGTTTAAAGGGTTTTGAAGTAAAAACAAAATATTATATTTTATATTTCATTAGGTAACCGGAACTGGAAGTCTGAACTCTGGAGTTATGCTCGCAGTGTCGCACACACAGCGTAGATCGTGTGTCGCATGGTAAGCCGCACAGGTAGTCGGGAACTGCCGCAGTGACTTACGTATAACTATAACAGTAGTTTCAAAATACTTACTGCGAAATCGGAAATCAGAATTATTTTCAAGGTTTCCAACTTCCTGCAGCAGTTTTAAGTTTCTCGTTTGTAGGTTTATTGGACATTGTGCAGCATGAAATGATCGAGCAAACTTATTTTTGAAGTGCTCATCATACCGTAACTGCATAGCTTTGGCAATAAGTAGCAATTATGGCTTTGAAAACTCCGGGAAATGTAGTTTCTAACTCGTGCTTGTTATCTATATCAAAGGATTTCGAAAGCCTGACAAGCAGGCCTTCGGAGTTCTTAGCACCAAAGCCCGAGGTATCGGGAGATTTCCGCAAAGTTGCTAAGCTCATTTTTGATTTTATTCATACCAGTGATGGCGCACAGCTGCCTCACTCCACCGATCTGCCAGAGCTACTGGTTGATAAGTGTTTTGATGACGAACAAGTGTGGACCCAACTGGAAGCGGATAATCGCCTGAATATCGACTCGGCAGTGAAAAACGCGGCCACATTACTCGTCCAGTCAGATAGTGAGTTCTTCGGAATTGCCTCTTTGGCGCCGTCAGACGTTACTGACGATGAAAGTGAACCAGAGGAAACCCTCCGGGAAGAGGAAGATGAAGAACACGGTGACGTCGAGGCAAACTCAGATGACGATGAAATCAGTTTACCGCTTGAAGATCGGCGGGAATTGGGGAGTGAAGATGATGAGGATGAAGAAGAGTTGGATGAGCGGGAAGAGACCGCGAAACCGTCGCGAGTCTTTCCCAAAAGTGTAGTTGATGACAAGTTTTTCAGGCTGGAAGAAATGAACGATTTTTTGTTAGAAAACGAACGACAGGTTGCTAAGCCCGATGAGGAAATTGATTATTTTGTGGAAGAGGACAGCGAAAGCGAAAGGGAAGATGTTAAATATGACGATTTTTTCGACCCGCCGCCCGATGTTTTGCAGAAGGTATTTTCGCTCAATTGTTTTACGCACACTATTTTAATAATTTATCTTATGGACTTCGCTTTTCACTAAAATAACAGATTATCAATAAGTATTTGCTTGCAGCTGGCAGTTGTGAATTGTTTCGTAAATCTTTTACTTTTGTTTTGTGATTTTTGCTTGCAGAGTGTCTATGTTGTATGTTGTAAACGCAAATTTCAGAATGTACGTACAGTAATTGAATAGTTTAAAAAAGTTAATTTAACAGTTTTGTACTTAAGAGATGTAATTCGATCCCACTCCAGATTCATTACTTTTAGCCTGTATTCCTAAAATTCATCATGCGATGGACAACGAGAAATTGATAAATAAATTGTGAAAATCAGTAATTGAACATTTCGTGAATTCGTGGTTGTCGGAAATTAATACTGATGGGAAATTCTGTACGAGCTTTACTGCATCTGGTTGTATTGCATTTCTGTCATGTCGGATTTGTTATTGTAACGATTTTACCAGGAACAACGGGAAGAAAAAGATAAAGTTAAATCCACTTTTGAGAAACGCCAGGAAAAACTCAAAACCAAAATTCAGGCCATGGAAGAAGAAGCTGTTTCGGAACGGCCATGGCAGCTGAGTGGCGAAGTGGCCGCTAGTAAACGGCCGGAGAATTCTCTGCTGGAAGAATTTCTGCAGTTTGATCATGTTACGCGACGAGCTCCGGTGATTACGGAGGAAGTCACGCAGACGCTGGAGAGTTTGATTCTGCAGAGAGTGAAAGATAAAGCGTTCGACGATGTGCAGCGTAAGACCAAACCCAAAGATGTGGATCCGTATGAATATAAAAAGAAGCTCATTCTGGACGATTCCAAACCTAAAATGAGCTTAAGTCAGACGTACGAACAGGTGAGACATGAGGGCTTGTAGTGGCAGATCTGTTACGAACAACCAGTTCATCATTAATTGTCTTGTGTTTATGAATTAATTCTACGAGTGTGAGTAATGTTTGCTCATCGTTATTTCTTGCTAGGTTTACTATCCTCTTAGTTTTGCTTGATAAAAAGACAACACAGTACAATTCTTAGAAATACACCAGATGTCAGGGATTCCTGTTTGCTTTTCCGTGGGCTGTTTGATTTTTAACGTGTGTTTTAATGTTATTTTAGGAATATCTGAAGAAAACTGCCAAAACTGAGCAAACCGAAAAGGAAGAACACCGCAAAATCCGCAGTGCTATCAATGAGCTGTTCGTCAAATTGGACGCGCTAAGTAATTTCCATTTCGTCCCGAAACCGGTGGCACCAGATATCAAGATTATCAACAATTTGCCTACAATTGTCGTCGAAGAAGTACAACCATCCGTTGTTTCCACCGGTCAGCTCTTAGCACCTGAAGAGGTGCAAGCCAAACGGAAAGAGGAACTCAAAGGTGCTACCGAAGCTACGCGCACAGATAAGAAACGAGCACGGCGGAAAAAGAAAGGCATGCAGAAAATGAAAGCCCATCACCAGAAGGAGAAGATCAAGGACAAGGACGCGGAGAACAAAAAGCGTGACAAATTAACGGGAAAAGCGGGCGGATCTTCTACGGCGTTTTTTAATAAATTGCAAGATACTATAAAGACGGAGATGCACGCGAAAAATGGTGAAAAGAGTAAGAAGAGGAAAAACGATTTAAAAAAGATACCCGGCGGGAAAAAGATTAAATTATGAAGGTTGCAAGCTGTGTATGCCCTCTTTTATGAATTATGGATGTTTAGTATCGTTTTCTGAATGGTTGTTTTAACAGCACTGACTGTTGGAAAACGCGTTTCAAACTTTCCAGCAGTACAGTGCCATGTGTTTCGAATACAATACCACCTTACATCTTGCGGTTGCTTAAAGAAACATAGGTAATAACAGAACTGAGTTTGTGATTAATACTGAATATTAATTATACTGTGGCAAAACGGACAAGGTTTTCTGAAACAAAGTTGATTCGTTCAAGAAAGGTGCAACATCAGATACAAAGTTGCAGTAATAGTAGCCAATATTTAATTTGCTAGTCTATGATTATCACATTATCAGCGGAATCCGTATTGGGTGTTAGGTTCTGCGTTTCGTACGCGTCGAGAGCCTTAGACAGGAAATCATCAGTATCGACAGAATCCATGGGCAAGAATTCGTCCATAGGGAGAGCTGCCATAAAAGCATCTCCTTCCGGGTCAAAGGCAGAATCACCGTCCGCAGCCTGTTGAGCACTAATCGTTGTAGCAATGGTGGCGTCCTGTCTAACTGTCGCTGTTGGTGGAGGACAAGGAGGCGCTGCCTTTTCCATTTCGGCCAGAAAACCCTCTTTTCCTTTCCTGAAAGTCAAATCTCAAGTACTTACAAGTAAATCAGTATTTTGTATATATAGATATAACATTATCTAAAGCACATGAAACACAGCGTGAGATATATCGTGAGAGCATGAGTCCATAAATCATGAACATTCAATTTTATAACCGCTAAAATTTCCGAAACGTGGACATAACATTAATAAAGCATATATATCTATAATGATAATATATAGCAATAAACGCTGATATGCATTTGTGTTAATTAGAATATTCACTGAGAGCAAAGATTTCCGTTGAATTTGCTTTCATTATCCTTAATTTCCGGGTGAACACTCACAAAACGGAGGCCAGCACGTATTTTTGCGCATGTTTTGCGCAGAGTTCCGGGACACTACCGCCAATGAGTTGGATATTCGCACTCTTCAACAGCATCATGCCTCTTCGGCATGTTATCGGCGGCAGCAGCCGAACCTGAGTGCGAGCGGAGTAACGGTAAACAAAATTAATTAAATAAACGCGAGACAGTATACTAATTGTTGCAATTGACTGTTCCAGAATTACTTTAGTGCCAGGCGGAGTGTATGTGCTCAGCTGGCTAATGGGATTATACTCCATGCCGCGAATAGTTGTCACACCATCGGTAAACTCAACTAACAACACACGCTTTCCACTGCTTTCCTCTTTCTGCAATAAATCACATGGTTTGGGCGATTTAAAGATAATTCTAAAATAAATGCTGAAATGTATTGCTAAAATAAATGCTACTTCCAGAGCAAAAAATTTTGCATATCTCAAATTAATGTACGTTCTTCACTTTCCCGTTGGCAAATTTAACGATAAGTTTTTTGTAATTACTTACTGTTTTGTTTTTGTTGGATACTGAAGCAGTTGTTACGGTTGTATTGTCGTGAGCAGCTGCTTCCTGTTCTTCGGAGACAAGAACATTTTCACCAAACCGATTGATCACTTTCTGTAATTGTTGGTATGCTGGACGACTGATATCGCGGAGGAAATCAATCTACGACGCCAGAAAAACTCTAAAACAACCGTACAGTCAAACCTCTACTTACAAGAAGTCAACGGATTCAGTAAGTCGAGCCTGCAGTCAGTCAAACCTGTAGAATGATCGACTCAGAGATCTCAAACACCGTCGACTTCTTCGTCACTTTGGCTAAAGGGGACTGTTGTGGAGGAAGATTCCATGCCCGCAGATCGCTATTCCTCCATAAATCAAAACACAGGTGCTCTATCTAGGAGCAAGAGGCACGATTGTCTCAGACTGTACTCTAGATGATAAACCAAAGCCAGCAAAAATTAATGTTCACTCGTCGTCAAAGATACCTCGCGTTCATTCAAAGACTGTGCTTGGGCTGCTCTACAAAGCTGAGACAGAACAGGCTCCGGGAGGATAATGTTTTCTTTGGTAAAATATGCTCTCACTTGCAACATACTCGAAGGTAAAATTCACTTGAACTAAAACCTCAACAACTAAAACAAACTAAGCGCAAACCTAAAAAACTTCAAAAACAGTAAAAATCAGTCCGCGCGTTTGGAACTCTGGTTTTTGGACGATCAAAGCAAAATAATGAATGGTCAGAGACCGCTGCTACGGGCGGTAAGGCTGTATGCACGATTGCTTGGTTTATAGGTTTGTGAATACTGAATAGTGACCAAATAAAAGAGGAGCATCCGGGTGTCCTCTGAAGCTGTTTTGAAGGCTTTTTCGTCACCGTCACTTGGCTCTTGTTAATGCATCCCGATTACGGTTTTGATACTTTTTCCAAATGGCAAGCCACTGTTATAAACCAAACTATCTTGCGTGATAAAATCTAAAGATTTGCCGCTCGCGTATTAATTATGACAATAGTTATTACGTGAATAATCCTTGTCAGCAAAGGTCATAAGAATGTATCTTAGCACTATTGCAACATTTATTATATACTTTTCCACGATCCTTGTGGCATCTACGCTAAGAACCCGACTGCACCGGACCGATTTAGATCGTCAAATTCACCCGTGGACTGATTCGCGCGAGCCTTTCACCAAGAGTAAGCAATTTTCTGAGATAATACAGGCATTTTTTTAAAATTAGCAGCCTGGACATACGGCCTAAAATGTAAGAATACAAGTACGTAGCAAGTAAATTAGCAAGTAAGTAGTCTATATAAAGACCATCTTTCATTCAATTGTTTAGATCTGGATCCTTGGGAGCAGTTGAATCGCACACACCCCAACTGGCAACCAAAAGTGTCTCTGAACTACGAAGAAATTTATGGTGATTTGTCATTTTAAAATTTCGTCAGTTTCTTCATTCATGATCAATAAGGAATTTACGACCAGTTTTCCAGGGAACGAGGGAATTGAAACATTGGAGAATGATATCATAATAACAAACAATTCTCTTGTCGTTACGGCAAATGGAACGGTTAGCAATTAAACTCGTACATATCTTCTGCATCGAATACAGTACTGGAAAAAATGCAAATGCTCGTTGTGGAAAATATCCTATTTTTGATAGTCCTATATAAAAACCATTTACAATTTAATCGCATTCGCGTGTACGCAGCGATATTATTATTATGTTGCTTTGCTATACTACGTAGTTATTAATTTATACTATACTTCTATGCTTGTTTAAAGGTGTTGAACGACGTTATACCTACAACTGTTAAACCTACAATTAATATAAAAATTATTATTTGCTGACTTGAAAGTTAAAAAAACGCCTAAAAACCTTATTTTTGTCCTAAACACACCTAAATACCTTATTTTCCTTTGGTATTGCTTGTCAGTTTCCGCTAGAATAATTTACAGCAGATAAACATTCCGGCTTTGCAGATCGAAGCGAAAAATTTTGTTTCCGCTCAGCTGTTTCACTGGCCGAGTCATCGCATCCCGGTGGTCATCGATCCTCAAGCACCGTACTCGAGGGCGCAACGTGCACTGATTCTCGATGCACTACGCCAGTATCACCTCTACACCTGCATCCGGTTCGTACCGCGAACCACCGAGAACGACTACATATTCATCACCCATAGCCCACAGAGAGGATGCTCTTCTCACGTCGGAAGACAAGGTAACACTTATTTATTTAGATAAGCGATTAGAAGAAAGTACTACTCAGCAGTGTATGTAGTATTAATTTATAGATTAGTTAGTACATATCGCGTTTAGCATGTGTTTCGTTAGTACAGTCACTATCTTGTGAATATCGACAATTAAGCATTTTTTTTCATCCACACGTTAACTGTGTACTTGCCGGCAGCTTACCGTTGTTGCAGTTTGTAGTTGCTCGATCAAGCGTTATCACATTTGAGACAAGTACAACTATCCAATTTGCAGGAGGAAAACAGACGATGTACTTGAAGATTCCCGGTTGCGTGACCCTAATTGGAACGACAATCCACGAAATACTGCATAATATTGGGTGAGTTATTGATTATCATACCTGTAATGATAGTGCATACTAACATCATTGTATGCATAGATCGATTCTGTTTTAATGACATGCATCTTTGGATATTTACGGGTCAAGCATTCACCATTATGTACAGTAACGTACGTTCTTTCTAAGAATTGCGGGCTATTGTACGGCAGACTGTGCAATATTTACGGCACTTTGGGCGTGGAGTGGCATTAATCGTAAATACTGTGTTGTGCTGAAATCTTTACATCGCAGAGCTACAGTTACAAATACTCGATATAATTGCATAATGCATGTAATCTGCATCTATCACTGACCTTGAATACTGTATTATTCTAGATTCTTTCACGAGCATTCGCGACCAGACCGCGATGCAAACGTTAAAATTATCTGGGATGACATTTTGCCAGGTAAATCTACCAACAGCATATTCGATAAAACCTAGTTATAATAATATGCCGCAATAAAAAGATGCGAAATTGTCTAAACTAAACCGGGAAACCATAGCAAAATACGGTTAACTTTGTGGCCAGGTTATATTTTCGGTTAGAAACCGGTGCACTCACAGGTAAAAAATACACAATGGTAAGTATAGTGCTATATATTAAACCAATATACTGAACTAATTTCGAGGGTTTTAGCTGAACAACCCAGATAATCAACCCGACATAAATAAGAGTTTACAAAGAAATGTTTCTGTATATAATGCCGACGTTTTACTGTTACGTGTATTGCAGCTGTTTCTAACACGCCTTCAATGCAGGTTATGCAGCAAATTTCCAAACATATGCTCCATGGACTGTGGATACTCTCGGACAACCATACGATTACGATTCGGTTATGCACTATTCCGCTGTGGCGTTCAGCAAAAACCGCGCATCTTATACAGTCTATCCATGTAAAAATTTTTACGCGGTTCATATTTCGACTGAGCACATTTTTTATGCTGTACTATACCAAACTGTTTTGTGCATTACTTTCACTACTTCTATTGCAGTCAACGCACGTCCTGACAGGCTGGGACAGCGTTTAAAACTGAGCGAAATTGACATTCGTAAGGTCAATGTGGCATACAGATGTCCAGCGGTACAACAAAATACGCTGCGCGATGTCGGTGTGGATAACATTACTAACCTTGCGCGAAAGAAGACCGTGGTATTTGTCGGCACACCGGCGATTTGCAATAGCGGAGGTCGCATCGACGCTGTGCTGTGGAACGACGGAGAGTTGTTTTTATTCAAAAGTACACCAAAATTTACAACAGCCATTATTTGTAATTGCATTTTCATCCGTTTTTCTGCTCTGAAAATTAAATTAATCAAAAGAAATTGTGCAACAAACATGTGGCAACGCATCTGTATTCAAAGGCAACTAAAAAGTAAAAATTAATGAAATGCTGAAGAGATTGCTTATATGTTTCGAATTTGCAGAAGGATATTACTGGATTTTTAAAGAAGCAGGGCTCGGACGGTTTGTGACGTCGTATGTGAAACCACGCTCGACTGTCGAGCTGAGCGGTCCAGCGGTTCCGAAGCGCTTTGATGCCGTGGTTTTCTTCGAGAATAACTTCTACTTTTTTGAAGTATTGACAGCGCCAACAATCATTTTTTGGTTTTTCTTAAAGGTCGAAACAACCAAACTAACGCAGAGTATTTCAGAATGGAACCACCTTCGTACTGCCATCTTTGGAACCGGATATGATCTCAGATGCCGCACCCACTCTACAGTTTTTTGCCTTGCCCAACATAACGGTCAAGGCTGTTTTTGAGTTCGATAACCAGTTATATTTTTCGGACGGTATGTGGAATTTTTTGAAGTGCAATGACCACTTACAGTCTGCGTCAAGCACGTGAATGTATTACCATATTCTTGGCGTGTGTAAATGTGTGTTTTATTATTTCAAGTACGGAGGACAACGCCATTAAAATATCATCAACAAAAATTTAACACTTTATAATGTGTAAATTGTAGAGTATAATACATGTTATATGGTGGCGGTGCATAAAGGCAAATAACTTGCGTTGGTTGCCCAATTATGGGATTTTGGATTTCCCAGTTTAATTAACACTACTTTTTATCAACCGCTTTTGCTTTTTTCAGGGTCGACCATTTACCAATACGAACGCACTAATGATGCAATTTTGCAACGATTTCACTTCACGCAGGTAAATCTTCTGTTTCTCTGAGAACCGAATCCATTTCTTTGTAATTAATACTGGAACTGTTTTGACAGCAATCCGGATTGCCTCTTCATCATGATCTAATCGTCAATGTTGCCGATGGACGCCTGTTGATATTTCGAGGGAATCAGATCTATCTAACAAAACGGCATATGCTTCTGGTAATGTCCTACGACGTTGTTTATACTTTATAGACGTATAGTATACGTCGACTTTGCTGTATTCAGTGTATTGTAAACGCGTAAGTAACCATTGCATATGCAGAGCTTTTTAATTTTATTTATCTGAATGCAACAGGTGGAGAATGGGTTTCCCAGGAGTTTCCAGTCGGCATTTTGCTGACAGCCAAGCAGCTTGCCGCCTTTCAAATTCAGTTTTATTGTGTTTTACGTAAACCATATGGTATTGTTATGATTATGATTAGAGAGATGATTGATGATTTTGTTATGATTTGAGTTTTTGATTTTGAGTGTGGGTTAATATTAAAGTGATTGTGTATTTGTATCAGTTTTGTCAGCATTTTACGAGCACAGTACGTATTGCACAGATGTACAGTTGTTGCATTAAAGATGCATTATAAAAATATTAGTGGTTACTATGGATTGCAGATTGACCAAAGGTCATCTACAAATATTCCGGTCACGCTTACCTAATAAAACCCTCTCTTACTATTTTTGTCTGGGTGTGGCTAAATATGTGACACTACTGTTCTGCAACAATGCTTTATCAGATTCTGTAAACCAATAATAACGCACGTTGATGTTGCGTCCGTGTGAATGGTGCGCACTGTGCCGGCCGAGATTCCTGATCTGACACCGGATGTCCAGAGAGCGCACATTTTACCTAGCCCCACAGCACGGGTACTTGATTCGCATACCGGCGAACGCTGCACGCTGACTTTGCAAAATGATGCAGTCAAACCAGTCGCCCACGTATCCTGGACGAAAAGTGCCGTCTGCAAGCCGACAGATTGGTACGAGAAAATGGAAGCATCCTTGGATCAACCAATGGACAGCAATCCGGATATGCATGCACTGAATATAGAAAATGCAGAACAAATTAATTCTGAATTTAGAAGTACCGAGCAATCATCCGGTACCACTTCTAAAAATCGACCAAGCAAAAGTCGCACCGGAAGTGAGTGTTTTTTGCACATCTCAGAAGTTAGAATTATTAAAGGCCATGCAAATTCATATGTGAAGGAAATAATTTACTTACGTGAAATATCGTACTACCGTTACTTACTTTATATAACTGATTAACTACCACTTTAAAATTTTGGAGTCAGAAACGGATAAGAAATTAAACGGTGTACTTCGAAAACGCAATCCGACTAATTCGGGGGAATCTGAAGGAGAACTAGTTTCCGATGGCGGAAAAACCTTCTACAATCCTCTGACTAATGATGAACTACAACGAATGGCTTTGGAAAAAGTCGCCGAAGTGCATAAAGAGTGAGTGGCAGTTAACTAGAAAACGTATTTATATGCAGTACTTCGCACGAATATTAAGGAACTGCATTAAAATTGAAGCTCTCGAGTACACTTGGAATTATTTAATTAAGGCTGTACCTCCAGTACAATACCTAATTTGAAATTCTAACTGATTTGGAAATCTTCTTGATTCTTTCAACAATGGATAGCATGCCTTACAAAGTGCACTTAATTAAGTTTGATATTAATTGTGCCTTGCCTTTAGAAATGAATTGCAGTCTCTTGCAGTGTGGACAACAGGAACAGCGCAGTAAAGAACGGGAAACTTACCTGTAAATTCAGCGTATCATTATGATATTCAGTTTACTTTTTGTCACCCATAACCTTCTCTAAACATTGTTTTCAGACTGAAAAACAAAGAATGGATCGATGATCAAATTCACTCATTTCACCGTGAAAAAGTACGATCATTAAGCAAAAATATTCTATGATCATCAGGGATACTCATGTCAGATACTGCAATGAAAATGCAATTTCAGGAAAACTGTGAGGAATTCTTATGTAATCAACTGGACGAACAGGAGACACTGGAATCGTTAACCCGCGAGCAAACAGAGAATGTCCTTCAACGGATACTGGACCAACGCCTGGCTAAAGCCGCTCTCTTTGCCGAACACTGTCAAAGTCAAGTGAGATAAAACTGCCACTTCCGGTCGTCCAGACACACGACGGTGTACTTACGTTGCGTTTTGCGTGTACGACTGCAGAATGGCAACAAAACCTGGTGGAAAAACAGGAAGAGATACACATCAAGCTAGCTCAGTATCACGCCTGGAAAGCCTGGGACGTAAGCTTGCAATATTGCATGCATTAACTGGCAAAACAATAAAATAGATGAATTCATGTTAATTCAAGTTCAGCAATAATCTGTGTTAAATTTGCATAAGTACTTATGCGTACCATTACTTATAGGTAGGGTAACGTTTGACTACTGTAATTCCACATGCAATATGCTAAGTATACGTATTATTTATAAGTACTAGTACAATTATTACAGTACGCGGTTTGCAGAAAACAGAGAATTTCATGAGGAAACAAATAAAGAAGTTTTCGGCGCAAATCCCAAGAGAGAAACAAGAGAGATACCGAGATTTGAGACAACTTCGGCAGAAATTTCAGGAGCTGAAAAGATTGTGGCAAATTGAACATAACCGGCGAATGAGCCTGCTTGATGTCGCATTGCGAAAAGTACGTGTGGGCTGGTCCGGCGCTAATCACTGCCAAAAAATCCATTCAAATTTCAGACCTTTAATTAACCTGCATATCTATATGCCTTCCACTGTAAAAGGTGTCCTTATGAATATGCAGGTTAATAAGGGTGGGTGGGTTTTTTCTGTTCTTTCAGTAGAAGTACTGCGTTACAGCGTGGTTTGGTTTTACGCTCTTATGTTTTACGGTCTTACGGTACACAGTATTACAAACGAGTACCTGTCTGGCAATAAGTGGTTCTGTAACTTCTGTTTATATAGGTACTCGTTTATCTATATAGAATCGTATATAAGTCAGTTTATATGTCTGCTAGGAAGGGACAGTGCGAGGAGCAAACCATGTGCAAGCGAAACAAGCCGTTTCTGATACGCAACGAGCGAAGTACAACGTCCTCTTGAAGGAGGTTGAAACCTGGGAAGAAATCAAGCAGCGATGGTCCAAGCTGTTGGAAGAGCACGTGTCAGCGGATCCCGATCTGCTACAAGATTTGGACAAAGCCCGCCTACCGGTGGTATACGCCGAAAAGGTCACTGTTCGGTCTCCGGTGTTCCAAACTTCAGCACTGTGCCACCTGGATCAAATTCAATCCAATTTGGCAAGAGTTACCAAGGACCTTGATGCACATAATAAAAAATACGACATTCCACTAGAAAAATTAGTATGTATGCCCCCTGGCGCACTGGAAAAAAGCTGAACAAACGGCTACAGGCATCAACACCAATGCATCGTTTCTGGACAACAGTAATTTCTGCGACTGCAACTGCTACTGATGTTACCGTGCGAAATCACTTCATGTATAAGTTATAGCTAACACTATTCATCGACTGCAAGTGTATTAATTCAAAAATACCATTATGTACAAACACAGTACAATACGAGAACTGCCCAATATTAAGCTAATAATATGTGCAACAGTTCCTGTTCTAAAGGGCTGGAAGAGTTGTTTTATTTGTTCTTGCTAGCCGATCTTTTGAGTTTAAGTGAAAATGGCATTTTGCTTGTACAAGTATATTAATAAAATTTGTTGATTTCTTTGTGCAACAGTTCGTAAATTCAGGAACAAAAAACGAATTGGCAGTATGCCAGGAAATGCGTTGCTACAAATTCATATTAATGTTATCCAAAAGTCAATATTATCCAGAAGTGCAACGCAAATAGATTTCCAAAAAAAATTCCTGAAATCCTTTACTGCCGCTGCGGCAGTGCCGCAAAGCAGAACGTAAAGCAGTTTCCGAGGCTTGGTTAAAGTAACAACCCAAAACGGTCAGCGAGCTGTTGTGAGAGTGAACACAATACGTAACGCTAATCAAAGGGTAATTCTGAGCCGCAGTTTTGGTCTATTCGAGATGTAGAATTACCTATGTTGCAGCGGTTTTATTTGCCAAAAGCAAGCTTTTCTGAAAGCCAGTTGCCAATACGTACTTTTCCGAGGAATCATCTCGACTGGCCGGCGGCTTAACATTCCGCACCATTTTAAAATATTGCTTCAATTCGGCAACAAAATCTGTCAATTGACGGCCATCCCACACTTTACACAAGAACACCCCGTTCTCCGCCAGCACTTTAAGAGCAAACTGCAGTGCCGTTCGGCACAAATGGATAATCAGATCGTGATCCATTTCCCGCATTCCCGACGCATTGGGCGCCATATCCGACAGAACCACGTCCACCTCCTCGCCCTTCAGCAAATCCTGCACGGCCTGCTGAGTCTTGGGCTTGGTAAAATCGCATTCCTGAAGGAAAATGGCACCGGGAAGGGGATTAATGGGCAGCAAATCCACACCGATGACGAGGCCGTTTTTCGCTTGATGCTTCGCTTTCGGTTTGGTCAGCGCTTCTCGCAGCAGATCATCTGGCTCTCCCTCATAATAAAATTCGGTTCGGTCTTTGTCGCGGACCACCATGCGGGGTAATATTCCGCTGGTGGCCACTTCGGACGGTGTTACAACATTCACGGCTTTCACAGTTACTTGACACCTGCAAAAAAATACATGCATAAAAAAACACAGTTGTCGTCCATTCGATTTCTCAAAAATTTGTCTTGCATTCCTCATGCAATTTGCCTCAGAATTCCAAACAAAAAATTTCAAGGGTGCCAAAGATTTCTTATTGGAGAGCAATCTGCAAAATAAAAAGCGTTCAAGAATTTCCCATACCAAGAACCCGGAGCTGCTCCAAGATCCACGACAGTTTGCCCTGGCCGAAATATACGGTATTTTGCATCCATTTCCAACAGTTTGAAAGCACTTCGGGCTCGATAGCTCTCATACTTCGCTTTCTTCACATAGGGATCTTTCCTCTGCCGCTCCAACCATTCGTGTGAACTGTGAGCACGAACGAAAGCAACTATACATTTTTTACAAGAATCCGATGGGATCGGATTCCACTCCAGGAACCGCTGCAAGACCGGATTAATTCGCCTGGACATAGAATAAATTAAAGCCGGATAATGTATTCTGCAAAATCAAATCTATCTAGATTTAAAAAGCTACTGAGTAAAATTTAATTAACTGAAACCAAAACAACAAATAACTTACTGTGAAAGAAACATAAGAAAAATTAAACTAAAAAGTAAAAATTCCACGAGAAAGGAAAACTGCAAAATACACTACTGTCAAAAATATTTCAGCAGTGTTATCGTGTCACCCGACCGTGTGCGGTTGACAGGAGACCAAGAGGCCAACGATGGTGGCGAACGTTTTTGGTCTTAGAAAACTATTAGACTTTTGTCTGGCTTTGTTGCTTTGTCAGACTGTGGTCGTGATTCGTGAATTCGCTTTTCACTTCCTGGTCGGTTAAACTGTGACAGAAAATTGAATAATCCGATTTTTTTGGCACTGCTAAAAATTCCTTTAGGTCTTGTTGACCTGTACGAACTGGGTAATTAGCAGTCTGCCGCATTTTGTTCGGCTTGTTGGCTCAATACGGCAAAGGTGGTCTTGCCAAACGGGAATCATGTCGATGGTCTCTACAGCTAACCTTCCCACTAAGATGGCGAACGGGAATGGGATAAAAAAATGTTACAGAGGACACTCGCACTTGTCGACATCCTGGACGATTTATGTTGTGGATCCGGCTTGCAGTCACGATGTGGAAACGTATGGAGAAGCTTTGAGTCCCATCGACGCATTCGATACGAAAGAACAAGTGGAGACGCTGTACAAACTGCCAGCATTTAAACCGGGCCCGCCGTCGTGGTCGATGAATGTCAATGGTGGGGCTATCGCGATTTTTCAAGGAGGAAAGTATGGATTTCCTGTTGTGAAGCCTGAATGGGAAGATCCGGCCTCGCGTAACGGTAAGGAACAAATCGAACCAAGGGATGTAACGATACGCAGGCGCATTACGAATTGTTACATCGTATAGTATAATACTGCCACTGGTATGCATAATGATACATTTACAGTTCTAATGTTTGTCTTCCGCTTTTTTGTCTGCATTTTTAATAATGTGCTGACTTTGATGCCCAATTGCCAACGAATGCACTCGAATATTATGTTCCACTACTATTAATATCTATATTATTTTCAGCTTTTGGATGTATAAATATTTCTTAATTGTCAGTAAAACCCTGATCCACAAGCAACAAAACTAATGTGATTAGTTAACTAGTTCCATTATTGAATCGGTTGTGCTGTTGCAGGCAGTGAATTTCGTTTCCAGTTTGACCCACAGACGGATCCGTTTCTGGTGTTGGACAAGGCCTTCCACGCGCTGGTTACCTGGATGACCGGGCATGAGCTGTACGAAGAGACTCGTCTGTTGGGACTGTTTGTTAAGAACACGAATCGTCCAGGTAACCGTGATCCGGCCAGCATTCAGTTCCGCCTTTGGACTTCGAGAATGCCCGATGCAGACATTTTCCGCTTGGCACGCACCATTGGCAACGATATGGCCGAGGTGAGCGGTATACTTACGGCACTCGTATTCTGCATACTTGCGTACGCATTTGTTGGGTCTCACTGCGCTTATTTCATTGTTTACTGTTGATCGACATGCTTGACTACCAGTAGTGTTTGCAGTGAGAACTTTGCGGTGTTTTTTTTAATAAAGTGTGTGTGTATACTGCTCATAGGTTTGGCAGTTCTGTGCTCAAGCAGTTATGCATAACAATTCCTTGGACTAATTCGAAATATTGTGCTGCGACAGGAGTATGCAACGTTAGGAATAATTACTTACTAATTTCATTAATCAGCGAAACGGTAAACATATTTTTGCATTAACCTTTCAGGTGCTGGGAAAAGTTGGTGCTCGAGGTATTATCAACTACAAGGGCTTGGACAACCTGATTCGCCGTGCAAATGCCACCACTCAGAAGGAGATTGAGCAGGACAGCAAGGACATGAATGCCATTCGACTGAAATTCTTTGTGCCATCTCGTTCGCCTCGAATGAACGGTCAAGAACAAAATCACGGTTATTGAAGAGGATTGCGGAATCTCATTAGTTGCGTTACAACTTACCGTTGTGACCAACATTTTCTGTTGTAAAACTCAAAATTTTGTTATATTATTTTTGGGAATGGTGTATCTTGGTGATCGGAAAACAGTCCCAGCGGCCAGTGAGACTAGATGACCATGGCATTCAGTTAATACTGTTCTTAGTTCTTGATTGCGAATTTTGATTAAATGTGCCGTTGTACCGTGAAATTACTGCTTACAATTTTTTTGTATTTTTTTTCTAGCAGTAAGCGCTGTATTTTAAAGTTAAAGGTGTATAACGGTTTGAAATTCAAACCAGCACTGTTACTCGGTAATCTATTCCGTCTTAAATACTCGTACATGTTGTTTACAGTTCCCGAATTTTCACAACTCAAAAGATTAATCAGCAAATCCAGATACTGTCAAAAAACAACAACCTAGATTCATATAAAGGCTAAACGCATACAACTGCAGCAACATGATAGACACTGACACAAAATAATGTAATCAATTTCCGTTTTCTGCCGTTACAAATCTGCAAAGTGTTAAAAACTATAGTTCTACTGCTATCTTATACAGTGCAGCGAGTGCGCCGCAGAGCTCTGAAAAATCGCCACCGAATTATTGTTAACACAACCGTTCATCAGCAATCCTTATTGAGAACAGAATATCTGTACATTTTCGAAAGCGTTTCATGATGTGCGTATGCAGAGTCCATCAATAAATCTTTGGTTGCGTAACCGTGTAATCCATCCAACCGGTCAAACATTGTGTCATGCCACATCATCAAACGCCCACCAATTTTTTGAAAATCCTTCAGCAATGTGCCCCATAAGGTGTTTCAATCGCATCTGGCATTTTCCCGACAACGTCAATGTTTTTCCACGATACTTAGAGAAAAGCTCCAGATTGGGAGACAGAGTCTGTTCCAAAAATCCCGACAGCTCATCGACGTCGCGCTCCAGATTTTCAATATTATGGTCGAATAATTCACGGTGGCGGCTAGGTTTGACGAAAAACGAAAATCCAAAGCACTGCCACAAGTGGCGACGACACGTCTCCAACACGCTGACGGCGTGTCCAACGAATTCTGTATAATTTGCAGGAGTAGATGCATGAGCCGGCTCCAGCAATAGCGTGCTCACTTTGGTCGGCAGTTCTTTAAGCTGTAAATGCCATAAGTCTTCGTCAGATTCCTTACATCACTTGGCTATCCCGGACAGAGCTACTTGCTTCGTCTCAAATCGTCCCAGTTATATACATATCAAGTGTGGAACATTCATAAGATTCACATCCAAACAATCAAGCAACGCATTTTGCCAAGATATTCTGATAAAATCTCAAAATCAAAGTATCAAAACAAAACAACCTACCGGTTTCTCCTTAAGAATGTTATCCATCTGGTTGGTGTAGCGGCTAGCATAGAAAATGAGCCGCTCCATTTGCTCCCATGCCTTGGCAGTGAAATTCTCCCCCTGAGCATCACCACAATACTGTGTGCAGTTCGAATGGCCTCGCCACTGCTCGCCACACATCCAGCAAAATTCATTACGGCAATTTCTGCATGTCATATGGTTACATCCACCGGTCTAAACGAAACATTTCGTCACTTAGAAAGACGCAATAAATTAAGAAGCAGACACAACGACAATACCTTTTCGATGTTATACTTGCATTTGGGACATTCTTTCGTGTTGCTCATTAGCCACTGCAGTGTGGGCTGGTCAGTATCCGAACCCAGTTTCTTAATCCATTTCTCGATCAACCAACACGGCAGTCCTTCGTGACCCTCGTTCGTGCACATGCTGCACTGAACATATCCACAAATACACTTCAGATCCACCGCATTACGTTCCTGGTCATCAGCGCTTATGTCCATGGCGTATGTACAGTCCAATCCACGGCAGCTACGCAGCCGGGGAAAACTGTCAACGTACAGCTTCTCAATCTGCTTCCAGTAGACCGTCGCCTGTCGTGTGTCTGCCAACTGCTCAATACACTCATCGCCCAGCAGCATTTCGCATTTGGGAAACATGCATCGGATGACAATACGTTTGTCCATTTCGCCGTCGATTTGCGAGTCAATGTAGTTCCGCCAACAGCCAATACAATAGATGTGCAGACAAGACAGCGACTGCAGCTGGTTAGCATAGACTTCTTCCAAGCAGATAGGACAGGCACTCATGATCAGACCGTGCTGGCGACTCGCCTTCTTCTCCTAACAGAACAACGCAATTTTGCGCGACATGATCAACCAGCTCACGACATAAGAAACGCAGCGTCTTATTTTTTCGCTGTAAAGCGCACAAAAAATGGAGCCCACCAACTGTGGCCGCCGTTACCTAATCTTTTCGCTAATTATATTCGAACATTTTAACTGGATGAAGCATTTGGCAAGAAAAACGCAGATTACATCATTTCGCCGCAAACGCATTATTCTGTACAAGAATACCGGGTACAAGCTGGATTACGAGAGAGTTTGGCGTTTTCCCTACAATTTCCGCAGTTAACCGTAAATAACACGAATGTCCGAAAATTACGCCAATAATACGACTGCCGAAAACTTACACATAAAGTCCATTCGTGCAGTCGCAGCGACGATACCGGGATATTGATAAGGTTCGCAAGATATTTGTCGGAGCGTTCGTAGCACATTGCCGCACAGTCGTCCACATTCCATTTCTTTTGAGCAAGAAGCAGTCTGGCACACGTCGGGGATATCTGATAACAATCCAACACGTGAAAACCATTTCGCGTACACAGTATGGATCTGCGAGCAGTAAAACTTGCAAAAATTAATGAACAACCGTTAATTTGCCTTGGAAGTACTTATCAGCATCGCGCAACGTGCGTACACGGTAGAGATAGTTATTCTTTATTAGGCATTTTCGTGCCAAATGCCAATCGTCAACAAATAAACAGCTACGCAACAAATAACTAGGAAAGTGCACCGCTAGCACTATAAGACCGAAGCGAAGCTACTGCTAGAAACAGTAAAGGGAAACATAACCTAACGGGCTTCCTATTATTTCGTCCACCATTCATTTTGTCCATCATTCATTTTATCCACCATTCATTTTGTCCACCAATTACTTTGTCCACTAATTATTTACTCCTTTAAACTACAGAGAACCGTTTAAAGTTCAAACCGATGAATACCGTTAAAGCCGAAAAGAATTACTACCTAAGAAAACCTAGGGTAGAATTACCTAATGAATCTAAGAAATCCTAAGATAACCTAAAGCACAGTAATCGTTCTCACTTCTCAGAATAGTGTTGAGGGTTGCGAGGTGTTGTATATCGTTTAACCTAAACCACTGTAATCGTTTCAGCACAGAGTTAGCGTTTGCGTAGGTGCAGTAAAGTATAAATCGAACTCGGTAGTGTGCATCGAACTGTATGGTGGACATAATGTACAGTGGACAAAATGAATGGTGGACGAAATGAGTGGTGGACAAAATGAGTGGTGGACCAAATGAAGGGACACGACCCAACGAGGTCATACGTTCATATCTGCTTGCCAAGACTTTCGTACTAAGACTCACCATTCTGTATAATGTAAGTAATACAACAAAGTCCTTGAGTACGATATTGATTACAAGACTGTATGTGTTTCCATAACATTCGTATACTACAGATTAACGTTCATTACTCACCATTAGTACAAGATGCACGGAATATTAATGCCGCTTACTGCTAAAAGTACGAGTAAGTGACGCTTTTCTTTTTAAGTGGAAACGTGCTTACCGAACTCTTTATACGTACTGCAAGTGATACGAGCAAGTTTTGGGCGCCAAATAAGAAAAAAGTTGCCCGCGATAGGGGCGTGGTCCCTCATTACAACCTTGCGGCAGAATGCCCTGTTACGCGTTTTCACGAGTTGCCGCTCAAGATTTGTCTGCTAACTGATTGACTAACAATGCAAACGTAAGTCAATAGATATCACAATGGACAGAGGTCATAAATACAACAAAGGTTACGGTTGCTACGACATCTCATTTACCGTTCTGCAGTTTCTTAATGTCTGCGCCCCTGCCAATCCACTGTTTCTTAGCAGATAGAATTGAATCAAGCTGAATCTAGGAATTTGCTGGACTACATTCCCTTTTACTGTTCCGACTCCCTAGCTTAGCTTCGGTCTTATATGCTAGCATAGAACGGTGCTACTTCTATGTCAGTAATAAATGATACAGGAAAAAAGGATAGGGGTTGCTTTTTTGAATATAGAGGGTCTACTATCACTTCAGCTGCTAAATCAGTCAGCTGTGCGCTGTTTCTTGGTAGTTAGTCTAAGGACATTCTGTTAGTACCGTGTTTAGTAAAATTTGCTCTTAGGACTCACAAAACACGTTAGTAAGCACATTAGTGTTTTGGTTTAATGCGCGGTTACAGGTTCCCCTACGTTGTAGTGCCTAAATGTTATTGAGCGCCTAGCAGTCTCATCTAAGTGCCCCTAAGTGTCGGTCACGCCCTAACTACTTAGGGCGTGACCGACAACTTAGTGCGTGACCGACGTGCGTGACCGACGCACAAAAATTCCCGTTTTCTTGAACATAGAGGACCTTCGCTTCGCTTCGGTCGATTATCCGAAAGAAATTCAAAGTGCAATCACGCTTTTAGATTGGATTTATCAGTTCCCTCAAAAGCACACCCAGCTTAATTTGTACAAATATAACATGATACGGTGATAGCATTTATCTAGCTTTGTTAGTATTAAATGTTATACGAGTGAGCTCATTGTTTATACCTTGCTTTATCGTAATGTAATTAGGCCGCTTAACTTAGTCGCTGGAAGAAACGGTTTCAAAACCGATTATCGCTTCAGGTAAAGGAAAATAAACAGTCTGCAAAACACGCCCTTGGCCTCATGCATTGCCCCGCAGTTGTGATTTCCTTGTAAAAAAAACTGACAGAAACACAACAGGTCAGACTCTGCTTTCCAATAAAGAAAAAAAAGCAAAATTTAACATTGGTAAGTATACCGTATACAAGTACTTGAAAAGGAAGTGAAAAGCGTAAACTAGGACAGTATTTGCAGTTATTTTACTACCTGGAGCACATCAGCTGTTTCGCGAATCTTGATGCGCATATCTTCAGCCAAATGCTTGTATGGCTGCACGGTATACTCTGCTTCCGTCGTCTTCAATGGCTTCGTGAGCGTGTATTCCATTTCCCAGTCATAATCATCCACTCCCGAAGCCGTCCCGGGTGCGGAAGAGCGAGGAACCTTGACGTGGCGAGCCATGGTCGCGGAGACCGTTTTGCATTGATCAATAAAACACCACTCCAAGCGAAACTCCGCAGTTACTGTACGAGTTACAGTTACTCGTATTAAATTACGATTTTCGCTTAGTTGGTAGATGATGTCGTTCGCAATGTTATGGTTACTTCATAGTTCGCTGACAAAATATGATCCACATACCAATAACGTTACTGAAATCATGATGCCGAAAGAATGGGAGTACATGCGACTTGTTGAATCTGCAAATGTTTATCAGGGAGACGTTTTTGCATTGTTCGTGCACGATACTGTGAGCGCGCGTCTGACGGACTCTCGATGAATGAATGGCAAAACGGTTTGCTGTGAGATCACAGTGAGTCATACTATACAGTCTATATTGTACTGGTGTGTGATCACAGTCGTGTGAGTATGCCGACTTGGCGGCTTCTTTTATCCGCATGCTTCAGGCTCTGTGTCTTATAGTAATGTGTCAATTGTGAGGTATTGTTTTCTCCAAATCTTGTTTCGGTCGTCACATACGTAAGGAGCCCCTTTTCACTCACATAGCGAAAAAAAGGTTTTCTACAACATTAGTTTTTTAAAAAGTTGTTGTTGAATCAATAAGGTCACTTTTGGTGTGAATAACCGTGCTAGTAGACGAAGTGAGTATTAAAGTACTTAACCAGGCATGGACATTTATTAACTTATGGCAAGCTCGTATTCGGAAAAAGACATGGATGTGGCAGTATACTGCCGGAGTGCCGGTACATCGATTATAGAATCAAACCATCCTTGCACTGTGTACCACAAGGTTGAATTCCGGACTAGTGAAATTCTGTGCGGCACCTTCAATAATCAGCGCTCGGCTACCGGAAGTTTTCTCATACTCGCTCCGCCGCATCGTTCCCAGTACCGCCGTCGTGATGGTCATCACGCCGGTAACGAGGAATATAAGCAGAGCCACTTTATGGAGATCCCAATTGCCCATCCACATACTGAAGATAAGTGTGGCTGACATGTAGAGAATGGAAAAGAGGAAGAGGCTCAACAAGCCACCGAAGCCCAACGGATCCACCTTCTCGCCCGGCACCGGATGGCGGGCTTTATTCAATGCGCCGCAAGCGCACAACTGCAAGACCGGCAGGGCGAGACCGTCTAGAAGGATCCAGCCGGGATCCAGGAAGTCGGTGAGGTCAACGAGGGAGGTCAGGCAGCCTCGGTCCCAACAGTTGGACGCTAGACTCTGCAAGATAGCACCTGATAGCAATTGAGTGGCACCTATTAAGTTGGTTAATATATTGTATTACTTACTTTCGCTACCGTAACGGCCAGCGGCAGCTGCTAAAAGAGTAGTTAACCTACTTCCATCAGTTCCATATGCTAATAGTATTTGTTTTCTAGAAAGGACTTTTTATTGGGCATTGGCCAATAAAATGACATAAACCGCAAACGCGGACACATTAGTACTTTACAATTAAAATTTCGAACATAATATTAGTTATTCTTCTTCTAACTATTTATTAGTTAATTCTTAGTTATCCTTTTATAGGTATTTTTTTGAGTTATCCTTGCCAATATTATTAGCTATCCTTTTTCTTACGAATCGGATTATTTCTACGAATGCCGTGCGAAAGCACAAAATTGTTTCAGAAAGCGCACTGTGCTAAGTAATGATAATTATTGTACTTTGTATACGCCATTGCTCCATATTCCAATGCCTTGAATCACACTTCAGAAGACGTTTCGTGCACACTGCGTAATATTATAATTCGCGTAATATCATAAAATACGGTAATAATTGTGCAGAAGCGTAAGTAACAAATAAGCACTACACTCGCGATCGAACTACCAATATTATTATTCACCACAAATAAATTACAGGTAACATTACAACCTGAATAAAGGTGGCTCATGATAGTACTATAATAAGAACTTCCATTCTTTTTACGTTGAACTTCCAACTGGCAGGCAGTTATAAAATATGTGCTTCCCCCTGAACTTTTCGTATGATAACATGTAAAGAAATTGCCGCAATTTGAAATCACATAATAACTACTCAGCATTCCTTAGGGTTAATATGACGAATATACAGTACATTGTAAATGTTATAATCAAATGGAACTTATAAAAATTATTAAAATTGCTTTTACCATTAGGTTGCTACAGTTTTTACACTTACCATGCACAGAAGATGGCTGAGCAAATAGAGGAAGCTGCACACGCATAGCACATCAGGCAGAAGTGATTTAATTGCCGTCATCCTTTTCCGCGGCGCAGTCAAGCGCTGTCGCCGATCAACATTTCTCTCGGCGCACTGAGTCCAGATTCTTCCTTGCACTTTTTCGGCGACCGATTGATTCAAGTCAGCCTTTAAATTAAAATTAACGCGCCGGTCAAATTGGCGACGACAGCAACTTTCTAATCTATCATGTCGGAAGCCGGTTAGTACAGATCTGTACTATGATCACAACATTCGAAAATGGATTAGATTTGCGGAATTCTACAGAATAATATTCAGTCGGCAGGCAAAAAGAAACCCTGGCAAACTCGTATCAAATTACGTTTACATCGTTGGATTGTGATTGCAAGTACGGCTAGAAAACGGAGGATCTCAACCTCAAAATCTTTTTACACTTTACCACAGTGCATCGTCATTGTGCACACAACATGTTCAAAAGTGACAACACACACCCTACCATGCTAATCAGCCTGTTGATGTTCTCGTTGTTGTATACTGATGTACTTACACTGCGCAGTCGAACTGAAAGGTTTTTTCACTGACAACAGTACATTGATCGGGATGCTGCGAGAGAAATCCAATATGTGCCAAACTAATTTTCCCGTACACCAATCAATATACTTGTTATGTCTGTACAGGTGTACTGACATCAATACTTTGTACACTTTCTGTTCGTTCTTAACCTTCACCGCGAAGCCGCATAAGTCGACCGGTCAGGTCTCCAACACCGAATCACAACAGCTGGGCACGATATTATTGCAACGTCATGGTACTGCTCACCAGAGACCGCGGGATATCGCTATACGTTTACAATGCCAAAGCCTCAGCTACATCCAGTAATGTGAAAAAGGTGTTTGATCTGCTTCCTATGTACTCTGGTGTGTTTATGAAAGAGTTAAGCCGATAGATTATGGCCGGACGCGTTTCCGGTACCGGCTGATCATGACGATGAGCATCCTTTATATCAGATTTCCGTCTGTAGTATGGTCGACGTATATGTATCTGAAAAGCGTGTGCCCGATAATTGTAGCGTAATTTCGGGAAATTGTATTCGATAATGCAATTATGCAATTACAAATAATGGTGCTCCATTTAAAAAGGAACTAGCTCCAAGAGTTGAAATATGTGTTACCATGTGCAGGATTAATTAGGTCTTAATAGCTGGAATCGCGGTAACCAAACTCCAGATAACCCACAACTGGTCCTATTCGTTCGTCGTTCACACAATATCGTAAATCTGTAAACCATTCGTTCAGATTATACAAGAGGTAGCCGATTTACTGTAGATTGCTTCAGTGCGCCCCGGGATAATTTAATTAAAATAAGTATATTCTACGATTGGCACTTAACTCTTAACTAGTACGTAAATTAAACCGCAGTTTAGATGATCGATTATCAATAAAATTATTATTATGCATGTTACCCAGTAATGCTACTCCAGAGGGTAAGCTTTGTTGTAATTGGTTGTAACTGAAACATCTTCGAAGCACTCTAGATCTACTCTGTAGAGCATGATAAAAAATTTGTTAAAACCTTTATGTTGATCTTTTTATTCCAGATTCGCTAAAAATAAATCATGAATAAAAATGGAAAGGATTGCAGTATGCACACGTTATTTACACAAAGCAAATTTCGAAATATTGTACAATAGAAAGACCGTGTTTACATTTATATTCTCTGCGTTATTTTCAGTCCGCGCTGGGATTATCGAGAATTACAATATATTAGACAAGCGAAATTCCCACCGGATATGAAAAATGTTCATTCGGGGCAGGATTGACGTGTGCGGTGACGGCGCGGCGCTTCATTTCAATCAATCCCGCCGGCCATGTCTACGAACGCATCTATGTACAGCTAAGACGAAACGATAGCTCTGGGCTGTTTGTGCAATGGATCCGGTGATATAAAAAATGGCGGCTGGAGCAGTCCCGATGGCGTTGCGGGCTTTTTAATTGCCGCTACGTGTTGTCTGATGACTCGATAATGGGAGATTGTAGTTGACCCTCCTCTGTTGATTTCCTGAGGTTGTTCGTGACCTTTCAATTTTAGATTCGTCTTAGCGGATGCGGGACGTTTCTGCTGGGTACCAAATTTGATTGGAGCAGCGTAGTCTGAGTGGTACAAAAAACAACGCGATCCATGACGTTTGCGTAATAACCTCTTTAGTTGCTCGTCCGGCTTCTCACCATCCGGGATGATGTGTTGTGTTTCTGCCACGAGCGTTTTAGGTGGTTGCAGCTCGCGCTGACCAAATGAAAAGGCTAGCTGAAAAAATTCAAGCGAATGCACAGTAAACATCCAAGCGCTGACTAGCTGTACAGTACATGTATAATACATGTATGAAATGCAGAATAACTCTAATCTATATAACTCTAATTTATAACTCTGTTTTTAGACGGAATGGTTCGCAAATTTTGGTAAAGTGTGGTACAAGGAGTTGTGGGATTACGTACGGTATTAGAAATGTAGAATTCCAAAAGAACATCATTATTACGTAGAAAGCACGGGGCGTGGTTAATTGAGCACGGCCAAAACCGAGCACACAAAATTTAAATTGAAAAAAAATTATAAAAGCTTTCCTGTTTGTATACACAATGCCAACAAGCAATCATAGTACGTGTTCTTAAAATAAAATGACAATACTTGTATAAAAATAAAAACAACAACAGATAATACTCTGCGTGCGTTCAGTTTCTACAAGTGACAATAATAGTACAAACCCGCGCGTATGCGAGCTTTCACATAAAAAAAGCAAGCTAGAAATTTCCAACTCGGTGCAGTTTCTTAATCATTAGTAGCATAACTGCTATAATTAATTTATCAAATCTCGATAGCACCATACTGCACGCTTACATACATGTATCACATTTCGCAAAGAGGTCGTCTCGTACGTTTTGACTGGTGCCGTACATTCCCTGAAGAAGTTGTATGAACGATGCAGAATAGCGTCTCGCGTACACTGGAGTAGCCCGCAACACCCCGCCCTTCCGGTCGCCCCTTTCAGGCACAAACTGCGGTATGGCTCGCGGCAGTTTCAGATTTGTAAGCGCCTCATACAACAGCATCAGCAGTACCGCTTTCGCAGACTGGCAACCTTTAACAACCGCCGCTACCAGGTCAGCAGAGAAGCGTGGCAGGCTATGCTTCCGCAGTACCAGATCCACCTGACTCCAGATCTCGGCGTATTCGTGACGGCTATGTGGTGTCCGGAAAGCCGTCATGTTGATATCGCGCGGAAAGTAGTGGTGCAATAAGCACCAGGCGATGTATCCGTCGCCAAAGCATTCCGGGCGGCTCCGTTGATGTAAAGTCAGAAGATCGCCATGCTGGGATTCCATAAGGCATTTATTCAGCCAATGCTCAACGGTGGTCGGTAAAGGGAGAACGGTCTTGGCGGTGACCGTAATCTGATCGGTAGCCATGCTTGGTGGAGCGGATGCTCTATGATAAATTTCATAATATGATTACTTTACAATATCGGGTTCGGTCGGCATCTTTGCATTAACGTTATTCAAAATTCTTCTAAATTAAATTAAAGGTCGTTCCATGTTGAACTTCACAGATCGAGCTACAGTTTGCAGCTGTTACTATGCCAATTGTCTTCAGTTTTATTGTCCATCGATCGCTTAATTATGGCGTTTCTTTCAAATTTCAAATTAAATACCGGTGCTGCCGTATAGCTAGCCGTCTTAGTAATTACTCGGTTCTCATTTGTAAAAAAATATAGAGACATTTGGCCAATATAGAGGCCGGGCCAATGCATACCTGTAGATTTCAGCATTTCTGTGCTTCTAAATATATTGCGAAATATTCCACACTCCATATTAATTTTTTCGATCATAATTCCATGCCTGAAACGCAACTCATCGCGCGCTATTCTGGAGCGCGACCACTACTTATATTATATTATTGTATATTTATATTCAGAGTATAATTATATCTGTAGTTGCAGAACGGAAACACCACTTTCAGCCTTGCAGGAAGCGTTCACATCCTATTATGCGCAATGAAAGATTGCACTGATTTAGCTATAGAAGTACTGAAGGGAAGTGGGCCGGTACATAGTACCAAATTCGTGTACACGCACGAAAACTTGCACTTTCGCGCACTCCCAAACACATTTTTGTTTCGGTTTATGAAGTTTTGTAGCCAGAAGATTTATATACACTGGCGTGAAAACAGTTTGTGCGCGCAACATCCGGTTCGCGAGTTATGGCGTTCTTCGTGGTTATGTGCATTTACGTGGAAAATTTGAGGGAGATCGGTCCATAATGAGACTTTTGGTACACCTGAACGCATTTAAACTTTTTGGAATTTTGTAACAGCCATAACTCCCGAACCGGATGTTGCACGCACAAACGGTTCTCACGCCAGTGTATACAAATCTTCTGGCTGCAAAACGTCATACCTAATCCGAAACAAAAAAGTGTTTGGGAGTGCGCGAAAATGTAAGTTTTCGTGCATGTACACGAATTCGGTACCATGTCCCGGCCCACTTCCCTGAAGTGATTCAAGATTGACGATGACCTGCCTAAGAATTAAATGAATACTTTTGTTCGTCCAAACTCCTGTGGTTTAAAGCATTCCACGGTTGCTAAATAAATTTCTCCTTCGTCCCAGTATGTAGTATCAATCGTACGTACCAGTTTACACAACACGATTATACGTATATTCCGACAGCGACTTTCGTTGGAGATACAGCGCGCAAATGCAACATCAGTTATGGGTACAATGGAGGGGACGTTAAAATTAATCGAGGTCGTTCTGTAATGATGTTTAGATTTTTTCTGTTTTTCTTATTGTGTTGATTGTTTTTTACCCAGACTTTTGGTTGTGCCAGAAATCTTCATGATCAGGTGCGAGTATTGTTTCTGGTAGCTAGTACTAGCTACTGTATTTAAGGCACTTCGAGGTTATCACAATTGAGCTAAAGCTGGCTTGAATTATGCATATTCCATTGTATAGCATAGGAGCGTTTTTAATTATAACTTTCAATGGATTCCACGGTTTGAAATATTTATTCACACTTTCACCGATAATTAAAAGAACCCACGGAGTTGTACCTTTAATTCTATCTTCGATCGTGAACAATCTGCCACATCATTAAGTGCACGACACAATAATGTGCCGAAGTGCGCACCATTTACACTGCGTGTATCTGTAATTACTTACCATTGTTAGGTACTACGCATTTTGAATGCATAGTTCATGCTCCTGACCAGCAAAACTCATGCAATTATTTTAAATGGATTAATTTAATTAACCGTTATTTATTCACATGTTTATCTGTATCTCTAACTGACTTTGGTGTTTCCCCTATCGGTTGTAGTTTTCTAGTTTACCTGGAGTATTCCGGTGCCAGTTACAGTACTGACTGATCTATTCCTAAATTACGATACTGCCTTACGAGTTTCGTAGTTACTGCAGAACCATTTTAGTTTTACATATTGTGACTACCATGGCTACGGCTTATTTTTAAATTTATTTGTCCCGCTTTATTATAATTTATAATTATTTTAGGCTCTCATGAAGCGCAGAGATCTGCTGCTCATCGAGCGCCTTCGACTTGCGGAAGTCAGCAGAATAAGAAAGGCACAAGCGGCAACGAACAATATAAAATACAATACCAGTGCTGTTGATTTCAGCCCGATCAACGCGCTGATATCACCCGGCATCACCTCGGGATTATTCGGGATTCCCGTTGTGGTAACGGTGGCATTTTGCGCCGCTGACTGGGCCGCCACATATTCCCTTTGCTGTCGCACATGATAGGCTAGCAAGGCGGCGGTAGCGCAGCAGAGGATGAGCGACTGTACCATGCAGATGATATTCATCACCATGTTGACAATGTTCAGTTTTAGTTCGTAATCTTGAGCAACTTTTATGGAAGCACAAACGAGTCCGGTGACGCCCGTGGCGATTCCGAACGCGCCAACATAGATTCCTGCGTATTCTTCTCCACCGATTGTACGAGCAAACAGTCCGCCGGCTGAGAAAAAAAGAATTAATTACTAATGCGATCTGACGCGTTCATACCTGGAAATACTGCGTGTGTTGGATAGGGCGAAATACAATACCCGTCGAAAACGGTTAGTAACTGTCACAGATTTTGGCTGATCAATCAAAAACTCAAAGTTATGGTACAAAAATACACTTTAAATGTTTCTTACACACCTGCCGTCTCTTAACTGTTCTGTGAAAACGGCTATTTAAAAGGGGAAACAGGCGCAGTTTGTAATGCAGGCTTAAAGTCAGCTAAAATACGTAATTAATGTTTAAAATTCTTCCTACACTGAGTACACTCTTTAATGTTATTGTTAATTTTTATGCTTCTGTCTTCAAACTGCTCTTACAATTTTTAGCGTTTGAGTTACATATGGAACTTAAGTGCCGGTAAAATACCGCAGATGCGCGCACACTGATTATAGTTACTGCAATTGACAAAAGTTGCAGTCATCGATATGAATAGAAGAATATGTAGTCTGCATGCATTCTTAGCAAATGTACATGTAGTATGCAGGTGGCAACAGTGGGTTACTTACAAAGGTATATTTTGCTGGACAAAATGTAAACACTACTAATTTTCCATTCGCTTTTTTCGTATACGTATACAACACTTACTGACACACTCGATGATAATGATGGCTAATCCAGCGAGTGCCTCGATGGCAAACACAATAAAATACGGTACACTGGCTAATCGCGTTGGAAATTTTCCCGCTGTGACAGCATCAGTCGCATCCGTATTTTGCTTTCGCGGTTCAGGACCGATTACAACCACCCCGCCGTTTTTATTCGCGGTGGCGCTGCCGTTATCCTGCACCCGATTGGCACTGGCCACCGACGGCACGGACATGTGCGACACACTGTGATTCATATCCGGCCGCGAATTGCCGCGATCCAGCGGTGGGCGGGGCGATTTCACCGCCACGGCGCCGTAGAACACTTCGTACATCCCGTTGGAGCCGCCGGTCAAACCGTGGTGTTTGGCCAAATAATACCACAGAGATTCGCTGTAGATGTCGCCCGCACGGCGGACTTTCAGCGTGACCGGTCCGGGCGGCAGTGAGCGCAGCCAGACGGCAGCCGCATGCCGGTCCATGTTCGTTACGATCTCGTCGTTCACCTCCAGGATTTCATCGTTAGGCAGCAGACCGTTTAAACGCGCCGACGTATCCTCCAGCACATAGGCCACATAAATTCCGTTCTTCTCCGGGCCTTCAATGATACTGAAACCCAGTCCTTCGTTGGCCACTTTGGAGATGTTCAGCCGCATAATCTGCGCATCACTGGCCGTGCGTTCCACAAAGTTCTCATTGTGCAGTGGACCCACTTGGGCGAAGGTGTTGGCAGCTAAAAATAAACGTGTGATCCCCGGCGCACGATTGGGATCCGGTGATATGTTTCCACCATTCTGCATTTCCTGCTCCGTCATTTTATCGTTTCGCTGCAGATGCTGCCGCCACACGACTATTCGCGGCCGCGTTCATATGTGGCAAGCGCAGATTGTGGTTAATTAGGTCGCAAATAACTGGCGATAACCTTTATCGGTAACAGCATTTTCGATTGGACCAAATAACATAATCCAAAATCAGCAACCACCAAATCCAAACAAATCATACATGTGCATGCATGACTGCAAGCGTGCAATTAAAACCACGGCTAAACGGCACCTTCGCGACTTGTTTCTTAAGCGGTGAAAAATATTTCTGATAATTCGCCGACTTTTTACATATTGTACAAGGTACAGGCGTATGTTGTGCCGTATAGTGGTGCAGTCGATGATTGCCGGTGCCGTAATCGCGTTGCTTTGATGACAATTGTGCCGCGTTGTAACACTTGACGTTGAACCTGTTTGGTAAGTGGTCTTGTAAACTACATGTAGGTTTGTTTCCGTATGCTGCGATGTATTGCAGTATGCTGGGTTGTAAATGACACCTACGCGTAAACGGTATTTTCGTACCGGCACGGAAATGCGCCGATTCCGTATACACAGGTGTTATCAAATAACCCGGAAATATTCGAGAACTGTTTTACATGGGTTACAAGCGTATGTTTTGAGCATGTATGGCAGAAACTAATTCATAACCTGTAACAGTGTAACAGTACTACTATACAGTATTCACAATGACACAATCGTAATACCTTCAACATTGGCACTGTGATTACCGAAATGTATGTAGGCATGCGTTAATTTTTCATCAGCAGGATGGTATTGCTGCATATCTGTAGTTCTAAACGCTCGTATACGAACAGTTGAACAGTTGTATCGTGAAAACAGCGTATTTGCTGGCTGATTGTGTACGTATCTGTATAACATGTTGTATGCTTCGGATTGTCCTTGTTAGCTCAGTTACTACAGTACATGTCTGCGCATTGTTTGATTAGGAATCGCAATTTTATAAATCGTTTCGATTTGTAAATAAGGCAGCAGTTTTCGATTAATGTCGATATTTACGCGCTAGGACGCCCATCAACCAGCCGCACAATGCATAAACCGGCACAGTTTTGCTACAAGCCATTTTGACCGAAAAAGCGATTTCAGGAAGACAGTCGTATATTTGACAAAACAGAACAAAATTAACATTTTATACAGTTACTGTACTCGTATTAGAGTACGGTACATAGTATCATAAGCTGTGTTGTCAGCGAATAATTACCTTTCTAATACTGTCTTGCAGTTTACAAGTGTTAACCAAGCACAAGTTTTCTCATATGTTTCAGCTTATTAAAAAGGCTAAACGTATTTTTATTGGATTTAATATGTTAGGTTTAGATGAAATTCATGTTATACGAGGAACAACGTTGCAACCACGAGAAGTATTGATCACTAACAACATAGAAAAAATATTGATTTTGCTGCTCGCGCACAGCGGAAAATTAGGCACGTGCACGAAGCATGTCAATACAAAAGCCTGTACCGCAGGTGTTGCATACGCAAATACTTATTCGAAAGGTCACAAACATTTTCTTAGCCTCTTAAGCGGAGTTTCGCCGGAAGTCCGATCAAAGTGTTGAGGATTTCACTGTTTCGTTTCATCGGTCCCGCAGAGTACACCTGCGACTGAGGAAAGCCATCCGTTGGCATTTGAGCGGGAATCGGACTGCCTTGGGGATAGTGAGCGTACAGCTCCTGGGCAGCGCGATCGAAAATATCCTAATAGCACACCAATGCATGATACTATCGTTTTGATCGTTGTCGTTGTTAAAACTGCTGTTAAACACACTAAAAATATGCTAGAATTTCAATACTGTAATCTCGCACTCGTTATAAAGATACGCCGTAAAAGATACTTTGCAGAAGAGCTGCGAGTAATGCTCGAGTTAGATATTCCCAATAACTGTCAATCCTGATTTAAAGTACAGTATATTAAATTACTGCACACTTATTTGATGACTCTTTCAGTTATTGACAAGTAATACAGGTAATCAGGTTTTTTACGAAGAGACAGCATTGCCGTAATTAATTAATAGAACATCTAGCTCAATGCAAAAATGTTCTTGTACTCGCACACTTACGGCATTCTTGTTTAGGAAATCAGCTTCATAGCGTGGCTCAATGTAAATCCAGACAGCGGAGCCGTAGCCAGCAAATATCATCACGGCAAAAAATAAATGGGTGACCTCCATGGTGAAATGTCCTTAAAATTACTTCCGGTGGATACGAACTTTTATCGAAAACCGTGAGAAACGCTAAACTGTTTTTGCCGGTGGCAGGAGAAATGGATCGGTATTTGTGAATTCAAACCGTATAGGACGATCTATATATAGGTCGGTAATTTGCCAGGATAGCGTAACAATAACCAGTATTTGCATACAAAACTAAAACAAGCGCGTCTGGACACGGCCAACCTGTCAAGACAATTTGAAATGAACTGGAAATTATTGCGAAAAGAACGCCAAACGTTCGTGAGGATGCGTCAACATGAAGGCGTAACAACAAAAAGTGCACCCGAATACTAATTATCGCAGTTACTCGTATATGTCGGCGCGCAGATTACGCCGGAATCTGGGTGTAAATCCAGTGACCATCCTAAAATTGCGCGAAACAACCCGATCTGCATGCGTATAATGTCCGGACGACTGCGCGGACTTATCCCTCTGTTTTGTAATTTATGGGGAAAGCCACGCATCGGCAGTAGGTCGCATCACAGGATTTAGGAAGGGATCTGGTAGGTTATATATGGGAACCGCGACAGCAAAAAATAAAATAATTTAATGTTATGCATGAACTACATTATAGAATACGATGGATGTCCGGAATAATGTCTCAGTTTCAGCGATATTGATTTGTAGTTTTCTCTTTTTTGTGTGTACTGCTCAACGGGTAGCGATCGGTACAAACCTATTCAGCCACTAATTGTAGTAATGTGAGCCCAAAAAACAAACATTCATATATTTCCAGTTTTGGTATTGCGACTGTTGTCGAAATGCGATACACACTGTATACGTAGCTTCTGTAGTAATATAAGTGGTATTGGTAGTGACCCGGCCAGGCTCCTACTTAGCTCATTGCCAGAAGTCAAGAAATTTCAAATTTTTAAAACACAACATGCAAACTTCTAACGTAAGCATCAAGCGCGCAGTTGTTTGTCAACCACGATATTCGCTCTTAATTGCAGCTGTCTGGAGCGGCGGAACATTGTAGCATATTTAATTGCAGAACAACGCTATTCCATAATTCCGAGCTGTATGTAATTAAATCAAACTGTCTGCAAAATATCCATAGCTTGACCAATACGTCCAATTTCGGTGTGCGTTGTCGAAATCCCCGGCATCTGCGGTTGGAGCTCCAGATCAGCTGGATCGATATCCAGATTGTAATTCTCCATGATGTATCGCAGTGATAAGAGTGAATCATTGAAAACCTAGATTTCAAGAAATTCATTTCCGCTTTGCAGCTATATCATGCAAGATGGAAATTTCAAGGATTTCCAGGTACCTACTACAGCACCCTCTCCAAATGTACGAAGATAAACTAGTACTTGTAGCTTGCATAATATGCATTACAAAAATAACAAATCAACGGTGAACTTTGTTTTAAATTTCAGAACATAATAAAATTTTAACCTTTTTTAGCGAAGGCTGCAAATTTTAGAAAAATGTGTTTCACGCATGCTCTTGCTATTTGAAGAACATTAATATTGATACTATAAATAATAAACAAACAGAAAGGGCTTGTCTTCACAGTAGAGTGAAATCTGACGAAGTCTTCAATATTTTGTGAGATCTACGAATACAGAGAGTTACGGTTTCTACACACACAATTATGCATTGTGTTCAGACATAATGTACCATTGTATGGTATAGATACATACCTTGGCCATCTTGTGCACGGTAGCTTCCATGTCTTTCTGTTTGGCAAGATTCTGTGCGTACTCCGTCTCAAATTGTTCCAGCTGTTTTAAACTTTCCTCCGCCGAATCACAGTCCGCGTTATTCAAAACGGCTTCCCGCAAAGCACTTTTGATGGCCGTGACCTTTGCTTGGAGCTGCGCAGCTTGGCTGCGTGCTTCGTTAGCCGTGCAGCCGATTTTGTGTTTGGCTTCGGCAATTCCGCTGAAATAGTTATCACTGAGCAGTTTCATATCGGCTTGAATCTGAAAAATTTGCAGCGTTTATCAGCCTTCTGCAAAATATTCATCGGCATTACAGCACAGCATTTCAGACTGTTCAAAAAACTGGATTTCGTTTGCGTAGAAGAAGCGAACCACAGACCTTTTCGTATTGCTCACTGCATTCCTGAATTTCCGAAATTAGTTTCGCGCGTTCGGCTTGAAAATCCCGTATTCCGGCTTTCGTGCGCGTTAGGGCCAATTTGTCTTTTCTCAAAAGCTGCACTTGTTTCTGAACGTTTTCTAGGTGCTGGGTTTGCAATCGTACCGGTTCTTTTCTGGTCGCCGTGGCTTTCTGCACTTCATAGAATCTTGAGCACAGACCGCTGAAATGGTCTTTCAGTTGGACAGCTTGACCACGGAGATCGTCTATCAGCGCCAAGTTATGAAAGGTCAATTCCTGAAAATATTCTTTTGCGTCTCGATAGTTGCGCTCAAAGTTTAACTGCAGATGGACAGTGTTCTCTTGACGCTTCTGATCAATATAGCGCTGACATGACTGAATTTCCACCGCGGTGTTTTCCTGCATTTCTTGCCGTTCAGAATTTAAATCTGCCATCCGATCCTCAAATGCGGCCGAGTAGTTTTCGACAGCGGCTTTATACCGTTTCGCGGCTTTCTATGAAACGCTTCTGTGAACAAAGGGGGAATTCGTTTAACCATATTATTTCTTTTATTACCGTCGTGCATTCTTTCGTGTTTTGTTCGTACGCTTTTTTTTCCTCAGAGTGCTTGATTTTGAAATCCGCTCGTTGTTTGGCGATGTCATGCAAAATCTCCATATGGCTTTCATAGCTCTGTTTCGTTAGCAGATCTTGCTGCTCTTTGTTCTCTTTCAGCTCACGGTCCAGAAGATATCGTAGGTAATGAACTCTTTGGCGGAAAACCTGGAATTTCTTACAACTGAAACGCTTTCCTGTTTGGTAAATATTTTCAGAATTGTCTTGCGTGTGCCACGCGATGTGTGTGAAGTATTGAATGAAGTACAGGTAATAACAGTCTTCGAGAATCAAGGAATTAACCATTGTTTATATGATAAGCGACTGCCCTGGATGTTCAAACATTAATAATGTTTATTAATTAACTTAAATAATCTAATATTTATTAATCAACTTAATCACTATGTACACGTTACTATAAATTTGTTGGATTTATAAAAATTAAAAGTGTGATCGAAAAGCTTAAACAACTTACAGTATTAGCAATGTACGTAGCGCTAGTGGGACGCAGATGTTTCGGTTTTATAAAAAGTAGTGTAGCAAAATCAGGATCGATTTGACCTAAAAAGCCAGTTACTGTCTGACGCGTTAATACACTAACAGCTGTAACTGCATTGAAATACAGTATGGCTTCGTGGACAGTTGCATTTGAAATTATTTGCAACGTGTTATTTTATATTTATTATGTAATACAACACATATAGCGCATTATACATACCAGCACATCTCCATTGTGTTCAGCCGTTAGGTCTTCCATATTTTTTATCTGGGCTAAAGATTTCTGTTCGTACTCGTCCAACTTGGATCGAGCCAATTCAAGCTGGCGAAGCACAAGATTACGTTCTTCTTCTTCGAAACGATTTTGCTTTTTGGCATCATATAGTTGTTGCACTTCCTTAACAAGGTACCGCAATAGCTATATGTAAATAAAGCGTTCATTTTAAATGTAAACTAATATTACATTATACTTTACCTGGCAAATTCAAATATAAAACACTGCGACTGTACTCGGTTCTGCTTTACAATACATCGCTAACCTTTTCTTGGTCCATAGCGCTGATGTCGATACCATCAAGAATTATACTTTGATCTTGATTCTTTTTACCTCCTTTATCTTTCACTTTGGACATTTTTTATAAGTATTGTTAAAAATGCATTTGCAGAATTACAGTGAATTGCAGATGTATTTGTAGAATTTCCTTATCTTTAATAGAAGCTCGTTGTACGTTGCAGAAACAATTCAGGAAAGGTTTGATAAACTGCGATATTGCATCGAAAATAAGATTTAGCAGCTGGGATTAACAAAACGCAAAAAACGTCAATATTGTTCAACAGGGTTCAATCTTCAAACGTTTTTCCCTTTATCATACTATAAAAGCTTTATTGGATTTTGAATTGGATATGGATTTTGAATCTGATTGCGCGGTATACTGAAAAGGTCACCCTGGTAACTCAAACGCGAATTACAGCACAAACCGTTTGTACTCACGTATTATTAATGTTCGTGCAATATGAAGTTGTGATGTACCTATAATACCATTTTAGAAACCAATATGTACTGCCATTCGTAACACAATATGTACTGCCATATATGTTTTAAATTCGTAACACGTTCGTAAATACCGTATATACTATATAAATTGTTTGTCCTGGGTTCGATTACTGGGTCGGGTAACCTTCCGTCTCATAAAAGCAAAACAAAAAAAGTATACAAATTTCGAAATTAACGCAAAAATTTTTCAATAGCCTGTTAAAGTCTAAGTAAATGGAGTTTGACTACTGTGACTGCAATAATAATAATGACAATAAGAAATTATATATACTACTAGTAATTACCGTATAGCAAAGTGACCATGGCCAAGGTCTACTGGTAAAATATGTCGAAATCGCTGCAATGTCGCGAAATCTTGCGCTAGTGCCAATTTCTTGCGCCTTACGGCACCAGAAAAACAATTTTCCCGAGTGCCTACACGGAGACCGGGGAAAGAAAAAAAGTCCTTTTTGAGTGTACCCCAAGAGCGGATTTTATATTTTAATAAATTACACAGTCTATTGAATACATGACCAGTTACTCTACAGACTCGAGCATGATACAAAATAATCTTAAGTCGTTATAACAAGATTTTACATGCACATCGTACTGTATAGTCACAAAAGTGTATATTATCCACCTGGCCCATCTAAGCTTTTCACTGTTTAACTAGTGGTTATTAGTTTTCATAATTAATAATTCATAATTTTTGAAAATTTTGTTTTTTTCAAAATTTCATGGGAGACATGTTTAGTGTAAAATGAAAGTTTGTCGGTCAAATCTGGAAAATTCTGATGTGTTCATAATTTTTAATACATTGTCAGTGTTTTGGTTCCTGCTTATGAAACATCCTTGATTAGTTAGCTGTATTAAGGGGTTTGCGAAGGCTAAGTCGTTCGACTCACTTCGACGTGCTTGTTGAAGTCAGGTATGGGTTTCGTACTCACTGTGATCTGAATCTCGACGGCTCTCTCTTGGCGCTGTGGTTCTAACGCTCTCATGCTGACTTGCTCCGTCTTACATTTCACCTTTCTCTCTCCCATTTAACGTGGCAGTCAGCGTAATCAGGCATCGCAATCCAGCCAAAACTCCATGCCTTTCCTCCAAGCGAGTGCATGAGTATATGTTTAATTGATTATGTTCATTTTTTTATGTGGTTGGTGTGTGTTGCATTGTTGCGTGCCATACATCCCGCATAATTTGTATTGTGATCGTCCTTTCCTTACCATTAACCACTATAATTTCTATCTATTTTAAAGTTCTTCTAGAAAATACCAAAAAAAAGATTCATGTGTAAAGTAGTGGAGAGCAAGCGGTCTTTTACCTTATTGTTGCTTCCGTTGCACGAGTTTTGTTTACAAAACTTTTAAAAAAGAATATGTTATGCGTGCCTTTTCCCCTAATTGTAATAGGGGTTTTTGCCGCATAACAGCATACGGAACTCAATAAAGGTTGATATATAAATATCAATCCTGTGAAAAATAGACAGCTTCGATGGTGCAATATACAGTAACACCTCATGAAAATTTATTCATAGAATACTGAAACGTTGACTCTTTGCTTTTACCCGAGTAAAACAGCTTGTAAAAAAAACGTTGGTTAACCGTGAAACCACCGGTAGTTGAAGGTTTATAGTGACTTGCACAGCCCTTCATCCAACGGTTAGCCCAACGTTTGCTGAAGGGTCTGGGACCGTTGGAGCACAGTCAAAATTCGTGCACGGAAAACCGGTGGGCCTACGTTATCCGACGCAAAGTACAACGTGATTTCTAGGTTTTCCCAATGTTTGTTTTTTGTTCGCGAAAGCCGTTTCTACCGTACTATTACCGTTGCACAACCGTCAATTTTACCATATTTTATTATGATTTTCCTGGCTTGAAGCCTGCTCAACAAACGTTTCCGTAACAGAAATTAATCCACAGTTTTCGGCTTTGTGCCTTCAAAATAAAAGCAACCGTAACAAAAAATAAACATAAAATCATTCCACCTTGCGTCTACGCGATGAATGCGTGAAAACACAGAAAAATGCTGTACGACAACAGCTTACAAAAAAAAATATTGGCAATAATGCCGGCTGCGGCTCATGGTCGAAGTCGACGACATTCCGCGTGTGCGCAATTTTTTAGGCTGCTTGATCCGCACGGAATTTTCCTTCTGGTTTTTGGATCTGCGTGTCCGCAAGCTATCCGGTAGCGGTGTCCATTGTGCTTCTATATAAGCTACAATAAAATACTGTTACTGCAAATCCGCCGAAGCATAGACCGTTATGAGTGAAAAGGTTCACTCACTTTAGGGACTTACTCCATCATTTATCCAGTTCAGATTCATTTAGATCGTGGATTACATCTGTAAAAGTGTTCGTGGTAAAAGTATTTACTGAAGTGAATAAACAAGCGTACGTACGGCAGCTGGCTAAAGCGTGTACCGTATCCGGCGTGGCTCTGTATCTTCCTAGAAAAATACAATGGCATTTAGGTTTCAAAAAACTGTAAAACTTGTTCAGCGTGTTACGCATGCAGGCCCTGAGATTTCTCCGCGTCAAAGCGTTTTTCGGCCTTCTAATTCACTATGGCAAATTAATAAACTTTATGGTTGACGTTATAAAATAATCAAAAAACTTAATATACAGTTTAATATATACTCAATAATCAAAAAGTGCAATGCTTAAATTTTTAAAAACGAAATATGATTTACATATGCATTCATACCATTTACGGTTTCGACCAAAAGCCGCAGTGGGAAATTTACACCTGAAAAGCACGCGCGAAGTAGCTTTAACAACGCGTATGCGCAAATAAGGGATGTTAGCTTGGAAATGCACAATTAGAATTATTGTTCACGTATAGAAAGCTGTTAGTGCGTGTGCGCCGTTTTGTAGCATTTTAGTCCCGTAATAATTGTTTGAAACTGTTCCTACAAAAGAGCGTCAACAAGTTTTCCAATCACAGCTATTTCACCGTTTTTTAACTCCACTTATGACAATATTATTAGCTGTTCCAGATGCAAAAAGTGTACAAATGGAGAGATTTAAAAAATCATAAAGCAAGATAGTAATTTACGTACCGCTTTGGCTGTTATCTTCGTCCTCAATAAGTCTGCGTATCGCCGTATACGGTGGACCTGTAAATGAAGCTTTCTGCATCGTAATGCGTAAAGTGCTTGCGTAAATGCGTTACAAACAAGCTAGCGTAATCACAAGTTGCTTAACTTACTTCCGACAGCAGCGCGCGCATTCGCCAGCTGGAGTGTTTTTCCCCCAGAGAATGCTGCATCAAAATGTTTGCTTGTTCGAGCAATGTGTTGAAACCTGTAACAGAAAATATTTCATAAATTTTGGTCATCGCAGGTGATACGTTTATGTTTGCAGCCACCACGCATTGCAAACATTGCGTTACCGTTTTTGTTAAGAAGATTCCTTAATCCCGATGCTTGCAATTGCGCTGAGGCTTCATCTACAGTGAAAATGTAAAACGCAGCGTCGCGTAAACGGCAAATACGTTGAATGCGCATATTCAAGTTCTCAATGAGACACTACTCATGCAGCATCGCAGGTACTGTACATTGGCAGTACCAAATACCATGTACCTTTTATGATGCACCTTTTATGATGGAAGATCGAGAAGAAGAACTTTGCAAAATCCTTCTCAAACCAAATAAGAACAGACTATGCTAGTTAAAACCACCCCGTTGATCACAGTTCAAATAATCACAAATGATTTTGGTTTGAGAAAACAACAAAGTGAGTAAGGTTTAAGATAATCTGGATTTATTTCCAATAAACCCTGTACGATAAGCATAAAAGCAGCTAGCAGTAACAGAGAAATACTTAGTTAAATGTCTCAGCGAACTCGCACTTCAGTAAGATTGCTGGCTAAAAATCGTGATGCGTGCCTTTCTATTTTCCACTTTTGATATCAGATCAAAGCAAGACACCAATAAAAATGAATCTACCTTTGGTTTTCCAGTGTCCGGATAGAGGAACTGTTGATTGCAGAATTTGTAGCAGTTTCGCCAAGAACTCCTGCTTGCTGTTTTCCTCAGCAACTTTCGCGATTGGTCTCTTGATCTTCGTGCGCGAAAAGCCATCTTTCCTGCAAAAATAACGTGCTACACAGAGCGATATGTAAAAATCTCAGCAGCCTAAACAGACTTTACAACTAACAAGTTTAAAATTTTCAGTAGAACTCAGAAAGAAGAAAACTGTACAAAGCAGAAACCGAGAAACACTTCAAATGCGGGCACGCAAAGTTGTGGCGACTGGCGAGTAACGCTTGCAAAGTTGAAAATATGATACGCTGTTGAGATCAGAATACCGAGTTATGGTTAGCCGTCAAGCATCCGCGAGCTACCACTTACCTTTTTTAATTTTTCGGATGCGCAGCATGCAAGAAACAAATCATCCAGAAGAGACAAATAATGAAATTCGTTAATTTTATTGTTTTGGAAATTGGGTCAAAAACCCGAAAAAACGATGACAGAATAAAGATAAATTCCGACTTGGCTGCTTTTAGCTGGCGCACAGCTGTACGTTACGCTGATCAGCGGTCACGCTGCGGCGCTGAAGCCACCGTACAAAATACACTGTTCAGGCCTTAGCCAAATGCGTGCGCGCTCGCTTACGTATACGTAATGGTGGCGCAACGCAGGTCTTACGTATTTCCGCCAAGCTGTTTTACTCGGGTTAGCGACTCATCCAAGATCAGATTCTACAGAATGAAAAAAATCACGTCACGGTCAGGTAAAATGTGGGTGGGTAATTCGGTTTACGACAACCGTGTGCAACGGTCAGAAACGTTTACCCCAAAATTTGCGAAATCGTTTGCACAAAATGCGTACAAGCATGAATTACGTAATAGGATTACTTACTGTAAGACTAGTGTAATGGAGTACTTAAATCATTTCAGCACAGAATAATGCGCACATACAATAGTGAATACGTAAACGTACAATGTATTGTGCGGTACATACGTATTTACACGATTTCCGAGGATATACAACATTTTGCAATGTTAATTACGTCGATTATGTATTAAGTATCGTACTCGTATCCAGTTTTGCACACTTCAAATCTGCTGATTTTGCTGGACATTTTCCATGCTCATAATTCACACACAGTGCAGGTGCAAACTGGCATGTAAACAACTTCCCATAAAGTTACAAGCCCAACATGTTTTCCCTCCCCAGTGTGCACAAATATTCGGTGAACATGTGCATGTGATTTGTTTGTTGTCATACAACCGTATACACTAGCGTTCTGCCTGCATGCACATTTAACGTTGCCGGAAACATGCAAATGTTGACACAGGATAACTATAAATGACTTACCTTAGGTGTATTCGGGCTCTAAAACACCAATCAAAAACCAATATTATGCTGACTAACCACTGGTAAAGTACCATTCGGTTGTGCCCAGCTAGAATATGATTTCTTTCTCGTTCGACGCAGAGATGTATTAGAAACTTAGGTGATGCTGGATCAGCGTTTTTATAAAGAAAACGCCAAAACTTAGGCAGATTAGAATTCTTCTCGAACAGAGTGTGTTGTCAATAAAGAAATCGTGGCATTAGTGGATGTTATGGCGAGAAAAGAAAAGTCGCATAAAAATATGTCGAAAAACAACCACGAAGTGGAAACCACCGTGTACCATCACGGTGCCGGTGTACGGGAAGTTGTGCCGGTTACTGTTGTATCCGAATCGGATTATTCGCCGGTTAAAGGGCACAAATGTCTAGCAGCATTGGGCGTACTGGAAGTATTGCTGGGATTATGTATTATTGCTTTGGAAGCGGCATGTAAGTTTTTTCTTGCCCGTGGCACTAGATTTAAGTTAAAAATTCAATTACAGATATCAATAATTTATAAATCGATATACGCATCTAACCTGTGTGGTTGATGTGTTTATTCAGTCTGTAAAGGGCAAGAGCCAGGGTTAGTTTCAACGTGCGACTGTATTACTATGAATTGTTTTGTTCTATATTTATGAATAACGTAGATAATTATAGTTAATGACCGTTTGCACAATTTAAAAGTTTTTGGGTAATTGTTTTGAGGTACTAGTATATGAAAAGCTAATTTTAAGCTACGTCGACATAATAATATTATAAAGCTAGATTTCACCATTCTTTCAGAGTTCTCGAAAACGCGCGGTAAAGTGGCTTTGTTATTTCAGGGTTTAGAATAAGTACTCGTACTGAGCCATAGTCTGTAGTCTGTACAATACAAGACAGCAGTTTATCAAACATCTGTATGCACTTTAAACTCAGTATATTATATTTCGCTATGACTTATGAGTTAAATTATAATACGAACAAGTCTTTCAGGATGCAGTAGAATGCGAGTTCCTAGAGTGCGACTTACGATACGAGTACGATTCAGACTTCGTGTAAAGAACTGCAGGAGCGACGCTGTACTTTGTGAAAAAATTGAATCAGATAGTGTATAGGGATTACTGATTTGAGAACTACTCGTAGTTATTCACATGCTAATTATCGTAGAATCTTGTTCAGAATGGCGTATTGTGAGTTTGTAATTAAAAGGTTACATGAACGACACCTACTATACGACAAACCGCTAACTGTATTATTTGTTATAGGCGTCGGGCTCGATTACTTTCTGGAAAAGAGCGCTGTAAGTTTTTTTCTAGATCAAACTAGATCCGTGTCTATTTTGGTTCGGACTAATAAAACACGAAGAAAAATGTAAGAACCATTGTTATTACAGGTCGGTATCTACGTCGGATGTTTTACATTTATCACCGGCCTCATCACCCTGGCCGCCAGTCGGTCGAATTCGACGAAAGGCATGGGAAGGTGCTGTTTCCTCATTGCCGTAGTTTTCTCCCTGTTCTGCGCCCTCAAGGCCTTCATCATGTTCTGCGCATCGGCCGCCATGCTGGCCATTGTCCTTACTTGGTATTATAACTACCGCAACGGCGGCACTTTGAACAATACATCCTTTAATTTCCTCCCCACAAATCCCTTCTTTAACAACTGGCTGAGTCCCAACTACTATCTGTCATCGGGACGGTATGGAAATAATCCACAGGTATGGCGCGAGATGATCGGTCTGGAAGCGACGGTGATGACCTTATACTTCATACTGTTTATGCTGGCCATTATTGCCACCGGCTTCAGTTGCTGGAATTGTTGTGCACAGCGCAAAGAACGCCAGATGATTATGACTGTGTATCCGGACCGGCAGCGCGTTGTTCAGCAAAAGGTGTAGATTGCCTTGTGAATCATTTCCGCTCGTAAATTTCCTGTGCGTATGGTACAAATCGTCTGTGCGTTTGTAGGCCGTAACAGTGCGATGTAAACGATGTTTTATGAAGGATTGTTGTAGGTGTACGTCGACTTATCAAATTTGTTTTCTTTCTACTTTATTTTCTCAGTCAACTATAATGTTAGCTTTGGTCCATATCTTTTTATTTGGCATGTCGGATGCAACAGGTCATTGCTACTAACAAATAAAATTACATAAAAATTTGACAATAAATTTATTTGATACATTAATTTTCGAATCGATGTCTATACGAGCGAATTAATTTGCTTTAATACGGGTGCTTTATAACCGATTAGCTTCTTGTCACAATATGGACGTTAAACTGTGAGAATTACTTACGATAGATCAATGGAAACTGTATTACCAAATTCTATCTGTAAAGCTAAAGCTGCTGACAGTACCGTACGCATACGTATTTGATTATGTTACCATTACTTTACCTTATAACAATAATATTATTACAATGTAAATTTGCAAAGATATTACTTCGCATACATTTGTAACAATTAATGAACAATACACAATGAATTTGCATTCTGCGCGGCTTAATTTGTTCATGGGAATTTACTAGTACAGAGAGCCAGTACTAGAATAGAGAGATAAATAACGTCATGCACATGCACAACGAGTTGGTGCCGTATCATCGGAAGAATTTTAAAAGTAACCGATTGCACGAAAACATATGCCCGTAGTCGCTACACTGGTTTAGTCTTACAATCGCAGTAATGCCAGTACTAATAGCATATGGTAGAATTTTTGAACGACTTGTTCCAGAATACATCTAGTAGATGTTTCAGAACTAGGTTCGATCATATAACGTAGTGTACAGCCGCAATAGTTATAACTTAAGTACAAAGTGAATTTTGAGAGAAAAAGGCGAATATTAAAAATGCGCCAGTATTTTATTATTTTTTACATCCACTGGAAGCAGAGATCACTTAGAGCATCCGTAAGTTTGAAAAGTAGTACTGTATATTATACCGAGTCAATTTGCAATTCTAAACAAATGCAGTCTGCTGCGGAAAAACGTGCGCCGCAGACGCAGACGTAAACACTGGGTATCGATCCCATTTTTCGAGTTCCTTATACCTCGGTTCGGTGATTATGCCGCCGGTTTACTATCGCCGAGATTATAGAGATGATAAAGATAATCAAATACAAAAGCGACGCCACTGCCTTCATGACAATGATGGCAACAAAAGGAATAATGCTAATACCGAAAAACTGCACAATCACTTCCACAAAGGGAATGGTGCCGAGGAATGCAAAGACAAGAATATACACGGTGGTGGCCAACAGCGAGCCGGTCAGCATACCAAATTCGATGAGGATGGTGATAATCAGCATGACATAATCCACTGTAAAGATATTCTTGCGCGTGTCCAACGGGAAGTCCTCCTTGTAGGTCATGATGCCCACAATGTTGCTGAGGATTATGGCGATACATGCTAAGATGCCCAAAATCTCCAGTCCGATAAACGTGAAATAAATTATGAGAACTGCAATAAAATCAGCTAGCAATTGTCATTATCTAATTAAATTCGTAAATGCACAACAATTATTGCTAAAGATTTCACAAAGAATCTACTACTTTCAGGCAGTAATATGCCATATTTTACAATTATAAAAGACAAATAATTATTCTCTCTTCCCTTCGATATACAATGCATTCCGTTAAGCACAACTCGCACGCTTTCAATTTTTGAAATCACCATACAGATTGTTCTGTTCTGTAATATAGAACAATTTTGCTTACCGATTACTTCGATTCCAATTGTGACTAGAGATAGTCCAATATTTATTACAGCTAACTGCGGCCTAATCATCTTAAATACTTTAGTTGACGTTAATTAAGCATAACCCAAACTGATTGCACGGCCGCTAACGTAAGTTCAGACGTCTAAAATTACGAAAAGCCGCCGAAGAACCCTTGTACGTACACCAAAGACTTCATTTCTCATGCTGCAGACAAAAAGTAGAGGGCTAGCAGTGATTACTACCATGAATAGACATATCTTTTTGAAACATTTACCATCACATCTGTGATCTGTCAAGGTAGACGCTATGTATACCTTCAATATGTGCGCATCTCTTATACAAAAACATTCGAGATTTAATGTGACACACACAAGCAGTGCATCATCCGTGACTATCCCAGTCAGTCAGCGCACCAGCCTTACCGGCATCGTTTTTTATCGATTTGTTGTAGCACTTGTTACTACATTACATGCATACAGTAGAAGTACTTGTACCGTACAACAGTCCATTTGTGCACGGACAGTAAGTGATGAAAAAACATTTAATGAAGCCCTCAGAATTAATGAAATTGATTAAAAGTAGTTAATCAAATTAATAACTTTTATAATTAGCAGGCCTATCTTCGGGCCGGTTCCATATATAGGTAAATACGAGTATTTTACAGCACAAAATTAAATACCAGTTCATGCGCACTGTGCACGATATGTAAGTTTTTGTGTTTTCATGTTTTCACTACATATTTATGTAAGTTACTTTATTATTTATGTAAATTTTTATTTTTTCCTGTTTTTACTACATACATATTTATATATGCTCGTTACAGTTTATGGAAAGTTAATTCAGCTTTAACGACTGCATAGTTGTGATAGCACTTGAAGAATACGCACAAACGCCCGCATATCGTACTTACGTAATAGAGTGCAATAATAATATTCTTGTTTCTATCGCTATTTGGCCATGGTGTTTCACTGCCGCTTGGCGTCCTCATTATCAGTTCTAGTTTCTAGATCTGCGTTTCATCAGTGATTATAAGAAAACTTGCTGGTTGAGTAAAGAAAAATAATCGTAGGATCATAAAGCACGCTAATATAACAGTTTTAATTCGAATCAGGCGAGCACTTTACCTAAACAACAAATAAACGCCTGCAAACAACCCTATATTGGATGATTATGATCTGGTTAACGGAAGTTAGGATTTTTCTGATTTCCTTCCGGTCATGATAGTCATTTGAATCGCTGCAGTTGCTGCTTGTTCAGACTAAAGAACTGGATCAAAAATTTCAAAAGAACTAGAAGGGTGGAAATTTGGTATATGCATTATTCGCCCTAATAGTAGGAGTTTCAGAGGTTGAATGATTTTAAAACTATACAATATTGTATCTTAATGGAAATCACTGTTATATCTATATAATATTGCGGCAGGGGTAAGTATCTATAGTTGTATAACTTGTATGTAAAGACGCTTTTATTAAACATGGAGTGCTGTGCCGGCCGGCTCGCATCGGTTTCGGGATCAGTGATTTTTGGGATTCATTGTAAAGCTGGCGCAAGAACTCGTACCTAAAACTCTGAATATGTACAAAAATAGTTATTATTTGCTGAATAAACAGATGATATCTGAGCTAATATTAACAAGAGTCATTTTCGGCTTCCTCTCAGATGCTCTTGTGATCTAAAATCACATATGAAGGAAGTAATTTTTCAAAAATCGTGAGATATTTGTACAAGTTAAACACTGACAAAAGGAATGTTTGTATATATTCCCATTGATTTACTTAACAGAATCCTGAAATAGTTATGTAAAGAAAAATTACCAAGTAAATTGTAAAATTGTCGGTTTTTCGTTTCGGTCAGTATTAGCTTAGTCTCGCTACGAGGACGTAGCGAAAGCTGCAAAGGGGGTGTGAGCGGAGAAGCGGCTCACGTACAGCGACAAAATCTTTCAAAGGATTTCAACGTATTGCGCCGTGGTGCAGTGGTACTGCCTACGCGGATCTAACGACGTAGCCGGGGTTCGATTCCCCCATCGGCGCCTTTTTCAGCCGTTTCTCGGTTTCCCTCGGATTGCGCCCTGCTTAGAGCTGTTTTGATTACCCGGTAGCCTTGTCAGCTAGCAAAGACTCTACACTATATTTCAAATGAATTGGATTGTAGTAATTGTTAATAGTAAATAGTTCCGAATTTGATAAGTGAAAAATAAAAGCATCTACTGTAGTCGATCAGTAACTTCCGTTCAGGAAGTAGCCCACATACGAGCCATACATCCTGATCCTGAACAATGTTAATCGTTCCTTTTCAGTAGATGTATACGACTGCGAGTAGGCCTAGGCATGATCAGTGTAAACTTTAGAACAGTTCTGTTCATTCGATATATAGCTTTTTCAGTATTTCAAGCCATTCTGGATTCGCGATTATCGTTATAAAAAATTTCGGGTTTTCTCAGTGATGTTTTTGATCCGCTTTGCTTGAACTGGTATCGCCATCTCATTTCCTCGACCCCGGGTTTCTAACTGTTTTCACTCATTAGCGACACGGGGGAACAAATCCTCATTCTAGAGACACTTGCTACCGCCGTCCCCTTAATCAGTATGCTTGGACCGCTTGGTCAGTGGACGCTTAATCGCACGGCTCTGTTCAGTTGGTAGCACCAACCAAAAATTATGAACTTATATTATTATACGGCTCTTGAGCCGTACATTAACTTATAGTTCTAGCCCTGATCACTGTATAACAAGACCAAGTTCACAATTTCCGTTCACTCAACAGGCGCATGGTCGATCAGTGAAAATCTGTTGATGCTGCAAGTTTTTTCTGGAGTACTACTGTAGCTGCTGTGCCGTTGGTGGCCCTTTTCGGCCCCTAGTACATCTTGAAGTCACCTTGAAGTTACAACTCTGCCGGTATACCGGCTTCTCTACGACGGTCTACTCGTAGGAGTGGATCTTTTTAAAATCACAGTGCATGTAAAACCCTTTCGACCATGCTAGACTAGTGGTCACGTCGGTTTTTATTCAATTTGCTGTTTTTTCTATAAAATTTCCACGGAGCAGCCGATCATAATATAGATCTACTAGCTTCTTTCATCTTTGATAGTTATCGGTACTATACGGTAGTCGCCTACGAAACTGAATTTTTATAACGCGAGTTGAACGTTTGTATTAACTGTATTAAATTTCTAGATCCATGCACTATGTGTGCGAAATCAAAATGAACCATACATACGCAGAAAAGTTAGCATTTACATTTTGCATCAAAATGGTTTGCCGAATTTACGGATGTTGTCGCAAATCGTGTGCCGCGACGCTGCTTCTACTTGATAGACATTATTCGACAGCACGCGTGCTTTAACTGGCATTGTCATTTCCGTCGGCATTATTTAAGTAAACCACAAATGGCAACGCAAAAATAATTTGTTAACAATCGGATATATAGAAATCAGTTCATCATCTCGGAATCATCCGACTCGGGAGTAGCGGGCTCTGAGATCGAATCCACCGGTGTCTCCTTGGTGTCACAGGATAATGCGCGAGCGTCGCGATCGGTACTTCCGCCTGATGCTTTTGCCTTTGCTGCTTCCTGGTGAGCTTTTTTAGAGCGCTTCCACTTCATGCGGCGATTTTGGAACCAGATTTTTACCTATCCGAAGAGCAGTTTATAATTTTTTGTGAATTTCTTTTGTCGTTAAATTGCGTACATCATGGCATCAGTTTAAACAATTAAACGTGGTACGTACGTAGGTCTCTAACTGCCTAAATACTCGTATAAGGTCACGGTTGCAGTTGCACCGATAATATACAGAGTATACTAACTACACTTGTTACTTTCACGCAACCTGCATAATCCCGGCTGCCTGTCCGCTTATCCTAAACAAAATTCAGTTATCACTGTCAAGCTTCTGTGCGCATGGCAGTGATCGTATTCAACCAGAAAAATTAATAAGCAGAAAATTAGCCCTTATGTCCCCAATTGCTGCTACAACGCATAAATATGGTCTGTACGAGTATGAAGGTTCCCTATGGCGTTGCTTCACATAAGCATTTTAAAACGTAATGAGTCTTTACACTTGCACTTGGCCAGGGTCGAGCTTCCGAGTAGTGCAAAAGATAAATTACGATCCATTTTTAAATATTTTTTTCATCAGAAGGCGGTATCATTCATTATCGAAGCACGAATTTCCAGACAACGCTAAATGTTTTAATTGTACCTGAGTTTCCGTTAGCATTAAGGAACTGGCAACTTCATATCTTTTCGGTCGAGATAAATACTTGCTGGCTTTAAACTGCTTCTCCAGTTCCAAAAGCTGCTGACTTGTAAAAGCTGTCCGAGGCCGCCTTGTTTTCCCTAATAGAGCGTGGTTCACCGGATGACCTTTAAAATAACGTTCCAGTGTCAAAATTAGGATTGAGTACCAACATCGTGACAAATTTGTTAACGGTACCGTAATACTTTCTGCCATGTTTGGGTCTGATAGTACATTACTGATTTAAATGTACAGCTCATGATCAAACGTTTTCCTGTCAAATTTAGCAAAAGAATTGTAATGCTAATAAGGTTACATACAAACATTCCCTAATGCAATAGAGTACAGAGAAAAAAAGTTTCATTTTCAGCCATCTGTACTACAGTAATCATTATAATATAATAATAATGTCGTTCATCGTTTCTACGGTTAATTAATTAATTTATCATTTACGATATATATCAATATTTCTTCATCAGCAACTCAGAAAATCGGACATTTCAAGAAATAAAGCCAGCGCAAGCGCATTGTTTTCATAAATTTTGAAACTGTTCTGAAGTATGCTTCTGGAGCGGCGGTATAAACACTTGTAATTCGTAACAGATGCTAAACGGATTTGTAATGTATGGTTAGTTCCTTTCATGTCAGAATAGTGTGCAGTATGTGATTGTCAAAGAATTATTTCATTAAAGCGATGACCCACATTAGTGCCAGGTTGACAGAAATAGCAGTTTGAACGTTAACAATATAGCTTCTTCAATTCTATTTTCCGGTATAAATGAATGGATCGGCTGCCGTGCGCACAATGACAACCATAGTGTAATCGAGCATGATCAGAGTAATCATATGGTTATGATAGCCTGCCTGGACAATAGCGGCCATATTGGAAACTCATTATGCGTATTATGTCGTCAACAAAGGGTCTATGGTAGTTTAAATGGATTCATACCGCACTAAATACTGTGCAAATTTACCAATCGCGAATAATATCTAACATAAGATGGCAGAATCAAGAAAAACTGTAACCGGCAACCGCATACGCGTAGAAATATCCATACAGTATACAGTTTGTATGTACACAATGATAATGGTATTATGTGCACAGACATTAACCGATGTGCTTGTATCATTTATGCAGACATGTAAAGAAAAATGGCCCCACGATGTGAGGCTCGTCGATGAAGAACGCTAAGAGCTTATCGGCGCATATGGCATCGTTTAAGCAAAATCTGTCGTAATAAACCGATGGATAATATGCCAGTGATGGATGGTGTTTAAAGACCATTTGTTGGCAGAGAGTAAGTAAGTAATGCAGCATTGGCTACAAATTGTCTGCTCAACAAATTTCTGCCCTTCTGCAATACTGCAAGGCTATTTGCATGAAGGCTGGCCCTCGCTCGATATGTAGAGGAAATTATTCTATGTTGTGACTCTTCTGTACTGCAAAATGATCCACATAGCAGCGGGATCAGAAGACAGTTGACGTCGTTCCGTTCCGCTTCTGCTTATGATGCGCCATAGCCGGGATTATGCAGACAGCGACGACGTATTTATTATTATACACACAGCGTCATATGCAGCTTGTCCCAAATGCAGAGTAATATTATTATCGACGTGTACGCCACTGTACTTGTACAGTACTGCGAGTAGTGTATGTCTGTGCATGACCCACCACAATGGCATATAATTTTATTATTTGCTATGCAAGGCTAAAAAGGCTAAGCGGTGACCGACGGCCCAAACAGCATTTCCACTTTCGCCCGGCAGCCCGCTGCCACTTGAAGCCGATACATTGATGTTGTACAGATGTTAATTGAAGTGGACCCGCGGTAGCCGCGCTACCGATTCGGAAACAATCAATCATGTATAACTGCAGAATAAAAAACAGCTCAGCATAATGTAGGAGATTAACTGGTTTCGCTGGAATATTTTAGCAACTGCTTTCTGACTACTAATTTCTTTATGACTTCTATAGGCTATCGCCGATAAAACTTGCGTATTTCGACTTTTGGAATGGCAATGCAAAAGGTCGTCATCCTTACTTTATACTAAGCTAACTGTAAAGTTAGTTGTAAGCAAATTGTATGGCAATAAACGTAAACCACATGACGTGCTATTTACACATGACGACATACAACCCTTATAATTTTAGAAAGAAAAGCAGAAGAATGTCATGGATTAACGTAATGAGAATTTAAATGATTTTGTTGTACGATGCTCGACTTATGCTAGGCCCATACTGCATCAACATCTGCACTTCGTATGCTTACAATTAGTACCGACAATGTCAAAAAAATTTACACAGATACGTATACTGTATACAAATGTGCACGTTGTCCTTCGACATTTGCGGCAAATTTGTGCTACAGAAAATATTACTAATTCGGCTGTTTACCGAATAAAATTGTTATGTGCAGTCGTAACTCGCACTACCGCATAACGATATGTTCGTAGTACAATCTGGACCTTTTGCGCAAGATGCCGGCCGTCTTTCATTTATCCCATGCAAATGCCGTCATCTGTGCGCGTTTTTGCCATTATTGCACAATCAAAGGCCAGCGCAGTCTAAGTGCAAAAATCAGCACATTTACACCAACACAATAGCTGTGCGGATTGCTGATTGAAAGAGTAGTTTTTATTAAGAGTTAAATCGAATTTTACCAGAGTGAAGCAGCATGTTCATGCAGCGATGAGGCGAAGATTAAATTGCTGAATGGCCAAGTTCTTGACCAAGTCCCTAATCTCATTAGACGGCCACTTGCAGACTGTGGATGGCTCGAAATTTCCTAATAATTCTTCTATAATGCGAAGCAAAGCGTGTTGATTCAACGGAACCGAAATTCAATCAGTTCTATACTCCTGCACTGGGTTCGGAGCCCTCTTCAACACCACATGTCTGATCAAAGTTTTACGATTCTGCTGCTTTCAGCCAGCGTTTTCCGTCTTCTCTCCGCAGTGCACAAATACAGCCGGGGCATAGCGAGATTAAACGGTTTATTGCCGTTTTACATCATATTAGCTAAGGGTTATGGGCGCATTATATAGCTGAAAAATCTATAAACCTAATCCAATATTGCTGAATTAATCATGCCAAATAGCCGCGATTATCAGCCGTAAAGTTTGGAGATTATAAAGGTCAACATCCAGTGCCTCCCAATAATCGTTCAAGGCTGCCAGCAAATCAAAACCCACGATGCCACAACCGTGATGCATGGAGGCAACCGGCTCATCATCCGATGTCGGTGGCTTATTAAAAAAGAATTAGGTAGCTTCCATTTCTTGGTCGATAAATATTAGCGATCAGTGCGCACCTATACAAATTGCAACTTCTGATAGGTGGACCATTACGTGTTACATTTTCTACAGTTCTTGACGAAATAATACTGCAGAAATTGGAAGTTCTGACCGCTATTATTAAAGTAAAACCTGTCTCCGAAAAAAATTGCTTTTTTCACTCTTGCAACGACTAGATTTCAAGTTACCCTTTAAACAAAAGATAACACTGCTGATACCATCCATATTGGCATACGTATTAATTTCACAACAACTTAATAAGTAATCAGGGCCCGCATCACACTGGTTTTCGTATCCATAATATTATTTGTCGCAGATATCAGAAAAATTTCTTAAAACAATTTTGTGGAAAGTTACAATCTGCTAACCATACTACCGCAGTACATCGTAAATGATGAAGTTAATTGTCGAAAACAGTACGATTAAAGCAATTATAAAGAAAGGGAAAGAATGATAACTGTAGCAGTTTACCAAAGCATCGCGCACACATTGGTGCGCTTTGTATTGCTGGAATACAGTAATGTTTTATTTGCCTGTTTATACGCATTAGCATACGACCTTAGATTAATGAAGGATTTTAAATGAATCGCCATGGCATTCAAGGTAACAGGCGGTTGACCAATACTCGGCGTCAAGCCCCGAAAAGCGATGAGGCAATAAAATTACAGCGCCGTATATTGACATTCGCCCGGTTGATAAGAAAAAGTAATAGTTATTTGAATTACTTGCGTTCGGATGATAAGAAGCCAAGGAAACCAAATAGCTGCGGTTAGCTTTGTTCACCGTGATTGTTCTGATATTATGAGTCACACAGAGCAGCAGCGTCGCTTGGGTAAATGAATAGGCTACCCTCTGACAAACTGCAGCCATTTAGAATCGTCTAGTATCAACACACCGCTTTGTGCTTTTGACAGCGGTCGCAATTTTGCTGTCCACTTGACTTTGCCAGCTCTTTTGTGGCCACCGATAAGCCCACAGTATCCAGCTAATTAGTGATAACAAAAGGGAACAATTACAATAAAACGGTTGTTAATTTGCACTAAATTGGTGTTACGCTGACTGGTTGAATATTAACTCCTAACGAGCGATGTCGTTAAATTTGTGGCTACTGAGGGTAATTACGACGTAGATACTGTATAGACTAGTTGGTATAAAAATTTATGTATTTACTGGTTGAATAGCTTGACACCAACGCCTTGTTATTGGCAACAGTGGCTTTCTGGATTCAGTTGTTTTTTTAAATTAATATAACACTGATTCCAGAGATCCCAGCGCTGGCTGTGTCATGCAGAAACAAGAAAACGATCTAAAGTAAGTAATGCTTTCTACTCTGCTATTCCGGAATAAGTATTTACTAAGACTGTGATAATGTACTTATTAAGGTAATATCGAACTAACTGGTAAGGTAAGCAAAATTTAGATCTACTGGACTGAAATTTGCATTTACAAGTTATCGAGCGGGCGAGCGAAGCGAGCCCGCGTTTTTTTCAATATAAGCACTTTGAGGTTTTAATTAGTTATTACATATACTGAATTTATTCACAAAAAAGATTTGCAGAATGATACACGCTCGAACAGTTTGTTTACCATAATTTTTTGTTTTAAATACGAAGTTTATTGCAAAACCGTGACAATACTACTGTCAAAGCTTTTCTAAAACATTATTTTCCTTAACAAAATTAACAATAATTACAGGGAAATTGGAATCCGGCATGTTGATGTTTTAACACTAAAATCAATGTTACCTGGCCAACAGTCCGCTAAGCGCGGATAATACATGCCGGCGGCCGCCTGTTGGGCTCTGGCTAGCCACTCCAGTTGATTAGGATTGCCGGGCATACTCGGTGTGTAGAACGCACTTCCCGCCAGCATCTGCAGGGCCGCTGCCGAAGAGGGATGGCACACATAGGGCGACAGGAGCCGTGAAGGATGTGCACCAGGACTAGCCGGTCCATAGAAGGATCCAGTGGGACCAGTGGAAATGCTGACCGCCCCGGATGCCAGACTGCCGGGAAACCGCGCTGTGAAAGCGTGCACGGAATTGTTTGGCCCCGGTTCGGGTTTGGGAGAAAGCGATGGGCTCGACTGGCGGGAGAAAGGTCGCTTTTCGGGTTTATGCTCCATGGAAAGCGGTTTAACAAAAAGATCATCCTTAAAAACAGGTGGATTGTTTAGCAGGGCATCTATACGAAAAGAAGGCTTTTTTCCACTGGCATCCGCCATTGTACTGGATTTCGTCACGTCTTCAGGCGATGACTGTAGTTTGTTACACGACACAAGTGCTTCATTTGGAGGAAACCAAGTCACTCTTTATACGGTCGTAGACCGAGCACTTTATTCGTTTTTAATGAGAATATTTTCAGACAAGTAGTAACCGTTTACTGATTGAATATATCGAGCGATGTACAATTGTACAGTCGCCGTCCTCTGCCGGCACAGTTCAGACTGCGCCTCTGCTAAAAGCCACTATTTAAACCCATTCTAACTGGTTGTTCGAGAAATACGACTACGTGATTGGTTACGCGGCTGTGCCGCTGTGCAACTAGACAAACAAAAGAACTAATTCACTCGATAATGTTTTAAATAGGCTTAAATGGCACATACGCATATTTGTGGTGCATGCGGATGAATGCAGCGCGGCCAAGGACACAAGGCAGTTTCAAACCGCTTATCAAGTGCCGGATAAAGCAGGACATTTCTTCTGCTATTACTACCGTTCGCTCTACAAGTGCTGATCGATTAAGTGGATACGTTTTGGAAATATAATATATTATATTCTATATATACATATATATAGAATATAATATATTCTACAATAAATATAATATAATATGTTCTATATACATATAGAAGATATAATATATTCTATATATATATATGGAATATATAAATATTATATTTTAATAAATAAAATATGATATAGTCTAAGACACGACGATTTTTGTACTTACTTTGCTTATTGAAGGCTGCTACATTGCTACAAATTTATAATCTACTGATAATTTGTGGAATTTGCAGATATTAACACATTTGGTGTAGTTTTTTTTCCGAAAATTTGGAGAACAAAATCGTTGCACATAATGAAGGACTGATCGTTCTACACGATGCATTATTGTTTCCAGGATTCTGATGTTATGTTGAGATGCTATTCCTTGACTGCCTTGACTGAAATTCGGCTTGCTGTTTAGGAAATAGCAGATCTACAGTTTAATTTTTTATGAGGTACTTGTTCTTTTTCGGTGGGTCGCGTTTGTTTGCAATCATAACTGCATATTCATATACCAGGTTGCGGAAAAAGCAAAACAAAACTTTGAATTTTTCAGCTTTACTAGACGTGAAGTAGCCTTACTGAGACTTACTCGTATAACGAAGTTTGTACTCGTAATAAAAACCGCTACGAGTCTACGATACGAATGCAAAGCACACTGAATTCAAATAAAACGCGCGAAACTGTTTAGGTCTGTACAATACACTGCTACGTTAATATTGCACGTACAACTGCACGATACTGGCACATTGTTATGGAGATCTTTCGGCACGAATCTGGATAATATCAACTTTACAAACCATTCATGATGAATGATTCATCAATATTAATTTGATGAATGATGATTGATTTTCAAGCTAATTACTATCGTCTTCTTACTCTTACTCTTCTAAATAAACTTGTGTGTGACGGTCCGGTGGACTCAGATAGTTAGTGCAATAAGTGATTGCGCATCGTATCACGGAGTATTAATAAGTGTGACCTTTGTAATGGCACTACTGTTGTCGTATTTGGTGCATTGTAATAAATTTGAGCACTTAAGATGGGCCTTGGCGTAGTTTCATGGGCTGCGTGCAGTCAAATAAGTGTGCGGCCTTAATCGAACATCATGGTTTCTTTAGCTGCACTAAATTGTTCCTGTTTGGTTGTGCACGATTGAGTTAATTCGTCAGCGGCATTACGGGCATCGATTGCATAACGAGTTTGCGATGCAATTTAATCAGTCGTTTGACGACGGACATTAAAGAAATTAAAGAAAATTTCACAAGTCATTACCCTTTGATCAATAGAAGGCCCCGAATGATATCCATACTTGCTACTGGATATTTGCATGCACAACAGATATTCACACAGAACTAAATTTCTTCCACAACCAAGGAATCAATTGACCGATGTATTGCTCGCGCATTGTCCAACTATTCAGTATACTTTCACAGTATTCAATCAAGAAAATGACTCAATAAACTCAGCATTTGTTCGATATTTCCTATTTGGAATGCATTAATTTCCATGATCTTCTCTTACTCTAACCGAATGCATACCATAATCCGCTTGCAAATCTCGCCATTTCCCAGATGACCGCGCCATGCATCCAGCAACAACGAACGCCGTTGACTATACATATCGTACATTTCCGGTGCTTCGATGCTTAACTTACTCGTAAAATGCGTGTCCACGTGCACAAACAAGTAACGGGGAATTTTGCTTACACAGAATTTAGACCGGTATGCTGATACCAGGTTTCGTTAAGTTGAGAGATTTAAATAATAGTATTTGTATTAATATATTACAACTACAACGATTTTTAAAATGGCTATAATTATAATATGTGTTTCAAAGCACATCACGTATTTTTCGGTGTATAGAAATTAATGGATTTCGGATTTGCGCGCATGAATTACGTACGTATGCACTACTAAACAGTGTTAAGGTACATACTACATATAAATATAATATACTGAGATCCGCATTGTAAATCACAGAACTATGGCTCAAAAGCATAATGTTATTATTACAAGTATCGGTCGATCGTGATAGCGTGCGACTAGTTGCGTTAATTTAGGGTATGGAATTATTGAGAAATTAGGGTTGTACAGATATATAAACGTCTTGAAATTTTAATTCTTGCAGTATTTGTACCGCATATACTATGCCGCAAGTAGAACAACAATACACAGTGTAGGCAAGGTATATCGTATAGTCTACGGTATATGCCTTGGTGGAGGTGGGTATTGTACGTAGTATACAACTTTGTGATTTTTTTGCCAGAATCAATTCGACAGTATGTCATTAGCCATTCATTGCTTCTTAGGATCATTTTTTTAACATACCATGGTGTAAATACTAAATACTACTAATTATTCTTATTTAATGGTATATTTGCATGCGAATGGATCGCGAAATAAAACAGGTTAAAGTGATTCATATATTCCTTTTAGGAAAAAGCACCAACAGATGGCAGTTCGTGCATGGAAGTTAACCACGATTGGGCTCATGATCATGCCCATGGATTTCAAGGATTTGCTGTTTACCCTACAGCAACGATACCAATTATCGCGTGACTGAACATTTAATCAGCAGTATTAAGTAGGCGAAAGCAGTATTTAACACTTTACGGATTATGAGCAAAAAGATCCCCGAACCGGATACGCAGAGTATAGCAGTTTGCACATTATCCACATCAATATACTGCAAATACAGCAATGATCATCGTCCGCTCTTCCGATGGCTAAGTGCTGCCTTTCCAATCATTAATATTCCCCGTGGCTAGTGGGATGGCGGTATGGCTCGCTAATTTCAATCAAATGAAAGTGGTATTAGTGTTTTACTCATGTTGACAATAAAAATTACACGCCAGGTAACTCAATCACTGCGCTCTATGGAATCCAACTGTCCGGATAGAATCGGCATAGCACCTATATTGTAGTACTTACGTATACAGCTCGATCACATCATTTTCCAAGTGCTCATAAAGTGAAACTTATTAGAAGAAATGGAATTTCCACTAGCGGCTACTTGTACACAATACACATGTTTGGGGTTTGATTCTGTCATTGATTCTGCCTTTGATTGCACGAGATAGACGATAGACTCTGATTACGTACAGTATACCAACTTGTGAAATAAAAATTAATCTGCACTCAAGGTAGCTGCCAAGAATTAATCGTAAATGAGTACATTTACTCGATTTAAATTAATGGAGCTGGAAATTCTGTAATGCATCCTGCGGACTAGTGTTAAGCGTGAAGATTAATTAAAGGTCACCTATCTGCAAATTGCTCTATCTGTAAATATAAAGTTTAAGTTGTATAACTTGTATTGTACTTATTGTAATGATGTAAGTAATCAGCTGCTTGACGGCTAGTCTGTATTGTTATACGCTCAATTAATTTTACGAGCATGTCTTCAGTTTTTTACGCAATAACCGAAAATTCTAGTTTTGCATTTTCTTTTGCAAATTTGCGACTTTTTGTAAGGGTCAGGACTCATTGTCAGGGCATAAAACAAACTTATATGGTAACACACACTGCACTGGTTGTGTGTTATTGCACTGTGGGATCTGTAGAACCATTTAATTTGCCTTTTTGACAAATGGCAATAACAATAGCTTTTCCCTATCCGTTCTTTACCAGATTAATTAAGTCTACATATTATTCTTCAACTTGTAATCTAGCCGAAAAGAAGCCTCCAGATAATATTTATTGACATTAGTTATCGTATTCGCACGAATACAAAAACCCTACCGCACATTCGTGTCGATGGTCACTTGTGACGGATTAACCAAGACGAATAATTAAAGAACCGGCACCGGTCCCTGTACTGTCTAGGTAACACCGTGGCGGATTTTAATTAACATAAGAAAAACAATCGGGCGCAGTTAATCACACTAACGAAGCCCTTCTGTTTCGGTGTTTGACATAGTATTTTAACGGATAATAGATGTTTGTTTGAGGATGGATAAATGACCGCGTTTGCTCCTCCTCAGGTCTTTAATGGGATTTGTTAGGCTTAGCACTTGACACATACGGTTAGTTAGCTTTGTAGTTTATACCGAAGAACCGCCACAGCCAAACCTCTCGACATCACATACAAATATAACTGAACATTAGAGAAAAACAACAATCTGCAAGAACCGAAACTGCAAGCGTTCAATAATTGTGAAAACCGATGAAGTGCAAGTGCGAGTACTCAGTGCACCACTGCACATAATTTTAAATAAAATTTAATTCTTTACGTTAAAGACTACCCAGCCTTAATTGCGATCACACTAGCTGACTACTCTTATGTCTCTATAATGTGAAGTTGAAATTTTCAATTTTTGCAACCAACGGTGTTTAAGCAGATTTCGGACTTTCATTGCTAAAACAACCTTTTATTGAGCAAATTCCAATGAAATATCTTGACTATAACGTAAACTCAATCGTACTGTTTTCAAAAAATCTAACAAAAACTATCCATCACTATCATTTGGTATAAGTCAGTGAGGAGCAGCTGCAATAACCAAAAACACCAAACTGTGCGGAACAGGAAAATATCGAAAAATTTGTAAGGATCAGATCAAATCGCATAGGATTGCAGTTTCGAGTAAAAATTCAGGAACACTTAGCCCAAGGAAGAATGTAATCTAAGTAAAATCCTCTATCAGTTCGGCTTAGGCTGGTATGGTTTACATTCCACCTGCAAGGGAACTCATCAAATCGGATACACTGAAATTAGCAAACTGAAAGGACTGACCATTTTTTCCCCAATTTTAATCTTCTTTAAGTTCAGCAGTTTATCTACATCAGCTTCGTTAGCCAGTTCCATCCAAGCGTATCCTCCTTTGAGTGCCAAATCACGAACCTCGAAAAAACAACAAAGTAATTAATTCTTACCGCGGTATACACTACTGCTTACATGAACGGCAAAAAGCGACTAATATTGGATAGGGATAGGACTCGTTCAAATTGACAGATCACATAAAAAACCATGTCTTATAAACATAACCGTAACACATAAATCGATTAACAGCAGACCTAGGCAAATGCACTGCGAAATCGGCTACAAAATGCTGAAGCAGCCCCTTTCCTTACTTTAAATTTCTGTTCAACCGCTGCTTTAACTTCTTCTTGTGTCATAAACGTTGGGATGCCTCCAAGAAATATCTGAAAATGCTTCCTACGACCATCCTCGTTCTGAAAAAGCCAAACAATAAAGATAAAATTCGAAACCAAGTACCAAGTTAACAAGTAAGCCAACAACGGTGAATCAAACCATCTGTAGGATAACATAAATAATAGATTCTTAAGTATGTTTCAAAATTTTTTCACTGGTACGTTTCTAGATGCATATGCATTAGTAAATGTAAGCGTACCAAACAAGTACTTTCCCAAACTTTCTGCGCGGTACTATAAACTTTAAATCAAAGTTACAAAATCTGTGATGTACTCAGCACAATGCAACGTACTTGTACTTCAAACTCCTTAACAATAAGTTGGTGTTCACCAATAAAATGCAGACCATGCTTGAAAACCGATCGAACGGCACTTTCTTCACTGAAGTCCACGTAGCCAGAACCAGTGGGTGTTCCATCCCGATTACGAAAAATGTACACGTCCACCACCGTTCCAAAAGCTTTAAAATATTTTCCCAGCAACTGCGAATCGGCCAGCTCCCGGGGAAGTCGCATCAAGAAAACTTTCCTGCAATACATAGAAGACTGCAGGAATTTCACAACGCCACAAAGTCCCTTCACAGCTAACCCGGTAATACCAAAACACATAACAAGCTTCACACAGACAAAACGCTGACAACAAAGATCTATCAGATGAAACGAAAATTTAGAAATGCCTACTTCAAACAGATTCCAAAGCGTCTATATTTACTTTTTATCAACCGGTTCCCCGGAAGATACATTTGCAGCTTCCTTAACATGCACAACCTCCGGGATGACCTCCTTCGGCTTGGCCTCCACCACCTTCTCCACGTGATTCCCCGTTTTAACCTCTTTACTCTTGTGTTTCCGCGTCACCGTCGACCACTCGCCATCCTCTTCCTTACCCGCTGGCGCCTTGCTGATCTGCGCAAATGTCAACGGTTTAACCGAGGCTGGCGACGGCTTCTTGGCCGGTGAGCCCTTCTTCCCCACCGCTCCCCCGTTGATCTCCTTGCTGACCGTGGCCGCCGGGAAGATTGTCGGGACACTAGCTGGTTTCGGGAATCCGATGGGTTTAATGTTAGCAGCGCTGTACATCGCCGGAGTTTCCTTAGGCAAAGTAGATTTATTAAAGAACAAACTGGAATCAAAGCCGTTCTCCACGGGCATGGTACCGCCCAGTAAACGAGAGCCCACGGGGAATACATTGTCCACGAGATTTGTAGGTCGGGAGAATAAACTTGGCGTCTCGGAAAACACCTTTTCCGCACGCGATGGCGGATTGGAGTACAGTTTGGGAACGGTGGGAAAACCGCTTTCCGAACTAGTTATAGCAGGACTAACGAAAAACTTTGCAGCATCACAGCTGCCAGTCGGACTAGGACTACTCGTCGAAGCCTGTTCTTTTCTGAAAAGGCACAAGTCACAAACCATTAGAAAGTCTAAAAAGCATGAAGTAATGCAGAAACGGTTACTGCCTACTGGCTACGAAAATCAGAAAAAAAATTACAGAAAAACAAAAACATCAGGATTAATTCCCAGAAAAAATTCCGTAATCTCCCATACAACACTGGAAAGTAGACTTCGATGTAGAAACAAAAAGAATAGTAGAGACGCTTTGGAGTTCGTCAGCGACCCCGAAGTAAGAATATGAGATTGGTTGAAAGGTTCTAGATTAGACCCAAGCGTTAGGTGGGTTAAAGCTGGAGTGAACCGACGCTGCGAAGATATTACTTAATTTTGTGAATTTCCTAACGTATCCGTTTAAAAATAACTGCAGCAAACAAGAGCCAGTTGACTAGGAAAAAAACGCGACAAATCGTTGCCTAGTCGTACCGTAATTTTTCCAAGTGCTCTTCCAGCAGCATACGAACTTTGGTAATTGAATCTACTTTTTGCAACTACAAAGAAGCAGGTGAATTTGTCTGAGATACATATCCACTTTTCGCAAAATGTTCTGACCTACCACTTACCAGATTACGCCACAGAAACTCCATTAAAGATTTCTCATTGCGGAAAACCGCCTTCTCGCACATCCACTGCACTTTATAGATCCACTGGGTAAAATCGTGGTCTAAACCTTTCAACTGCTCTAGACTGCTGTTGCGGAAATCCTCCATAGCGGAACTGCTGATAACAACCCGGAAATCAGGGAGAATAATAATAAAGGCTCAGGCTCTGGCAGGTTTGTTTACAAAAGTTTTATTGTCGACTGCGTCTAGGACTACTGGCAGTACTGTATTAATGACGCTTTTTTGAACTTTAACGTGGAAACAGAGTGGATGGAGTAAGTACTGCACATAAAGCCAGATCGAAATTTTGGCACGCAAATGCGCAAAAAGAAGAGAAAATCATGTAACGAGGCGAGGCCGATGTAGCGAAATCACGATTACCGTACCCGAGGGGCCATCCATGCGACAGCGCATGTTTCGATTCTACGGCGCGCTAGTGGTCTTAACAAGCAAAAAATACAGTAAACGTTCTAGTCGCCACCGACACTTTTCGTGTACGTGCACGCTTAGAAATTTAAGAAATTTTATTATCCGGAGTTTCCTCTGTTCCTTTTTCTTTCTGCGCAGACTGTTTTCTTAAAAAATAACTCACAATTTTATTTCGGAGTGGAATGTGATGTGTGGGAGTAATTTCTTGATGTATTTTTTAGTCGTTTAATTATTTTATATAGTTTTATTAACGAGTAAATTAGGAAGAATCCGTATTGCCTGGATCATCTGCTCTGTAGATCCAGACGCAGTGGCACAGGCAGAGCGACGAAAGTCCAACCGGATAAAGTAAGAAGTAAGTTACTAACGTTTAAGTACATTACCGAAATTCACAGAATTTCTCTGTTCGGAAAATGCATCGATGATTTCATCTTCAGACATGAGACGATGACGACAATAAATGGCGCTTACAACGAAGTGGATTCTGTAATTTAGTGCATTCGCTGATTTGCTGCTTGCATCTTACTGAATTGTCGTGACAAAACGACTCCCACGCTACAACCTGCAAAATTATGGCTGAAACCAAAAACAGCGAGAAATCTTTCTTTGAGGCCTCGGACGAAAAATTTAGGGTATGGACGGAAGAAGTCGAGCGGATTTCCATGTCGGCCGTGTTCAAGAAGCAGCGGGATACCATGCAGCAGATTTATGATCACTTGGTGGGTTCGCGTTTTGAATCATTAATTTACAATCGGTTCAAGAAGCAAGGCTTTTTAATTACTTTTAAGACTAAATTTTGTGATAGCTGTTGCCATGTCAGACGTTTTTGGTTTACTGAATTAGTTCTAAAGAGCGTCATTCTTACATGGTAAATAAACTTCATTTTTTGAGGATCGCACGAAAACTGGCGATCCTGATTTCATAAATTTGTTATGGTTTTTCAATGGTTTGTTATGATCTGTTTACCATATACAGCATGAAGTCCAAGAAAGCTGTTTTGTATGTGTAAATTTTTCTCTGAACTTTAGGAACTGAAGGAGAAAGTTTTGAAAGGGTTAATGGACGACCTGGCCAGTCATCTTGGACGACAGAAGTAAGTTGGTTTGTGTGTAGTAAGGAAAGAACCGAAAGAAAAAATTGACGGTAGGTTTGAGATTTTACAAGAATAACCGCCTTTGTACAGGTCGTCGCCTGTTACTTCGTTGTATAATAATGATATTCTTCTAACTTACTAACGCAACGTTTTCCCATATTATTCTATTTCTTGGAGCCTCGACTTGTTAATCTGATAAATTACGCGTTGCTTTCTTGATCCTGACCGCTTTCTGTACAGCACCAACGGCGTCTCACACGCATCGACGTCTTCGATATCTCCACCGACTGTGACCAAGCAGGCTCACCCTGCCGCCCCGGGACGCATGGCTGCCAATTTCCCCCTGATGAGCGACGTGTCGGTGCCGGTCAGTCTTCCCGCTGCGCCCGTCATGCCGCCGGCTGTTCAGCCGTTGCCCTTTCCCGGATTCGCCCGCACCAACGGAATCACGCCGGTGGCATGGCCCAGTAAGGCCGCTTTGCCAAACAACTGGCGCGACACCAAAGCGGATCCCGGACCCATCGGACCGCCGTCGCAGGCCGTCAAAGGGGCGCAGTCGTGGCAGTTAGGAGAAGATTGGTCGTCGGTGGACTCAGACGGCTCTGGAGAGACTGTGCCGAAGTAAGTTAATGTTCGCTTTTCGCTGCTTTTGTTCATTCCACGCATACGAGTGTTAAAAGTAAGCAAATTCAGGGATTTGGAATCACTTAATGCGGCATCGCACAGCGAAGCACATAAAAGAAATCGCAATTATCGCATGCATTCATAGGGACTTCTCTAAGAGTAGTGTTGCCAGATGATTTAGTTGCGAAATCAAATCGTACCTAAATCATAATCCGTACGAAGTCCTTATTATGAAAACTGTTCGAGCAACATCGGACATCCGGTTGGGGAGTTTGAGCTTAAGGGAAATATAATTCAAAAATGCACTAGCCGTTGTTCCATAAATCCTGTTTTATGGGACCAATCATCCTTATCGTTAAATGGTAGCAGATACCACCCGGTGGTACACTTGGTACGTTTGTGCACTTGGTAGCGAACACCACCGGTGACCGCTCATATAGGTGTTCGTCTGTAATGACCTACCGACGGACACAGACATCAGATCTCATAACGCTGAACATCAATTTAAATCGTGGCATTCGTTGTGCTTGGATCGGCATTTTTTCACATGACGACCGGATGACCGCTGTTTCAGATCGCACCTTTCTTGTGACGATATGAAGATGGAGATTTTGCCGAATTTATATTTTACGGTTGTAATAATTCAAGCATTTTTCACGTTAAATTCAAAATGCTGGGATAATTATACGCTTTACATAACAAAAGATAATCTTCTCCCAGATAATTATTGGTGTGTGTCGTTTTAGAAAAATTTTTGTTGCCAATCTGGCTCGCGACTCTGATGCCAGAACCATCGCAAGCTACTTTAAACAATTCGGTCCAGTGGCGGATGTTAAGATCTTTCGTTTCCAAAACGGAGAGTCCCGAGGATTCGGAGCGGTTGAGTTTACTGATGCAACCAGCGCGGAGAAAGCCATCGATATGTCCAAACATATAATTGATCGACGTGAAGTGGTTGCTTTGCCGTTTAAAGTGAGGTCCCTTGGTTTTGGAAGTGAGTTACTGAATTTATTATTCATTTCTGATTACAGGATCCAGGTAAAAATAAATCGGAAAAGCCGGTAAAAAGGTATCAGGTGTTTTTGGGTGGGGTTCCGACGTTTTTGTCGAAACCCGAAGTGGAAGCAGCAGTGAAGAAATATTACAAGGTATGTGTTTTAGCCAAAGTGGCAAATAATAAAGAAGACGGGTAAATTTTCCCAGTGTACGGATTTATTTTACTTAAGTCATGACTATAGGTGCATAACTGGCTTCTGTTTTTTGTGAAATTTTGCAGGTTTTGTGAATTTTCTTTGTGAGTGTCTTGATTTAGGTACGAGAATTGAAGCTAAATTCTGAACGAGGTTACGCCTACCTTGATTTGGTAAACGAAGACGACGTGGATCGGATTTTAAAAGCTGGCTATATTAAAATTGGCGAAAAAATGGTGAATACCGTAGTGGTGATTTGGTGATTTCAATAAAGCAGTATTTCGACTCGCAACCCAAGATTTGCGTTTACTGGTTTGATATTGAGATGTGAACCGTTTATATTCCTTCTTTCAGGTGGAATGCAAGCCGAACAAGCGCAACTGAAAAAATAGATAATCGAAGACATTAGATGATTTAGATACCGGAACGGATAAAAAAGGAAACCCGAAAGAATGTCATCCATGCAGCTTTCAGAATTGTTTTAAATAAGCACTGGTTTTTGTAAGTTGTTAAAAGAACAAAAGAATTTGAGTTTAAAATGTTAATTAAATTGTTAGTAAGTAAATTTTTCTCTGAGGTTGATGATGGTTTTTTTAACTGTTAAGTTTGATACCCTAGAAAAGCCATACTCGTTCTTACAGCGTACTCGTGTATTTAATTTTTTCTGGTGTCCGGCTTCTTTCCCGTTTTTTCGAAAATCTGTGGTGAGATTTATATGGTTCGACAAAGTTTGCTAAATTTAATTATTAGTTTTCTATGGATGGTTGTCTGTCGTTTTGCTGATTAGCCTGTATCTGTGCTTTGGTGGATAATCGAGAATAAAAAACTATGCTGCAAGCTAACAACAAGCACTACTTAAGCGCTTTTGGATTTTTTCGATATTTTGATTTGGTTCTTATTACAATTGCCGCTGCCATGCCTTGATTTGGAGCAGGTAAGATCGATTCCATCTGCGCCGGAAGCTTACACGTTTTTCAGTATCAACAGGGCACGAAGAAAGGCGGTTGCCCGGAAGCCTGTTGTTGCGTATGCGATGACAGAGGCATAATGAAATTTTTCTGCGGAATGCTGTTGATTGCGTTTTCTTAAATATGCTTAATCATGTGACCGAAATTGCTAACCTTTCTCTGCGCGGATGACAACAGTGAGCATATGCGCTTGTGTTGAAGCACCATGACCGCGGCTGTACTCGTTGCAATCACGTATTTGTATACAAATGAAGCCAAAATCTGGTGCCCTATGAATCGTAACCGGTTGGTGCGATCTCGTTTCTCAAAGTAAGCAATAATAACTAGAGCTCTCTCGCTTGCTGTTTGCTGTACGGACTGCGCTTATTTGCTTCACATTTCAGGCCGCATTCATTCACACATGCACAACCACCGCTACTGTCTATAATACGCCGCCGCCAGCCCGTGGATCGAAAATTTCGTACTAACCAGTAGAAGGTCACCTTACTGGTCCTTACAGCGATGTAGGGTGTGACCTTATGGCAAGCTGAGACTGCGGTGGCTGTGTGTGCACTGGCAAGTTCACGGCGGCTTGAACAGTCTATAAACGGCATGATAAGCGCATACAGTACAGGAATCCAGCTGGTATCCACCATGAAAATGCGCGTTCATATTATATGATCATGAGCAGAAATATTATTGCCCTGGGAAAAAAAGGGTATCCCGTGTTAAATTGGCGAAGGTCAGATGTTATGGTGTGGTAATCATATACGCCGAATGTGGCAGTTAATTGTGAAAAACGCTGTTATTAGACTCACTCTGTTTAAGTTCACACGGGAACAACAAAAATAAAAGCTTTTCGTCCCAATGAAAACGAAGCGGAAGTTTCCTCTCCCGATTAGTAAATTCGTTTAAAAAATGGATTTCGCTAATTTTACTACGTTATTACACTTATGTCACATTATTACATACTATTATTTTACAGTTACACTCGGACTTACCAGTTAGTCTCAGACTCTGCTACTCAGAGTACGAGTAAATTCGTAACTATTGTTGATTGCCGCATATTTATTGGTATTTCTGTATCTATTTGAGTATGTGACTTATGATGTTTTAAAAATACATCGGTTTCATTGAATTTTTGAATCGTAAAACGATTATAATTACCTGAAGATAGTAAATGAGTATTAAAAGCAACACTCGTAGCACCTTGCTCGTAGTATGAATAAATTGTCCGGCCCATTACTCGCATGACTCAATTATGGTGTGAATTATGTAGTTATAGTATTAGTAGAATTATGTAGTTATAGTTATAGTTATTATATATATACCTTCAGCGGCTTTAAGCGGCAAATAAATCCTTCCAGTTAGCATTATAATTGTTTATCATCTGGTCGAACTTTTCTCAGTAGAGGCTGTTGAGAGTTCTTCTATGCAGGCAAAATCCGTCATGCGGAAAAAAGTTAAAGTGGAATGTTTGAAATTCTTTAAGAATTGTAAAATTATACTTCCAGGTTATGCTAAGTAATTACTCCTAAAATAAGATTTCATTTTACTCCTCGATTTCCCCCTCAAGATTTTAGTCCTAAAATTTCACCTGCCCGTTTCAAAAGATTTCCTGCCGTTTCCTGGATCATTAAGCGTAACACTGATTTTACTACTGTAGAATAATAGTTGTTAAAACGGGAGGCAGCAATGGGCAAGGACAAGCAAGTTACCGGATTGTTGAATTATTGCGTCAGTACCCAAATACCCTGTACGGGGTGTGGGTTGGACTTAAATTAGCAGCATGACCTCTCTAGCACGAAGTTGAACACCAGATCGAGGCTGCAGAATGCCGAGCACGCTGCCATATTGCTGATAATTTGCAGTACATCCGGGTCTTGATAATACTATCGTCGGAGGGTCCTTCGAGGAGGAACTGTCGCTGGAGACAGGAAGCGCGATTTTGTTTTCTTATTCAGGTAAGACCACTGTGTAACCTTTACAACGAGTACCGATATTCCCTGTAATCAATGCTTGGGTTCCGAATGGTTGCCGTTGCTGTCGAGTGGAAAATCAGGGCTGCCTGCTTTTTATTGACATTTCGATGTATGTTGGCTCGGTTATGACAAATACTCCCGTTTATCCCTAATCAGTCAAGCAAACCCATAGTTTAGTTGTTGGATTTTGAAATTTTACATACGCCGAATAGCGTGAAAGGTGAGAAAGTAGAATACTCGATCGGTAATTACGGATATCTTTATTATTGACAGAATGATCAGTTTTATGAGTGCAACAACACAGGCAACAGTCAGTGAACCACCCCCACTCGGCGATTGTCAAGTCGATTCCAGGGCGGTTGCCTGTGCGTTTGCTGCATACCACTACAGTATTGCGGGCTGTGCTGGGGTGTCTCTGCTGTTATAAAAATTGTGACTTGCTTGCATTGCAGTACGAAATGGAAAACAAAATTAAATCATTAGTCATTATTCCAAATTAAAGTTGTACTATTCTTTTCATACAGATTTCTTCCTCCTCTTCATCGACACGATATCATTTCCATTCTACAGAATTTCCTGTTCATTCACGTTGATAACGCTTGACAGACTTATCAGAGGAGGACGCTGTGAATGCTGATCGTCATGCCAGCGCGACGCTCCGTGAAACGGGCACGCGGGAACGCTCTCATGTCGGGCGATTCCGATAACAATTCCTTCTCCCCCGAGATGGACGAGGAGCAGGAGGATTCACCGCACAACGCACCCAGCTCGGGCCGCATCAAGGAGCCGTGTAAGGTGTGCGGGGACGAAGTGTCGGGCTACCATTATGGAGTGCGGACCTGTGAAGGCTGTAAGGCGTTCTTCCGGAGAACGATCCAGAAGAACAAATCCTACTCTTGCCGTTTGGAGAAGAATTGCCCCGTGGAGCGCCTGGGCAAGGCACGCACACAACGCTGTTGTTATTGTCGCTTCCAGCAGTGCATCAACGCTGGCATGAAAGTCGACGGTACGTGACAGTTGCAGCGTCTCGGTTATGCGTAAAATCTGCTTAATAATTATCACTTTAATATCAGCATTACAGTTTCATTGTAATTTTTATATGGTATCGTATAATTTTTTATATGTTGTTTTGTTTTATATGGTATCTTTACAAATTACGAGCAATATTTCTGCAAATGAGATCAGATTTCCAGGAATAGATTGTTGCGCTTTTATTCCTTTCTAGTTAGACTGTTGAGTATTAAATGTTAATAGATCTTTGTAATAAAGTATTTAATTGTTGAATTTGCCATGATAATATTGAATTTTAAGTATTTGTGAACAGATTTTGCAGCTGATAGCCTAACAGATTTAGTCTATGACTTTTGAGAATTTCCAAAACAGTGAAAACACTCTCAATGATTATGAGTTAACTGCGGTGATACATTTGTATTTTAAAAGAAGCAGAAAAATAATTATCCATGCAGGGATGTTCATTGGCTTGAATTAAAGCCAGTGAATCGTAAGCTGTAGCTGATGCAACGTTAGCTGTTGCAGCTGTGCGTCAGGATCGCGCTCGTGGATGCCCATCGAGCAGCAGCGCCCATCCATCGTTCCGCTACACCGGTCAGTCGGAGAATCAGGATTCCGATGAGGAGCCCCCGGTGCGGCGCACGAAGCGGGCCAACAAGAAGAATCTGCCCAGCGCCGCCATTCCCCAGGAAACCATCGGCAATGCCAAACCCAATCGCAAGCGCACAGTGGCCAATAGCGTGGAATCGCCCACGACGTCCTCGGCCGGTGATCAGAACGATCAGGGTATGCGCTGGAAACGGGGTTATGTTTCGACTGCAATGTAATTCATATAGTGTGCTTGTTGCAGACAACGTTTCAAAGTTTGCAGCATTGATGCCACGTATTCCGCGCCTGGTAGCACAGATGAAGAGTACAGTCCAGCTGGAGGACGACTGGAAGGATCAGCTACTGGAAGTCCTGGAGGAGGAAACCAAGCGGAAACCCAACGCGGCGTCACTGGAAATCATTTGTAATGTGCTGGATAAGAAAGTGTACTCGTTCGTGGAGTGGGCGCGCGATTCCTCTTTCTTTGATTCCTTGGATGTAAGTGATGTTCTCTGCAAACGCTGCTTATAGATTCTCCAAGAACAAGGGTTGTTTACTAACAGTTGTTGTTGGCAGTATGAAGACCAGAAGAAACTGCTGCAGTTCGGCTGGAATTCCTACCTCATGTTCGACATCATCTATCACTTGTCACAAAATGTTATCAACGAGTTCCAACACCTGTCCGGAGGATCGACGATCAAAATGACGGAAATCGCGGCCCTGGGACATCCGGCCAACTGCGCGTCCATTCAGAGGATGGTGGAGTTAGTACGGGAATTGGCTATAAATCGCGCCGACTTTCTTAACATCAAGATGATTTTATTATTGAATCCATGTAAGTTTTTAGGATTGCGATGCACCAGAAAGGATATTAACAAATGAGTACTGTTTTCTAAAAAGATTAGTGACAGCCGATTAGTATTACTTTCTAAGCGTACCACAAACAGTGCATTTAACGAAATTCGAAACTATATACTTTCAAGAGACTGCTGAAGTAGTTAATTATTTTTTGATAGTTTGCTAGCAAAGGTAATACCTATACTGTTAAGTAAAAGTAAAATTATTATAAATCAGTAAAACATCGAATTAGTTTTGTTTTAGGTAACATGCTTATGTAGTTAGTAATTTATGTGTGCGATGTTATTCTGCTAGTGTAATCGTTTTCATAAAAGTTTTGGTAGAAAGTCTGTACGATAATTAAAATCTTCTCTTCTTTGAAGTTCGGTTTTAACCGTTTTTTAAGGCTGTCGCAAGGTGCTGCACTAAATCCTTTTTTGTGACCCATGATTTAGTCTGGTGCAGAGATGACTATTGATTATGAATTATTTTGCATCAGTTCATATATAATTAGATCACTGTTTCTTCAGTTGTTCCTGGGTTGGTGAAGCAGCGTCCCATCAAATGGGCATACGACCGGTGCCAAGAGGAGCTGAAGAACGATTCCATGAAAACGCAGGCGGGAATCACGGGTCGATTTGGTCGTTTCATGTCCCTGGTGACGGATATGCGGAAATTTGCCGACGAAGGCGAACACTACCTGTACACCAAGGCCCGCCAGGATGGCTATCTCGACGATACACTCCTGCTGGAGATGATCGAGATGAAGCGGGAATCTTGAGGCAGCGGCTAGAATACCGGGAGTCGACCGCGGTTTTCACCGTAGATCTGGGTTGTTGTACAATGGTTCGTGTGCGCGGACGTTTTTAAACTCTTATCACTTCTGGCAGGGTTGCGAAATTGCAGTACGTAAGTTAAGTATAATCCTGTGTGGCTACGGTTCAAGGGACAGGTGTTAACTTGATAGCATTGGTTCTTCCTAAGACGCATTATCCCCGAAGTTCTACGTTGTAGTTGGTCAAAAAGTTTTCTTTCCGCTTCTTCACAGTATAGATGTGATATGGGATCTGTCATTTGCCTCTGTTGCCGCTTTGTTTTCAGTTCATCCGTACAAACATAGTACTATTTGTTAGTTGCTTCAAGGGTTTCTTTGTTCTCTTGGCTTTTAGTTGTGTTAATTTGCTTTTATTGGGTGTTACTGCGTATGCGCAATAGCTGTTACAGGCTTTTTTATCCGATGACGATTTGTTATTTAATTGCACTGGCGGGTGCTGTTCTCTGTTCTTACCGTGTTAGCCTTTTAACAAGTCGATTATTGTCATAATTATTTGATTTTCTCTTTTACTTTCTGTTACCGTCCGAATGCATACCGTGGCTTTGTGTTATTCTATGCGATTTTAGCACAAAATTAATAAATTATGTAATGGTAAATATGTAGAGTGGGGGTTGTTTGGAGCACTGTACACTATACAGGATATATGCATCATAATATGCAGATGCACCTTAAGAATCGGAAGAAGTGTTGCCGGAAGTGCTTCGGACTTTAATCGTAAGTTCGTAACCGTTCCCGACTGTGTATGTTGAAGCTTCGGCCCATTCACTTGGTAATTTATTTGTTGAGCACAAAACACCTGCCGGATGGTTACAACTTCCGCCCAAAATTATGCAGTGCACGACCCACGAATTACTAATTAAATTATAAATTGGTGCCATGAAATGAAACAAAAATCATTGCTGAAGCTTTCACTTAGTGAAGTTAGTGGTATCTTTGGTCTTCGGTCTGCCAGTCGCACGCCGGAAGCTGAGCATTTGCTTCCCTTTTTACAAAGGAACAAGGAGATGCAAAGTGTGAAAAAGCACTCTAAGGCGATCTTGTAATCAAAACAATTATTTACGCAATTAGATAGCGTTCTATGCGTGGTGGCGATTGACCTTACTGGTTAACTTCTCATAAAGGGATGCTGTCGATTTACGGCATACGTATCCTGTCAGTAAGCAATGTTCGGCTGATTGTTGAGCAATTATCCGGTAAATCCATAAAGTGCCGTCATGGTTGCTCTTTCTTTATATCAGTGGCCGATGTCGGCTGTGTTACCTGTACGGCTACTTTAATAACATTATAATCTGTCAACAATCAACTGAACCGCGGCCATTGACAGCCGTTATATCGATCCAAACCGGATTATTATTAACAACAACCCACCACGGCGAATGCCGGCTGTGAACTTTCCTATATTGGGAGATTTTTCACTTTAAAAGCTACTCAAATATTAGGCCAGGAGGGCGCTAATCATCCTTGAAAATCCCCGACAATAAACCGCCCGAATAAAAGCGCAGTTCGATTATTTAAGTCCACTTGTGGTGTTTGCTCCCCGGTAGATTCTTCTTCATCCGATGCATTTTACCGGCGAAAATGCACTGACCACTTGGTAAAGAAATACAAGAGCCCTCAAGAGGATCAAAAACATACAGCTTAGGATATGCGCCGGCGACGCTGCTTGTTTCCGTCACTTAAAACGCAGTATAAAGTGGGCCACTGTAATTTTTACAAAATATTTGACGTTGCAGTTGTACGCACATTAATGAGCGTTAAGCTTGTGTGGTCAGTGTCACACACTGGCTAAGTAAGTGCCGCAGACAACAAATGTCCGTTCAACGTGTCGGGACAAATTGGAAAAGTAACATGTTTAACTCAAAACGAATGTGCCGGTGCATTAATCTTAACAACCATCAGTGTAAGTGCTGAGCTCATGGAATGCAGATTTTGCACAGTTGATGGTTTAACGCTTTGCACACAAAAAATCTACTGTACTCTAATCGGCATAAAGCCACTACCGCTACGGCCAGATCAGCAGATTTATATAGAATAAATTTAAAGTCATAAGGAAATACGATTTTTTTTCATAACAAATATCCATTTGGTTATTGGTAAGCAATAACTTGTCTTAATGGAAATGTGACGATTAATTTTTAAGTGCTAAAATTCTGCATTTTAGCGGTAATTGATACTTTGCGCCCGCGCAAGCAATACCGATTGTCGATTTATTGCTGTTTCACGAACTCTGTACTGCACAAAACGCATCTGGCATTATTACTATCAGTGCAGTTACTCGTAATTCCATTTTCGTTTTTTTTATACATTCTCCTGTTGTTATGTTTCTGTCTTTGTTATCATCCTTTCTGTCTTTGGCTTTTCGGTACTTTGTAAGTACACGTAGAATAGACAAACGCAATTTCGGCCACATTTCGGACATTCGAAACGCATCGGACACCGGAAGGACCACTAATTCTGCTGATGCAAATTAAACCGCCATGTATGGAACATGTACATGCGCCAATATTATACTGTATTCCTTTATTGCCTGATTACATTTTATAACATAAAACTTTGAAAACTAGCGAATGTATTGTCACAGGCAAATTTGAGAAAGAGATCAGCTGGAGCACGTTATCCAGCAGCAGCTGTGTTCCCACTGAACGAAGAAATGCTCTTCTTCGCTTATCTCACATAACGGCGAAGCGACAGCTTTCTTCAGAGCAGATTACTTATATGGAAACCAGATGACCAGTGGCAATTGGCAGAGGATTACTGCGTTTTAAAATCTGCGTTCATGATGATGGTTGTGGCGCAGCATGAGCTTCTGCAGCTTGTTGAAATTATCCATGGCAATTTGATTATGGGGATCAAGCTGCAATGCTCGCCGATAGGACTGCTCGGCATCCCGCCACTGTCCATTCAAATGCAAAATCGCGCCGAGATTTATCCATCCGGACACTTGAAACGGCTCCATCTCCACGGCACGACGGTAGAGATACTCCGATTTAATATTATCACCAAATTGTCTGTCAAAAAGGAAGAAATCAGAGGGATTAGACAGCTGTTAGACCGGAAGTCACACAGCGCATACACACATACGATGGACGCTTGATGGACAGGCTTAAGAATCCATCAAAACATTCCTTTCAGCTTACATTTGTCAGTGGGTCTGCCTATTTATAAATGTTGCGGGAATGTAATTTACTCAATGGCTTGGCCATTCTATTCAGATGCCGGTCAGCACACTGCAGAATACAGATATATGCCAACTAAAGTAAAAGCTTTTCCGTCCACAACAGTTGTACCGCATCGCTTTTAATTAACGTGACCTCAATCAGCTCGCAGACGATGTACATGTGCACTGTAATAACATGCATTCTTCTGTAAGAATTTGTACGCATATTACGATTCATTCACTTTGCGGATTCTTTTATATTTCGCCATCCACAGCTAATTAAAGTACTAATAATCATTTATGATAAGGTCAGTCGTGCATCTACGTCTGTATACATACTACACAAGCAAGTATGCCGAAGCGTTGTCACATAATTAAATTTTTAAGACTACTTTACACTAATTGTAATCTCAAGTTAACGTATTTTGTGGGGCTGTGCAGAAAAAACCCCGAAAATTGTATCAATAAGCTACAAATAAATCTTTCTGTTTTTAACTTAGCTACCTACATAAACTAGTTAACTTCTATTGAAAACTTTGTTAATTAAATGTTCTGTTTTGGAAGAGTATGTGCAGTTGTCATGTTATGCAAATACGCGCATTCGATTGTCGGCCCAGATGTGTCGCTACAGTGCGATTGTGGAAATGCTTTGTAATCTTGCACATCTGCAGTACGTATGCATGCAACTGTAAACTATGCGCGAATGGGAGAAATTTGCCTCGTGCATTGATGTGATGAATGAGCGGAAGAACATTGCCGGTTATGATTGATAGTTTCCTCTGTGTGCAGTGGTCCAGAGAGCGGATTCTCACCTTAAGGCACCGGCGGCAACAGTCAGACTCTGAAAGTCATTGGGATACATTTCCGCTGCTTTGAGCAGAAACTGGATGCCCGTCCCTTGGCGTCCAGTGTCCATCAAGTATTGTCCTGAACACATAAATACAAATACAATGCCTATTATCAATCTTCACCAGCAAACATTTCTGTGTGCATTCATGATGATAATTTCTGCTCGAATTCCCATTTACCATAGAAATGATATACGGCTGAATCGTTCGGAGCCGCATGAAAGACTGTAGTGAATATCTGGTCAGCGTCCGTTGTGCGATTCTGCAAGAAAATGTTGTGAACACCCAAGTAATGCATATTACGTTGTAATACGCAGCACCCGTACGGAATTCATTCTGAGCTTAATTTTGGATTTGTTGAATTTACTTCTCTGAATTATTTCTAAAAATAATTTTGGATAAAATTTCTACTATAATATAAATTTATGCTTACAGTATTGTGTTTATTTTTGCTTGTTTTCTCCAAGTGTAAAAATGGCAGACAATTTTGATTTGACGCGGACTCCAGCAACTAGTACTAGTTTCACTTTATAACGCTATGGTAATTAGTGTATTAATGTTTGTACATTTTCACACCCGCATTGGTGCTAAGTGGATCTTATCAAGTGCGAACGAGATCCTAACAATCACTTCATGCAAATGGAAGGCCAATGGGTTTTTGCCCGGGCGATCGAATAACACTTTCCAACAGATTTCGAGTATTATTTCAACAAACTTTGTGTTTTTTGTCATAGAGTGAGACAGATACCCTACAAACAGTGCACAGTACGCAACAGGGTATACGCTTGCGACATACCTGCTTGTACAAAAACCTTGCATAGGTCAAATGTGCCGGTACATGGTCCGGCTTAGCTTTGAGTGCCCTTTTGTACCACAATTCGGCCAAGGCGGATTCATTCAAATGAAAATATGCTTCACCTGGAAATACAACAGTACAGAAATATTCCGGGATATTTATCTGGATCATTCGGGCACAGTTAATTAAACCCCCGCTATCAAAGGAGACATCCTACCGAGCATGTTATAAAGGCTCTGTGGTGCATAGTATGCCGGCATCTTGTTGACCGCTTCATTGTACAGCGCCACTGCTGCCTGCAGTATATGAATAAATATTGGCATGATTATTACTCGTTTTAATCAGCTTACAAGAGATTTGCCGACACGCAACGGCCCCGTGATACAAAAGGGGGGAAAATTCGGGTTGCGTGTGGGAGCGCGTATGCAGTATTGTGATGCATTATATTTAAGTACTATATTTACTTATTATTTGCGACTTGCCTGATATTGTTGCTCATCGGCGGCCAAGCGGCCCAGATTAAAAAGACACGTAATTTTCGCACTTTCGTGCAGCTTGGGATCTTTGAGCCGACCCGTATCCAGCTGGGCGCACTGCCTGTAGGCCGCTTTGGCATCGGCGTGGCGCGCCACTGATTGCATGGCTATTCCCAAATTAAGATAGGCCACTAGGGAATTAAACAGGGCCACATCAGATAGAAATGAAACGCCGGGGATACCGTATTATATGTATGGAAAGAGTGACCTATTCCACGCTACGGGTGTTTAATAAGGTAACCAGATGCGCCAATTGCAAAATTACAAAATAGATGAGCAATCGATCTGCCGTCCATGACGCCATACATATTCAACGTATGCGCATACGTAAATACAACCGCCTTTTCAGGCTTCAAATATGCAATATGTTTAAGCGGTTTGACAAAAACATTTTCAAAAAGAACAAAACCGATCGCCCACTATTTCTTCAGAATTAACGCACCATTTACAGATAGTAATATAATTACTAGGTATTTGTCATACAATATAGTAACGTATCCGCAATACTTTATAGATTTACTGGACCGCGTTATGTTACTGGGCTATTTCACATTTTAAATAGAAATATTATTTTATACAGGTTAAATTAACAAAAAACTAAACCGTGCAAAAGTAAACCATAGTACACGTGTATTTTGTCGAAAGGTCCGAATAATGCTTACACAAGCTTTGCAGAATTATTATGCGCACCTGCCATATTGTGTCGGTAGTAAATGGCATTGCGGTAGCTGGCAATGGACTCGTTGTAGCGACGCTGGTCTTGCAGTAATCGACCCCTACACAAAATACAGAATACCACAAGCGCTCCACAGAAGGGGAAGACAACCCGACCACTAGCCATTAAAATGTCATTCATAATTCATTTTCCGCCAATAATTGATATTGACAAGATCGGGTTGGATGGACTAGTGGCCGTAGCAGCATCTAAAATGACCTAACCCTGCTTATATAGACGTACAAGTTATAATGCGTGTCCGCCATGTTTGGTCGATAATTCAGTGCGGTGATATAGGCCACTTCCGCTTCTTTTAATTTACCCCTCTGATTCCAAATGTTACCCAAATTACTCCATGATTTTGCCGGATTGATGGCGGCCCCCGCGATGTACAGTTGCTCCTCCGTTTCCCAGTCGGCATTGCGGCGCCATGTGCGTAACGAATGGCAACACAGAAGCAGGCATATGCCGGCAGCTATTGACCGCCGCTGTACACCGCTTTTAGCGATATTACTGGCCTTAATTAGCCCTTCCGCCATCATCCAGGAAAAGCCCATGCTGGGGATGTAGAGAATCCGTTCAGCGATCACGAAGCCGACATAAAAGAATAAATTACTAGCCGGCAAAAATGCCAGTATGAGGATAGCCAGTGCGATGACGAGACGTTTATGGGACGATATATCCGGCGCTCGACGATTTTCCCCATCGTTTAATTTGCCAATTATCCGCAAGAGGTTTTTTATTCCCACAACGAGACCGGCATAAAACGCGATCGATAGGATATTCCGCCGATCGGCTAACGTGTTAATTAACGCTACCGCTCCCATGGACCAGTCATAGCTGAGTGTCCAGGGGTACAGCAAGAGCTGGAAATTGAATACCGGCAGATAAAAGAACGTCAGTGTACGGGTCAGCCAGCTGGGAGAATCAGCGGCTGGATTATCGCTGGCCGCGAACACCGGCGTAATGTTGCCCATCCACGCGATCCGCGCTCCCACGACCACACCCATCCAGCCGAGCAAACACACAACACCCTCCAGACGTTTGTTGGATAATTTCTGTATAACGACAATTGGCCATGGTTAATGCGCGATCAATATTGACATTTGTTAGAGGCATCGCATATTCGCGTTATGTTACATGTGTCAACGATGCCAGCTCATGGAAATCGGTGAATCCTTGGATGACCACCACATCGTAGATGATGCACACACCCAGGACGGTTATGCCGGTTTCTGCAAAAAGTTCAAATAAGGCCTGATTTTGCGGGGTTAATATGTGCACATATGCACTATGCACAACGAGGGAAAACTGATACGGATCAAGAGGAAGATCAGATGTGATTGAGAATTTTAAAATAGAGGCCAATAGCCCCGATACCGTGTTGATTTAGGCAATCGGGGTGAACGGTGACGTGGCGCCACCCCGGAGCATGGGAAGATCAGCGCCCGTTACAGTAACTCGCGGTGTGCACTAACGCTTTGAAAAAACAATTCGGACGGAATCGATATTTTTTTCTCAAGGCATGTAAATGTTTACGCGCCAGATCCGATGGATCACAACCGAAACCACCGAAATCGCACTTCAACCGAAATCGCCTGGATGATTTATGGATACTACGAACTATACAGCTAATTACATGCTGGAGCTTTAATTACGGGATGGTTTTAATTGTGATATACCTATTCACAAAACTGGCTGTCGACAACCGGCAGTCGATAGGACGAGTAAAATTACCGCTTTGACCTCATGCGTTAATTATGCAGCAGCTTCGCATAATCGTTAATTCTTAATGCTACATATTTTTGGACTGACATGCACTACGGCAGCCGGTTATACCCATTTATAATAATTACTAGAAAATGGTGAACAAGTTGCGTTAGACCATACTCTTGCAAATTTGTTATGAAATCAGCATCTCCCGCTTTGTGGTACAGAATTGGTCAGTGTAATTTACATTCCAAAATGTTTAGTCCGGTCGAACACAAATGAAATTTCGTCAAGTGTGTCGAGCAAAGTTAAGAGATGTTTTGTCCCGCAGCTGATGATCGAGACCAGTCATACATACACAGTACAGTACTTGCCTTTGAATAAACAGGCACATGTTGCACAGGCACAAGTCGCAATTAAAAGAAGCCATCGTAATGGGAACACTTCGTGGTCCTTGACGGGATTGGCAAGTGGTTGTTCAGCGGGTAAATTAGGATTTGTTGGCGGGATGGCCTTTCCACTACTGACCACTTGATCGCGGAGTTGGCAATAGCGGATGTACGCCAGCAGACTGAGCAGGAACAGTACACCGGCTCCCACATCGGCCCGCCCGACCACGCCGGCCACGGCTTCCGTATGCACCGGGTGGACGGCAAAGCTCAGGCCGGCTAGCGCCGCCAGCAGGCGGTTGCCCGCGCCGGACAACTGCTGCAGTAGCTGCTGCAAGAGAAACGTGGCCAGCATGTGGAGAAGGACGTTGAGCGCATGGTAGCCAGCGGGAGCGTAGCCGTGCAGGAGGAAATTCAGACGGAAGGTGGCCACGCACAGGGGACGGAAGGATTTATGACTGCCCCCTAATGTTAGCTTAGTGCCCCAGAAGTCGTTCAACCACAGCTGATGGAATGGGGTGTCGGGCAATAAATCCTGATTATCGAGGATTGCTCGACTGGAAAACAATATAATGCCGCAGAAATTAGATGTGCATTACTTAAATAACCCAAGTCACAAACGTCACTGCGAATGCTGCATAAACAAGACGTTCGCAAGGAGGTGCGTACGGTGGTACGGCTGTAGTATAACCTTTTGTCGGTAGCTTTTTATTATGAAAAAACTGTGATTTGTGATTGCAGCTTCTCTGATACCGCTATATCTAGGCTGCTTGAAAAAAATGGTAGAAACATTCAGCATATAAAATAATGCTACCTTTGTCAGACGTATATTATTTCTTCTGTAGTTCTATGTGGATGTGCAGTTCTTCATTGTCGGACATGCCGCTAATAATAAGCGTGTCACACCAGTAGTACCCAACCATAGTTGACAGTGAATGCTAATTATACTGTATTATAAACACTCATTAACATGTTTTCTGAAGTTGTTAAAAACAAAACCCTGATTACGATCAATAAGTAATATTTCCTTAAACTGTTACAGAGTCAACAGGTTGTGGTGCAAGTGTTATAGCACTTTAAGTAATTAGTGAATTTACAATTTTGTTTTAAGTTGTTAATCTCTCAGTGCTGGACCGCTGTATATTGTATGCATACTGTAAATAGCATGACGTGGGAGAGACAAGCTAATGCATCATCCTTATTTTTTATACATACAGTCAAGAAATGGCACCAAATATGCGCATGTGACTTATATGGACTAAAATCCAACAGGAAACATTTTAAGGTTGTGGATGAGCGTAAATGCCTGAACATGCTGTGGCATCGTTAGACTATCAGCCGAGCTGTTGGAGCGTAACGCGTAATCCTGTATATGGGCTGTGCATTGATACTCTTAAAGCTATCAAAAACCGGGCCTGGCATTTACCCGGACAGGAAACAAAACCCAGATAGATAGCCGCACTGCAAGCCGGTTATGTGTCGTACATCCTTGCGGTCCATTAGACATTGTTCATGAAAGTTTAATGAGATTTAGATGGCGGGGATAATATTGCAATATTTGATTTCAGCTGTGTAAAAGATAAATGATGTACAATGGCCGCGCGTGTGTTGACTTACTTATCGTCGTAGGCAAACTCCGCGTCCAGTGTGTTCCAGTATACGGCACCGGCTAAAATGGGAATAAGAAAACTTTCCCGGTATATCGGCATCATCGGGTAACGGTCGAAAAAGCCTCCAACACATGCCTCCCACGCCAGTTAAAAGCGGGAAAAATTAGCCAAGTAGTTCAAGCATCGTATGTGCATATACTAGTAACTATAACACAAAACAATGCAGACCGATCAACATCCGTCATGACACTCTGCGGCATTCCAGACAAAATGCCGATTATAAGCAATCTTGTAACATTCAATCAGCATGCACATCATCGCTATGAGGAGAGAGACAGAGAGGCTTGTTTTTTCGAGCCGTGATCACTGCCGACAGGATCAATATGATTATGATCAAAAGAACAACCGGCACAACAAATCCGCTGGCACAACCGGCAGCGCAACGCAGCCGGTCACTTTCACTGGTACGGCCGATGCAACTCTGCGTCGTATCTGTATACGCAACAATTGTGCTAAAAATGCGGTTAGCAGCGGCAAGCACACTTGTTACAAGCGTATCCTAATCGCCTGTAGTCGATGTGGGACAATGTGTTAATGGTAAGAGCAGGACAATTTCCTTAGCGGATCCCCCGGCTTCCGGAGTGGATGCGGAGTGCGTTTCAAAAATGAGAGTATAATATTAACCGAACAGCGCGGCGATGTCGGTGTCGTCGGTCGGACAATGCAATAAGGCTCTGTGTTCGTGTATCGGGCGCAGTGAAAAATGCCCAGTGCCAATATGTCTAATACTGGCTGTGCGTTGCAGGAGAATAAACTGAAGACGCGGGCGATTTGGCCTCGGTTCCCAGGAGGATAGACAGTTTTAGAGAGAAGTAAAACGGGAAAGATCTAATTTAGAACGACATGGGATCACTATTACCGAATCTAGGGCGGAGCTTGTATGCGAGTGAAGTGCCGTCGACGATAGCCAATGGGCTGTCAATACGGCTAATAACGCGGGTATCCAGAGGAGAGTGCAGTATACTCGAGTAGGCATTAGGCACACTGCACTGGACGTGTTATGGGAACATTGTTGCGACTACTACTTAACGTATTTATAGTGAAAGCGATAAAATCGCACTACAATTTTGTAAATACACGCACAGCATGTTTTTTTCAACTTACATTAACAGTACTGAGCCAGCAGAACAAAAGGTCTTTGCTAATTATGCTATAATACGAGTACATGTCTCAAAACATAATTATTCAAATTAAAACGTTTTATAAAATTAACGTTATCTCCGCACATTCCATCGTGGCTCTTTAATGCGCCTGTTTTCATTGTGCTTCTGCAAATCTTTTCACAATTATTAATACTATTTTAAACATTTTGCAACGCGATTTTGCGGTAGTCCAGATTGACTTAAATTTACAAAGTCAAATTTAACATGCATAGCAGACAGTTACGCAAAAGTGTAGTGAACGCGTCTTAAAGGTTTTAAAACTTTTTTAGAATATGGAGCTGGTTAAAATCAGGTTACGCGTAATAGTGTCATGGTTCATGAAAGGCAGTAATCCATAAATTCATCGCCGAATCGACATGAAAGAGTGAGTGACTTGCATCTTGTTGAATTATTGCAGAATAGATCACATTTCACGAAAATCTTGACACGCCTTTTTTATTATTTTATGGCGGCAAACGCCACGCTTTTGGACGCCCACACCAGGCCGACATAATACCCCGCTAAGACATTGTAGCGGTGTTTTCTCACGAACACACGCTGCTCTGGGCCAGAGTAAACGGTTAATGGTGAAATGTGTAAGAGCATACAATCCCATATCCGGTCCATTAGGATGCAAGCCCACACTGCATACATTCAATTCTTAGCGTTAGAAAAACAACCGTTCAGGCGAGGAACAACTACGGCGTGTTATAGTAAACATCTCCACGTCAGGCGAGTCGTTCAAGTACATCGCTGAAGACGTTTCCGGTCAGTGAACAAAACTGCATCGAATCACTACTCTAATCGGCGCGGACAAAAAACAGTCTTCTTAATTTTCAAGCACATTAGGTTGTACTTGCCGCTACTGTGCTTTGTATAGATATTCGTATTATCAGCCCAAATTGTAAGATTAATCATATGGAGTGGACCGAGTCAATCGCATTACCACAACGTATCGAATAACAACCCGTTATAATTAAAGCCAATCATAAACATGGCAACCAGTGGTTTACTACTCTTGATTGTTGTGCAATGTGCATGATGACTAGGGTGGTTTTTTCAGGTTTTGCGTACTGTTCCGTACTTTTCCTGTGAGTGTCCGCTCGAGTTCAACACCAAAAAGTATATTCGCTATCGTATTGTTGAAATCAGATAACTATCTAATGTATATAAAAGTAAGTTTTTATGTCATCAATTAATTATGGTTGGTCTGTAGCGCAAAAAAAGGGACTTTCCGGGGTACGTACTAGGAGGTAACCTTTGTAGTTTGCATTATAATCGCCATGTCGCGGTTGTATTAGAATCACTGGGAATTTGGGAGTACGTAACACAAGCAACGCAAAAGACAAAAAAATCCAAGAAACTTGATTGCTTGAATTTAGTAATTTCAATTTGGCGTCAGTCTCAAAGTCACAACTGCAACTTGCATATGTGCAACTGCAATGCTGAAACAGTATGCAACGCAAGCGAAAATGTATATACTATATAGTATTTCTATTATCTATAGATAACTAAGCACGAGTACAATACAAATCACAAGTCACAACTGTAACTAGAGTACTGTAGTTTGTACACAATTTTGTATTTGTTGGTATTAGACTGACGGACCTTCCCTTGTCGTAGAAAACTGTACGATTCAGCTTAGACCGTATAATTCTATTCGTAGGCGGAAGTCCAGATTTTACGTAATTTTACTTTTCACCTCAGTCAAAGTAAAGTATTCTGCTTGCCGCTCACACGTTTACAAGTGGAAATACTAGCGAAATGTTGGAGGAAAACGAAGGGAGCGGACAAAGCCAATTTACGCACAAACACCATGACTTCTTGTTTGTCAAGGGGGGAAATTCGGATGTAGCATTGTAGAAGAGATAGCAAAGCTAACACGAAAACTGCCAATATGACATACAATTATCTATAACGCTAATAGTCATTATATAGCTATGCACACAACATTTAAAACTCTCATTTACAGTCTTTCAAAGTTAAACGTCACAAACCCTGCAACGATCTGCGCAAGTTAATCTCCTTTCTCTTCCGTCTGCGGATATCTTTCTGCATCTCCCTCTTCGTTGTCGTCGCAGTCGCAGGCGTGACCGCCTTCTTCTGCAGGAGGTGCGGATAATGCGTCACTTGAGCCACATAGCGTCCGCTGCCCAGACCTTTCTTATCCTGCTTGAAGATAGTCCGCACCGGATACCAGCGGCCATCCTCCTCTGCGCCTAATCCCTTACTCTCGTCCCAGCCGATCTTCTTCATCAGTCGGAATCCCACATTGGACTGGGACATAGCGAAGCATGGTCGCGACGGCCCCGTGAATCCGCTGCTCAGTTGGTGGATGGTCGACGACTGATGATCTCGTGGAGAGGTGGAATAGAATGTCACCGCGCACGTATCACAGTAGAACGGCTGCAGGTCGACGGAGTCTTCGGTCGTCGACTCCTTATCAACGGCTTCGTAATTTTGAAATTCCACCAGATAGGCGGCGATCTGCGGATGGCGGGATAATTCCGCTAAGTCGGCCGCGGTTTGGTGTTTTTTATTCTGGAGAGTGTGCGACGCTCCGGAATTTATTAGAAGTCGTACAGCATCAAAATGGCCTTTTTGTGCGGCGCACATCAGCGCTGTCCATCCGAACATATCGACGGAATCAACAGGGAATCCGTGCGCGATACACACCGTCAGCTGTTGCAGATTGCAGTCCGCTGCTGCTCTTAGGAAGCTGTCAATTGTAACGTTCTTTGGAGCTGCTTCGAGCACGTTGCCTTTGCGTAAACGCTGCGCAGATGATGTCTTTACTGAAGCTTTTGCGGAACGGTAAGGGGACTTCCGCACTGTGAGATCCGTTTCGGTTCACAGCGCGCACTCAACGGTTTAAATTCAGTAAATACTACTTGATCGTAAAATGCCTGGGATTCCGATGATCCGACAAATGGTGTTCCAACATGTTCCCGGTTTCTGGAATGGATGAAATCTTCGACGGTGCGCGATGGTTCTTGCGCTCGAACAAAATTCAGCATTGTGGATTCGGGTTTCACGATCGTGAAATCGAGCCTTCAGTAAGTTACCATCGCATTCACAGGCTCTCGACGTCTATCGAAACTCGGAAACTGAAACATGCAGTTCAGATATGTCAGCAATTAGCGCCAGCTAGTAGTTAATTAAAAAGTAAATACTAGAGTAATCCATGCAGCACCCAGTAAAACAAAAATGAGGATCAACTATGTACTAAGTCAATGGACCTGTCATAGAGTACAAAAAAAACACATGTTTTATCGAACACGGCCAAATCTTACCGTAACTCCTTCCATTTTCGAAAAACGTCATTTATATATCTCAAAATCTGTTAAAATTTTACAGCAGTGTTCCTTACCATTTACTGATTTACAGGAAAATAAATAGCAGGGACGCATAACATAAGTACTTAGAAATTGAATGGGTGTGCTTCTGTGTGTCGTGTAAATTTGTGCAGACTGTGAACTCAAGTGAACTTTATCGTATTAATTTCTTCCTCATTCACAAAAATCAGTTCGGTTGGCACTTGGCAGTTGACCAACCATATTCTTGTTTTACACTTCTCCTCATATGTTAATTTTTTTTAAAAATTAAGTACGAGAATGGAATCTGCTGCTAAAGAAACCAATTGCTAAGACATTGACGCGCTTAAAACATTTACGATTAAAACTACAACACTTGCACAGGCACCATCCAGCTGTCCAAACAGGACAAATCGTACTGCAAATACCTAAATAATTTCACAGCAAGTATCGACCCAATAAAAGTGCTTATTGGGACCACGTGTAGCACCTGACAGTCTGACACCTGTAGAACACTATATCAGTAATAGATACATCACGTAGAACATAAGTAATGTTCCAAACATCCCTTAAAATTCCCTTTAATACACCTTTACACCACCAGCATACAACGGCAAGGTCACACGGGAAATCATTCGAAATTCACACAGTGGAGAAACTATATATCTGCTACATCCACAGCTGCAAAAGACTGTCAAAACCACTGCGTCCCAGTTAAAAAAAAACTACCGCAACGCACCGTTTTGAATGCTAAAACAGATCCATCGAAATCTTTGATCGTCTTCTGGCTGCTGCGCACTGACTACTGTGCTCATCCCAAGGGTCATCTCGTTTACTATACTGTCTAATTTCTAAATGGACGGTAAATAATTTGGACTACTCGCTCAAACACCGGACGGTTAAGAACTGGACAGGGATACACCGTACTGCAAAATTAATCCCTCCATTCACGATCTGACATTGTGCTGGGCTTTATTGTAGATCTTCACTTGTTTAAGCTGCGTTCCATCCACACTAGTGTAGACGATCTGCTCAGCCGGTGATCGACGGGCTCCGCAAACATTACAACAATCCAGCACGGCCGAGATTATGCCAAACACCGCCAGACAAAAGTACACCAATGCCACGACGGATTTCAGCATGGCCAAATCCTTCAGCTGATCAACGCTCAATCGGAAGTCAGACAACTGCGAGGCCGATGGCCCGGTGGGCTGTTCCCAACGCGGCAGCGCCTCCCGGCGGGCAATCTCGTTGCGGACCAGGTAGATGTTGTACATGGACAGAGAGAACATGGTCAGCGCCTGGATGATGCACACCACCGAAGTCAAGATGCCGGCCAGAAAGAGGAATTTGCGGGTTTTTGGGTTGCTGATGATTTTCTTCCCGGCCATGACTTGTAATATGCCGGTAATGGTGCCGAAGATACCGGTCCAGATGCCAGCATATTCGATGGGATAGCCCGGAGCTCCAGTATTGTTGTACAAAATCAATGCTGCGAAAATCAAAAAATGAAGCACCGTCAAGATACTGTATACATACGCACGCACTTTAAAAGTTATTACTATTCTTTGGAACAAACAGTAAGATTTTGGAAATTTAAATTAAACGTTAGCGCGGTTAAAAAACGACAACTGCATTAAAAAACTTATTGTTAGTAATGGTACAATATCATTAAAAACGAGGAAAAACACAATATAAACCAACTAGAAAAGATCTGCAAAATCAGAACACGAAATCAAATGACTTAACCAAGCAATTACCCTATCTTTAAAATATTCATACCAAGCCATTAATCACAATTACAAAATAAGAAAAAATATTCTCTCTTGCATAAAAATCCGAAAAATATTTCTGTAAGAAGCTACACATAATATTATCACACCATAGTGGGCAACCCGCACACCGGTAACTCAGTAAGTGCTACTGTAACTGACCACCTACAGTAGTGCACACTGCGACATTATCTGTAAAGTACGAGACCTGGAAAGTTAGGAAAAAAATCAAGGAAGCCAGTTCGTACTTTCAAAACTATCAAGTTCGTACTTAATCAGTCAAAGACTCGAAAACCAAGTCCAAACTTCAAAGTTTGATGACATAACAGCATAATTATCGTTATCGCATGTCTACCAGCATATGAAAAACCATAATAACCACATTCCGAAGGAGAAGTCACAAGTGCATTAATTTAAAGCGTAGATAACGTTTGCAGAGGTCTGGCATTTCTTTGTGAAATTTCTTTCATTGGAAAATCTAAATTCCAACTTCAACGCCGCTTTAACAAATATGCCACAATTTAATCGCCATACTTGTTGTTTCGATCACACAAATCCCTACTCCCATAACAATCTGGATATATCCCAAAATGTGGATGGCGCCGCGCTTGCGAACCTCGTCCACTTCCACAATCACTGGCTCCTGGGTAAGATCCGTCATTCTGGCAGTATGGGTACTTAGTCTAATCCTGTTAGTTACGCACAAGACAATGCCGGAAACGACTCAATAAAAATCAGAGACCAAACCAAGACCTGGTAATAACGAATAACTGATATTTTCCAACTAATAAGAGTTCCACATGTACAGTTTCCGCACTGAATGATGAGCGGGTCAAAACTGCAGCAGGGCAAAGGAAGATGAACTGATGCGGAAATCCATCCAAGGCTTTCGGTCTACCTCCTTGAACGACTAACCATAATTGCTGATATCAGCATGGAAATTGTGTCACTCATTGGCATTACAATTTCAACGTTGGCATACGGTACGGTAGCACACCGTGCTGCACGCGTAATGAGTGATCTATGACTAGAAAGTAGAAACTGGTCGTATGAATGAAAACTGGAAAATAACCATTCCGTGGTGCCATCGATTGAATGCCTATGAACAGTGTGTTGTAGTGTGTACCGAGATTCAAGTAAAGTAAATTCACCTTACCGTCAGTGAGTTCACTGTGAAGCCGGATAAGTGATTGCCGGCATTTTAAGGACAAGAAACTCTGACGAAAGTGTGCAAATTAAGCTACCCGGTAGGAGTTTAGGCTTGAAGTTCTGGATGCCGGCGAACTTGTCAAATCAAAAGCTGTCAAAGGAAGATCTGTTCCGAATTATCGTAACATTTTCCATGAGAATTTTAAACTAACGTAAAAATTTGCAGTACGTGAACGTTTAAGAAAATGTGGTGGAAATGGAATTCCAGTTACCATTTACCTGTCCGCGCTCACGGCGCGCTGTAAGGAAAATATGTACATACGTGAAATATACTTCTGGAGTGTACTGGTTTCTCACTGAAAGTGAATAAATAATACGTGCATTACAACGATTATATTAGCGCTTTGAAAGTGTTACAATGCTTGAGAACTATTTTTTATATCAACAATTTGACACCCTTTGAAATCTGGTGAGCAGAAAGCGATAGGTATGTTCTAAAAAATCAATCTTTATTTCATTTCGGATGACAAGGAAAGAAAGCAGATAGCAGCGCGATAACAGCCTGCGGATCACTATGAGCACAACCTCCGTTTAAAAGCACACAAATTTAGCCAGACACGATAGCCAAAACAAATGTTTTCAAAACAGAAACCACTTAATCTAAACTTCATGAATACTTGCACGAAATATTCACCAAATTACTATAACGGAGATTCATGCCATGGCTGTTACGAGATTACTACGTAAAAATTATAAACTAAAATCATTTGGCATTTCTTATATCATTTACGGGCATAACACTGATAACAGGAACAATATCACTGAGATAACGAAGACAAAAACAAAAGCCCAAATTACTGTAACAGACCATTCCGTCACATAGGAAATCCGGATAGAAATCCCCTGAGAACCTCCGAAGTGATGGATTAGAATAGTTACACTGTGAATTACGGCGTAATTATTACGCCGTTGATAAAGATAAATTATCAATATTCACCCAGGAACTATTTTGATGGAAGTAAACTTTACGAAAATTCCGGCTACGCTCGATTTTTTGAGGGGAAGATGAACGGGCTCTTGGTAGAATCGTGGAAACCGGTATCGAGATTCTCTTTATTCTTTCCAATATTAATAACATGAATGATCAAGCTGGGCAGAAAGAGGATGGCAACAAGACAATAGAAGACCGATGCAATCGAACGAAGATGTGCCGTGTGCCGAAATCCCTCGACGGAGATGGCGTACGGAGTTTTAAATATCTCCCCCTTTTTATCCTCTCGTCCTTCCTTATCGCGGGCCTCCGTGTATTTTTTCTCTGCTCGTATAACACAGAACACCAGCATGGCGATGGCGGCTGCCAAGGCCAAAAAGGACAAAATGGTCCCGATGATAAACAAACGGTGACGGGTGGCTGGAGCAATCTTGTTCCGTCCAGCAAGAAACGTGATGTATCCTGCGATAATGAAAAGAAGTCCGCAAAATACTCCAATGATTTCCAAAGGATAGGAGAGCGTTTCATGATAAAAAATTCCGATCGCTGCAAAAATTAACAATGAGATGGATGTGAAATGATAATAATCGATTTCTAGTACTGTAACGGTAACCTTTTGATTAACGAATTCAGTAGGTAAGTATAATTTAGGTAACAGACTGTACGAGAAACGTTCGTATTAGTTACTTAAATTTGGTTTTAATCGGAATCAACAAATAAGTACCCAGTCAGTTAAATACGGTATTTATTTCTCTACTTCATAACTACCTAATAGTCTACCGAGCTCTTCCAAAAACAAATTCAGGTTTATACCAGATGCGATCAAAACAATCGTTCTACGAAGGCTTCACACTTATTATTAAATTCACATTCATAGCTCTTTTACGAGTGATTTCATTTAACCGATAACGGTCCTCAGACTCTGTCCATTTACTCCAAGACTTCAATTCTAAGAAGCCAAAAAAGCAAAACAAAAATAAGTGTAGCATTCACTAATCCCTAATCATGACAGCTTGATAAGAATGATGATAAACTGTCAAAACACATCTATAAAGGCTGAAGTGTTCTAACCTTAAGCAGCAAGTTACAAGTACAAGTACAGTACAGTTAAACAGTATGCAAGCCTGTAAGCAGACTATGCAGCGGTAGTTTACTTACCGAAAATAGGCAAAAGTCAAAACACTGATAAGGTGATAAGGAGGAAGTTAAATACAAAGTGATAATTGTAAAGAATTTCTCAGCACTTTCACTTGTGTCGATAATTACTTCCTTTGATCATGATGAAAAACATGTACTTGTATTTTTGCTCTTTCACTTTCGCATACTAACCAGAAAATTCAATGGCCATCACAGCCAATCCGAAGAAAATCTGAAGAAATCCTAAGATATACAAGTATCTTGTTCGGAAGTAATACAACCGCACGGATCCAGAAGCGGGCTGCCCAGGTAAATCATCATTCTCCATGATCGTCAGTTTCTGCATCTTCTCCATTCTAATGATAATTAATATTGCCCAAGGAAGGTTTGATATTTAGAGTTTTCAAAACCAGGCGGAACTTTCAAGACTTATTAGTGCTTGTAGATAAACATGGTGTATGTGTCATTGGCAGAATACAGACAATAGACATTAGCCAGCGAGAAACGATTGTCCAAATCCATACGAAAGGCGTCGGACTTACCAGTTAGCTTGCATCAGAAACCTCATGAAAACTTCGCAGCATTAAAACAGACGTTTGTCGATAGATCGGATAGAAAATCAGTTTACATAAATGTCCAAATCCAAGCGTTTCTACGTAATTAAAATTCCTGTACTGTCTTTGAGTTATTAACAAATGGGCCCATCAAGACAGTAACTGAAATGTGATGGTGATCTACTGATTCAAAACTAAAAGTTCAGACAAAAGAACGTATTTTAAAAAAAGAAAATATACGTACTAACCATCAAATTCGAACATTTTGGTCTATAAGGCTGTCACGGGCGCCCGCCCATGTGCTGCTGAAGGAAGTTACAGTAGTTTTGTTTACATAATTATTATGAAGTATGAAGTACAAGTACAATATGAACTAGGCAGATTTTGGCCTTTGATATTTTAACAATTATACGTAGTTCAACGTACCTGAAAATCATCAAATTATTTTAGCCAAATGCTGTAATTTTTATTTATCATTTATTGCACCAAAATTTGACTTTTCAGGTGACGTTTGAACTTGTTCCTGATAAAGAAACGGCTTTCACACCAGTCACAGCACTCCGTCATGGAAGTAGACACGAGAAGTATATCTCGATCTGATTCCGGAATCGCTCAGACTCAGAGTGCTTCCAACCACTTTGAAGAATCGTCGGATGATGTGCGATTGATCTCAGAGCACAATCAGGGTTATCATACGAAAATTTTGTCCCATACTGGCGTCAAGCGTAAATTCGATGCTCCCAATGATCGCTTCAATTTGGCATTTCTATTCATGGTGCTCCTCGGGATGAGTGCATCATATGCATGGTTTTTCTTCGTTACTGCCTCGGATTACTTCAAGTATGCATTTCGGAATGTCACTAATCCTACCGTTCCCACTGCGTTACAGAACAGCTTTGAGAGTTCGTTGGCGTTCGGAGGAACTGCGGTCGGGTTGATCGGTAAGTAGCAGAAAAATGCATGTTCACGTGGGATTTGCAAACTAGAAACCAGAATTAACCAGGTACCACACAGACCACAGTTATGATTTGGCGATTCCAGAAATTCAAACGCTGTACAATTTCTTTAATTTAATTTTTTAGTTTATTTGTTATCAGCATGACTGTGTGATCTTGATCCGTCTGCACAAACTGTAATATCCTTCTGTAACAGAACCGGAAGCTTGCAGACATTGCGTTCTTTTAACTGCTTTAAAAAATACTTTCGTCATGGATTGTGACCCGATTGTCTTTTCTTCTGCTTTATAGCTGTCTTCGCGAATACAATTTTGACTCGCTACGTATCGTTCCAAAAGCGAATCGTATTTGGACTAACGATGACGATGCTTGTGTTTATTATAACCGCCATCCTTGCCGAAGTGGACACGGATCCTTGGCAGAAGGGATTTTTTGGCGTGACAATGCTGAATATCGTCATAATTAGTTTCTCCAGCAATCTGGTGATGGGTGCTTTATTTGGCGTACAAGGATGCCTTCCTTCGCGGTTTGCCACTGCTATCATGGTGGGACAGACATTTGCCGGTATCATCGCGGCCATTGCCATGATCATTTCGGTACTAGGAGGTAGCGGGAGCGCTGGAGAGGATCGAATTAAAACCGAAGCCTGCGGATATTTCGCTTCGGCAGCCGTGATGTCGATGATCGCCATTGTTGGGTTTTTTGTTTTCCTCAGGCTGGAGTTTGTTAAGTTTTTTATGTTTCCACCCCCGGATGAACTTGTCGTAACGGTAAAAGTCGATAGCTCGCACTTCGTACTGATATAGAAACCTGTTAAAACAAAAGGAACACATTGACATGGCAGTTTTATTAACGGTTTATTTATTGTTAGTTTCACTTTCGGTTAGTTTAACGTTTACGATGCCGACTTAGGGCAACAAGGAATGTCGAGCGCATTATTTACTTGGTCTAAGCCGGCTTTCGAAGTCATTTTATAGGTTTTCGTTATGTCCGTGGAATTTTTGTTTAGATTTGTACTGTTCATGACGCAATATTTCTGAACTCTGCTCATTGCCCTTAGGATGTAGTGGTGACGCCGATCTCTCACGAAGAAAGCGTCACAATAACTAAAGAGCCATTCAGTATTAGTTTGGTATCTGCTCGAATCTGGAAGCACGGATTGGTATTAATTTTGAATTTTACGGTATCACTGGCCCTATTTCCAGCCGTCGCTACCGCAGTTAAATCCATGCATAGTTCGGACGGGTCACTTATAAATAATCAGCTGTTCCTGCCGGTTGCGTGCTTCCTGGTGGTCAACAGCGCCGACACTGCTGGTCGTCTAGCGCACGGTTTTCTGCAGTGGCCCAATCCGGATCAAGGTGTACTCACCATTGTGCTGGCGGTGTTGCGTTTCGGATTTATTCCTTTGCTCATGTTGTGCAATGCCCAGCCACGATCTCACTTGCCGGTGGTGTTTGGCGATGCGGCATATATTATCATCATCGCCGGGATGATATTCACCAATGGCTATTTGGGAAATCTGGGCATGATGTATGGTCCCAAGTTGGTGCCGGCGCATTTTGCGGAGACTACCGGGGCGATGATGGGATTCTGTCTGGGTGTGGGATTGTTCCTGGGGGCGGCAGCATCGTTCGCTGTCACTGCGTTGCTGTGATAAACTAAATTATGGATCAAATTCTCGGTGAAAAATCAAAATTCTCAAATGAGAGGATGTTTAAAATTTTTAGTTTGCGTTGGAGATTACTGTTCACCGGTTATAGTACAGTATTAGTTTGCGTTGATGGCTGTTTTTAATTTTATGGTTGATTATTCATGGTTGGTTAATACTGAGTTTTTCAGTTTTGTATCTGCTCTAGTTTGCTCAACGTCAGCTTGCTCTTGCGGCCTTGCCGATGTTGTATCATCCAGGCGTTCGTAGAGCACGTGGATAAGCACGAGGCAGTCTAGAGTACACAGACAAAGTGGTGTTTAAAGTATGAGTTACCGTGAGAGCTTCTCTGAAGTCAAAATATCTCAAACTCGTAATTCGTATTGCCAATTCTGTTTTCATTTGAAAAGCCGCAGGCTCGCAGAATCAGCAAGCAGTACTTCACTAGAAGTTTACTAGCGACAAAAGTTCGTTTCTGCGGTCTTTTAGTCCATACGAGTATCTGTACAAGTTCATGAACGGCTGTGGGATTCTGACAGTGAGATTTATTAGTAGTAGTACATGTTGAATACATGCGATATTTTTTTCCGAGACCAGTCTCTCTAAAGATATGCCGGATTACGAGGACACTTGTGTACTAACGAATGGCAGCCTTAGTGAGACGTGGAAGCAGTTGAAAGCGAATGCGAATGACGTACTCTGTATGTGAAATATTCGGGAAGAGCACGGAGCATTGGGTGAAAAAGGGGATAGAAACAACTGCTAAGCGGTATACGGGTACGGGAGATGCTTGTGGATCTGCAGCGGCAAGTATGACTTTCGTGTTCTTTTGCGTTCTATCATTGCTCGTAATTGTTTACTCTAATAAGTTATAAACAATAGCCGCCTAATTTTTGAGGGTGCTTTAATGCGTATAAATTATTTTAAGGAACTGCGTACGGTGCACTCGAGGCTGCGCAGAAGTGTGTCCAAGAAATCCAAAGTGTTCGAGAGGGATACCGCATGTAAAGAACTCTTTCCTCTAATATTAGTTTTGCAGGATACGGTGTCTTCATGCTATTAAAAAAGCAGTTAGTACTTCTTGGACTGACCAGTATGAAATATTAGCCATTTAATGTCTTATTACTTGTCAATTAATTTTCTGTTCGCACAGCGCACAGTACTCGTGTAGCAGATCTGTGGTCACCCCCTCTTCTTTTAAATAAAAAGACTTTCCCTTAGGCTGTAGTCACCCCCTTTGAAAATTGCCACTACTCGGTCATTTCTTATAAGACGTTGATGCTAATTGTATATATATACATATATATAAGTTGACCTTTTAGCCAACTTACGTGAGGTTGTATACTACCGGAAAGGTACAAAAGGTGCCGGCGACCACTGAGTGCTAAATATTAGTGCGGAAAGAGGGGCAGCTTATGACTCAGCACTGCCAGCGAAACCCTTGGTACCACCTCTGTCAGCACCACTGATTAAGAAAGTGTACATGTGGAGATCAACCGGAAGCAAGGACATCGGAATGTTTTTCCGCGCGTGCAGACCCGCAAAGGGATACTAATTGTGGACGTTTCGCGATCGCATTCGCTGCGGTACTCCTAATTCAGCAAATAAAACCTTGAAGATGCTAAGTCTAATGTAAAAAAATGAGGCCACATCTTACCATTAGCGACGCATTAAACGTCAATAAGCCTCGCTTGCCGCCTTTCCCTGGTCGTGGTGAGAGGAATAAAACTGAAAAAGAACCGCTGGTGGCACAATTATTAGAATAAATTGAAAAGCGGTGGCTCTAGCCAAAAGGCCGTGTGGTTAGGACTAACAAGGACTCAGTGAGGAGCCAGTAAGGAGTGATAATAGTTAATGGGGTGTTTATTTTATTAAAAAAGCTTAAGGCCTAGGGTGAAAATAGTCAAAAGGGGCTGCAAGGAGTGGCAGTAGCCATTTCCAGTTTTAAAATTGAAAAGCACATGAAATCTTTGTTTTTCTCGAGATGAAAAGGTAAAATACGTACTGTACTCACAAACGTATCCTTTTTCTGCGTATAAAATGTATTGATTCACTTAAAGCTTGACCATGCACTCTCAGTGTTCATGCACTCTCAGGGATCAAGCATGCACTCTCAGGGATCAAGCAAATCAACAGAAGTTGATTGATAAACTGTACAAAATTGATGTTATTTAAGTATTTGCAAACGGTGGTGATATTAAAAAGTTTTAATAATCACATTTTGTCATGGCAAAGCCCAAGTGGAGTCGGTTACGTGAAGTACTAACACAGTAACTGTGTGATCAACCGGAAGTGATGCTATTGAGCAATAGTATCTGCTGGTTCTCTTAAAGCTTGGTGTCGGGAAGATGTTTTCCTGGAGGTTCGTAGTGCACTCGCGGACGAGTACCTTTGAGAGTGGGGATGACATGATCTGGGCAGTACTGCACTGTATTACGTCATCTTCGTACAGCTAGTTGGCTTTGTTGTGCGTGCACGGTGCAGCTACGGTGTAGCTGGCACGCGTCCATTGGGTGAATGGGCAAATGCAGCGGTGATTCTGGTCTACAGAATCAGTCTTGACCAGTCTTGATTCTAGCTTGGTTCTAGATTCTGCGCGCATATTCCATCTTGAATCTAGTTCTGAGTATCCGGGTGTCAGTGTGACCTTCGTTAGGGAGCTAGAGATAGTTCTTTAGCGGAAGTCGTGTGGATCAGCCAGACCATCGGCTGATCGGGATCCCTGTGTGTTCGTGTGTGTGGTGTTGCGGGTTTGGTCGCGATCGTGTTGTTGGTAATATTAATAAGAGCTTATTAATATTTCCGTGTATCTTCCACAAGTCAGTCCAGATTCTACTCTGCTGACGTGAGTCAGGTTGGTCGTGTATGCAATATTGTGAGTACAAGTATTGCAGAGCATGTCAACGTATTGGACCGTAAGTGAGTGCTTCGAGTGCACAGTATTCGTTTAAAAATCCTCCCAACCGCCACGAAAGGGTAGTGCGAGGCGTTAGATTTCGACAGTTTGTTACGAGTATACAGCACTTCTATTGAAAGTATTTTGAAACTCAAAATCCAAAAATGGCTTCTGATATCAAATAGGTTATGATCCGAAAACGTTTCAGCAATTTCACATATGTTGCATTGTTGCACTGTTTTCGTTGAGTGCCGCATGCAACTGTTAGCAGTTAGCCTGTGTTAAGTCCCAGGATTGTCATCTGCTGCGAATTCAAAAATTGTGTTGGTGTCGGTGAGCAGTGAGGAAACAGAGCTTCCTGTGAGAGCTGCAGCTTAGTTTAGAACTTTAGGTGTACAGTATAAGTATAGCCCACTAAAATGAGCACGGGCAATGGGTCCCGTTCTACAGGCGAAAGATCTCGGTTACTGGATCGTAGTGATGACAGCGTCGACGCGGAATACAACGGAGATTATGAGGAAAAAGCTGTGGACGAGACCATAAGTCCGTTAGCGCCTCGAGATCGATGGAATTTTGCGTTCGTTTTAATGATATTGCTCGGCATGAGCACGGGATATGCATGGCACTTTTTTGTTGCTGCAGCTGATTATTTTCGGTATTCCTTTCGCAACGTTACCAATCCGGAGCGACCAACAACATTGCAGAATGTATTCGAGAGCACACTGGCGCTAATATCCTCCGGCGTAGGTCTCCTAGGTGCGATTCCTTCTATCCGCAAAAACATATAATGCACATATCGACTTCAGCATACGAGCGTAGTCGTACCAAAGACAGTGTTGAAAATTGATTTTTCTTTCGTTTTATTAGAAATTACTTTTGAAGTGTACTTTAACTATTCCGAACGAAAAATGAGCAAAATTTATAATCAAATTTTAAAAAAATGATAATTACTTGAATCTTACAGTCTTACTTCATATAAGTACAATCTGTACGTAGTACGTACTTGGTGCTTAACAGCTTGTATTAAAAATAAATTTTGGTCGCTTTAGTTTACACCTGACCGAATTTTTACTTTTGGAAAATTTGACGGTGCCTTACCATTATCACTGATGTTGTTTAGGTTTTTCCTTTGGGTTTCTGTTTTTTTTTTAAAAAGTCAGCTGACGGCTTATGGTTTGTGAATGCTACTGTAGGCATCGCCGTCAATACAGTGTTAACTCGTTATGTCTTATCAAAAATCCGCATCCTATCCGGATTGATCGCCGTTGTAACGATCTTCATCGCCACTGCCGTGTTGGCCAAAGTAGACACGGACACATGGCAGCATGGGTTTTTTGGAGTGACCATCCTGAATATTGTCTTGATTCGATTCTCCAGCAATCTGACATTGGGCGGCTTGTATGGCATTCAAGGCTGCTTACCGTTCCGATTCGCCACGGCTCTCATGGTGGGACAAGCCACTGCGGGAATATTTGCTGCATTAGCTGAAATCGTTTCCGTGGTGGCGGGTAATGGAGTGGCTGGAAAAGATGCCATTAAAACGGAGGCTTGCGGTTATTTTGCCTCGGCGGTGGGAATGTCGTTCCTGGCGGTAATTGGATTTCTGATACTGCTCCGGCTGCCAGTTATTCAGTTTTATTTATTCCCTTCGTCCACCAATGTTGTGATCAAAGTACGTGCTTCGACCTCAGATTAGCGGTTTTCTAACGTGTTTAGCGGTTATTGTTTCGTCTTGTCTTAGTAATTTTTCGTATAAACCCACCCACCAAAAACACACATACTTCCGCTGCGTTGTGGCGCTACTGGATTATTATCTCGTTTTCAGTTTTTTCTGTTAATGGAATTCGCACGCTTCGCTGTTAGAAATTGCAGTCTTTCGTTATTTTTTTTATTTACTGAGTTCATGTGTCTTCGTTGCATGTTCAGGAAGAATCAAAACCGGATGATGCCCACCCAGCAATTACTGTTACCATAAAGGAAAAATTCAGCTTCCGCATCGTGTTTTCCTGCATTTGGACTCACGCCCTTGTGGCCTTCTCCAATTTCTTCGTAACATTATCCCTGTATCCCGCCGTGGCGACAGCGGTGCGGTCCGTTTCCGCTGCCAGTGGATCCCTCCTAACAAACGGCCTGTTCACCCCGCTCAGCTGCTTCCTCGTGGCCAACACGGCCGATCTGGCCGGACGTCTGGCCCATGGATTCCTTCGTTGGCCGGATCCTCAACAGCGATTCGTGACACTGCTCATTGCACTGTTGCGCTTCGGATTCATCCCGGTGATGCTGTTGTGCAACGCACAGCCCCGGACGCATTTGCCAGTGGTGTTCGGAGATGCGGTGCTGGTGGCGTGTATTGCGCTGATGTTGTTTACCAGCGGATATCTTGGGAACCTGGTGATCATGTACGGACCAAAAATGGTTCCGCCGCAGTTTGCGGAAACTACCGGATCGTTAATGGGGGTGTGTCTGAGCAGTGGTGCGCTGTTGGGCTCGGCGTTGTCTTTCGGCTTCATTGCCGCTTTGTGATTTTGTTCATATGGAACTATGGAGCTTACTGATGGTTTGTTATTCCTTTTTTGCTGTTTTACTATTGACTACGTGGCTCGTGTTGTTTGAAATGTTTAATGTTTATCAGTAAAATTGGATCAATTTTTTTGATGCAAATTCCTTATGTGAAATATCGTTTCGGAATTTTTTTGGCGGCGTGACATGGTGCTACATAGCTTGTAAAAAATAGCCAAACAGGGAAATCGGGTGGTAAAGCTATACAAAACTCCATCCACCCTTTAGCGGTAATCGTGGCTCCTTATGAACGGAGAAAAATTTTCACTTAGACAGTACCGTTCGTCACAGATAACTGCTGGAATGGCTACTGATAGTCCCGACTGCCGAGCACGGCGGAAAGGACATCACCTTACCTTTCTTACTCGCGGCGTGCGTCGGTGTTAAGCTGTGCATAGTAAAGTGCATACTGCATAGTATTGATTCTTAAAATGTCTTATTTTTATTTATTATACAGTTCAATAATACTACTGTAGAGCAGTGGCAGTGGGTGGATTTTTTGTTAATACTAACATCAATTTATAATTCTGGTACGAGTACTGATACCGGTTGCACTGCACTATATATGATCGTTACTACGCACATGTACAATCTGCTTGCTCCCTTCAACGTTTCACCAACCAAAAAGAGTGCGGAGTAATGTTTGCAAATCTTCTTGGGATCGGGGACTTGCAGGCGTCGACACTATTCCGTCGTCCACGAAGGACCAGGCCGTTGTGACCTTTGCCGGTGGTGTTTCGGGTGCGGAAGTTGTGGAACTCGAAAGAGCCGGTGCGATTGTTGTAATTCGGTTGTTTAGATTATATCTACTGAGGATATTTCCAGAATTCCGCTGGATCATTAGACTAAACGTAGCTGTTTGCTGATACGGTTGGCTGACTGAAAACGCGGCATAACGTGGATTTGAACTGGCGAAATTGGACGTCGGTGCACGTTCTATGGCGGCAGGGGCTGGTGGATTTGCTCCTAATTAGTAAAATAGTTGATTGAAAAGAGCACCGTAGAAATGTGTAAAAGCCGCTTTTCTCAATGATACGAGGTAACAAACGTGCAGCCTACCATTAAATTAATAATGCGCAGGATTAACGCTAATACACATTGAAAACACAAATCACGAAAATACACAACTGCATGTTGGTTCCCTTTGCATGCACGTCAAAACTGTCTGTTTATTCCGTTGCATGCACATCAAAATACACGTGTACAGTATACTTTTAACGTAGAGGGAAGCGATGAATTTGCATTTTTTCTGAGGATTTCGTCAGCCATGCACGCTCGCGAACGCAGGGTGAGTGAAGTTAATTACAAGGAAACCAACGCATAGATTATTCGTATCCATGCCAGACACTGACCTGGTGAGGTTGCACTTTGTCCAGGAACTGTAATCGCAGCCGGGCTAGCTAATGCCGCCGCCGGAGCCGGTACAGATGAAGATGGCATGGCAGCTACGGCATTTATAATTTGCCCAGCTGGGGCACCAATCAGTCGGCCTTCAGGTGGCGCAAACTGCACGGACCGTCCATTTGGATGTAAGAGATCGTCCAGAACCCTTCCCCAATTGTCACCTTAGAGAAAAACGTCGTTCTGTTGGCAGTGATATTGTCTTACCAAAACATGCTGATATGTCAACGAAATTATCTGATCTAAACGTAATTAGCTGGCCTAAACGGAGCCGCGCATTAGGTGCATGAATTCATTCATTCGACTATGCGGCTCAAATTTGGTATACTTCTAGTGCCGGTAATTATTCATTAGCAAACGGAAGTTACGAATGAACACCAAACATGATAGCATTTGCCATTAGATACCAAACATATTGCATTGGCTAACCATTAAAATTATTTACATTAACAGTTCCGTACATACTCGTACGGCACTACGTACGTGTAGTCCCATATGTTATGCTCTTGTTTTGCTTTCATTACCGGTATAACAAAAATTTTCCTTTCCCCTGCACTATGCAAGATCGTCTGCTGTTCTCTGTTTACGAGTATTAACTCTTCTTATATTATATTTATATTGACACAGTCTACAATACCGGGACCAAATTGTTCCTGAACTCATTGTTAACCATGGGGCGTAGCTACCTGAATTCGCAGCTGGCGCATTTACATTCTGACGATGTGTGGCTCGCAGTGGAAGTCCTTTGTCCTGCAGGGAACGGAGTTGGCCTGCATTTGCTCTAGGCCGAAGCCCACCGTTTGTATTACGGTTTGCTTGGCTATTCTGGATTGCGAGGCACTGTGAGCTAAACAGCAGAACAAATAACCTGACCACCATCAACCGCTTCTTGTCGAGGTGCAGCGTCGCATTATTACCACCGGTACAGGCAACTTCAAGTAAAAAACTACACAGTGCACACCAAGCCATGTTTACTTGAAGGAGGAACTAAATTAGTAGGTACTTTTGGCATTGGTACAATATTTTATGGTACACAAAAATATACCGGTACTTCATGCAACACAAATTAGCTAGCCTGTTTTATCGTTGTACTCATACAAGTATTTATGAGGAAGTTGCGCGAGTTTGAACAATACAGACACAGCTAGAAAAGCATGCTTAATTCGCATGGTTTGAAGACCTGATACGATTAGTTAGTTCTTACAGGTTTCTTAACAGTTATGTCACCAAGCACATGGTGTACTATATATATATATATACATATTTAAGAACTTCCAAGATAAAAGAACGGCAAGTACCTATACGGCCGGGTGTGGCTTACATAACCGCCATACACACAAGTACATCATTTAACTAATTACAACCGATATTTGCTACCATCCGAAAAGTGTTTGCAGTAATGTTTGCAGATCTTCCTGGGATGGCACTGGTGTCGCTCCAGTAAGTACGTCTGATACCGTTACTGATAAGAAGTTTCGGACATCTGCAGTTGCGACAGTAATGGGCTCCACTTCCGAGGGCAGAGTTGTAGATGTTACTGGATAGACAACTGTGTACGCATCTTTCTTCTTGGTACGTACAAAATTCTTGGGTACTAACAAATTCAGTGTGCCTGTTGGTTGGTAAGGATTACTGACAGAGAATGCGGCATAACGCGCATTGCCGCTAGAACCGGTGAAAGCTGATCCGCGCAGTGCCGAGGAGATGAGCCATTTGTCATCTACAGGAGAAAGGTTGCTTAGGGCGCAACTTACAAGTAGATTAGCTAAAAGCGACACTGGCTAACCAGACCGCTTAAATGGAATCGCATGAAATGACCACAAATATTCCTGGCGCACCTGAATTTGGCTCGTCCACAGCGATCGCTGCAGCGGGTGCTACAATTCCCGTAACCGGCTTCTGCTGACGCAAGCCAAAAGCGTTGGCTGGCGACGACGGAATGAGTAATTGGGACTGAAGTTGCACCGGGCCGAACTGCACGGATCGACCGTTAGGATGGTACAGTACGCCTACATTTGGATGGTCAAAGTGGGCTAAAAATTTGAAAAATTTGGGCATGGAGCATTTTACTTTCGAGTCCTTTACACCTCTATACAGGAGTTACTGCGTTGTCGTTGATACTTATTATGCTTCCCTCCAGTAAAAAATTATTTCACATTGCAGTCTATACAATCGTGAGAATCACAGGAAACAATTGCACATGCTTGCTGTTTATAAGATCCTTAAATTGTCCGAGATAAGACACCTAATTTCAACTTACAGGACAATGAAGGTGAATTTGGCGCATTTTCGCTTTGGCGGTGGGTTTCTCTCAATGACAGCCTTCTCGGTGCGGGCCAGATAGCAAACGTCGAACTGCGAACTTGCGGAAATACATTTACGAAAGCACTTGCGCTGTTGTTAAAAGTTGCTATTACCCAAATCAAGAAAAAAACAGAGCTAAGGCATCTCGTTAAAAAATCGGCTACACATAGCTGCTGAAGCAAAGCATTGCCGTAAACATGATGCCGATCAAAATGATGCATGTCCGACTACACGGAAACTAGAGTACGGATTGGAATAAAAATGTTTTATTCCCTTCGGCACTACCAGATCACACAACATTTGGGAAATTCAAGGTGATTACAATTTACAGCCGGCTCTGAACCTAAGCAGAGCTTGCAGCGAATATTGCGCCATAAAAATTAATGATGCTTTCTGCTCTTTCTTGAACGTTGTATTTACGTATATTATCCTGTTTCCAAAGATTCGCACATTATTAAACTTAAAAATTGTTACCACCGGTTTGTAGGGCTTATCAGGTTATAAGCAGTCATATAGGTATGTATTTTTCTCCTGAACTAAGTAACGTCACCTATTATGCTCGTGTTAATATATTACTATGAGCATGAGTATGAATAAATGTCAGAGGGAAGGTAAATCACTAATCGATAATATAGAAAGATTGCCTATCGATACCCGGCCGTGCTCATGACCATGTACCCCAGATACTGAGTGAGCGGGATCAACCGCCATTATATATATACTTCAAGTATAAGTGGAAAGCGGTACGAGTAGGTTTAGACGTAGTTCACTGACTTATCTCATACTTAATTTTCTTGAACAGATGGTCATTAATGAAGGGGCGCTATCAACCTAGCTCCCGGGCTCCTGGCCCCAGCTGTTCGAGTTTGTTGTTAAGTTGAAAATGCTTAAAGTGCATTAGTTGCTACATTAGTTGCTATTTGGGATAATGACAACAAGAAGGGAAATGGTCCCAAACGGTTACTCTTGTCGACAGCTCCGATGAGTGATATTCTCTTCCGATACTCTTAACGGATATAAGAGTAAGGTTTTCGCTATGGGAGTGTGGTCTTCGTTATGTGTCTTAATTAAATAAGAAATACGCAATAGTGACAATTCACCAAAAGTTGACTATAAGGATTAATCAAGCCTGAAATCCAATTTTCGCACTACGTAGGCAAGATTCCAAACCAGACTAGTCCGAGATCTCTGACCTGTTGCGCGCTTACAATACAGTATGCTGTATCTTTCGTAATTTTGTTAATAAAGATGTGACAGTACCTCCTGTATGTACGATATGTGCTATGCAGTATTTACTGTACATTCCACTTGTACATTACATATCTATATATTATAGTATTGTTCGCGCAATTTATAGCATGATATTACTCAGCCATATTTGACTTAATTACTGTAGAACTTGTGTGCTCGCATTTACTTTGTACGATTGATAATAACCTTAACTTTTAAGTAGATCATTGTCACGTTAGGTGGTAATTCGGTCAGTCAAGATTATTACTAATCCACGCACTGTACGTACAAGCGCTTTCTGTATAAGTAATGTTACCAGCAATACTTCAGTACAACCAGAATGTATTCAGGTGATAGTGAATTTTCCCATAGAAGTCAATGCTGAAAATCTTAAGTACTGCAACTCGTACGAGTTTAGACCCGGATCGTTCACAAGCCGAATATCGTATCACGTGATGCAAAACCCGGCGAAACAGATTCCAGGGTGTTGCAAGACTCTAATTTCCTATATTGAACCGGGTCTAGTTTTCCACACCTGCCATGCAGTGTTCCAGTGAATCATGGGGCCGCTCAATCATAAAAGCACGAAATTTCGCTGTTTAATCTGGCACACTATAGCCATACTGTAATCGCACTGGTACAACTATTGACCAGTCTCGTATAATATTATAGCACAGTGCTATGATATCGATACAATCATAATTATTTCTTAGCCGGATTTACCATCCAAACAGAGTACGCAGCATAATCTCGAGATCGGGAGCTGTTTTTGGAGGTGCCATCTTTTCTGTCGAATGATGCGATAGCGGGAACCTGTCTACCATGGAAGCGGTAGTAATGACCTTTGTAACCGTCGCGGCACTTGCAATTAGCGTCGAGTACGTAGAAGCAGTCGACGCTGCCGTCGGTGCAGGTGTTGGAATAAATCGGTTTCCAATATTTCTAATGAATAATGTGCCACCCTTCTGGCTATACGGCAGACTGGAGGAGTAGCTAGCGAAACGGGGATTCGCGCTGCTTCCAGTCGAAACTGGTCCGCGGCTAATGGCGGCGGGCGTGCGAGGCGGGCCTTCAATGTAAGAATGCTGTATTGTACCAGGTATAGTGGATGCATTTTTGGTATCCTTTACAGCAATCAAACTAACGCTATTAAATTTAAGTTCTAAAATTTATAAATCCGAAGAATTTCGAGGCTTCTAAGTTATTGGCTCGATCCAGTTATTGTTATTCTAGGTTTCTGGTTCGAATCAGATGAGCGTTAACAATAAGATCATTCAGATTAGTCTTAACGACTAACCACAAATCCCGGATTCTGAGCAGACAATTTTCACTTCCGGTGGAATGGGAGCAAACATTCTGCCTTCAGGTGGGGCGAAATGTAGGGAAGCTCCATTAGGGCGATAAATCCCGTCCAAATCGCGATTCCATGAAGGGGGTGCTTGTTGCAGAGCGGCTCTGTTCAAATCTGTGAAAATTTAAATGTTCAGTCGTGCATATGCCTAAACAATGAAAATAGCGGGAAATATCGCTTATTGTAACTGTATCTGTAGTAGGTACCTGCGCGCGCTCTAAAATTATCATTAACTTGTTTTCTGAAGGTGTAAAATTACTCGAATGAAAAATTAGCTGGATGATACTTTAGCAGAGTTACGAAATTAGAGTAGAGTTACAACTTTAGCAGAGTCACACACAACGACGGAACCTCCCGACCTCGAACACCCTCGGTATGCATTTTCTTGTGCGCAGTCCCGGGTTGTTCACGGTTCGGCCGTTTTCCAAACGGAGGTTCCACTACAGCCTACTTAGATAATGTTACCAGCGCATTGGTAATCCATGATTCTACTTATTTCTACGTGTTATGCACAAGTTCATATTTCAAGTACTAGTAGCAGATAGCTAGGTAGATCATTGCCGTTCTGTACAGAAAAACTAACCTTTCGAAGACTTCCTCTTCGAGGGGGAAGAACGAGAGGGTATGTTAGTAATTCCATTCACAAAGGAAGTATAATTTATGGTCATCCACGATAAAAAAATCAGCCGGCTGAGGATCATATGTACGTGTAATTGCAAGACACCTGTATTCTGATATGGTAAGTACTTAATAAAAAAAAGCATTAATCAACGGGATATTGATCATGGGAGCATTCGTTCATCAGGATTTGTATACTTACTTCAAAAATTGTTAATAAAGATTAATGGTTACAAATTTCGAGACCAGATGTAAATGTCGTTCTGGTATTCGGAAAACGCATAAGATTCTGCTGGCACTATACCAAATTATGGTTGTCGACTTAGTAGCGTGTCTGGGAATTAGCAGAATCACGAAGGTTCACCGTCAACAATTCTGAGACAAAAAAAACACAGTCACGTTCTTCCACATTGTGACCGCCGGTAGTAGGCGCGTACAAAATGATGTGCGATGGAACATTGGTTCACACGCTGTACATATGTAAGTTCACTGTATAAATATATTACGTTGTAGGCCGGGATCCGGATGAACCAGACTCCGTAAATTTGTCACTTCGGTGTTGGTCTTTCCTTAAAATTACGTTCATGGATTGAGTAGAATAAAAATAAGACAATTATATGGCACTGCAGGAAGAATATCAATGAAAATACATGAACAAATGATAAAAAATATCAATCTGACTTGCACGAGCTTCATTTTTTTAGTTGTCCTAGACCTTCACATCAAACACCTTCGGGGCGTTTATCCAAGTGAGAGATATATACCAGTTTTATCACACGAGAAACCGGAAACGTCTGTTTTTAACAAGTGCTTTGCAAAATTGCCGTAGATTATTACTATATACAACAAAACATAACAGATAACGACAAACTGTGCTCAACGTCGAAGCATTGTTATAACAACTTCCTGCCCATTTTTCAGCACCATCCCAGTTTCAATCGGAAAAACCAAATTCAAGCTTTAATTTGCCGGAAATTGGTGGCCGCAAAGGGGAAAAGTGATTCTAGCACTCTGCGATGATATTTGGTTCGAGGAGCCAATCCAGCAGAAAACTGCTCGAAAAAGGAACCTTGCTTGATGGACCGGGACATCGGCACGGAATTGGCTTGGATATTCGACAGGTTCTCTGGGAGTATCCTTCTTATTGATGAATCGCCACTGTCGGCTAGCAATCCGGATGTCAGCCCAGTAGTCGGCCCTGTGGAGAAAGCGCATTAAAATTTGACAATAAAACTAACAAAATCGCTCATCATCTTGATCCCTAAAGGTCATCGGGTTAAATCAGTTTAAATCAGTTTACATTTAGTCAGTTATTAACCAAGAAGTAACTACTCAGAATTCGAGACGCAACTGCTAACTGACAAACAAACAAAACTTATTACGATATTCTAATTTCGAAGAACTGATGTTCTTCCTGCATTCGGATTTTAAGGATGGCACTTACGGTATTATGTGGCACTCGTACATTAAGAAATCGGAAACGTGAAGTCGAATTTTCTCATACCGATTGAAATAATATTGTTCTGTTCCATCCCAGGAGATGATGTTTCGGACATTCCCTTGACTACAGTGGAATCATTGGACACGCCGTGACCGTCGACGTGCACTTCCGCTGGGACTGATGCACTGCCGGTTATTATCTACAAAATCGCCTGTTGTGATCAATCGTTGAATCATTAATATTGTTGTCGCCTGTATGAACGCGGAAATGCATGTACAAAAGGCTTTAGTTTTTAAAAACCAGTTTCAGATTAAAGAAATCAAAACGTTTTCAGGTCTAATATTTCAACAATCGAGATATCTTACAAAAATCATGGCGATTTACCAAAAAAGTCATCATGATTTGACACTTTGATTTATGTACATTAAAATTTAATTGGCAATAAAAAACTAACAAAATCGCAAATTAAAATCGCAAGTCAAATTTATGTACGTGTATCTGTAGCATTTTTTCAAAAATTTATTCACATCTCAGATACAGTAGTTTACAGTATCTGTACTATTCATCAAGTTACCTGCTATGACACTGAATAACGAAGTGCACATTGTGCACATTGTATCTGTATAATGTGGTAACTGAAACGTTGACGTATCGGTAACTAACAACAAAAGTAAACTTATTCATAAAAATAAGTGCTCCAGGAGTCAAGGGTGGCATGACACTGAACCACATGGGTCTAACCTGTGGTTCGATGTACACACTGGTGATGGTGACGGCGGCGGGCGTCGCCGGAGCATACGTCATCTGCAGCGTCGTGGTCGTTACCGTCGTCGTCGTCTTGAATTCAAAGGGCATGTCGTTGAACACTTGTGGTGGCATGAATTCGCCGCGCTGATTTTTCTTTTTCAGACGAAATTCCAACCAGACCGGTACATCTGATTCGCCCAGCGAGACACGTTGGGTCTCTTCATAATAACCGCTGGCGAACGCACGGATTGTGTAATTACCGGGAAGTAGTAGACGCCAAAATTCACCCCGATCACTCGTCTCATATTCCATACTGCGACCTTGCACGGCGACGAATGCATGTGGAATGGGTTGATTGCGCTCGTCCAGGACAAGTCCTTTCACCCCTGACCACGCAGCAACAAGATCATCGTTATGGCAGCCGCGCAGTCAAAGCGCAGAATTACTAATGCCAGCGAATCAATTTAATGATGGAAATACTTTTACTACCTACCACTTTAATGCATTGCTTAAACATACATTTTCAATAAGTAGTTTATCATTATCATTTTTTATGATCTTATGTAAAGCTACGCAATTATTCTTAGCACAGTCATAATATACCTTTTTAGAAATCATCTTTTGTAGTTCTTGCCCTGATCAGTGGCGACTACATTAAAGTACATATTAACGAATCTCATTTTACCCAGCAAAACACAGGCACAAGCTATTATTTTCAAATCTGTATTTATATCATGAAAAAAGCCAATTAAATTTTTAATGTACTGTATTTTGAAGTTTTTATCAGTTAGTTGTACATTGTAACGTCAAGCCCGTCAAGCCAAAATGCTAACAGTTACGAAGGTGGAAAATTATTTTTCGTTCATATCCATTTTTATAGTATATAGTACCTTTAATAAGTATCACACGCTAGTACACACTTAGTACTGAAACTTAGTACCATTTTTACGTCTACGATTGTGTTCGCTGCTACAAACAGTCAACAACAACACTTTTATCGGGAGTGTATAATGTTACAATTTGTGCTTAATTCCGTAAACTGGCGCTTTTTTGAGTGGCTATTTTTAAAAACAGACCATGTGTTGCTCAGTAAGCAATATTTCAAGCAAATTCTATAAAGGCAAGCGTCCCTTGTGCACAGTCCCTTCTCATGTTAACTGGCACAAATTCTTCATTTGATCATATTTATTGAGCGAAGCTCGCCTTATACATATTGAGAAATAAATCACAAAGGCAGGCTTCTCCCAGCCCACTGAATATTTTAAAAACTCGTAATTTACTAATTTCGTTAGACCTACCGAGTTGAGCTTGTTGGACGAAACCGATCATAGCGCTTTTGTTTTCTTCCCAGAAATGGCGCAACATAGACCTTGGGGGAAATTTGCAGCATGACACTTCTAAAGTGACCTCCATTACGCCAGCCACGACGTAATTAAAATCTTGCATTCCGCCTGAAAAATAAGACATTATTCCATTTAATCATTTGACTGACATGCGCACTCCCGACCTCAGCTAAAACTTATTTTTAATTTCTGGAAGTAAGAAATCAAGCAAGAAAAGGTTAATAGTGAGTGTTATAGCAGCCGAATAATCACCTGTCAAAGGAAACCAGGCTGCTCCATTTGTAACGCCACCTTCGAAGTAATCTCCGCAACTGAGACCGGTGTGCATGTGCAAATGACGCTGAGCATACGTAGTGGCTGTAAATCAGCAATACGTCAGTTAAAAAATTACTGTATCCAGTGCGATAAGAAAACTTAGCATTTTACGCATATATACTGTTTCATTTAGGTTTTAGTTGGTTTAGGAGTATTTACTTGGCAGTGCAAAACAACCCTTCATGCTTCACATATCAGTTTACACTGTGCATTAACATAATATCAGTTTACAATAATTGTTGCAGACGCTACCACTGACGTGTGTAGTACTGTTCGCATTACCCAGATGATAAAAAATGTCATGGTCTTCGGTTAGCGTGAGTTTCGGCACTTGAGAGAATCCTGCGTAATTGTCCCAAGGATACGACGCCACCACGGCACCGCCGTGAAAATTGGCGGATAACACAAATTTGTTGTTCTTTAGCCATTTGATAATGTGCTTGGTTTCCTTCTCGCGCCGGACAAAGTTCTTCCGCATAAAATCAGGAAAATTCCGATTTAAATCCGCTCCCCGTGTATTATACCTGTTCAGCGTACACTGCATTACAATTCGCATTGCATAATCCAATCAGTTTTTGTGCCTGTAATTAACGTGCTGGGCGGACGCCCATCACATGGTCAGCCATGCATGGCAGACGAAATGGCAACTAACCTGCCTTTAGTACCACTACAAACACCTTCTTCGGCCAATTCAAATCCATCCGGATTCATGCTTGGTAGTAGATGGATTTCGGTGTTGGTCAACAGTTTTGTTATGGCGCTGTCATTGTCGGGATTACGCAAGACGTGATAAGCAAAATGTATCAGCAGCGACCGACCGACCGGCTGCAAAGAAACCGTATGGCTGTTATACAATTTTAGCGTAAGGAAACCGAAAGTGCTTTGTCGAAATAGCCACTATAAACAGAAAGATGCCGAATGCGGCAGTAAATTTTATTATCTATCCATAATTCGTGCGCCAGGTTTAGTTTTGCATATTTTTGTCATACTCTCTGTGTACAGTTTGCGATGACCTTCACATCATTGCTATTTCGAATTTATCCAAAAACTAGAATAGTAGCTGCTTAAAAATGTGCAACGGATACTGGTACTAAAACTAAAACCACTTCAATCTTTTCATGAACAACATATCCGCTAAGTTGGAAGACCCAAAAAGACGATATTCCGCGAACACGTACATCTATGTAGTACGAAAAGGAGAATGAATGATGCCATTGTAAACATTTTTCTCAATAAATTTCGTGTATTGTTGTCCCGCAACTTACATAATAAATATATAGGAAACAAATTTAGCACAGTATTGCACAAATATGAGATGTGCAAAAGAGATTCAAACAGGAAATCTCTCAGGATGCCTACAAGAATACCTGTTTCTGATGCAAAAATCAAGACACAACAAGTGGCGTATCAAAAGTTGCCGATCATCCATGTTATCACGATCAGGCATCGTAACATATGTAGCGTGACGCTTACAATTACGATTAGCATCGCGATCGGTGCACAAGTCGTTTCATGTACCGACGCGTCGATATCAATAATTTTTGTCAAGGTAATCATTGTGTTTATCACTGACGAAATGGTGTTTCGATCTGAAACTTTGACTGAAAAAGATTGTTATGGTATTGCAACAACACTGTACATTCATGATCATCTAGCTTAATAACAAAACGGACTGCAAAACCAGCTTATAATCCATTTACCGTAAATGAACACGTTCTGCTGCTTTGCGGCTTCCACTTTGAGACAATCCAGTTTGCTTTACAAAACCAATAAGCTCGTTAATTAGGCTCTTCCACTACAGACTGCAATCTGATATACGGTACAACAAGGATAAAACCATATAGTCAATGAGATTTACTGAGAATGCTGCCATTAACCTAAAATAAATTGTAGCGGTAAGTAGTAGTACCCGGTTCATTTCGATCAAGTGTTAATATAAGCAACAGCACTACAGCACCAAACCAAATACCAACAAAAAATATGTTGAAGCGCTCACAAATATTTAAAGCTCAGTATTGCGAAAATTAATGGCTTTACAGTACTTTATACCGATACTGAATCGCTGAATGAGAAAACGTTTTGGGAAACAAAAAGAACTGTTACAAAAAGTATTTGTGAGGCTTTTATGTAAACTACTTACAAAAACAATAACCAAAAAGGGGGAAGATTACAAGCTTCCGCGGATTGTTAACTAGGTTGATGCTCAGCAAGGTACGTGGAACAATTTCATAACATACTGTATTTGCATTCAAATGTAGCAGAATAACTGCATTGCCGTCAGTTCGATGACAATCGGCTACAGAAAAATTCGAACATCACTTTGTTGCTGCATATCACTTTTGCTCAACTCCCACCCAGTGATGGTTTCTTGGAAAACTGCTGAATTTTAGAAAGCTCATATTTTTGATCTTGCTACTATGGCATGTTCTTTAGACCTTTTAAAACTCCGAACCTTCTGAACTGAAGGGCACCAGATTAATATGGCGGTTTTGGGGCAAAACACCATGCAGCCACAACAACCCCTAGTACAAATTTTCCGTGCCCTTTGCGTCAGTCTAAACGCAAAATGTTACCTCATTTCCGTGCATGTTTCCAACTAGCTTGACCGACGGTTTACCCAACGGTCGGTCCCACGGGTCAGAACTGATGCAGAGCGCCCATAATTCCCGTCCCCGTTCCGATTTGCCCAATGAATACAAGCGCGTGAAATTGGGAAAGGTTCTCTGAATATTATGTAGTTCCTCTGTTAATTCCATGTAATTATTATACTGAAATGCAGGAGTGGCAGGATTGGCAAGTAAAGTCGCCCGCACAGTAGTGCATAAGGAGAGTATATACATTGTGAGCAGATGAGTATACAGCGCTGCTGGCCATTTCCGGCGCGTCGGCGAGGTCCGCAGGACATTGAGGAGTCGGGTCAGTCGTATGTGATACATGCTGCCACACAAAAGAAACATAGCGTCCAACCGGACGTTAGCAGCGGAAGATATAAATAATGCCCGATAAAGGATACATCGCCGCTGATAGGAAAGTGATGTATCACCGTGTGCGGACGTTCACACACAACAGTGTCGCTTCCTGTTGGTACACGAGCGATGATTTTGTATAAAAAAGAACAGAAATGTAAAGTGAGAAGTGTCGATCGCCAGCACAAAGCATCCTACAGTGCCAGCAAACGCAATGTCACGTTCGGATACTGTCGTTTAAGTGCCAAAAGACATATAAAAATTTATTTCCCGATCGTCGGCCGGCTAATAATAAAACTGCCGCATGGCGCAATCTGATTAGTGCATCAGTGCATATGGATCAGTCTGCGGCTGGCCACGCGGTAGCTGTGCTGCGTCAAGTGCATTATTGGTACACATTCGATGATTTCTTTTTAGTCTCTTCAATCTATTAAAATGCTCTCGGTTTGTTTAACCACAATATCACAACAGAAATCGTTCAACGATCACAGTGTTAAGTTGTTAGCGAGCAATGTAATGTTCGCGGACGCTGTCTTGGATGTGTTGAAAAGGGTCCTTTACGACGGCGCCTGCCGCGTGCACTGCGCCGGGAAACGTACAAGCTGTGTACATTGTACGCCGTGCCCTTTTAACGTATTGTAGTACTGTTAAACAATCCACGTTGCCCTTTCGACGCGTACTGACACTCTGGTCTTTGTTGTACAGTGTACACACTGACCGTTGGCGTACGGAATGACTTTGCCGTGTACAGACATGCAACGATAAAATTTAATGTTATCAAATCAATACATTCTCTAAAAATAATGATAGTGCAGAAATCTGTGCACATACACAGCGACCTATTTGACGTACAGAGTGTCCGGTCGCCATTGGCCAGAAGCTGGGCATTGTACGTGTTTCGCTAGCCGCGCGTACAGTGAAGTCAGTCAGAGCACAATTGGATCGCAACTGCTTGATGTGATGTGATATTGATGGATGTTGATTTGGTGTTTGGTGTTTGCGTATTAAATCAACACACCACGGGCCATGCAACAAAATGTCATTGTTTCATGTCCAATAGCTCTGAGTGTCAGGCAAGGTCAAGGCAAGAACGTTAAGCTGCTCAGTTGTAATGTGCCACTGGACGGGGACGAAGTGGCCGGTACTGAGTGCTGCACTGTGTGGATGGAAAGATGAAGCCATGTGTTTCTCCTCTCGGGTACAAAGCTCCACACTGTCCATCGTTGTGTATGCGAATGTACGTGTGGACGTTTGGCCGCGATCGACGAACTGTTTCGATAGCCCGCCGCGGCCAGTGTGATGGCTGAGCATGATCCGGATTAATGCGGCCAAATCGGTTACATTGCTTGTTTAAGCTGCCATATTATCCCCGCTGATCCGCCACTCCAGTGCCGTAACCGTATATCAAAGCGTTATGATTAGTGTCGACAACATGATGGCATCGAAAATTATTGTAACACTCGTCGGTCTCGCTGCAGTTGTTGAAAACATTGTTCCCGTTGTTTTTTGACGAGATACAGATGTTGGTCTGCTTTTGTAAAGAGTCGGCAACGCATTCGAAGCATGATGGGAGCACGCGCGTATTGCACAGGAGTACACTCACTCGTATATACTTGTATATGTGGATAAAATCTCCATTGGCACGCCTTACAATTAAAGTATAATTTATTAGTTTAATGTTTCATGTTTTCGTAAACCTGTATAATGTACACTGCGCAGCTATGCCACATTTAACTCCAATTTCGCAGCTTGCAATAGTTTTTTTTTCAAATTCTTCAAAGCAAAACTTACAAACTCGCTTGCTTAAGTACTGCATGGGAAAAAGATTTTGGGGGTCAAGCAAAGTGTAGCGGTCACCTGCAGTTTGTTACCTCTGATTAAATTACAGGAAGAACATTTTTTAATTTATTCAAATTATCTTGTACTTGCTCATATTTTTGAATAAGAGTACGTACGTAGATTTATGAATATGTATCCAATTAATGTAAAGAAAGAAAAAGTCAGAAGTACGTTTCGTGCCGAAAGCATATGGTGCAGGTACCGGTGGCACCGGTGGCAAGTAAGTGCATTATACGCGGCATATTGTCATAGCATTATTATCAGTAAAAGCCAAAATAGAGGTAGCCAAAAGCCAGATATTGCTATTAAAGTAACATCAAAAGTACTCGAAATATTGCTTACCTAAGCGCTTACGCTGGTATTGTGCTTTTATTGTATCCCATGAAACTGCCGTCAACACTGTAATACTGTCAGAAAGATTATAGTTATGTACTTATATGAGATTACGAAACCGTTAATCCAGCCAGATTCCTATCTGGACCAGGTCAACATTTTCCCAGCCGTGGAGATCATTTCTGCGCAGCCGGTAAAATTTGGCAGAGTATTAATATACAGATTAAACAAACAACAAACGGAATTAATCACCGAAACCAAAAAAATCACAACGTGAAAGCTAAAGGTCACCACTTTGATGACCACCAACTCTTCCAGGACGTGTTCGGGCCAGGCTAACTCCTCCTTTCCTAGCTGGTGCGCCAGGTTCTGTTCGACCTTAATGTAGGGAAGCAATTTCTTTTGCCAGTCTCGCAACGTGCTATATACACCGTACACAATTAAGGTCAGGCCGAATGCACATAAAGAAGAAATAGCGTTGAATTTGCTGAGGCTCTGCACGCAGCCGATCAGGCACTTTTTGTGTCCGGATGAGCTGATCTTCCAGGTGAAGATGCCCAGGGCACCGTTGACCATAGCAAAACAACCCACAAAGATTCCCACGGATTCCAGCCAGAGGAAAGCGGCACTGGCACGGGGATACTTCAGTTTGCCTGCAAGCAGATTGACTGTATGTATGAGTAATGTGTATGTCCAGATCCTGTCTTTAGTTTTAGGAACGGGGGGAGTACTTCCGTTTTCCTCCCTCCGTTTAAAAGCCACATCTGGCGTAGAAAGTTTAGAAAAGTGGCTTGAAACGTCACAGCCCTGCACTTTTTTGTAAAAATTTTTGGCGCGCCGGGCGCCAGTGCACCAGCTCCAGGCCGGTACGTCAATTTCGCCCCCCTCCCTTGGGCGCGCCCTACTTCTAAAGCGGGCATGAATATGGCAGACTATGTGTGTTATTGGTCTCCACTACTGCAGTCGTCTTACATATGACGACCTTACTAAAAAATTAATAGAACTTCAACTCAAAAACCTGGTATAGCTACCTTATTACCATAACAAGGAAGTAAAACAATTATTTGACTGGCTGTGCTCCCATGTCAAATTTGGTTGAGAGTCTTATAATGATATGGGATTGAAATCGCCGGTTGCCGTGGACTATGGAAATTGGAGATGCGTACTTGACTTCAAAATCCCTTGATCATTTTACGAAAATATATAGTATAATTAATACCATTACGTCTCCAAAGCCCAAATTAAAAGTAAAAATTAAAAGTGCGTTGCATGTACTTGTACAATGTTTATCTAACCATAAGTGTTAGAAATCATCTCCATGCTTCGCATTCTTACGCCAAAAGCAGTGTTACATTAACTAACTTGTGTGTACAGAATTATGTCTCTGCGCGCGTATACAACATATAGATATTACAGTAGCATTTGGTTCAGTGAAGCATAGCTAGAAAGGTTTGTGATGATTAATAATTTAAAGAACTGATAGACCGCTGTGAAGACGACAACTGCGGAAAGACAAATACTGTACTACCGAAAATCGTGTTAGCCACTGGTCATTCTTATACTACAAACAGCTTTTTGCGGAAGATCAAGCACAGATAACGGTACTTTGCCATAAGTTGTGCGAATTACGTAACACATACTCGTATAGGTAAGTACTGTTTTATAATTCCTGTATTTTGTGTATGTGAATTGTGAAGCGTAGTAAAACTTATAAAGATTATAATTATTACTTTTATAACTGCTTCGAAGTAGAAGTATAGCAATGTATGGTAGCGTACTGAACGCAAACCGTATATATGGGTACAGAGTACAAGTACTGCAGGCTAAGAATCTAAGATCAAGCGATCTCTCAAAGAGTTGGGGCTGACTATTATTCACATGGAATACGAGATAAGGAGTGATTACCATGCATACGTTTCCAGCTTTCCAGATTGAGACTCGAATTCAGAACTCGAATCTGTTGATGGCTAATTATATTGTGAATTTCGGGTGTGTGTAACTGTGAGTGTGGCTTTCGAATTGTTCACCATCACGCAAATGTACTAATAAAAATAACATGTGTCGACTGCTAAATTCTGCGAACACAATGCTCACTTAATAAATTCTAACTTCTTGAACATGTTCTTCTTGTCAGATACATCGCATTAAAGGACCCATCGGGTATCTTTATATTTTAGTCCGCAAGGCCGAACTTACTGGTTGTTTCCACGCACACGGTGGCCATTCCAACAGTCAGAGAAATAACACTCAGGGCAAACATCAACCGTACACTGCGCCGGTCCGATCGGTCCTTCTTCCGCTGCAGCGAACGGAACATTCTGATAAGACGTCCCTGTTTCTCCGCGGCATTCTGCGCGATACTGTTGATCGACGATGAACTGACCGATAATGCACGGTGGTCACCCACAGATTTCGATCGTTTTCGCAACATATTCGCCGGCTACAACAACTACAAGCATAAACGCCTGACCACTAGACATTCGACCCAACTGCGGTTGCAAATGTTTCCTGGCTAGCTATAGTGTTAAAATACGAACGTTTTTTTCAACTAGTCAAAAGTTTGGCCGAATCATGATGATTGAGTAAAACAAAACCCTTCGCGCTCGTCGCATAACGTTTTCACATCGGTGACACACCCCAAAATTGGACCAAGATAAATGTGGTGTCATCAAATTGTAATCCCTGCGTAACGATGTCACCAATTAGTAAATCAACAGACATGCTACCATCCTTATGTACATTTCGACTAAAGGACAAAAAGCGTCTTCTCAACGTTAACAAATAAGCAAAAAAGATTGTGCTCCGAGAAATAAATCTGACACGTTGTGAAAGTGATACTTGGACTGTTGGACATAATGCACAATGTGTTTCCGCTCACGCTTGCTGCCTGAATACTCCGCCTCCCGGCGGCCGAAGAGGATGAGTAATAAACGCTCTTAATTTTTGTGTGATTAAACAGTAAATAATGTAACCCTAAAAATAACATCTGGACACGGTAATCGGAGAAAAGGTCGGCTGTATCTGTAATGAAACTTGCGCCGACGCCAAGTGTGTGCGGCTTGTTCATGTGGTGGCACATGTGCTTACTCATATCACCCGTCCACAAACAACGGCTACTGTCTGCGATCGGCTGTATATTGATTTATTTACGCGTGAATGCTATACATGTCTTGTCAACAATGTGTACCTGTATTCGACATGATGCGAGTCATCGCAGTTTATTCTTGCACAAATCGAGGTACAAAATGTTTCTTAATCGTATAATCGGCGTTTTCTACCGCTCGACATGATTGATAATCTACAAAAATGGGTATATTTCCGCTGTCATTTATACGCTTCGCAAGATGGATTAATTATGGATTATATATGTGCCAGTAACAATGCAGTCGAAGGTGTGGTCCGGCACACCGGCACCGGCATGCCAAAAAAGAAATAAAGAAATAAACACTCCGCTGCCGAGATTATTTGGCAAAACTCAAATGCTTGGCTCTACATGCAAACAAATTCTCGTCCTACGTGCAGTAATAATTGCCTAGTAATAAATACTCCGTCCAGTTCCGGCACGCGGTAGCCATTGTGGAATTGGGTGCTCGTACTTCAGCTTGGTGTATTCATCTTTCAGCTGCATACTTTTTGTCTAAAAAACTAACGCATTTTCCCAGTCCAACATGCAGCCCAGTGAGCCCACTATAGTAACTGTAAACTCCAGATTTTGAAAATTACATTTCAAAAGTAGACACATTATGTGCAATGCTCGTTGGACACGAAATAAGTTATTCAGTTAATTGCACAAATAAACTATTGGAACATCTGTACTTCTACTTGTATATGTTGTCTGTTAAGCAGGATTAGCTTAGAAATAAAAATGATGCGTGCATTACTCAGTAAATATTACATGTATGTACACGTGCTTACAGGACGAAATGCCGGAAACGATTTTCCTGGATGTGACATGGAAGTCTCCGATTCTGTATCGTGAAAGACAGTCTTGTCCACCATAGTATCACTGCTTCCGTGCATGAGGTCGCTTTCGTCGTGTGCCAACGACTGGTGCTTCTTCCATTCTTTAAACAGACTGGATTCCGCGGTTTTTAGCGCCTAAAAATGATTTACGTGTTAATTGCTGGTATTAGCGATTATTTCATGGATACCGATACTCAATCGTCAGTTAGCAATACAAGGGTAACTGTTAATTCAGAGTTCATGGCACCGAAATATATATTTGCAACTTTTCAAGCATTTCATTTTGCTGAGAACAGTAATTATTAATAGCCATGCTCGTTTAGCAAATATTAATAGCTCTTTACAGCACACCTTTGCGGCATTACTCTCTTTGGTGCGTTGAGTGGTTTCTTTCCCTTTCCCTTTCAGGAGTGCCTGCATTAAATTGCGTGCATATATCAGCCATCATCCCGACGCGCTGAATACCGAGAAAAGTCTTGCTTACTTTTCTAAGGTCAAGCTGTCCATTTAGGGACGCTGCCGAAGGCGGTGCCGCCTATATAACAAACACCCATCATACTGACCACTGTCCTCCGGTGATTCACATGCCGTCCCCACCTTGGCACTGCGCGTATGTATCTGACTCTTGGGAATTTTCCGGTCACCGGCACCCTGCTGCTGTTGCCGCACGGCAGCTGACGCACGCTGAGCCCGGCGACTCATCAGCGTGGATGCCGCCTTGGCTGGCGGTGTGTCTGACTCACTACTGGCTGTACTGCTCGTGGTCGCATCCGAGTCACTCGTTGTCATACTGTATTCTGCCGGCATACTCCGCGGTACTCGCTGGCGTGCTGGTGGTTTCGGATTATCAAGTCCCAATCCGGGACGGTCCACTACGTTCCCTGGGCGCAGCAGCGGGAACGCGGATTTCGTAGCCGTGACGGGTTTGATGACCTTTTTCAACAGCCCCTCCGTAGACGACTGAAGTTTACCTTGGGATTAGCAAAGTGACAGCGTGTAACGAGTGTAATCGTGCGTAGCATGTCTTATTAATAATAATATGCGTCAGGATGAAAGCGTGTTTTCAGGGATGCGTGATGAGTGCAGCATACCGATGGTATCGGTGGCAGTTGTGTCGGGTTGTGCTGATTGATGATCCTCGGCACTGTCATGTCGGCTTTTTGACTCACGCTCGAGTGCGGTCTCGACTATGGTGACTTTTTTCGGACGTTCATCGGGAGCATGTGTGTTGTTGGGTGGCAAAAGCGGTTCTGCCAAAGCGGGTTGGCAGTTACTTGTATTTGCCGGCACTGCGCACTTCTGATCGGGGTCGTACAAAAAATTCCCAGGTGCGTCCGAAACATTAATATGAGCCGAGATATCGGCTCTAAGAGGTATCTATCACGTGAAATTTGCTTTAGCAAAATCAAAATTAATGCTTTAATTCGACATCTGCATGGCGTACAGACGCGCGCACTTATCATACCTGCACAGTTTCGTTTCCGATCCACCGATCTGGACTGTTTATCTGCACCTGTTCTGCAGTGGCCATTTCATTCTCCTTCCCACCATTCCCGCCCACACCTCTCCCTCCCAGAACATCGTCCCGTAAAAATAGCGCTTGCTGTGCATTAGATACGAATACACATACAGAACGTAAGTAAGAACTACGGTATGTTTCTAATTCAGAAACACTTTCGTAATCGTTAATGCAGTGTATATGCCACATTTTCCGTACCAGAAAACGCTTAATCTTCCAGTTTACTGTTAAGTTTGCAAGTATTATTTATTGAATGTAATTGGTTTCTGTACTGCATGGCGCACATTATTCAAATTTATAAGACAAAGGGCGTATGCGTATTAATCGTACTTTTACTAAATTCAAATAAATTGACGGCTAAACGTAAAGTACAATCGACTGTTAACGTCTACTGCAGACAAATTCCGTTTGAATACGTTGCCATATAAGTATCTGTATTTGGACACCCACCTCTGCGGTTTCCAAGCGTTCCTCCAGGAACTTCCTGTGCAGTTTATCCTGCTGTAGCATATCGTTAAGCAGCTTTACAGAGGCTTCTGATTTTTTCAGCGTCTCTTTCTGTTCCCAATACAGTTTTAGGTGTTCATTGTATTTGTCAATTATCCGCCTATATGCATCTTTGAACTCATGGCAGTGCTCACACATGGTCTCCTTCGATGGTGGACCGTCGCCAGCGAAAGCCATTTGGATACGAATGTGTAATTATGAAAAGAGATGATAATATAAACAAAATTATTAATCAAGAAAGAAACCAGATAAATGCAATACAAAATAAGGTGCAACACAAGTTTAACCGTAAGCACGATGCTTGTTTCACAAAACAAATTATCAACAAATCAAACAGACCAACAAGCAGCAAAGAAACGAGGTTCTAAGCCATTTTGAGCTGATTTTTCGTCTGGAGCATAAAAGTCGCGTGTGCGTAAAATTACACTATAAATATGTACGAATTCTTTTTCTGCGAAATCTTTTGCCAACAGAAGGGAGTTTTTTTAGTTTGTCAGTTTCTGTTGTTGAAAAAGGCAGAGCCGTTCTTAGCAACTGTGTATAGTAAATGTGCAGAATGTAAACGTGCGTATAGTCTATAAAGGATTTTAAGGCTCTTGTCTCAGTCTTGTGCGCGATGCTTACTATACGAAGTACTGCAAAAATATTTACCAGACCATAACTATGAAAAACATTAGTTATTCCCTTATGCACCTGGAAATCACTTAGATCATATGTATTAATTATTAAAAAAATAAGTCAATTACATACAGTAGATCGACTACGGGAACAGGTTTTTTAGCTAGTATGTACATAATTATAAAATTTTGTGGGACCACACGACAACGTCCGCGCATAATGCTAATTTTTCGGTGCAACTTTTACAATTCTGCCTCTTTGGCGCATCCATTTGGCATATTCGTAAATAAACATAGCGCATCCTAAGCAGCATCCATATCCCCACAGTGCAATAAGAAATGCGAAACTCTCCAGACTGATAGCTTGCTTGCGCAATCCGGCGCTGTCCTTCAAAGTTTTCTTGTAGCAGGTCTCCATTCGTGCATGCGACTTCAACCGCATATACCGCTCATACTGCTGAATGCCAGCTGCCCACAGTCCTTCCTGTGTGGTCTGTGCAAAACTGTCAAAACAATAACGAACCGTGCAACACAAAAATAACGCTCACCGCCATGCTTCCGTAACGTACATCTCAATACAGTAACCTTTGGTTGTCACTTGCTGTTTAGGTCTTATCCTTGTTATACAAGTACATTAGCCGCGTGGATTACTGACCCTCTTTCGATTCCTTTTCGTAAGGAAGAATTTTTCGGTAGAACAAACGCCGCCACTCGCAGTGTTCCCAGTTTATCGATGGCCATGTACATGTCGCAACTCACGGCCGACAAATCCAGCAGTGCTTCATGACTGAGTATCAGTGCTGTAAGGTCGCCCATGGCCAACTCCAGATACTGTGTGTAGATATTGGAATAACTGACATTGGACGTGGTGGAGTTGAGGATGAGAACTTTTTGTGCCAACTCCTTCTGGTAGGGAATGCGAGATGCCTACGGTACATACAGATGCAAATTGCCGGTAATTTACAACCGAACCGGCAACTTGTTAAAGCGGTGTATGTACTTTACATTTAACATGTCAATCGCCGTTGGACTGCCATAAACCGTGAACTTTGTGTTCAACAGGGATTCAACGTTCTCAAAAGGCAGCTTTTTCGGGGAGCTGAAGGCAAACACGTATGACATGTGTCCGGATATGGTACACAAGATAGTGAGTGTATACAAACACCACACGCCGTAGAAGAGCATTTTCGACAGCGGCCACTGTGTGACGCGCGCTGATTCAAAATCCTCTAAAGTAAAACAATAAAATTATGCGAGTGGTGGTCACTTTTTAAGTACTGTGCAGTGCAGTACTTTTATGCAAGTATTTCAGGTATGTGTCAATCATACAGAATACAGTAAAACGCTTGGGATAGAATAGTTATGTTTAATATCGCCACGCTAACTCTTTGCTTATCGATTGACAGTTATAGTACTTAAAACTTTTGTGTTTCAGACAACAAGACAAATGTAAATGATATTAATTCTGTAAATGGCTTCTCCGGCTCCGGCTTACGGCTCCTCTGGAAAAATTTATAAAGCACTTTAATTTACCAATGCCTTCGATGCCTAAACCCAAGCCCAACAACTTTATAGTCCACGAGAAGAAACGTTTTATTCCAAATCGTCCTGGTGACCTTTGTCGAAATCGCTTATGGAACTCTTCGAAGATGATACCGACCAGCGAGAAAGAAATGACTACGGCAACCATCACCGCCAGCACACTGGGCGACGCCAGCTTTTCCAGTGTATTCCAGAAGAAATCAGACTGTCGGGCGGACAGGAGGTGATTCTTGTGCACCACGGCCATGTATGTCCGCGGAAATAAGGAATCGATCAGGGTGAAATGCTCACCGCGTGATGAAGACATTCCCAGCGGGGCCACACCCTAAATTATTTAAGTAACTAATAACGTGAAGACGACAAATAAAAGTCCAATTAAAAGTATAAACACTTTAAGTGTACAGTACTGACCATGTCCGCTGTGTCATTGACAATGGCGCCCATCACACCGTCGAGCGTTTCATTCCGCAGACCCACTAACGGGGGCTGTTGCAGAATACAGCTGCAGCATAAGACATTTTGCAAGCTTTGCTGATTATGAAAGTTTTTGTACAACAGAACGCTCGCAAAGAATTTTCGCTTTAACTTACGTCTGGCGTAAATACCCGCAGATGTGATAGAGAAAATCAATCAATATTCCTTTCCATTGCTTCTCCGGTTCCAAATATTGCACATAGGGAGGAGACTAGTGAAAAACATACTGAATTGTAGTATTTAATTACGAAAGCTGAGGCATCCCCGAAATCAACAAGTTGTTAAGTTCAGTTAAAAGGGCCACCCAAAGCCTTCAAGAAGCAGATATGTCAACTTCAAATCAGAATTCACCGGCAAAAGTTATAAAAAGCTGGTAACTTACGTTTTTTTAGTCACAACGCTATTGTTAAAATTCTTAATAAACAAAAGGCCTGTTGTTCATTGTTGTTCATTCACGAATCATACACGCAAGGGCCTTCATTTCCAGCCAACATCAACAAGTCCGAGTAACAAAAATCTGGTGACCACTCTCACAAGCGAAAGTCAAAACAAGCAAAACTATCAAAATACAAAACTTACATTTGCTAGTAAAAACAAAACTGCAACAATCTTACCGGATAGACAGATACACGAACACTTGTTGGAACTAATTTCAGGCGATCGGACATTATCAGGACAAGGAAAAAACAATGATCAATACAAAAAGTAAAAAATCACATGGCATCAATCAAATTTATCGCGGGTTTTTCGCCGGCAAGATCTGCACGGACAACTTGTGTTTGGCCAGGACATCTTCCGGCATGCAGAAGACTGGATTAACTGTCTTAATATTGCCCAGGAATGTGTGAGTCTGACTCGAATCGCCAGCTGAGAGTAGGGAAGACGACAATAGCGACAATCCGGCCACACCGAACAGCGTATGGAATGGATCAGCCAGGTTGCCGGGTCGATCGGCGACGCCGCCCAGCTCCACATCCTGACTGGCCAGAATGAAAGAGATAAGTTTCTTCTCGTCGATCCAGTGCAGCCGGCCGATTATCGCCAACGATGCCAACACCCACCACGAATAACAAACATCTGGCAGCTTCTCAGGCCGTCCTACAAAACGGCAACAACGAAAGCTAGACAAATCTCTTACCAAAATTCGCAACGATGTACTTGATCCTGCAATTATACAAACAAAACCATAATACATGGAACTATTAGTTCCAGGGGAAACTTTTACGAAAATTCAAAAGCACAGAAGAAAATTCGACTATCCGAAGTATATTTGGTAGGTGGGAGAATACAAGAATACAGCACATGGCATTCGTGTTGATGTAAAAATCTTGCTTACTGCACGATGCATTTTTGCAATGGCTTCTCGTTTTACCCCTTTTTTTCTTAAGCGTGGAAATACTTAGCTTTCCCATTAGTTTCTATTTTTATCTTTATGAATGGCTGGATTTCTTAGAACTTTAACGGAGCCTCATCAGTGCTGAACGGTAATTAGTTCAATGTTAATTGGCAGCATTTTTCTTAAAAATATCGATAATTATAACGTTACATCGTTGATGAATCTGTGAGCACCAACATTTTCACAGCGGCAAGCAAATGTTGCAGTGTGCCTAGATATCACAAAAACTACAAAACTCCAAGAAATTGCTAAAGCATACAAACTCTAAAAATAAGAAAAAGCTAAAGCATACCAATCCAAAGAACGATAAAATTATTGACATACCGTTAAGACCACCGCTAGGCAGCTGCCGTTTCGCCAGCCACAATCCCAGCTTATCCGCATCCACAATATCCAACCGGCCCAAAATGGCCAACGATCCCACACTGCAATAAATCATCCCCGCATGCGACTCCGCACCGGGCGACGTCCCGAAACCGCCGTCAAAATTCTGACACTGCCGGATATATTCCACAGCCTTCTCCCGCTGGCACTGCTCCAACCGCCCTAACAACGCCAGACACGCCAGTCCACACATGGAAAAGCGCGTATCCACTTCGCCCCAGCGATCGCCCGCGAAACTCCCGTTCTCCTGCTGCAGACCCACCACGAAGCGGCTGACACCGTCGACATCAATCTCCGCCAGGGCGTCGAAGGTGACGAGGATCTGGACGGCGCACAGAGTGTGCAGCAGGTGCTCGTCGTGGTCGGGATGGGGCGCGAAGCCCCCCGAGGGCGTCTGGCAGCTCTTCACGTAGCGGATGACGGCGTCGCGCGTGAAACGCGACGAGGCGTGGAGAGCGTGCAGGAGATCCAGACAAGTTACGGTCCAGTACATGCCCGAGATGCGGAGGTACTCGGCCATGGAGAATTCCTGCAACGCACCGGGGTTCAGCGACATCAGCAATGCGGATGACTGGGAATACTGTACTAGTATTTGAAAGTTGTTTTCGACGTACGTACGCGTCCACATCTTCGCCATAGCGCTCTAGATAGTTCGTATGCTTATCCATCGCGAAAGTAGTGGGAGCGTCCGCAGGGATCGTGGCATCGCGTTGAGGATGTGCCTATAACCAGTAAATGCAACAACTTGAAAAAAGTACTGTTCAACCGTAAATGGAATATCGGCCATATTTCAGGCTTGACGTGCTGATAGTGATACTGATAGTGACAAAAACGCATCCCAATTTCCACCCAACATACCATTCTGAATGTGTCGCGGGTCTCCGGAAATTCCTCTTCTTTACTGCGAATAGTTTCTTCTGTATTACGTTCAGATTGACACGATAATTTCGCAACTGGCTAATAAGAAAGACAAATCGTCAAAAGTACAAAAATTTACAAAAATCTAAAAAATGATGGAAAAAGTCAAAAAGTACAAATCACAAGTGAATGTTTTTTTTATTCTGATTTTGAGCCAATCTTAGTCCGCACGCCAGCCAAGGGCGGGTGCAATTGCATCTTGGATTTCCAAGGCTACTGTATACATTTTGAGAATTTCACTATTTCAGATAAATTTTCAGTTTGCAGATCTGCACTCTTTGCAGCTATGAGCTTGTTTAAATTCTGTTACTTACTGACTGACTGACTGTGTATTTGATCAACTGTAATTTCTCGCCGGAATTAAATGCATCATCGATACTCCGAATCGATCCTCAAATTCTGCACTGATATCTAAACAGTTAGCTGTTAGCACTTGTTAGTGCTTGCAAGATTAGTGTTAGCACTTGATTTCTGCTTGCAAGATTTCCTGTAATTTGAGCACACATTGCACTCTTCAACGTCTGTCACATCACCGTGCAAGATGGACTCAAAGGAGCCAAGTGGGTCTCGTTCCAGTCGGACCGAATCACCGAGTTCCCGAGCGTCGTCCAGCAGTAGACCCGATTCCGCTCCTGCCTTGCCACTAACCCCACAAGGCCGTATAAAGAAACCGAACTCCCCTAGACAATCCCGCAGTGCCAAGCCGACCGCAACCAAATCCCCTTCAGCCCTCCCGAATTACTCTGGGAATCAAAACCAGTCCCTATCGCAGCTGCAACGAGACTTGAACGATTTCCCAAATATCGTCCAGTTAGTGCAAAAATACAAAAATTTCGAAGCCCGTGCAGATATCAGCCGAAAGCATACGGCCTTTATGGAACTGGTGGATGCGCTGCTGGATGAGAAGATCGCTCCGGACCGAATTGCAGGTTACCGACGGGATCCGGACGGAGGCGCACAGCACGAGTATTTCTGCACGTGGAGTTTGGATTCTCTCCGTGAATATGCTCTCGAAGGTTGGCTTCCACATGACAAGCTGGCTGGACGATGTCCGGAATTTCTTGCGAATTATTTGGCTCAAATGCATGTGGTGCAGTCGTGGCGGAAGTATGAGATACTCAAGTACGACGACGGAACACCGCGCGTGTTGCTGCTTACACAAAAAACTAACGATTCTTAGACATGTTTGTATGAGGTCGCTTTAATTTATGCGTTTTCTTTTATGCACAATTGTTTATTTGATCTTTTTGTTTTGCCAGTGTTTTTTGTTGTTTTCTGCCTTTATTTACAGGTAATAAGTCCATTCATTCAGATTACTTTGATAATTACTGTTTTGATTTAGTTATGGTACCGAATGGACCGACTTCTAATTTTCCTGCGTTAAAAAGCTAAAACTAAAATAAAACTGTTAAAGGCTCAGCTTTCATTACTACGTAGTACGTACTTATTTTAGCAGGGGTCAATAACTATTAAATTGATGCTTCTCCAATGTAGGAAATTAGTTGTGAGTACAGAACAGTACAGTACTTACCAGACCTGGGCAGTTATAACTTAACTCTATAACTTAACGCGAGTTATTTGCGAGTTATCGAGTTTTAACGTAACTCTGAAGCGTAACTCGCTATCCAAAAACCTAACTCTAACGTAACTCGCCAAAATTTTGTATTGATTGTCTATGGTAGCGCAACTCGCGGTATAACTCAAAACTCAGTTTTACTTGCATGAATAGCGTAACTCGTAGCGTAATTCGCACGCTCGCTGTAACTCCTAACTCTAACGGTGGGTGCATTTTCCATAACTGCCCAGGTCTGGTACTTACTTGATCTACAGTACAGTTTGCATCCATGGTCCATACGGTCATATTGTCGATTAGCGCAGTATGTATACTTCGTACTGTAGTCAAATTTTAAGATAAAATAATGGTGTGCATAGTTAGAAGCGGCAAAAACTGGAACAGTAACGTGTCCGCTTTCCAACTGCATATGCAGCGTTAATAAATATTTGCCAGAATTGCCAACGAAGTGTGGTCACCGTGACACAAAACTCATGGAAGCTATCTGTTGTCACTAGTGATACGAAACCACATCCCTTGCATGAACCAACTTTACTGAAATACGCCATAAAAAATTAACTAACAAGTAGTCGCGGTGAAACACCCCACATTCTGAGGTAATAAAATTCTATAAATGACCTAGAGCAAGCTCGCAATTTAGCCGAACAGCAGCTAAACTTATTTCCCCATCAAATTAACACAGATACCAGCAAAAACATATCACCAGTTGGGAAAAAACAGTCCACAAGCGATAACCAGCCTGTAGGATGTTTTCTTCACATAAAATCTATAAACACCCCTTTGTATGATCCCCGTCCACCATGAGTCCCATCACCGCCCATTGACAGCAAACATGGATGCCAGCCCCAAACCCTCATCGCTCTCGTGTCCAATGGCAGCCTGCTTTTTTGGTCCCTTATTAATCCGCAACGGCGGCAGATTGGGAATGACCACCTGCAGTCGCTCCATCTCACTCAGCGGTCGTCCAATACGGTCCTGTACAATCTTCTTGAAGGCCATCCGCTTCCGCTTCTCATACAAGTTCTTCCCTTCCATACGCACAAACAACAGCCCATCCAGATTACCCACCGCCACTTTATGCTTCTCCATATCACAGTTCAGAGGTTTCAGCACATTTTCCACAACATCGCCGAATAACGGCTTGATGAGAAAGTAAGCAAATAATCCCAGATTGACCAGCGTCGCTTGGCTAGCATCATGCTGACCGTGGACATTCAGCGCCACCAAAATGGACTGAAAAATGTACTTCACCGCTTCGGGATTCAACGATGAGTCCTCCTTCCGTGCCAACCGTGGAATCAACATTTGAGCAAAGCGAGCAAACTGCTGGGAAGCATTAGTGTCCGGCCAGTGTAAACCGGTGAACACCGTCATCAGAATGGCATTGGCCAGCACCGGATCATGTAAGCACATCTCGCCGATGGGCGAAATCTCTTCCACATCGTCAGGTTTAGCGGGATTATTCGGCTGGCTGGAGGAGGTGGGCGACGGGCTGTGTGTACTCGCTTCGGAGTCGTCTTCCATGACGTCATCGCCCCGGTCTTCCAAGGGCACTTTTAGCTGGTCGGACAACAGCGGCTGCATCACCAGTGCATAACAGTCACGCGTCAATCCCCGCAACAGAATATCCTGCAGAATCTCTTCTTGTTCATCGCTTTCCAAATCTAGAGAATCCCAACCGCTGGTTAACATTTTGTTCAGTGCCGGACAGAAATCGCGCAGAACCGGGATGACGATAGTTGGAAAGGCGTCCAATGGGCAGTTGCGAATAAACTGCGATACCAGTTGCCGCACGATGGTCCGCATCAGAAAGATTGGCACCACATCTACAGATGCAATATAATTACGATAGTCAATTAAATAATACATTTCGGAATAAAGTAAAAAACCGTAGCTTTTAATGTACCTGGAATTGTTATGTAGCGAAAAACGGCGCGTTGTAAGAAATCCGCCAGATTAGGAATCTGATAGAACTGCGTGCCCAAACACCGGCCCGCATACCCAATGATCTTGCAGGCACTTTCCAGATTCGTATGTAGCCAGTTCTTTAGCCGCTCCCTAGTCTGAAAATTCTCTGACATATCCTGTTTGAAAGTTCCAAACACTGGGTGGATCATCCGATTCCTTTCCCCGATGGGCATTGTCAAAATCTTCTGATTATCCTTATGCAACAGCGTCAAATTCCCTGGCAGTCGCAACTGCAGTAAGCAGTCGATTAACAGTACAGCATTCTCAAGCAGCGATATCACCGGCGCATTGGAAAACTTCATATGCACGAACGTTGAGGCAATAATATTTGAGCAAAAAAATAACTGCTTCCGGCGCTGTCCAATGATAACGTCGTCAAATCCCACCGATAATGGCTGATTCAGGCCAAAAAAATTGACAAACTTTTCTACCGATTTCAGAGCACTACAGAAGTCGGCTGACTGCCAAAAGGGCGTTACTGCCGAGATGATTTCGCCGGCCAGACTGGCTTGCTTGTTGACATCGCTGCAGTCCTTGGTGACGGTGATTAATCCATCCAATAAGCTGCACCGGTCGGATGTGCTCAGGTTGCACTGGAACACGTCGCGGAGCATTAACAGCAGCTGGTCGTAGCGGTCAACCAGAGGCTTGGTGAGATTACGACAGAAATGACTGAAGAAATTCACAGCGTGCCGATGCAACTCCAAGACTGACTCATCTGCATAATAAAAGCAAAATTAGCGCTCACCAACTACGCTGCTGACAAATGGCAAGGAATTAACAACGTCAGTGCAGTAACGGATAGCTACGCAGAACTCAGCATCCGGAAACAAACCAAATCGATAAAAAGAAACGAAATCATAACAAATTATTATTAAGATTCTTCGGAATTATTAAGATTACCATTAAATCACACGCAAAACAACAAGAGAAAAGCATTTGAAAAACGAAAATCCAGCATACTTAACATTCAAAACCATTACAGCAACGGTTAGAAATTTTCGGTAATTATAGTGCAACGTGTACAGTAACTTAAAATTATGCCAATGGCACAGGGTACCTGTCTCTTTTTCGCCAGATGGGAGTGAATTGGTCAAAAGGAAAAACCCGTATTTAACCACCTTATCCAACATCTGAGCGCATTGCTCCTGGTGTTCTGGAGGAGCATTAGAAATAAATGCTGTCGATAGGCGTGAAATGCAGCTGAGTCCCATAGAAACCACCGTGGGATCCGCTCTGTCGCCGGCCATCAACGCGTCCATTAGCTGAAAGGCGAACGGTCGAAACTTGGTCTTCACACTCGGAGATACGGTCTTCGTCGAATTCTCCAACACCGTCAAGACCGCCGTCCATCGATCCTGATCTTTGTCCTTGGTATTCATCAGATTCTGCAGCGCGCTGAAGGAAAAATCCAACAACTCTTCTGACTTACAACACGCAATCCGTTTGATCAATTCGGAAATTCTCAGACGAAAAGTTGCAATGAATTCCTTGAAGGAATTGTCCTGTTGCATGAAATCCATGGACAGAAATTGGTTATCGGTTAATTTCGTAATCAGCAACAATTTCAGACAGGTTTGCACCGTAGAAATCGCCGTAGGCATCACTTCCGGGCGTTCGCGGATAACCTTGTTACCCCAGATTGTCAACCAGGCATTCAGCGCAAAGTTGGCAACTTGCGGACTTTCGTGATTCGTCAGCTTCAGTAAAGTGCTAATGTAGCTGGCGAAATTCTCCCGGTTGAGTTCCAGATATTCCGACAGTTCCTCCAGGCTGTGCAGCTGTAGTGCGATGGCGACAAAGGTTTCTACAAATTTTTTCAACGAGGTGTAAGACTGTTCACTGAATGGCCCGGCGTAATTCACAATTCTCTGCAACACCGAGAAGTATTTTGATTCGGAAAGCAACTTGAGGACGATCCGGATGTCGTCTTTTTTGGAGTATTTCCGGCTCAACAAACAGCAGAGGAAGTCGGCCACTTCCAACTGCAGCGCTTCGTCGGTGAGGGTTTTCGACAACAGCGTGTCGATAAAGACGCCATCGTTCAACCACAAATACTTAACCTAAAGTTGTAAAAGATAGAGCATCAATTAAATCAGATGCCATAAACCAGCATACATAATGGGTTAAATAACTTGTCCGCAAAAAAATAGTATCGAAAGATGCTCTGACTAGTGAAAACACAGTGCGGCCCGGAAAAACATATTAATTTAATTTTAATACCTAAAAATTTATTCTCGTGTACAGCACAGTGGAAACGAAAACATCCATGTTGTCGATAAAAGAAAAAAATCACCTTACCATTAGTAAATATTTTTTAAAAATCATTATTTGAAATTAATCTTCACCTGAGTGTATTCGCCGATGGCAGAGCACAGTCGGATAACCGTCACCGAAACCGGACGCAAATTCAAATTCGCCGCCCTTATTAAGGCTTGCACCAGGAAAGCGATTAAATCCGGCATCACCGTCATCAGGGAATCGGACAATTCCCGGTGGCGATGCTGGGTGGTGGGCAGCAGGGTCAACGAGCGGAATTGCATCAGATCCTCGATGAAACGCAGCAGAATCAGGGTGACAATCTGCAGCTGCGTCGGACCCTTCCGCGAAGCCTCGTCCAGTTCCTGCAACATACTGGGCCACTGCTGCGGCCACTCGCGCTTAATCATCTCCACGACAATCTTCCCGATCCCGTCCAGGATGAAGTGCTCGCTGCGGGGTCCGCCGGGATCCATGCCGGAAATCAGGGAGAACACAATGTTCTTCATCAGCAGTTTGCTCTCGGGTTTCAGGATATTCCAGGAATACTTGACGGTATCCTCCAGAAACTGCAGACCGATATGTACAACCGAGGAGCTCCAGCGTGCGCCGTCGTTCTGCGCCAGCACGGCGCCCAGCTCTAGTTTCTGCTCGGGTGCCAAACGACGGCGCAGTTCCTCGTAATTATGGTAGGCCTGCATCCGGGTGGCGTTAGCCACATGCGGATCCACCATGGACGTGGCGACCTGTAAGATCTGGTACAGGTCGCTTTCTTCGATGCTAGACAGCTTCATGGTGCTGCTTTCCATGAGTTGGACGCCGTTGTCGGCGATAAATGGCCTCAATCATTCACTCACACTCGCATTCCAATATGTTACACAACGATTCACACCATATCCTTGGACAGCAATGGAACGAGAGTCTTACATTTGTACAATTTACTAATCCATTGCAAAAATATTTTTCTTGCAACCAAAAATTCCAATCAAAAGCAATGACGCAAGTAGAGCATAATTTTCGCAATTTTGTAGTTTCTAATTTTTGCCCGCGCATTTACATTTTGCCGAAGTGATTTCGAAATCTTTCTGATCACTTGACGTTCACGAACGTGGCAAGCAACTTCCGGTGGGTTACAGGGATTTATGTAAAGCGCCGCAAATACTCTGATTGCACCGCACTGTGACTGGAAATGCCGGTTGGTCTGAAGTACCGTTCATTTTTAATTTTAGTAAATAACGAATTCTAGACTTGCACCTTCCTGTCGCTTGGCAAGGTTAAAACGACAACAGTGTAAAACTGCAACAAAATGATTACATAACAACCAACAACAAGTAAAAGTCAGCAGATCAAAACAGTCAAACTGAATACTTGAATAGAAGTATGTACGCGTATCAGTCTACAGATCACAACTGTGCGTAGCACCGCAAAAACAAATCGAAATTTCTATCACAGTCGCGAATAATTAAGATGATATTCCAGATTCCAGGCTTAATTATGTGTATCAGTTACAACTTATTTAAACTTATATTCTACATTTAGTGTCAGTAAATCACACGCCATTTAGCCGGTTGTTCACAGGAAGACTCAAAAGTTTTGCAGAAGCGGTTAAATGTGGTAGCTGGATCAAATCCCAGGATTTCCCGCTCCTCCTGGATCCGAAAGGAAAACGTCGATTCGTGAGAACCAATGAAAAATCTAAATACAACATAGAAGTCCGATTAGAATAGACCTACAAGGTCTTTTTAAAATATTTGTGGTAGGAATTATTGATCTGACGCAACAGAAACCCATTGATTGAATATTTCACTTATTTTCACAAAATCCATGTGCTGTACGCAAATGCTTGTACCGGGCATGCGCACAAATCCACTGCTCAACAATAGCAGCTCCACCTTCCTTTATAGTGCTCAGCAACTGCTGAGAGGGATTGTATGTCCACACCGTAATGCCGGGCAAATTCTGCTTAAGCTCCCTAACCTCTGTTCACAAAACGACAGAATTTAACAAAGGCATCAACCGGAAAATAATGACCTCCGTACCATCTTTCGTACCATCAGTGGCTAAAAACACCACCGATATGTTTTGCATCCGCAGAATCTTTCGCAACTGCAGAGCAGCTTCCCTCACCGATGGAACTTCATCGGCATGGGCACGTAGATAATCCTGTCTTCGTAGATGAGCACAGACAAACGGACCCCCAAATGCTACTGGACTCTGCATTAATTGTGAGAAAAAGTTGCAAAGAAGACCTCAAGAAAGTAACGAAAACAAAGAGAAGAGAAGAGAACATTTTACACTTCCGTGGTGGTCTGTGGCATTGTCACATCATAGCAGAAAACCTTACCTTTTGAATCTCCCAGCTGTCAGGTGTAATCGTAATATCGCGCTCATCTGATGAGTTCAGATTATTTTCTCGAAATTCGTTGCCCAGATTAATCAAACGTTTGGAGAAACGCATACTCCGGCGAGCCTATATACTGCATATAGTAAGTATATGAAGTTTCTGCACTTAAATAACTTATTAAGCATACAAACACTTCTGTAATTATATAAGCACATCTATAAATGTACGAGCATATTAACATAATATTGAAAACCACTGTAAAACAAAAAAGTTGCTGTCAGGAAAGTACGATGCAGAAGGCAAACTATCCTTGCTGACACGGATCTGACGTATTTTCTTATTACAAGTCCAACCAACAATGCGTATGGTCAATGCGTATGGTCTCTATGGTCAATGGTCACCTCCAGTTTTTACACAACCGATTCATCGACGAAAGATTACAGCAATTCCAGTATCTATTAATTTTTTTTCAGAAACGAAACCATCCATTTATGTACTTTAAAAACTGACAATGTTACTGTATGCCCGTATTAATGCTAATATCAATGTGTGCCGCAATTACTGATGAATACTGTACACAGAGTGGTAAGAATAATTTCCTTGACTTTACCTTGAGTCTTAGTAAAATGCTGATTTTAATGATATCATTTAGTGCAACTATTTCACAATCAAACAAAGATACGTAAATGAGTTTCATAAATAAACAGCTTTAGTGATATAGCAAACGTTGTACTCTTGTCTAATATTATTAAGAAATCAAATATAAATAGTTACTGAGACTAAGCAAAATTGCCGTCGCTAAAATTGCCGTGCAAAATGGAAGGCTGCCGTGCCTGCAACAAACTTAGAAGGAAGGGAGTGTTTATTACGGCTTCAAAAATAAGTCCATGACTGAATAAAGGTAAAAGATATAACGAAAAATAAATAGGGGCAAGTCGCTTGAAAAGATTCTTACCTTCCAGTAGTTCTCGCTTCCGTAATGGTCATGAAGAACAGTTTCAAAACGATCAAACATAACGGCTCTGTAACGAGGAAGATTTAGCAAATTAACACGACGACAGTTACAGATGACGATAAGAAGATGCCACCCTATCTACAAAAATAATAAGTGGTGAATAAGCATGAAATGTTAATCAATAAAAACTGCTGGCATTACCATCGCCAAACAAACCGAATTAAAATTTTTCACTTATTTTAATTTTTGGACTTGATAAGCAGAACCTTTGAATTTTGCAGAATGTACGCATGCGCACTTAACAGTGGTAAGAACATGCATACTTGTCTGTCACATCGGTTTTGGCTAGTAATCGCGTAATAATTTTCCCAGCTGGTCCCAGTGCTTTGAAACATCGTAACCGTTTTGTATAAATTCCGTCATAATCCCAGAACCAACCGCGGATAACATTTTTTGCCTCAAAGAAATACGGCAATCCGGCCACATCACTGCATTTCGTTTCGTTAAGCAACCATTCACTCTGTAGATCTACTTCGTCAAAATTATGGCTCATCAGATAAAATACCTCATCAATAACTGGCAGCTTTCTGTCTACAATAAAACAGCACATAGCTTTCAATGCGGTTTATTTTATACCTATATTAATCTAACCTGCGTTTACTTTTACGCACCTACACAATCAAGCAGTTTTAGTACACATTACACAATAATTAAACAATTTTTACACACCTACCCAATTTTAGTAAGCGCAAGTCAACGTTCGTTTTACGACTTGTGTCAGTCTGGTTTCAAAATTTAAACTAAAACATGTCGTAACCTTCAACCAACTAAACTTTACCAGCCAGATAATCGTCGAATTCCATAACAGGAACGAACCGGCGGATACTGTCGATATCGAAAAACAAGGACCAATGCAGTGCATCCTGACGTAAATCCTTCCTCTTCCAATGGTACAACGGTCCCCAAGGCGGAAGAACCAGTGCCCAGGAGCTGCGATCATCCAGTTCGTTCAACATGTGCACAAATACAGCGGCACGCACAAACACATCGCGCCGTAAATTGAATCCTTCGCCGGGATTGACTTCGTACAGCATGAATCTGCAAATTAAGCCGAAATCAGCAGTAAGAACTTGTCTTGCTTTGTGGGCCCGGGGCTATGGTCCTTAAATCGTACGTTATAATTTACCAACCTTGCTTTCAAATACAACCTTGCTGTTTTATCCTTACCGCGACGATTTCATGCATGAGTCTGCCGTGCAAGATTCTTCCACTGCGTATAATAACGCTGGACGACTGGAAAGGGATGCCAAGCACAGGAACAAGCCGAACATCATTTTTGGACATTAGATTGAAAATGGTACGGAAAAAGTGCTCTGCGCATTCGAGCTCGTAATAAACTGTTTCTGAGAGCTTCACGAAATTTCGGAGTACAGGGACCGGGAAATCCAAACCTGGAAAACTAATAGTTCAGGAGATCTTGGACACTACACGTTTCGACGGATGTTTTTTTGATATCTTTACTGACTTTACAGGCTTTACTCTTTAGGAATGGCAAACAATTTAAAACAAGCACTTACCATTAATGGAAAGAGAAATTGCAACTGTAAATTAAATACTGATGTAAAACATTTCATGACAGCAGTCAGCGAACTGAAACTCTCATACAAACACATAGAAAGTGCAACAGCAGCAATACTATTTGAATTTTTGAAATGCTCAAACAAAAACAAAATCATAAAAATAGGAAACAATCTTCGAGGCAAACTGAAAAATTTTGGTAGCCTGCCTCCCCAGGTGGCAAGCCTCTGCGCTACTGTTTGTCACCACACCTCTTTTGTCACTTGTGGACCAATAAGAGCCGCAGTCTTGCGCATCCTGTCGGCGCTCGGTGTTGACTACGGTAGCTGATCAGAACACTGAGAACAGCAAGCAAACGCAGCACACAAGGCTTGCAGTTTGTAACTTTGTTTCTAAAAGGCAAAATCTTAAAAGTATTTGTAATTTCTCCTTTCTGTTTCAGACATCGGTCATTTCTTTAAAAAAGAGCTTACCCAAGTTACCTTTTGTAACGAGATTATTTAAGCAGTGCTTACGAGTTACGAGTCATCCTGAGCCGCAGAATGCGTGCTTTCGAGTTAATGAAGTGCATCGCAATAAGGCTACACACAAAATATTGTGTCATCATACCAAATGGCAAGCAGTTCGATGATTGATCGTCTTTTCGGCCATATGATTTTATGATTTTATCACCTTTCTCTATTCGCCTTGACAAGAGTGATTTTGTATCCATTGGAAAGTAGCTGAGCGTGCAGGTTTCATGCTTGAATCAAGGTTTGATGCGCTGTGGGAGTAGCTTAGCTTTGCTGGACGTAGTACATCATGCATTGATGGTTACTTCGGTTTCCACTGTTTCCCCTTTCGCCAGCTACGCATCATTTGTAGATTAAATGGTTCGTTGGGATGATTTTATGGTATCGGTGATAAGGATGAGTAGACATACTAGTATCACTACGGAATACGTTCCGGACATGTGTGATTTATCGAATGTGCACATTACCAGCAAATCATTATCCGAAGATCCCATTCTACGTCCGGACACTCCGCGGGAAAACAAGGTAGGCGTCAGAGACAAGAAAAAAATTATTGGGACGACTGATGGCGTCTTCCATATTTTTTCTCGCTTTGTTAATTAATTGCGAAGTTATCATTGCAGCTGAACGTGGCGGTGTGCCATGCTGTCTGTCAAGATATTTTACACTGTTTCGGTGTTTCTTGTACATTTTCATTTCTGAATTGCAGTCTTGTTTCGTGTTGATCAAGTCTTGAGTCAGTCATTTTATACAAGTGAATGAATACATTTGATTACGATAATTTTATTTCCGCAGGAGAAAACAACTAGCATTCTGTCTGGGACATCAGAAACAACTTCCGCCCGCATGTCAAGGAAAGTTATGCTATCGCTTCCCGATGTTTCCAAACCGAAGCCGTCCAGTGTAAAAGGAAAGAAGCAAGCGGCGCCCAGCGTTGTGAGTGAATTTTCTCAGACTGACCGACTTGCCTTTTGTATATCACTTGTCGGTTCTTAGTTTTTTCCGCAATGCTAGAAAGAATAATCGATTAACAGTAAATACTGAATTAGAATACAGAATTGTCGTCACTACTGTATTCAATCGGGCGTGAATTACCTTTTGATTTCAATTGGGTAAAATTATGCAACCTTATTGTCAGCTTTGGTACCTGCCCTGGCCGCAGATGGTGTCGTAATGTCCGCAATTACTCGACTTCGCAGTTCATGCTCGTACTACCTTACTTTCGTAAATGATGGCTGAATTAGTTTGCGATCAATTTATGTACTGACATTAAGAGGTAAAATTTTTGAAGTAATTTTTTACTCCTCTTCTGAAAGCTGCGTTTGCTTCTGGGACCGGTATAACTATGAACTAGAGTTTTTTGAAAGTGAACCCCAATGGAATGGGTGTAACTAGTTGAATGAAAGGAAATATGGTTTTCTAATGCCAGGTCATTTTTCAAGGTACTTATATTTGATTACAGGATATCAACCGCGAAATCAGCAAATGCAAAGAAAGCCGAGCCACGCGGCTGGACTTGAACAAGGCCAATGTGAGATTTTTCGAATGAAATAATCATGATCAGTTCGATCGGTTCCGTATCCCAAAACTTCACACACATTAGACTGACTTTACATGCTGCAGATATCCGCTGTGCCGGCGTGCATAAAGGAGGTGAGTTGCGGTCGATAATTAATTATGGTAGATTGAATTCCTCTTTTATTCCGCCTCCGTGGATCAACAGTATGTAGTTGGTTATGTAACGAATTTCTAACGTGGATTTATAGCTGCGTAAAGCCTGATAACGCTGTTCATCAAATTAGAATTATTTTTCGAAGAACTGTTCTTAAACAATTGGTGATTATTAATCAGAATAGTTTCCTTGTATGCTTTGGAATTGACTACTTGGTACACGTCTGCTGCGTTTATGAAAAATATTCTAAGACACTGCTTAAGTGATTAATTTGGGCATTCTGAAGCCGTCTGGCTTTACCATTAGCTTCATTAGGAACATTCATGGTGCTTTCATCTCCTGGTTATCGTAATGAAATGCTATTTTCGCATCCACATGAAAGCTGATCCGGGTGGTGAGCGCACTACTTGGCTATTTTGTTGTTTATATCGTACATAATTTATCAGGACACTTAATGCGCTCCAATGTCGAATGAATATGTAATGTTACATGATCCAACTTTGCAGCTGTCGAATTTGACGGAACTGTATCTGTACGGCAACAAGCTGCTGTTCTTGCCTTCGGAGTTGGGCCATCTTACCCAGTTGCAAGTTCTTGCGTTACATGAGAATTCCCTCAGCACGCTGCCCTCATCCATGGATCGAATGGCATCGCTGCGAATTCTTGATTTACGGCATAACAAGCTACAAGAAGTGGGTTATCATTACGAGTATGACTGTATTACCGTCTAGTTTGCTGAAGGGAAGATATTCTGCTTGTATTCCAGATTCCGGATGTTGTCTACTCGTTGACGTCATTGACAACATTACATCTGCGCTTCAATAAAATTCGTTCGGTTAGCGAGGAAATTAAGAATCTCACGGTAAAGTGGCTACACTTACTTACTATACTAATGGTGCCGGCCGGTAATAACAGGATGAATTTATTTATATGTAGATGTTGATATCGCGAAGATCACTTTGCTTTTTATCGATTTTCGCTTAGTGATAAGTAGTGGATGCGACGGGGCGCTGTTTAAAACTTGCTCTGCCCATCGTTTTCATACGCGCGTGTCGTACCAGCAGGAACGTTAGGCTCCGTCATTTGCGTGAACTACTAAGTACACTTCTGCCTTTACTGCCGAATAGTGGCAGGTCATAAAAATTTCACAGTGTGAGAACTTAAAATTTGAAAAAGATATGTCTACAATTTTTTTACCGTGCATTCATTCAAATTACCGCCATTATGTGTAAGAACAGTGCCTTTAAAAGTTCCGTCCTTGTATATACTGCACTAATTCTGGTTGCTTCCTTACTGCCAGTCATCAGATTGTGACGTAAAACATTTTATTACCGGTAGCCTGAAGTGAAAAACTTCACCGGATCTCATGGCATTACAGGCACAGAAATGTGGGCAGAGTAATGAGTATGTTCTCATTTCCGCTTCGGTAGGTATTCAACCTGACTGAGCACTGTTGGGAAGAGCTCCTTTACTCCAATGTAGCAATGCAAATCGACATAATTGACTCAAGTGCGACATGGATGGATTTTCAGGGATTTTCCAGAATATCTCTTTCCTCGTAGCTATAAAATATACGCTGATCGTCGTTCCGTGAACTTGATCTTGACTGAAAATTGAATAATTACGATTAAAGCTCCGCTAGTCGGCTTTTTTATATTAAATTTTAAACATCACAGCACAGCGGTCTGAATTGCGCAGCACAGCGGCTTCTGGCACAATTTATAAATATGAATTATTTATATTAGTAACTCAGTAGTACTTAGGTGTTTATCAAGTTTCTGTTTAACGGCGTATTTTTGTGTGCTAATCACCCAGTTCGGATTGAAAATTATTTTCCAGATATAAATTTGTCAAATGATTTTTTATATGCCGTTGTATAGAAGATTCTGGATTGGGCGACTTCGGGACATTTGTTGCTAGATTCCTTCATTTCTTTCAGCCTTTGTAGTTTCGTTTTATCGACTTGTTCATGTTTCCTGTTAGCCAATTACGGTTAGGCTGTCTGACAAAAATCAACATGAAAAAAGAGAAAGTGCAGAAATGTATTCTGCTATACATGCAGCATTATTAGTTAATGGCACTCTGTTCGTGTTCACCGGTTAGAGAGTGCCGGCAGCATGTGTTATAATTATTGATTTTTCCCTTCTTTTTGATCATGCATGTTGTCGTTGCAGCATCTAACGATGTTGAGCCTGCGTGAGAATAAAGTAAAGGTCTTGCCGAAAGGAATTGGCGCCTTAACGAAGCTCACCACATTGGATTTGTCCAACAATCAGCTGGAGAGCATACCTAGCGAAGTGGGATGTTTGCTACAGCTAACCACCCTCGATCTACAGCATAATGAGATTGTGGAAATCCCGGACAGTATTGGCAACTTAAAGTCATTAGCGCGCCTCGGATTGCGGTACGCTTGTCCTTGTGTCCTGTTTGGTCAGAAGGAAATGAAGTAGGAACATGAAGGGCTTCTTTTCAGGTATAATCGCTTGACGTCCATCCCGGAATCGATTAAGAACTGCGCTAACCTTGATGAGGTTAGCTGTCAGTCAGTTGTCTCGCTAAACTATTCCAGCGAAAATTAGGAAAATCAAGGAACTGTGCCGTGCTTGGTTATCTTTTAACGAGTGACCTTTCTGGATTTTGGAAAAATAATTTTTTTAAATTTTGCTAGTTTAATATCGAAGCCAACAATATCGTGCAACTTCCACAAATGCTCCTTGCCAACTTGTCGCATATGAAAACCGTGACGTTGTCGAGGAATAAATTCGTGGAGTTTCCCGCCGGGGGACCGGCGCAGTTTTGTTCTGTGCAGGTACAGTAACTTGCAATAACTGTTCTCATCTAGTTTTGTATTCACTAGCAAGATCTAGCGGGATCTGACGAGATAATATTTCAGCGACAAATGAATTGTATTCTATATGTCCAGAAGTTAAAATATGTTAAAAAATCATACCGAAGATTTGAAAAATCGTGCAGATAGATACTACATGAAAACTTGTTTCGTTTTCGCGGCTGCGATTAGATTTGGGATATTAATATACAATTGTACAATCTTCTTTTATTCAAAAGTATTTTTAAGTCTCCAGATCTTTGCTCAGTGCTTTATGAGGGAAAGTATTTGAACTGTCTTAATATGTTAAATGATTGATGAAATTTATACGCATTGTTTTGCTTTGGTGAACGTGGTTGTTTGATGATCGTTGTCCGTCTTGGCGATTATGTTGATACTTCATTTCTTTAGGCAGTTACAATGGAGCATAATCAGATCAGCAACATTCCCTTCCTTATATTCTCCCACGCACCCTTCTTGGCCAAAGTCAATATGAAAGAAAATCTCCTGCGAAGTTTACCCCTTGGTACAGACGAGTGTTTTGTGTGTAATCTACATACTGCTGTGGAACAGAATTAATTTGCCTGTATTGCAGACATTGGTACATGGATCAATGTGGTGGAACTAAATTTTGGAACCAATAAACTGAGCAGTCTTCCCACCGACATTGGTTTATTGGTTAACTTGGAAGTGTTGATCTTGAGCAACAATGAACTGCCGGTAATCGATCTGTTCTCCGGCTATAGTGTCCTCTGTATACGAGCAGTGTGGATTACATAAGCAGTTGCCTTTAATGTCTCCCTGTCGGGGGTTGTATTGACAGTATCTGCCGGGGAGTATCGGTAAACTCCGGAAGCTGCGCGTGTTGGATCTGGAGGAAAACAAATTAAAGAACTTGCCTAGCGAGATCGGTAATGATAGGGTGCTGGGTGGCTCAGTATGAAGTGCACGCACGCGTGCATTTCATTGGCACCCATCGTCTTACTGGCGTCTCTCTAATGGAAAGTTAAAAATTGCGAACAATGTTTGCTTTACCAGCCGTTTCTTGTAGGGTTTCTTGGAGAACTGCAGAAGTTAGTCGTACAGTCCAATCTGCTGACTAACTTGCCCCGATCGGTTTGCTCCCTGATGAATTTGACGTACATCGGTGCCGGGGAGAATTTGTTGACAACTCTTCCTGCTGAAATTGGTAAAATTAAGTTATGCTGGATTGCATATATAATAGATTTCCTATTGAATGGCTGTGTTCATCTTTTTGTAGGTCTATAATTACCTGCTTCTTTGTTGTTTTTGACGTTGTAATTGTGTCATTTATTCTTTTCCCGTAATAATAATATTCTGCTTGGTGCATTGTTTTATAATATTTGAACATTAATAACGCTGTTTGTGCTCCGTGTAATGGCATGGTTCCTGCTGTAGGTCAGCTGGAAAAGCTGGAAATGCTGTACCTGAACGACAATCCTCACTTGCATAGTCTGCCATTTGAACTGGCATTCTGCGGCAGTCTGCAGATTATGAGTATTGAAAACTGTCCATTGACGGAAATCCCGCCTGAAATTGTTGCCGGTGGGCCATCGTTAGTGATTCAGGTGACAATTTTTGTGATGAAAACTAATTCGTGCGGTTCTTGAGGTTAAATATGTTTATTTATAGTACCTTCGTGTCCAGGCTCCATATCCAACGGTTTGATAGTGATGTCGTGCTTGCCGCAGTTAGTTCCTGTTGAAACCTTTTGTTTCCGTTGAAATGTTTTAATGTCGCTTATCAGAAATTTATGTTGTACCGTTTACCTAGTTTTTAGCTTTTAAGATTTGATCTTTCGGTAAAACTGCATACATTTTTTTATCCAGATCTGACTGTTTTCTTGTTCCTAGCGTGGACATTTTATATTTTTATGCGTATTACGGTATTTTTAGATTTGGTGTTGTGTTCATCTCATTTGTTGATGATATTTCGCTCAGTGATTGGAGATCTCAATGATAACGAATAACGATACACTTAATTTTCCTCATATTGGCTACCGGTTTACGGTGCGACTGGTACAATATAACATATATTGTACCAGTCGCACCGCTAAACTGCTCAGAACTGTAATGAAAAAAATCCTAACGGTAATTTTTGCACACTTTATGAAATATGCAAATTATGTTGTTCCCATTTCTCTTATGCCGGAAAGTATAAGATGATGTTACCTGCTACAGTTCTAAGATTTAAGTGATCGGCAGGCCAGACCACACGAAATGAGACAACCAAGAGCATACTATTTAATACAGTACCCAGTTTCAGCACGATTCCAAGGGATGAAAATTCCAACGTCTGTTGTTGTTGCACGAATATACAGCAGAGTCTTTACAATAACCATTTCTCCCACCAATAAAAATTATTTCCTGGACAAAAATTAGCCGCACTCCTGCAACGGCCGGAATTTATCGAATTCTTTGGGTTATCCACAAAAACTTCTAGGTCTCCAACAACTAGTTTGTTAGTCTGCCGTTAAACAGAGGCTACTGAATCTTATGTAATTCTAAAAACTTTCTGGGACAATCTATACTTGTGCCCGGTGCCCACAACAGTTACTAATTATATTGACCATGTAAGGTCACCCACTACACTTACGTTGTATGTACAACAGATGCATTTCCGTACGTGGTAAGTATTTATGCCAATTCATCGTGGCGCGGCGGTAGAGTTAAATTTTAATCAGATTTCTTAGTTCTTGTAATTGCGATTTCAGTTCAGTACATACAATATTTTCTCTGACGGAATCTTGTCACCAGAGTCAAGAATGCATATTAATTTTTTGTTTGCAAAAGCCAAAAGAGCTGTTACAACACACTATAGATATGTACGAGTATACTACTATCGTATATGAACGAATACTGTACATTCTTACACTACAGTACTCTGTACTGGTCTATTTTCTTCATACGCGTTATGAGCAACAAAATTTTTCACACATTCTACATAAAACGTTAGAAACTAAAAACACAAGAGAGTTACACCACATCTAAAGATAGTACTTATACATCTATATATATTAAATGTACACTGTAAAACATACAATTCACGCCTCTACGGCAACCGTCACGAGTGCACTTGATTTTATTCGTGATTTTACAGCCATTGCACCATTTGTGGACCCTCCAGTTGTCAAGTGACAACGTAACAGAAGCACGCGTGCGGTGGCCCATGCCACAGGCTGTTTTTACGTAAATCTTTGAAAATTCATGACTTTGTTCATTCCTGCATTAAATTTTTATGTATAGTCTTGAAAAATGCAGAATAATACACAGTATTAGGCAAAATAAATTCTTTTTTGGTTTTCTTTCAGGGTTATGCACTGTTAGCCTGTACGGCTAGCATAGCCGCCTATGGAGGATTTGTCATAGGCGGCTATGTTAACCGCAGGGGCTCCTAGTGCATTACTCTGAAAAAGAAACAGAAAAGCATTTATTTTCTCTAATGCTGTGTATTATTTTGCATTTTTCAAGACTATACATAAAAATTTAATGTAGGAATGAACAAAGTTGTGAATTTTCAAAGATTTACGTTAAAACAGCCTGTGGCATGGGCCACCGCACGCGTGCTTCTGTTACGTTGTCACTTGACAACTGGAGGGTCCACAAATGGTGCAATGGCTGTAAAATCACGAATAAAATCAAGTAAGACGCCACTTCTGCACAATATTACATATTGTGCACTCCCTTAATGATAATAATAATAATTATATTAATATTTTTGTTACTTTATAATAGTTACAAACGTTTTGTATGGAGTGTACTGCGGTTGTTATTGCCAGGACTTGTATACTTAACTAACTTAAATATTCTTACAATTTATTTATAATATTTTTTAATTCGTTCCCATACCTCTGAGTTTTGTTGTGTGTGCATCAACCGTATATCCGCAGCATTGCGGAACGATGTTTCACTCTTTTCCAGTGCATATACATTTTCACCGCCCGTTTAATCACGGCGCGCTAATCATCCGTGTGAATTCCTTGCGCATCTTTTTCCCACGTTGCGCGACACGCATTCACACGTTATCCGCAGGAACGCAGCGGGCTTACACTGTGGGAGGACTGTGGCGCAGTATTCGGCGGGTGATCGTACGGAATGGCGACATCAGGACTGCTCCGTCAGCCCGCTTCCTGGAGATCAGCGCGGGAATCCCCGTACTGTTTCTGCTTCGCGCGAAGCAGGCTGTGTGTCAGAACCTTAAAGCGCGGACCAAGAATCGCGTGCAAGCCTTTAAGGACGCCCGGCAGCAGATTACGAAGCACGCAGAGCCGGAGTTCGACTGGAAAATGTTTTTCCGTTTTCTGCAACCCGATCTGCTCATCCTTCTGGGTGCCATTGTTGTACGCTGTGTTTCCTTAAATTTACAGTACACTAAAAATTTTTATTAAAGCTGGATTTTCTGTTTGCAGTGCTCGGTGTGTTTGGCGCTGATCAACACGGAGATTCCGCTTCTTTTAGGGAAACTGGTTAATGTGGTTGCGCAAGTTGTACCCAACAAGCAAACGGACTACTTTAGCCTGGTTAAAGATCCAGTGACGAAATTGTGTCTAATATACTTCCTACACGTGAGTAACGAAACCAGTTATTTTCAGTTCGTGTTCTAACTGCCTGAATTTGCAAAGAATTCTTGGCTGTTAGCGTTAGGCATTTTTTATTTATTTATACGCACCTCCAATTTCTGCCTTATTTTTGTATCATTGAATCTGTTTTAGCTGTGGTTCCTAAATTGTAACATAGAATTTCCGCGGCCCGTTTAATGGATTTGCCTTTTGTTTTGCTGTATATTAATTATTTGTGAGCTGATGTTTTACACGATTCCATTTTGCAATTTTCACTATGAAAAGAAAAATGATGTGAGCACCTCTGTACGTGTAATGTTTTAATGTATTTTGCCGGTTTGATTTGGTCCTGAGTGTTCAGGTTGGCTCGCGTTTTTAGAGAAGCCGCATTTTTTCGAATGTGGATGCAGATGATTAATTTATCGTTTATGGGGTGCTTGTAGTTTGCGGTTATGAAATAGGAATCTGAATATGTGTTTTGTAGGCAGGTCTCACGTTTGTGAATATTTCCCTGCTGGCTGCTGCCGGCGAGCGTTTAGCAGCTCGTTTGCGGTTGGCATTATTCGCTGGTCTCATCAAGCAGGACATCGCTTTCTTCGATGCCCACAAAACAGGAGAACTAGTCAGCCGGCTGGCCATTGATGTGCAGGATTTTAAAAGCAATTTCAAGCACTGTTTTGTTAATGGATTTCGTACACTTGTTCAGGTAGCCGAAATTCGCTCTTACCTTTCGCATAATTGTTTAACTGTGCGGCATCCCTATGCTGATGTGCAGACGATTGGTTGCGGAATTTCGTTGTACTGGATTTCGCCCAACATGACGCTCATGCTGATGCTGGGTTTGCCGTCGATGGCTGGAATAGGTGCATTGTTGGCGTCCAAGTTGCGTCAACTGTCTCGCAAAGCTCAAGCTCAGGTAAGTAGGCGTTACTTTGTGGTTCTGTCTTCTGATGCGTCAGTTTCGCTTTTTTCACATCAGGTCGGCAATAGCAGACCTGCGAACCCGAGAAAATATCCGTATTTACTGTGGGAACTTTGGACAGTTACTTATTGATTTTGCTCTGAATAGATTGTAATTTATAATCGTACTACTGATACTAGCGACATTTTGGTCAAAATAAGCAACTGAAGGTTACAGGAAATTTTCACGATTGTTATCGATTTATTAGCAATTTCTAACACTTTTGGGTGTATTTATTAATTTGTGAAATGTTTTAATTTGTGAAACAGTTTTTGCAGATCTCATCCTGGTTAAAAAATATTTCAGTTAGTTAACCAGTAACTGACAGTTAACATTAATGAGAGCGGCCTTTTCTTCATGGTGTAAATTGTTTGTTTAACCAAAGGTCGCACATGCCACGGATGTGGCCGATGAAGCAATCAGCAATATTCGAACCGTGCGGAGTTTTGCCGCCGAAGACACGGAAATGCATTTGTACCATGACGAAGTGAAACGCTCGCAATATCTAAACCAATATCTCGGAATGGGCATTGGGTTATTTCAAGGACTGTCCAATCTAGCGTTCAATGCTGCAGTCCTGGGTGTTATTTATTTTGGTGGGAATCTGATGGCCGAAAACAAAATGCAAGCCGGAGATTTGATGTCTTTCCTCGTTACATCACAAACTATTCAAAAGTAAGCTCAGTGATTCCATCTGGGCCGAAACTAAGAAACCATGAGATTCTAAGAGCATCGGCACTGGCGAATTGCGCTTGGCAAAATCTTGGTCTTGTGATATTTATCAGTAAATGCAGTCAACTTGATAATGAACCTTGTGTACATGTAGATCGTTGGCAACATTTTCCATGCTGTTTGGACAAGCGGTTGCGGGAATGGCTGCCGGGGCACGCGTTTTCGAAGTAATGCTAAAGTTAAAATATTATTTGATTTTGATCGATTGATTTTCACTTTTTCGTATCTGGTTCAGTTCATCAAGCTTGAGCCTCTCATGGAACACCAGGGAGGGAAGCGAATACCCTATCATTCCTTAGACGGCACTGTCAGTTTTCACGGAGTCAGTTTTGCTTATCCCACCCGACCGGACCATCCGGTGTTGAAGAGTCTGAATCTACGGATTCCCGCTGGAAAAGTTGTAGCGCTGTGCGGACCTAGCGGATCAGGTGTGTTCTTTCGTCGTATATTCGTTCGGTTTGTGTGTCTTTTTCCGCAGTTTGTATTCTCAAAATTGTTTATTTCGCAATAAGGCTGAAGGGCTTGGATTGACCGTGCAGTGTTTTCATGTAGGTAAATCAACTGTAGCAGCCTTATTGGAGCGATTTTATGACCCGGTATACGGCAAGATTACACTGGATGAAACAGACATTCGCCTTCTTGATCCATCGTGGTTACGGGGCCGTGTTATCGGTTACATCAGTCAGGAACCAACGTTGTTCGCCACCAGTATTATTGAGAATATTCGTTATGGCCGACCTGATGCCACTGATGCTGAGGTGCTCGAAATTCATGAAAAAAATTCACAACCGCTTTATTACGTTTCTTACTTTTTTCAGGTTTACGAAGCCAGCAAAGCAGCAAATGCTGATGGCTTTATCACAAAGTTTCCGAAAGGTTACCAAACCATTTTAGGTGTGTATGTGTGACCTTAAATTTTCTTATGTAATCGTACCGCTAAAACTTTAAGGTCTATTTCGAATAGTGGTTAAGGTGGTAGAAATCAAAAATTAATTGAAGAAATTAAATTAATTGAATTGGCATTTATGGGAGAATGATTGAACAGCTGGTATTGAACGACACGTTTCACGTGTAAGAACATACACAATACCGAGCGAATCCCTATAAGCTATGATTACTTATTGCTTTGCTGTGTTTAGGGGAAAGAGGTGTTACTGTTTCTGGGGGACAGAAGCAGAGGATTGCGATAGCCCGGGCTTTATTGAAAAATCCGTCTATATTGATTCTGGATGAAGCTACCAGGTTTGCCGTGCCTAAATGTCTTTCACATTGATGATAATTGCATAGCTATTTGTTTTCTCAGTGCTCTTGATTCGGAATCCGAAAAGCTCGTACAAGAAGCCTTGGACAGAGCAGTTAAAGGTTCGTACTGATTTCTGGGGATGTGCTACAGCTTTGTTGCGTTTAGTGCCAAACTCGCCTTAATTGATTTTACCTTGTCGTTGCTTTAACACTTGAACTGACTTTGAGGATAGCGCAACTAGCACCGTGTTTCGGTTGTTTAGGTCGGACAGTTTTGGTCATCGCTCACCGTTTGAGCACGATCCAGAACGCCGATGCCATTGCGTTGATCGTCAATGGACAAATCGCGGAATTGGGCGATCATCGCAGTTTGATGAAGAAAAAAGGATTGTACTGGCAGTTTGTGCAACATCAGTCCACATCAGAAACCGGTGACAACAGTGATCGAAATAATGGCTAGTGCTTAGCGGAAGTGAACTTTTATGGTTTCCTACGGCAGTTTTGGTTTGGCGGAGAATGTGATTTGGTGCTTCTTTAATCTGCAAATCCAGTTTGAATGGAGACTCTCAGTTTGCGGTTACTCGTTCCTGGTTTTCGTGCACTATTTCATATTATTGTGTGATTTAAACTGTCCGCGGTATACTCATTCCCGGACAGTTAACTGTTAGTTGCCTGGGATTCAGTAGTGTGTCTTAATTGATGTACGAGCACTGTACCCGTGACGCAGAAACGACAGAATATCGAAGGCGATAGTAATAAACTGGTGGTCAATTTTTCGATTTTTGTCTGTCCATGGTCCACCGCGGCGGTCGCCGGTCAATCTGTTATAGATCGATTTTCTTTATACTTGGTGTGAAAACTGATAGTTCAAAACAAATAATTCAGCAATACCGCTAGAAAGCGACAGTTAATTGGAAATTGGAATGATCATAGGATGGCCTGTGACAGTTACTGAAACACGTTACGTAGCCATATTGTATGCAATAAAGCTGTATGCTGTACACAGCCCAGTGGTACGCCGCTGCAGTATTATAGCCATGTAAAAAACTCAAAAACCTGAAAACCTGCCGGCTAATATACATCTCCATTCATTCGTCGATACTTGAAACAAATACAGTAAAACATAAATAAAACGATCCTGTGAAACGCGCACGGTCATGTATACACGTCACTTGTAATTTAATAGTTAATTCTGGGCTTCCAGTGATGTCTGATACTTCTAGGTCGTTATAATACTTAGTCAGGTCGGACAAGCAAAAGCAATCCTTAACAAGTCAGCCCACAATGAGCGTACTGTACTCACAATTAGCACCGACAAGTAAGTCACAACGGTTGCAACCATATATGACGACACTAAGCTTTTTAACCACCAAACCTTAAATAGCAAACAAATAAATACGAAATACATGCATAAAGATTACACAACCATAACGTAAAGAAGCAAGTGACAGAGAGCGGATGAGAGCCAAGTCGAAATACGATACAATAATGAACCAAATAACTGCCGTCCGTAAATACCATTTCCACTCCAGCTCAATCACTGCTCGAGCTACTCCGGCCTCGACGATATCGATTCCGTGGAACGGGATTTCGATCCCGGCGTTCGCGTTCCCGCACCGGACTGCGGCGTCGCGGTGATCGGGAACGGCTACGCATTTTGCGCGGCGGTGAGCGACTTCGTCGACGCAGCGGACTACGGCGTCGATCTCCGCCGCGGTAACCACCTCCACCGCCACCGGTGCGGCGGTTATTTCCCATACCGGCTAGATTCTCGTCCATCTCACTCACGCTGATCTCCTTCCCATCCATCGTGCACCTGTGCATTCCCTCAATAGCGGCACGGCACGCATCGGGGGTTTCGAACTCCACGTAAGCGAAACTGCGGTGCAGTACGGGATTCTGACGATCGGGAGGAATGTCAATCGATACCACCTACAAAACCACACAACAGCCATTATTATCATTCACATCACTTTACTCTTCAACTACAGGAACCCAGTGAGTTAGCGCACGAAGGCTGGTTTATACCGAACGCCGGCAATATATCAATTTACTTTAATAGGCAATAGCCATCTACATACTTAATTAATACTCCCAAATTTAAAAATAAAATACATCCACCGTTACCACAATTCTTTTTGAAATGTCCAACTCAAGAGTACGTAATTAAGGGGAATGCTAAAACCCATATTTATCTACAATATATTCATTTTAGCGAAAGAGGAAAGGGCAATAGTTATCAGCGAATCACGAAAGAACAGAGAAGAGAAATGTGTTGCTTACCTTGCCATAGGAGCTGAATGCATCGCGCAGCGCTTCTCGCGTCACATTCTGCGACAACTTAGCCACATAGATCTTCCGCTTCGCCAGCGGAGTCTCCGCTTTGGGCGGCGAGGGAGAGCGGCGCTTGGCGGGCGGCGGTGATTTGGTCTTGACTGGCTTGGATTTGGACGGCGCTCGCGACGACTCAGAACTGCTGCTGCTGGACGACGAGCTGCTTTTGCGCCGCTTCGTTCGCGATCGCGCACTAGAACTCGAACTGCTGGACGACGAAGAGGACGAGCCGGAACTGGAGGAGGACGACGAGGAGGAGCGAGAGCGTCGGCCTGAATCCTTCCGTTTCGCAGACGGCGAAGCACTACATGGAAACGCAAATATAAGCGCACTGACAGTTGTCGATTTTGGCAGTCTGTGTTGCGAAAGTGGTCGGTCAACTGATCTCTCCGACACACCAAACAACCACCCGCAAATAAATAACATAACATACCAAATGCCTGATCAGGAGAATCTAATTGGGAATTCAATAGAATCGAATAGAATATCATAGCTGTGAAAAACAAGCAATGGCAGTGAGAATGATATTTGACAAGCCAGATACTCTGTTCTTCATAAATGTACTCAGGATTACTCGTCAAATACAAATTATGATACAATCTGAAGATATTTAGAAAATCAATCAACACAACAAAATCAAATCAAATACCAAGCGCCAGTCGTTACATGACAGATGAATGCAATCAGTGCATGAAGCTGAAGGCAAATTCCGCAAGAAGAATCAGTCACTGAGCGATGTCATTTGTGGCCGTCATCCGTATTAATCTTCCAATACCATGATAATCATCCGTTTAGCTAGCTACGAATCATCTCTCTCATCATATTTACTTGACAACGAACCTGCGTTTTTTGTTAACTGGACGCTGCCGTCGTCGTTTGTCCTCCTCGTCGCTGGACGAACTGCTCGAGGAACTCGAGCGTTTCCGAGCTGGCGCTGCTGCGCCTCCGTTCGAGATAACTTCGACCATTGTGGACTCCTGTACGGCGACCTGCTTTTAACCTCTAAGCGCGCTAAGTTGCGCTAAAATTGCGCGTAGGTTGCGCTAAAATTTATATCTCACAGTACATTAGGAACGATTACAGTAGAATAAGTCGATATACTGTTTAACAGCTTTGTAAATGGCACTAAATGCTTGTTCAAAATTATGAAGACGTAACGAAATGCGAGTCGAAATTTCGATTTGCTGATGCACGGCAACGCATTTCTAATTTCCCATGGTACTGGTACAGTAGCATAGGAAGTGTTGTAAGAGCGACATATGCTGCTAAAGCTACACAGATCAACTGGGGTAAATAAATACTTACGTACTCGGAATAGAAAGCACCGGTTTCAAAAAAAATAAAAAGAAAGAAATAGAAAGCAGAAGAAAATAGGAAGCACGTTAATAGAAAGCGCGTAAATAAAAATTAGAAAGCATGTTAATTTCTAAATCTACCCCGAATCAACTACTCATAATGATTGTGCGAGTTTTTAACAATGAAAATAATTACTTCGATTGTGTTTTAGTTGTACACGAGTATTTTTCATCCTCCCTTGAATTCTGTGGCACTAGATGAGTGATTGATATCTTCTCAAAAAGTTTTCCAAAATAATGCGTACATCAAATTTGTATGCGAGTTGGTTTTATTCCAGCTTCCCATCAACAATAACAATGCAACACACATTGATGCTTCATGATTTCATCCTTTCGCAAATTTCAACTGCCACTGCGCAGTGCCAAGTTATACTTACATTACCAACAGACACTTTCTCATCGACTGAACACAAACTTGCACTGACCAGTGAATACAACATCAACCGAAGTATCCGAAGTATACACTGTTAGGGCCGTCCATGAATGCGCGAATTTCAAACTCAGAAACCTGAAAAAACGCTTCTCGCAAAACCTGGCAAACGAAAACAAGAGATCCAAAAGTTTCGCAACAGTGAATACACCATTCCGTAAAAGAAATGATTATTTAACTAAAACGAGGAACGTCCTTAACACTATGAAACCTAATAACACAAAGGTGCAGCAACAATCCCCAACCGAAAAGCAAAGGTGCGAATTGTTCTCGGGCGGGCTTTTGGGATTCCCGTGCCACTGGTAACGATGACGAAAGAAGGTTAAATACCAATCGAATGCCAGCGCTAACCGTGAAGAAGATCAATTAAGATTCCTGAAAATCAATAAAAAAAAACATTAGCTCACAAGACTGTCATCAGTTCTTTCAGTACACGTACGTAATACAGGCAGATGCGCACTCGCCAATCAAAAATTTGACAATTTCACCTTAATTGTCAAATTGTTGCTGCATCATGTGGCTAACATCATGTTGTTGGCTAACAACTGCCAACCACGTTGAGTACATGCTGTCAGTTGTCACTTGATTCAGCTACACAATCAATCTGAAACAATTTTTAAAAAGGTCTCCTTACATTCTGGTAGTTATCCAGCTCCATGTCAAGCTGTTCCTGGGTGAGCTGCTGCTTTTCAGGTCGCTTCTGGAATCCGCCTCGCGTGCCGCCTCTAGCAAAGCCTCCTCTAGCGAAGCCACTACAACATAGTTCTATGTTCTATCATCACCCTCGACACTACAGTAATTTTCTGAAAGCAAATGCGCTTCATAACGGATCTGAAGTGTTATTACGAGCATCACTAATATTAATATCACTGACAATATTTCACCTTACCGTCCACCGCGAGGGCGAGCATAAGGGGCATCTGCCCAGGCGCGCCTGGCAGGTATGCCAAGACGCGATTGTGCACCCATGAAATTACCACCACGAACATTTGGCTGGTTCCCACCAATCAGCTGAATTTCCATTATGCGACCTAAAGAAACAGATAACACGATAATCCTACCAATCCTACCCCATAAACTATTGAAATAGAATTTTCCGGGTACAGAGTGAAAATTCACAAACCATCAAGCGGAATCCCATTATATTTTTGCAAAGCATTGACGGCATCGCCTGCTCGCTGATAAATCACTTCCGCCGAGCCTAGTGACGCGCCGTTTCGGTCACAGTGGATGGATACCTTCTTCACGGTGCCTAACTCACCAAACAATTCCTAAACACAGAATGCACACGTTAGATTACAGCTTCCACACAGAGTAACACGGAGGAGCTGCAATAATTCAAACGTAACCAGCAGAATAATGGCCATCGAAGAACAAAAATTTTAACAAGTGTTTTGGACTTTCGGCACATCATACTATTATGGTTTTTGGCAGTATAAGCGTAACAAATAAGTGACTTATTTGACAAAACACAAATGCATATCACAAAATCGAAGTTTTTGCAGAACGATGTAATAGACTAATAGCAATGCACGTACCCGCAAATCAGTCTCGGTTACTGCAAAATCCAGATTGGAAATGAGCAGTTTGGTGCCGTATCCACCATCCGTCGGATTGCTGAAGGCAGTCATCAGCCCAGCGATACCCGGGGCTCCGGATCCAAAAAGATCATGCTGCCAGCGGTTCTGGATACCCGAATTGTTCCGGTTTAGCTACAAAGTGAAACCAGACACAAAATTATGACAAGTCGCAATTCAATTAGCCTGCAAAACTGCCAGCACAACAGCGCTGTCGAATAAGATTTCCCCTACTTACAAAGACTGGTTGCTTGCGAGGAGCGATATTCTTCGTGATATCGGAATGGAAACCGCCCTGGCGCCGAAATCCACCGCGGCCACCGCCAGTTGAGCCGCGCGCTGACGTTCGGCCGCGGGCGCCACCACGTCCCTTGTCGCCCCGACCGATGTGCTTGCTCTTGATGTAATCGTCCAACGAAACATCGGCCATTTTTCTGAAACCAATGATCTGCTTTGACTGATGGTGAATTGGTATGAATGGTATCGCGATAAAATACTTTAAGGAAGGTACTGTTCCGTCTGTAATTACGAAAAAGTTTTGTACAAACTAAAGCTCGCAGCGACAGGAAACGCCTGTAGCGCTGATTCAGATTGTAAATAATAATTATAATTTATATTTTACGGTGTTACGGTTACCGCCATGATTCTGGTCTTTCGGCAAGACTAACAAGTACTGTGTTTTGTCACAAAAATTAAGAATATACGATCCAACGAAGTCTGAGACTGGCAGAATCACAAGGAAATTGAATTAACAGGTATGGGAAGTCTGCGCTGACGTTCAACTACCAAGAAAAACCCCGAAGAGAACTGCATTCTAAGTTCAAACAGTCAAGCGTCTTGCACTCGTCAAGCTCGACAAATATCGTACGTTGCCTGTAGATGAAGTGTGGATCTTCCCGCCACAAACTTACAGAAAGGAGGGAACTGTATCAACTCACAGGAAATGATATCGAAAACTTCACTTGCGGAAAAGATCTTATAAATCCAGGATCCTCGATAACCTGCCAACGGTGAAAAGTGAAAACCCGTAAATGTCGCTCACCAACCCATGCTTAAAAATGCACGCCGCTTTAAACCGCTCAGTTTTTTGGTAGCGTTACGAGCTTATAGATAAGGAAGATACCGCCAGTATAAAAGCGAGGTCTCTGAGCGGTTGCCATAGAAATGTAGCTTGGAACATCAAGCAAGCGTATCGCAAACCTCAAATGTCGTCTATACTACTACGAACAGCATTACTCGGCGATTTCTGTTTCCACTTGCTGCTTGACTTGCAACTTCAAGTTTGCGTTTGTTTTCGTGATTTTTTAAAAGCTTTGGCTTTCCATTTGTCAGTTGCGAGAACAATTTTTTAGAAGTAATTTGCAGTATCACTTAAGAGAATTGTCGTTCTTATATTTCAGATTTTCTGCTTCGCATTCATCCAGGTATAACAACATAATCGTGAATTCTGAATCAGATATCCGTGAAAATGGCGACGGCCGAAGTTATCCGTACGGGACCGAACAGCACCGTGATAACCACTGTGAGTATCTCTTACCGTAATTTGTTTATTTTTAGTCTGCTATTTTTAGTAATTAATGCTGTCAGCCAGAGAGTAACTTGTTTTTTTTGGTAAAGTTTAACGGTTCTCCCTTTTTTAAGATGGATGTGGATGATAGTGTCGATATCGCGGTCGGCGACGGTTTGAAGGATTATTATATTTCCAAGATCGAGCAGCTGCAGGTGAGAACCGTCGTTTGTGATAATTGTAGGTTGATCAGTTTTGATGGTTACTAGCTTTTGATGGATGTGATTTGTAGCATTACCTGAGATTTGGTTCTCTGGGGTTATTTTTTTACGGTCTTCTTTGGCTAGAAATTTAGAAACATTAGTTTAGCTGTAGACTCTCCCAACATCCGGTTGTTTGAGTTATTTTGAGATTGTACTAACTTACTGAAATACAAAGCGCTTCTTCTGATCGTAGTTGGCAGTCTCGGATAAAACTCAAAATCTGCGTCGACTCCAAGCACAACGCAATGAACTTAATGCCAAAGGTGATTCAACTGATGTAAAAATCCCGAAAATTTTTATTGTGTTACCGATCTGTTGACGATTCCTAATATTCCTAATATACACACGAGTACTTCTGTGCTGTATTCGCATTGCTCAATTTTTTTCGTTCATGATCCGAATTCTTTGTATATTGCACGGTATTCGCTGGGGTATTATGTACAGTAATTTATAGGATTGATTTACTGTTGCAGTTCGCCAGTTGCGCGAGGAATTACAGTTGCTGCAAGAGCAGGGTTCGTATGTCGGGGAAGTCGTCAAAGCGATGGACAAAAAGAAAGTGCTCGTGAAGGTAACGATGATCCCAGTTCGTGAACAGCGGCTGGTTGCTTATCGATATCATGTGTGAGAGATTGTTGGGATACCTAGGTCCACCCGGAAGGAAAGTACATCGTCGACGTGGATAAGAACATCGACATCAGTGCCTTGAAACCCAATATGCGCGTGGCGTTGCGGAGTGATAGCTACACATTGCATAAAATTCTCCCTAGTAAAGTAAGTAGTAGATTTGCCTTGAGTTGTCTTATTTTGAGTCCTTGAGGAAACATTATTTCATGCAGGTTGATCCTCTGGTGAGTTTGATGATGGTAGAAAAAGTTCCTGATTCCACCTACGAAATGGTCGGTGGTCTGGACAAGCAAATCAAGGAGATCAAAGAAGTGATTGAGTTGCCCGTTAAGCATCCCGAACTCTTTGAAGCGCTGGGCATTGCGCAGCCGAAGGTGAGACAAGCGAGTCTCAAGATGTAAATTTTTCCACTCAATGATTTTTCAACTCTGTTGTGAATGTGGCAAAATAGGGAGTGCTACTGTATGGTCCTCCGGGAACTGGCAAAACTCTTTTGGCTCGTGCTGTCGCCCACCACACTGAGTGTACATTTATTCGTGTCTCTGGCTCGGAATTGGTTCAGAAATTTATTGGCGAGGGCTCGAGGATGGTGCGGGAGTTGTTCGTCATGGCCCGGTACGATTTAGTTAGTTTTTTTGTCCAGAGTCACCGAAATTCAATTCCAAAAAAATGTTTTGCTGGTGTTTTTTGTAGACTCCTGTATAATTGCTCGATTTTTTATACCGTTAAGTCATAATTTGTACCATTACTATGTTTGTGAAGCTATGTCTGCTGGTATAAAATTAGCACAAGTATTTTTTGAATAATAATTGATCCCCGCTGTTTTTAGTATTACCTAACTAAATGTTGCATACCAGTACTACATACCTAGATTGTCATTTTCACGGTGCAAGACCGTGCAACTACATTGATGCGTTTAGGTGTTCGGTTCGAATATCGTGGAGCGGTTTTACTGTATTCTTGCTGTATAAGAATTTCATCAGTGGTCGTTAGCTGTTACTATTATTTTAAATCTTGTCGAACGGACAGGTACCTGTGTATGCATGCACTCATTTTATTTGATTTTAGTGAGCATGCGCCGTCGATTATTTTTATGGATGAGATCGACTCTATCGGTGCATCCCGAGTGGAAGGTTCCGCGGGCGGTGACAGCGAAGTGCAGCGCACTATGTTGGAGCTTTTGAATCAGCTGGATGGTTTTGAGCCCACGAAGAACATCAAGGTGCTGTATCGGCATCGTATCGTTAGTACATTGTAGCGTATTATATTGAACTGTGATCGTTTGCAGGTGATTATGGCAACTAACCGCATTGATATCCTTGATTCAGCGTTGCTCCGCCCTGGACGAATTGACCGTAAAATTGAATTTCCAGCGCCTAACGAAGATGTATGTTCATGATACTATATTGAACGACATATCTCAACATTTCCAGACAGTGAATTTTTTGCAGGCCCGCATAGATATTTTGAAAATTCATTCGCGCAAAATGAATCTGACCCGTGGTATAAATTTACGTAAAATTGCTGAAAAAATGGGTGGTGCTTCCGGAGCCGAAGTAAAGGTATGTCCTGTGATGATACTCACTGTTCATTTACTAGCACTAATGGAATTGTGCAATAGGATAGTTAAGTCACGTCATTAGTAAATGTTAATACAGCTGACCATGAAGAGGTCTTTACATTAAGGTGTTACCGTGACTAATAAGTATTATCAGGCTTTACAAGCATTAGGAAGTCATTTCAGTGATTCCAATATGTTCATAAAAGTATCGTGAAATGTTTCAGTCTTTTAATTGATTGTGATTTTTTGGGATTTCTTCCTATATCACGGTTTACTTTTTTTCAGTCTGTTTGTACGGAAGCTGGTATGTATGCGTTACGAGAGCGGAGAGTACATGTTACTCAAGAGGATTTCGAAATGGCAGTTTCCAAGGTGCGTTAATTTTCATACGTACTAGTTTAATTTTAAGGACTGTTGCCTTATATTATTGACTTGTATTCTGTGCCTGTTTACGTTTTACGATTGGTTCATCTCTGTTGCAGGTAATGGAGAAGGATACGGATAAAAACACTTCGGTTAAGAAATTCTGGAAGTAGATAAACTGTTTTATCGAATGATCTAAAAATTCAAAGCATGGATCACATAATCTGTGCGTTTTATGTTTCGGCTTAATTATTACAGTACGTTCTTTATTGCCCAGTCCCTACCCTGTTGACACCGACCAAACGGTTGTGGTATTGTGTCGGTCATTTAATAAAATAACATCGAAAGTGCTCTACGTAAATCGCAGTCAACCTCAAAGAGCGACATGTTTTAAAAAGGAAACAACACTTAATGACTGATCGACAAGGTTTTCTATTCGTTCGACACATTCAGAAAGCTTTCTCTTCAATTCCGATACCGTGGCGAGGGTCTCCTGATGAACGCCGTCGCTCAACTCTAAACTGTGGAGTTTTATAAACAACTCCAAATACGACTGCAGCAATTCCTGTTTTTTTCCATCTTCTACGCCTGCCGCCAAGCATCGCAGAAATCGCAACATCATTTTCGGAGACCCGCCGTTTTCGGGTGACAACCTCCTGATTTCCGTTTCTACCTGCGATATCGGCAGCTGGGCCAGAATATCGAAAGGTCTCTGAGCATTCTCTTTCGTTTGTTCATCCGTTTCCAAAGATTCGGCAAAGGGAGACAACGCTGCAAACATCCGCAGAGACTTCGCACCGGCGTCTTTATCTGCTTGCTGCTCAGTGGAAGTGATTGCAAAAGTCGTTTCTAGACCGGGAATAGTTGGAAGGAAAAAGGGGGCTTTTTCCGGCAGTTTTAAAGCTTCTTTTGGCTTATTCCTTTCCCGTATAATATCTTGTTTCGACAGATTTTTCCATCGATGTTCCGGCAGGAGAGAAAGGGTGATAAAATGGTCAACAAGTTGTGCAGGTGACGAAAACTGTGCTGGCATCGGTTCGTCTTCAACCGGTATATCTGCGGAAGCTACAACAAATAATCGACATCAAAATTTTAACATGGTTACCCAACCAAGGTAATTTCTCTTGGCTCCAGTGCGGCAACAGTAACACTTAAAAATAAAGAAAGAAACTGATGAACCAGAACTATACAGTACAGCACGCGAATGAAAATAACAAACGATCTGTGAAAATGATTTTACACTTACGAGATGCCAGGGAAGTCTCAGGCAGCTGCAACAACTCCGGCTCGGCATGGGGGTCCATACTAGCCAACAACACCGGCGCATAAACGGATTTATTGGTCCACAACGAAATCGCCACATCATCCTGATGGGCCGTGGCCAGATATTCGCCGGTTGGAGAAAACGTCAAACTGACGCATACAACCGGCACGCGAAAGGAGTCCACCATACTGCAAACCATAAAACTTAAAAATCCATCTAATACGGAAAATTGTTCCCTGAGACGTTCACCTGGCCGTGCTGAGATCCCACACCCGGATGGAACAATCCCGTGCTGCACTGACCAGCCAACGAGAATTCGGACTGAATGTCATATCAGTTACGCCGCCTTTATGACCAACAAATGTGCGAATGACTCTTCGAATTTCGATGTCCATCAACACGATTGCAAAGTTAGTCAAAGCAACGGCAAGGAACGCGCTGTGAATATCAGAGCAATGCAGTTTAAAATTTCAGCGATCCAGAAGCAGTTCAATACTTTTGCTGATTTTAATAAACGTACTTTTCGCGGTACGTTCGCATTAATTTAGGCTGAATTCCGCAATCATATACATCCAGCAACGCTCCAGATTTGAAATTCCAAAATTTAACCGTTGTATCCCCACATGTAATAAGTAATAAGTTCATCGAATCCGGAGCGATGGAGGAAACTGCGCCAACGTGAGCTATAAAACGAATTAATCGTCAATTCAAATGACTAAGTGTAATATGTAACGTGTGTGCGTGAATCTATTCTTCAATGACAAAGAACGGTGCCAGGGAATTATCAACGCCATATTATACGGAAACCATTATTGCAAACGCAAAGAAAATAGTATGCTGCAAAGAAAATGACAAAAGCAGTAGTCAGATTGTTATTAACTGCTTTTATTTTAAATTTATCGAACCCATTCTATAACTACTAACCAGTTGGTTGACCATACGATAGACGATGAATTCCCGATTGTATATTATACCGGTCCACGTGTCCTGTTGAATAACCAATCGAACAAAAATTCCCACATGCGCTTATCACAGCAGCCTACAGAAAAAAAAACAATAAAGATGAACAATAATAACGATAATAACAACGAAAAATTTTTTTTCGATTTTTAAGACCGCAGAATCATCTTTGGCGACACATACGTACAGTCGGCAAAACTTTCAGATTCTTTTGGAATCTTTCATGCAACAGCAAGTGTGCTCCCTTAGTTCGTCGATGATAGCTCCACGTGGAAACTTCTCGTAAATCACTATGCACCGCCACAATGTTATCCCATTCTCCTTCTCGCGTGGGCTGCGCGTAGAAATCCACGATTTCCGGCATAATCCGTCTTTCGGTTTTCGTACTCTTCTTCGCCTGCTTGCGATTAAACAAAGCCTTTCCCAAACTGAAACCCAAAAACTCGGCTTCCAAGGAAAAAGCACGCAAACAGGAATCCTTTCCAGCGCTCAATATCGTTGTGCCACTGTCGCCGTAAAACGCTATGCGATTTGGTGGCGCCGCGTGGCCCTCTTTGAACTTGTGCAGTCGCACCCCGGACATCTCATCATCCATTATCCAAAGACGAATGGAATTGTCAGGAGAGGAGGTGATTAGGAGGGGCTCGGATGGGAAGCATTTCAGGCCGGTCACAGGACCGCTGTGGGCTTTTTCTTTCTGAGAGGCCAAACGCTGCGTCTCCAGATTCCAAACGACCAGGTGACCCTCGTCACTTCCGGTTATCATTAGAGGCGGGCCATCTGCAAGAAAATTGCGACATGAATACTAAATTATATCATTAAAAAACTACTAAACTATGAATACATAAAACCAAATTCACCCAACATATTTACCAACAAAGCGGTAAATTAGTGAATTATTCACCTCCTCTCTATACCAGCATTTGACATCTGTTCTACTGCAAGAACAGTATACCACGCGATGAAAACAAACTAATAAAAACCAGAATAAGAACGAAACTAGCAAACAAAACATATAACTTAACTGACATCTCACATTTAATTCCTTAAAGAACACAAATTATTACCGGTGCGGAATGTAATGGACGACACACTGCCCCACTCCTGTCGGAACTTCATGATGGTGGTGTCTGTCTTGATATTGTGCAAGACGATCTGTCCATTGGCCAATCCACAGGCCAACACGTCCAACGCCGGCGACTGCTCAATACAAGTCACCGGCTGTCCCCATCCGGCAAACTGGAACAAATTGGTCGCCGAGTGAACGTTCCACAACTGCAGGCTGCCCTGTTCACTGCCCAGGACAATCTTGTTGATGTATGTCGCCGGATGGCATAGACAGGAGATTTTAAACGTACTCGCAAAAGGAAGCTCCAGATACACATCTAAAAGTTAATCAAATTTAATGCTCGGATCAACTCAAATTTTAACAAGCAAATTTCGGTGTGACTTTTGACGTAAGGAAAAATTCAAGTATGGTGACAAGACTTTTTCAACTCTGAAGAATGCACATGCTATAAAACATAATTAACAGAAAACAAAGTTACGAAAAACTGCGTCAAAAATGAGCCAGCGTTTGTTTAAATTTGAAATCAAAAAATACACAAACTAACCCCTTGAATTCAAAAATTTAAATAATGCGTAAAATTTTGAATAATATTATAATAATAATTATCGATCAAAATAAGCAGCTTATAAACTGTTGAAGGTGATAAACTATCCAGCATTTTAATCCTGGGGAAGTGCAAGTTTACAGCAATTAATATTATGCACGCTTACTACCGGAATCCCTTTCCAATACAATCAAACTATTTCGCGCTACAGCAACGATTAGCTCTCCAAATGGCATCAGAAGCCGAACGTCCGCCACTGGATGGAAGGATTCCGGATGAATTCCGCGTTTAAAAACGCGAATCCCATCTTGGCACGCTGTGTAGACATAGCGCGGGTCCGCGATGAGGCAAGTGATCTCCGATGGATGGATTTCGCTGGTGCTGTACAAATGCAGTTTGGCCGCCTAGATAGATTGACAAATTCCCGCACGCCGACCACACATGGGACTCTTAACACATAATACTCTCATTCAGCGCGCTTACCGAGTACGTATGGAACTTCCTGCCGACAGAAGTTATGATGAAAGTATCCTGGTGCTTCTTGATGTGTCTGATCTGAAGAGGCAGCGCATTGCACACTTGTCCCAGCAAATGCTGGCTCCGAAATAATCGAGATTCCATCCCATCGACGTTGCGCTAGTGATTCTGAGACATGCAAAATCCGAAAATCGGCTTGATCACAAAAATCTAATTCCACACTTCTCAGTAAATAAATTATAAAAGTAATAAAACCTGTAAAACTTTAAACTTTCTACTTTCAAGTTGAAAGTAGAAAGTTTCAGCTGAGCCTGGATGATTGCCGCAATCACGAAAAAACTCGCATGTGACTGCCACTGCCGGTGGTTACGTACTACTTCGCACAACACCGCACATCATATTTGTAAGTACTTACCTAATACCAGTAATTTATGTAAAAATTTATTCAAGATTAGTTTAAGATAATTCGGAAACGATTTGAAATAAAATTTAAGTATCAAAAGGTTCAGTTTTAAAATGTGCGGTAAGTAGTACCATGCATACATAGGTACTGTATTTTTATCGAAGCCGCAGTGATCTCTACAGTTTGAGTCTGTTTGACGCAAAAAAACGTCTGTTTTAAACTACTTACTTTGTACAATACCTAACCGTGTTAATAAACATGATTTTGTTGTGCTTGTGAGTTGTTAATTGTTTCATGAAAAAATTCATTTCACCTGATACGCACAAAACTACGTTGTATTTTAAAATAATTTACTAGTATTAGGTTGCAGAACGAAAATGACATGTGAAACTTTTGGTGGTTTCAAACTTTCACTACAAATTTACAATGTTAAGCTACGGTCACCTTTGATCAACCTGGTGTTACTTACTATGTACAATAACAATCATTATAATCATTATAATATTGCTTAAAACAGACTAAAAATACTTTACAATTTTGTCAATTTCTGTGATTCTGTTGAAAGAAAATTCTTGTGTTGCGCATTAGAGTCGAGAAAAAACCGAAATACTGAAACCGAAATTCCGAACGATGTTAGAGCAGCTGTGACCTGCTTCGTCTGCGGAATGGTCCGACCCATATGTATTGCAGTATTACGCTTTATTAATAAACATTTTGAGACGTGTTTTTCAGTGGAGAATTTAAAACCCCGTTAATACAGGAAAAAATGTCTCTGTCCGCAAGTACTTCAATTTAACAAAAAGAATTGTTTTTTGTGGAGTAATTTTTAGGCCAATCCTAATTTCTAGTACTGTATCAGCCTTATCAGGTGACTAAAAATTATCGAAGTTGTGAGCGATCATTTCCTTAGTAATAACTAATAACCACAGTACATGCACGACCAGACAATATCCACGCATTTTACTAAACATTTTTATTGGAGCTTTTAGAATAGCGCATGAACTCACAAATCCATCTCGAAGAACATCGGCCTAAACTAAACAGGCCAGCTATTTAAAAAATGATCACTCTCGTTCGCGAGCCTTCATTCTGGCCTGCTTCTTCTTAGACTCCTTCTTCTTGGCCTTGGGCTCAGCGACGGCAGATGGCTTCGGGACGATACCTTCCTTCTCGACCAGGATCACTTCCATGTGGGATGGGGAGCTCAGAAAAGCTACGGAAAAATATCAGCATTAGTCTCCACATTCAACTTACATGCGTCGAAAACAATTGCGCAAACTGCCGTAGAGAAAAGATAAATACTTACGATTAATGCGACCGTGAGCGCGATACGTCCTTCTTCTCATTTTGGGCGCACGATTAATTTGAATGTGATCAATAACAAGATTTTCCACATTTAAGCTCTTGTATTCGCCGTTGCTCTCGGCATTCCGCAGCAAACTGAGAAGGAACTCGGCAGACTTCTTTGGCCAACGTCCCTGGGTCGCTCCGAATTGTTTAGCCTAAAGAATAAGGTTTGCAAAAGATCTGGCATGGTTTCCATTTGTTTATGGTGCACACACTGCCAAACAGCAAACAATGATCCGCAATGTCATGCGATCACGCCGTAATTACTTTTTACAGCAAATCAAGTGCTACGAATCCACGTTTAACCACATGCTCTAATAAACCTGTAGCACATTTTTACGACCTACTGCAATCGGTACAGGATGTGGGGTAGCTCGCCACAATTAAGGATTCAATTAACGATTAATCAAAGAAGAACAAGAACTTCAACTTTCAGAACCCGCAAATAATCAAAGTAAGAAAAACCGATCCTTTACCTGGCCTTTTCGTCCCACATGTCCCGTGAATCGACGATAAGGAATAATTTCCTTCTTCGCGATAACATTCTTCAGGTACGCTGTGGCACGACGCAGAGTCATTCCCTTGATGGCATGAGCGGTTTCTCGGGTGTTCTTGAAGTGGCATCGCATGTCAGAGCCACGAGCTTTGCAGCTCTGAGACGGATTTTCCGCATCCCTGCTATATCTTCCCATTTTGAAGAACTACAATAAATTTTGAGACAATCAATTCCGATGACAAGATAGGTTTTCAGCTGGTTCCGCTGAAGTTCTCCAAATGTGCAGGAAATCACGAACCGGCCAGCAAGATTTCATGTGCGCATTGTGCATGGTGTCAAAATTGGATGCACCGTGCGCACTCTCCGATGGTGCATTGCGCCCACTGTAGCCAACCAGAATCCTGGGGAACAGCTTATGGGCCAAAATGTTTGTGTTTTTTCAAGCAGATGACATACTGACAGACCAAATATTTTCGCAAATATCTATATTTTCATTTTCCATTATTTTTCGAGTACCCTCCACATATTTATATTATGCATTTGTATCAGAAATGCATATTTTTAGCACTGCTCTTGATTTTGATGTGTACCGTTGGGCTGTTGAGATTTACGAGCCATAGATCCACGGTTAGTGCGGCGCTAATTGTGGCGTGACGACGCATTAGAATGATTAGATAAAAAAATACGTATAGATATGCGCATGTACAAAATGTCATACGTACATATAACATAATATCTATCTAGATGTATAGATATACTGTTACGTGATAAGTAGTTAGGTACTCATCACTTTGGGTTTTTGCTTCTTCGTTAGCTGAAACGTTTCTGTTATAATGTTCTTTTGCTACCTTAAATTTCCTTGGCTCAATTCTGTTTCGTAGTGCTACAACTGGTACGCTTGGAACGGTCTGCCAGAAAGCAAAACTTCTCCTGATTTGTGCTCCAGAATCTTTGTTTGCCCAAAATTCGGTTCGTTCTGGCGGTTCCGCCCATCTTTCCGCTTTGATTTTTCATTCAAATTTCCACTACGACTCTACGAGTACATAGTCTTACTCTTCTTTTGGAATCGTGCTTGTTTATATTTTTTGCTGTTTACGGTATTAGGCTAATACCGTAAACAGCAAAAATTATCAACAAGCAGCTATTAGGCATCCAACTCCTGCGAATTGTTAGCAGGGCAAAATGAGCAAATGTTACTTCCGAAACATTTTCTGCATTTTCGTGTTACAGACTGGAATAACAAATTTGCTTTATTCCCAAAGCACGCTGGAAAAGACACAGTCATCTCGGTCTATTTAGAAAACTCTTCCATTATGCTTCCTGCCGTTTATAAACGATCAGTTGCGACATCCTGTGAGCCGGTAGAGGGCGTTCCCATATACCGCCAAATGCGCGACTATCTCCTTGCTAATTATGCGGATTTTATTCCGGAGAATTTTTTCTCTGGTTTACAGAATCTGGATTATTCCGAACTGTTACGGTTGTGGGAGTTTATCCATCAAGATGAATTTCTGTTGTTAAAAATACTTCCCTACTTAAAGACCATCAACCTCTATTTTCCTGGATTACTCGGCACTTGCAGTGACGGCTTCGTAGTGGAAAAAATTCCCGAAATTATCGACGAGAACTTTATTCTGGAAAAATCCTGGGAAGAAACTGTCAGCGTCGTTTATGGTTTTTTGCAGTTAGTACATCAGTTAGACACAGCTTCTGTTGAACTGTGCGATGTCCAGTTGGGAAATTTCGGCTGGGATCCCGTTGTCGGCCGTGTGAAAGTGATTGACTTGGATTTAGTGTTTTTCCGCAATTTACTGGCAGAGCAGTTAGCCGGGCGGAAATGTTCTGTTGATGGAGACTGTGCCATGTTTGATTGCCAGGGAAAATGTGATATCCAGAGTGGAATATGCACGAATCAAATCGAAAACAATAATTTAGCACGAGTTTGTCGTGATATTTTTCGACCGGCTTTTTGGCGGAAAGGGCTTTTTACCGGCGCGCCGTTATTGTCGAAGCCTGGATTGAATGAATTAGCGCACCGATGCAGCGCTAAAATGACTGATTCCGAAGACTTCCTGCAGAAGTTTTCTGAATTAATTGGAAAATCTCTCTGAGGAAATAATGCAGCACCGAGCACGTAAGTGCGCTATGCATATCTGATTTTCTAAGTTTAACAGTGGTAGTGCCTTGTTGTTTTACTGGTTTTCGTTGCTCTTCGTTGCTTACCCATATTTCAGGTGAAAACCGAGTTGTGTGTTGTTGTTATGTTTTGTAGTGCTTTTTTTAAAAGTAATTAATTTCCTATTTAGTCATATCAGATTATAGATACTTAGAAGTACTTACGAGAAATAGTACAACTGCTGAACAAGTCTTACATACTCGTACATACCGCACTAGCGATCTAATCAAAGCGTGAAATTATGCAGCGGCAATCGGCATCCAGTGCCAGTGTACCGGCGATTTCTCACGGTTGCTTATCTCCGCACTTTGCAGACCCAGCGTTGTTCTTTCAAACATTATTCTGATTCGTTAAAATTACTGAGCTTGCATTGCGCCTTGAGTGCGATCGATATGGATCTAAGATCCATACAAAAGCAGTGGTTTCTTTCTTAAGCTAAATTACAATATTCCGTGTGGTCTCACATCCGAAAAACTTGTTCGGCAACTTTCAAGATCAAGCCGGGTAAATTGTGTACTGCGTGCTGTTTAAGCTATCTCAAGCACAGGCGATTGGCGGGATCGGATCGGTAATAGGCTTATTTTTCGATCGATAAGCGTTTTTATCTCTGCTGGTTTCCAACTTTCCACAGATTCCGTGCATTGCATTGGGGGAAACGTGTAAACTGTATACGTTCATCTGTCTCCGAGATTTAATGCTTCCGTTTCAAATTTCGATACAATACAGTATACTGAGTTTTGAGTGTGTCTTACACTACTGTGAGCGACTTTTAAATTGATTGTAGTGGGAAATCTCGTTGTGTTTGTTTACAGCGCCTAAGTAAACCCAAGCAGATCAAAAGTAAATTTGCCAGAATGTCAGACCAGCCCGATCCGATCAAGCAGCTTCCTCCGCAGCATGAAGACATTGTGCGCTCCACATGGGCACAGTTATTGGGCGCCGAGGGGAGCGTGCAGAATTTGGCTGTGGATTTGGTTAAAAGGTGAGCGGCGGATTTGGCAAGGCCATCCGATGTATGCAAATTGGGGTTTTTCCTACACTGGTAATATCATAATTTATGTGCGTTTATGTGCGTTAGCTTGGTTAAAACCCAGCTTGGTGGAGAAGGTGGCAGCGCTGAACCGTCTGCACCACCCGCAGCCGCAGGTAAATTGTCGTAGGAGTAATGTGTGTTGATGCATTTTCTCAAGGAATTTCTTTCATACCGTCTCACCGTTTTACACATACAGATACAAGAATGCGGTTTGATGTTTGATGTTCGAAGGAGTGCTCATACTGACAAACTTACACAGTGAGGACTACGTCGAGTTACCTGTCAGTGAGTGAATACCAGGAGACGATCAGGCGCACGCAGGTGGCGGCGAGTCAACTGGACGCGGCGCGGAAGGTGGAAATAATGATTTGTTCTATCAGCTTGGTGGATTGGCTGGACAATTTCTGGGTACTCGACGTGATGGAGGTTTGTAAAAATAATTTAATGCTGGCTTTGCATATGGTTTTGGTATAAAATGTACAATACCGCTATGCAGAAATAATCAGGTGGGTAACTACTGATTGTTTCGACATGCAGTAAACATCAGCTAGCACCTAAAATATGTCTATGATACTGCAGTTGCTTAATTACCTGTTACTAATTACCTAATTAGAGTTCATGGTGATACGTAGATTTCAAAGTAAATTCCAAGTCACAATTTGGTTTGCCCGAAATTTTGTTAAATTTTGTGTTAGGGCTCAACCTTGCAAAAATAGAAATTTGGCGGCTTTTTCAAAATTTTTGTTTTTGTATAAGAGCGATGCGCGATCACTGCAAATCTTCATTTGGCACACTGGGTTGTCAGTGCACTGCAGCATGTTATCAGCGCATTAGCTGTTGTCGCATTTCTCAAATAATTTGGATTGCAGTGATTTTTTTTTAGTTTTCAATACGCATTTTTTTATTGTTTTTTTAAATTTTAAAATATTTGTCATCCAGCTCACGTTTATTTTTTATGTGAAATGATTGTTGTTGAACTTGAGCTTCTCGAGTTTAACAACGATCATTTCACATAAAAAACAACGACAGCGATATTATTTATCGTTTCATTTAACAACAACAACATTTCATTTAACGACAGCAGCGAACATGTCTTCAGCACCTCTGCTCAAATGAGACCAGCGAGAGGTGTGATCTGCGATAGCCGGCTGGCTTGAGAACAGTTTTTACATTGGTTTATTGTGTTTATTGGTTGTTTAAGGCTTCAAGCCTTTTCCTGTTTCTTTCACTTTCTTTCTTCGTACAGTACTTATTGCCCAACTTACTTAACTCTGGCTGATCATGACACGTATGTGACTCACGACAGATGTTCTTAGTGTATTTAAACAAGAACATTGTTTGTGGACGCATGGTTTTGTGTTTTAAAAATTCAACCATGGTTTAAGATTTTGTGAGAGGCAAATTTTACTTGAGCGAATGCCTGGAAATAAAAAAATAAAAATGTTACCACAATGCAGATTAATATTTTCATTACTTTGAACGTGCAGGTTAACTAACATCTTCTCTCGATACACGTAGGAGGCTCGGGTGGAGGAGGTGGTGGAGACCTTATGGGACAGCTCGGTGGTTTGGCCGGACAGTTTTTGGGCGGTGGGCGATCTCAGTTGGGAGAAGAACGACCAGCCAATTCGGAAGGAAACAGCACCGACACGCCACGGTCTGGAGGAGGCGGGGGCAGTCTAATGGACACACTTGGTGGATTGGGGAGTCTGGCGCGACAATTTGGGGGAGGCTCCGGTGGCGGTGGCGGTGGGGGAAATATTATGCAGTAAGTAAGACAAGCACCCAAATATACAGGACTAGTAACTGCATTCGTCAGAATAATGACCAAATGCATCGCGTACAGTAATAATAATTTTTTAGGTTGATTGGAAGTCTGGGAGGCATGGCGGCTCTGGCGCAAGGCTTACATGATCCTGGTATGCTTGGTTGCTGACTTATTTCGTAAGGGACTTTTATGTGAATTATTTTGTCCTTGATTGCAGGGAAGCTTTTATCATTCTTCATGAAGGTGAGTTTAAAGAAAATGCCCGGTACAAGGTACCGATTTCGTATACCAGTATATCCGCAGTCCGCTTAATCTTTCGCAGTTTCGCACACTCCTGAACGCGTTTTGGATCGTTTTATGCCATCCTGCAGCTGATTTGTCTACATATATATTAGCCTGAAAACCGCTTATGCGTGCAACATCCGGTTGCTGGCGTTTTTGGTGAATTAAAACTAACAAAAAGTTTATATTGTAGTGCGCCAGAAGTCGGCGCACTACAATATTAGCCGATTGTTTTGAAATTTTGTCGTATGACGTGCATAAGATTAATGTCGAAAGTTATTTCTTTTTATATAAATAAATGTACGCGCTTCTCTTCACGTTTAGACTCCCGTTGCACAAGATGCTGGCAACCCGGATAACTCCTCTCGCGACATTTATAAGGTGAACAACGGTATTTTTAATTTGAAAGTTTTTGTTCCTGAGGAGTTGTGTGTGTTCAACAGTTTGTAATGCGGAAGATTTTTATTTCTTTTGTCGGTGTAGATCATAAAAGGAGTGATTTTTAATCTTCTCGGATCGAAACTGCCGGAAGAGGATTTTAACCAGAATGCGGAAAATAAGAGCGCCTGGAAGGGTTACTTGGGAATGATCGCCAAAGCGCTGCGCAATTTCGCGCAGTAGCCTCGCAACACTGCATTCTATTCCTTGATTCTCTTTTCCCCTATGATGACTCACGCTTTTGTTTGCTGAATGAAAAGGCGTTTGTTTTTCTGTATTTTTGTTGCATTGCGATTGACTGGGAATTGTTGGCTTTTTTTCATGCCATTTTAACTTTTTAATGTAGTGTATATTTTTCGGTTTGGCTTTTTTAACCAGTAGTAAGTCAAAGGATTTAGGATACCGACGCTGGCATTTAAGTTTGAACCTTTATTTGGTCAGTTACTGTATTTTATGTATACAGGGTGTATTTGCTTTGGTACATGAACAAAGTATTTTGAAAGGAATTGGAGGTAGCTAATCCGTGACTGAGAACAATCTGTGTGCTATATTAAATATCTAACAAAGAAACGCCGCTATAACAAAACAACAACTTCAGGAATCTCATAAATAAGGATTTTATCCTTTTCTCCGCACTTTCCAAGGTTTATAATCAAACTGCGGTATGGAGTCGCAAGATGTGACGGGATTACTCCTGCAAATACGTACATACAATTATGGAAATAATAACAAAAAATATTATAATTAATCAAAATTGTTTATCTCGTTTCGAAACATTATAGGTTAATTGTTCTTACGCAGAGGCTAGCAATAACGGTTTGGGCTGTATAGCTTCCATAAGAGGCGTGTTGTCGCACAAAATGCGGGACATTGTGATGCCGCGTATTGCTTGCACTTGGCCTGAAAAATGCTTACCTCGTTATTTATTTTCTACTTTATCGAATTCTGGTTTGTTACGCCGTTTTTAATGATGTTATAATAATTTTACGAAAATAATTGCACTTACGGTCTGATAATGATGAGGAAAGTGGAAGGTCATTCTCATACCAAAATCGATCACCAAACTTCAATCGCCTGAATTGATCAGCAATTATACAGGCAAATGTCGGTCCCACTTTTCCTCCGGGTACATGATTTTCCGCGGAACCGGCTAGATACAAATCAACATCCGCCAGGTCACTGCCATAAAAATCCTTATAAACTACTTGCAAACATACATTAGAAAGCAAATTCTTGTAAGGTCTCTCATACTCATAAGCATCGGACATCCGGTCAACAAACGCCGCATCCATAATCTGCATGGCTTTCAGCTCATCGAAAGTGCTGGCTGTGGGAAGTCCGCACAACTGTCGCCAGCGCATCCACCCGGCGAGGCCGTGATCACGACCGCGTTGGATATTCAGCGCCGTAAGATCCAGTCCAAAAGCGTCGCCGGGGATCTCGAATAAATGGTTTGTCAGGTCGTCGACAAAATTAGAATCCACCTCCTGGGCGGGCGACGACACCATGCCCAAGATGATCTCGTCGAAGGCGTCCTTGTCGTACAGGGCGAACGGATGGAAGAATGTGGATTTGAGCCGCTCATTACCGCGGAACTGGTATTTGGCCGAAGCGCGCCGGAACTCATTGGGCACCATCGTGTGTCCGAAACGATAGGCTGCCGTGGCGAATTCGTTCAGAATTCCTGAATTTACAAGAATGTCGTTGGAAACATGTGACAATGCAAGTGCCGAGTATTTGCGAAATTGAGGGTATGCTTGCATTTTCCCAAGGGACCCAAACTATAGCTGCGTGTAACAGCGCCGATCCGTGCAGTTCGTTATTTCTTTTTTACATTCGATGATTTTGTTGCTTGCGCAAAAGGCACTTACTTATTTCGAGATGTGTTTAGCGAAAGTGTCATGCGAAAATTAAGGCGGAATCGTACCTATTCGTACAGTCGTAATCAAGGTAGTATTGTTCTTACCGGGATGAACAGTGATATCGTATCCACTGGAGCGTCCATTGTCCAAAACCCTCAATTTCCATTTATCCAGAATCTGTCCGCCTAACAGAACCGGTAGGTATTCCTGTAAGATATAAATAACGGTGAAAGCACAAGCAGTTTTTGTTTAGATTTATTTTATTCGATGTAATAGAATATTCAACTATTGGATACACAGGATTATCCCCAAACGCGCAGTAGCGATATGACTTCGGTTAGCGCATGTTAAAAAGAATAAGACTAATTTTCCAACGATTGTAACAAGTAATGTACAGAGCACTCTGTACTCTTGCCTAACTGTGATGTATGCCGACAAACATACATTGTACGTGATGTGTTGTAGTTGCGCGACCACAATGTGTCGAGTTTCTTGGAACAATTTGTCATCATCCCAATGGGCATTGATTTCCTTCAGATTACTGGCAACCAAATTATGTTGTCGTACCCATAAAGTCTGGATTTCTGCAATTCCCAACTGCAACCACACAACCACAATAATGCCCAGTCAGCTGCATAAATTGCACACTGTAAACGAAAATCGTTGTTGCACGTACGTGGACATTCACTCGGACATCGCCTACAAAATATAATTATATTATTTCATGGTCAAAGAAAAATGGGTGTTTGATATCATTTGTTACATAATTGAGAAACGCAACAACCACTTACCGGCTCTGAAGCACATTTTAGTGTCACTCGGGTCAATACATTCGGAATTTTTGGCGTTCTGTGGTAAGAGATCGTAATGAGGATCGTTCTTTGGTGCGAACGTCTTCATCAAACCTGCAATATGTCAGCAAAGGTTACCGCGTCTGCTTTAACACGGAGATAGATGCCCGACAAAACTGGCGCATTAAACACGCGTCTGCACGCACCATCGCTCATTGTACGGAGGAAATCGGCTTTGTCTTGCGAGCCACCGTAAACTGTCGAACGAGCAGAAAAGAATGTTAGAGTTATTAAAAATGCGTAACTATCCAACCTAAACAGCACAACCGGATCTTCGGCGCATATCAAACATGTACAATTATTATCACAAAAAAATATATTGTTCATCGATACCAAAAAGCTAGCAAAGCGCCATTGATACAGCATCTATAATATTTGTACGTGCAGATAGAAAACAATCCACTTTAAATTACGTTGAAAACTATTAGATTTCTGATTAAAAACCTAAAAAATACTTTGTTTGATCATCGGGTGTGTTAGCATACTGACACATTAATGTTAAACATTAATTAAATGTTGGCTTACTAGCACTTCCGTCGATAAATGCCGTGTTTTGATTGACCTGCTCCCGCGGTCCCAATGTGCATCCTGGGCGGGTGCCGGGAAGGCTTCGTACAAACTCCATACAAGTTTGGTTTAATCTGTAATGATTGTACAAAGTGTTATCATAAAATAAATTGATACTGCTTTCGTGTTTTTAAATTTTCAGTATTCCAGCTTCAGGTTTTCTTTTCTTCAAGGTAGACAGTTTACATGGTGTTTTCATGCAATGCGAAGACGAAATATTATTGACAACAAACAATAATTTTAAACAATAAACAATAATTTTAAACAATATAGCAATCAAACTTCGTTTCATCTAAAACGGTGTTGTCTAGTTTTTGTTCGCCTGACATGACCGCAGAAGAAAGTTTATAGTCGATTCGGCAAATATCGCCAATAAATGTCTTTCTTTACTACGAGTAGGCTTTTTTATTGCATTCTCTCCTTTACGATGCATATTTCTGGATAATTATTGTGGTACAAGCTGATAAAGCGCTTTCAAATCGAACTTTGGTTTAAAATTAAACATCAAATTTTTAAAAAAAATCTATCACATATTTATATATAATAAAACATCTTATACAACAAAATAAAATAGTTTTGAAGTTTTGTGGTTAAACGCTCAACTTGCTGAATTAATCACAATCGATATATGGCCGAAATTGGCCGAAACGTTTACTACTTTTGTTTACTACTTCTTTTTGCTTTTTAGATTTACCACTTCTTTTTTGTTACCTGTACTGTTTCGTAGCTGGTCAGTTTTCACAGGTAAATGTTATTACTATTAATAAATGTGTGTGCAAAACATCTGTACTTACGGTGCCATAAATTTGTCATCCGCTGGGATAAGAATTGGAAAGCACGCCGGATCCAGGACATGTTTGGGATCATTATCAAAACAGCACTGCGGCGGAAGTTTATCGACACCACGCGATTTCGGTGTATTCTGCATAAAATGATCAACCACACCGCGGTCATTGTATAATCCAATTAGCTTAATCTACGCTGGTAGGCAAATGTTTTCGCTATCATTTTTGGATGACCATGAAAATTTCCCAGCAGCTGCCACTTTCACTCACCGTCACATCATGGTCCTTGCGTAACAAACCACATAAAAGAAAGAATTCCGTTAGAGGCGATTTAAGAATTGGACCATTCATATGAATGAAATCAGCGGCAAGCAACCAATGCAGCAAGCGGCATAGATTTGCCTCTTACTTTAATTTGAGAACACTTACAATAAACTGTCCAAATTGCATTAACTGCAAAGGAAATATATTATAATATTGTCAAGCAGCAAATTCTTGGAAATTCCAAAACATAAAACATACATGCTTTTGGAGAAAAAGCACCTACCATGACTGATGCGTCGCTGGCAGGGACATCGGAATTCCCGGCGACTTGTTTGCTAATTAACCTTGCGCTTGGCAGTGTTAGACCTCGTTTCGATTTGCGTGGTGCTCCGATAGCTGAAATTTAAAATGTATAATAACACCCCACTGCATAAATCACCACATTTTGCCGGAGTCTTTTGACGCAGCGGTTTTGATAAATATTCCATCAGACAAAAATCTCGCGATTGCACACTTATCAGGTAGAAAAATAATATGATCAGTCTTCAATATGTCAGTGTCTCTGCTTTATATGTCAGTATAGATTCCATATGAAATATGCCAGTTTTAATTAAGTACCAATCTAATCAAAGCGAAAATTCACAAGATCAGTTATTAAAATGTTTGGTTCGGTGTCTTTATTATCTTACAGTCAGCATAATCCGGCTCGATCATCCGAAGGAAAATGGACGTCCCACTTCCGCGGTTGGGAAAGGCAATATTATTGCAGGTGCCGTCAAAAGAGCGGTACTTGGTCCTGGCACAATCCGGCAGATTCCCCGAAAACGGATCGTCCAGAGGAACTTTCGGTGATCTAGATATTCCGAACAAAATACCGATGAAATGTGCATAATTCTTGTCGTGACATCATGCATGACAACAGAAAAAAGACAAATAAAACATAAATCACATTACCGTTATTCGTGCGATTAGTAACCAATTCATTCTATCATACGTGCTTTATAAATTACCCTTCGGCTTCGGTTAAGCAGTCTTGTTTGATCGTCTGCGACACAGGAATTAACGGCAAGACGTTCCTTATTTGGTCGGACGTGATTCCAAATCTATAATGGTAACACAACAAGGAACTTGTACACATTCCGCATTGAATGGATTTGGCCGGTGGTTAATAGATTATTTGATTAAGAAAAGGAAAATCATTGGAGACTAATTACTTGTCGACTAATTTTCGTGTCAGATGTTCCAGCGCATTCGCTTGATTGCCGACAACAACGGACTTTTGCTCGCCAAGATTCTCCAGTGCCGACAACTGACCAGCGGAACGGCGCGGCGTCGGCGGCTTTGTAAGGGAAAGTGTGGTTGTCTCTTCGGTAGTGTCTGCAAAAAAACGATGTACTTACATATCAACACGTATGTGCATTAATGTGTAAGGCATGCAATATGCCCTGCCACGGAAATAAGCAACATAAGCATACAAATTTGTATGAATTGAACGCATAGTAGTAATTATGTATTTTCCATTCTTGTTATAACGCAGTAAGTTTCAAATGCAGGCCTGATTTTGCATGTATGGCGTAAATTAAATAATGCATCATTCTGTTGTTTTGGCATAGCGTAATTAATAAATTACACCGGCGATTATATTAATGTCTGTCAGCAATATCTTCAGCAGTGTACACTGTAGCAAATACGCTATTAACTTCCGCGTTTACATTAATCACTCGCACGCTTAAAAAAATGGATATGATAATATTAGGTGTATGTATATGCATTATTTCACTAGTGAATTCCTCAGTTTACACTTTACTGATGAAAAAGCAAATGAACCGAAGAAAAAGCCTACCATACACGACATTATTCGTGCTCTTGACCCTATACAGCGCATACATGTTTACGGTCATGAGTGTTGCACAAGAATACAAAATGTTCAGTTTATGACCACTACGGTCCGCGGCCATAACATTCAGATCAACAATCAGATGCGCAATTAATTAATGTAAATGGATACGTATTAGATGCACAGATGACGTTACTGGCGAGTAATAAACCAATAATTTTGCTAGTTACTGCGTGTTCGAATTTGCTGATGTAGACAGTAGAGCAATGCGCTTTATGTTCGCAGTTACTAACAGCAATTTGTATACTACCTCGTCAACTGTGAATTCTGACTTTGAAAAAAAGTGCGATTATAAAATAATTAAAGCTAGGTACTAATATTATTTTTTGTGAAGTAAGTTAATGATTTATTTCTCAATTCCATCTTAATATATTTTAATTTCTGTACTCCACAATCCTACAATTTCAGTTCGTTCTGTGCTGTAACTGGGCAAGTTTTGCAGTTAGCGTTCACAAAGCGTTCATGTTCAAATGTTGCATGTCTTACAAATTATCGCAACGAAAAAAATTTTTTGGGAAGGTTTTATCCAACACAAAGAGAATCGGTTTTCCCTGTTTCGCTGGTAATTGGGCGTTACTGGCAGCCTATAAGGGTGGGATGCACAGTGGCACTTACCAATATCATCGTAATCAGCGGCTGCGGTTGTCGTTGTCGTCGTCGTTGTCGTGGTGGTGGTAGTTTTCTTCTTCTTTTTCCGTTGACGTCTGCTCGGTCCCGCCGTAAGTGCGGAGAAGGCCGTGGCTTTTTGTGCCAGTTCGTCCACGGCGTCGTTCGTCAGCGCTGAGAACGGATGCGACAAAGTGGCCGTCATCGGCGGTTTGTCGGCATCTACAGGCTGCAGCCGTACCAGGGCGGTGGCACGCGAGACATCGTTATTCTGCGGCTGATTACTGTCGCTCGCCTGATTATCCTGACTGCCGTCATCCGTGAAGAAATCCCGCGATTGCGCTGACGACGGCGCCACTACTTCGACTATCTCCGAGGCGGCTGCGTTGTCGATGGCCTTGGGTGCGCGTTGGCCGCCGTTGAACTGCTGGCGCGGCGTGAACTGACCGGCGGCCATTTTGCGCTGCTTCTCCTCTTTAGCGGCTTTTATGCGCTCAAAAAGATTCCGAAAAAAGGGAATATTGGCTTTGGCATCATCCAGGACGAAATCATCCTGGCTGAGGGTAAATGCAAGGAGATTGAGAAATGCGTATGTGCATAATAACAAACCCAGTCTGTGAAAGTAATGATGTCGCTGCTGAGGACAGGGTATTGGTAAATTAACTGATTCTTCGGAAAATCGCTGCGACAAATTAATCAGCTTTTACCTGAGCAAATCCATGGTAGTGCTGATTGTTGAAAATAACAAAAAAAGAAGCAGAAAGTTTTCTTCCAGGAAAATTTGTGAGAACTGCAGCGCAGGTGAAAATTACTATGCCGGAACGATTTCACATACTGTATCTGCAAAATTCAAATATGTTACAAGCTAAGAAGCTGTTCTATCGATATCATTCCTTCTACTTCTCCGGGTAACTTTGCATGTACAAATTGCATACTTATTCATTTCCTATTTACGGTAATCGTTTAGCGAAAAGACATACGTTGTACTATTAAGCATTTGTTATGCACACTAGAGCACCACCCGCGCATGTTCAGTAATTCATGCCAAAACCGATAAATATGTTTCTTGTGAATCGAAAAAAGGAGAAAAGAATAAACTTCATAAGAGAGCACTTGTATAAATAATAAGCATGGCATAAAAGATGTTCATGGCAAGAAAGTGATTGACAGGCGTTAGCAATCGACAAATGACTGCATTGTGCACCGGTCATTCATATTGTATATGTAATATATCCTTAAGCAGAATACGAAAGAAGTCAAGTTTCAAAATTTCTAGAGCAACTTTTAAATGCAAATGCTGTGAACGATTACTTTTCAAATGAAGAAGCCAAATATACATAAATTCAATTTGTAACAGTCTGTCTTATTCTATAAATAATCTTACTAAGATGTAAATAAGTAAAAGTAAGTGCACAACAGATCTTAATTCTGAAAAGGCGATTAGCAAAAAACACTACTACATTATGCGCGTTAATGTGCTGCTTCACATTTGTGTGCGCATCACTTTGCAAATACAGTGCTACCGCGTATCTGACACAGAACAGCATTCACTTGCGAAAACGAGAACGCGCACACAAAGCCGACGAATTGTTAATCATTTGCAAACTGAAACAGACTATCACATCGATTATGGTGTTTATTGTTGGACGCTTACTGTATTTTTTGCCGAAATGGAAGTATCCCATAGTAATGACTGGCTCAAGAATGCCGGTATAATACTTTAACGTTCTCACGGTAACACCACAATTAAACTTCCCTCTGCAGAACAGCGAATTAATTGGCGAAATATTTCGCAATCAGACTCCCGACTACATCACGAAAAAATTGCAAACTCCAGACCCACTCCGCGCTTTTATTCGAAAAAACAATTTTGCATGATCAATCAGCGGTACGGAATAAAAATGACGAGGTAAATAGCTGGCGTCTTAGTCACCACAGGCAATTATTGCACCTGCTTCAGCGTGTCATTAACTGTGCGCATTGTTTACCGCTAAGTTTTCTGCCCGGCATTTACAGTACATTTAACACCCACTACGTCACGGAAAAATTATTTGCTTTTCGTACAAGTGTTGTTGCTTTTCATGTGTCAGAAGGCTTGTGTAACCAATGAAGTGATGTTGCCGCTGGCTTTACCGGTTTATTAATAAAAAATCCTTTTAACGTAATATTATATCCTTAAACTTCCATGAAAATCGAAGCACTCATGGCATTAGTTTTGTCAATCAGTTTATCAGTTAAACCCAAACATTTTCGCTAATTAATACACTAATGATGTGATAATTATTCTAATTACGTTCCCACTTCTGATGAGTAGTAATATGTGGTTTGCTAAGATTTGAGTCTCGCAGTATGTAGTTCTATTAGTTATTGTAATAAACGGCACTTCTGCTATGAAATTTGTCAGCAGTTGCTGTTTAGAGTCAACGATAAGTTATAATCGACTTTTTCGTCCATATATTGATGCAATTTGCTCTTAATTAATGACACAAATTTTACCAAATTTATGTTGATCAACTGTTTATGTTGGTGTTCATTCAAAAGCGACAACAACACTTGTCTACGTAAATGCCATTATTTTTGAATGAAAATTCCAGTTGGTATATATACTCATTAAAATATGCAAGTTTCAAGTTCATCCGTGTGGAAACAGGCGGTTCTTTTAGCCACCGCTAATTGTGTTTTCCCGGAAAACGTGACAACGCGTGGTCGGCAATCACACCAGTGGAATGGAATTTTGAAATTTCCCCGTAGGAGAATTAATTATCATTGTACATTTGTACTAAATTATGGCCGTCACCTTGGATTGGTCATAGTAAGATGTCGTTAAGTGCAAGTGAACCCGGAACGCCCGCTTTTGGACTAAAGTGATTCCGGCACGTGTTCACTAAATTGCTTTGTTTTGATGTTTTGACTGACGAAAAACATTTTCCCCATACATATACGTGTCAAATGAGCGACTAGTTAATTATTGAGAAGGTATTAGTGGAAAACACATGCGGGAAATACATTCCACTAGGGTGCCGAATTGTTTTAAAGTTGTCGTACACACGCAATTGTATCAGCCCGAAGCCATCGTTTGTTGGCGAATTCGCAAACCTCGGTGAATCCTTGTGTTCTTGTCTATAAACAAAAAGAGATTATCATGTTTGTTCTATTTTCTGTTGTTTGCACTTTTTGTAGGAGGTTTGCCCAAATATCGGACTGCCGAAGAATACTACGAGTAGATAGCAAAAAAACTGGTTAACCTTTAATGCATAGAAGTGCACAGATTATGGACGCTGTAATGTCGAAGTATGTAACATGCACAGAAATAGGTAGCTGTGCGTTTAGTTCCACAACACTAGAGTAGTCATCGTAGACATTCGCCGCAAATCTAGGAGCTACAGAGTACATCGATCAGAAGCCGCTAGCTTGCTTACGGACTCGAGAAAGAAAATACAATAAGAAATCGCCTGAATGTTTATAAAACAATTAATGAAAATGTTTTATTATTAATTTATAAATTATATTCAATTAACGACTGTTCGCGGCGGTAAAATACAGAGGATTTGTGGTATCTTTACCTTACCCGTGAAATAGCAACGTACGTAAAATTAAAGGTCACCACAAGCCAGTGCACAATGCACGACTACACAAATATATGTATCCAGCGATGCACTGCCCAGTGCCCACATACCGAGCTTGTAGATTAATTATTTTGACTACAAGTATATTAAGAAATTTGGCGGTAATTACGGCATTCGATTTCTTTGTTTTCCTTGTGTGGTATGTCGTTGATGCCGCAATTCAATGTTTGGCTTATCGATCGTCACACTCCCAAATATGTTTTCTTTTTTGTCAAACTACCGTATAATTCTACTTTACGCTGCAGAGCTTGGAGTCCTATATATAAAAGCTGTTTTGTGTCAACTTTATTCATTTTATTACCTTTATCTACCGTTTAAGTCGTTGCGGCCAGCAATTTAGTATCAATAAAAACAAAAAACTCGTAATTTGTTCTATTTAACAATTAGTCTTGGCAAGCGCCTCCGATCCTGCAAAGAGTTCAATAGAGTAAGCAATAAGGGCATATCGTGAATATCTATATCGCTATATATTTCGTGTAATATGCATTTAATACAGAATTCTGCAAACCCTTTAATACGGATTTTTTCATATATAGCCGCTTTGACGCGCGTTACCCGAAGGTCGTTTTTCGAAGTTTTGTAAGGAGCATACAATTGCCCATGCATATCACTAATCATAGCTTGTAAGTAGGTTCCGTCCGGCCTTGTTTGTATCAAGCATGATTATAAACTGCATCGCAGAAATGTTACACAGTCAGCGGGGATAAAGGGAATCGCAACTGATCATGGTAAGGTCTTTAATACTCGTAAATTATGCAACATATTGGAAACCGAACGACCAAAAGTTGGTTCCAAAAGTTATCATTCAACAGAACTGTAAACCAGCACAGGATATCGATAGCTAAATACCGATCAGAAAGCTCTATCTGCCTGATCAAGGTCATTGGGCGATAAAACCTTTTTAATTTGGGCGGTTACTGGATTCTCGGATGGTGATGGTAAAAACATTACCAGTGTCATAAACCGCATTCGCGTACAGTTGCACATATATGTGGTCCCACTTAATGCAACTGCACGCGGCTACCCAACCGGAAGCCGCACACATACATAACCAACCGGCACACACACGGCGCGCGAACAGGGGACGGCATACCGCGCTGCTGGTGCCGGCGCCATTAAATCGCGAGTGCATCACGGTTGGGAAGAAATCCGGCGTATTATTTGGTCGCGCGTTTGACATCTTAGTAACGATTCCCAATAGCCGATTAAAGCAGTTCCGACGATATTGGATAATAATGCCCAACAAGCGGTGCGGCCATACGATACCCACGGGATATTCGTCGGACAGATTAAAATCCTCTGTAACGTTTACTCCCTATTCTCCGGCTCTACCCACTCCTGAACAAAAGAGCAACAAGGCAAATTGCTTTTGCATACATTGATGAGTGGCGCAGGCGATCACGCCGGAATTAACCTTGCGGCGTTTAAATCCATTTAGCTGCGCTTTGACTGTCATCCGGCGGACGTTGTCGTGGACGTCGGTGGACGTTTGTGATGCATTCTGCGCAGTATTTGATCATGCACTGGCAACTATTCCCTGTTATTTGGGAATCTGTTGAATCCGTTTAGCATATAAATGTATATTTATCTCGACATCGTTATCCCGTACATATAAAATCTTCATTCTACCGAATTTCCGCATCGACAGTAACAAATTAGACGGTGTACGACATGCGCCCATCATTATCCGGCGTTTCCGGTTTGTGTACCTTAAGCTTGTTTGTATTGTGCATGTTTGGACGGCTGACTGCGATATGGGGAAAAGTTAAAAGCGAGAAGGAATTTGTGGAGGCGAAGCAGTATTTGATCCGTTCTATTACAGCATTAGACAGGTTGGCGTGGTTTCTGGAACATCATTACGAGCAGGGAAACTTGGATCTTTTTATTGGAACACGTATTGCCGAAGGTTGGTTTACTGTTCTACAACTTAGGGTTGTTTATGTTAGCATAGGTTAGCTATAGTTTAGGTTAGCTTATTATATACGTACTACAAATTTCCAAGGGTTTATAAGTAGCGATGAATTTGACAATTATAACTTTATAACAATGTGAGCAAATTATACTTTACATGTCATAAATACGTTTATAATAAATTTAATATCGTTACGTATCCTTTCTCTGTATGTTTGCTAATTTCGAATATTGTACATATAAGGTCAACTCGCCAGTCTGTTGAAGCGTATTGATGAAGATAAGAAAAGCGTGGATATTCCCTTATCGGAAGACTTGCATCATCGACTGCGCATCCTTCGAGAGCGGCTGGATTTCATTACGAACAGAGGCACCGAGATTGTGGAGAAGAATGAGCCAGATTACTTTCAGCGTAAGTCAATTCGAGCCCCGGCATCGGATTCAATTTTCCGCATTACAGTACGTGTACATTGACGATCAATCATACGAACACCACGGCATAAACGCCAATAAAAATGCGGCATGAATAGATCAGTCAATAATACAATACTATCTGTGTGGACGCTAAATGTACGTTACGTCCGTTGAATTCGGCAGGAATCGGCGGCGTACTTCGCAAGGGGCTTTGGGAAATCGACTATGCGGCGTTAAAAACGCTTAATAAAAGCCTAATTATTCATGTCCAAGAGACGGAGAAACTCAAAGAATCCCAGTCGGATGACTGCATAAATCAGATTTTGGGTAGCACACAGTAAGTCGTAAGGTATATGTGAAACTGCATTTAACTTTATGTATATTTATTATACATTACCATATTATACGAGTACGATTAATTTACGTTCTGCACACACACACACACACGAAAGGGCCAGAAATATTGTGTTATCACACCGGAAATCAGAATAAATTTATATACAACTATGACGGGAATCGTTCATACTTAAAAAATACACGTACAGCCGTTTACGATAGATTGCTAAATGAAGTTATGGTTACTCATTAGAAATGGCGGTTGCACGATTCCTTCAAATTGCTGGAATATCATGACGATGCCGGGGTTATATGGCTACTCACTGACACATCAAATGTTTCTGCTGGAAATATCGGCAAAGGTAAATATGCATTTTTTCAAAGTGATCATAGTTTTTGGCCTACAAATTTGTATTAACTGAAAGTACAGCTCTGATCCTAGCAAATTGACCATATAATTAAACTTTATTGCAGTGCAGGCATACTAGCCTGAGGATTAATTGTTTTCTTTACCAATAAACCCTGCAAACTTTTACAAATAACCCTTTTAGTTGAGGCAAATGACTTTACAAACAATCTGACATGATTGCACTCAAGAGAGCCTTACAATTACTCCCGTCAATCTGTGCCGGCACAATTTATGCTGGTCGATCGTGGATGCATTTCAGTAGAAACGAGAAAAGTGCCATTGGAAATCTAACCCGTCGCATTGAATGATGAATGATGTGCTCTAATATCGAATAATATATAAACAGTTAAACAGTACAATTAAGGATACATCAAGGTGACTTATCGCCCGCGCATAAATCCCGTCTTAAAATTTGTTTCGTAATTGCCCGTCTTAATGTTACCCGGCCGCGGCTTCCCGTTTAGCCGCTGCAGGCGTTAACGATTCCGGCGCATAGCTAGCAGAGCGTTATTTCCGGTCGTAAAGCCCGGGAACAGTGTACAGTGTGCACAATAAGCGAGTAGATAATCAATACCGTCTCGTCCGCCCGTGTTTTTATGCGGAAGAAAGCAAATAATTATAAGAAGGTATTGATTATGGAGCTTGTTAAGAGTGTCTACGAGATACATAACAAAGTAGCTTAATTAAATTGAATGCACTGCAGTGCTCCAGGCAAGTGTGGTCGTGTCCCTCGCAGTAACATCAGTGCTAATTAACTCATCATACTAGAGCACAACATACATATCGTTATATGTCGATAAAAAATTTCAGCATCAATGGTTTGATATAATATAAAAGATGCGATATATTGTTTACTGCGGTTTTGTTTGATTTTTTGAAAGCTTATGGACGCTGAAAAGTTAAAGATTTCTCGAACGAATTGTTAGCTATAACAAGAATGTAATCCCCATTGCGCAGCATAAACATGCGATCATGTTCCCATCACAGGCTGGTTGTGGGAACGAGCTTCGCCGCCGGGCTGCCGCATCTGGCGAAACTCTAACCGATATTGCGAACCGCATCTGTGCCAATGTTTACGGACAAGCAAAAGAAATCGCAGCAAACGGTTATCCTCTCTCAAAACACGACATTTTCATCGAACAAAGTAAGTGAAATTTGGAATAAAATCCCTTCCTATCCAGTTTTGTGCACGTGTTTTGTATTACCAGAAATGTTAGCAGTAATATAAACAGCGCTACTTTGTACACTAACCATACCGATACGAAAGAGCTTTTTGTTATTTTGATATTTCTATGATATGAAATGCTGTTCACATTTCAGTCGTTTATCTTATTCGATCTTGCTTTTACTCAATTCGGTCGATCTTTTTTAGTGGTATCGCTTTGCTTAATACGGTGTCGACAACTTTCCGCAGTGATGTACGACGATATTTAATTTATTCTTCTTTTCAACTGTGCGAGAAAGCGCTGCAGTACTTCGAAGGCAGTGCGATTTGAATTTTCACTTCTGTAAGCAAATCATGCCTCATTGCAGAACTAATACTAAATATTACATATTTGTTGAATTATTGCTGATGAATAATGAAACTTATTGTTTCTGTCACGCTAGAACAAAGTATAGATAAGCGTGCACGTGACCTTTATTTGGCTTGTCCTTATTTTAAGCGATCTCAGGAGACTTTGACGCCTAGTAGCAGAATGGTTAATTCTGCAATTTGCAGTTGCACTGTGCGGCATCCTCGGCTATGGAAACTTCTTCAAAAGCGCCTGGCTAGATCACATTTTAAAATGGCAACAAGCCGAAGGATGTTATGGAATGGGTGAACCGGTAAAAAAGTCAATTAGTTCCAGCAGCGCCGACGCACTGCCGCCGAGCAGCAAATGGACGCAACATGGACTGCGCTTGAAACGTCAGGAAAAGCGGATGCAAGGCACGCATACATACGTACTGGCATTAGGCATACACTACTTAGGTCCCTGTGCTAAAAGCTTCCAAGCAGGATCAATATGTGAAGTGTGTGTGTTTCATGCTTGTCAGTTTCGGTTTGTCAATTTATTTGTATATCAGGTTACAAAAGTGTTTCGTGCCAAAAGCAATTTGCGTCACATTGTGCGGCTAGCACATTGGTGAATGAACCTATGGTCGATTTTTGATTTTTCTTTCTCTTCCAGATAACTGTTCGGCACATCGCACGGCTGTGGCCGCGGCCGCGCTTGGCGCCTACATCAAGTTTCTGGTGTTATTCGCATCCGGAAGCATATAATCGACGGGAAATTTTGCACACGTGTGATGGAGTTGAGGTTTCAAATCGTGTGTCATGCAGAACAAGAAGTGTTATAACGAGGTTTATTTTTGTTCTTCCTCATCGCTTTTATTCGTACGATTTTATTGACTTAATTGTTATAATTAAGTGTTCGCGCACATCATCGATATAAATAAAGTAAAGTGTGACCGATTTTAAAGAGATGTTCATGTGATTAAGTTTAAACCATATAATATGACGAAAACCTAAAAATCTCCAATTTTTATAAAACTTCTTTTTTACCGGGTCAAATCCCTTAACTGGAAGTGCGAAGTGTATGAAGTAGATTTATTGTATGAAGTATGTCGTCGTTTGATTATACTGTGTTTGACTGCGGCTCGTTCAGCGCTGACCGGGGTCCGAAAGTTCGAAGCAAAATAACATCAAAAGGCATTTTTGTTCCACTTTATTCAAATTCAGAGTCGTTGCAGACCCATTTGCCACCGTGACCTTGCCCAAGCATGCCATTAATGAACACCCGCTTCTAGCAGAAAATTTGCGGCACCAATGTAGCAATAAATTACAAATTTCTTGTGACCCTTAAGAACGCCATGCCCAGGTAGTTATGGAAGTCGGTTACTAGGCTCTATGGAACAACGTATTGGTTGGTACTGCAAGTTATAGGAATCATTTAACAACCAAATCGGGACGAAATTTTTATCGCGGTGCATCTGCTCGACAACTGCTGCGTGGAATGGTGTACATTCGCATACGTGTTGTCAGTCTGAAAAGTATAAACACCAATTTTAAAATTATAAAATGGATTTTATTATAAAAAATTATAAAAAAATATGCATGAACGGAGATAGAATTTTATCTATAAAGTGCTAATTCTTGAAATTTAACAGCTGAAAATAAAAATGTTAAGTGCCAGTTACTGTATTTTAACATGATGGTCAGTTGCTACATGTACAGGAACTGCACTGCATCTGTAAGTAACTGGTTACCGTAGAGCAGAACTCCCGAACCGATTTTTGAGCATAAAGTGAATATTATATCGTTTTTAAATTAATTTTTGCTCGCACGTATAATGGGATTCATAAATCTTACCTAATACTACTGGGTTGATTTTTGGAAACAGAAAAACACTGTGTTGACCGTGACCAAGATGCCGACATGAGCGTCGGCGCTACATCATCCGGCGTTAAGTTGTCATATGCACATTCAAATTGCCCGATAATATCATCCCCACTGGTATCATCGGCATCCACAATTTTAGCTCCTAAAATCAACAGGTGCAATACGTTTTCCACACTCAGTAAATAACGTTTACGGTTTGCAGTAGGCCTGAATTATAATGTGTATGCATTGCAATCGATAGAAGAAATCTGCGCTACTGGAATGTAACTATGTGTGAATTGTTCCATTTTCGCGTTGGACGAGACATACGACCGCCGGTGGAAATGTGGAAATAAAGCCAGCGAATATTTCAGTGCATGCACATAATTCAGCGCGAAGGAAATGCACCATTAGGCGAATTTACGAAATCGTTTTTATTTTTGATTTTGACCGACGCTTACTTAAATTAATTCCACCTAACCCGCCGCCACAGACATCTCGAATAACGACTTTCCCTATATTGGCTGAATTCCTGTTGGTACCATCGAAGATGGTTTTCCATTTGGAAATGGGCACCGGTCCCGGCCATGGTGATCTGGGCTGACTACTGTTAAATTACACAATCTAAATTAATTTGAGTATGGCACATCGCACATAGTCACGAAACGAGTACATAATATTGTGAACGGCTGCTTAATCCTTAGATAAGTTAGTAATAATAAAGCGTGACGAATTACGTATATCCATAAAAAAACCGTCCAGTTAGCAAACACTATGTGTGCTATTTAACTTACTAGTACTAGTAGCAAATTTAACAGCAAAGTTTTGATGATAACTGATACATGCGAATAATTTTAATGTTTTGGTCTATAATTGACTAAACGCAATGACCACGATACTGAAAACCTAAATTTAATGATAATGATTTCTGTTATTATGACTTACATGTCCATATAAACCGAAACCCGCGGATCACATGCGTTCAGTGTATCGCAATTTTGTCCGTTAGCCAAGAGTCCGCTGGGATTGTCCAGATTCTGCACTTCTACCTCGATGCGAAAATAATCAGGAAATTGACTGCCGTCACTGGAGTCGCTGTTAAACTGATCGTTGTTTCGGGAATTGCGGCCGGGTGAGTAATAATCATCCGGCTGTGGTCGTCGGCGGTCGGACGAGGTGTACACATATCGCGATTGGCTATCCGATGCGGTACCGCGGTTGCCGAAATAATATGATGGCACCTCTTGTGAAAACACCTATATACAAGGAGTATTTTATGGAATGGAAGATGAACAACTAAATTGTGCTCTTGCAATTGTACATAACTTGTATGTAATGTACAGAACATCATGTAAAAAAATCAACATTTAAAAAAATTTCCTGTTCTAAAACATGTACTGTACATAATAGGAGTGTATTGTAATACTTTCATGGTTAAAACTACTTCTACCGCTGTGATGTGTTTAACGTAAATAATATGCGTAAATAAAGCAAATCAGACTTATTTAAATTTTCTGAACGAGACTTTACGAACCAAGATATTTACCGTAGCAGTGAAGATAGTAATAAATATGCAATAGGAGAAAAACATTCTGTAGAGAAGTGCTGCAGTGGACTTATTAATAAAACAACCCTGAGATATACACATTAACACACATATGAAAAACTACTTAATACAGATCTTGATGCACACTCTCTAGCCGATCGATACGATGTTTCACTTATGGATAAAGTAATATTCGCCTGATAATGTATGCATTCTTCTTGAGGCATTGGCGTATGTATCTGTAGGTGCACGTGGAAACGCTTTTCTAATGCGGCGAAATAATGCGCTTATGTGCAGAGAACTGACAAGCCTTGTTGTCAGGAATCCGCTTTGATCCATATTTATGCTCGCATTTTTTAACAAGAGAAGGTAAGTCTTCACTACCAGTCATACGGTCAAAGTGGCGGTAGTTGCCGCGAAGTCTTTGAACAAGTGTTTAAAGTGTATGTTCCGTGTTCCATTTTTCGGAACTTTATTGACCAAGCCAGCAGTTTTTTTCAAATCAGCAGACGTAGCAATTATATTTGAATACGTCGTTATGATGCGTTTTTTAAAACGCCTTCTGCATTAACACCAGAGTGTGATAAGAAGGGCGTGGTTGATTTTTACATTCTGCGTTGTTTAGTATTTGTTTTCATATTTTCCACGTTTTGATAATGAGTCACTAAATCAGCTGCACTTTAAACTGGGATTATATTATGTTAAAACTTCCCCAACCAGAACAAAGGCTAACTAGATTTGCCTTTACGGTTGCACACATCAATCAAGTTTAGCGCGTATTCTGAGAATATTTGTAGTTTAGACAAGGGTCCAAGCAACTGTCGTCACTTGTTGCTCGCTGCTGTACATCTACTTGTACTTACTGCATGGGTGCATTCTGCGCAATTCTGATATAAATTCCTGCTAGATCAAACTTTCGCTTTTTGCATTTTAACTACGTACAATATGGAATAACTTCTCAGACGAGTACACAAGTGCTTTAGTGTACGTCCGGCCAAAAAATGTGGACAGCAGGAAATCTGAACCGCTTACGGTTAATATACAAACAAGACACCTGGCTAGAGATAACAATGAGCAAACGAAAACGTTAACTGGTATTTAAAAAATTAATTAAGCCTACTTTGGCCAGGTACCATAGGTTATAATAATGAAATATTCAACTTCCAGCAACATTTCACAATTGTCAGGACATACAGTTTTCTACATATAACGATGCGTGTAAATTAAAGCTGTCGTTTTCTTGGGCGATGTACACCGCGTACGCTCGTTATGTAATTTATCCAAGTAATAATAATTATAATATTCTTCATGGATGAAAGCGCGCGCACAAGGACGCTTCGGCGTAAACCATGTCGATTTATGGCATCATGCTCTTTAGCAAATTTTCTATGACTCCAAAGAACCGGAATTTTAGTGGAATGAAAACTGTCGATTAATAACCAGATTCGAGGCCTGCGGTAGCGTTCATTACAAGTAGGATCCATACAGTGCAGTGCATGTGTACGGTTTGTAAACAAATAACAGCAGCGGTCCTGCGCAAAATAAAAGCAAGGATGAAAGTATGATTTGGTATACAGAATGATAAATTGAGTTCAAACAAACAACTACGCGGTTACATGTTATATATCTTCACATACAGTAATCCGTTTGCTGTGCAGCATCGCATCCAGTGATATTAATTTTGTCGTTTCTACATTGACGATGGCTCGCAATATTCTCTCCTACCATCTCGCGGTAAGATGATAAAGTTTTGCTTTATCATAAAGCGTGTATCTCATTTTAATACCGCATACTGATGTGTATATTTATCTTACTTACTCTAATACCGCTTTTACCCCTTATACAGATACAGATATGCGTTGCCCGAATCCTAACAGCTCGATCGAGCATCAATTTGAACCAAAACAAAAATTAGTATAACTGAGTTTGCAGTTAGTAACGTACGAAAATATAGTATTTCAGAAGCTTTACCACGTAGCTAGTATTCTCGTGGATGCTTCAATTTGTATTATGTGAAAGGCTATTGCCAATAAATAACATATCCTTAATTAATCGTTGACCGGTTTACATCTCAAGTGCTGTTATCTGAACAGGTTGCGGTGACCTTTGTGCTACTTTTGGGGTTAGCTTCAGCCTGGTTTGGCAGCTACGGTTACGGCAGTTATTACCCGTCATATTACGGATCGGGATACGGTGGTTACGGGTCAACATACGGTGGATACTATCCGTATGGCGGATACTCATATGGATACCCTAGTTACACCAGTTACAGTTACTACCCCAGTTACGGCTACGGGAATTACGGATATGGCGGCATAGGCGGATACGGTAGTTATGGATATGGTGGACTCTTTGGAAACAGTTATACGCTTTATGGACGGCGTTAAACGAAAATTAATGCTGCACTGTGTGTTCTGCATAAGCACAGCGCAATAAAAGATTTGGAAGATGATAACGAACTGCTCATGTAATTACATTGTAGAAATTTTCCAGTTTAATAGCGTGCCTACTGTCAAGTAAAATCATTGATACTGAAAGTGAGTTCACTCACTGTTTCGGATGTTTTGTGTTGAGTATTTTATCTGCGATTATTTGGTCTTGTTCCATAGGTGTATCGTACGAATTCGCAATTCCTAACAAAAATTTTCCAAAACGGTTCGCGAAAAAACAGTCGCCTATTAAACTGCTTCGTTGTATGCGTACCAAGAAGAGTGAAGCACTTCCACACATGTGAAACGTATATCGAGACTCGTTGCACTGACGCTACAAAATCAGTGTTTAAACCCATGTTGGTCGAACATATGACAAAAGCACGAACCGATTTAATACAGACGCAACTGCTCTCGAACAGCGCAAGCAGCCAGAAACAAGGTAACTCAATTTTCTATTCGTTAAAACACCACTGCATAAAACAGAAATAAAATAAACCCAATGAACCAGAGCACAAGTGCACGGATGGATACAACCTACCAACAACAAATCAGCAGGATAAACAACATATAAAAAAGCGGCGTTATAGCGCATAACTCAGACCGTAGTCTTGTTTGGCCAGTTCCAGTAACATAGGATCATCGAAAAATTTATTGATACTAACATCCTCACTCAGGCCCTTGCGTCGACGGGTCTTTAGCATGAATTCCCGTGCCAAATGCGGCGCCGGTTGTGGTTCGAGGGGCTTGATGATGATACTCTTGTCCATGGGATCACCCGGAACAATCTGCCAGTGGTGAAATACACTTTGACAGAACGCTTGGCCCTGGGTGTGGGTTCTCAGATCCGTTTCAAAGCCAAAGGAATCAATAGCCGGGATAAATGCCTTGATTGTATACAACGGGGAACCCGGCAGTGGAGCATCGGATGTCACGTGACCTCTACAAATTGCAGACTTAACCCAACGTAGAAGCTGATTGAGAATACAATATATGTGGACGAGCGAGTTTAATAAAAACTTTCCAAATCTCACAATCCCATCACATGATATAAGAGAATGAGGAAAAAAGCAAAAAAACTTCCCATGCGGGGAATCGAACCCCGGCCGCCGCGGTGAGAGCGCGGAATCACAGTCAGTGTGCAGTGACACATCTAACCACTAGACCACATGGGACATCTCATTACGCGCCAAAACAGACACTGCGCTAGGGGATAAAGAAAGACGATAACGTATTCGACCGTTGATTGCGCAATTTGTGCTGGAGAATGCTGCCACAGTCCTCAACTACAGTACTTCACTGACAAAGAACCAAAATGTAACAGTACCGTGGTCAAGATCACTACTCCAAAAATTAAAGGCCATTTAAATTAGTTTTCTGAATTGAATTGTAATTTTCTCCATTCAGAATAACTCTGCCATTTCATACTACCAGCTAAACCAGAATCTTCCATTCATGAACACTGCATTTGACCGCTATCGTTTAGATGGAATGGATTTCATATAGAACTTTATCACAATTTTTTCGGTAATGGTAAGTACTTCAACTAACTGTTCTGTTATAAAGCTAACTGGTTAAGCTCTATGGATACATTTTAACATTCTCAACACATTAACAGCTCACCGTCTTCGTCCTAAAACGGTATATAAAGGAGATACACAGTCGGCGGGAGCGATGGCTTCAACATATAGATATGGTTCCATTAAGCGCGGCGTTGCCATAAGGAATGCCGAGTAGGCCACCCGCCGCGCGGTAGGAATAATCTGCCCACCACCGCGCGCAATCGGTTCCTGGGCCACCACTGCGTCCAGAATTTTGAATTTGACATTCCGAATCGGCTCTTCGCACAGCGGCCCTTCTCGAGCAGCCCACTGGAAGCCCTGTTTTACACTTTCTCGGATTTCACTGAGCATGGTCTTGTCCACTTCGGAAGGTAAAGTGTCATCCACTAAAATATTCGGCCCATTATTTTCGGGACCGAAAGCCCAAATACTGCGTGCAGCCAGAAGATCCCAGTTGTATTTGGTCTGGAAAAATTCCCCCAGTCGTTTCCTAGAAAATTTACGCATTATATGCCATTTACCCCAGCGTGCAACCATACATGAAAACCATATCCATAACGCTTTCAACGGACAAACGATTGAATAACAGATAAAATTAAACAACAACTGTAAAAACCGAAAAAATCGCTGTACCATTGTACAAAACTTACAAGACGAAAAAACATAGACACTATTTAATACTTCTTCCTTTTACGCCTAGTGTGCACAAACATAAACGTTACACTCACGCCGGCCAACCAATGGACACCACTTGTGTCTCGATATCATCCGCTAGTCCTTTGTCCAGTGGCTCGGCAACCATAGTGATTTTATTACGCTTATTGGGAGTTTCCGCAAAACACTTCAACGACGACGTCTCCACAACAGTTTCACAAAATGTCACGACGGGGTCTGCAACTTTAATATCTGTAAAAAAAAATCCCATTCAACAGTCACATCGCCAGAAATATATGGAAACGCCTCACCAATTTCGGAATACATTTTTCTGAGATCGTGCATGACGCAGTCCAGATACAGCTCGCCGGTGCCCAGGACGACATGTTCGCCGCTTTCCTCTACTTTCGTGCTGAGAAGCGGATAGCTCTTATTCACTTTCCGCAAACCATCCAACATCTTCGGAAGTTCCGAAGGATTTACCGGTTCACATGCAATCTTTATAATGGACGCTGCGTTGAATCTCAACGGACGGAAAATAAAACACTAAAACCAAGCTAGAAGAGGTAGGTAACGATAATATGGTCATTAACTATGCGCTGTACCGAACGCCTAACCGCAATTTCGAATAATCAACTAAAAAGCAACGTCGAACCACACCTGAGTCAGGACACTGTTTGCCGGTACAGAATCCAAACCACACAAATTTTGAATTCGGCTGATCAACGTTATTTATTATTGTAGTCACGACTTTTTAATGTTCCTGGATGGTTAAACAATTCCAGCCACAACGGTAATCATGTACACGTAAAAAGAGCTAATCTGAACTATAAACAGTAGTATAATTACACTACCGTCAGGAAAAACGTTCAATCGTCGTAAATACCTCTTCGTCATCGTCCTGAAATGGGTCGGTAATGGTGGAAGTTTTTACAATGGGCTCATCAATACCTTCAATCAGAACCCAGCAACCTGGCGTGGCCTTCTCCACTTGGATTTTATACCTGTTCAGCACAGAGCGGTCAACTTTCAACGGTCATGACCACACGGCCCCGTTTACCTCGATTCATGGATCCACAGTTTCCCCGCAGTTAGCACACGTGAATCCTCTTCATCATGAGAGGAATAATGTTCTCCTAAGATTTTAATCTGCTGATTTTCCATCAGTGTACCACTGAAAACGCGGCCCAGGATGTGAAAACTCGAAGCGTCCTGGGTGGAATAATTCTTCACGGTGTGTACCATTAACGGCCCGCCAGGATCGCAGCGCACCATGGACTTCACGACATAAGAATCTAAAGGGCCGGAATATGTCTGTCCGATTTTATTCCGAGCATTTTGTAGCGGCGACTGAATGTGCTTGATACACATGTCCACAAAACCTTCAAAACCGGAGAAAATGCGTTACTTATTGTTAGTAATGAACAACACAAGTACTAGAACAAAAACTACATAAACATTACAATTTGAAAACAACGCATAAAATATACAAATTACGTAAACAACAATTCCAATAACAGAAACACAAGATCAGTAAAATACTAGCATACTGGGTACACAATTTCTTGCAAGCGTCATTATACGATCTGCTAAGTTTATATTAAAATAAATCGTCGACGAATTACCTGAAAATTCACCAATGAATTTTTGGAAAACAATTCGCAGCAGAGGCCGGATATTGGTTTTCTGTTCTTCCTTCGTTAAACTTATTCCCAAATGATCCATCAACCCATCCAGCGCCACATCCACATCCCCAACCACTTGCGCAATGATCTTATACACAGGTTCCAAGACAAATTCGATAAAACTCCGCGACTGCCCCGTTTGCAACGGCTTTTTTTGGAAGCGGCGCGTCTTCGCATTGAAATAGACATCACCCCACAAACGCTTCCCAAATTCCTCATGATCAAAACCCTCGCCGAACAAATCCAGGTAAATCTTGGAAAATGATTTCAACGTGAAGCACAGACTGTACTGTGGACTGGCAAAACACACGTTCCCGTACACAGGTGATAGTAGCTGCTGATCAGGATCTTCAGAGTACGTCTGAATGAGGGAATTCACTTCGTCTATGATGTGGCGAATTTTGAAATATGCATCTGTTGGGGGGAGTTTTAGTTCGAGAATTAAGCGATCAATTTTGTTGATGCACAAAACAATCGGCAATCGTTCTTGTAAGGCCAGTTTTACAATGCGCTCCGTGTTCAGTAAAACTCCTTCGTGGGCATCAACAACCAGCAATACCCCGTCGCAAATACGGAATGCGGCGCAGACTTCGTCGGCGAAGTTGACATGTCCCGGTGTGTCCATGATATTCATCACCCAGGACTTTCCACGGCTGTCATTCAACACTAGCGTCACTGGCTTGCTCTTAATGGTCACCCCGCGTTCGATCTCGGTTATCAGTGTGTCCGTATACCGAATCTGAAAGCGTAAAGGAAAACGGATACTTAAAGGATACGTTTAATATTTACAATATCAAATTCTTAATACATATCCACTTTTCCGTACATAAAATATAAATCAAAAAAAATTGCGACGTTGTCAGAGCTCAGGTCGCTAAATCATCAATAGCACCAATAAATGGTCGGTATCAGCTCAAAGTGAAGATAGACATCACAGCTCTGACCAACGTTTATCTCCGAGTTCTACTGCACTCTCCATCACATGTGCCGTTGTTCTACGACTATAATTTATGGCCGCAATCGCCGCAACTGGCGTTCGTAAGAAGAGTGTAAGACTATTACACAACTCAAAACCTAGAGACGGTTACAGAACTTTCGCTACTACTGTTCTCGATAGATTCTGCAATATTTACTTAAAAATCAATATTCTGAACAACAGGCTAGAACTAGGATGCACAAACAACACGTTGTCAGTATAAAAATACTCACATCGCGCTCGTCTTTCTTGATCAGGGTGGGGTGTGTTTGTTCAATTAAACAATCGAGGAGATTAGTCTTCCCGTGATGCAGGTGGCCCGCAATGGCAATATTGCGGATCAATTCCGGGTTCTCCATGAGATCCAGCATAAAGTCGAGTTTGTAGGTGGTTTCGGGGATTTCCTTCTCCAACATGGAGAACTTCTTATGCTTGACGGGCTCAATAATAGGAACAGTGAGGGGTTGAGCATCCTCTTCGTGGACAATGGTCTACAGTTGCAAGAAAGAACAACTTAACGTAAAGCGCACTGAATTAGAAAAAAAGATCAAAAACACAAATTAAATAAATTATTGTTGCAATATTCTAGCTAATACGATTTTAAAAATCCCAAATAAAACATGTTTCGCTATGCCAAATCAAACAGCTGACCCATACGAAAAATACAGTCAAAAGCCGCAGCTGCTGATAAGCGATAATTCTCCAACGGACGCCAAACCATAAAATGCGTAACATTTTGCAGCGTACCTCAACGTCAGGTCCATAAATTTCTTCCGCAGAAGGATAATATTTTTTATCTTCGTGAAGGACGATCTGATTTCGCGGTATCGCTTCATCATCATCGATATCCATGGCCTACGGAGCATATTTATCAGAAATGTTGAACGTAAAAACACCCAGGAGATACGGTACAAAGTGCACACGCACCCTGGCAAGCTCGCTACCACGAATTCCATTCTCAGCGGGCTCCTCGTCGAAATCGTCCTCCGGAACTTCTTCCCTTTCTGGTTCTTCATCGTCATCTGCCAATTCCGGGCCAATGTAATTCCCAAATTCATCATATAGATCCAGATCCATGATTAACACGGCAGCAAAGTACTGAAAACCGAAAAATTTAATATAAGTAAGTACTTTACTGAAAATCCAAAATTGCAAACAATCTTTTTAGAATTTAGACCGCGATATGTCTGCGTCATGTTTATCAGGTAGTTGCCTGTGTGGGCGAGAGCCATGTCAACCTAGATGTGCGATGTTGGCACTTTATAGCGTGTTGGCGAATTTCCGTAACAATTTCCGTAATCTACAATTTTTTTTTGTTTACAAATTACTTCGTCTTCACTCCTCAGAAAATTTGTTTTCCAAGATGGCTTGAAATTAATAAGTATTTAATGGCTACTTATTCGATATCTTTGTCGTATTGCATTGCGTCTTCGTGTAATACTATCAGTGGATTTGGTATTTGGATTTATTATTCGTCTGATGGTGTGATTATCACTGACTAGCATACATTAGGACTATGCAGCGCTCGACGAGAAACAGTACGTATTTTGATTTAAAATATGTTTTTACTACTGTATGCGCATTAATGTCTCTCTGTTTCAACAGATTACTCTAGCGTTCCTAGTTCTGAGGCTAGCTCGCAGAATGGAGTGAGGAGTAGAAGTATGTTGGAAGACGAAAATGAACGAATGACGGAGAAACTCAGCGGTCATATTAGCGCTTTAAAATCGGTATGTTAATGTGCATTATTTTTAGTGGATTTATCATTTATGACATGGAAAAACAAGTCAATTCATTTCGGAAATAATTGGGCTTCCGTAGACCATATTTCCCTTGGAATAATGGGTATCTTATCAATTCTCCGTACTGTGTTACGTGTTTTCGCTCCAAGTGATCTTGCAGATGTAGCGTTGACACGTTGGAAGTGATGACTTGAGTTAGTGCAGGGAACTTTCTTTTGCAGGTGGCCATCGATATTGGCAGCGAAATACGGAGCCAGAATAGAATGCTGAACGAAATGGTGCGGTTTTCCCTCTTTACAGTTCCGATCAGCGTTTAATTTCCTTTTCTGTTTTTCGTAGTGACCATAGATAATCAGTTTTGCCAAGAGTTAAACTACAATTACAGAATAGAAACTCAAAATAGCAAAATAAAATGATTAAAAAATATCATATTCAAATAAAACTTGCTTCCGTAGAAACCTTATTCTACGATTCCTGTTTGGTAGTGTTTGTTGCGTTATATGTATACAAGAAACAGCCTCGGCTTCGCCTCCGCGTTTCTTGCGGTCAACGGCTACTTTATTTAGTTATAATGAATATTTATTAGAATAACACATTTCGTAGAAACATAATCGGTACATCGTATTAGCGCAAAAAAACGGATTTTATATAAAAACACGAAATTTTTTTATATAATTTTTTTTATCAGTTCATGATTCTCTCAAATCACTATAAATTCTCACAACTCAGTTCATGATTCTGTGGACCTCAACCTGATGAATCTGGGCAGTGGGAGCTCGGTCACTCGTTCATTTGGCGGGATCTGTGCACTGGACAGTAGTGCCAGTTTGGTCCCCCGTTCACCTAACCGTCTCGGCACAGTAGACAGTACCGGCAGTTCGGTCACTCCTTCACCTGGCTAGATCTGTGCCCTGGACAGTAGCGGTAGCTCAGTCACCTGCTAGCTCGTTTGCATAACGGGCTATATGCGCTGGACAATACCGGTTGCTCGGTCACCCGCTCACCTAACGGGTCCCGCACACTGGACAGTACCGGTTGCTTGGTCATTCGTTTGCCTAATGGGCCCGTACACTGGATAGTACTGGTCACCCGCTCACCTAGCAGTCCCGTACCCTGGACAGTACCGGTAGCTTGGTCAACCGCTCGCCTAACGGGGCCGGAAGCTTGGTCACTAGCTCGCCTACCGGGCTCTGTGCACTATACAGTACCGGCAGCCTGGTCACCCGTTCACCTAGCAGTCCCGTACACTGGGCAGTAACGGCAGCTTGCTCACTCGTTCGCCTAACGGTCCCCGTACACTGCACAGTACCGGTAGCTCGGTCACCCGTTTACCGAACGGGCCACGTACACTGCACAGTACCGGTAGCTCGGTCACCCGCTCGCCTAACGGGGCCCGTAAACTGCACAGTACCGGTAGCTCGGTCACCCGTTTACCGAACGGGCCCCGTACCCTGCACAGTGCCGGTAGCTCGGTCACCCGTTTACCGAACGGGCCACGTACACTGCACAGTACCGGTAGCTCGGTCACCCGCTCGCCTAACGGTCCCCGTACACTGCACAGTACCGGTAGCTCGGTCACCCGTTTACCGAACGGGCCCCGTACCCTGCACAGTGCCGGTAGCTCGGTCACCCGCTCACCAAACGGTCCCGTGTACTGGACAGTTACGGCAGCTTGCTCACTCGCTCGCCTAACGGGCTGTTCACCCGCTATGGGTAGCTCGTTTGCTTAACGTGCTTTTTACGCTTGACAGTACCGGCTGCTCGGCCATTTGGTCGGCGGGCACTCAATGACGACGTTACATATGTAGTCGTTCTTGTCGTAATAACGGTCTGCTAATTAAATTCATTTAAAAATGAAAGTTATTTCTACTATTTAATCTAAATAGTAGAAATAACTGTGTTTTAGTTGGTTTACGCATTTATTGGTTTAGCTATATTATTTTAGTTGGTTTACGTGGCAACATTGCCTGGTGAAAAATACCACGATGATAAATATTATTTCAATAATTAAGTTGCACTTGGTGAAGGTATTCCAAACTCTTCCGCTTTGGCGTTCGAAGTGGTTGAGGTTTTGAAAGAAATGAATACTGTCTGGCCGGGTTTTCGACTACTGGCTTTCAGAATATAATAATGGTTTTGGTCAGTCTTTTCTGGTTTGCCGGCTCTGGTGTATCCCATTCGTGGCAATATAGATCTGAATTAGGATAGTTTGAATTGCATTATTTTCTGAACTGCGGCTTTTTCCAGAGAGCGGTAATCTGCTGAACTATCGCTATATTATATTAAAAATTTTTCTGCTTTAAATCTGTTTTGTGTTTACTGGGTGATGTTTAAGAATAACGTATGACATCTGTTTGCAGGACTCCGATTTCGAATCGGCCGGTGGATTTTTAGGCGGAGCAATGAGCAGATTGAAAAAGATTCAGCGAGCAGGATACGGTTCAATCGTATGGAAACTCTTGGCGTTTATCTTTCTGTTTTGCCTCCTCGTATATGTACTGTTTAAATTCCGGAAATAGCTGATAAATGATAGCCTGAAGTTCTGAACGTCTTGAAAAACCTCTGTCTTTCATAGCATTCGTATATATTAGCGTTGGATTGATAGTGTATTATGACGGGCCGGCGTGTATATTTGAAGTTTTAAACCGCGGATCATTCTTTTTGTGTGACAGATTAAGAAAAATATGTGGTTTGGAATTCAGGTGAATGCCTCACGAGAATTTTGGTACTTCTTGAATGCGTCATAGATTTGCCCGAAATGGTTTTGTTGGGCACAGGGCGGCAGAAGGGATGTTGAGCCGGCAAAGCATTCTTTTGGCATTAAAAATTTCCAATCCGGACGTAAGGTGTTAAATTTCGTGCGTAAGGTGTTAAATTCACTCATCAATCACGGCCGTAGTTACACATACTATCGAAATAATAAACAGCTTCCGAATCCTACAAGAACGAAGAAATTATTACTGAGTATCTACAGTGCAAGCTGGAAAGTTAATTAATTAACAGGCAAAAACGTTAGCAGTCGAACACTCTGAAGGCAGTGCAGTATGAATCAGCACGTCATTTGTAAGGGTCGGCAAATCAAGACGAGTTTGTTTACGATATGAACTGTAAAAATACTACCTCGCTAGTGACGCTACTAAACAGTACATTAAAGTAAAAATCTTAAATTACAAAAATATCTTTCAGGTTTGAATGTAATGTATGTGTGTTACCGATAACCTGTTTAATCTTGGATTACACTGCAAGCCCGATTCTTGTACATTTGACTGTAGGTGTATGGCTGCAGTACTCGCGTGATATTGTGACGTTAGCCACTTAGCAAGCACTGCAGTAATCACCGGCTTAATTATGCCCTTTAAATGCTTGCCAAGAAAATATTTTCAATTTTTGCGCATATAGAAAAAGACACCGAAAACACATCCTACGTCGCTGTGCCAATTATACCTTGAAAGTGACGTTTTGTCTGGACGCCGGTGTTTTTGTGCACCGGTGTACTTTTCCATTGTGGAAATAGTTAAGGTCCTGCTACCGGAGAACTAATCAAACAATACACGTGGTTATCATCGTCTTTGGTAGACTGTTTTTCAGGTCAAATGCATGCAATTACAGTAATTACGACAGTTTCTTAATTACTGGACGCTCCTATGAACCCATTAGGTCACAATGACTCGGGGCAGCGCGCCAGCGTGGAATATACGGCCGTATCTGCTTTGAATTTCACTAATCCCACTGGGGGGGATTTGCATACGTACATGAGTATCAACTTCGATTGCAGGATGCAGGAGCGCCGATTCCCCCATATAAACCCAGCTGAAAATGCATTCACTTGAAACTTCGGGCTGTGTATCTCTTGACCTTCTCCCCATACCCGCACTAGGGTAGTATTTACGTCCACTATTTTTCACTTTTTGCCGGTAATTTAACCGTACTCTAATCGTTGTCACTGTCCCGCGTTTCTAAGTGCACACATTGCCGATTACACAAGATGGCTGCATTCTCACCAGTCAGCGCCCTCATCGCTCTGTCCATTCTATGCTCGATGGTCAACGCCCAGCAGTTCCAGTTCAGCCGGCTGTGGCATCCGGGCAAACGGGCCTTCGACTACTCCAACCCATACTTCACCTCCTGGTCACCTTTCTCCGGATTGGCCGGCGGAATGCGCCTGCTGAGTGTCCGCCAACCCGATGCGGCCATTCGCAACGCCGATGCCGATTATGTCATGGAGGACAATGGAAACTTCCTGTATCCGGAAGTGGCCACGTTCTCCACGGAGCCGGTTCAGACCATCACGCAGCCGGTGGAGGCACCGGTAAAAGTAAGTCACTGCGCTGTAACCAGTCGTCAATAAATTGCAGTACCCTATAGTTCTGTAAATTAAACGTGCGGTTTGCAATATCGATGGTCGTTTTGATCCGCAGCGGTTTTTCTTTACGAGACCTTGGGTGATCACTGCAGCTCAACCCGGCACACCGCTTCTAGCGTCCGGATCGGCCATACAGACCCGAATGTCGTTGGTTCCATCAAGCGCCGCCAAGAACAAGGACGCCAAAGTGTAAATCCCCGGGTTTATTCCGGCATCTTTTATTACGCAAGCTGATACGGATAGTTTTAATATTCTCGCGTATAACGTAATTCATGAGATTTGATTCCAGCAAATAAATTTATCACTGCATTACTTTACTTAACATAAATTTGCTTGCTCATATAATACTTAATATAATTATTGTATATGCCACCAGACAGGATATGGTAATAAGTAATAACTATTATTAATACAGCCAGCTCTGCATTATTATTCTCTTAATTACTTTACTTAAACCTTTTCACTTCAAACCCGTAGAAGTAATGATTTTCCAAAACATATCATCACCAGAAGAATATATTGAACCGAGTGAGTAGTTTGGTATGCAGTGATAAATTACAGCGCAATCTTCGTTTTCTGTGGCTCAACCGTAAGAATTATAATAACTACGCATGCATCTTGGACCAGGTTCTTTTAAGACTTATTATTTTAAGTTATGGTAAGCATGCGCGTTATGCATTTCACGCATACATAATGCCGTTGATTTTCCTTTTCCACTCTCGAGATAGTGAAGCTATCGCTCATGAATATTACCAAATTTGGCACATGTATGTTAAGATTGTTAGCTAAAGATTTTGTTGACAATTAATGGTAATAAAAAATGCAAAATTTATGTTCCTGTAACAGCTAAGAAATCACGTGCAAAACTAAACCTTGCTGGAAAGTTTTGCAAGATAAGCACAATTTGCAGAACATCTTCTTGCAGATACTGCTCCAAACGTTTTACGACGCAGCCATTTCTTTCACATATTCTCTGCCATGCGCCAGTGACCGGAACTCATATTACGCCATATTTTGAATCATAAAATCATAATACGCATAAACTGATTGCTGTTTGCTTCCGATGTATGCCATCACTGTACGCTTTTGTGACCTTTCCGCTGTTTCAGCTATATTAATACAGTGGCGTGGAATTATTACTAGACTAGAAGTACAGTATATTTGCGTCCAGAATTGCTTCGAAACTAGATTAATAAGTGGAAATGTAATGTAATGTTTTTTTTTTAAATTTCGATATTCTGTCACTGGTCAAAGGTTTCGAACTGGTATCCGAAACCCAGCTAAACTACATAATGCCAAATGCCAGTGCAACGATATTTTCGACATTCTAGCTAGCTCTTGAAACTTCTTTCCACTTGATCAAAAATTGTTTATTCCGCTATCTTCATTATCATTTCACAGTACAGAAAAATAGTTCCTTATTTCATGACAATTTTTCTGCTGAGCAGCATGTAATACCACATCATTTAATAATACTCCTCCACTGTAAATAAGTAAATAACTTACAAAGCCACCCCACCCCATACGGATGGTTTGCAAAATAAAAGAAAACCACCAATAAGACAGATCAAACTCAACGACCTGGCCGTGCAAGTTAAACTTTAAACGCATCACAAAAATAAGCGACTATTTGTACAAATCGCTGTAACTGGGCGGTGGAGCAGGATGCGGCCCGGTGGGTACTCCGGCAGCCGACCACTGCTTTCCGCCGGCGGGTAACGTTATAAAGGTCACGCCGCCTGTTCCAGGACCGGTGTATGTGGGATAAACGGCTGTTGGCTGTACATCAGCCCGAGGATAAAAACTCGGATGGGCGTCACCCACTATAAGGCGAAAAAAAGCATTATTGAGCAGCTGTTTTTCTTACTGCTGAAAATCCTTCATATATATACAGAGTACAGTACTCTCGTGAATGTGCATCCATCAGCATTTCACTGTACTGTAAGTGCGCTTAATTTTCGATGAGCAAGGTACAACGGCTGAACGATAGGTACATAAAAAACTTCGCTCACACAAAACACACTCTGAAGTAAAAATACTCGTACCGTTTCAAGCACGCAGAACGGTAAATGTAAAATTAATCTGCCGTAGTTCGTTCGTTTGCCACGGTAACAATTGGGTACAGACTACAGCAATAATCTCACGTCTTACGAAGATGATAAAGGTACAATTTAACATCACACCGGACTGTACACTTGGTTGTTCCCATTGGTCAACATTAGCGTATGATGTCCACTGTCCAGTGCGCACTTATGGTTAGCTATAAAAGTCGTGCAAGTATCTTACTGAAATTACTGACGTGACTACCCTCAGATTAAAATCAATATTTAACATTTTTTCCTTGGTAATACTATGGTAATTGCATAATAATGTCTCCATTATCAGCCTGACATTGTCTCCAAAACCTTACAAGGCTCGAAACTGATAAAAAAAAACTGACTTCAGTCTTTCGAAGCAGTTAACAACAGAAAAACACGAATAGCTCGGGTATCTATTTCTTATTTATTTTATTTCTTATTTATTACAGATTTTTTGTAATACTGACCATGATAAGCCACAACATCCGGAGGGCGGTCAACGACAATGGTGGATCGTGCTCGGTTAATCAGCATCCGCCGGCGGCAATAATATCCACTGGCAATGCACATCAGTAAAACCAACACAATGACTAGCCTAAAAACGTGGACAAACCCATTACAAACTTTATGATTTTCAATGCCACAAATGTGTGGCTGTAATCAGTGTACAACAAACACGTAATAATGAATGCCCACTTGAAAGTTAACACAACAAATGCGGAATATAACTTGAACGCCTAGATTTATCGCCGTCAGGTACATAAAATCGTAAACATACAAGCTTCTTGCAACTTTCCAGTAATTCAGTTAGCCAGCTTACGCAGTAACGTTTTCATAAAAACATTTGCACTTCTGCAATTCCAACTCTCCGACATCGATGTATTATCACCCGAAAGTCATCAAACGTTTTATTCGAAATTCAAAAAACAACAACAGCACGCAACACCCAGCCACAGTATTAACAATAATAATTATTAATATCTGTCAACATACCAAAAGTACCACAGCCGAAAGAAATGATCGGAAGAACGGCAACATGCTTGACCACAACAATAATCCCAGTCTCGGCACCTGTAAAGTTCACATAAAGTTTGCATAATTTTAAAGTGTGAAAAATCAATGAAACATTCACATCAACGGATCAACGAAAGAAAACATTCTGTCTGGCAAAGAACTGGGTTCACCGTTCAAGCGAGCGGCATTTTCCCTGTCAGTTTTCCCCGATACATTAAAAATTTACGGAAGATACAAATTAGCTAATTTCGTATTAACCCGCGAATATGCGTGCGGCGTGCGGCGTGCACACATTAATCAAAACTAAAATCATCCAATGCCAGATAAAAAGAGTTCCCGAATAATTTTTCTAATAGAGTCACTTACTCAAATTTATCCGTAGCTTTCTGACCAGTCATAGTATAATAAGAATATTCGCAGGTAAGATCCGCCAAAGCCTGGAAATAAATGGAGCTCAGTAAATAAAACAGGGGTTCAACCATGGTGTCATTCTGTGTGACTCTGCCTCAGATTCTGCACGGCTGCATGCAACCGCAAAAACTTTCGGAGGAATTTAATTACTTATCTACAGCATCGTTTTGCGCTTTTTGTGAATCGTTCGTATTTCTATCGATTGGAAATCAAAGATATAGTGCCGATATGCACAAATGCAAATCCAAACAATTTCCACAATTACCGGCGCTGACAATATCATTTCAGAGTGAAAAACACTTCCAAAGCATACCAAACTATAATCTCATCGGTGAACATTTTTGCATAAATCACTTCGGACTTTCAGGGGTGTTACGTTATCAGCAAACGAATTCACACATAACGAAAACCGATCCAGATCTACGAGCACACTTACATTCGGTAGTGTCGCAAAAGCAACCACAAACACCGCCTTTAAACGGGTGAGAGCAAACAGGCATTTTGATCCTTCCAGCGCGTCCATTTTCCCGGTTCTCCAGCGGGTGTAGATTGAAGATCAGCGATAATCGAAAGAGATAAGTCACTATTCATATAAAAAAATCGCTTCCTTTCCTGTACGGTTGATCACGAAACTAATAATAAGGACTTAGTTATTAGCAATTGGTCGCTATCCAAAATAAATTCTTCGCATCAGCAAATCGAACTGCAGTGCGCTTGTTGTCAACTTGTCCGCGGTTTACATTACTCCGACTGCGCTGCTTTGGCTCAAACCCGTCGTTACCGGTGTATGTCAGTCAGCAATGCAGCATGCAATTAACAAACACGCTGTGATGTCATTTGTCCACAGAATTCGCGATCGGAAACGATGGAAAGGCTCAAAAACACCTGCACAATAGTCGGCGATCAGGCCTCGCAGGCTCGCAACAGTAATGCACTGCAGTCTTTTGCCGGTGCACAGTCATTGTTGCTGCGATCGTAAATCCAGAACAAACCGCAGGCCAATTACGTCACAAGTCTCACAAGTCACAACTGATGCGTACAGTAGTCGAAATTTAAGTTTAATTATTTTATTACAGTACTTTAATGAAATAATACGGACATTTCATACTTCATAGTTCATAACTTCATACGAACTTTTGAACTTCGTACTGGCTGTCCCATACTCCCATACTTCGTATACGAAGTATGGGAGTATGGGAGTATGGGACAGCTGCCATGCAGTACGAGATTGCGTTCATATTGACCTTTGCACATGAAAGCGTTTGTGAGACCTAAGTCACCTAACAGATGTAACAACAATAAAGAACGTATTGTATATAGATAATTATTTTACCTTCCTGCATATTATTTGTATACTTAACAAGATTTTACGGAATATGAAACCACATTTCGCAAACGCGCCCGTGGTATAAAGTCTTTGGTTTCACTTTTACATTTAAAATTTGCTGCGCCTTCTGTTATTTAGAAATTTATTAGGTTTCTCAAAGTGTTTTAAGTTCTTGCTCCTGTAAGTTGCTGAGGATTAATTTTAACGTTTCTCGAAAAAAACTGAAGAAGTTTAACAGACATGCACTGGACAAGTGGACAAGCACATCAGTTATTTTAACTTACTTATGCTGTTATACAGATACAGTAGTATTCTTTAGTTAATCCGTGGCATTCCGTGCTATTGGCATTCCGTGCACATAGAATTACAGATATTGTACAAATATTCTTTCCCACGTCTACTTTTTTCTATGTAATTAATTATCAATAATAATAATAATATGTACAAAAAGGGAAAACACTGCAATGTTAAATGTGTATGTTAAAAACAATAGTGCTAAAAGATACTTGTTTAATAATAAAATGCCCTACGGCCGGGCTACCGGCGTGAGCCAGCATTAATATTATGTTAGTACAAACTACAAAGGTGGTTAATACGTCCTGTAAAATTTACCCACTCTTCTCCGCTTCAATGCTGGGTTCACATGATCATTGATCAGCACAAAAAATTTGTGCGCAGTGCGTACTAACATCCAACGTTTAATCACATTTAAATTTTTTTAATATTATTTATATTTCAGTTTAGTTTGTATCGATGTTCGGAATGTTTTTCCAGAGATCTGCAAGAGGGTTGGAGAGGTACTACAGTACCAAATCCGTCATCAAAGATGTGACTGTTGTTGGCTCCGGCCTCATGGGCTCGGGAATTGCTCAGGTAGGAACTAGGAAGCTCTTATCAGTCTTATGGCATCGTCTAGAGCCTGGTGATTTGTTGCAAGCCATCTTTCACTAAAGCAATGTGAACAGCCTAATTGCAGGTGGCGGCTGCAGCGGGAATGAATGTGACACTGGTCGACCACTCCGACGACATTCTGGACCGCGCTCTGGAACATATAGACAAAAGCTACAGCAAGATTGTTGCGAAGCAGTATCCACACGATAAAGTAGTAAGTTTGATATCCGTACCTTCGTTTTGTAGTTGAAGAGATTGAAAGCAGCGTACAGGTAGCTACTGTCTTGGTGTTTAGCAGTATCGGCAGTTAGCAACCACATTATGTGCAGTTAATGGCGATAATTTGTGAAAGAAGATTTTTGTGAACAGAAAGCGAAAACACTGGTGGAAGGCACGCTGTCTCGAATCCGAACAGCCCGTGATCCCTGCCAACCAGCCGGACAAGCGGATTTGATCATCGAAGCCGTAGTTGAAAATCTGGAACTGAAGAAGGAGCTTTTTAAGAGATTGGACAAAACGGCAGCTAAGTATGGTTACCGTAAGGTGTAATACTTGCGATTTTTTAAGTGGAAACTTTTTATTTCTCAAGTGTTAACTTTTTCTGTAAGTATAATTTGGCTTTGTTGTTTTTGCGTCTAGCCATACAATTTTTGCATCGAACACCTCGTCGTTATCGATAACTGCGATGGCGAGTGTGACGGAACGGAGAGATCGCTTCGGAGGTTTGCATTTCTTCAGCCCGGTAAGCGGCTGTACGGTATTTTGCCAGCTGTAACTTGCATGTGAACATCTGTCTTGGCAACGCACCTTAGCAGTTTATAGAATCACGTTGTACGTATGGTATCAAGATTTTGCAAAGTTATTTAGATGGTCCAGAGTTCTGTTGGTTTAACTCCTAAATTCTTGTTTTTCAGGTGCCCATGATGAAACTTGTGGAGGCTAGTGAACATTTTTAAAATCCGTTCAGTCAACTCGGGCAAATGCAGAAAGGTTTGTAAATTGCAAAACTATATGCAGGTTGTGCGTTTGGAAACCACAAGCGATGCAACGTTCGATTCCTTAATGGATTTCGCTAAGAAAATCGACAAAGTACCTGTTGCATGCAAGGTAAAATGGTTTATAAGGTAAATGTTCTGAAGGTTTTTGACATCGGTAATGGATTGATTCAATGTTTGCGTAGGATACACCTGGATTCATCGTGAATCGTTTGTTAATTCCTTACTCTCTGGAAGCGGTTCGCATGGTGGAACGAGGGGATGCTACAGCACAAGACATCGACACCGCGATGAAGTTGGGTGCTGGTTATAAGATGGGACCGCTTGAATTGATGGATTTTACGGGAGTTGACTTAGCCAACATGATAATGGATGGTAAGAAGAGGGTATGAATAAAAGGTGCTGATCGGCTGCAGACCCGCAACTGCTCTTTGCGAACACATTTTTACTTTGCGTTCTTGAGAAATTTTTGTACAGCTTACCTTATATTGTTCTAAATTTGAATAATCTTTTCAGCATGGGCCAAGGATCACGGGCACAACCCTGTTTTTAAGACGATACCTTTGATTACGCAAATGGTTAAGGAGGGTCGACTGGGAAGAAAAAGTGGAAAAGGATTTTATGACTATACGGAGTCATCTGAAAAAGCTGCTCAAGAAAAACAGAAGATCAAAGCCAAGTGATTATTTGTATTGCATTAGCTTTTGAACATACATGTATGGGGAACGAATAATGATCGTATGGACTTTATCGAGCGATGAATTTTTTAATTTTTGTGCTCCTTTGCCTTCGATTTTGTATGATTCTGAGATTGTTATATTTTTTTTAGATTGTTATTGCTATGAGCAGCCATAAATCACTGAAATTTCGCATTAGATTTAGGAACATCCCGGAATATGAAATATCAGCAAAAATTGAATGCTATCATATGAGATTACTGACCAGACGTGAATTGTTTAAGCATGTATACGAGTACTGTAATCCCTTTAAAGTAAATCTTATGGAAGCGGTCCCAACTTTAAAGTACGTAAATCTTATGGAAACGGTCCCAACTCGCAAAACGCGAAGTAGAGCTAACTGACGCATTGGGAGACCGCCCATGGTTACCGCAGGAAAGAAACATTACGTACACAGATGCCTCTATTAGTACCAGTACACTGTTTTCTCCGCTGTTGTTTTTTTGGTATGGACTTGCATTTTTGGATTTTGTTTAAGTGCTGCCTGCTGGCGAGGTTTCGGTTATAACCCAGTTATATACATCGCCGATTTCTTGTCGTTAATGTAAGGGAACACTTTGTCTCTGATCCGATAATTGCTATTGCAGTACTGATGCGCCATGAATTCCAACAAGTACTTTCGAGCGCTGACGGTCGGAGCCCATACTTCCAGAAAGACTGCAATCTCGACGACATCTTCCGCGGAAGCTGCACAAGTAAGCTGGTGGAGAATATGATTTATTTCTGCCTGCAAAATGGCATTTTGTGCCAGCACGATGTTCAACTGAATTGTTAACTGCAGAAAAGCAGACCGGTCAGCACGGGAGCGAAAAAGAGAACGCATCAGCAAAAGTCGCTTGACGGTGAGACAGAATTCTCCAACAGCTGACGCAGAAAATATGAGTTTAGACGCATCGGCTTACAATTTACTGGGTGTTAATTGTTTCTTGGACGCTTTCATGGAATGTACCAGTACGAGAGGTTTTATAGACTTTTGAAAATGTTAATGTTATTTTGCAGAAACTTTGACAGATCGCGCGAAACGAGAAGCAGAGTCGGATAGCGAAGATGATCAAGACGACACCACACCGAGTGGAAATGGCATGGATGCGTCAAGTAGTGAAGAAGAGGAACCGGGCCTTCGTGTTTATTCCGGCGCTGATGTACATGAAAAAGGAGCTCCCCATCGCAAACGACGAAATAAATTACTGCGAAAATCGGGCGCTCGCGTTGAACAAATCCGACAGGAAGAGGTTCGAGCCCATTATTACATATTTCGCCGTATCAAATATTATTACCAGTTTATCAAAAGCGAAATAATAAAATTCAGTACCGCGTTTTGTAATATGTATAATTGTAGTATACTGCAATTATTGTATTGTCGTGCGGCATTTTGCCACTGCTCGCTGGCGTAGCGTTAAAGCATCTATTTTATGCATTGAAATCTGTCTTTGTAGATTAATAGAAAGCGAAAGCAAAACAACATCCATGTTCTCGGTGCGGATGTTTGCGAACCCATAGCGTCGTTCGCTGAGCTGAAATTGCGCTACAACATCACCGATCAGCTGCTGGAGAATATCGCGAATGTTGGCTATGCCGTTCCTACACCGGTGCAAATGCAAGCTGTCCCTATTTTACTCGAGGTACAGACTTGAGAGCCTTTAAGTATACTCCGATAAATTTCATGTGCTTATTAATTTTTCGGCAGAGAAGAGAAGTTTTAGCTTCTGCGCCCACCGGTTCGGGCAAAACTGCAGCTTTCGCAATTCCGATTCTACACGCCCTGGGAAAGCATAAAACCGTCGGCTACCGAGCGGTTGTTGTTTCTCCAACAAGAGAGCTTGCAAAACAGGTTCGTGGTGAGACATGGCTTTGTCCATCGGAATAAAGCTAAGGCATTTATCGCAATTTTTAATTTGGATTTTAATTTGCTTGATTTAAATCGTTTTCCGTGACACCTGGGAACGTACACAGATACCTAAAAGTGTTTGGAATTTTGATCATGATATTCTCATTTCCGCTTCTCTTTGTGTCGCTGAGGCCGTGTTTTCCGTGAATTGTTCTTATATTTTTGTATTACAGACTTTCTTTGAATTTCAAAGACTCGGAGCCGGTATGGGCTACCACATTCAGTTCATCAGTAACACGATAAAGCTGGAGAAATTACTCAGAAAGAAACCAAGTATAGCAAAAAAAATGGACATTCTCATTACCACTCCTAATAAACTAGTGCATTTACTACAAGACACGGAAGGAAAATCTCCTGTTATCAGCCTGGAGAATGTAGAATGGCTGGTGATTGATGAATCGGACAAATTGTTCGAAGCGGAAAAAGAAGGTGGATTTCGCGATCAGGTTGGTAACAGATAGTATAGTACTCAACTGTGTGGTTGAATGATGTATGGTAGGTTTCGCCGTTTATTGCTGATTTTGCGAACGGTGTGAGAAACATTTGAATGGAATAATTTTTTTCATTGAAATACTACAGCCATTGTTATTTTAGAACTTGTGGTGTGTTGAAGGTGGACGAAAATTTCAGTCTGATTGCTTGCTTTGTTACAGCTTGGGGTTATCTACAAGGCGTGCAGCAGTCCTCGCATTTGCCGGACCTTGTTTAGTGCTACATTTGCTGTAGAAGTGGAGGAATGGTGTAAACTAAATCTAAATAATGTGATCATGCTTTCTATTGGAGCGCGAAACGCTGCAACGGAAGCTGTTGAGCAGAAGTTGCTGTTTGTCGGCAGCACTGGTGCTAAAGTAACAGCGCTACGTCAGTTGCTGAAAGAGGTATTGTACAAAAGCGCGATCGGAAATAATCCGAAAAACGCATAATTATTTTTAGTTTTTCTTAAAGTATTTTCGAGGAACAGTTTTACTTTGCAGAACTTTACTCCACCAATTCTGATCTTCGTACAAACTAAACAAGCTGCCAAAGAGTTGTACCGCGAGATAGGTCATGAAGGTTTTCATGCCGACGTCATACATTCGGATCGCGATCAACAGGAAGTAAGTACGGGTTTGATAATTCAGCGTCACTGAGTGATAGAGAACTTCTGTGGTGGAACGAGAAACTTGGTTTTTGTTAGGCCAAAACATAACTAAACGCTCAGACCGAAACCAGATTGGTGATTATGTCGGTTTCGTGCATTCATTTATTTCGTTCATTTTTCTTACTATTGCTTTTTTTGCTTTGTAAGATGGATTTTGGTTCATCTTCGTGATTCACTAGATGCTTATGCGCCGTAGGACACTGTTGCAGTCGGAATTTTATAGTAGCCTGGTAAAAATGATTTTCTAACCTCACATATTTGCAGCGGGACCGAGTGGTTGACAGTTTCCGTTCCGGAAAACTCTGGACCCTTATCGCCACCGACGTGCTTGGCCGAGGTGTGGATTTCAAAGGAGTTAATCTCGTTATTAATTATGATTTTCCCAGAACGTCCATAAGCTACATACACCGGATTGGGCGTGCCGGCCGCGCTGGAACCAAAGGCAAAGCCATTACACTTTACACAGAAAAAGATTACGTTCTTCTTCGAAGGTACTTTTACTGGATAAGTGGATATCTTTCTCATATGGTCATCATAAGTGCAGTACGTTACTGTTACACTGATATGTACGCACATCTCTGTATTTTTAACAGTGTTGCCAAAGTGATCAAACGATCGGGTGGAGAAATTCCTGATTTCATGCTGCAACTTCCAAAAGCTACGAAGTACGGTTTAAATTGTTTAATGAGTTTTTGGTGGTTTGCCGACTTTTATGCTGATTGTAATCGGTGCGCATGGATTAGGTCAGAAAAAGAGCGCTTGCAGTTCCGCTGGAATCGGCGCAAAACGCACACCGGGTATGCTAAGAACTGCTTTTTGCTGATTGATTTTCATTCGAATTAATTTTTTGACTAATTTGTCAAAATTGTTCCTTCGCTCCCGTTATTTTCAGGAAGCGAAAGCGACCGCAGAAAATGCCGACGAAGAGTTCTTAATAATTTTGAAGATCAGCGGAAGTGTAAGGTTTTCTTCGGACCGTTTTCCTGTTCTGCTCATCCCAGCCAGATTTGTGTTTTTGTCACTCTCAGGTGCACATTGTGCATTTTGCGGGTTGTGTGATCAATCTCGCATTTCGGTTGCAATAAAATTAAAATTGAGAAAAGCAGAGATACGTTTGCGTCAAAGCCGCTTCAAACTATCGCTGTAAAGTGTAAACTACTCGGGAGTACATCCCTTCACAACTCTAAGTCTACCCATTACTACGACTAATTTATTTGGTTTCCCTAGACTCTTGCCACGAATTGTATTTGCTGTTCGACAGCATTTTTTGTAGACATCACATTTCGCTATTCCAGAAATATGCAATTACGGTAGCAAATATTGTAGCATTTGAGAATAAGTAACTGAAATGCAATGAGAACCAATAAAATCCAGAAATTTAGAAAATACCGTATCTGTCCTCCACAAATCCCATTGGAAATTTGACGGGTACTGGAATTGGTTGCTGGTTTATTGGCATCACCTTCCTAATTTGGTGCCGCGCTTTGAATGGGCAAAACGGTAGACCAGAAACACAGACTGACTTTACTCCTGGTTTCACAAAAGGACAAAAGGGTTGACATTGAAATATTCTTGCATTCGTTACTACCCTCCAACTCAGTTCAAAGTTTGAATTCTTAAAAAGTTACAAGTGATGCAGTTTAGTGACTTTTTGTTGTATGAAAAGTTAAAAGGTTACTGCTAATGAATATAACGGTGGTGCACTCACTGCAATCATAACAAACTACCGTTAGTACTTCCCTATTTCAGACTTTCAGTGAATAGTGTGGTTCTTGATTTCTCCCCAATACGGAGTCTACTGTCGCTGGATGGCACTTGCATAATGATTTATAGTCATTGCGCGATCTTAAATGAACGCCAGCGCTTATCATTTATTTGATTCCATATCTCTGCGCGAGCCTGTGATCTGCAGAGTCGGATGCTTTGCATGGTATTTCAGTTTCACTCTGTCCCAGTGAATACGATCCGCTTACCATCTGCAACGCATGTGATGGTTGATCTGTTGTCCATGGTACCATGGATGCCTTTCAGTACTTTCCTCACGCTGAATCCAGTCAGCAAACATCCACGCCAAAATTTGATCGACTCACTTCACAGAAGCAGCATCAACTCTTTAACGCCAACGAATCGGCCATTCTGGACGTGGAAGCCTCTGTACAGGAGGTGCAGATAGCCGTTTCCAAGGATGCCAAGGGTCTTGGAAACAGCTGCAAACGGCGCCGTACGTAGCAAATTGGTTACGAGTCAGCCTTCGACATTAAAAAATTAAAATTTCTACTTGTTCCCGCTATTTTACTATTTTTCTGTGCTGCAGTTTTCGATACAAAACCCGTACCCAGAACGCCGCGGACTGCGGTTAGGATTATCCCGAATAAAAGAGTGAAAGTGGTGGATGTGCGCAACTCATCAGGAGCCAGTTTGAAGACTGTGCGTGAAACTCCGAAACTGTTGGTTGATCACCAGAGAAAATGGTCGGCGGCGCAGCGATCGGAGTTTTTTTCTGCCGTTCATGAAGTACGTAGTACATATTTAATATTTAACTGTGGATGAAATGTGTTTTTGAATTTCTGGATTTCTCACAGCATGGTGTGGATTGTGATGCGATTGCGGAGCGAATGTGCGCAACGTTACAAGCCAAATATGCGGACAGGGTGCGCACAAAGTCAGCGGACAGCATCCGCGAATTCTGCCAGGAAATCTTTCTAATTGTGGGTAGAATTGGTAAGTCGCGAAAGGGAAACTAGGTATTATGGATTTTATTTTTCGATGTAAATTTTTTTGCCTTGCGGCTGGTGACGTTGCTGTATGAGCTTACATATTTCCTTAATAAAAATGGGAACTTTTACAAAAAAAAAATTACGAAGCGTAGTACAGTTCTCAGACATTCGATACTGCTCGACGCTTTTCTGACAGTCTGTTTGGTAATCTGTTTTAGCTGCTTTTATTGTTAGTTGACTGTTAGTTCGTACTATTTGCTTGGTTTTCAGTTGATCGCTCAGCCGACGTTACCGATCGCGCCTTCCAGACCTACGCCCTGATCAACTTCGGAATATGGAACAGATATTTCGGGGGTGAGAAGCTACTGAAGAAGGGTATATTTCCTATCCTTAAGTTTTGATTCGCTCTTCGGTTACTGTAGAAGAAGGATGTCGGAAATTACAAAAGAACGCGGTAGAAGACGCGCATGTGTTCAGAAATCTTTTCAACAGCGGGTGAGTTGTCGCTCATGGGTGTTTCCTCTTCCAAGCTAGTATTTATGATGCTGTGGCTTATGCATTTTAAATGAGCATCTTGTTTAGAAAATCGGAGGTGAAGAATTCCACCGTCAACGAGTACGTCAAAAAATATCCCATGAATGAACGTATACAGCATGATATTTATCCTTTTAACTTGTTTATCATAGGGTTGTTACTCCAAAGTGCTTTGCTCTTCAAAGGCTTCATCTCCATGAAGGTACGGTTCGAATTTGGTGAAACAGGTTGAACAGAGTAAAATTTGGTAATTCAACTGTTTGCTTTGGTAATATAAAGGAAGGTGAATTAAACCTTTTTCTGCAGTCGTTCTCTTCCGTATACATACTGCATTACAAGCCATGCTGCTGAAGTGATGGGCGGCATTAATTATGAAAAAGAGATAAAACTGTTGTTTTCTTACGTAGTAGCATTCTTCACAGCCTAAGCTGCGTTCTAATAAGATTTGGTGATGTTTTGATAGAAATCCAAAAAGTCCCTCACACCATCAGGCTACACCTACGGCCCCGCTCGGGCTTCAGTTGGTCCAATGTCAAACGCAGCAGACGGTGTCCTCTAACACAACTGCACATGAACCGCTCGCACACCCTGGCCGACCTGCGAGACTTTGTCTTGCAGCATTGGCACATTGAACGGAAGGAGCACCGGTATTATAATTTTGACGAACATCGTCTCATCTTGTACAGATCAAATGGAACACCGTTACACTTCCCGGACCTAATGCCGGATTTCGACACCTGTTTCGGTATCAGGCCGTATTCATGGTCAGCGTACAAGGGATACGAAGAAAAAACAGCCGCACAGCGGAGAGAATCCAGAAAATGTTCTGATCAGGAGCGCTTATTTAATGATGATGATGCACGTTTTGATGGTGACAATGACAGCGATGATGCCGACAATGGGATAGTGGTGAAAGATGCCAAGAAAAAGCCAGAATCCAGGGAAATATTTCGTGAATTCTTCGATAAAGAGCAGCTTAAGCTTGTCAGCACCAATAAACAACACTTGCAGACCACGTTTGCCGAATTGTACTTAATTGTAAGTGATGCCGAAGATATTTTTAAAATTTATGAAAATGATTATTCAGGAGTAAATCAGAAAGTAGAACTTATGGATGCATGCACAATCACAGTAAATCAGAATATATATTGTCTATAGTTGCAGCTGGTTGTGACGACGGGTGAGTACTTGAGTAGTAACAAAATGAACGTTAACACTTCTTGCTACAAGCACTAACACGGACAGAGAAAATGTGACTTCATTGGACAGTACATAATTCCATTTTTTAGATTGGCCAAAATGGACAAATCCACATGGACTATGAGTGGATTATTCCGGATGAAGAAGTGGTGCACGATCTGCCAGCGGAATTACTCTTGCATAACAGCCTGTCCGATCTCTTTTATGACCGCATGCAAATTAAGGTAAAATTTGATATTGCTCCTGGATTCGTTACTTCTCTACTGCCCTTACTTATGCGCTTGTCAGTATCATGACATATTTTATCGGGTGTTAGAAGCCCGAACCGCCGCGCCAACCTCTGCAGCCCGTCTTGGTGGATATTCCCGCCAATATCGTTAACATTTCGCCTGTGGGCGTCAGCCAGATTGACTGCACAGGGAATAAGAACACCAATGTATGCGCGGCTGTTCCGGAAAATCCTCAGCAGTCCGGGTTTGTGTTCTCCAGTACGGATACATTATCGGAGTACCTGGTACCCAATAATTCGGTGCAATCATCGGTCAGCGCGGATATTCAGTGTGTATCTAGTGTTCCTTCGCAGTCGCTCAGTCAAAGCGCGCTGCCGTCTGCCGTCCCCCTTCAGATCATCAGCAGTCCCATGTCCCAGGTGACATTTCAACTACAAAGCACGGTAAATATGAAATACATTTTTTTCGGAAACATTTTCATTCGTCAGGAATTAAATATCGTCAGTTACTTAATTAAATGATTTGTTTCCTTGGCCTTTGGTGTAGCCACAAGGAGGGATAATGATGGTTCCGCTGAATAACGCTACCGGTTCATTCCCGTTCCTTTCTAATGTGGGAATGGGATTCTCAACTAATCTGATCCAGTTGAATTCTGCTAGCTCGCCCCAGCTGTTATTGCAGCAAGTTCAAACTCCCTTTGGACAGGTATATAGCAGGCGCTCGCTTGCAACTTAACGGTCAGGAAAGAAAGACGTTATCCGGTCTTTGTGGGTTTTCGGGACGAACAGTCCTGTAGCAGTTTGAATGGCAGTTTGGTGTTAGTTTTCGCTTGGGTTTTCTTAACGGACTTTCGCTCTCTTTACAGCAATACGTTATTGGAAATCAGTTTGTGCAAGGTATGGGATCTACTGTAATCGCACCCGCCCCGGCATCCTCCGCTGTGAGTATTTCTGGCCAAGAAAGGCCAAGAAATTTGGTTTGTTCAGATTTCTGTTTTCGACGTTACAAGGAGCTGCCAAATTTGATACTAGTATTAAAAGAATTCGTTAGGTCGTTTTAACTGACTGTAATGGTTTAGGATTCGAGAAGAGGGCGTCCTCCAAAACCCTGCCTTCCACTTCCACGGCAGAGTAATTCGGTATCGAAACTGCTGAAGAGACCCACTCGATGAAACAGAAAGAGCGCCCGCCCCTCTTTCTATTTCTCCTACTTGGTGTAGCTAGCGCATACACGTTTCTCTTTGTCGGTGCTTCTGTATTCTTCGGTTCGTGTTATCAGTATTGTACATTTGTACATTCTGACATCGGTAAAACCTTTCCGTTCCTTCATAATATGTATTGTGTAATATTTACTATCGTTGGCGGACCGGTCTGGACGCCGCTGCTGCTGTCCCTATGTTTGGTAATATCGCCGGGTTGATGTTGTAACCTTGATGTATTTTTTGCATTTGTGATTATCTTGCATTTGGCTTTATTTTGTCTTTTAATTCGTATTTATTGTTTTGAAATTTGTGTTCGTTTCATGTTTAAGCTTTGAGGGCAGTTAAAATAAATGTACGTACTTGCCTTCTGGAGACTCTCTTCTGGAAACCGCTCAAACATATAAATCTGACAGATAGTAAATGAGAGTTTTCGGAAACAAATTTACGGTACTTAATTAAAAGTGCCCATTTGTGATCTGATATCCTTTTTACCTGAATTTTACCTGAATTTAGCGGCGCTAAATTCAGGTAAAAAGGATATCAGAGCTTTGAACTACCAAGCCTTCAAGCTGCTGCATCAATCACAGAATTTACAGTCGCAATAACAAAAGTTACTGGCCCTTCTGCATGCCACGCGCTGTGCGGTTGCAGAGCAGAACTGAGAATGAGCACTGTGGCCGCATAGATTTTTGGCAACTGCAAAAGCGACCGTAGCCAAAGTTTTAATGATATGTAATTTTTTTCAATAACTTGTTTGTTTTTTTTATTATTATGTGGATTCGGCTTATTCAGTGCGCCTTCAATGCTGCATACTTGCTGATTACTTATGATAGAAGTTTATAGAAAGATGATGAAATTTCACCGGAAGCTGTATGTAATACACTCAAAGCTGCGTTACTGCGCTAATCCGCAGCGCCGCGGGATTTCTTCATCGTCAACACTGCGGGACGATGGGTACTACATCGTGTAGGTTGACCATACCCCTTGCTCTCCCATATTGCGGTGCTGGATGCTCGGGGAATGTTACAGTGGTATTTTGCAGATTGCCGGCCATTCCTCCGGACACTGCGGAGACGAATCCGCTGCTGAATGAGAGCGGACTGCCGCAGTTCGACAAAATCACTGATGACCATCTCGTCAGCGGTCTGAAGAAGATCAGCATTGACTATGAATCGGAGTTCTACCGCGTGGAAGAAGAAATTCAGAGTACGCGTTGACGACCTAGCCATATTGTCGTGATGCAGTGCGTCATGGTGCGGTTTTGCAGAAACCAAACAGCAGCGAACCTTCGCCACGGTCTTTGATCCGTTGGACAGGCTGAAGCACAAACTGGTGCGGACGTTTAGTTGCGCCAGTATACTCAGCGGCGTCAGGAGGTCGCCTAAAGTGGAGGAGGCTCTTTTAATGGTGCGGTGATATATGTGCATTTCCTGCCAGTTGTGTAAAAATATTACCTTTTCTTTTGACTTTATTTTTCTTTCTTTTTGCTTTTTGTAATACCTGCAATTAATTGTCATATTGCTCCTGTGATTTTTGCCACCGTGGACGTTGCAAACGATTTCGATGATACTCACATTTTGTGTGTGTGGAAGGGAAAACTTTTCCCATTTTTATACTTCTTTAGAATTAATTTTACCTCTTTTTTTAAAAATCTGCTGAAATTGTTTGCAGAGTGAAGCTGCCGTTTGGCGGTGTTTATCGCTTCCCAGTACCAGTGCGACCATTCTGAGATCAATCAAGGTACTTTTAACACGGTTGTGTAGCTTTTGTTTAAAAAAATACACGCTTGTTATGCCTCTGCCAATATTGGTGACAGTGTCACTAACGTGTAAATAAATTTACGTGTGAATAAATTGTTTCTTGATAAATACTCGTACATCGCCGATGCAAACTGTTCTTTCACTGTTTTCGCAGGAAGTTGACCGGGAGCAGACGAATCTGTCCGAAGCTCAGCGTGGTGTTCTCAACAAATATCTGCTGGAAAGTCGGCTAAGCGGAATGGAACTGAATACCAAAGATTTACGTGTTTATCAGGATTGTATTCGCGCCTTGAGAACGAAGCAAGAGGAGTTCAGGTTTGTCATTGCTGATACAGAATGGTCCGAGAGAATCCACTTGCTGTATACTTTTCCTGAGTTTTTCCGGTGACTTTTTGTATGGCAGGAGAAATTTGGTTGTCACGGCCCGCCAGTCTACGTCGTTTCTTCCGGATGCCAGAATGCTAGATGAGCCGCCAGCGGAAGTCATGCAGTTATTTTACAGACCGCGGTGAGTCAAATGGGAATTGTAAGCCAGATCTGTTAAACTATGACGGTTGTTGCTATTTTTTCTACATAATTATTACCTTCGTAAATTGCTTACGTATGTTAATGTCTCTCGGTTAATATGGTGCCTGTTGAACACAGAAATTATCTTCTTTTCACAGTGAAGATAGTACGAAAGACCAGACTCTTTCCCGACCAGCACTATCCTTGCGGAGCGCTTCATACAATGCCTTTATGAAATACTGCAGCGATAGGACCGTCCGCTTCCAGACATGGCAGGCTTTAGTTGGTCGAGCCGGATTTCGAGATCCTGATACCAACAATAGTTTGGTCATCGAAGATATTCGCCAGTTACGGTCCGTTCTAAAGTTATGCTTCTTGCTTCAGTATAATTTGATATTATAATTGTTTATCTGAGCAGATCGCGGGAAGCAAAGATTTTGGGATACGATAATTACGCCGCGCTATCCATGGAGACGAAAATGGCCAGGTCAATGGCCAATGTGATGAACGTTGTGTCGGAAATGACAGTTCCCAGTAAAGTGAAATGTCAGGGTGAACTGGAAGCTCTGCAGAAGTTTGCTGGGGAAAACGGATTCCGGCATGAGCTACAAGTGTGGGATGTGGCATACTGGAGGCGGCGACAGGCGGACCGTGATTTTGGGTAATTTATTTTTTTTGAATCAGTTTTCCCAGAATTTGATAACGTTGAAGATTCTCATTGCTTCTTCAACAGTTGAAACTACCTTAAATGCAGCTTCAACTTGCCAGCTTGTTTTCCAATTCTGTTATGTGAATTGTTTTCTCTGCCTCTGATCAATTATTTTAATGATTTGTTTCATCCATTAAACCTTGGGATATTTTACTTGTTTTTTTCACAGTGGCCTGATAATTTCATTGGAACATAATCGTATAGAAATTCGTTTTTACAGAGTCAAACAAGATCGTATTCGACCATATTTTCCCCTCCCACATGTGCTCGACGGAATGTTCAGTTTATGCCAGAAATTGTATGGAATTTCTATCAAGAAATCTGACAAAGTTCCTGTGTGGCACAAGGATGTCTCGTTCTACCAAGTTTACAACGAAGAAGGCCAACCGATATCTGGATTTTATTTGGACCCATACGCGAGGCCAGATGAAAAACACACTGCACCTCAAGTGGAGCTAGGGCAAAGTAGGTTAGAAACTTAAAATTAATGACTGTCAATAGTTAATGTTTTTTCTGGAGATACTGATCAGTGACTTATATTAGCATAGCAAACACACAACGGTGTGTGTGCGTTTTTAGATCGAAATGACGCAGCCCAAGCAAGACCACTCGCAGCACTGATTTTCAGTTTCATGCCACCTAGCGGAAAGATCTCATCATTGTTAACGTTTGACGATGTGTCGGCTTTGTTTCAGAGGGTACGGTACTCTATTTACGCGGTGTTTTCCAGTTTTCTCGTTAACGGTACTGAGCGTTGCGCGTTTTGAACTTGCAGTTTGGCACGGCGTTGCAGCATCTGTTGACAACATCGCCCTACAGTGATGTATCCGGTGTTAATAACGTCCAGTGGGATGCACTGGATGTTTCGGGAAATTTTATGCGAATGTTGTTGCGTCGGCCGGAAATCCTTGAATCTTTAAGTCGCAATGTTAACACCGGTAAGACCTTACCGGCGGAAACCATGCAGACACTGCTCAAGGCCGAGAACCATCTTTCGTCGCTGGACCTCTTAACAGAAATGTACTTCGGCGTACTGGATCTGTCGCTGTATTCGAAGTAAGCCAGCCTACTCAGTACAAACTTCCGTTTGATTTCCTTTGGTCAGCTCTGTTTTACTTTTTCGACCCAGTATTTGTAATGCTGGTTATATTGTTTAAATAAAATTTAAATTACTGATGTTATAGTAATTATGGTTGTAAAAAACCTGAATTATGTTTGCACAATTTGAACTGAAGCGACATTTTAATTACTCGTGGTTCTACGGTCTGGAACTTATTTGAAAATCGCATTTTTCTTTTGTAGACCCGATTTCTGGCAAGACATCATGAAAGATGTATGGAGAGATTTTATGCCTTTTCCCCTGGAGAAGATGGATGCGCATCCCTGTGGTTTTGCTCACATTTTCATTGGTGATCACGCGGCAGCATATTATTCGTTCTTATGGTCCGAGGTCGGTGTAATGCTGTTCTTCTTCCGGTTCTTTCTTTGTACATTGTTTTGTTGTGACTTACAACTTGTAGATGGTGGCGGCTGACGCATTTAGCGCACTGGAGGAAGCCGGTTTTAATAATTCCGATCAGCTGATGAAGATCGGACGCAAGTACGTGGTGAAAATTTCAGTTGTTGACAAAAACGCTGTTATATTAATGAATTCAGGTGCTTCTAAATTCCTGCAAAGGAAATGCGCGAAGTATATTTGTTTCGCCGTCGCTTGAATCATAAAAAATTAAAAATACTGAAAAATGTTTTTCATTTGTTTAATATCAAGTTGTAACACAGTAAGAAGAACCAATAATTGTCGCGGAAAGCTAGCCATATTTGACGCTCTTTCAGTTCTAATTATTATCAGTCTGAGTTTTCTGGAAAACTTACAGATCTTGTTGAGTACATCTGTACTCGGTACGCTTTCTAGATGTTCCACATTGATTATGATTTATGACTGAACTGTTGCAGGTTCCGTGATACATTTCTGAGTCTCGGTGGAAGTGTGCCGGCCGATGAGGTGTTCCGACGTTTCCGCGGCCGGGATGTACAATCGCAGGCGTTGCTCCGACAACACGAAATAGTTTAAGACATGGACGGTTTTAATTTTTTAAATGAACAATATGTGTGGGCAGGCGTGGGTTTTCTACCGGGAATTGTTGATTGATCTGTTACTGTTGCTGACGTGTCGAATGTGTGTATGCTTCGAATATGTGTACGCTTGGAGGGACGCGTGATGATTTGATTAAGAGGAAAATGTGTGCGCAGCACGGCCGGGATGTCTACTCCATCTGATAAGGTGCTGATTCCTTAATGAGGCCGTAATGGCCCCGGTGTGCGCTGTTCTCCGGTTACTGAGACGCGATCCCTACTTCCGCCGCAATCTGACCTTTGATGCCTTTTACTTGTCGTTTCCGTCAACTAATGAGGCGTTTGTGTGTGAGCGGTTAATAATAGTGGAAATAAGCTAGGTATTTCGGAAAAAGCTGGGCCATTGATCTACCCGGCTTGAATGGTTTCGGTAGGAAATCCCGCAGGGGCACGAGCACTGCGGAACAGTTGTAAGAATCAGTGCAACGTTTGTAGGGTACGACCAAGTAATACTTAGTAAGCATACGTACGACGCCTTGTTTTTATTTCGACTTGCTAAATGATGCTATTTTTCGACCACTGTCATCAGCGTTTCTAAAGCACCCTCCAGAGCATACCGACTGTGTGCGCAACAAAATGTAAAAAGTTTCTCTGCCACCACACTACCTTAGTACCGGACAGAATGTGCAGTATTCCATAGCAGCAGAACACACCACTCAGTTAAAATAGCATACCAAGTAAAACTGGGAACCAGCAACAGATAAAAAATAGTAATTTGAAAATCAGTTTTATGACTTTATCTAACTTTGTTTAACAAGATGTATGAAGTTGACAGCTGAATTTTGCTGCTGAAGAGACTGCTGCATTACTTTAGGGTTTAAGATAACAAGATACCATCCCCGTAATCCGTATCAGGATGCGTTAATTTTGAGATTGTGTTACTCTACGGTTCATTTGTTAATCGTAATTATTTAATAATCGATCCGAAGTTTCTGGATGTATTCGAGTATTGTACGATTTTTACATAATAGGTCTTTTGTGCGTTGACTGATAAGAGCTCTGCGTATGCACTAAGAGGAAACACTTTTTGATATAATAGACCACGCTTTACTATTCGCCGTACATACTCCATTCATGCCGGTACAATCGTACCATTAAGATAAAAGATAGTCTTCATTTTTTGCCTGTCCACAAAAGACACCACAATATGCAAATTGTTGGCAGTAAATGGACGGTCTGATTTATCATTATTAGGCCGGGAGAGAGGCGTACACTATACGCAGCACTGTACGGGCATGTCAGCGAACGCCGGCGGAAAAGACGTCTTCTATAAGGATTTACGAGCTGGAGATTTATCGGTCGGCATAAAGGCCGGATTAATGGTGGTGGTGACGGTCGGGCCGGCCATGGATGATGTATAGGAGCGATGCCGGTGATGAGCCGGTATAACACGTAGTGACTGGAATCCCTTATAGGTCACAATACACTCCACGGGGGAAGTGACCGTTCCGTTGCCGGTATGATAACTCCGTCCCTGATCAGCTATACTCGGACTGGGACTGGCCGAATTCAGTAAGCGGGTACTGGATGTCGCTGGGCGTTGTTTTCCTGAAAACCAGCACAACTTCATTTATACAATAGAAAATTGCATTGATTACTGAATGTGATAAAGTATTGGTGCGCACGCATGTGGAAAGGTTGTGAAAAGGGGACATTCTTAACGACGCAGGTAATTGCACAAGCATACGGGCACATTTGGCTAACTTCGTTGGTGTTAGCGGAAATGGACAGATTTGAAGGCGGTTAATGAAATTTGCAGGTGCAGAGACAATCAAGAATTTACGTACACAGCGTACATCCATAGCATATTTTGCATATACATATTCAAGATGACAGAATTATTTGTGTGTTCCCGGATGATGTGCACAGATGGACGGATGTGAGACATACATGTAAAATGCACGACCTTTAGGTGGGAGACAACAAATAACGACAATCACATAAGGAGTGGCGCACGAAACACATAATGTGGATTGTGGCAGACAGGAAATTACGCACATATGGTAGCGCACATAAAAGCCACCAACAGGAAAAGCATGACCGGGAACACCCGCAAATACTCAGTAGTCTTGTAAGCGTAATAATTTTATAAACATGGACACTACAAAAAAGATTTTGCAAAAGACTGAAAAACGATTTCGATACAATATGAAATTGCTTTTTATTTGGATAAAAATTATAAATATGAAAAGACTACAAAAATATTATAAACTAAACGCAACACTTGATTTCAGTAGAATGTGAAAACGTTTCCAGCTAAAGAATTATCGAATTAGTGCTGTACAAAGCAGAATTCTAATGTTTATTTTGAAATTTTATTCTTCTTTTGAAAAGTGACACCGTAGAACGTTAAAATTTACCTGTTAATTAATGCCGTGCATTTGCAGTTTTAAAAGTTATTTTGATTTATCGGCGTAAGAAATTTGAAAAGCTGATATGCCAGAGCTTACACAAACTAAAGTAAGGAATAAAGAAATTAAAACATTGATAACAGATATTGGTTACCTGGCTGTGCACTGCATAATAATTATCTAATCAACCGACTGCCATAAGCGCCATTTTATGTGATTGCGGTCATGACGTTGTGTTGGCCGTTGTTCGTGATCGATATCGCGTTCGCGGCTGGCCATGAGCGTGGCCCGCCGCTGCGGCAGTACGCGTACGTGCTGCTGTACAGCGGTGGCCGTCGCCTGCAAGTGCAATTGAACCGGAAGTGTCTTACGCTGTTGACAGGCCAGCACGGAGGAGAAGGCCTTGCGGAAGCGCTTGCTCATGGCGTTATACAGGATGGGATTGATAGAGGAATTGAGAAAGATACACGTCTTGGCAAAGAGCATCAGCCACTTGTTTAATGCCGGTCGTTTGGCAAAGGTATTGTACAGCATAATACCGCGATACGGCAGCCACAGTACGGCGAACAGTACAACGATGACGAGCAGCATCCTTACAACCTACAATTAAAAACCGTGGTCGGTTTAAGGATCAATAGATTATCGGCACAAACATAACGAGTGCCAAAAGAGCCACGCGCTGCTGACGTCGGCAAGGATTTTCAGGGCTGTTCACAATAAAACTGAAGAGCCCCATTTTTCGGTGACTTACGTTTTACCGGCTTTCAATTAGGGAAAATAATTTCCAGACTTATTGAAGTATTGTATTTTATCGTGTAATCGATATTAATGTACTGATTTTAAAAATGCACTTTACGGAAACTGGGAAAGCTTTGACAACAGCTCTTGATGAATATTAATGTATGGAATTAATATAATTTTGCGTTGGTGTGTGTGTTCAAAGCGTTAAACGTGTTGTCAAAAAAGTTTATGTGTACTAAAAAATTTTTAACCACGATGCACTTTGATCTAGTACATACAGATTAATCACAACTTCCGCAAAATCACTGTTGCACTCCGTATACAGTATCTTCGCTTTTTACATATTTTTGCATTTTGAACCACTTACTGGTGGACGCAAGATCAAAAAAGTATGCATGAAAATCGTATGTATACGTAACGATGTCGCCTGCATGTTCAGTGATCCGTTATAAATTAATTAACGTACTTTGATACGGGCATTGCGAATGCTGAGCGCTGACGTGCCGCTTCGCAGTGAGTCGCCAACAATTAATGAGCTGCACGTCCCATTACGTCCGGCCCGGGATTGTGTTCGCCATTCACAGGGCTTCCGCTCCACCAACTTGGCCTCATGGTTAGCACTGCCATTGTCGACGGCTGGCGCAGTGGACGGATAATCGTGGGAACGGTTGTCCGACGCTGCCGCCCTTCTCGTACCGGCATGTTCCCGATCCGGGGTCCGTTTGCGCAGAGCAAATCCGATTTTCGAATAGAGAATACTGGCCGTGATGAGCGGTATGACGTAGAAGAGCAGGAGATCGGCGCCGAATATAAACTTATATTTCTGACGTGATACACGAAACTCACATATATCTATTTCCGGAGAATGAGAATATCTGACAATCACAGTTAATCCCAGCCAGGGTGATGCCGATAGCAAGGCCACAATCCACAAACCGATAATGATTTTCTTGGCCCGCTGCAGTGTGCAAATGGATTTGGCCCGCAACGGCTGGCAAATGGCGATGAAACGCTACATAAGCGCAACACTTTATTACGCATATGCCACCAGTACATATGCCAGTTGCGAAAGTTTCCAACAATAAAAAAAAAACCGATACAATTTTTTAATTTTTTTAGTTAACATCTGCCCATTTTTAGTCACGCACTAAATTTTAAAGAACACAATAATCGGCATAACGTATTTTTCAAATGCACTTGTATATGCATAAGCATTTAATTTGTGAAAGTGCTCACGATTCCATTGTTACAGATTTTGTAAACGATTAATATTATGCATAGGTACAAGCAGCGAAGTAAACTGCATTGCATTTTGAGCTTACCTCCACTGTAAATGCCAAAATGCTGTAAAAAAGGAATTCTGTTAAATACGTTTTCTGATACATCATAATTTGACGTATACATGTTTAAAATGCATACATAAAATTAAAATTTCTTTCTGTGATACTGTATCAGATAATGGCATGTTCAGTTTATGCACTGAACACCCTAATTAGGATAATAGCTGCACTTATTTAACCCGCTGCGCATTGTTCTGTACCTGAGGCAACTGGCATTGATGCCAAGGAAGGATAGGAAAATTAACAGCGAACATCCTACTTGTCCAAAAACATACTGATGTGCGTAAACATGGTAGGATACAATTGCTTCCGGAATGCAGGCCCATATCACGAGAAGGTCAGCAATGGCTAACGATTCCTGCATGCAGTGCAAATGGGCATTAGCCTGTATACTATAAATACAATACTGTCGCAACCGCAATACAATACAGTTTAAGCAAACGCGCAAGTAACTAAATTTTGCTAGCGCTATTGAGTATAAAAATGCTAGAAAATCAAGCCAACAACGCGCATAACAGAAAATGGATTCACTAATGATCTTTTTACCGTAAAATTGATATTGTCGAAATTGTGTCTGTGGGGAAACCGTTAGAGTATGTATGTTTAGTAACTTAGTTAGTTCACTATGGAGGTTCGGTTTTTTTTTCTGCTGATCTATAAAACTGTGGTAACCACAGAATGAACTCTTCCCTGGTACTGAGAATTAGCAATCAGTGCTGAAATTGTATAATCTAAAAAAGCAAATTATGATGAATCGATAATGACGCAAAGATTGGCGGCCGACAGATTCTTTATTAAGCAACAGACAAGTGGCATCCCTGGAGAATTGTGATATCAGAATAGTTACAGGAAGACAGGCATATATAAACCGGCAATGTTGTCAAAAGTTGTCAGACAGTGAAGTGTGGAATATAATTGTAGGGCATATGATGGTAATGTATTCCATCAGCTTCACAAAAAATCCTAACTAAAAACACAGTTGTTTATGAAGCGTATTCGTTGTATCGCAATATTGTAAAAAACTTTAAAATAGTGCAGTCTGTAATAAAAACAGTGATTGACAGTACGAGTGCAATTGGAAGGTACGTAATAATTGAGAATTACTTGTGCACAGTAACTTGGGTGTAGAGAAAGCAATCATTCTGATAGTGTCACATCTTAAACCCAGTACGATTCATATGAGATGCGGAAAATGCAAGCCATGCTTCCGATGACGGAACAGTTGTTAAGAATTTGTATCAATCTCGGGACCTAGATATTTTGTCAGTTTTCATCCAGGTTTTAAATGCAGTTAACGTACTTCGATAGTCACGAAATACGATCTGATAGGGGATTATTTTGCTTTCAAAACGGATTTTAATTTGACTAATTTGATGCAACTTAATCCGCATGTTTTTGGAAATTCTACCAAACATTGCAACTAACCGGATTAATATATACGAGTATCAGTTTCCACCGCTGCATAAAGGACATGTTGACTAGTACTAGAAAAATCAGGAACGTTGCGGTTGCGTTATTATCACAGCAGCATCCAGCTGTGCACGGGCAAAGAACTTTTATTCATCTTCCACAAAACTATCATTATCTGTCCAAAATTGCAATTATAAACATCAATGGAAAACTAGTATGTTGTGTCTGGAGGAAATCTGCATTTGTGTAGGTCTCGTGAAACGACAACTTTATGATACGGCACAACGTAGGCAAATAAATTGTAACGGTCACAAGAATCCAGCGACGGTGACCTTTTACAGGCACGAGCAAAGGCCAGTGTTATATAGCAAAAAAGACATTTCTGGAAAGGTATACAATCCCAAAAAAAGTACACGAGTAGAATATTATGCGTTGTAATTAACCACTGCAGCATGAAAAAACTGCAAAGAAACTGCTAAAACAGCTAAATTTTGTTTGAATGTTAAACTAGGGTCGTAATTTAGCTTTTGGCAGAACGATCGGTCGCTATTGTTTAATTCAGGGTCATATGACATGTAATGACCTTTCACTTACGAGATAGCAATAGGTCGGCACGTGCATCGACTTGGTCCGGCGCACGACAATGACCACAAGGATATTGCCGGCCACACCCAGCAAAAAGATCAGTCCATGCAGTAATGTGGCAAAGACGCGATATTCCCAGGGAAAGAATACCGGCACATGGATGCCGGGCGTTGCTGTCGTACCGTTATCCATCCACAGACGCCGTTTGGATACAAACAAACTGAGATGGGCCACCAAATTCAGATTTAGACTATAATTCCCCAGCAGTTTATGAGTGGAAGACGACGAGACCGACTGCTGCAGTCCCACAGTCAATATGTTATCGGTAGTCAGATTGTCCATATTGCTCGTTAATGTCGAATAAACCGCATCGACCTTGTGCTGGAGGAAATCAATGGATTCGCTTGATAAACTCGGCGCAATAAAATACATGGCTGCAGTGTTTGTTGTATTGATGTGTGTATATCTGTATATGGATGACGCTTATTGGTCCACAAAAAGTCAGCAAGTCACTCTGGCATGGTGTCCCTGTTTCTCGCACCCGGTACATCCGGAAAAAGCATTATATAGGCACACAACAATTATACTATGTACAATGGACGTAGTAGCCTTGCAATATATATATGTCGACGGAAGTTTGTCGCATATGTAGCTGCACAACATCAAGCAAAACGATCGCGTGCTGAAAATCTCGCATAAATCCTTTTAACAGTCTCTTTGTACACTTGCCGAAGGGATAAGTGAAAGAAGCAAAAAAATCACAGAACGATAGTGATCGCTTCCTCATGACAGCTTTAAATCCGATATTTTAATCATCGCTTACGGGAGTGAACATTGCATGTAGTTTGTGAATACGCCGGTTGTCGACTGTATATACGGAGTGTTTAATTGTGGGTTGCGGATCTTTCATCGGGATCCGATTGCGTTTGTATAATTAGAAAATGTTTTGGGGATAATATTTCAGTGTAGAAACCGGAGGGCTCGGTCACTGCTGCTGTCTGGACTGCGTGCAAATTTTGTTAATAGCAATTACGATAATAGGCGTTCTTTGCAAGATACGACGAGGCTGTGCGTGGTGCAGGTACACGAACATTCATGATGCAGGCACTCTGTGTATGCGCGGCACTAGGATAGAGGAAATAATCTAGATATGACTACTGCTACAAGCACATACATTAAAATTTCCTCAATAGATTCAAAACAGGAGCCGGTGAAAGAGAAAGATGACCGGATGCATAACAAAATTCGACAAAAAATGCGACAAAAAATTCGTGATAGCATTTCTGGTTTAATGATTGTTCTGCGGCCCATGAGCACACCTAGGATACTGTGCTGGCAGTTTATCATTAGGGCGCGTTATTAAACCGATTCGATATTGCAATTAAGACACCTATATGTGTACTGAAACTCTATCGGAAGAAATTAAAAAATTGTTAGGAAAATTTAAATGCAAAAAATTCCCCTGGCTACAACGCTGTATAAGGTCATTTTTATTGGGTGCGAGTATAACATCCAAGTCAAAACAAATTTTCTTATATTATTGTCTGCAGCTTTGTTTCAGTTAAACGAAATCAAGTTTGACATCTTGCGTGCAAGTATAAATTAGTGCGCCAATAACATTGTAATTTTTATTCAGTCCACATGCATACTCTAGAAAACTTTAAATTTTGTAATCTGTTAGCAGAACGTCAGAATTAGGACCACCGATTCGGTATAAAAATGCTGCACGGCTGATCCTGGCTGTTTATATGTTAATGAATTCCCACGACACAGCACTCCAGTTGTTTAGAAATCCTCGGCTTGCCCAGCGTTGGGCGGTGGTGGCGGTGGTCGGCGGACAGCGGAGAAGTGGCGGTTGCCCTTGACAGTGTTGCTTCCGGGCCGGTCTAACGGCTGCTGCACAGCTGATGTGGCGTCGCTGGTAGCATTACGGTCACAGCGGTATGTCTGCAAGTTCACACCAAATCAATTATGTTAATCGCGATTTAAGCAGTAAGCTCATATAGTGCATGTTGCATAACCATTACCGCATCGAAGCCGCGGCTGCGTCCTAGCCGTCCCTCGAAGTCAAAGGAGATGCGCACACGTCCGGTTGCCGTACTGTTGTACAGAATATCCAGATTGTTTTCACGATTTTTGGCCAACACCAAAACCTAAAGAGGTAAAATTAAGTCGTAATTTCTGCCAAAAATTGCGACTCAGTAACTGGCGATGATTAAAGCTTGAATTTTTGTGTGCATATACGTTGCATCTACTCACGTCTACGTTCCCACCCAGGAAAGTCGTTGAATTGGCCACACCCAGTTGGAAGGTAAAGTCCCAGATTGTATTGTTGTTGGCGGTTTCGGTGTAATGGAAGTTAGTGCGGTTTTCCACGGAAATATTGACACGTATTGTCGCGCCGACTAGGTCAGTCGATAAGCCTAAACAGTTAGCTCCGTTTCAAAACCGATCATTTTGCGTGGATCGGAAGCGTTGTAATAAAATACAGTAGACTTGCATCATAGTACAGTGTTTCTTTAACAAAAAATTAATTATGCCTATGTTAAAATCGCCATCGTTAAATCAAATGGGAATGAATGTAACAGGCATTAAATTTATGTGAAAGCGGCATGTAAAGGCCAAAAGTACCCAGTTACATGTCAATTCAAAGTTCATAAACGGTATAAATTAGATGTGTAAATTCACATGCAGTACATCTTGCATACGAGCCACGAGGATAAGCGCGCAACTTGCGAAAGAACATCGCAAAGGAAACGATAGAAAAAATGTTTTATACTTAAGTCTTGTTTGTGTTTTCGGCAAAATCCTGCCTAAAATTTTATCGGTGTAATTTGGACTATTTATTTACCTAGACATTGGTACTCCTTGAACATGTTGCGTTGCGCTTCCTTCTCCGGATTGGACTCATACACTCCAACAAAAAATGGCACTCGGGGTGGGAAAGGAGGGCGCGGATGCGGCGGTCGGGGATGACCGGCGCGCATATCGGATGCGGTATCGAAATCCGGACTCAGCCACCAGGTGATCTCCTGCCAGCTGTCCGGCTTCCCATTGTTATTCTGCTCTTCGTCGCTGGAATAGGGTCCCAGAGCATTACTCGGGCCGACCACACAACAGAGGAAACCTACAAGTAAATTGGAATACATTAATAATCAAATCACCATCTGGAAGCGAAGAACTCCGCAAAGGTCACGTCTATAAGTAAAGTACGTCTGGTAGTACAAGTAAAGTACAACGTACCGTCTGCTGTCAACATTAACATTATTAATACTAGGCAGATGGTACTTTGTACTCCAGAAATCTAGTGGCTGTTCCACACCATAGGATAGTTTCAAGTACGCACAACCATGATTCTAGTCGTTCCCCTTAACGGTTGGCTGAGAGTATTACTGAGAAGCAATTAATTTTAAACGATGGATTATAGAAGGAAGAAATGACCAGGCTGTTGTCCTAGGACAAAGTTCTGGTGTTCTTAAATTGGTTTTTAGAACGGTCTGGTAACTTGCAAGTGTGGAATGGTAAAGGCATATAAGCATTTTCGCCCGAAGACTGTCATGTAAATTTGTATATTGCTGGAAATTTTAGCAACTGAGCCCCAGTCCTGTGCATAAGCACTCGAATATATATTATGTTACAGTACATTTACCGGTATAAAAGTTTCCAGGCGGAATCCCTATGCTATATTAGAACAGAAATGTACACGAACGTATACTGTACTTATACGCCTACCAAAAAGTAAAACCTTCAGGACAACAGCCATCGTTGCTATAAATATAACCGGTGAGCGCTAGGGATGCACAGTTACAAATGCGGATCAACTTTTGGCACAATCAAAGTACTGAAAAAAAATTTATATATAGCAGATATTTGTATCAGTTATAAAATAGCACGGTCAGCATATTAACCAGCCTTTTTATATAGGTTTTCGCATATCGGCTGACGGATAGCACAATCTTTTCACTGGTTTTTGTGTACACTCCACCCGCCGCCGTGGCTGTACACAGGTAAACAATGGCATAGCATTTTTCTTTCGCTGTACTCCAATATCAAAATATCCGGGGCGTGTCGCTTTATGCGACAGAGTGTTGGTCGGCCATTTCTTGGAAATTCCCGGAATTTCTTCTTGCATATCAACACACGGGTGCAGTTTTATAGCTTATTTTTGCACATTAGTGTTTCCTTAATCTGGAGCAAGGTTTGGAAGTAGTCGTAAATGTGAATCGTTTACCACGAATACACCTGATCACACGTCAGGGCCACACTGTAGTATATGCATGCAGTAGAACTGTGTACATCGACGTTGGAAAACTCTATTCCTGTTGATGTTGATAAAGTGCAGCATCATAGTGTTTTATGTCTTTTAATAAAGAAGTGATAAGAGAACAGTATGGTCAAGGACTCAAGGTGCCTAGTTGATACACCTCTGTATGATATTGTATGACCAAGTAACTAGAGCCATCCCGGTTCTATTCGAAAAAAAAGCGCCCATGTCTTCTTCATCCAAAAGATGTCCTTTGGATGGTTGTTTTTTGAGTTTCAAAAAGCCATAATATAGTTTCGTAGACCATGTATTTTAGACGTGAAAATGTACATAAAAAGGGGCTCCATAAGTATACTGAAACATGCCGTTCTAAAGACGGCGTGTTGTGCTCCGACGATGTCTCAAGCACGTCAAAAAATTGCTTGCCGTAGAACCGGGCATGACATTACTATGCTAATGTTATAATTCTGCGATGCTAAAGCTCATTGCTGAACTAACTGCATGCTGTTAGAATTTACATTGGTTGTCCAGCATGAGCGGCAGGGAATGCAGTAAAAACAAAAAATAATATTAATATTAGTACTTTTTCCACTGTTATTTAAAGTAATTATTATTTTTTATTAAAGTAATTAATACTTTTTCTTTGTAATTATTACTTTTTCCATTATTATTTTAAAAAAGCATGTCATTAAGTTAGAATGCGATGCAGAATATCTTTTAATTACTAAGTTAATTATTTATCTTAGTTAGTATAATTGTTACGTAACATACCCTGCCATACATACATCCGAGAATAATATACGATACCAACTTGGTTAATCTACATACAGTATAATAATTTCTCAAGTTAGTGAAATCCCATGATCATTGTGTTCGTTAAAGCGGTGTCAGTTTTACGGTTGTTTTCTTTTTGACAAATGTGTTGCTTTCGTATGGTACTTTGTATGGTAAGGACGGACAGCATTCACATGCTGTCCGTCCTTCTTGGTGAGTCACAACGGTAAACAGGGGTTATTTTTATCAGTCCGTTAATTAACTACGAATTTCATGAAGGTGTTTTTCCTATTGGACATGGAAACGTTTGTGTTTCACTGTAAGAATCGCTCTAATATCAGCTCTCGTTCCTGTGCGATTTTTCCAAATAATTTTAGCCGGAAACTTGTTACGTGAATTACGAAGGAGAACATTTTCTGGAAGATTGCAGACGCAGCGGTATCTGTCACCCGGTGTGCGGTAGTGATGGCAACGATGAATGGCACTTATAATATAGTTAGGCTAGCAAGAACAATGGCTTTACCCGGGGGAATGTCTGGACTGCCATTTGCCCGTGAAGGTGAGTGCAAGTGGGGAACCAAGTTTAAATTGCCATAATCAGTTCAGTTAATCGAAGTAACAAACAAGTACAGCAATTAAGGCAAGAGGTGCCGAACAGCTTTAAAACCTTACAAGCTTCAAAGCTTTAAAACTAGCTTATAAGCTAGTTTAAAACTTGTAATTACAAGCTGTTAGGCTTTTTTACGTTTGTGAGCGTTTCTAATTGTTGACATTAACATTGTCGCAATCAATTGTTCAATTGAAGTATTTGGAAACGTGGTACCATGTATCAGGCATTTTACCCTATCCTGCATACATGCTCGTTCCGTCGGGCCAAGCCCAATACCGGTGACCTTAGCTAGCCACTAAGCTAAGCAACCTTAGAGCGAGACACATGTACAACTGCGCGACACCACGATTATTAGATCGCAGAGGACAAGATACTGCGCTATTTTATGTGGGATGCCAGACAGGTACAACTGCGCCAGGAGCGTTGCAGGATGAAAGCATCGGTAAGGAGCAAAGCGAATCTTCGTCAGGTTCTGCGCCGCTTCCTCTTGACCTGGATGAGAATGTATACGGGAAACACAAATGGCCATGGTCATAAAGAAGCAGGTATTGCACGGTCACAACCTGATACACTGTCACGCACGAAAACTTATTGAATAAGAGACGTTAAAACGGTAGCACATATTGCACCTCGAACTGAAGCGTTTTGTTACATCTACTGCGATGATTTTCGAAACACGGGAGGCTCTGTTGTACGAGTAATTCAAGATCAATATAAGATATAGTTAAAAAAAGCAGCTCAGCCCTAAATTAAGTCTCCAGCCCTAACCATGGTAGCTGTGTTCCGGTCTGCCAACGGCGGCAGGGCTCAAAGCCCATTTTGGTACGTTTTCCTAGTGTACGAGTAATTCAAGATCAATATAATTTATAAGATATTGTAGTATATTTGTTGTTAGTAACACAGCTTGTATAATGTGACCTTTTTGCTGCCGCCTTGTAAGGTTAATTGCCATATGGCGAATTGTCACGTCACTTTTATTAATACGCTGACAATGCTGCTTTATGGCATGATAAATATATAACGGTTTACAAGAATTTTAGGGTTCTTTTAATTCATTTCCCAGTTTTAATATTTTGCGTAATCATCCAAAATGTTGCCGGCACAGCCGGACAGAAAGGTTGCTAACGTATAAAAAGCGGCACATGCAGTGACATGCTGCCACAGAAAATTTGGTTTCAGCCGGCAAAACTCGAAGAAGAAACACTAATTAAGAAAATCTTTGGTAGTTAACGCGAAATAAAAAGGTAGTCTCTGAGGGATGTGTTATTCGTTAACCAGAACGATTCCCGTCCTAAGGTGCGAGGATTATTTCTTTCCCCATCCGCCATAACCATAATCGTAGTCGTAGTAATCATAGTTATTGGGCCACCATCCACCGTAATATCCACCCCAATACGGAGCATCGTAATAACGACGACGGTTGCGCCAAGCCGCAGTGAGGACCACTACAAAGGAATTAATAATCAATTAAGCCGGAATACCTGATGTACCTACAGTACCTGCTGCCTAATACTAGTAATGTTTGCAGTATGTTGTGGTATAATGCATTCCAAGTCAAAATACAAGTTAATCGCCGTAAACAGAAGGCAGTAAACATTCTGCATAATTTTTTAAAACATCTGTCAATATCGAAAGTGCCAAGGAAACAATATTTTAAGTTGTTAACCATAACTTGCTTTTAAGTTAAAGTTTTATATGGAACAATACATGTATTTTTATCGACTTACCACATAGCACGCAAAGGAGAAGAGCGAGCAAGAGAATGCCGTTCATTGTTGACACCAGTAATTTAGAAATGTCACAGAGAAGTCTCTAGACATCAAGTTTTACGGTACCGGCTTCTGTATACGGACCTCTAAGTTCTGCTGATTTGTTAACTATTAGTCCGATTTAGACTGATACAGCAAATGATGCTAAACCTTCCGTTAAATACTGAATTCGAAATGGTTATGAACCTGTACGTTACAATGCACATCCGATCCTCTCGTGCCAAGCAGATTACGAGCATTTGGCAATTGTGTCTTATTTTTCGAAAATATGTGTATCACCATGACCAAGCTGGAACATGCTAGCTTTAATCACCTGTTCTTCTTGCGGGTTACTGCCGGTGTTTGTATGCCAGTGAAAACCGCAACAACGGATACACTGACCCTAAACGAACGATCGGTTTGCGAAGCGACGCCAAAAGCTACCGATGATTCTTCGGAGCCATGCCGTTACGTGATCACTCGACAGCATCTACAAAATAGTAATAATTACTGCACTCTAGTACTAAAATATGATTGTATGAATATAATGATGTAACGTAACTGCTATTAAGCGCGGTAAAGTTCTTATGTCACTGCCGACAGTTCACTTCAGATGTGTTCTGTAGATCCGTTTTGATAATATTCTATTTGGGTGCGTATAAATACAGTAAAATTATTATTGCACATTTTTATTTTCCCAACATCAGTATCTTCATCGGCGACGGTGCAATTCGTCCGGGTGCTATCTGGAATACTACGCTTACTATAAGGCTTATACATCAGATATAGATACAGTCTATACATCAGAAAAATACGTAGTCGCGACTCGCTTCTATTGCAGCGAAGTCTCCATAAATTCAAAATATAAGTACAGCGAAAAATGTGTACCAGAACCTAATCTTTGCTTTATCGCATTCTTAATTATCACTCAGCTAACAAAAAATGTCAACTATAATTGGTAATCGATAACATGAGCCCATGTAAATATAAACAGAAGGAATAAATGACAATAACAAAACTCACAACAAAATGCAGGTAAGTATATAAATCACAATTAACACAGACAGTCGCTAAAACACACAATAACAGTTATAGGGAGAAGGAATTATAAACTGGAAATTTAGCCCATCTATTTTAGCCGGCGAGTATTTTCGTAATAGACTTCGTTTTTTCCGCCTCGACTCTGGACATGAACTACTTCTTGGCCCGCGAGTGGTATGTGCGATGAACGTAGACTGAAGACGTTGACCAGGCTCAGCAACATGGCAAGTACAGCGGCAGCGGCCAACAGTAATTCCTGCAAAAGACGGTGTTTTGTACAGCTGTACCATAACGGAGGATGGTGCCCGTACCGTAACCGTAAGTTCGTAACTACCGCAACTGAGGATGAATATAAAATTTATCAATGCAGATCTTTATAAAGTATTAAAAAACGAAATTTTATGTTATAACAAACAAGCCCTTTAGCTACCATAGTTCCAAATACTAACATACATGAATATGAATTCCGCCGCTTTCAGTTCAGCGGTATGTACAATACTTATTGAATTCTTAATTTAATGAATTTCTGGCTTTCGTATCTCTGTGAACTCTACAGTACCATACAGTGGGAAATCACAGAAAACAAAGCAGCTGTTAATACGGTTTTGCAGGTTTTTACATTTTTTGAATTTTTTTTATATGGAGATTAAAATATCCATATTAGAAATTCTAAATTGCTGGACACGTAAATAACTAATGTAAGCGTAACTGCAAGTGCTATTTCAAGTAATATTATGGCCCTTGCATTATTATTATTCTTATCAATATTATTATATTGTAGTGATACCGTAATGTTGCAATGCTGATTTAAGAACACTCTATATCAAGTAGCTTACGGCAAGCAGAGCGACAAGCTTGAGTATGGCGATGAGGCGGATGTTGTAGAAAAAGTCTTGTTCGAATCTGAACGACAGCGGATTGTAGGTGGGGTACTCTTGCCAGTTTTGCTCCACACCCATGTTAAGGTAACGCTGGCCGCGCATCCGCGGCGCATTCGTGAACTGATTGGCCTCCGTCCAAATGTTCCACACGAACGGTCCAAAGAGCACCCAGGACACGATCAGCAGCACGGCAGCCACTAGATTAGCCGCAGTGGCCAGGATGAAGTTGCGCCTCAGGGTCACCAGGGGACTGCCCAGTCGCGCCGGTAAAAAGGTGACGATGCCGGCGATAATCGAAAGTCCGGCACCGATGGTGCCGATGATTTGTGCGGCGCTCGGTGGACTCAGGTTCTTCTGCGTCAGTACACACACTGCAAAACAATGACACAACAACCGGTTTATCACTGGATTTTCACATGCTCGAATTCCACCGGAAGTCCTAATTACAATATACAGTAATTTGGGCTTTATATGGCACTTATAATTATGGTTAGCACAGTATTTAGCCATGCACGATAAACCTCACTGAGACCCAACTAATTGTAAACCAGAAAATGCGAGGAAAGATAAAACGATACATAACTGTTACTCACGTATCATCAAATTGCTGTAGTCTTGTGTATGCTGACTACGCATCATACAGTAATATAAAGTGCTGAGATTTTAGCTCTCGCTTTGTAGTGAAAGCATCGATTTGGGGGCAATAGGGGGTGATGGAAAAGTACAATTACGGTAATTAAGCTTGACGGTAAACTTGCTTCAGTCAAGAACAATTGTTGAACAAGCCTATCAGCGAGGAAGGGCAAGACTTGAGACGGAAGTATTCAATAAAGCACGTGTGTCCAGCGAACCCGTAATTTGCTGCTGTAGAAATTTTAATGCAGTTTTGATTGTTTATTAACTTTGAATATCATAATGTGAAAAAATCTGGCTTCTGATTTTATTAGAGTAGGGTTGTAGTTGCACTCTAATATTTGTTCATTTTGTAAATCCGCAAGATATAAATGGCTCCTTAAAACGTTTGACAAAACATTTAGGACGTACTGACTGTAACAAACGCGGATTCCTTACCCGCAATTTCATGTCCCAGTACAATTAAGCCCAGTACAATCAACAGTACAGAACAGGCCATTAATATTTGCCGGCCTTTCACCACAGAAATGTAAATTTCCACTCGTTCATTCGCCATCCTTTCCGCTGGAAATGTGTGGTCGATTTTAACTAATTAAGCGGTTAAAAGCAATCAATGCAATGGATCATAAATCATACAAACTTGGTAGGTGCAAATATATTGCCAAAAGGTCGGTACGACACAGAACAGTGTTCAACTATTCCCAAAGTTAAAAAAAAAAACTGATGGTCGCCCGTTTACCACACTTGCCGCAAGGAATGCAGCGGGTTCCCCATCAAACGCGCGGCAAGACAGCGGTTTTTGGTGTGTTTCCTGCTGAAAACCCGAGGTATGCATTGGCTTCTGCAATCAAACATCTCCCACCTCGTTTGACAAAGTTTTGCGCGTCGATGCGTAAGACAGTCGGCCGACGGTATGAATGTTCAGAGCGCAATTTATGCTTTTATTAAAAAAACCGGTTTGGTTACGCACCCGTCAACGTCCCTGACATGCCGCAGCAGACCGGTGTATTTTTACGGGTAGTGCACACAAAAACACTCACGCACTGTAATGTTATTGCTTCCGTATTTCCTTGCATGTGGATACTTGTTTGTGATGAGTGTATACCGTAAAATTCTGTGTACGCAAAAGATATCAGAATGTGTCTTGCAAAGGTCAGTTCCATGGTGAGCCAGTTTACGTACAGTGTGTTACCGTTTCCGGCTGAAGTCCAACGAAATATACCAACGCACAAAATTAATAATCAGATAGCTTTCGGCTGCCTTTTCGCATAAGTCTTTCAAAAATATTTTCTTTGAAATCGCACTAAACTAAGTGCTATTAAGTACGAATATTATTTTTCTTGAGATATGGGAATGGATAGTATTAATGTTTACTGATTTGTATGGTAGCGCGGTCTGGCAGACAGAGTGAGGTATATAAAAGAAAATTCTCTGATTGCGTTCAACAGACTTCTGATAAAAATAAATTAGCATGTCGACAAAGGAGAGATTTGTACAGCAATGATAAGGCACAGAGAACTTTGATCAATACGAGTTAAAAATCCGAAAGCGTCGTATCTGTAGAACAACTGAACGTCTTCCCTTCGGTTTCCGACAGATATTTCCTCTGAGCAGCGGCATCGGACGGCTCCAGAAACACATCACTTTGTAATGTCCGATCGCTTTTGACGGATGCGGCCGGACCGGATGCCGGGTAGTCCGGCGTCGTCTTATTCACCGAGCTGTACGTTACTTTGCTAGTGAAGGTCTGATCGAACTGTCGGCACGCTACCACCCGCCCACAAGAATACACACACAAAAAATACGTTATGGTCATCGTCAGCAGCAAAATAAAAGCCGATATGATGGCGGTTAATTTCAACCCGTACAAATTACGAGATACGGTGATGCCGCCGGGATCGACAATGGTGCGACTGAAGAAGACAATTACCACGGCCAGGAGGAGAGCAAAACAGCCAAAGGTCATGGTGCAGTTCAGGATCTCATAAATGCGGTCACGCACCGTATAACCTTTTACCAGGCTGTTAAGGAGAATGACAATAACGGCACAGAAGATGGTTAAAAAGGATGTCACTAATCCCATCATTTCTTCGGGATCGGCGGAAGAGCCCACTTCGTTCAGCTTGGCTATGCATACTAAAAACCATAAAATATATAGTGCATTCGAGATATAAAACATGGATAATATAATACTTCATAAACGTAAGCAAGTTAAATTGTACTTTTTATTAATGGTTAAATCGTACTTTATTAAAGTAGTTCACGGAAAAGCATTCATGCCACAATTATGGTATTGTAGTGTACAAAGGCAAGAACGCTAGCACAAAGCATGCACAGTCGATGTACCCCTAGAAATTACTGCCTTTATTCATTGTCAGTACTAAAATACTTACAATCGTTACATAAAAAACGTACAATATTAACGATTAAGCAGGTACGCGTCCGCTTCCCGTGGTTGAAAAGACAACTGTACTGCATTACGGTATATATACAAAAATATTAATTATTCTACATTATTTAAATTCCAAGTATGTAACGTTCTGTAAAAGGCGGATTAGAACGATAAAATTGCATCCAGGTAAAATAATATCAGCGGGCGTATTCTCAATTTTGGCTAAAAAATATAAAGCTACATCAATGGATGGCAAGAATTACAACACTGTACAGAGAGTTGTAATATGCCGCCTACTTGAAATTTCCAATATGGCAAGTCCGATACCAAAAGCGATGTTTAATCCACAAAAAAACCTAAGGACTTGCTGATGCGTCATTTTATATGGATACATAGCTGGGACACTCTGCAACCAGAATAAAATTCTGAAAATCTTTAGCGATAAAAAATTGGGTAAAGGATTTTTGCAGCAATGATACGAATGCCAAGCAAGAACATACAATTCTTTAATACATTTCCCTGACTTTGGATGGAAAGAAATGTGGAGCAACACGTAATCGGGCGGCAACAATAAATCGTGTATTCATTCCGAAGCTGGCGTTCGCCGCTCAGATTAACGACAGTGGCAACGTTGCGGCCATTTGTGGCTGTGGCGTTTTGAATGGGATATTTGCTCGCCTACGTTTTCCGCCTGTGTTCCTTTGCAATATACTATTCAGCTCTCTTCAGACTCTTCTGCATATTCGACGTGCGATCGAAATCCTTCGCTCTGTCGCATTCACTCGATGAGCAATTAATTCAGCCACGAACTGTTTATTTTATGTCGACGTTATCAACACATGTATAAATTCGACAAACAATCCTCTTCGTCATCCACTGAATCTCAATGTATATATAACAAAATTTACGGTCCTGACCTGTATATTTATGGCACTATGGCCGTCTAATTCGTACGAATCCTTTTGGCCAGGTTTAAAATCCCATGCTAGTATGTCACCCTAGCCGGAAATGGGCTACCTGCTCCACGAAGAAATAATAATAATAATAATAATAATAATAAACTGGTTTTTCGTTTTGCGTACTTTGCCTCCTGAGAATATATTAAGAAAAAGTTATTATAAGAGTCAATCGAATGACATGTATAGATTTACAAGAAAGTGACCTCTTAATTATGATTTTTTGGCACAAAGTACAAACTATTTTTTATTAGCATTTATTTCATTCTGTAGTACTCGTAGATGGTCCAGTACGTGTTTTTTCGTCGCGGTTTCGTGTTGATGTTAGTGTGCTTTCAACGACTTTTTCTTTCATCATGCGAAATAAAAAAATGTAATAAATCAAGAAGCAGCAGAAGCTGATTCTAAGACGCAGTAGACGACGCTATTGCGTGATCAGGCAGATGAGTACAAGTATTATAGTATACACTGTCTGTATACAGTAGTTCTATCTATCACTGAGGCACAAAGTGGGGCCAAATTTTAAAACTTTCAAAACATATAATAAAATTGCTAAAAGCCCTTAAAACCAATTCACCAAAAATCACTATCAAAATCACATACATTAAACAAAAACAGTCAAAACCTTAAAACCACATTAAACAAAAACAGTTAAAACCTTAAAACCACTATTTAAAAAATCACTCTTGTTATAATTTTATTATTCTCAAATTTTTTTGAATGATCATGAACTGAATCTGAACAAAAAGTCGTATATATATGGAACCCCAACTGAAAACGTTTTGCAATCAATATGTTTTCAAACGGAAATTAAGCGGCGTGATTGCTTTAAATAATTTGTGAACTGCCTTCCTGGATTTTCTCGCAGAATCGATCTACACACCGGTGTGCCGGCAATTTTTTCCGCAAAGTGAACTGCATATGTAAAATCGTGGTGTTACGCTTTAAATTACATGTATACGGACATCTGATGCACCCCTACTAAATGTTTGTTAAAAGTTTGACAAGTAAACCATTGAAGGCATGGCTGTTTGCTGTTAATTACTTCTTTAATTCCGTATCTGACTACTCATATCGACTCAAAAGGCAGAGCCGTAGAGGCCAGTAGTACCTTGCAGTTTTGTCAAAAATCGGTTTTTGATTCGATAATTAGAAGCACGACTTAAAAATTCTGGTAATCCAATATAATAACAGCGAGTTGCGACACAATACAAAATTCCACTAGACTAAAAATCTCCAAGAAAATACCCTAGCCATTATCTCATACTAATTAAATTGTCACGTAGATCGTAAAAACAGTGGCCAAACACCCGTCGTGAAGGAACTGAAGATATAAATGCTTTGAGCTGTCTACTGACTAGTCAAAAACACGTTAAAATCACGAAAAAGGGAAGTTTAAACTCAGAATTACAAATGTGCATAAAATGGTACAGACGAGACAGTTACGAAGTTATGAAAACCGATGGCATCCGCAATCGGTGTCATGCCGATATGGTCGAACTTGTGACAGTGTTGGATACAGGCGAAATGTGCCTGGCTTCCAGTCGCTGCAGAACCGGCGGAATATAAGTTTCACGCGCCTTCTTTACCGGAGTTCCCACAGGAGAGGCCGATGGCTCATCGATGTCATCCTCCGTAAATTCCTTAAATAACAGGAAAAAATCAAGCGTCAAGATTATGAAACGTAATTCCACATGTAATTCCACAGTCATTCCACAGAAACAGAAATTCCAAAGAAAAACTGTTACACCAAATATCAATAAAACAGTTCAAGAAAGCTTCTTACATCAGCCAAAGACACTTTTTTCAAGATTCCGAACCAGCTGATTCCGATGTAGATTAAGCCGTTAATGATGAGAACGGCTATCAGTAACCCGCTCATTGATCCCATACCTGCAAGTTACATATTATTTCAACAATGACTCGCAGAACCCTTGCTTACGACGGCATTACAAACCTCCTCGCACGACGAAGAAGAAGATCATCAAGAGGTTCTGCATCAATAAGCCAACCAGAAAAAAGTTGACGGCGGTTGCATGAACGCTGGTCGGTGCGTCGGATTTCCCGAACACGTACGACAAGTTGTACCGGTCCACCAAATATTTCATACACATAGCCAACAATCCTACAAAATGCCCGGACGGTGACCTTTCTAAATGATTACTGCTTTGACACAGTACCTGCATCTAAGCTTTCTAACACAGTTTTGATTTCCTTTCGGATTTTAGCTTCTTTCAGAGCCTTACCGAATGGTGTGATAACAGGGCATACAAAACAGTACACAATCACGATGTTGAAGGTCAACAGGAAGTCCGGATACTGCTCGTGGAAGGGAAATTCGGTCTTTGTCTATAACGTACAAATGGTAAAAATGGTTTATGAACATAAATTTAATATTGAAGTTTTTCCAATTTTCTTTACCCGCAGTAAAATATTTCTTTCTGCCTCCGATTTCGATCCACAGAAGTACCGACACAGAAAAACAAAAAGCTGACCTAATCGAAGCAGCTGGCACGCAGCTCCGACGAAGCTGAAGATAACCATCAAGTTGACGAATATCGCGCCATTGTCAGCCAGAAAAGCGCATCTGCGATTATAAAGAATGTGATGTTCAGCGTTTTCGTATAGCAATATTAAAAGTTACAGTCACTCACTCCCACATGATATCCACGTTCTTTCCGGAAAAGAATCGTTCCACGATTATATTCAAGCTGCAGAAGCAATGACGTTATTCCTTTAGAGTTTAGAGTAGTCATTCATGTGTGCAAACAAAAACGAACCTGGTCAGGGCCAAGCTAGGAAAGATGAGAATAGTAATAAGGAGAAACGCATACAGTAACTTCATTTCGGCTCGCATTTCCTTCGATCTGGAAAGGCAATTGTCAAGCCATCAAACCATTGCACCATTATTTTACTTAAGTAGTCCGTCAATTATTAACTGCCTTTGATCACTGTGGGTGACGCTAAACCATTTAATGTACAAGGATTGAGCTCAAAGTTTCGACTACAAGTTCATCCTATACATTCAACCTAAAGGTGCAAAAATTTAGGGGTTACTAAATGTTTACCTTGTATGGTATCCAGTCCAGCGCACAGTGTAGTACAAAAATAAGGGTATCAGACCAGCCACCGTCAGCAACAACAGCGACGGAAGAAATTGGCTGATCAGCGGCAGCTACAAAGCCAAGGACATGTAGAAATTCGCGCATCACTATCGACTATAACGACAGGGAACATCATTAATTACTTTCCCTTACGCTGGCAAACGACTGAAACCAATCCAGTTTATTTAGACTCAGTGCATTCAGAACGACGGCCGGAGTACCGAGAAAGAAGAAGAACAGAAAAACAGCCGTGTTGATGGCAATAGCACGTAACCACCACTTCCACCCAGCCATCGATAGATTTTCCCTGTAATATAATATAAAACCGTGTACAGAATAAAATCTGGAAGTTACGAAAAATCAAGATCTTACCAGCTGACAAACGGCGCGCTTGGTGCTTGCCGGGCTGTCCAGTGTTTGGCACCAATCATACTGGACACCGAAGTGCGAGGCTTTGCGCGGAAAATAAACTGGTAATCCTGATACACTCTACGAAGAAATAGCAACTTTCACAATTAAACGTTTGTGACCGTTTGGTTATCAGGAAAATCTCTTTGCGATCTAACATCAAATTGCTTTAGAAATTCAATTACGGTGTACGAAGCACAGCAAACTCGCGAAGTTCAGCATATCTTCCAAAATTTTAAGCTTTTAGGCAATAAATTAAAATAAAAAAATATGCGTACCGGTAAGCTTGATCTTCGGTTGCGAACGTCACGAAGAACACGGTATTGGTGCGTTTCCAGCTCTGGATTTCTTCCTCTATCTTTCGCTCCAATTCTGCCCGTTTATTCTGGTAGAAATCAACTGCATTCACGCCGTTTACACAGCATCCACAGAAAAATCCGCAAGCGACGTTCTTCACAATCGGCATCTCAGAGCGGTCAGACATGGTTTTTTCGTAAAATTTTAAGGCTGCATTCACTTTGGACCTGCCAGTGAAGTACTTTACTTGATAGAAATCAACTTATTGTTAGCGTCAAGTACTGCAAAGCAGTCGATATTTACAGCTCGTCGTCTAGCATTTGCAGTTTGGAGACATTCAAAGTCAGGAAAATAGCTGTGACTTGGCAGTCGTGATAAGCTTCCCTGCAGAAATAATCTCAAAATTACCGAAACTTAACTTGCAAACTTATATCAAGACTTCAGACTTGCGCACTTATCTTTTGCACATAATAAACGTACTCGAAATGCTGCCTGATTTTCTCTTCCGTGGTAATACGGGGATTTAATCCATAAAACATCAACGTTTTCACTCTCTATAAAACAGAATAATGGCAATGCACCTGTTACACTGAACTGTAATAAACCCAAAGTTCTACCTTATTGGTGCTCTTTGAAATGCCAAACTTCATCCCATAACTCAACATCGCCAAAAGTCCCATGGGAAACAGCACCATCGTAAACGCAATATGCACCCACAAAAGATCGCCACTAAAATAATTCGTAAGTAAAAGAATCAGCGATCCGCTTCCGCTGACAAAACCAATATACCTGGCATCCACATTGTTGATAGTGGTTTTCGGAAAGGATGAATTCATACCCGACTGTTTTGTTCCTCGGTAATTTACCGGCAGAATGATCGCTATGCTGATAATGCACAGTACAGCCGTGAACGCGATCACATGGCGCTGGAAACGCAGGTATTCCAGCGCGGCCGTGCCCGATCTTTCCAACAAGAATTCGTCACTACGATCGCACGTTTACGGGTAAATGAGAGCCACTTGCACACATCTTCTGCGCCGTGACACTTAACATGGAGAGAAGACGATCCGACATTATGGAAAACTGGACTTACCGTGCTAGAAAAGCGTTGCGCACCCACTGCCAGAAGCTCAGCGCATCCGGACCATCTGGTGATCCTGCGAGAATGCCGACATCGTAGCCTTCAGGGGAGTCTGGTGACTGCTTTAGAATCGCACTGCCTGGTGATTCCAATTCACCCATACGCGTAGCTGACTCCGATAACTCGAGATGGCGGTTTCCATAAAAAATGGATGACCATCTGGAACACAAAGTATGTATGTTAACAAATCACGGGAAACAATAATTACTGGCATATCGCACCCGTGGGCGATAATGGGACTTAACAGAAGTGCCTTAAAATTTATTTCTCATTGTATTAGACAAACAAGTAAATCGCCAGCAACGAAAGCCGCTCAACTACGATACTGCGAAAAGATTCAGGTTAATTTTAAATACTGACTGATCGCAACAGGTGATTTCTGACGTCATACATGATACAGATACATATTCGTATGGTACTGTAATATGACAGAATCAAATCACTAAAAACAAACCGTGCGCGGGGGCAAGTTTTCGTAAGCAAACACAAAGTCAATCCATAGCAACAAAATGCCAACAATCAAGAGATTCTAAGCACATGCATTCAGTAGACTTACTCATTTGTTCGCCGTCCCATAAGTGGTATTTTTGCACTTCCCCATCCTCGCTTGCGCAGCACCACAAATACCGTCAAGAGTATCTGCTCACAGAAAACGCTGGTTTCGAAATATATCGGTTGCCCGTGGCCATTTGCTTTGGACTTATTCAATTACCGCAAAAAGTATAACATTGATAACCATATTCTGCGGAATCCCCGCGAACATATTCCCAATCCCGATTCCGAATGGATCGGGATAGCGTGAGCCATCTGGCTTGAGATTGCACGATCCGTTATTCAGTCCCGGGGTTGTCGTTTCCGGGTCGTAGGACAGTGTGGTTGTGTCGGCCATGATTGTGGACGCCATCAGGGCGGCTGTGGTGGCCGAGCCCCGCAAGGGGAAGCCCCTTCAGATCGCACCCTATTCCGCGTGTGCTTAGTACAACTCAATCTGCTATTCACTTCACACTCCTTCCCGCTCGTCTGCGTCCATTGTTTCTGTAACAACAAACTGTAAAACAACATTCACACGCGAACAACCAACAACGAGGACAAAATAACGACGAAGATAACGCCGAAATATCACAACCACTTGGAACACAATGCATATGTAATTTTTCAAAACAATTCTGCCGAAGGCGCAGTACACATAATTAGGTAGTCTAGATATCGTTATAGAGCTCCAGATGTCAAAGACACGTTAACAGACATCGTTGATGGTTTATTCTCAGAAAAACCAGAATAATAAAGAAATTTTCGACTGCTAACGAATACAGGAACGATGAAACTATTTCAAAAACAATTTAGCTTCTGCTGAAACAATTTTCGGGGAACACCAGATGGACCATATGGCACACTATAGCTCACAGCCTGTCAACAGGGTATCAGACGCTTAATTTCTATAAATCATTAAAACCTGATACTATCCTATTCGAAAAATATAGATATATCTCTACAGCCGGAACTGACTTACGCACCCCTCACATTCCGTACCCAGGTACCATAATATAGGTAATTACTGCAAACAGTTTTGTGGGAAACAAACCGAAACTCACATCGAGGTTGCGCGTCGACAGCAAGAAATACTCAAATCAATAACGGGGAATGCCACACGCAACAAGCTGTCGTGTTGGCGAATTGGCGGAGATGAACAATAAATCCGAAATGGGCCAAATCGATAGCCAGGAAGAGCAAGACTAATCAACACCAGTTATGGATGCCTCCAACAACAGTGCAACACAACCGCAGCCGCAGACAGGCCGCGCCGCAGACAGGGCCGCCGCAGACAGGGCTAGTCACTAATTCGCAAATCTAAACAACGCGATCATCGCAAATTAAAAATCAACTGCCTCGATAGAATGCGTCGTAAGTAATAAATTTGCATTCCAGGAACCAAACAAGCAGTTCAGCGCTGAGAAATCATCGCTGTTTCGTTGTAATGTGGCAAGATAAGAACAACTTGTCGCCAAAACAGACATTTAAAAAATATTAATGCTACTTTCTCATATCTCGACGAAAGAAGAAAATTGTTTCAAATAGGGCTTTCTTATCTCTTCCAGTAGGAAATAAATTGTACGTATCTGCATTCTGCACAATATACTTGCCTGATGCTGGACTGGCAGGGAGTTGTTAATCAGCATGGATTTTACCCAAACAAGTCCAAGATAGTAACACAACCAGCAGAAAATTTGAAATGTAAATCTTAGTACACTTTTTTAGATTCCAAGGACTACTGTAAACATATTCCATAAATCACAAGCGAAATATATTTTTCTAAATTAAAAAATGATAACTTCCTCACGCAACCGGCAACGGTTTTGAAAACGTTTTCTGTTTTTCCCAAGTTCCGGACTTCCGGTTACGCCTTGTTGCTCTTTTCTCGATCATGAAAGGAAGAAACATCAAGACAGCCACCACAGGGCGTGATGTATGTGAAAAGTACGTCGAAAAATAAACCGTGAAAAGTTGTTAAATTATTGCACTTTTTCTCAAGTTTTCATTTCCAGGAAGCAGCATTAAAGTGTCACAGTTGAATGTTGTTTCCCGTATTTCCTACTGCAGGATCCGCTTCTTTCTGGAAGCAATAGTTTGTTTCTGGTTGAGAGCTTCCCGCATACTGAACACTGGCGTGTTTGCATTTAATGTTGGCCAGCTAGCTTACAGCTCGGCTGAGGTTCTTTGGGGTTCCGCGGCATCCTGCCGAACGTTTTGATGTCGTGCATTCTTTAACAGAATTCACGATGTTCCCGATGCGAACGATTGTTAAGGTAAGGCGGTAATATTACCTCCTGAATACAAGCTGATGGGTAATCATGGTATTTTGAATGTTGAGTAGAGCCTGGAGGCTTTGCGGCTGGTTGATTCCGTATCCGCTCTGCGGAGCGGTACTCCAACGATGCAAATATCCCCGCAAAACTTTTCCAGGATAGATCTGGGAGAGTGCGTACGCCAAATAAGAGGATTGACTTCAGCTACCGTGATACCAAAAGGACCGGAGAAAACGGGGGACGGCGTTTCGTTGGTGAGTATTTCAAATACCAGCAAATCAGCAGAAGTGATGTTTGGTTATACAGTTATTGAGTTATACTTTAACTTACCTTAATTTAACTTTACATAGCCAATGACATGGTCTGCAGTTGTACATTGCGTTTTTTGCGCTAAGTTGATTGCATTGGCAATCGATAGCAGTCATTTTTGTTGCATCTTCGCCAGATGGTCTAGTCAGTTTGTCCATCAGGGGTGAACTGGCGCCCCCCAGTCTCCTAGAACAGAAAAATGCCAGTGTCCGGAGCCGTCGCCTGGCACGAGAGATGCGCCCGTCAAGGGGGGGGGGGGGCGCCGGAAAGTTTCATTGAAAAATGTAGAGAAGTTACATTTTTAGGCACTTTCTAGGTTTTTTAGAATTTTAGTATTTTCTGGCTATTTTCGAACTGGCACCAGGTTGTGCGCACTCTCCCCCCAAATCTAAGGACCAGCGCTTATAAACCATTTCGTTAGTTTTTTTTGCATTTAAATAGTACCGTATGTTTCTTTCGAAATTTTTTCTTTCGTATGAGCATTTGGATTCATTCAAACATTTTCAGTTCTCAGAATTTTTATTTTCAACGGATTTCGTTCCAAGCGCAGTGTGAGAGTTTAAGTGGACTTTGCGAATGCTCCTATTGGCATGGTGTTGTTGCAGGTACACGGGTCAACCACAACGAAAACCCAGACGCCCTACAACTCGCTTTTGCCTAACATTGAAAGAACATACTGGTCTTCGCCGTTTCCTTCCGGACATTTTCCTTTGATAACACCGCTACCTGTGGTTCCCATACAGTCGCCCTGGGAAGCAACCGTCACCAACCGCCTACCATCTCTCTGGAATATCGAAAAATTTGATCCGCTTCCCAGTACGCTGTATCCCGTGGAAGCGCCCACTTTAGAACATTTAAAAATCGAGAAACAGGCAGCGCGTTTAATTCGCATACGGCGGAGAAAGATGAAGAAGCACCAGTATAAAAAGCTCCGTAAGCGAATGGGACTCCTCTGGGATCGGATCAAACTGCGCCGTAGATTACGTCGATTCAAAGCCTTCTACGCTGAGCAGGACCTGATTATCACCAAGGCCAAAGAATTCAGCCCGGAAGCATATGTGCGGAATTACATTGCGGCGGCGAAGGCCAGCATCATTGAACGGGCTATGCCGCCCCCGAAGCCGGTGCATGTCAAACCCAAACCCTGGAAACCGAGAATATTCCGATAGGAGAACGGAACGGCGTTTGCTTATTTTGTGTACATTGTACGCTGCGATCAGGTACTGTTTTTGTTGTTTTATTTGTTTGAAGTTGTCAACTGCGATTACGTACCGCAGTTGAGCATTACAAAAATAAACTGCCGGCTTTGAGCAAATTTAAAGTGTCGCAGCTGATTACGATCTGTAGATCAAGAATTCCCACGATAATCAGATTATTTCTTAGTAATCTCCAATTGCAAGTTGCTTGCGTTCAGCTCGTACGCAGATCACGAAATTTGTCGCAGATTGACAAGCCGCGATGTGCAAAACTTTACCAAATCTATCAAGCAGAAATTCGTCGACGCCGGCTGTTAACTCCTTATGCTGGGGCAATCAGATTCTGATACAGAATCGCACTGGAAGGCCGGAAGAATTATTGCTTCTAATCTTTGCGTGGCTTCGTAGGCCGTTGATCCACAGCGTTCTTGTACTTGGTCCATAAAACAGGCTTTGTGATAGCGCATACCACTGCAAAACGCCACACTGAAGAACACAGAAGTAATCTAGCAAAATATTATGTTCTGCCAGTTGCTAAAGCCTTGAACCGTTAACGAACTGTGTTAACCAAATATTGCCACCTTGTTGCAAATGACAAAGTTGCGATTCACTATGCACTACTGTGTGGGCTTTTAATACTATATGAGGTGCTGTACTTTATATCCAAAATTGTTCGAATATAGTTCTCTTGAAAATTATATACCAATAATTCACGTAAATGTTTTTACTGAAGGATAGCGCCTTTGAGTCAACCGCACTGACCAGCATAAATCCCGTATGGAATTGGTTTCGCCCTGGACTAGGCGCTCGGACGAAAGTGTCTTCAGTTGGGGTATAAATCGCGTTTCCCGCATGCAGCGCTCATGAACACTGGACATACGTTTGCCACAATCCAGCGCCGCCAGGGCATCCTGTTGAATTTGCGGATTCTCGCACTGGTTAAGTAATCCGGACATTTGGTCAATGAACGTGCGCGCTTCCGGTTGATCAGGTTTACAGCGGGCTATGTAATCACCGAAGCACTGCAGTGCTTGCTTATAAGCCCTGAGAAAAGCAGTAAGGTTTTCGTTAGACGTCAAATAATACAGAGTACTTCATTATGATTTTAAACATGAACACCATCAATGTTGCAGCAATTAACGTTCTTACACGCACTACTTTGCGACAAGAAGCCACCAATACTTGGATTTATTTTTGTCCATATACCATGCTGCTTAATTCAACGGAATTACAGCAACTGCACGCAGCTGTAATACCGTCGATAAACTTACGTGCAGACTTGACGAAAATCTTCGCTCGTTCGGAGCGCAAACGGACTCCTTTGTATAATGGGTGGTAAGGCGCTGAAATGTTTAATACACGACGGTGGCGGGAAATCATCACAGCTATCGGGAAGTTCCGGTTCGTTCTCCGGTAAGGATTCGGCTAACTCGGCCTCATGGTCGGGTATTATGGTGTCCTCCGGGATCACTGTGGGATCGTATTCCGCTTTGACCCCGTTGGGATCGCTGTAATCACCCTCGCCGCGGTCAATGTGGCGGCCGTACACCTGGATGAGGAGAAATAGCGGCAGAATACTAACGAGCTGCATCCCGGATATTTTGACGGTAGAATAAAACGCAGAGAATTGCTGAAATGCTGAACGGTATCTACAGCTGCGTTTGCCGGTTTTTGATTAAGCGATAAAATTGGCAATTACACGGTCTGAGTAGTAATTAATGAAACCACACACGTATACACGCAGGTTTTCCTTCTTATACTGGAGACATGTGGGCAATAAGGTGATCTTTGTCCTGTGGCTCATTGTTTACGTAACCGCAGCCATTTTCTAGTAAAAATTGCGGTTTCCGTACAACTCGGCTGTTGACAAACGTCCAAATTGCCTTTGCCGTCAGTCGAAGAGTTCGATCTGGATTTGAGTGGGGAAACGGTTACTGTGGATGACCGCCAAACGTCCTAGGCTCGCTGGTTGTAATTTGTGGTTGTAATTTGCAGGATGATTCACGCACGCACACCACACAACCAATGTAGAGGTTTATTTTGTGCTTTTGAACGATGGCAATATAACGATCCGATATAAATGCAAATTTCCGTAGATCTGGGTAAACTTCCGGTCACCCCATGCGTATCAGATAAGCCCTGTGTATCTAAGAAATACCAGTAAACATTCTTCGATCCAACCAGGTATAGATAGATCACCGTACTTCTGTATGAACAGAAATAAATTATTGTGAATTATTTATTACGGTAACAAAATTTATGTATTCGTACAGTATGTTATAAATTTTGAATTCATCAACAAGCTGAACTAATTATCGCTCCATGCTCTAAGGGAAGAAGCTTCACAGAGAATTATTTTGCTCGAACAGAGATAAGGTATTCACTTGATTTTAAATCTAATGGATAACGCTACAAGCACGGCATTGTAATTATATTATTACGATCAACTACTGCACTGCGCGAACATAAATTTTATTCTGCCGTGCTATGAATGCTAAAGCTACGATGAAAACAGTCCTTAATTACTGTAATTTCAGCAAATTCTATTGTAAATCACAAAAACGTTCACTTACGAACATGGTGATCTCTGGAATCCTTCAGACAGAACTGCAATCAACTCCTAAAACAGAACTGCAATCAACTCCAACCCAAACCCCCAACGAATGTCCTGGTATATGTGCCAAACTCCATTAATATGTAAACTATAAAAATATGTGCTTTCAGGGTGGTGCTCCAGTAAGACATAATTATCTATATATCTATTTACTGAGCTCGTATCAATCGTACCAGAACGTATACCGAGAAGGCATCCCAAAAGAATAGCACGTATACTTTTTGAATTAGATCCTCTTCCAAAATTAAGCGATCCCTGCAGTTCCAGCTAGCCTTCTACGTGCTTCCACTATGTTTCTAATTTCTACTGCCGTTGAGAGAATTGTCTTAAGTATTAGATCCCCTACAGAAATAATTATATAAGTTAAAATACAGAGAGAGCCGCTCGTTATAAGCTGAAGAGAGAGATGACAGGCAGCTGAACAGAACAGACAGCGTGCTACGCGCGCTAATGCCTCACTGGCCAGTGGCCAGTGCCCAGTTGCTCAGCCACTGTATACCAGCACCCTGCTAAGTACCCTGTACAATTGTACAACAACTGCTGGTTGTTGTTAGCCTGCTCACTGCTGCACCATTTTTATTGCGGCTGGCCTTGGATCTGCGCAGAATGTGCAGCCAATTATTATTAATTATTACTGATATTAAATCGCAAAATAACTGGGCCTTTTCCTAAAGGTTGCTTTTATTATATAATTTATCCACAATGTACAAAAGCAAAGCACACATCCTACCCTAATAAGGTTACTATTTGCTATGCTGAATCTTCCGGCACATACGGACATTTATTGCTAATAAGTAAGTAATTACAAACAAAGATGAAAATATTAACATAATTTTATGAAAATCAGTGCACAAACCGACAAACAAACCGCTAACAATAACGCCTCCCCGGGAGGTTGTGCTGCACACTGATACAGTGTTGAATAAAGTGAGCTGCATGACTTTTCATTTTTGGTGCCTTGTCATCTTAGAAAAACTCTAACAGAAACAGCTGTTGTAATTTTTTGATTCTCTTGAGTCTTGCAGTCTTGCTGGATTTCTTGCGCCGGAGCCATCCGGAACTTCCATGCACTGATCTCCTTTTACTTATTATTATTTTAAAATTGTTTGATGTTTTCCTTCTAAGTAGTGTTAGTTATTACTGGTATGAGCAGTTCGGTTGCGTGAATTCTTGATTTGAGACTGTCGTAACTCGTAAGTGTCACGTAGACATTGTTACCTGTATTAATTTGTATCTCTTCTACATAGCTGTAAGGATAATACGGGGTTACGTTACCCTGGCGCTGCGTGTTTTAACTCGAAGACGACGAAGAGTGTGTGGCTGTATGTAAAGATCCTTTGGGGAATTCTGCAACGACATCAGAAGTTACAGTCTGAGCCAAACGCTTATGAACTGGATCGCGACGCAGGTTTGTCTTGCTACTGAAAAGAGTCCGTGACTAGCGTGAGTAATTCCTTTCAGGCATCTATAAATATCTTCTTTGCTGTGGCATGACATGGAAGTTCAACTGGCTGAATTTTTACGGCACGTTTGGTTGTCACTAATTCTGCAGCCTTCTAGTGTATTGATAGGTTGCTTCTGAATATCCTGTTGTAATTACTGTTATTTTAGAAAATATGCAACATAAGTGGGTTGCAGGTTCAGAAGGGAAAAGTGTGAATAAGTTATAAGTGAATTAAAAAATTTGGCCGTTTTGGCTGAAAACAGCATTACTACTGATTGATAATTAATTTCAGTTAATACTCATTTCTGGGGATTTTGACTGACCGAATTTTTTCGTCTCCCCGGATTTCTATAATGGACGAATCACCTGTGAAAATCCATATTTATGATCTATCCAAAGGACTGGCCAGGATGTTTTCGCAGATGTATTTAGGTGAGTGGCATTTATCATTTATGGCTCAATTTGGCATGGTTAGTGGTACACTGGTTTTTGTGCATGTGCGAGCCGTAAATAGTATGAGCTTCGTAATAGCTGTTCAGAATCTGTTCTATGTAATTGTGAGCTTTGTAATATGTGAGAAAGCTAGGTATTAACGGTTACGATTTTTGTACTTAATTTTCAGGCAAACATTTGGAAGGCGTGTGGCATACAGGTTTGTACATCTCATTTGGATTACTTGTTTTGGGCCCTGACTGATTTTGTAAATTTGATGGTCGGGATTAACACTTATTTGTGGGAATTTATTATGCGTGAATCTGTTTGTTTATTCCGGTTGTGTGAACCTGCTTTTGGAAATGATAGGTATTGTGGTATACGGAAAGGAATACTTCTACGGATCAATGGGAATCGAAAGCTGTCCCCCGGTAAGCACTAAACACTGCTAACACATTAATATTTTATTTAATTTCTGACCGGTGTGATGATGTACAGTACTACTTGTTCAAGAGCAATGAACGTACAATCTGGACTTGTATTTTGACATTTTTTGTTAAAAATTTGGGTGATCACGTTTTTTTGTACTGTGTCACTAGACTTACTACATCCTTTCGGATTTGTGATAAGTTTCTTAGTGAAATAAGTAAGGAAATCCTAGTGACAATTAATTAATCCTTGTAACAGTCTTGACCAAATTTACCGCGGTCTGTTTGGCTGGGATAACGGGTTAATGCGTAATTAAAATTTTCTGGTCAAGGCGCACGTACCATGGATGATTTGTGGCACTTTAGGATTCTTTTGGCTTTAGGGTACCACTGTCTTGGGACCACCTGACACAATTGTGGATCTTGGAACTACTGCGTTGCCGTATGAAATCTTCATGGACTGGTTGAATGGCGCGGCTATGACAACTTTCAAGTAAATACTTAACCTATTTCTGTATAAACTGACTTATTTCGTCCGTCACGATGACAGACATTGAAATTCCACAGAGGAAGCCGGTACCATTTGTTCGACCATAACTGCAACACTTTCTCCAGTGAGCTGGCACAGTTTCTAACCGGAAAACGCCTCCCATCTTATGTTACCGATTTGACTGCCGATGTTGTCTCCACGTAAGTGGCCGTGTGTCCTTGTACAATTAGCACGTAGGAAAGACGTCTTAATTATAGAGACCCGAAAAGACATTGTCAAAATTTCTTAAAAAAAATACCGGGGACGAAACAGCAAAACAAATCAGCCATAGCATTACGTAAGAAGCGATTAGTCGCTAATATGGGCGTTGATGTTGGTTACATTCATTCCTCACTCAGTTCAGTAGCTGACTTTTTCATGGTAAACCTCCTTTGTTGAAAGTTTGTTTGCTTGATATTTGTTTTATTTTTGAAGATATTTGTGGTATTTTAGGCCTCTAGGGCAACAGATTCGAGCGATGTTGGAGTCGGTACAGAATTCCGCCACTGCTACACCAGTTGGACCAGATCCTTCACGGGAATTTGGTGAGAGCACGAATCCCGGTCCCCATCCTAATCCGCCTGATAATCTTCAGCATGATGAGCATCCGCTTGATTAATCCAACCTAAACGATTGTTATTGGCTTCTCTGTATCCGTGCTAGTCCCAAAGATTTACCTCTGTTACTTTATCTGATTGCTAATCCAGAATATCTATGCATGTTTCGTTCGCTATATTGTTTTAATCGGCTGAACGGCTGTTGGGGTGTGAAGTTATAAAAATACTGAACTGACATGCGGGGGGTGCGTGGTAAATATCGTTTCCTTCAGTATCGTCGCGTACACCTGTTTTCGATCCCGAAGAGGAAGAACTGATAGCAGCCGCGCAGGCGGCAGTCAGTGCTCCGCTGCCCCGGGCGACGCCGCGACTGCGTGATCCCAATGACAGCGAAGATGATCTCGATGATCTGCCGACCTCCGCTGTCAGCAATCTGGAGACGAAGAAACCGATAACCTGTAACGATGTCGATGTAAGTCCACCCGTGTCACGTGAGATCAGGTGTGGGAAATTTTTCTGGAGATTGTACTTTGTAATAGTTCATGTTGTCAGTGAAACTGTGAGAAGTAATGTTTGGGAAGAAATCTATAGCGAACGACCCGCATTCGATTTACCACAATTAATATCCAACCGGCTTTAAAATGAAAACGATTCTATCCGGTAACTTTTTTTTACAGTTAAGTAGTTACACTTACCGGGGTGGCCCAAAAAATGGCGGTAGTTTTATTGGCGTGCGGTGGTCCGTCCGATGCTTGATTGACATTATATATATTAGGTTCATTCGAAAGAGCAGTGCTTGTAACAATAAACTAGGTACTTATGTTAAACCCGTATCATACAAGGATTTGAGTTTCTTATGAACTGTTTAAAAAAAAGTGGGTGGATCGGACTTGAGGATGATCACGCAGATCTTTATTTGATATTGCGCATAGTTACTGCATAGGTCACAAGGCAACAGCATCGATTTTTGTCATAGGTCACAGAAGCTTACGGACAGCTGCAAACCATTCTTCACGGTAAAATTTCAGTTGATGACATGGAAATTCTGGATGAAATTTTTGAGTATGCCACTGCGAGCGACGAGGCGGCTTTGCTGCTGTCCATTTCAAAGAGCCACTTCACGTTTTTGAGTATGTAGTATGTACGACTTTCGAGGGTTGGATTTCGCAGGCTTTCTCTACTGTACCATGTACAATACTGATATGATTAGCTTCGTTTGTGCAGATGATATACTGCTGAGCGAAGACCTGAAAGTCACTACAAAACTGCCGGCTGTCAGGCTTCTGCAGAGTTTAACCAGAACCTCCAGCGCGGTCAATGTACTGCGCTTTTGTCCCGAACATCCGGTCATGGAGTATCTGCTGTTTTTGGGGAAACAGAGAAATCCAGATAATATGGAGCTAGTGGAAGCACTAAAAATGGTAAGCGTAAATGTGTTCGATTGCCGGTTGGTAAACTATCGCTGCTGTTCAACTATAACTGGAATGAATTTTCAATCACTTATCGTATCGTTAATTTGATTTTGTAAAGCTCATACATAACTGCTACGTGGAAAAGAGAATTAATAAATATTTAATTATACATTTGGAATCCAAGCAAGAGACTGTCGAATGTGGACAATTCAGATGCAGTCTCGCAAACAGTACGATGAGGCGCTTGAAGATATTTTTTTCGGGAATCGTAATAACTGTTATGATTGAAACAGAACTGTACTACTTTAGTTTTTCGAAACAGGTGTGTAATGCCTGCAGCACGGCTTCCGGCTTCAGCTGGATGACGGACGAGACCGAATGGGCCGAGGACGAGGATGCCGGGCACAGCACGTCCAACCTGCTGGCCACTGTCCAGTTCTGCGCGTGGTGCCTGTCGAAAGCGCACAAGGACGTCCAGGCCACGGCCCTCGCTCTCGCTTACAACCTCTCGATTCCCGATATCCCCGAGCAGCCTGCTGCGATTGTTTACGCATCCCTGCTGAAGTTCATATCACAGCCGGCTAACTGCGCTGATGCGGCGCTGATGAGCACGCTGATCGGCACGTTGAACAACTTCACCGACGCCAATAGCGTGGTAGGTGTCCCGTGAAGCATTATGAATTACAGGGGTTGGAGCATTTTTCCAGTTAGGATATTTTTAGTTTGCCGATCGACTGAAGACCTCCGGCATCGACTGGGACGGCCTGCAGTCCAAGCATCCCAAGTTGAAGGAACCCATTAAGGCGCTTCTGCAGAAAGCGCACTAATTGTCCGCAATGGGCCAATGGCACAGTGTGTGAACGCGCGGCTTTTAATGGGTTTTTATCATAACTTTACTGCGGCTTCCGCCGCTCTCCTTCTCTCTCGGGAACGATGATGGATTAGGTAACAATAAAACTGACGCATAAAAAATGACCGGGCCATCTGGAGCCGTTCGCAGTTTGCACTCGCCGACCGTGGCTCACATCGACAGATTCGTCGTTTTGGTGATTGATGCAGCAGCAATTCTGGTTGCGCGTAATTTCCTTCCAATTGCAGTGTTTCTGTTAATCGGCTACAGAGCACACGCTATTAAGGAAATGCTGAAAATCCCTTTCTCACTTAGATTGGCAGATTTTGTTGATAAGTTTGTTTAGTAGATCACACTTCTTCAGCAGAAATAAACACACATATTACGCCTGCTAATCAAACGATGCAAGATTTTTGACACAGTTAATAGTAAGATTTAGTATATTATTTGTCAGATACATGAATTTCTTTGCATTGGTTGTGAAATTCCATTCTCATTTTACGCAATGTGAGATCCATGCAATACGCTCGTGCAAACAGCTATAAAGTGGCCATTTCCATTGCAGTAATAAAATTACCTTTATTAGTGAGCATTTTCGTTGAATACCATATACTCTGTACATATGAAACCACATATATGTCTTCCGAGCAGGAATAAATTTAACAATCTTTTCGACATTCTTATAAAGATCTGCAGAAGGAGTCATTTCTCGTTTGCTTTGATTAGAATTCTTGGGAAAGCACAGCGAGCGACTGGATAGTACACTGACGGAGTGTGTTCCGTAACATAATTATACTTGTCTTTTAGAAGGACCAATAATTGTATCACAGCTTGTGAGTGTCGGTTTCTTGACGGCATTATGCACTGCATCTGGCGCCAGCCGCGTCCCTTTGCGGACAGCATTTCTTTACATTATTAACGATGCTTATTGACTGATGCTGGTCATGGCCGAGGAGAATCTCCGTGCTGAGCTTTCGCCGAGCAGATCCACGCGTTCACAGGTCGGGGTTATGAGCACGGCATTGGCGAAGTGCGGATCATCCGGGTCGTGGGGAGGCGGGGAGAACGTGTGCTCCATAATGGCCTCGATGAGTCGCAGCGGCATCGTCTCCATTACATCGTGCATCGTGTCCAGCCGGTTCTCAATTCGACTCATCTTCGTCTCCAGATCCTCCGTGCGTTTACTCAGATCCGCCACAATCTCGTACATGTTGTTCTGCGTCTGTTACCAACACACATTATTAGTTTTCTGAATGGACGAGAGGAAAAATGGGCGCGTAATGACTGTTTACTTTGGCCATATCTGTCATTGTACTGGCTGACTCCATTAATTTCCGCTGCTCCATTTTGGCTTTCCGCAGACTGTAGATGGCAATCAGGAATTTCCGCTGGTGGACGCGCACCCGCGAGGGGTTGACGCGTTTGACGAGTTTGGTGTATTTGTAGATGAGCCATGTTTCCCGCAGAACATTGGCGGCGGAGTTTTTCAACTGTCGCGGCAGAAATTAATTGTATTCACATCAGCGTGTGAGCGCATTGAGAAAAACCATGTGCGGCAAACAAATACTGTACACACCCGTTTGGTCAGCTGTGTATCCATCATAAAGTTATGCACATGCTTTTCCGCACTGCTCAGCTCCAGCTTCCTGGCAATTACCGCAACCGCCAAGGCGGTACATCCTGAACCCTGCAACAGGGAATAGAAAGGAGACCCGGTTTTTGCTGGCAGATTAAGAGGATGAATCCTTGACGGGTCTGTGTCTTTCGCTCTCCGTCTGATAGCCATCTTAATAGTAACACATGCCGGCTAAAATAAATTGATTTTTAACGCACCATTAAACCGGTGCAGACGGCTATTCCCCGGCCGCAGTAAGTGTTAGGCACGATGTCCCCGTAGCCAACGGAGAGGAATGTAATGGCGGTTAACCATAAGGCGTTCTGCATATGGGGGATTATGTAATGCATGTTAGGGATGAGAATGTGGATTGATAGTCATCAAAGCGTGCCTTACCAGGCAATTCTCGTGCTCGTAATCGTGGTACCTGTGCGAAGACAATTTAATGCAAGTTTCACTGTTTCCATGTCAAAGTATGCCTTAATATGGTGTCAAAAAGCTATCTTAATTCTACCACGGTCCCACTAACATATAAATTATAACGTGTTTTTCTAATCATAAATGTCAAAACATAATTTCCAGTTAACTTCCAAATTGGCACGCTTATCCATGTCTGTATTTTGAAGGAAAATATTAAACTGTTTCGGCGCGCATAAAAAATTAAGAACTGCAGAAAGGTATCATCGTACATATATATTAGAATATGCAAATATTTACCAAACATAAATACTATTTACAGAGATAAAAAATAATGCGACATGGTAAAGCAAACTTTGATCAAGGCGAGTATCATGACTACCTAAATACCCAACACGCTTATATAACGTCGATACGCAATTTTATACGTATCTGTGCGATGACTGCGAGTAATGTGATACCTTTCGCAAGCTCTTAGCGTCCAGCTGGCAATGAACCAGTAGGAGATAATAAAGGTCAGGAGAAGCGTCCCTGGGCAGATTGTCATGAGGGTTTTCAGGACGAAGCGGGTGTTGAAGTTAATTCTGTTGAGTGCACCGATGGACCGCGACGAGGCGTCCGTGAAGAGCTTGCTGTGCAGTAACATGACCCGGAATATCAAATACAGCCGTAGGAACATGGGCAACGACAGTATCACATCGATGGGAACCTGAGAAAAATACAATGCAACGGTATGCACAAAAGATTACTTTAAACATAGGACAAAAGGTATCATATTATACTGTATCTGTATATAAATAAATCAATACCAAATATCAAAATATGCCCCGCTCCTGTATCGGTATTGTGAACAAGGCACAAAAGGGCTGCTCACACAGTGTTCATCGCGAGAGTTGCAGAACTCTGCATAAAATCTACTGGTGTTCCAACAAAATCCTATGAAATATTTGCGCTGTAATTATTGACGGTGGTGTTTCCTGTGTGTCAACACTAATTAAATCAAATTAAAAAATAATTATCGATGTTGCCCCAAGTCAAGCACCTTTTCTCACAATAGTCCCTAAATGCAAGTAAAAATGAACTCTTGTGCCGTCGGTTTTTCCAGTTTTATAATAGTGATCCGAATATTTAAAGCAATTGTTGAGTCTGGCAGAATGGCAACATCTACCAAAGCAAAAAGACGTCTGTACTTGAGGTCTTTTCAAATTTTTGGAATCCAGTATATTTGCTAAATACAGATGACCTTTGCGTGAGTGAAGTAGTTGCTTTAAATTGTCTAAATATTGCTGTAAGGTTTTATACGGAAAAGACTCATCAAAACATGAAAACATTTTACATGCTTGTTGTTACTAGGAGTATTTCATAGTTCATACCATCACCGAGTGTGGACGTTTGTCGTGATTATAAATGGTGGCTGTCCAGGAAAAGGAGTAATCCCCTGGTGGCGGATGGATGGAACAAATAAGGAGCTCAACCGCCAACTGAAGACAACGTCTCCATGTTAGTGCAATTCTCCAGTCATCCGCAGAATTATCGATTAGAAATAACTGTAAAACGATTCCACCCATACGATACATGTATTACCATAAAAGAATATATACACCATACATATAGGGCATTCAAGAAGGAGATTTAATCTAATTTTCGTGCGGTACGGGGAAATCTTTTACAGAATTCAACATCTTTTGAATGCAATTTTCGGTTGGGGCTGTACCTGGATTTCCAGTGCATGGTAGCCGACAATGAGGGCTAACAGGATGGCCGTGCTGACGCTAATGATGGTTTTCACGCCGTAGGAAAACGGAGAGGTCTGCAGTCAAGCGTAATCGGGGCATATTAGGCAAATTGTATTTTGTTTATATGCTGGATTGCATTTGTATAATACGGTGAAATTTGTATAACACGGTTGGGCGTTGCAATACAAACGATATTGCTGCATAGTCGCAATACACAGTCATGCCCTCCCAGCCACAAATTACGATTTACACAACACACCGAAGTAACTATCTATTTGGTAAAATGTAGAAATAAATACGTTTATTAGAGAAATAAACAGTTTATGAAAAGGAAACAAATCATAATAATTAATGCAGATTATCTTTAACTAGGCAGTAGCAAAACATGGAATAGTATTTATTTTAATTCTTAATTAACTGTGCAATGATGGCCGTACGTAGTTAATGGAATTATGACTGTAATGTCGCGATTTGAACTTAATAAAATATACTGATTTATATAAATGTAAAGAAATGGATACTAAAATAGAATCAATCTAAAATGATGTAAGCATGTGGAGTAATACAAATGATGCAGCCGTGCAGGAATGTTGTTGAACAATATACCGGCTGAGTTTGGTAATAGTAACAATACTGTTGTAAAAAGTTTAGCAAGAAAATTCGGTTTTAATTTGATCATGTTTTATATTAAATTCTGGATAATAAAGCAGCCAATTCTAACTGTTGGGGCGTTTCCACAAATCGCTAAACGAAATAATGGAAATAGACGGAGGCACGCAATGTTAATGTGGCGGTTATTTTATTATTTTTCATATTAAATATGGAATCAAGCATGCCGTTGTACGTGTAACCTTTTGCCCTTGTAAGCGGAAATCAATAAACCAGCCGTTCGATCATTTAACTGCCTATGTTGCACTGGAACACCCTTTACGGCCGTACATCGAGTTGACGCATCAATATGGAAGCAAATGTTTTGAGTGGAAACTTGACGGTTTGAAAAATGCCAAAGTGGCGAGATCAGTAAATTATGCGCTGCAGTTCAGTCTGTCGTTGGGTGTCCTTATCGCTGAAGAATAAGCTCTTCTTACTTAAGCCTACGCCGCCTATTGTCAAATACCGAGTAATCAACTGCTTAACAAAGAGCGTTAAGTTGTGTTTGTTGACTGAAATCATAAGCATAATATCTATTATAAATTATTTCAGTGAAAAGCAGCAAAATTGATTTTTCCTCCTACTAGCAGGGCACTCTAACGTTAACGCACACTATTACAGTCCTTATTTTCAATTTAAAAAGATTATAAAAGTTTCCGGTTAAAAGAGTATCGCCTAATAATCAGTACAAATTTAGATAATTTTAATAACTTACGGTTTAACGCTGTAATCAACAAAAGAATTTTTGGCGATTACATTCAGACATATAGATGACCAACCTTATCGTAGATTTTGTATGCCGACAATTCGGTTTCCACCACCATTGACAAAATGCCGATCATCCCAAAGAACAGTGCGTAATCACTTAAGCGCTTCCGTTTTTCGAAAAGCGCCTTCCTTTTGCCCAGCCGGTAACCGACATTGGGCTTCCCTAATTTGGCACTGCCGGCCGATTTTATACTGTCCGGCCCAATAGGCACCTTAATCTCCGTGAAACTCGGTCGGTTTTTCAGAGGCAACTTATCGTCTTCGTAGGCGATTTCAAAATTGCCCGATATATCGTTGGAGTTCTTTATTGAATTGGCGCGTGATATCACCTGAGCGTGCAAATTGGGCGTGCTGGTCGGCTTACGCAGCTGTTTAAACATCAGGGCGCCGCTGTACCGCATCGAGCTGGCCTATAAACAATTGCTAATTATTTGCAATTTGCACGTGCGGAAAAAATAATTCAATCAAATAATTCTTTGCGTATTTAGTTCATTAGTTACGCACTAAACAGGAAGCTTATTGAAAAACCAAGTTACGATGTTTGTTTATATTACTGAAAATAAACAATTTGTCACGCACCACAATGTTTGCCACATCGGTACTGTCGCGTTTAATGGCACTGTTATACGCCGCTGTTCCGGCTGCCGCTGCCGCCATGTTGGTCCAGATGTGACCTCCCACCGTCTGGGTGGCTGGAAGGATATGAATCCATATAATACGGTTAACGCTACATACTTATGATTATGATGTATTGTATATTTGCATTTCATTGGCATGTTATTACGTAAAGAGAAGCAAGCATACACATGCGTCTATTACAGTACTTACGTATGCAAATAATCGCTGAAAATAATTCTAATCGTTTACCGCAGACTACTAGCACGAGTACTTGCTCCTGTACTCTGCCGACATATTTCATATTATACTCACCTCAATATTGCAAATTTGACTGTTAATATAACTATACTAGTAGTGAATAAGCAAATATAAATTCAAAATTGCAGGAGTTCATAATGTCGATGGTTTATTTTCCACGCGTGCATCTATTTCTTAGCATAATTCAGGTGTGTAAGTTCACAACATTACAGCAAAACTCCCTTTTCGTTTTATCGAAATAAGAACAAGTTTTCCAGTCTTGCAACGAAAACGAATATCCGTTTCTATGCAGTGAAAGTCTTTTTATCCATATACGTAATCATTGTTTTCGTTCTCAATAATTTCGGTCAAAATTTAACGTTTCCTTGGTACGTAAACAGCAATTAAAAAAAATATGACAACAAAACATGATTTACGAAGCGCCTTTTGTGTAAGTAATTTGTAAATTTTTTTAAATTTATATTCTGAATAAAACGTCGTTAATACATATGCATGTTTCCTGTTATAGCTAATTACCGCATCTGGTACTGTTTCAAGCGGTGCTGCACAAAAAAAGACTACTTCTGAAGTATACAAAAACATTTTAACCACAACACTGTGTGTTGTGTAATTGTGAAATTGTGATTATTGTGGGTAAGCCATGTTAAGCGGGCATTTAAGCGTCATTGACACCACTGACGATTACCTTGGTCAACGAGCACTCCTGAAGTGGCAAGATATCCCGAGCCGGTCCCGGTGTCTGTAAGTGCAAGCGGAAAGTTCACATGTGCAGCGCGGGCGCCGGCAGTATACAGTTCACATAGTGTGCAAATCCTGGGAAATTGCTGGATAAACGCTTCAAGTTGATTATCGCTTTTTATCCCATCACTTACAAACCATATTACATAGACAGCGACAGACGCTCTCCTTATATATATACCGCAACCCCCCTCGTCCGATAATCACCAACTGGAAACCATTATGCTAAACACGCGGGGGAGAATTTTTTTGCCCGGCTGCTGGACCCGGCACGCATATAGTGCTGAGCGTCAGCTGGACGCATAATACGACACCACGTAGTCGTACACTGGAGCGATTAATTTGGATTTCTCGCATTCTTTTACAAGCGCCATGTCAACATATTGCTACGCACACTTGCTCATCATGTTCAATCAATTTTCCGGGGAGATATCGCGGCCGCAGCAAAGCCAGAGCTAAAGAGACGGAAGGATGGAGAAGATATTAAATAAACCCAGTTTGATGGTTAAGTATGAAAACCCAATGCTAAACTAGCGCGATGACGCCGTATGTTTGTTTTGTTTCCATTTTCGGGAACACTGGCACTGCCGTGCGGCGCGGCATTAGCATATTGCGGGTGAGTGATGGGTTTCCAGTACATACACACCGCGGCGGTAAAGCTTCCTTCGGGGATGTTAAACCTGTCAGGTAGCCAATATAATACGCTGTCGGATGTTTCGTATATATTTACGCCGTACTTGCGCGGTGGTTGACATAGTGCACCATAAAGGTGACAAATGCGGTACGATCGTTGTGCAAGAGCGAACGTGCTTAAGTACGCCGGGTTTCCGTCCGCGTGATGTTATTGCTCATAATTAGATCAGCGTAATTAATGTGCTTGTGTAACCTTTTGCGGTTTCGATGCACGTATTCGAATTCAGCGTTTTTGATATGCTTCTCAAATCCTACTCCTACTGTATTCTCGGCACTGAAAACGAATTTTAATCTGTTTTAAAGTTTAATCGGGCCGCAAAATTTGTATTAATTACATAAAAAAATTAATTCTCGCAAAACCGGAAAATTATGTACGATGCTTGAATGGAACAATTAAAGAATTTTGGATGTAAGTGAATCGGTTGGAAATGTGTGCCCGACGCACGTGCGAGCTTGACTTCGCGTAGTAGCAAAAACCTTTCCAATAAATAATGTATATCGAGCATTTGTCTGGGTCCGCTCTAAAAGACAGACCTGTCATCCATAATCTATGGAGCGGAGCAGCATTATTGAATATGTCGTTCAATTATTAACGAACCCGCTATAAATATGTGGAGGTCATAAAACTTACATGGGTTGCGTGGTCGTGGTGGATACGCTCGGCGATTCATAACAAATAATTTGCTGGGTAAAGTCACGCACAGCGAAACCGTAAAGCTACGGTAGTGTGAAATAGGGAAGGGATACAAAGTAAAAGGCAATGCGTAAATATAAACACTGAAAAACCTTTAGAAAAAAATGGCCGGAGCCGAACATGTCGGTGTGAGCTCGCGTCTGGAAGATTGGAACAGACATCGTCTGCGGATGAACCTGCTCTAAGCCTACACCCTCCATCAATAAATGTTTGCCGTTGTCGATCGACATTTTCCTGAATTATTATACGTCGTACAGTGCCGAAGTAGTATATGTATTATGTACCGAAAATAACTTCTGTTCGGTAATATCCTGACCCCAGCGAAAATACACAATACTCTTAACATTATTTATTGTTCTTTTACGCATCTCTACCAACAGTGCCGTATTATTGAGCCCGCGTCCTTCAATAGCACATCCACTTGCCTAACAATTTCCGGTGGTACTTTTCCGATGAATGGAACTGTCCGATGCTCTTGCCGCGCAGGAACGGCGGCACCGGTTTAGGCCGCTGCTGCGCGTTTTTAATACGCTGCGTTTGCGGCGGTGTACGGACCAGTAGGTTCTGCTGGGATGAACTGGGTGTCGGCACTGCATTGAACGCGTTACTACTGATTCGACGCTGGAACATCTGTAGGGTGGCGGCTACATCCTTGTCCACTGGGATATGGATAGCGTTCACCGGGCCACTGGGCGTTCCCGCCGGACTGGGACTAGCGCTGGCCGCCCGCGGGGACGTGGCTACCGTGGTGTACACGGCGCTCCCCGTGGGTGTCCCGGCAACGGCCGAGGTCACCAGTGCCGGGTGGCTCTGGTCGACGGAATCCCGGTAGTAGCCGTTGCCGCTCTCCTGCTGCCCACCCGGACTGATCTCGTTGATGCGGTACAGCTGCCCGATGCTGGAATTGTTGGCTAGGGAGGTGCTGCTATACGGTGAGTCGCTGTTATTCCCCCCGGCGCCGCTACCGGTCGTCCATTCGTTCGCCAGCGGACTGCTTGCCATGCCGGCTTGCACATGTAGCTGACGGGCATAATTTTCATCAAGGGATTTCGTCCGGAAGGGGAACTGCCCAGCATTCCGGGAGCCCAGGACCCGGCGCTTCCGGAAGGAGGTGGTCCTTACCGAGGAATTGGGGGAGACCGCCTGCAGCTGCGGACTTACGCTGAGCGGTGAGCCGGGCGGTGTACCGCGGAAACTCAGATCGATCTCCAGGGGATGGGTGAAGGAGACAATTTCAATATCATCCTCATCGTTTCCGTACTCGCCCCGCATCGGCGACAGGTCAGGATTGTGTGACATGATTTATTTCCAATTATTTCCGGCATTAATTGATTAGATGCCGGCGACGAATTGGTCCCCGCTATGATAAAATACAGTGTCGACAAAACTGCAGAATTTTCATGCGGCAGATGCATCCATGAGACGCCTTGTTCCTCCACACAAAGTGCCAACATCCATAATTCCCGTTGTGGAACGCGTCGCGCGTCGTGTGGGCTAAACAAACGATATCTGTTGCCGGCCGATGCCACACACTAGAATACATAAAAGAAAACAGCCTTGTATTCCAGAATCGATTGATTCGATTGTCTCTTTCCTCTATGATATAGTGCCAGTGAATTCACTCTTTCATCATAATTCGTCCCGTTTGCCAATGAGGCTAAGGTCGGTATTTTAGCCGGCATATGCGTGTGTGTGTTTGAACATGTGAATGCGTGTTATGTACACTCAAACGCCTTCATTACCACACAACAAAATATGGACATGTTTGTGTTGTCCATATTGCACCACGTACTCCCGCGCCTACGCTCTAACAACCGTATAAAATTTTATACGGCGTGCGCCGCAAAAATGGCGATGTGAATTATGCGTACAGTGCACACCTGCACATCCCGCTCGTGGAGGTGACACAACATCCCCATATCATATCTTTGCAACATGTACAACCCCGTGCGTACACACGAATAAAAAAGTATAAGATTATAATTATTTATAATTACTTAAAATAATTATGTCTAAAACAGAATTTTGCAAATACAAAATGTATGAAGATGGCAACAACGCGCGAGTAGGCACTGCCAAATGAAAAACTCGAAGTCAGAAAGGCTAATTAACGTAAATTACAGTCTACAAAATTCCATTTCACTACAATGATGATTTTGTTCAAAGTAAATGAAAAAACTTTGCATAGATTCTGAAGTTTTTTAGCTTCGATGAGGTTTTTTATATTCACCAGCACAACGCGTCTGCTTTTCTGCGGTCACTGTGCATTATGGCACGTAAATAATTTTTTGATAGATTAATAGGGATATTGTGTAATTAGAGCTGTCTGAAATAAGATATGCTGCAAGTCAAATTGCATCCTCGGATTCTCCAGTGGAGAATCTCCACTAATGTGAGTTGGCATGCTTAATGGAGTCTCCGTGGATCAGAATTGCATTGACTCCACTTATATCACGTCCGGTTATTGGAGAGAACAGTACCAAAATTTCGAGTATGGTAATTTCAAGGACTAGGTCACCGCTAATGTAGGTTTTTTCTGTGACTGTGCCAGCCTTTGGCATTTCTGTATAGTTTTTCCAAAAAAAAAAGGGTAAGCCCTTAGCTTAATTGTGTAAAATTATATCGACGTAAGCGCTTGCTAAGGGCCATATTCTCGTAATACATTTTTGAAGTGTACGTTATTGCAATTAATCGTATTATTTACCATTTTAGAGATAACAAATAATAAAAAGGAGGAGAAAATAAAATCAAAGTATCAACGACGGGAATACATTTTCATATTTACGAATTTTTTTATAAATTATTTACATACTAGCTCATTCTGTTAAATTTTATTGTTTTTGGCATGACACATGGCACTGCGTATTGTTTTTAACATAACATTTTGCTTACGAGTTACGAGTAACATTTTTAGTAACTCGTAGTAACATTTTTACTATACATTCTGTTTCTATCAAATTACAGTACTTTTATGTAGGCAGCAAGAACTATTTAATACTTCAAATTCCTGACACGGTTAGTGAATTTATTCACAGCTGCATTTGTATTCGAAATATTTTCGCCATGCCAGATATCCGTGCCCGTGTACTGAGAGACCAAGCCAAAAATTGTTTCACGCAAATAGCTGCATTTCTATTGTAATTTCCCACTTTAATTGTCCGAATACTCAAAGAATATTCTATATAAGTTTTTTTGCAAAATCGTCACTAAATGTCTGCGCCCAATTTGTTTTTTACCATATTTTTAACTTGCGTAATAATTTTTGTATTTGGAAGCTGCTGTTTTTGCTTAATAGCTATTTTTCGCTTGAAATAACTACGGCATCAGTAATTTTGTGCTGGTGTACCAGTCCGGAAATCCCCTGACGACAGTGCGCTACAAAGGTCACATTACATAATGGCCTGTAATAGAATAGCACGCACAGGGCATCCCCATTCCAGCAACCCACTTTGGCTGTAGGCTACCTGCCATTATACAAAGCCCAGTGCATTCATCGCTATTTTGATGCCGGCTCCGCAGGAAGCCTCAACCACGGGAATCCTTTTTCAGAATTATGCCCACTTAATAATCGATTTTTTCAGATTTCCCCATCCAGTGCTGTGCGCGGCACTGATGCCTGATCAACAATGTAATTGTTACAGACCGGTTTGTTCCTTCCCGGCCGTGCCAGGAATCTTGGGACGGGATCGTTGAAGCAGGACAAATAGGAAGTCATTGTACTTCCTAATCCACAGTCAGAATGATCACAAAAGAGAGACAGTGGTCTTTTATGCTGGTTTACTGGATGGGATGGTTTTGTGGTGAAAACGGATTTTTCAATACAGTGAATTTCAGAAGACTGCTGTATTGCCAGTATTCACCTTAACGCGTTGCATCTTATATACAGAAATATGCAGATAAAGGTAGGAGTACATTGCACTAGTACAGTATTATGTAGCATGTTTGTATGTCGACTTGGGCTGTTCATTATCGCGTGTAATCCGCCGTTATGCGTTTGATGACTGACCTTTACCTCTCAAACGAATAAACACTAATCATGGTCCTATGTTGACTGCTATAAAATGTGAATTGGCATTAGGAATTTTTAGATTTTATGGCATGTTTTAAATCTGTTGATTCATAATTTTACAGGATAACTTACATAATTTTATAAGAAACTAAGTACTTGATCATAACACATAGCGATATGTTATATGAACCTAAAACCTAAAACACGTGATCACGTGTTTTAGGTCAAAGCCAGTTTAGTATCCTCAGTATTTTGCAATATATTAAAATTTTTTCATTTAATTTTTACACCTAACTATTCGTATAAATTGTTATATTCATTTTTTGACGTAATTTTGAAAATTGTTGCAATTTTCGACTTATGTATCAGCTTTAATTCAACAACTTAAAATAGCTGCCTTAACAAACTGGCAAAATGTTGTTTCCGGTTGTATTTGACGTCATTACAAAAATATACTGTTATTTAAACATATTCAACAATGCGCTGTCCATAACCGTTCTCGTTTCCTTTCTAACCAGCGTTCCCATAAACGGAAATGAGTGTTGCTACAAAAAACCTCATTGTATCTTGTTATTTGCTTAGAATAATAGTGTCAGAATACTGAAAATGCCCTCCAATACAGCAAATTGTCTCTTTAATCGAGTAAAATTAACAAAATTGATTTTGATAAGCGTTATGCACAAGCGTGGAGTTGGTTAACTGCTGAAGTGCTTTGTGTAGTCTACAACAAAGCGTCGATGACAAATGTACACTTTACTCACTAGCCGGTAAATTGTTCCTAATCCTCTTTGGCGGAGTTTTAGTAAAAGTTTAAATAACAGTGAATAAACACACAACACATATATGCACACTGATTTCTTTCAGTGTGATACAGTATCCCGCAAAAACCAATCCCTACCGGTCAAACACTATCGATTGGCGGATCAACGGGCGTAATCCGCTGCATCTGGGAGAATAGACTGCCACTTAGTACGGATGTCGTTTTCATTTTGAAAAACATTACATTTGATGATGTGCAGTGTATAACATTATGGAGAGGATGTGCGTCGGTGGTGAGAAATAAAATGATACCACTCCAAATTGAAAAGATTGCTGCAAATTGTTAGGGTACAGCTTGAGATCGACAGTTATATTATCCAGTCTTAACGACCTTGTGCAACCAGAGTTTCTATCGACGAGAGTTTCTAATTTCATACCGGATAGGAAGAAAGTACTTAAAATTGCTTTTTTTTATTCTTAGAACAAAAGGACACTTGTAAATTTCTTGCGCTACATCGTGTAATCCTTACTACATAAATAGTAACTGCTGTTTTTAATTAATTTTGTTTACAAATGGTTAATATAGTTTAAAAATAACAGCTAGATCACACATTTTGTGAGCTACCCTAGGTGTGATGCGTGCTAAAGGATCGCACACTTCACGATCTGCTCACGTTGACTATTATATTAACTCACATAAACGGATGACATAACGATAGATAGCTAACAGTTCACCAACATGCCCTGTGAGATTGTTGCAAGCTCCTTGTGATTTCTTTAAAGCAGATTTTTACGTGAATTTTAAACTTTAATTATCAAATAGACCTTGTATACGTTATTTCTTTACCCAAAAAGACTGCTACCTACAAATCTTGTAGCTTCTGACCGGCTTGCACTTATTTTTAGTCTGTTAGCGCTGTACTAGTGCAAACGTTGCCTTAAAGGCTGAAAGTGATTAAGTGATCCTTTCTTTTTGCATATATAAAACTGCGATGTATTGCCGATTCGGTAATATTAAATATTAACATCTATATGTTTTTCAAGCATTTCTTAAGTGCTTTGCATAAGGTTGAAAAATTCGAAATACTTGGGAAACGCAAAGCGAACTTCGCATGCTTCGCAGGTTTACATGGTCAACAAATGTATTAGTACCTGTCAATGAGAGACAAAAATTTATCCAAGCATTCCCAAAGTGCTTATGTATTTTGTTTGTCTAGACACGCAAATATCCTCCTTTTATGACGGCGGAGTGGAACTGTAACCATTATCAGGAAAGCTGCTTTATGTGCCGATAATTACTCTCCCGTGTCTGCCAAATAGTCATGCAACTAGCAAAAATGGCGCTATACTGTACTGAAAAATATAAGTATGTAGTGCTGGCAGGGCACAGAGCATCAGCGGTATAACAGATATTTGTGTCATATAGATGGCGGGCTATGCAGTATGCTGAAAACATACTTTTCCAAATTTGGTATTTTATCTGGAAAGCTGCTGTCATAATTCTGGCTATGCTTGAAAAGCAACCGAAAATAATTTAACACTATATAGCTAAACAATGTGGTTGTTCCCAAATTACTTACCGTAAGTGACGGAATACGGCCAATGAGCTGGAGCGAGCGTTGACGAGGAATTGCAGTAAGATCTTTCGATAATTAATAACAAGCGCCCACGCTTATCCTGTACTAGATCAGATTTATCCCTTCCCGATCAAGTCACTTAGTATCCATTAATCAAATATACATTAAGTATTAACAAATAAACATTGCATGGATTTCAGATGCGCACTAAAGTTACGTAAAAAAATAATGTCCATGTCATGTCAGTGTCTGAAACAAGCAATCTACATAGGTATAAGGAGAAACTGTCCACTGCGAAGGCATCTACACAGCGTTATAACCTTTGATAAAATTACACGGATGTTTTGATTTGCAAGATGCATATGACTGCTACTTTTCCAAAGTATATATAAGCAATTTACACGGGCTACCACTAGAAGTGTATACAATAAGCATGTACATATCAGGATGGATTAGGTGAATCTAGCGGCTGTGTCAAAAGTGAATTCCACCATATGTGGCCCCCCGCATTACGCGCATATACAATATGTATGTAGTGTGTATATTCCCGTCGACCTATCCGTGTGATCCGGTAGATGTCAAACTCAAACTCTGACAAGCTTGGCTGGAGTACACGCGCTGGGTTATCCCGGTCTCTGGTTCAGGGTGCTAGCTACGAGATATATCGTGCGTAATCTTAATATTCACAACAACAACCAAACCGTGCCGGCATATGTAGTACAAGTATATGAAATACTTCTGTCTGCGCAGCGTGAAACTGGCATAACGTGTCCAGTAACCATTAGACTGGGACTCTCGCGGCTGCCTCTCTATCCCATTTGGAACCGCCACTGTCTTTTCGGGCCGAATTTCATCCCACCATGCCCCCAACATTGTTTTCTTCTGCCTTCCGCTCTACAGTTGATAAACGCGGGAGTCATGCTCTCTTTCACGGATCCGGCTCCTGTGCCACACGAAACAGCGTAATCACCCTTGCAGTTTTAATCGCGTGTTATATACGTATTACGTACATCGATTTCTTCCTGCAGAGTGTTACATATAGTAACTTCGATACGAACAATAGTCTTATCATTATTCTGCTGGTCCACATCGCTGTAAAAATTAATATGGCCATTGTAACCCGTATATTTTCGATTTACACCAGCCGTCGTGGTTTTTATTACCTTACTGTATCAGAAAACGTTTTGTGTCTGAAAAGCATCATAGGAAAACTTTACAAATTTGCTGAATGCTAAGTAGGATTGGTAAGAACAAATTTTTAATAGAATTTGAAAGTAATACTCGGAAAATTTACATGAAATCATAACACAACAAAAAATTCGTGATGCTAAAATAGTTGCAAATAACCTGCATACGGGAGACTGTGGAGGTTCAGTCATCTCCACCTACATATTGTCACGCGCCTATTAACCAAAATAAAACTTTTAATTTGTGTAGGTAAGATAATTAACACTGCACATATGCGTATCTCACAGGATTGTTTTCATTGTATATTCCGTATCTGTTTGTATTTTAATGTTTCGTACGCGCTTGACAATGTGAACCAGGCGCGTAAGTCACCAGTTGTAATTTGCCATTGCGTACAGTCTTTGAACACTCTCAGAGTCAGTGCAACAATGGCCCAATATAATGAGTCGTGGGAAATGATTTCTCCGCTTCCTTTTCACTGGCTGTTTGTTCCCTCATAATGATTTCCCGCGCGTAATTGGGATTACTCTCGTCCAGACGAGCGTTGTGATTGTTAATATGCTTCCAGTGACGCCGCATCCATTTTATATAGACTTCCAGTGCTTGCAAGTATGTCTGCTGCATGCTACCATTACCATCCACCTGCGCAGAGGAATGTCGTCATTATTATATATTGAAACAATATGCTGCAGACAAATGCTGAATTTGTTTAAGTACTAATAGCCACGCGCTTAATTATATATATATATATATAATTATGCACAGTATGAGTACTTGTACAGAAACTAACAGACTTATTTAATTTGTACGGCATAGAAGAAGAGCACATGGCGGAACATGAAAATGTGTTGCACAGAATACACGTTAGGAGAACTAGTCCGATGATGACCTTCTGCACACGGCCCTCGTTCAGGAGGTTTTCTACGATGGGAAGGACGTCTCGCTGAAACGCTTCGCGCCTCAAGCGGACCACGTTAACTTCATCTTCGAACCGTCCGGCTAGTTTGTTGCGATTAACCAGACGCTGGATTGCCGTTTTCTCCGTTGTGTCCACAAAAATCGCGTGTTTCAAAGGAGCAATCTTGTACAAGAAAGTTCGGTAAAGAATATGTTGCATTTAGCGTATTTTAGTGGAGACCGTAGGGCACAAAATTCTTCAGAATAAATGCGAGAAGAAATGCAGAGTTTTTCCGTATCAATTCTTGTACCTGTAATATGTTATACTCTACAATAATTCTAGTTGTCAAAAAATCCTTTGCATGACATATAGATACTACCGTCCCCTTTATTGTAGTGTGGAAAACAGCCACTGCAGGCGATACTGTAATGTGCAAGGCACATACCTCTTTTTCATACTGAACAGCTTGAGCAAAATCGCGAGGGAATCCTTGGACGAAAATCGGTTTCTGGGCCGCTACCAGCTTAATCATCATATCTCTTAAAACGTCCATTACCAGTTCCTAAATACTTGATATAATGGGTGACTGAACAAGAAAAAGAAAGAAGTTAATGCGCGCACAAAAAAACAACAATCGAAATTTAATGAAATTTGACACCAACATTCGAAATCGACAGCAAATTAGTAGACATAATAAATAACGCATAAAGAAAAGAAATATATGAATGTGTGTGGAAAGCCGGTCCGGTCCGTTAATTACTTGTATTTTGGAGCACTGGTAAAGGTTGCGAAAACAGTATTATTCAACGCAAATACGATTTTCGCGACCTTTGACTACTACGTATACGACTGTGTATTATAAAATTTCTAACAATTTGCAAAAATTATCGTTCTGGAAGCGTACTGTCACTGGCTCAGCTATTGGAACCGAAGCGAAATGTTAATTTTCTTTTATTTAATAAAAAACAGAAGATCTTTCTCCAAAGGCACCTCAAGAAATTTGACATTCATTAACAAGTAAAACCCGGCGTTATAACTATGAATAGTCCATCTGTTTCATGCACTATACGAGTACGAAAATCAGCATTGCACAGATACTAGTATTGTACATAAAACATTTTGCTTCGTCACACACAGAGCATAATATCGACACGGTGATAATGTTATCAACATGATTTACTAACGATGCCACACATAATGCAGAAGAATATACAGTCGCATATACAAATCCAGCATAAAAGTTAATACAGAGGACTTTGTAAAATTATTTTTTACAGTGTTTTCGTGTCTTATAATTATTGTAAGACGTTACGTTTAAATTGAATGACGAAAATGTATATTGACTTTGGACTATTGATGCAAAACTCTGCTTACCAGCGGAACCTTTTGAGTGGGTTGGCTATGAACATATTTCGCGATTTCACGGCCCCGTTTTGTCGGTTCCCGGGCTTCTTCGCGCAACAACTGACCCATGCTGAAATAGCTGACTCCATAGTGAATGCGAAATTTGAAACACATGCTTGCCTTTCCGGCGCCTGGTCCTCCTGTAACACAGAACCACCTCGTGTTTACTTAATATTCATATTTTTGCCCATAGAGTGCTACTTTGTTCTTCTAACTAACCAAAAACGAAAATAACTGGTGGATTGAATGATCGGACCCATTGAAGATCCACTAGCTTGAAGTGCTCATTCCCGTCATCCTAGCAAAGTGCATGAACAGCATTCTCCTGGCGTCCAATGATTTCACAAAAATTAAAAATCCCATGAAAAATGCTCTCTGACTTACTGGATGATATTTGTTCATCTTCGTTAGTTTGAGAAGGAAATATTACAAAGTCGAGGAGAAAACCTTGTTCAATTATAATCTGATCGATTACTTATTACGGCAGGTAAATGGTACCTCGTTAAAAACACTACAGATTCTGAGACATAGTTTAAATAGTCATAACTCATAACTACTGTACGGAGTATTAAGCCTGGGTAGCTAAAATAAATCACTATTATTAGTACTCTACTAACCAGCTGCCAGTTAATACGGGTCCATCTGCTGTGCATGCACTGCACATGTTTTCACTAATCTGCTAGTATTTTTACTTCAGCCTCCATTTTTTTTATTTTTAACTTTTTTAATTACAGTATGATAATTCCTTTGCTAAGTGGTAACTACAGTACTCACTCTTTTTGTATTTTTCCATTTTAAAATGTCGGATTGCGATCGGAGAACTCGCAGTTTGGATACGGTCACCTAGGTACCACGTACGCATCTACAAACGCAAGGCCGGTAAACCGCATACTGCTATTAAAAACTAAAATTAATATTATGCATTATCTGTATTCAATATATTATGTGTCTAAGTTATATTAAACCTGATAAGCAGCAATCGACCCGATATGCTTAACTACAACTTTTTTGAATTTTAAGTCCAGTTGTACATGTGTCTGCACTCAGTATATTATTGTACGCAGTAGTTTCTGCAACGAACTCAATTTGCAGCTGCATGGTATTTACTGTGTTCGCAGACATTTTCCGGTACAGTTAGTTATCTTTGTAGTCTAATGGTTTTTCGAATCTCATTGTAAAACAGTGTTGATATTGCCGTAACTCAGTAAGTAATGATATATTACAGTCAGGAATTTACTGCTCAAAGAAACTGGGTACAGTATACCATCCCAAAAGCGATAAACTGACCACATCTATCTATATCGCCAGTTAATATTTTGAATTTTTTCGCTTGTTTTTCCTATGTTTTTAATTTTATCGCAGTTAAAAAATGAAATAATCGAAATTACTTAGCTGCCGGCGTCGTATGAGCGAGATATTTTGTATTTTGGTTTACCTATTTTGTAGAATTATTTAAAATCTTACAGAAAAATCTGTAATGTAACACAACGAATTCAGTTTGTCCAGCTCAAACTATTTGTTGCTATACCGTATTCTAGAGTAGGCTTTAGGCTGCAGGTGTTCTTTCGTCCGTATCTTAATTTCAACTGGTAATGAGCATCTGCAGCACCATTAGCGCAATCTTTCTCATATTTGTTAACTTCCGTCTGGAGTCTCTGGACTACTTGGAAACTGAAAGGGTATCTAATACGCCAGCGAAATGACTACTATCATATTATTTCCAGAGAAAATCGTTCGACAGTCGGCAGAACGACTAAGAAAAATCGTTTATCATTTACATGATGACAAACAGCGGGCGGCGAAATTTATTAAATAAATAATTTTGGGGGATCAAGCCGGCTTTACAAATACAAATATGTGTGTATGTTAGCATGTTAGCATGTATCTGTATGTCCGTTTTTGCGCGTAAATTGCTAAAACGCTTTACAAGAAAAGCTATCTGGCGTACCTTCTACCTTACCTCACAAGAATTCACAGTTTACGTGCCGCAACCAGTAACAAGTTAAAAACTTGTGACTAATTGTCGCAGATTTACGTCGATGTATAATATGTAAAATACGTGAATGAAAACTGCAAATGTTTTGATGCCACCGCATGTAGCGGTACAGTTGGTGATATTGTGAGCGGTGTGACCCATGAGACAACTCATATTTAAAGCATTTTATTTTGCATTTTTAGTTGCATTTCCGTCAAATACCGCAAAATAAGAAACATATTTTGGTTCCAATAAGACCGTTGTCTTTTTTTACTGAAATGATTAAAAAATAATGTTATTGCGCACATAAAACCCATGAGCAGCTTGATCAGGAATTAAGTTATGCAATTAAGTTTGTATCGGTAAGAGACTTGACGAAGTGTATTATGTGTTGAAATGATGAACTGCGTAATTTTGCTTTTAACCTATGTTAATGTGAACAACCCAATTAAAGTCAAGTTTTGTACTGAAAAAAAAAGTTATGCAATAACGTGGCTTAAGCCTAATTTCACGGCCTGTTTAAAACTGGCGACGCGTTGTCGAGTAGCGCGTATGTGTTCTATACAGAGTATGATTATTTACAATCAAGACATCTTGCAGTACTCCAGTAACTAACTGTCAGCACACCTTTTCATCGGGAATAATTGTATGGTAAACTAATTCTCCAAGGGACTCCATCAGAGTCATCGTCTCCAGCTCCATACAATATGGATGACGAGCTACCGGCATCCATCCGCCATACAACACACGTATGTTCCCGGCGTCCCACGGATCGCATGGTTATCATCTCCGTTGGCGCGCCACGATGCAGTCCAATGAAAAGGTGGAGAACGCCGTTGCTGCTGCTGCTGTTACGGCAGTGCGACTACGGCGGCATACGATGCAGTCGCGTTGGTTGCGGTTATGACGCTAATTGTACCAACTAGCTCCTGCCAGTTGTTTCTGCAGACGCCACTTACGGTTGCTGTGTGTGTGTGTGGCTATGAGGGGATCCCAAAGGCAACATAATAATATTGATTAATAACAAGGGGAATCCTTAATATTATCTTCCTCATCCGATCATACTCGTACATTTTTTGATGAGCAGCTTTGGCGGCAGTAGACCACATTGAGCCGGGATCAGTGCACGCGCGTGGCCAAAAACTCGTGATATTGATGCCGCAGTGCCCGGTGCTTGAGCGTAGGTAGCAGTCAATGCCGTGTACCACTTTGGCATACTTTTGCTATTGTTTTTCGACTGGGGAACTTTTCCTGGATATTTAATAAAGCACTGAACAGCAATAGTGTTTTGAAAATGCAGCAGTGTTCCATTCGGTATTTTCCCATCATAGAACTTCGTGGGAATTGTAATAATTTGTCCTTGATCTACAAGAGGTGAGGGAATTGCGAACGGTTAAGTAGCGTGATTAATCATCGTATATGCTGGCCATTCAATGGAATAATTATCGCCAGTCGCCAATATGGGATGTCGTCCAACAAAATACAGGAAGCCCACCAGGGTCGAAAAAAGTATGGACAACAGTACTTCCTACCTAAATGTACTAGTTAAATGCATGTACAATGAATTAAGAATCCGCGCCAAAACTTTCAACCATAATTTATGGAAAAGCACATTCTCGAATGGTTTTCGATTGCTGTTTTGTTGTTCATGTGCCAGTAATTAAATGAAAATTTTTGTTGCAGGCCAGTACCATAATATCCCTTTTTTATTTTAGTACTGGCAAATAAACCAAATCAAATGCGGGATTGTGAATATCGTCAAAGTAAAAAAGTGTATAATTTAAAATTCACACGTAAATTAGCATCAGCATTCCCACATATTTTATCGCAAATTTTTATGGGTGTGTTTTTAATATATTTCGCAAAAATATTATTACTGTTATAATAAATTCAGAGTTAGTATGCACTGTACGAATGCAGCATATGTGACTCATGTGAGCGAAATATAAGCACCGAACGGGAACATGTACAAAACTAATTCGTGTTGAACGAATTTAATGCGAAATTTTCTTTTTGCATAAGTGGTTAGGTAAAAGTGAGAATGTTATAAGCTTCATATCATGTACTGGAAACACTTGTGTAATTGACCGGTAGACGTAAGTAAATACGCTTGAATTGAGTTCGGTCGGAAATGTATGAAAATTTAATTAAGTAAATGTAAAATACTGTAATAATATATAGTAAATGTATAGTAAAATAATAGTAAAAAAATATTAAGTAAACAAATTTAAGTGAATATAAAATTTTTTATGTAATTAAAAATTTCTAAAATGATCCGCCACTATACTGATTTATGATTGACTAGAAGTTATGGTTTCTCGCTAGATATCTCTATAGCTTTCCTGTAGCAGTCTTCCTCTGCGCATTTATAGCACCATATATAACACAGCTGGGAATTTGGCGACCTCAATAGTCGTGACGTTAACTGCTGTCAATATTGCTAACTTACAATTATCACCGTCTCCAGACAGAGAAACCTGGCGTGTTTACTTTTTGGATCAGTTTCCGTAGTTAGTACTTAATCAGAATGGTCAAATAACATTTTTGCAGCTAATATACGAGCTTCTGGCGCTATGCACTGTATTACAATTTTAAATCACGGGCTGTTGAATCAGCCTGTTAAACTGAAGAAACTGACAGGAATCAGGAAACTGATCCTTCTGTGACAATCGATGTGCAAACTAGCAGTAAAAATATCTAAAAAAAGCATTTGGGTATTTCAACTACCTACGTACATCTTGCTGTGTGCACAATCCGGGATATAAATTATATAAATGTTTTTGTTATAAGATTAATTTACTGTGAACTTTTTAAATATATGTGTTTGCTAAGGCAGATAAAGTTTTAAAAAAAGCTATTCGATGCTTATAAGCGCAGGGCCCGTAGCCCCTTGATAGTGGCTTGATATCGAGATGTTGTGTGCAGATATTACGTACATTGACGAGCACCGCATAATTACAATCACAAACTTGAGAACTGAAAGAAGGTTTTGTAAAAGAATTATTTATGTAACCTTTGTTTGTGACCGTGTATCTATACGGATGTTGCGTGATTACCGTTTTCTTTTTTCCATCAACAAATATTTGGTTGTAAACGAATTACCTGTACATAAACATGTTCGCATCCACACACATCCAGCGCACTGTGCTTGTTGTTGTACAGGCATGAAAGCCGCCATGCTGATACAGCGCTGGTATCGACGATACAAAGCACAGCATGACGTACAAAGACAATATACCTGGACGATCTTCCAGGTAAAGTAACAATACGAGTGCATAGCTGTGCCACCCCAATTTGGCGGTATTTGCGGGTTTTCCGTGCTTAAGGTTAGTAATGAGCATTCTTTGTTCGGTGAATAAAAGTCATTTTGGCGCAAGCAGTTGCGTAGTTTATTTGAACAAATCTACGGGACGTACGACCATTTCCAACATCACTGAACGAAAAACATTAACATATACACCATTAATCGGGAATATGCTGCAGATGGCCAATTTTGCAAGCAAAAGACCAACTGTTTAGCTGCGTATTTGCTTTTGCAGAAAATGGAATATGCTAATGAGCAGGATCACTTAAAGGTATGCGTTTCGCAATTCGGTCTGAAAAATTGGCACTGACAAGTATATAATATCATAATATTATATCAAATTAATGGTTATTCTGGCGATGAAATAATGTATCAAATATATACTGGATAATATGCCATCTGATTGTTTAGATTTAACCCGGTACGTACCTAGTAAGTTTTAGCCGACATTTACTTTTGCAGCTACAAAATTTTTTTAACGAAGTTCTGAGCAACAAAAAGCTTCTATCGACCATGGCGGACACTTCCGTTGCATCAGCCATAGAATTGGTGAAAAAGCGAAGTATGAGTACGTATCCCCCGATTTCTGAAGAATAATTAAGCGAACATTAAAGATTAATGTGTTGTTCGTGCTTATACTGGACTATAATCCAATATTCATCTGCATAATAGCAGTCGGAAAATGGGCGAAGAAAACACCACACGGCAAAACGTTGTTATTTAAATCAAACTACCTTTAGATGGATAATCGATTTCAGGTCACGATCACACTGCTGAAAGCGAACCGGAACTGGAACTACTTAAAGCCACAGATTATGAAACCATCGTTGTTCCTGACTCGTATCAAGGGTTCCGTTTATCCAAACCTTATTACCAAAACGCACTGGAGCAGCTCATTGAGTCTGTAAAAGCCAAACAGGTACTTATATGTGTAAGCGTTGTTGCAGTTATATAAACCATCCTGCACCACAATAAAATACTTGGCTTTGTCTCTTCAAAAAATATATAATTGCGATACACTAATGTGCTGCAGTTAGAATTAATTAAATGATTCAACAGAATTACATAAAAAATCATGCAGTTTCTGAAGATTATGTAATTATTTTGTTTCAGTTTATCACCAGTTTTTAGTATAATTATGGACTAGTTTCAATGTATCACCAGTGTAATCTATGGACAGACTAAAAAGTTTTTGCATTCCGCATAAAACGTTGCTGCTTAGTTTGCATATCCTTTCCATTATGACTATTTTTACCAGTAAACAACAAAATCTTATCGACGACAGGCATACAGCGGCACATCTCCAGTCAGACTACTTTTCTACAATTATCATTTATGGGACACAAATATAAATATGCAAACCAAGAAAAGCACTTTTGTTCACGTCACAGGCACCTCCCCTCTACGGCAGTTGGTTCGCATGGCGTGACGTAAATATGCAGAACTGGCATATCCCGCCCAGGATAAGCAAAATAAAGAAACTACTCCGGAGTAGTTTTTTTGAAATGGCAACTCAGATAAGCTGCTTATTCCAACGTACATCTGCTTATTCCAACGTACACCTACAATACTTAATGAAATATGTTACGATCAGGATTCAGGAGGCTTAACAGCAGGTTCCTCAGGTTTTCCCTGATGGTTCTCTCGCATTCTAGAGCTGTTATGTTTGAAATAGTTTTCTTTAGCACTTAACAACGGTAGTCCGTAACTTCGTAATGTTTTTGAACTAATCATGTTCTGCTCTTCGTCTCGAGCCCATCAGCATCTGAGGCTGTGCCTGTTCCTACGGTGATCACATTTCGTCTCAAGAAAATACAAGAACTGATCGAAGCATGAAGAGCAAGTTAAATTTTTTATTTTAACAAACAAAAAAACTAAAAAAGCTGTAGTTTCCACAAATTTTAATTTAACATTTTAATTTATTAGTACCGTGCTTGAACGGAGCTGCATTAAATGCGCTGGGAAGATTTGAGTTACAGACTGCAGTAATATGCTTACAGTAATTAGTGAGTAATATGCAAGTCGGAAAACGGAACACAAAGCTAGAAAGTGCAAGTTAAATACGCAACAAAGATGGGCAACGGTTTATTCACAGACCATGGTTTATTGGCTGGTTCCGTTTTGTCTGTGACGTGAACAAAAGTGCTTTTCTTGGTTTGCATATTTATATTTGTGTCCCATAATTATCCATAACGTTTGAGGAATAAGTTAGCTAAAAGGATGCGCTGTCTTCCCTTTTACCTACAGTAGCTACTAGTAATAGTCAGAAATTATGCCTTATATGCACGAAATATGGCCATGAAATGTGTGCATTGTTTACAGTATATACCATTTCCATGTGCATAATAATCGGTATCAATACCTGTTTCAGCGTATCCACGTTAAGTTTGTTCTGGAAATTCTTCATGAAGCGCGTACGACTTTAAAAAGTCTTCCCAATATTCGCTATGCATCGACGTCACTGTCAAAGAAAATAACCGTTGTGGGTGATCTGCATGGCAAAATCGATGATCTGCTGATAATTTTCTACAAAGCCGGATTACCCGATACGACCAATCCTTTTGTATTTAACGGTAAAGGTCATAATATGCACGCTCAAGTGCGAGATATTAATGCGTTTTCAGGGCGCGCGCAGTGCAGCCAGCACATGTGTTGGCGACGGTGATTATTATTTGCATGTGTAGGCGATTACGTCGACCGGGGGTTTTTCTCGCTAGAAATCTTGCTAATACTTTTAATGGCCCTCATAACAAATCCCAACGCCGTTTTTCTCAACCGTGGAAATCAGTAAGTTACCAATGAATACAATGAATATCGTTCGTATCATAGTTTGTTAAAAATTAATGGTATTTTTTCTTTAAATTTTAGTGAGGATCATGTGATGAATCTGAGGTACGTAATTAACATTCGTATTTGACCAAATACGGCCCAATTCTAGATCTGCCAAAAAAGGTTGTATTATATATGATTGAATTAATACAAATCTTGGGTGCGTAAAAGCATGGCACACATACTATATCCAATAACGGCATTTAGATAAATAACTAGTTACAATTCACATGTTGTGAACTTTACAGATATGGCTTTATAAAAGAAATCAGCAACAAATACCGGGTTAGTGCACAACTGCACTTCATTATTTCATGCATTTTTAATGTTTAATTGAAGTGCAATTGCAAGCAAGCTAGCTGTTAAATGTATTCAATTTAGTTGGTTTCTTTTTACTCAATAGCAAGTGGAGTCTAAAAAAATCCGTCGACTAATAGCAGATGTATTCAGCTGGATGCCTGTTGCTACTATTATTGACCAAAAGGTTTTCGTTACTCATGGAGGGGTATCGAATATGACGGACATTAAACTGATCCAAACCCTTAAACGATCTAAGGTAGGCATAATTCCTGCTTTTGCTCGTTGTGCTACAAAAAATTATTCGACACAATGCATCAACAATTTCAGCACCGTTCTTATTTAATATAATACAGCCGTTGTTGATGTCGTTTCGGTGTTGCTGTCCATAAACATTTTTGTTTATACTTTAATGTAAAAATAAGCAGTCTCTGATGGGCCTTTTTTCAGTACATCTCTATATTAAATCCACCAATTTCACCTAATCAAGACAGCGTAAAATCCCCTAACGGCACCGATCATGAAGCTGTGCATGACTTGGAACCACAAGCCGAGCAGGTCGACCAAGGAAAGGTTACTGATAGTAAGGCCTTCTTGCGCGTCGTCGACGTGGATGACGACGCTGAGGCGACGTTCGAATGGAAACAAGTGAGTGTTTAGAAAAAAAGATGGATGGTTGTAATTCGGTTGCTTACGCCCTGATTGTAACAGCTACTTCTAAGCAATTAGATTTTCCGCGCAGGATCATTGACTCGGAAAAAGCACATTCAGTCTAATGGCATCAGTTGCACAGAAGCAACAAACTAGTGAGCTTGTTTAAAGACAGAGCTGTCGGTATTGTAATACTACTAGAGTAGATACCGGTTACATGATAACTGTGCAGACCACAGAGTACCGATGCATAAATTTTACGTTGCTGTGGAGGTTTAGAATCCCTTAAATCAATTTCTCGTCGGCAGCTTTCACACAGTATTTCATATTAGTATATTTTATGATAATATTTGCGCGGATTCAATGTACAGTAATTAACAACAAAGCAAGCCATGATATGAAAAGATATTATAATAACACTTCGTGCTTACGACGCACTCAATGACCTGAGATTTTTTATCCATACACGAGGTATATTCCTCCTATGGAATTCTATGCTTCATGGGCAGAAGCATTTCCAGAAATACGTAGGCAGAAAGGTTTTCTGAATATTAAATGAACAAATAACGGTTTTGCACGTGATGTAATTCACATCGTACACGAAATAATTTTACATGGCATCTTAAACACCAAAGTCATCTAACCAGATTGTGGATCTTCTGTGGAGTGATCCGTCTGCCGTCAACGGCTGCACACCCAATACTTTCCGTGGAGGCGGCTGTTACTTTGGTCCCGATGTCAGTAAACAGTTTATGGATGCCAACAATCTGCAATATATGATCCGTTCGCATGAATGCAAGCAGGATGGTTATGAAATCACCCATGATGGCAGGGTAAGAAAATTCATATAGGCATGCACCGCACCATCTGTTTTTCTTTGGAACTGCGCCCCGTAGTAGTTGTTATCCGCCACCATATGTATGTGTGCATCGAGTGGTGATTCCAGGTTGTAACCTTATTTTCCGCTTCCAATTACTATGAAGTCGGGAGCAATCGCGGCGCATTCTGCCGGCTGATGGCACCGGAGCTGAAGCCGCATTTCGTGCAGTACATCTCTACACGCGGTCATAAACGGCTGACAATGAAACAAACCACCACCACCATGGAGGAGAAAGCCATCAAGCATCTTAAAGAACAGTTTTTTGCTCATAAAACCGAGTTACTGGAGGAGTTCGAGCATTATGACCCCGGCAATACCGGTAGGCTGCACAATTTTGCACCATTAACCTAATTATACCGGCGTGCATATGACGTGCACAGGCAGTGGCATGCCCGGTTGCCAGATCGTATTACGTTGATTTGCTCTCCTCCCGCGGTACCGGGTCACCGGATGAGCAATTACAGTTTTCTTAGGAAACAGGAATGATGAGCATGATGCTTTCGACTATTGTTAGATATATATGACCAATCGAATGCGCATCCACAACCGAATCGTAAATCGTAAACAAATGCTTTTTGGTTCATGAAATATACGTTACAGGCATCACAAAAAAATCCGTGCACTACTCAAGTAGTCAAGTTCAAAATGCGTACATTATATATTTGTATAGCTTGCATTAACTTTCATAAAATATCGTTAGTTCCTTCAAAGGTCACATTATTCATGATTACAACGTTAACTACATTATTACACAGCACGAAAATGCGAAGTACTGTTTTAAGCGTAGCACTTGCGTAATGCACCTTATAGCTAATACGTACGTATGAATTGCACCGTTTTTGCTTGTTATACGGTATGATATTTTCGGATGCTTTATAAAGCAGTTTTCGTTTGGTTTCGCTTCTTTGTAGAATTTTCTACGTCTTTTACACTTTCTACTTATAAATATAACTCGGGTAATGTTACTAGTAAGTTTTACTCTACAAGATATATAGTAACTTCGAAGTTGCGCAATACTGCACATATGTACACAATAAGTTGTTATTGCGCTGCTAGGAATGGTCAAGCTGCACGACTGGTGCATCGCTGTGGAAAAAATCCTTAAACTCGGTTTGCCTTGGCGAACACTGAGGAAACGACTAGTGCGCATGTCTCCCGCAAATCACCAACTTGTTGACTACTACACATCATTCGAGGAGCTGAATGCGGTGGATGTCTCCCCAACGCGAAATGTAAGAGAACCCGCTGGATTTCCCGCTAAATCGACTACATAATATTGCGTGCTTTCAATTTATTCCGTACTGATGACGACTTGACTTACCGCTTTGGCACTACGTACTGCAATTCTTGAAAGGTTACTTATAATCAGAAATGTTCGGTCAAAAGCGTAATAAGGATCGATGATTGCAGACGCCGTTGCTATTTGAAACCTTGTATGCTCACAAAGACAACCTGGAAGTCATATTCCGCTGGATGGATCAGGATAATTCCGGTGGGGAAAAAACTAACGCGATAATCGCATTCCAAAAATTTTGTGTTTTTAAACGAATGCAAGCAGTTGTATTGCATTCAGTTAGCATTTTTGCAACCCATAACACGCAAGCTTGTGAATATCTTAATAATACTTCCAAGAAAGAATATTTCATACAAATATTGTATATATATACTTTACCTGTTAGTTACGTAAGAAAATAAAATAGTTATTATTGCTATTTTTAGTTACGAAATTAAATATATGTCAATGCTAAATTAGTACAAGCAAAGCTTTTAAAAATCGATCACTTTATTAGAGTTACTCATACCAGCTGTATTGGATTTTACAAACAAAAATATTAAGAAACGCAGTGAGGATGCCTCGATCAAACGAAATTAGGTAGCTTTCTTTTTGATAAGTGAGTTGCATTGTGAATAAAAGAATTACTACCCGAATAACATTCCAAAATATATTTTGAATTAACCTTGCAAACGGAAGCTAAGCTATCATAATTGCCATTCTAGGAATATTAACGATGGAGGAATTTCAGAAAGGCTGCATATTGCTCAACAAACACATGGGAAGCCCCCTAAGCGAGGAGCAAATTCGGGATTTGGCGGTGTCGTTGGATATAAATAAAGATGGTAAGTGCCGGCACAAGTGGACATTTGATTGTCTCATGTCTGGCAACGTACAGTTAAACCGCTCAAATTGGACACTCCAATCCTATAGGTCAGATTGAATTTAATGAATTTCTCGAGGCCTTCCGTCTGGCGGAAACGGAGGATATGGATTTCGAGGACACACCTGAGCCGAGCGACGTGATTATGAGCAATCAAGCTAATGGGCACAGTCTACACATAACCGCCAATGGTGGCTTGACGTAACTACAGCTGGATGATGCTCTCGACGGTGGAAAAATGTGTTTCCGCTCCTCGCAGCTAGTCTTGTGATCCTCTTGATATGCTAACCCTATACGACGAATCGGTGCTTAATACTGCACTGGGAGAGAGAAGAACCAGTTTTGTGGAATAACAATACATGTTGTTCTTTCAGCTTTTCTTTGCCTCAAGAAATGCCATATTTAAATGGAGCTTTCTGTGATCGAAATAATGGTTAAATAACTGTAATTTTCCGAGACGGATTTGTCGGTGCCGCATAGAATTACTTATGATATAAATATGCAACTGCAATGATACAGCGTTGAACATTTCTAAAGAAGTGGTATATGTGTGGTACTTTACGTAATAATAAATGCGATGCCTTTAGGATTAGCAGTCAACAGCAGTACTGGTTCAGGTTAGAAGTGACCTTCTGTACAACCACCACAATTTACAATTTCTTAAACTTTCGATCATGGCATGTACTGTCAACATACTGTAATACAACCCAAAGTTGTTATACTGGTCCAAATGTTAAACCGTTTGAAAAATTTTAAGTTCGAAATAAAATTAAAAAAATTGGATGGTTAAAACGTTTGCAGATTTTACGTATTCGAAACAATGCTGACTGGTGAATGCTGAATGCAAATCCACTTGTATGGTATGCACTACTACAAGACGTCATGTTCATGTGAATCTTATGCACTTTTACAGGCGTAGTTACTAATTTTTGCAATTGGGTTTAGCAACTACCTGTACATTTCCGAATTCGTGATAAACGTCTCTTCAGTCTCATGTGCTGAAAAACGCTATTCCGCAATCCGGAACAGAAGTGTCGTTGCTTGTATTTAGCATATCCGCGCATAACGAGATCCGGAAGACACAATAAAATAGTTTAAATATTATTGTACTTGAAGTGAATCAAGGAAAATCATTGTACACGAGTATAAAAGATAAAGAACTAGAAGATGCACAAATACGGACGGTGTTACAAATTTTTTTAAGGGTTCCACAGAAAGCATTAGGATTTGTTTATTTTTAGTATCAACAATTTTATAATTAATTACATCTTATATAATGTGCAAAAAAAAAACAGATTGGTCATTCTGCTTGCTTACTACTCGTCTCCGCAGCCGTACTCTCAATACATTTGGAAAATTTAATGCCAGCATTGATTACGGAACGCCGGTTAAACCGTTAAAGCACATACAATGTGTACAGATACGTTAATTTTATTATTATTATCCTGAGATTGACACGGTATCACTCGCCAGTTTAAAAGAAACTCGGCCACGAATCCGTATCATCATCGTCCTCGTTGATGGCGGGGAAGAACGGATTGGACTGAGAACTGGCATCACTTTTCACGGACACATGGACGCCATAGGGAACCGCGGCCCGTGGACGGTCCAAATAGCTGCGCGACTGCGCCATGGCGGGTTGAGCATTTTGGCTGAACAGACTAGCTGATGGCTGGGGAATGCCAAAATTACCAAAGTTCATCCGAGAAAAGGCGGTTTGGATGGATGACATAATATTACCCATGACGTTGCGCTGGAATGTGTCGATCATACAGCGCAGCGAGGAGAAATCGTAAGTGCTTGACGTGTTTTCACCGCATTTGTGCGGGCCGCGGGCGGGCACTGCGCCGGTGGCGGACGTGACCTTTGGTTGTTGATCGGTTTTAGGCGAAGGCACGGAGAGTGGCCCGAAGAGATTGCCCAGGGATGTCGACTGGAACAGGGATGGAAATAAATCCAAAATAGGGCGTCGTCGATTTTTGGGTGCGGTTTCCGCATTTTCTTAGGAATTACAATTATAATGAAACAAATATTTGGAGTTGTAATTTACTTATTGTTATGTTATTCTTACCAGTGCTATTAATATTGCTGTCTTCGAACGATGAACTAAACGATGACGAGGACGACGCAAAGCCGCCGATGCGGTAGTTTCCATCTGGCGACGTGTTGTTGACCATGCCGCTGCTGGCGATGATGACGGTGCGGCCGTCAGGCGACATTGCGATGGTGCCCTCGCTGGACATGCCGGTCTTGTTGTCGTGACTGGAGAAGTGCTTCACCACCATCTGATCGTCAGTAGTGGACGCGTTGAAGGCGCTATCGCTGTCCGTTTCCGGCCTCTGCTGGTTGTAGTTGGCGTCGGCATTGTCGGTTGATGGCAGCGACTGAGGTTTGGCTGCGCCGGGACTCTGCATGGCCTGCGCGGTAACATTGCCGCGGAATCCTGCAGAAGATTTTAACAGTGACTGATGGCGGATTGGTTAAAAAACGGTATGAACAGTCCGTACAGCTTAGCATTTCAGTGAAGCAGTGAAATTACCATACCAATATTGGGAGCACCGCTGTACGATCCGCGCCACGGCTCACCGCCGCTACACGGCGAAAAGCCCGAACTGCCGTCGCATTTCGGCACGCCGAAGCATTCGTAGTAACTCAAGCGGAAGAAACATTTGGCAATAATATCCAAGTTGTCTAACTGCACATAGAATTGCTTAATAAATCCTGCAAGAGACATTCCTCAATTAGGTATTTCCGAAAGCACAAGCGCTGATAATTAGATGACTAATAATATGCCTAATGTCAACACTTTGAATGAGCATTTCTGGTTTCTCAAGTGGAGCAAATACATAGAATCCGGCACGATGGAACTTACCATCCGAATCGGCCCTGCGGAAACAATAACACACCTCATGAAGTACGACTCCGTACTAGTATTACATAAAATAAAAAAAGTGGAAAAATGTTGAATACCATTCGCCGGTAACATTGAATATGGCGAATTTTCCCGGTCGATCCGGCGTCTTCTTGGTTTCTTTTGGATTGCTTTTGCCTTTGAGGAAGCTCGCACCGAGCTGGGTAACGTTGCATACATAATGATGGCTTTTCAGGAAGTTACAGGTGTATAGCAAGTCTTCCGTGTCCAGATCAGAGAGAAATCCGAAAATCTCATCTTCCGTCGTCGGCTGCGTTGGTATCCCAAACGTGACTATGTAATTATTGCATATAAAGTATCTTACTCTATTTCGGCGGCAGGTTACAGTAGATGTATAAAGGCGATATAAACGCTCAGTCATTTACTCAGTACTCGTATACACGAAAACGAAGCCAAAATCTTTTTATTTATTTATAATGGTAATATAAAAAGTAACCGTTTCCCAACGTACATCTTACTTTTAAGTTTTAACGGTTAAAGTCTGCGAGAAGACGAAGTAATTTTAATATCGGTAAGCATATAAATGTAACATACATGTATACCAGTGATATTCACATTCAAAAATCAGACAAAACAATTCAGTTTTTCAGAAACTCGCAGTACTATTTTCGCAACAAACAGACTTTAGAACTGGAAGGCTTATTTCACTTACCTTGCGAAACGGCAAAAATGGATAAAGTTAAGAGAAAAAAGAATAACATTCTTACGGGATATTCCAAATCAGAAAGCCAAAATTATACGCACATCAGTTAAAACAGGAAACTCCTTTTTAGTATCGCGTAACTAAAGAAACAATAATACCAACATTATCGGATGTTCGCCATCTTAAATGTTGCCCGTAAACATTGCGTTTTATTTCGACATGCGAAGTTTTTTCCTCTGTCGCGTATTTATCTATATTTGATTGCGACGTTGAAGGGTGTTAATTCTTGGTAAGCATGACTGTATTGTGGTGAGCAACTTCTGTAGGCATTAAAAATACTCGTAAGTACTGTATATCCGAGTCGTTTTGCTTCGTTGGCGATACCTTGCCGGAGGTGTTGCCATTGTGCTAAGAGGCAGTCCACATGTGCGCGCAAGTAAGCATAAAAACAAACAGTTTTTTTCCAGTACCAAAACCTGAATCGACATTGTACGCTGCGATATAGCGAGTATTGTCGGTTTATTGAAATTAATGTTGCTCTATGAACCGCAATGGCAATAGCATTACTGCAGCAACAATGAGCGGAACTTCTATCAGATACTGTAATGACAAACAGAGATTGGAGAATGTTTTACTGCATGGAGCATTCTAGATCTCGTGATGTGGAATGATCTCGGGAAAAGCTTCAATGCAACCGAAGCGTAACAAGTGCGTAGTAACATACCCACCAATACCATAATAAACCCATGACCTTTGAAGTGAGAACTTACGCACGTACACTGGAAGATCGGCCTGAAATAGTTTACAAGTACTCGCAGCGTTTTCATTGTAAACCGCAGACTTTCCCGTGGTCAAACAGTCAGCAGGACGTGTGAGCAGATTTGGTCGTCAAAAATTCTTCATGATAATCTGTGGTGGAATCACTAATCGCACCTATACGAACCGATGGTGTTGTTGCACCCAATTCCAACGCCACAGGCCACCGGGAGGATGATACATTCGTCGATATCTGTCATAATTCAAAAAGAATTTGTATCCGTTGGTAAATTCGGCATTTAACATGCATTTGACGTTTAATTTTGGCCGACCAACATTCGTACCCAGACAAGTCCCGTTGACAAACTGGAATCCTGGTGGACAAACGCAAATAAATCCGTTGGTCGCACCGTGACATGTTCCTGGACCACAAATCGAGGCCAGATCATCAGCGCACTCGTTACTTTTCCAACACGTGCCATTGGCCGGTTCAGGTTGAAAGCCAGATGGACAATTGGTGCAAGCGTATGCGCCCGGCATATTTACGCATATTCCGCCTGGACACAGTCGATCGGCACCACCTTCGGTGCACTCGTTGATATCTGCATATGTCGTCACAAGCACACGTCACCCGAAAGCATAATTTAACGAACTACAAAAGCCCACGCACCGACGCAGGTAGAGTTATCGAAACGGTATCCAGGTGAGCAGATGCACGAGTACTGATTGGGCTCAGCCAGATTTTGGCATGTTCCCATCCAACCACACGGATTAATGTTGTGCGTGCAGATATTCGACATGTTTCCCGTGGCCGGCTGCATACACGGGGAAGAATCAGATGTGTTCTGGCATAGAGCGCCTAGAGCAGAGGACTCATTCACAGTAGGAAGACTGGTTACATTGGTACATGATCCATTGGTGAACGACAAGCCGACTGCGCAAAGGCAAGTGTACGATCCGATTAAATTGATGCACTTCCCACGTGGACCGCACAGTCCCGGTGATATGAGGCATTCGTTGACATCTGCAAAAATAGATAAAATTATTGAAAAGCCTGGAGTAGAAGTAATTCATTGTGAAAGTATACCGCGGGCTAACAAATTTCGAAACAAATTTTCGATTAATATTAAAAATATTAAGATACATACTGATACAATCATATATTATACGCTTCAGACAGGTCTATCTTTCGATTTATAAGAAATGACAGTTGTAAGGGTCACCCCCTACAAGACACCCCCTTTTGACGATTGACAACCCTTTTTCAGAATTTAAAACGAAAACGCTCCCTTTGACTAATGGCACTCCCTTTTGGCTATTGCCACCATCTTTCAGTTAATATTGTGTTACTTAAGCGTACAGTAACGTTGCCAACTTGGCACCAGCGGCTCTTTTTCCATTCGGTTCTGGCCTTCACCGATAAGGAATAGTGGTGCCAAGCGAAACTTATTTACTTTAATATTTACAATATTCAGCATCAACAATTAAGTTACCGCACCAATTTCTTTTATACTCATACGTTATATTATACGTGTGCATGCAGTGTCAGTGTTTATGTAAGTGCAATCCCTAGAAACAAGCTGTAACTTTATAGATGTACAGACTCTGTACTAGTGCTGTTTGTCTTGCCTGGAATAATATGGACAGGATCGGAAGCGGTCAACGTTAACATTGGCATAAGGAGAACCAAAAAGGAAAACATTCTCACTTGTCAGTTCACAAATTCTCCAAAGGCCCAAAGCTGCTGGTTTCCAAAGCTATATAAAAGTGAACTCACAGAAACCATAACTTGATCACGAAACAGTTCCCGATTACTTTATGCAGACCTCTGTAACTTGATCATATATAATACACTACCAAATACATTCGTGCCTAACGGGAATTGCGCCTTAATTCAGCGCCTTCAGCGCCGCAGTAAATCATTTAGGTAGCAATAATTCTCGTTCTAAACAAAAGCTGCGCTTTGAAACTCTTATTTATTGCGAAATTTTAAACACTTTAAACTTGCACTGCGTTGACAGGTAATAGCGCTATATTGCAGAAAAGGTAGCCGTTTACTTGTTTTAATTAGAATTAGGCTGTTACCCACGCGATTTTAACCGGAGGTCCCAAATGCACATGCATTGCCAGTACATACAAATATAATATATTATGTAATACTTTGGCTTATCTCTGTATAACGTAAACTAGAAAGTGAAATAAATCATTTTCTCCAGACTTTCCGCACCAGTATGATATAATTATAGTACTCACACTATTAGCGAACAGTGTGATTAATATTTTCAGGAAAAGGCTGTGGAATGATGTAGTCGGGCTTATGATTAAATATCTATGCAGGCCCGTCTTTCATGCAGGCACAACGCACTCGTAAAATGCCAGCCGGGTGACGCCAACAAGAACAGAGACTTCGGCCTATTCTACTGACGAGCCGAGTATGTAAGCTGTTGTCATCCAGTCGTGTACGCGTATATGTGAACGAACCTTCACCATATTAAATAATTTTTGTGACCTTTAAGCCCTGTGCGTGGATAGTCGATGATCTGGGCCGCCACGGGCCGAGCTTCGATATGCAGAAGACCGGCCGGAAGACTGCCTCTACTGGCTCTACATGACGATCAACGGTATCAGCGGGAAGTTGACTCAGGGACAAAAGACGGTCGGTTCCCAGCAAGAATTTGGAGCCAAAAACTCTTTCTGTTAAAGACCACAAGAGGCCGGACACTTGTACCGTGGGGACGCGGAAAACCGGCAGCCGTGGATGTGACCAGCGCAGACACAACTATAGGAAGTCTCATATCGACGTGTATCGTATATCGACCACACCTTTGTGGACGTACATAGGGGGAGCAGGCCAGCAGCCGATCGAGCACGCGGAAAGCTAGGGGGAAGATGGCAAAACATAGCTGGCTGCAACCGAGGTACATTTAATTCCCACCGCATCTGAAATTAACGGACCATGGGGCAAAGAAACGGGAGAAAGAGGCTTTAGGGCCTTCTAATAATCTACAATTCCTGAGCAAGATATCATAGAAGTTCTTTGTTATAAATCGTGTCTTCAGTCTCTAGCTCATCTAGAATATCTTTACCTTAAGTACGCATGCGGTACTGTACGTACCGGTGCCATGTCAGTAATTATAATAATATATTCCACGTCTGCCCTGTTCGATATTAAAGTATCCATCTTTCTATCACAAGTAATAACTAGTATCATTCGATGCATTGAAGATTTGTAATTATTGCACGTACGATCCTGATTTTTACTACAGTAATACACTACTTACTACTTGCATTACGTAGTACTCTAGCAAAACGATGTCATAATGTCAAGTCTTTGTACCACAGTTAAAATAATTAAATGCGATTGTAATCAACATTTTCAGCCGACACCACAGTTGATTTTAAAGATTATTTCTGCTGCTATGTTTATGGAAATAAATACAAGTACGAGTACCCTAACAATTAATACAATACAAAATTTTCAATCTTACTGACTTGCTGATCGTCAAACTCATCTCTTTGCTCCTGGTCATGGAGGGTGATTACAGTACTTATTTTGTTTATTAGCCCAAGCCAGTCACGTCACAAGTTTGTAACAAAAACAGGATTAATTACAACAGAAAAGTTTTTCTTAAATTGTCCGTTCCATCGATAGTCCCAAAAACAAAACTACTTATTGATCCTGATAGTGCTACCACCGTGGTGCTACACTGCGTGCTGCGGCAGCCGTTTGCGTTGTGTAGCGTCCATAGCGTTTAAAACCGGCTTTAGCTATGTGCGGTATCAAAGTGGCACCGAAGTATAAGTGGCACCGAAGCGGTGCGGCGCGGCACACAGGCGAAGCGGTGTACTGTATAGTGTATACCGTACGTATTGTACATAGGTAATGCTTATGCTCAGTCAGTGCCATGCGGCATGCGCAAAACAACGTACGCTTGGTTTGCAGGCTGCCAAGATCGGACACAGTCAAAGTCTTTGATTCGACTTGCGAGTTTCTCCTGTTGCACTTAGCATGTTCCGCTCACTTTGTCAGCTGTTCCAGAGCTTTTTCAATAGCGTTTCTCTTCAAAAGTGCGGACTTTATCGCTGCTTTCACATAGTTTCTATGTAGTCTATGAAATTCCGCGGCTTAAACAGTTTGGGATATCATTTTTTATTTCGTAATCGGCAATACCCTTCGCATTGGATAACTCTGCTAAAATTAGCCTGCAGGAAGCACAGCCGAGCTGCGACATAAGAAGCTGGCATCTGAGAATGCCACAATCGCTGGTGCCATCCGCCGTTCGCGGCATGTCTTGGCATACACTCGCCGAGAATCCACAACAACCAGATTTACCGTAAGTACGGTGGAATTTTATAACGGCAGCTGCAGTAATCAGGCAAACGGATGTGTTTATCTTATCCATAGAGGCTGTTCGCTGTTTACGTAATCAAGTCGATCGTACTACCTGTATTTGCGAGATATCAGTTCCCAGCTCGTACCAGCAGTCAATCGTGACTCGTAAGCATAACAAAGCACTGACCGTACTTGAAATTTTGTAGAGCTGGTGATCTTTGCCAAAGGACTGAAAGGAGTTCTCTTCAGTCTTTCCGTACTGAGTTATCCGCAAATTCAATCGATCGTGCCGAGCAGACTTTGGAGGCCCTGGCGCGACAGCGCATTGGCACTGCCGCATCCAAAGACACGCTTGAGGCCGAGCAGATCGTTCCTGGTGAGGAGAATTTGACTGACCATCATGCGACGGTAGTGGACAGTGACGCATCGTCGCAGGAAACGGAAGGTAAGCCAAGGAAGACAATGGATATGGATGGTCTTGTTGCTATGGGCCGATCGGCCCTGTAGGCGTACCTCGCCTGTCCCGATTGGCCGAGCCCGCCTTTGGGTGTGGGTTAGCCTGTCCGCATTGGGCAGGCCTGCCTCATTGTGCCGTGTTGGTTTGGTTTCCATGCCACACCGTGACATAGATTCGCTTTTGAGCCGTAGCAGACAGACTGAAAGGCACGTGGAGAGAATGCGAGGAGGAATCGAATCTCTGCTCCCGTTTCTGCAGTGGAGATTCGCATAACTTTTGCTTTAAGTGAGACTTTGGGTTCATTGGCTTGAAAATGCCTGTTCTTGAAGGGATTGCAACGGGATCGTCGGATGCCAGTCGTGCGGAGATGGAATTCTCATGGGAACTTTGCTTAGAAGAGCTCAATGCCCACCCAGTCCCTCCCGAGGCTTTCCAGCATGTAAGTACTGTAACTGCAGTAAATGCAGGAGAGGAAGAGCACAACTGCATGAAAACTTTCGTGCAAAACCTGAAAACCATTGTGTATCAGCATAAAACATGCAGACTTAACCGAGTGGACAATATTTGGCTTGGTTTGCATTGCAGGTTGCGGACAGTCTCATTAACGGCTTACATGAAGGGCAATGTTTAGAGTATGTCTATTCAGGTGAAGGTACAAAGAAAGCGGTGTGGTACGTGGAGCTTATCTATGCCCACGATTCCTACGTGTTTGTACGATATCTCGGACTGGAAGAGCAGCCGTAAGTACAGTCCAAACTTCTGTGGCGAAGCTTTAATCTAATGCCGACGCAACGGAGTCGCGCTTCCGTACCTTGCTTTATTGCTTTGTTTGTCCTTGTATTGAGTTCGGTAATCTGTTGGATATATTTTCAGCATTTTTTTAAGTTTAAAATTTTTGTGGGGGTTTTTTAATACCGATTTTCTGCAGTCGGTGCTGCATCGGAATTTTTCGGCGTATTTCTAATAATATTATACCTGCCTACGTAACTGATTTTCCAAGCTGTGACCGTATTCTGCAGTTTTCGTTATTTTTTTTTGTAGTCAAGAAGCATTCTGGTTAGATTTGACTACTGCCGATGTATCCGCATGTGTGAGTGCATTTGACAGGAACCTACACCGTCCACCTAAAAGTATGCTAATAGCACAATAATTTACTTTCTTCCTTGCCTTTTTGCTATAGCGTTCCTTTTCATTATCTTAGTTGTGATGAAATATCAAAGTTACCTGGGAAAAGTGGTTGAGAGATCCAAAAAAGGTCTGCCGACACCCGATGCCCAAGCACTGATGCATCGCGGCCGTGCGCTGAAGGATCGCATTGAAGTGGGCCATTTGGTGGAAATAACGGATCAGCAGTGTGGTATGACAGTGTGGCCGGCGGTTGTCAAGAAGAACATTGGTGGTCGACTGCAGTTAGAGTACTGGAAGGGAACGGAAGAGGATGTTGTCTGGGTATTTTGCACGGAACATCGTTTACGACCATTCCGGTTCGGAATGCAGAATGGATACAAATACAGTCCCCCCAGTGGTAAGCTGTAAGCGAGACAGCACAGTTTCGTTTTCTAAACTTTTTACCGCCAATGAGAAATTGTACAAAATATGCAATTATAAAATTAAACTTTTTTCTGATTCTATGTATTTTCTTACACTACGGTAGGCAAGGATTAGTAGGAATTAGTGCTTGGCTTGGGTAATATTACACTTAATTCTAATTTGAAACGCCTGTTTTAGATGGCATTTTGGTAGGAAAAAATTACGACCAGTTACCTGAATCCCGAGCGGCGGGCGAATCGATGCCATTTTCTAGAGTAGAAGACGATAGAGTATAAATTCTGTACAGTATTTCATTTGAAGGTGTGACAGTGGACGAAACGGGAGTAACGGAGACAGTTAATTTTGTACAAGAGTTTGACTCCAAGTCGTCCAAATTCGTCCCTGTTCCTGCAAACGTGTTCTCGGTAATTGAGATCCGTGGAAATTAAAAATAAGTAAATCGCAAATGAAACCTCTTGTTCTTTTGAGTAGAAATTTGAATTACCGGTTGCTCAGTTCGCCAAAGGCGATCATGTTGAAGTGATCCACCCTCACCTGCGCCATCAGATCTCACCCGCTGTCGTCACCGAAGTGTTCCCGAATCAGACCGTTGCTGTAGAAATTTTGGATTTTCGCGGCGAAGACAAAAAAGAAAAGATTGTCCAAGTTTATGACAACGATAGCTTAGAACTACTTCCCATTCACTGGTGCAAAAAGAACGGAATTAAACTTAGCCGCCCTCCAGGTAAATCATAATTTGACATGCTATACTGTACTCTTGGGATTTCCTAGTTTGTTTCCTTTGCTTGCGCTGTCTTATTATTTGATGAAATTTTTTTAGGCTTTATTTTATTGAATTGCTAGGTTGGGATCCGCCGACTGACAAAGAAAGACGAGAAAAGGATAAAAAAGAGAAGGAAAAGAAAGAAAAGCCAGAGTTTTCCTGGCAAAAGATTGTTGATGAATATGGGGGTGCAATGGCGTCGCAGAAATGCTTCAGTCATTTGGTAAGGAGATCTGAGGATTCCGACTGTGTTGACTATTATCACGTTGGTCGTAAGTCTCGTATCCTAAGGCTAACAATAGTGAGATGGGTTAGATAATTTTGTGATGATTTTTGCCGTTTAGTAATATGATCCTGAAAACAGAGATGGCGATTCTGATGATCGAATGATGGTTTTGTAATGATTACAGAATAACGTCGATAATCGCGGGTTCTCTCGCGGAATGAAACTCGAAATGAGCAATCCTACTGATCCGGAGGAAATTTGCATGGCGACCATTCTCAAAGTGTTTCCTCCGCTGTTGTGGATCCGAATTGATAGTTACGGTCAAAGTGCATCATACATTGTCACCTTCACCTCGACGGAGATCTTTCCGGCGGGATTTTGTGGTAGCAATAACTACAGTTTGAAACTGCCGCGCTTTATGGTACACGGCCAGCGTATGGCCGCCATCCGCTCACGATCTCAGGGCTCCGTTTCACCCGGGAAGTCTCCGCGTTCACCAAGGGAAGGCAATGAATCCCCGGGGAAGTCGAAGAACGGCGAGCTCATTACGCTGCACGTGAATCCCAAGTGCAACTGTGGCCCGTTGATGTCGCCGAAGAAAGTGATTAGTCTGCCCAAGAGTATGGGACCGGGACCAGTGCAACTGGTGTTGCAGTGTCTCATTACGTCGCTGATTAGTTGTGGTACGCGGCCAACCAAGCTGCTGCAGCTGATCGGAGCGTCTGGAGAGAGTCCGCGGTCTGCCAATTGGGAACGAGTCCGAATTAAGGCTAAGTAAGCATCTGTAAAAGAGCGTATTCACACGAAAAACACATTGAATGAAACGACTACACCACAGCCTGCTAGCGTCGACGGTGTGCAGCGAGCTATATATTGATTACTGTACTGGCTTGAACGCTTGCTTTGTGAATACTTGTACAACAGAAAAACAGGAAAGATTAGTCATAAACTGTATTTCGCCGATATGGGCTACGAAACTGTGTTTTTGGGATCGTTATTTTTTAAATTGGAGATCGAAATTTTTTTCTATCTGGTGGATTTTATAGATTGGCTGGACGCCGCCAGATGCTGCTGGTGGATGTCGTAAAAAATGCGTCGCAAGTTCCGGACTTCCTCCGGAACATCTGTATCTTATGTGAAGCTTGCCCCAATTTGATTACAACGGAGCCGTACTCGGGACGCTGTCCAGACCGTTGCTACCTGTTTATCAAACCCGATCTCAAGAATCTACAAGTTAGACGGCGCATTCCGCGCAACAACACCAAAGACTCCTTAAATGACGATGCCCAGTCGTCCTTGGACAACTCCATCGATGGCGATGCCCTGGATGCCGATTTCGACGCGGAAGACCCCAAGATGGATGGTGATTTGACCGTGCGGATGACGGTGGGTCCGGGTGATTTCGAGGAAGGCTCACAGACCGGCTTCGATGAAGAAATGGATACCACCGTGGACAGCCAAGAGCCGAGTCGTGCGGCTAGTGTGGAATCGGAGGAAGCGCCACCGCCCAAGGCTGTGAATGCCAAAAGTTCCGAGCGCAGTAAGCGCAAGGCTAACGAAACGAAAACTGTGAACGGCGGTGACAGCAGCGCCGTACCGTTGCGGAAACGTTTCCGTCGGGGTCCGCCTTACTCCAAAGTGGATTCCGGGTTGCGAGTGCCCATTCCGGTGTCACGTCCTATTGACGTCAATGTGGTGGAGGGGCCGCCGTCGCCCTCCTCCTCGGAAGAAGAGACGCAAGAGTCGTTTGCCACATCGCGAAGGAACATCGCGGAACTGGTGCGCATAAGTCTGGAGAACGGCGATAGTGATGTGGATATTGAGAATAATCCGGTTACGAACGGCAGACTGGTGGATGACAGCGAATATTTGATGCATTTCTTCAAGCATCCCCGCAAGTGGACGGTGGAAGAGACGTATTCATTCTTGGTGCGACAGTTGCCGCAGTCAGAAGCGCCGGATATTTTACGCGAAGAGGTAAACTTTGTTCTTGAATTTCGTTACGTTATAGAATTTTGTCTTGGGCTTTGATAACATTAAAATGTTTCAGTTTCATTTATTTTCTTTTGGTATTCCGTTGTTCTGTTAATTAAAGGAGATTTTTATTACAGTTATTAAATTTTATCATTGCTAACTACTTTATCATGGTAATTTATTTTTTCATTTTATCAAACGCTGCTGTTCTGAAGCGCAATCACGGTGCTTTGCAGATGATCGATGGGGACGCTTTATTGTTGATGGTGGCTTCAGATCTGCGTCACTTGCGTATTGACAGCCGGGACGCGACGTTTGTGGCTTCGCTGATTGAAAGAATGTTGTTTTCGATCATCCTGACAAAAGGTCAACAGATTCCATTATATTCTAGCTGGAAGTAGTTTTGTACAATTTTTTACTGATGTTTACATCGAAACGCGGATGAATCTATGAATTCCATTTTTTTTGTTTAGTGAAGAAGCGAATATTTTTACGGTACTGAATTTTCCTAGCCCTTGCTCGAGTTCAGAAAACATCTGTGGTTGGTTGTACGAGTTGGTTGTCGGTTTATAAAGCGTTGTTGGACTGGAGGTCACTTCGGTTCGCTAAACAGAATGTACAGAAGAAATGAACGAATGCACGGTATTTACGCGTGATACACATTAGTTTTACCATAGTTTACTTGAATTCAGTAACAGTACCTTTTGAAAATTTGGAGGGAATAAGTATGTACGAATATACATTAGAAAAATTCCGTATGTATACATTAGAAAAATTCTATGAGTGTCTTTTATTCACTTTAATTTGACCTTAAAAAACACGGTCAATGTTTCAGCAGTTTTTCGCCGTTCCAGACACAGACGAGCAGTATAATGTATACCTCTGTATAGTACTTAACGGTGTTACACTAACCCGCTGCCATTCAAATTCCACCGAACGGAGATTACCGTTACAATCCCATTACATTTCTTTTAACAGCTCTAAAAATTTCTTGTTAGTTGAAGCCTTAAAGATGTCGTAGACGTTCCTGTTGTTTCAAAGCCGTGAGCTTTTAAAAATACCGATCCATCATCATTTACTGTAGTCCTTTCTGCTCCCTCATAGTTATTTCCGCCACGCTTGATTGCCGTGATGACTGCGCTACAGGGTTACTGTGACCCATTCCCTCACCTTCGACTTCCGCCATGCTGCCAATGGCGCTTACCGCTGCCTCTTTCCCGACCAGATATCTCACAGGGTGTCGAGGGTCGCGAGTGCGAACTGTATGAACAAACGACGGCAAACAATCTAGCATTGATATAATTTACTTGTTAGGTAAAAGCGCTGTTTATCAGCGGATGCAAAAAACACTGATGCCAAACTCTGGAACTAAACGTATCTAGAAAGATGGATCCAATAAACTACTGTATGCTCTCACGAAATCTATTGGTAATTAAGAGCAAAGATTTAGCAAATATTATCGACTTAGCCCATCCGACCTTGTGCTACGCTTTGGCAATGGTCCATTGGAAAAGCATTACGGAAGGTGCGCAATCGGTAATCCTTTTGAAAAGTAAATTGACTGCGGTGTTACAACAACCGGAATATTCGAAGCTAGCGGCGGAAATGGTTTTAATGTCACACTGATATGGTCTCCGATCTCGTATGTTCTCCGTGGAAATTAAACAAATTAGAAATAATTAATGCCTGATTATCTATAACGAATTGCGTGTGCGGCAAAGTGAACCAAAGCAGAGTAAACTTGCTCCGTTACATGAAAATAAGCGTGCGGAGTAATAGTAAGCACAATAAATTTGCATTATTGCAGTCAATCACTCGGCCATAATTAAAAATGGACGTCAGTCCATTTTCTTTAGACCGCTATCATTCCTCAACGGGTACAGTGACCTGATGCCCATTGTGCTCCTTGAATGACGCCGCCTCCGAATCTGCGCTCGTCGTCCCGCTGTCGACCTCCATGACCTTTTCCAGACGGTTTCCATTCGGGGGGTTATCCAGATAGTCACCATCCGCGCTCCTCTTTCCACTGTCCACACCATCCATGACCTTTTCCAAATGGCCGCATGCGTCGGAATCCAGCGGATCTTCCGACACTTCCGACAGCGCATCGCTCATTTCCACATTGTCCAGAACCAGCTCCAGGGAAAGGGACTTCTCCGACTGCGCATCGTCGAACACCGACCCATCGGAGATTTCCCCGCCCAACGAACTGTCGGCTAACTGGAAGGACGTTTTATTCTGTTCGTACGTGGGGCTGGGCGCCACCAGCGGATCATCCACAGTGTCAGCGGAGGCGCAGCGCTGCACGCCCATCCGGCGCAGGGCGCGAATGGTGTTGACGATTTTCTGCATAGTCCACAACAATGCTGACCAGTAATTCAATTTTAATTTTAGACTTGCCTTTCTTCTCTATTCTTCTCATTCTTTCTTTCTTTATTATCTTGCGTGTTAACGTTATGCCGGTTATGGCTAATCTGCAGATGCAATGTGCATTGCCGCCATGTGCAACGGCTTCAGTCTTTCTACGCATTCGGCATTTTCAGTCGTACATGACATGCACCAAATTATTATTTAGCAGACCCTTATCAGTGAGCATTAGTACGGTGTTCCTGTTTTCTGACTAAACTGAACCAGTGCAAGTAACCTTTACAGATACATCGTTTAACCAAACTTCGTTTATCATACTTAAAAAAGTTTTTAGAGGGAAGAAAAAGCCTGATCTTTGCAGTAAAAGTACCGAATATCAATATCCGATAAGTATGATATCATCAAATGTATCTGGGGTCATGATTCAGCAGTTTATGGTTGCCGCATTAAATTTACCGTTAACTACAATAACAACTGCAAAATAATTAAGGGCTTCTGTACCTGCCATCTTCGACGTATAACAAAATGGCGCAGTTTTATCTTGGAGATTTCGTTTTCTCCCAGTGACTTTCGACGTTCCATAAACGCTTCCTTGACCGCCACATCTGCTTCAGGTGGAGCGTGCATCTGGAAAAGGGCAAATCTTTCAGCAGGGTATGTTGACGAAAGAAAACTCAGCATAACAAACTGTTCTACTGGATCGTATGGCGGAGGGTTTATGTAAGAACCAAGAAGGATTCGCCTACCTGCAGCCATCTGTGTTCCAGACACTGAGTGGCCGTCATTCGTTTTCTAAATAAACAAATATCGCACTTTAAGAGAGAGTCAGTACCGCGCGCCAATCCGCCCCAAACAGCGTATATATGTCTGTTACGTAATGAGTATTTTTGCACCAATGCCAATGTCACGTTAGCGGTGCTGTGTTAGAGCGTTTAACTGGCGCTAATATCGCGGTATAATTCGTATTATCTGTCCACTTACTCCGGTCGCTTGACAAGCAGCCGCGTTATAAAATCTTTCGCGTCCTCCGAGATCGCATCAAAACATTCATCATCGAAATCCCAAGCGGCATTAGTTACGTTGTTTAGTGTTTCCATATCGTTATCACCCATAAACGGAGAAAGACCAGACAGTCTGTAACGAGAGAAACAAGTCTCTAATAAATAATTATTATGTCCGCTATCAATGCGAACTGTGCGAAATACTGTAGCCTACATAGGTATATTCAAGTAGTTACACACCTAAAATTTAAATTAATTACAATTATTACAATTGCAGTTCAGCATTTACTACAGTCAGACCGAAATTTGTGAGAGGTGTTTATTCTTTAACAATATTTTGCATTATTTGTTTGTTTATTCAGGTTACTGTGTATTATCAAATGCGCAGGTGTCTTTTCTAACCTATTTGTTATAATCTGAAACTAAACAGCAGTAACTAGAGATAAATTTCCCAAAATGTGCTCGTAAAGCGGCAAGAATTGCGGTCACACTGCGTGGGAACAACATAAAAGCGTGTTTGCTTCCATCACTCAGTTTGCTTACAGTATGTAACATATCACACCAACACTCCACCTAAAAACAGAACAGTACTGTAATATTACTAAGATTCACGAAAGAGGCGCACTCCGAGTCTCTGTGTATGCCATATACTAACATGTCTGTCGACAGTGTAATACGATCGTAATTGATCACTTCCGGAGCGACAAATTCCGGTGTACCGAACAAGACCTGTGTGCAGTCTTTCGGGGAGAATTTCCGTGCTAATCCGAAGTCGATTAGCTTAATACGGTTGGAATTGGGCGACACACAAAGAATGTTTTCGGGCTGCAAAAAAAAGCGGGCAACGGCATTTTGAGACCGACAAGGGTGCATTTTGTTCAAATTACATGGTGATGAATATTAATTACCGGCACATGCAAAGACCGACATGCATGCAGTTCATGACCCGCCGCATACTTACTAACCTTCATATCCAAATGAATGATATTTTTGCTGTGCATAAATTCCACGCCTTCACAGATCTGTCGCATGAAAATGGTGCAGATCTTTTCCGTCAGGACGAATTCATCGTCAATAACACGGTTAAAAAGCTCGCCGCCGGTGGCTCTAAATGAAAAATGCCAACGTCGACAATTTTATCTATGTAATTATTTAAGCACAGAAAATACTGCACGTTCAGTTTCTATACATCGAAAATTTTACACACCAAGCTTTCCAGATAAAATAGTTTTCTTATAAAATTATTGTTAATTATTACATTTTCCTTATGGTATTGGAAAGCTGAACTGATCACGAAAACAAATTGTTTTGTATCGCAGCTTTTTGAAAGCAATAAACACATCGCAACAATTATTAGTACTTTAGTTACAAAGATAAAAATCGGCCAAACATGACCTCATAAAAACCAGGGCAAAATTACGTACAGTTCCATGACGATGGCCATTTTATACCCATCATCATAGGCATCGTACAGCTGCAGCAATCGTGGATGTTGCAATTCTTTCATGATGTTTATTTCGCCTTCCACTTCCTTTCGTTCAATAGGCCGTTTGACTTCTATGAATTTCGCGGCAAACTGTCGTCCGCTGGATTTCTCGGCACATTTATACACCACTCCAAACTTTCCTCTATCAACAGCGCCATAACAATTATTAAAGGTTATACCGGCGTCGTCGAAGCTAATTATATTCGACAAAATATGCACAAACTCCAGACAACTGCATACTTTCCGAGCGCTTCCATGAGATCATAATTGGCGCTAATGGGCTTGTCCTTAATGATGTGCACATCACGCGGCTCAAAAGGTGGCTCATCGTCGTCTGCAAACGCTGGGATTTACTAAATATTTTCGGGCAATGCTGTATATACTTAACGGGTCCAAAATTAGCCCTGCGTCGAAACCCTAAAGCCTTATTAAATTCTTAAAAATATCACAAGTGACGAAATATTACAAGTCAAAGTATTGTGAGCGGCTCATCGGAATACGTATTTCATAATACAAATTGTGACCCCCAATTGCAAGTATCACGTGCCAGCGTTACATAAAAGGCGGCTATGTTGCACATCTCCTTTTTTATTATACTGATCAAAATTTTAAACAGACAATTTTAATTTTTACACGCAGATAAAAAATCAAATCATCCCCGATTAACTTCGAACTAGAATTTCATTTCCTTTATCAGACGAAACGCTGACACTTTTGTTTCCGTATATAATTAGAAATTTATTTCGCTAATGTAGTGATATTAACCAGCCCATCAAAATTTCCCGAATCGGCATTCAATTCGTAAAAGTATGTATGCTGAGGTGTCAAATTTATTTTTTTGTACCTGTGTCAAGCTCGTCGTCCGAGATATCGTAGACATGCGGGCGATGCTGCCGGTGGATGTGGTTCCGCCCGCATGGACTCGGGCATGGACTGATCAGACTCAGCGATGTACTACAATCGTCGCCCGTATCACAGTTATCATCCGTTTCGCCAGGGTCAACCAGCTCCGTCCGTATTTCCGGTATGTCATCACTGGCGTCGTCCATCGTGTTATCGCGAATTATACAAAATGCAAGTCACACTGAATAACCTTTCCGGAAACAAAAAAATCACTATACTAGTGCCGCAAAACGCAATAAGGAGAAGATTAGCGTCAGAACATCCGCCACACAATTTTTATAATGTCAACCGGAAGTGCCGACATATCTTACATCAGATCTGCAGAATCTCGCGCATTCGCCAAGAAAAAAACGAATATGCACTTCACCGCAACTAAACAAATATACCAACATGATTCTCAGCCAGGATCACGGTCAGGCTGAACACGATCGCTAAGCAGCATCTGTATGTTCATGAAGCGTCTGCTCCATGCCAAGTAAGACAAACTGCCGCTACATCGTTGCCGGAAAGTATGTGTATTTTAAACATTTAAACTGCAGTGAATATAGCGATGTGTACGCTGCGTACTGCTCTTTCGGCACAAACCGCACAGAAAGCACATCATCCAGCATTTTACTAAAATTACCACATATTGCGCAAACAGAACATTTAAAGTCAAGGGGACCATTTAACAACCGGCGGTCCAAGTACGACTGCGTACAATTACGCAGCAGCATACATTTGGTTGACGAACGGTACTATGTATACCAGTATAACGACAAATAGTATGTGCATCACGTTTGCTCACTATCAACTATCGAGAAAGTTTTTTTCAGTAAGTACTTCCGCCTTATTTTATTAGAGAATTTTTTACAAGTAACCATTTCTCCTGCGTTTTTAAAAAAAGTAGCCATTTTATTACTGTGCCAATTTATCGCGTCCATAACGAGAATATATATGTGATCTCACGTCGCCCGGCTGGCGTTTTTAGTAAGCGAATTCTGCTCTAAATTTGGAATCAAAATAGCTGTTAGCTGCATTTCTGTTCAACCTTCTCGGCAGGAAAGACTGCAAGTTGGTGTTTGCACTGAATGACGAATTAGCATTATCCTTCTAATTATCCCAATTGCGTATGTTCTTAACGTAAGCGCTCTGCGCTCGTGTGCCAGTTCACAACTACAGGTCGAGCGAAAAGCGCAATTACAGTACAAAGTATAGTCGACCGGAGCGCAGCGAAGGTCCTCTAATTCAGCGAAAACGAAAAAGTGTCTGTCTGTCCATGTGTCTGTTTGTCCCAAAAGAGCCCCGATGACGTCATTACTGACCGTTCTCTATGACGTCAGCCACCAGTTAAATGATAGTGATGCGGTGCCACGCTTAAACATGCCTTGTAGAAAGCTGTATGTCTATCCATCTGCCTGTCTGTCCCGCAAATGGGAGGCAACTTCGTTATTTCGCAATCTCTTCCTTTTCCCGCTACTACCTTATTAGGTCATTACTTCCTTGTCCCGTAACTTTCTTATTTCGTGAGACGTCAGAATTCCCTTTTAAATCATTGATTACTCCAAAGTCCATCCCATACATGACGCGCAGATAGATTAAATCTACAAACAGATTCGCCACAATGCTGGTGACGCGTTGAGAAAATTGCCTTCGAAAAGCGAAAAGGAGAGTTAACAAATATAAACGAGAAAGGTCATGCGGGCAGGAAATAAGCAGGCTGTGAACAATGATGTGAAAAATCTTGCCGGCCACTGACGGGTGATTAAAGTAGCACTATGCAACTTGTGCAAACATTTATACTGTTCCGTCAGTTTTAATAATTACCTTTACAAATTTCGAGTTTTCCACCCAGAAACATGGCTCCATGGCACTTAGGTTACCTGATATTTGGGTTACAAAGAAAACTTAGAAGCCTAATCAGCCCAGATAGCTCGAACCCCACCCTTTTCTTCATAAAGACTGTCATGACCTATTACGTACGTAAGTACTCGTACTGTTTTTTTACCGGTGAATTTTTTTAAGGCTGCTGTTGGAACAGTGCATGACAAAAATATTTCAAAATCGGCCAGTCAGTTCGCTGTCGCGCATTTTCATCTTATTTTTGTCATGCATCGTAATTTTCAACTACGCGATAAAATTTCAGATTTCTATGCTAACGTAACCTTAAACATTTGAAGCCCTCTTTCCTGAATAAAATTTTTCACGGGAAGTAAAAAAATAGCACGTTCAGGAATCTTAAACCTCAGAGGTCGGCAAATCCACCAAGGAGGCCAAATCGCTGCTTTCGTAGCTTGGCCAAATACTACATTTGAACAATACAATTTTGACCTTAGAGTCGTTTCATACGTTTTGCTATCGTTTTCGTTCTCTGCCTAAGAAATCACATGGGAAGACGGAAATATGAAATCAACCAAGTGATTACAGGAAGAAAACCTCAATCAACCTGACGAATCATAACTCAGTAAACTCAAATCTCAATAAACTTGACGGCTTGGGCTCGGACTAACTGTAATCAAGTTTTAAAGAAATGAAATGTGAAGACAAGGACTTGAAAGCCGCTTTCGAGCTGCGATAACAAAAACTTCGTATATTGCCATTTTCAAACTTCCTCATCATTTCGCCGTTTTGCTTTCGGCAACATTTCCGTTTTCCCTTCTACGGGAATGAAGTCGGAACAAACAACGCTTAACCAAATCAAGGAAGGAAATCATTCAGCCGCCTGAAACATTTTTCTGAATATTGTATACAAGTATGCCTCGTTAAAGTTAAACTTATACATTGCAACAGCTTGTCAAGTCAAGTACGCATCACAAACCAGAGATTAACCACATCCAATACTTAACGCCGCGCTCCGGTCTACCAATGCACGCAAAAAGTGCATTTTCCTAGTAGAGTAAAAATCACCGATGCTGCACTTCTGACTAACACACCGCCATCGGAGATCCAAAATAAGCCGAGCAAATGTTGAAAAAATACAACACACCCAGAAGGAAATTCGCCACTGTTTACCGATCCGAAGCGCGGCAAGCAGAAAAATGTCAAACGAACAATCCCAATGGTCTTAAAATAATCCTTCGTATTACAGCCATAGTATGAAGTGCATGAATTGTCCTCACATCACAAACAACTATCGTGGCATTAACTAGGTAATGTATTATTACAGAGGATGTCAAAAATTTCCGAAAGATTGGCTGATAATTAAACAATGATTTGTGGAGCATTTAAATAACGATTTGATGAAGGAGTTGCAAGCAATTAAAAAATTATGAAAGCAGCCAAAAAATGATTAGGAACATGACATGTACAATCTATCACCCTTTGTGTTCAACAACAATGATCTATCACCCTCTGAAATCATCACTTTCCCTGAATATTTTGTACCTGTGCGCATGATACAATTTTGTTATGCATGATATGCAGTATTATTGCCGATCGTTCTGCGATACTAAAATCGAAAACAAATTCAAAAGGCACAGCAATTTACTGATATCTGCAGTACTCGTAACGAATGTATTTAAACCAAGAAAACAAAGGCAATTTTTTTCACAGCTATTTTGACTGCCGGCTCACGTCACACAACATTAACAATTATCACAGACGATAAAAGATTACTCGACGACATACAAACACACCTTAAAACAGTATACTGTACTGCCGTATACGGCATACTGTACGGCACAACAGTACGTAACCGTAGTGAAAATTGGTACTGTAACGAAAGTGCCGTACGTAACCGTAAGCCAAAAACACGGTTTTACAATGGGCTTGCCGTATACGGTACTGCCGTATACGGTATACCGTACGGTCAGTCCAGTTATTTCTGCCGTAACCGTACCGTAGCCGTAGGAGCCGTAAGCGGAAACCGTACGTAGCCGTACAAAAATTTGTTACTGTTTGGGGGCTCTAACACCTTTACAAGCCCAGTGGATAAAAAATTAAACTATTTTCAAAAGACCGTCCTGAATGAAGACGAGCCAAAAAAGCGTTCCGTACGAGTTACCAACGGCTTCATTACTTGTGATGGGAGCGGTGCACTCCACCCTGGTTTGGGAACGGCCTGTTGCACCGGAACGGGATAATCGGTTTGAGAATCAATATGATATCCATATTTCTCGAATATTCCTGGCCGGCCGTTGGTCACTACGCGCATGAAAATACTGTGTCCCCGCATCAAGTCATTCTGAAACGAAAGGGGAATACAAAAACTTGAACGGAGAAAATGGTCAAATACCAGTGAAAAAACTGAGAAAATGATGCTGGCATATATTTCAAAAATTTTAATTGCTTTGAAAACTTGCGTACATGGCAGAAAAGGCAACGTAGTATTTCGACTTACGTTGTTATTTATTACGTTTGTCGATGTAAAGGTTTCAAAAGGCAAAAAAAAGTAGAAACGTTTTGTAAAAAAAGGCAAGAAATTAATATTTGTAGAAAAACATAGTACCTGTGCTTTTAAGTGTTTGTAGCATTCCATCCAGCTAGTGAAATTCGGCAACACCGACCCAGCAGGAAGAAATCTGCAATAAATAAAGAAATCTATAAATCTAAGTCCCAAGAGTACTTATTTTCCTCGTTTCAATAGTCACCTGGATGTGCTCAGAGTCATCATGCGGCTGATCAGCTTGAAGGGATAGAGAAAGCTCCGCGCAATATACTATACGAAAATTAAATTAACCTCTTGCATGCAACAATCTCAATAAAATTAAAAAAACTAACGTACATCCGTGGCAAAGCGGAATACAGTTAACAGTACACGATCCCCGGTAATTGCCGATCGAAAGAGGAATGTCGCCACCCAGACGATAACCAACGCACCCACCTCTCCCATCATATATGGCACATATCCCCTGAAATTCACAATTCTCATATAATGCAGAAAAGTCCACATGATACGAATTTTGCAGTCTTATGTCGGAATATGAAGTATGTGCTCTTATTTATTAATTAACGCAATACAATTAATTACTTTACACCATAGAGAAAGGTGTGTACAGTAGCTCATACCCATAAAATCCACGAAAGCCTTCTTCCTGGTAAATCTGAACAAATGATCCAAAAAATCCGCGGTAAATTCTTTCTTTCCAAATAAACTGCGCTGCTGTGCGTACGAAAAGCACTGAAAAATTCAAGTTTATCCATACTAACATAAATAGCAATCAATATTAAATTCAAAGAAGCACGAATAACACTTGTATGAAGTCAAATTCAGAAATTACTACGGCTTTTTTTGGCCTGACAAGTCATGCATTATTAATAAACCGCGTACCTATATGGGAAACATTAGGGAAGATGCAAACAAGAATACCTGCGCAAGCAGCACGAGGACAACAAAAAAACTTCCTTCCAACAAAAAGCATGCATGTACCATCAACCGTGCAAGTACATAACTTACTCACCTTGAAAAGGGTAGGAAAGGCTGACGCTGAGAACTCGCGCCGAAACTTCCTTGGAGAGCTACAATACACTGGTATTAGGGCATATCACAGGGACTTCGAGCAAAAACAGCAGCAAGTGATCGTCTTACGTCCTCCACAAAATCCATGATGGAATACGGCTGATTTTCTTGGTTGGCCAAGACAAAAACACTCCAAGCCTTGCGCGGACTGGTGCGGATTTTTCGTTTAATGAACTCGTCCACAAGCTACAGAAAAATCCAGCTGCAACCGCGCTTTTCGTAAACAACAATATCGATCATATTGTTGTGCATACGTGATAAAACATGTCGTTGGATACATTGCTCAGCAGGGTGCTGCACAAATTAGCCCCGAAACCGCTCCACAAGCCAAGGCGTCCATCACGCGCTTTGATAGCTCTCACTAGGAAAAATGAAACACCATGCTTAAAAATGGTAATGTATACTAAAAATTAAAAATGCTCGCCCTCTACTGGCAAAAAATGTGTATAAAGCCACATAGTACTTACATACAGCTGCAAAGTTTTTTTAAAAAATGAGAAAAAAACAAAAATAAAAAAGGAAAAATTCTGAAAAAAATAAAGGATAAAAATATAAGTATTAGATTTAGCTGTATAAGCTCTGAAAGCAGCTGCAAAAAATTAAAATAACGGGAAAAGAAGAACGCCCAAAACTGAAGATGCATCACAAGAATCACAACAAAATGAGAAACATTTTAAAAGAGAATACTGCGCGCATTTCTAATTTCGTAGTACGATACCGTAAGTGCCGATGCTGGGCAGAATCAAACACGGCTTCCCAAACACCGTTCGCGAGGGTCGAGCGGGCGCAGGCTCGAAGCCCAGCTGCAACATCGGAGGAGTAAAGGTAAAAGCACGAATCACGTAGCATGCTGCAGGATGCACAACCCGACCTCCATCAGTATCCGCGCGTACGACAGGGGATGGAAGATGGCCGTGGATATGGTCACCTGCGTCCCGTACAGACTCCACGCTACAATCGTCTCCACGCTGCGCGCTTGCTCCGACTCCTCGTCAGCCGTGTTCGTCCAGTGGGCATCCGCTTCCTGATCATCAGGATGGACATTCAAACGATTGGGCGGATTGACATCGTGCAGAACGTCGGCGATGATGGTAGGGTCCATTGTAGAGGATGGCTGTCTGGGTTTAGACGGTAGACTGCACGGTCTGCACCCAAAGTACCGCTTCACTAATTTCCGTTTCGGAAAACGTTCGTCTGTGGTAATACGTTCGTCCAAGTCTAAAATATTACCACGGTCCACGGCCAACCAGGGAGACAGCTGCGAAAATCTTGCCTTATCGCTGCTGCTCTTTCTATCTTCAATTTAAAAAATCAAAAATAATCGAATCACTGCTCCAAATCATAACAAATGTGCACAATACCACGAGCAGCCTACGAGTAGTGCGACTCCGTGAATTCCTGTAATTTTGACCGTGCTTGATTCAGTGGATTGCACCAAAAGAAGTGCGCTAAGCTCCAAAACCGAACCGAACCGAAGTGTTTCCTAATTCCTAAGTTGAAGTTGTTTTTTTTGCGGCAATCAGGAGATCATAACAGTGCATGCCAAATTTTGATTTACTAAAATTAGGTTCGTTTCAAAGTTAATGACTAAAATACTAATATTGATTTGGGATGTTTGTACGTAAGTAAATCAGCAATTTCTGCACCGCTGGTTTTGCAGCGTTTTTTTTCTTTCTTTTCGTTTTCCGGAAGCAGTTGCATTTTCTGCTGTTACTTACAAATTTCTTAAATATTTTCTGAATTCACATAACTTTTTAGTCGACAAGATTAGCAGTTTTCGCTAAACTGTAAAATAAGCCATTGTGGTCTTGTAGAAGGTCAGCGGGCGAGGCAAACTCTTGTACGAATCCGGCATTGAGGACCATAATTCTGCAAAAGACATTCCGGATCGTCATTAGCATTCACCCACTAAGCAGCTCAGTGCTCTGAGCCTCTGATTATCGAAAATTGACGAATTCATCTCCGGCATACGCATTGGACTGCACTGTACCACCCGTAATTCAGGAGAAAAATTGGCAAACAAATTATAATTAACTACACATTGCATAATCTGCATGCAGCAGACAACAAGAACGTGGATACAACAATTAAAAATCTCTAAACAGGCGTAATGAAATATGTACTACAGTACTAACAGGAGTTATAAAAGTGCCCTAAAAAAACTAACTAGAGTAAGTAGCGTAAAATACGCATTTTGGCTGTAAAATAAGCGACTTACTTGGAAGCGGTCCTGCTGCTTTAAGGATTTGGCCCGGTACATAGGAACATCCACAGGAACTTTCGCTGTAGCGCACTCCCATACACTTTTCTGCATTGCTCTATGTTATTTTGTAGCCAGAGGATTTGTTCACGTAGGTACAATCCGCTTTCGCACGCAACTTTCTATTGCGGAGTTATCAGGGTAACAGAATTCCAAAAAGTTTAAATGCATTCAGGTGTACCAAAAGTCTCATTATGGACCGATCTTCAAATTTTGCATGTAAATGCTTATAACCATGAAGATCGTTCTTACACCGATCCAGACTTCCACGATTTTTTTCGAATTTTAAAATGTTTGAGATTCATTTTAAAATTTGAAAAACATGCCACAACATTGGATCAAAAACATACCAGATTTTTCTCGCCTATGTGAACAAATCCTCTGGTTACAAAACAACATAAATCAATGCAAAAAAGCGTCTGGGAGTGCGCGAAAGCGAAAGTTCCCGTGGATGTACACGAATTTGGTGCTATGTACCGGGCCAAAGTCCTTATCAGATTGTATGGTAACTTTAACTTGTATAAAATGCGCGTAACTTTAAAAATATAACCTTAATTGAATAGATATACTGTTTTCAGCGCGTGAGCTATCAGGAGCATACAGTGCAGTGTACTAACTGTATCCCGCCGCAACCGCGATCACGTCACGGTTTTTTAAGGAAGGACTTACCTGTCGCTGTCCATAATTGTGTTGATGCGGTGTGCAATGGTGAGGATAGTGCAGTCGGCAAATTTATCCCGAATTGTCTGCTGGATAAGATCATCAGTCTGCAGATCAATAGCGGCTGTTGCTTCGTCCAACACCAGAATCTTGGTTTTTCTCAACAGCGCTCGCGCCAAACAAATTAGCTGTCGTTGTCCAACACTGTTTCGCACAAACACTGGCGGTGAGTTGCAATCAACGTGGCACGTGCTATAAGTGCGGATGCAGAAGGATTTCTACCTGTAATTTTCTCCACCGTCCACAACGTTGTGCTGTAATCCTTCCGGCAAAGTGGACACAAACCGTTTCAGATGGGAATGTTCCAATGCACTCCAGATTTCTTCGTCAGTGTGTTTTTTGTAAGGATCCAGATTCATCCGCAAAGTACCAGTGAACAGCACCGGCTCCTGACATTACACGATGGAGTTCGTAGTTAATGCGTAAGTACAAGTAAATCAAATTAATGCGTAAGTACAAGTAAATCAAATTAATTTTATTATTTGCACTTGTACAAGTTATATCACTATTTTATTTGCTATGACTTAAAAACATCAGCGGTAAAATGTCACTGCCAGTAATTCTCTCAAAATAATGGTTTTAGGAAAAAAACTTTCTTTATTTGAAACTTTTTCGAAACGCCTTTTCTTGTCTGCAGAACACTGTCATGCCGAATTATGTTACGACGGGACGTAACGTTATTTAAAAAAAAAACAATACCAAAATCCATTAAAAGAATTAATTTTATACACCAGAACCAGCGCTTACCTGTGGCAAAATCGTGATCCTCGACCGTACATCATGCAGTCCAAGATCCGCAATGTTGACATCGTCAATGTTAATCGCTCCTCCGGCTGCTTCGATGATGCGAAACAGCGCTAAGGTCATCGAGCTCTTCCCCGCCCCAGTACGTCCAACGATGCCAATCTGGAACACAATTCGATGAGCCTTTGATTACTCAAAAGGCTCATCGCAAATGTGCTGTTGTTTATTTTTATCTGACGACTGACCTTTTCGCCACTTTTAATTTGTGCATCAATACCCTTCAGCACTAAATCCAATCCAGGGCGGTAGCGTGTCTGGTAGTTTTTAAATTCCACATGCCCGGCCTGTGGCCATCCGGGTGAAGGACGGACACCCGTGTTGATCCATTGCGCCTAGCAGGAGCGAAATACTACTCAGCAGACACAGACACGAAATTTTTTTTTTTACGAAATACTACTCAGCAGACACGATGCATACAGTTAAACTGCAACTTAAATTTGATCAATTAACTCAGTTCGGTCGACTGTTCACTGCTCTAAAGTTTCAGGGCTCAAAAATCAAAGTACAGCTTAGAAAGCGATGTAAATATAAAAAAGTGTTCGAAATGGAGTATTGCGTACTTCCTGAGGAACTTCGGTATATTCCTTAATTCTTTCCACGGATACGATATTGCTTTCCATTTCACTGGACACCCACAGTAACCAATTGAGCAACACGTTGACCGATAACGAGTAGCTGATGGATAAGCCGGTTTGATCGGGATCGATATTCCAGTTGGCGTTGCGGCTGATCACGGAAAACAGGGCCACTGCGAAGGTGATCAAGATGCCCAGGCACTCCAGTCGAACCGAGATCCATCTACCCACCCAACATGCTGTAAAGGAAGGCTTGGCACATGCGCAATAGAAGACCCATTTTACCGTGCAGCCACTATGTTCAGGTAGAACGAGGAGTTGTTGATGTCAATTAAACGCTCGTTATGCAGGATGAAACGGTCTGTCTGCTTAGTGGCAATGATGACACCGGTGCCGGCGATGGATTCTTGAAAATGAGAGAAGATAGGCGAGCGGGTCACGGACTCCAGACGTTTCAGTTGACGGCTGGTGGATATGAAGAACCGCTGCAAAAATGTGCAGTATTTTCTAAGCCAACTTTTCAGTGCAAAACTCCGGTTAATAACAAACCTGCATGAAAAAATAGAAAATTCCCAATGGCACAACAAGAGCGATGAAGTAATAATTATTGACCAGCACCTGAAACCCAAAAACAGCACTAATGGTAAATATATCGAAGTCCTACGTAGCGTATTACTTTGCTTAATACTAACAACCATATGTACCTACAGTATGACCGTAAGGTTACTTAATTTTCACACTAAATTCACATTTTTGAATTCTAGCAAAATTCGGCTCGTATTGCTCTTACCACAACAACGGTAGATACGACTCCAAATATGCAATAGAGAAAAAAGTCTAGATTTCCGGGAATGAGAATATCCACGGTGTCGATGTCGCGGCTAAAACGATTGACAATTCGACCAATGGGAGTGGTGTCAAAAAACGACATTGGCGCTCGGAGAATTCGCGCCAGCAGATGTTCATGAAGCTTGCGTCCGGCACGAATTCTGGCACTGGCAAGTACCAGGGCGAACATCAGTCCGAACAAAACTAAACACGAAAACCGTTCAGAATAACTCAGTCAAAAAGTGCCTCAAAAATAAAACTAGGGTTAAGCTTAAATTCAATGCCGTGAAACGTTAACAATTTCAGCCACTCGTAGCTAGTGATCAGTACTCAGAAATTTTACTTTGCGCTAAACCGTATCCTCCGTAGACTCCCAGGCGAAAATCCCGCTGTGGCGTAATTTGATCCAACCCAATTTCCGTCCAGTTCTTCTCGGAATCCTTGGCCCAGTCCGTTAGCCAGAAATTACCGGCAATGCCCAACCCACTGTAAATCCCGTACAGAATGACCAGTGCGGCACCCGCCGCGTACGACATCTGCTTGAAGAACATGAGATACACGCTCCACTTGACGATGCCGACCTCCGCTTTCTCCTCTTCTACTAACTTCCCTTTCTCTGCCGTCTCCTTCTCCGCCGCCTCCTTTAGCGACTGCTTTTTATCGCGTTTCTCCGACAACATCGAAGCGCGACGGAAGACATCACGGACTTTTTTCAGAGAACTACGCGACACTTTGCGCAGCGCCATGGAGCCAGCTTCATCGGCGATTTCCTCCAAGATCTGTTCGGTGACCGCTAACACCTCCGGGTCGGCGGTTTCCTCGTCGTTCATGGCCTCTGTCACGTAGGTGCGGAGGAATTCAGCAAAAGCGCCGTTGTTGTGCAGCAGCTCTTTGTAGGTGCCAGTTTCCGAAACGGTCCCGTTGTTGAGGACGATGATCTGATCGACTTGCGGAAGGAAGCCGATGCCATGGGTCACCAGGACGCGGGTCTTTCCTTTAAGTAGTCCTCGCGGACCAATCACTTGCTCAAAGATATGTTTGCCCCTGAAGGTATAAGACAACCTGTAAGGACGCTGGCAAACTGCAGATAGACTCGCCAAGAAAACTCAGCACTATCTGGCAGCGCAAAATTGTAACAACTTATTACCAGCTCAGCGGCATCTGACTGACTTACACATGGGCATCTACGGCGCTTAGAGGATCATCGAAAATATACACCTGCAATCGTGTCTCATTCGATTAGTTTATATATTGTACTCAGTTCTACTATACATAATACATGTACCGAGTACCAGATCATTTTGTGCAAAAATCAATTATAAATTAGCAAAAAATTGAATTTCAAACGTTTTTTCAATTTTTTAATGGCTGTGGCCTGTGAATGCGTTACTTGAAAGTCTTGAATACTGGTGTTCACGTGCAGCGCATTAAAATCGTGCTTACTGTAACTTTTGTTAGAATAGTACAGTACATATACAGTAGCGTAGTTAGCACGTCCAGCAGAAGAAAACGTGCAAAGAAAAGTCCAAAGAAACCAGAACATTTTTCCCCAGACATTTTGTGCCATAGAACAGTACAGAAATTATTTACCTCTGCATCGGTATAAGTGGCACGGGCTAAACTGATCCGCTGCCGCTGACCACCACTCATGTTGGTCCCACGTTCACCGATTTCTGTCTCGTCTCCAGCCGGTAACGACTCCAGATCTGTCGTCAAGGCGCACGCCTTGATGACCTTATCGTAGTACTCTCGCCGCATTTCCTTGCCAAACAGAATGTTTTCCTTTACTGTCAAATTCTGAATCCATGCTTGCTGCGGAACGTAGGCAATCTCTCCCTATAATTGTCATTTGAAAACGTTTTGTACGACTGCGAAATTGTGCACGTATTATTATCATTTACTGGAAAACAAAGTACACAGGCTTGCAGCAACAGATAATTAGACTAGCGAAAAAAGCTTTATTGCAGCAACTCAGACGCAATATTGCAGTAATTTGCACAAGTATTTTGCCACCTTGAGACCAACAGTGCCGGAGATTTTCTCCATTAATCCCAGCATAGCGGAGCAGACGGATGATTTGCCCGATCCAACCTGGCCGACGATGGCCACCAGCTTCCCATTGGGTACGTTGATATTAATATCCTTCAAGCACACGGCATCAGTGTCATTCCAGGTGAATGTGCCATTGGCAATGGTCACGCCGTTCGGCGACTCAAGCGGTAACGGCTGCACGTTGTTCGGATTCAACTCCTCATTTTTCAGAAATTTGCTGATGCGTTTTATAGCAACACCGACCTAAACAAACAACGAAACTGTCACGAAAAATCATAAAAAACGCTAAACATTTACTCTGTCCGGATGTTATGTTGAAATTTGTAAACATCCCCAATTACACTAGAATCTTAATTTTACGAGTAATGCTGCCTGAATATACTGCACCACGAAAAGATACAGTATACAATATGATGTCAATATCTATATAAATATTATGACGTCCATATGTATGTGTGTACGTAAATTATGTTTATTTGATTTAAACCTACCTGAATGGCTAACAGTACAGCCGGTGACAGCAAGGACAGCGGCACACGCAGGATGTTCGTAATGGACAGTGCCACAAAGACGTTGGCGCCGGTTAACTGGTTTTTGGGATCCAAGAGGACGTACGTGGCGAAGGTCGCCAGTGCCACAGCGTACGGTGACATAATCCATGCCACATATGACACCACGCCATAATTGGCCGCCTTGCGCAATATTCGCAACTAAACATATATTTTCCATTCGCAAGGTGATTTACACGAAACGCACATATAATATGGTGAACAAAATTACAAAAGTAATATACCTCACGATCGCGGATCTTCAAGATTTCATCCTGGAACGGCACTTCCCATGCGTAAAGTTTTAGGACCTTGATACCGTTGAGAATTTCATTCATGAGCTTAATGCGACCATCTTTCTCTTTCATTTGTGTCGACTGTAAGGGAATCAATGGCATAATTGGGAAAAATCATTGCATTAATAACCATAAGTTTATACGACATACCTGCAATAATCCAACTCGGCTAAAAGTGTACGCTGAAAAAAAATCAAATTAATTTATTGCACTTAGAAATGCACTAGAATTAAAAACGACAATATAAGATTAAATTTACCTACAGTAATAAAACAAAAACAAAAAACCAACATTTAAAATTAAGAATAAAAAAGGACATAGTGAACGGAAACAAGCCAGTTATAGATTCGTGAACGCAAACGAATTGTAAAAATAGTACTACTTGTACTGTAATTGTACATAGTTCCATTTTAAGTTTTTATTGTGAAACAGCACTGAAATCGCACAACTTTACCGTTTAATGGCAATGTAATAAGGATAGCGGCAAGTCCAGCCAGCGCCGGATATGTCCCGAACAATCTTTGCAGGAAAAGTACCGCTAAAGTAATTTGCACTGGACCAGACCACAGTACATGGATGAATCCCATAAAATCCACAAAACGCTGTGCATCAATAGACATCAAATTGACAATCTCTCCAACGCTGCTGGCTTGTTTGACAGCGCTTGTAATCCTCAGGGCTTTACGGTACACGGCAGCAATGACCGCCGCTGTAAACAGCCAATGCAAAGGTCACACACTATGCACTTACGTGAAGCAGGTGCTGATACACGTACATTTCATATGTAAACCAAACCGGAAGCAGTATTTCAAATAGAAGTTGAGTAGGATCGTTTGACAAACTTGCGTGAGGAGCATGGCGACAGTGTAGAAGTAACCTTTCCATGCATGTTCAGTTTTTGACTCCACAAAGTTTATTAACAATCTGTTGAACATTTATTCAGCAACAACGGACTATTACGCTACGTTGTGCGCCAAAACGTTGGTACTTACTGCAAAATGACGGGTGATACAAAAATCAAAACATCGTTCAGAACCCGCATAGCCAGTGTGGCTGACAGCGGTTTCCAAAAGGTGCGAAACATGGCTTGAAAAAATGAAGGATCCTTTTGGTTTCTGAAATATAGCTCAAAGTTATGATTATGAAGGAAACATATAAAAGTACAGCACATGAATGAAAGCACCGGCCACAATACGCTGGTGCATTGAGGGTACCGAAATTCACATGCTTGTTGGTGCATTTTCTCCGACACTTATTCAGACAATCGACTGTCAACCGACCGGTACCTTTTTGCTGTGATTACTTCTTCTTCCCAGTTTTTCTGTAGCTCAGTGACCCCAACGTGTGCCGAATCTTCTGACTGCATGTCGTACATGTCTTTTTGCAGTAAAGGTCGACGCCAGCCCAGTATTCCCATTCTGACCAACAGCATCAACAAAAGGTCATCATGTTCCTGGTTATCTTTAGTATACACTAGTTGTAAGCCTCTCAGGCATACCGGTTGAACCACCAAAAAGTCAGCTGACTGAAAAATGATGCACTTTCCTCGGGGTTTGGATTCTAGGAGTCAACAAGTTGTCATAAGGTCATAATAATGTTTCTTGCTGTAACCCAGCTGACTAACCATTCCGCTGTGGTGAGAGATGCTTCCTCCAAAAAACGTTGTCAGAATAAACTGCATGAAGATCAACGGCAGCCATCCAAGACGGAGAAAAGAAATAAAAGGATGTTCAGTCTGCATTATAATTAAATCAATCGCAATTTTAGCGGCAAATACGAAATCATCTTTCGGTTAAAAATATTTTTCATACCGCTTTTTGTACAACTTCTATAGTATTCCAAAAATTAATCGCCTCGCAAAACATCATCAGCAGCCAGAACAGACTGAGAATCCCCGAAGAGGATCGAGCGTACTTATGATCCCATGCCGTATAAGCGCCGGCTACAAGCTATCGGAGACAAAACATGCCTGTAGATAATGATTCCGTGCCATATTTGCCGTTCCACTGAAAATGTTCTGATAAGATTTCTCACCATGGCTATAGCCCGCACGGCAGGGGCAATCAGATCCACTTCCGGTATGTTTGAATTGCTGTGCGGTGACCAGTAAGCCAAGTTGTATATCAGTTCGGCCACTGATAGCAAAAGCAGAAATACCAGCAATACCTAGGACACGTCAAAAAACATTTTGTTCCATTTTGTGTTCACATCAGTTTTTTTCGTGTTGTTACGTTTAAACTGTGACAGGCAAGCACAGAGAGCTCACAGGTGACTTTATTGTACAAATAAAGTGGAGCAAATGCCGCGTGAATGCGGGGAAAAACACAACAAAGGCCAATGTCTGGCAGGAAAGTGAGCAGTCAAGTTGCTGCGAGCTAGTTCCAGAGCGTAATGAAATGTCGAGAAAGAAATGTGCTGGCGGCAACGGCGTCACGCTGTCCAGACACACGGAATGTGAGTGCGCAGACTGGACTCGTATCCAACGCGAGCGAATATACGCTGAGTCATACAGCGAGAGAGAGGAGCGAGAGAGCAAGTATGCTCAGTGAGTGCGCCCGCGGTGTATCCGCATAGGCGGAGAGTGCAGTGCAGCCACTCACGTACGTACAAGAGAGGGCGAATCAGCATGTGTGCAGTGATACGCATACGCAAAGTGGCGTATCTATCACGCAGGCTGTCGTGCCTCTAACATGCCTCTGGGCGGGAATCCGAGCTCCTGCGAGGATGCTCAGACTCAGTACCGCACCAGCGTCGCACCTCTCCGGTCGACCCATGTGGGGTCGCCGGTACGCGTCCTCTTCCGGCGGGAGTCCGGTGTCTGTTGACCGTCCCATCCTTCACTTCCAGATCCATGAGAGGCAAGCAACTCACGGCCGCAAATCTGGAAGCCGCTCGGGGTTCGTTGTTGGACCGGTATTGCTTCTGTTAGCCTGGCATCTTGCTTCTGTTGGCTCGCGGAGAAAGTGAAAGAAAAGTAATGACGGTTAAACAGCGCGAAGTAAAAAAGTAATAAAGTTTAATCACAATTCCAGTGAGCAAAAAGTAAATGCAAAACAGATCTGGTTAGAGATTCTAAGTAAAATACAATTCCGTTTGTTAGAAAATGTATAAAAATACTAAAAAGAGATCTGTCCGGGGGCTTATTCCGACTAGGATGACGTCCACGGGTCTTGAGTTTCCACGGGGTCTCCTGTCTAAATGCAATCCGGCGTATCAGGTCCGGGGCGTCGGTTCCCGGGTTACCCAACGTAACCGGTAAATTCGTCCGAGGTCGGGTAAGCACGGCTGACACTTACGTCCGACTCGTATTCATCCGTTCCGGAGTGAGAGGCACTGTCGCTGTTGCGAATGCCGAAGCATCCTCTCTAATTAAGGGGGTGGACCAAGGTCATCGGACCAAGGTCAGCCTACCGGTAAGTTAGCCGGCGGCAAGGGAGTTCGGCTAAGTCCCGAATTCCAGAAAGTCAGGTCGGACAAAACCGTACTTGTGTCGTGCGACTTCTGTGGTCGCCAAGTGGTAATGCCGATGGAATGTGGTCGGTTAAAACCGTTAAATCTGCTACCACGAGCCTGGGTGTGACTTCCGATACGAACTGGCTCGAAGGTCCGGTCGGAATTTCTTGTTCCTCCATCCAACGGTGGTTTATCCGACCTTCTGTCGGTTGAGGATGGATATCCGACCTGAGGTCGGTTGTAATGTTGTCCGACCTGAGGTCGGTAATAACGCACCTCCATGGTCGACCTCGGTAACTCGTGTTATTTAGGCCCATGTGGGGCCAAACAAGTCCCGTTAGGTCGAATTCGTCCATTCCGAGGTCGTTTCCAGTTCCGGTCTTCAGTTTTAGTCGTCTTTCACCGACCTGTTATCGGTGACTACTGATGTCCGACCTGAGGTCGGGTATGGTGTTATCCAACCCGTGGTCGGTGGTAATGTTATACGACCCGAGGTCGGTTACCACGTGACTGGTCCGTTCAAAGGTCGTATCTCGGCTGATCCGCTGGTGTTCCAAGCGAATCAAGCGATCCGGCGTTCCTAACCGACTTCTGTGGTCGGTTGGACCGGTTCTCCGACCTGAGGTCGGTAATAATGTTATCCGACTGGAGGTCGGTTACTCCAAGTCCCAGGTCGATTGAGGCCGAATTCTTACATCCGGAAGTCATTTTCCGTGAATCCTTACGATGGCGTTTCCATCCACCGACCTGTTGTCGGTTACTTCTCATGTCCGACCCGAGGTCGGTTACAACGTTATCCGACCCGAGGTCGGTGATTCCATGATTCCGTGTTCAACCGAAGTGAGTTACGGTATGCAGGCTCAAAGTGGAGCCATACAAGTCCGTTTCGGTGGAATCGTCCTTATAACCGACCTGTTGTCGGTTATTCCACTTTATCCGACCTGAGGTTGGACATAATGTTATCCAACTTGAGGTCGGTGATTCCTCATCCAGGTCGGTTCCGTCCGTCAAGAGGTCGGTTTCAAGCCTCTGGGCACTCATCCGAGCTCCTCGAAGTCGTTTTCGGAGTAAATTCCGGTTGGTGCCTCTAACATGCCCCGGTTCGGGCTCGCGTTTTTGCCTCTGGACGGGTCCGAGTTCCGTCAAGTTCGGCGGTTCTATGGCGTCTGTTGGCCATTCAGCATGCATTCCTGATTACTTATGGCGTCGAAGGACTTCTGTGGTCCCTTTTAACCAGGTAATCTTCGGATGTAAGGTTGAAACTTCACCGACTTCTGTGGTCGGCTAAGTTATCCGAGTCGTGATTAGAGAAGGTCCAAGTTCTACCTTAAAATTGGCTGACTTCCGTGGTCAACAAAGGTAGTGGATCGTGGTTCTGTGACACGGTCTGCGTGACTTCCTTTAGCTACCTCGGAAATGGTCAACTTCTGTGGTTGACTGAGGTAACGGGGCACGGTTGAAGTCGCGGTCTGCGAAGTTAAGTCTCTGGGCGGGAGTCCGGTTCTTCGTTCCTGCCTTCGGTTAATTCAGTGCGTCATGTCGTAACAGGTCGGTTTTAACTTCTGTGGTCAATTCCGAACCATGTGACATTGCGGGCCGATGAGGATACCACTGTCTGCGGTGATGAAAGTTACTGGGCGGTTACCCGGTCCCAAAGTCGGCCACGGGTGCCAGGCGAACATGGTGTCGAGAACGTGACAACGTTTTCGACACCATGTTAGCGTAATCCTCTCGGTCTGTTCTCCGGAGTCGGTTAGCCGGAGTAATCTCCTTCGGTAGCAGAACGTGGTTCACGATATGCTATGTTAGCAAGCCGGGGCGTCTGTTGGCTCCGGTGTAGCAGATGTGGTTCTGATCTCGTTCGCGATCTGCTAATGCCATGCTGGGGAACTGAGGTCGGTTGCCCAGTTCTTTCCAGGGGATTCCTTGGAGGACGTAACGGTACGGTGAAAGAACCGAAATACCCAGGTCTGACCACACGTTTCCGGGTCCGACCAAAGAATCCGGCCAACTTATGTGGTTGGCGCTTCTGGCGTATTCGTGGTTCACGTCTGCTTTAGGGTCCATAAAAGAAAAGTATCCGTTCCATGTTTTCCATGTCGTTTCTCGACGTGGCTGTTTCTCAGCCGGGCAGGTTCTCCGCTAGGTCGGTTCTCGACTTTGCTGTTTCTCAGCTCGGTGTCCCTTCCTTTACTGTTGAAGTCGGGGACACAGGTTCGCATGTGGGAACCTGTTATCCCAAGGGGACTGAGATCGGCGGGTCCCCACCGAAGTAATCCTCATCTTCTTCATCGTCAGGTTTCGGTGGTTTACCAAGGCGCCGGAAGACATCTGGTTTGCATGTTGCTGGTGGCTGCCCACTCTGTTGTGGGGTGTCTTCCTGACCGGGGTGTTCCGCTTGCGCCTTCTTGGCTTTCTGGACCTTTCTACGGAGTTTGTGTGCGTTAGGTACCGCGCCGGGTGCCAAGTCGTCCGACATCCCTTCTCCGTAAGGTCGGGAAGTGAATCCGCTAGGTAACGCTTTTTCTTCACGGTACCATTTCACGAATTCGGCGGCATCATCATCAGGATCTTTAAAGTCCTTCCGAAAGGCGTACTTGGACGCGTGCCGTTCCTGTATGTAAAGGAGGTCGCGTAACCAGACTGCCAAGATGATGCTTCGCATAGGTGAGCCAAGCTGTGCGACAATTGTATCCAGTTCTGGTGGTATGTGGGCGGTTCGGCGTGCTCCCCACAGGGTGTAATGGCAAAAGTAGTTGCCCAACCTTGCGGCGAAGACATACCGTAAAATAGTTGCGTTTCGATCTTCTGGTCCCGGTTCTTCCTCCGGCAAGTACTGCAGTAGGTCCAGGGCCGCTCGAGCCGCTGCGATGATGAAGGCCGGGTGGGCGTCGGTGATGACGAATTGAGCCACGCTTTCCAGTTGATCGCGTGAGTACTCCTGAGGTCCGAGCTGACTTAGACTCGTCCTCTCCGGTGTGGACAAAGGTACGTCCAACAGTGCCGGATCATGCACCGAAGGCAAAGCGTTTGCTCGATTGATCGGGTGTTCCACGTTGGGGTGGTCGTTCATGTTGAACTCGCCCATCCAGTTATTCAATTGGAATCTGGTCTGGAATCCGGATCGGATGAGGAACTGACGCAGGTTTTCTACCATCCGCCAAATGTGTGGTCGGTGTCGTTCCTCATATCCCAAGGTATTCATGATGTAGTTCGTCCGTTCGGTCGGATGTGGCATGACGACCTCAACTCCCTGTCGTCGGGCGTTGTCATAACGAGGGTCGTCCTGGCTTGGAACTTGCACTGTTGGCATCAAAGCCATCTGGTTTGACACATCAACGTCCATTTCTTCAGGTTTATCTGCCGGTTCCGCCATGTGGGCTTCCGGTTCTGGTTGCTGTTCAGGTGGGACAAAGTTCCGTTTCGACTTACTGGTTGAGTCGACGACCAGTCCCATGCTCGTCTTCTCCGGACTTGACCGCTTACCAGGTGAAGGTCGGGTTGCTTCACTATTGCCGTGTCCGGCAGGGGCTCGTCGTTCTTCGATTCTGTGTCGTGCGTCATGTCCGAGCCTATGTCGGAGGTCGTGTCCGGCTAATGGTTTAGCAGGTCGGCGCTGCTGTTGAGTCGACGACGCGGCAACTGGTTGTGCCGGAGTTCCAGGTTGAGGAATCTGCTGGGGGACGGATGGCTGGGTTTGTGTAACCACTGGAACGACCTTCTGTGGGATCGTTGCCATCTGCTCCACCGTTGCGGGGTAAAGGGTGACCATTTTCATGGTTCCGTCGTCCTGTCGCATCATCATTTGGATTGATGCGGACTGAAGAGGTCGGTGGATGTCTCCGACTATCACTTCTCTCACGTCATGAAGCACCTGTTCCGACTCTGAGCGGCCTTGTGTGGGCTGCTGTAGGTGAACAGTGATTTGTGGTTCATGCTTCGTTGGTGGTGGATGGACCTTCATGGTGGCAATTCTTTCGTTGACTGCCTTAAGTTTCGCACGGTCCTCCTCCTGGCGCCGCAGGTCTTGTTGCTGACGGTATTCCAGAAGGCGATGAGTCAAAGTCGGTGGCACTGTGTTAGTCCATCCAGGGTCGGAAGCGCGGTTGCGTTGGATTTCCGACAAGTGATCCTGTTCGTAGGCCCGTAACTGGTTAATTAGACGTTCGCTGCGGGCTAAACGTCGGTATGCGCTGATGTTCCCAGCGACGACGTTTATGTACAACGCCGCTGCTTGCATCGCGTCACGACGCCCGACTTGTGGAGTATGTTCATCCGAGAAAGAAATGATGCAGTCCGCGCATGGGAGTCTGTTGCCCTGCGGAGTTGAGTTCTCTCTGCAATGTCGGCAGTCCGCCGTGTACGCCTCCGTTCGCGGCTGTTAAAAGAAAAATTAGACGATCCGTTTCTCGGATTCGTTAGCCTATACGTGTTACGTCCTATGATTACAACGGTCGGGCCAGGTCGGTTCTCGAGCTGGTCCAAGGCACTTATGTGGTGCCTAATGAGGTAGGTCGGGACATTCTGTTGTGTCCGAGGGGAGGTCGGTGATCATAAGTACTTGTGTGGTACTCATGAAAGAGGTCGATTCTACGACTCTTCCGACGTATTCCATGTCTCCTCATCCGTTAGTCGATTCCACCCGGTTCACCTGGAGAGAGTCGGTTGGCTCGTTCTGTTGCTCCGAGGTCGGTGGATGCTTCGGTAAGTGTCCGTGTCGGTGTGTTGATGGCTTAAGGGCTTCGTATCGTTCTCCTTCCCGGGTCTGGTTGATGCCAAATCTCTTTTGGAAGAATCCCTTGCTCAGGACGAAGTCCAAGTCGTCACCCAACATGTACTTCTCGCCTCCTTTCGTTCTGTTGACGGGCTTGTACTTCGGGTCGACCAGCTGGGGTTTTTTAGCTTCCCATTCAAATTCGAACCTGGCTACCAGCTGATGTAGAACTTCGCCGCGGGTCAGTCCTTCCGGGTGCCACGACATTTCCATACACGCTTCGATGGCATGTACCCAACCTTCATAAGTGGTCGGCGCCGGATCTCGTTTCTCCGGTGGGAATTCGTAATACATCCGCTTGCTGCTGGTGTATGTCCGTATGATTTTACTTTCGTTGTACCCAAGGTTACAATACCGGTACACGTTGCTCTGGCTTAGTTGCCTCCAACCTCCACCGATGTCACCGATCTTATGGTGCCTGAGGAGCTGGAATGCGATCTTCGGTGTCGCAAACTTCGGTCCACAGGTCGCCAGGGCCTTCAAGGCCGCGAAAGTGTACATCCATCCCGGATCGTATTCCGAGACGCGTGGGGGTAGAGTATGAGCACGTTTAATGGCCACCGTCGGGTGTTTGACGTTTACCTTCGGTAGGCTAGGAATCTGTAGCGGTAGGACTTCCTGGGTATCCTCGTTCCATTCCTGGAGGAGTTGGTTCGGGTCGGAATCTGGTGTTAACCGTACTTGTTGACGGTAGTTCTGAGGAACGTAGACGTCACCACTATCTTCATCCATCGGCTCGTCAGCTTCGTTGCCGTCGTTGGCCGGTGGTTCGTTCTGATTGTCAAAAATCTCCGGTTCACCCTGCTGTTGTGGTGCCGAAGCTGGTGGAGGTTGATCGTCATCGTCGTTATCGTCATCCTCCGACCCTTCTGGTGTTTGATAGGTGTCGTCATCGTCCTCATCTTCTTCTTCTTCATCTTCTTCCTCAGAGGGCGTTTTCTCCTTGGTCTTCACCGACTTCTTCCTTGATTTCAGCGGTTTGGGTTGACTCTTTCGTAGAGTCTTACCTTCCGGAGCCGGTGAAGTTTCCATAGGTGAGGTCGGTGGAAGAGATTGCGTGTCTTTCACCGCAAAACGTCCGGTTGTAGTCCGACCTAGCTTAGTTGCACTTGCCCTTGCTGGTGCCGAGGCGGTGTTGACATATGTTACCGGTTCAAACGGTGCCCGAGGTCGGTTGGTTGGTAGTCGTTTCTGTGACGACATACCTGACGCCCGTGCAATGTTCAACATGTCCGCCGCCTCGCCGGATGGTTGTTCATCCGACTCACTGTACTCCTCGACGACCGTTTCAGTACCTTCGGGAGAGGACTGTAGGTTGATATAGGATATCCGGAGTTTGAAATCGCGTCGTTGCTGTTCCGGTATGAACCGAGGTACTGTGTACCGAAGTGGTAAATCGCGTTCCGCGTTGGTCGTATGGAGGGAAAACTCTGCCACCATCGTTGCGATGACAGGTCCTAAGAGGCCCATTATGACGTCAATATTGCCTTGGCTGTTCTCGTACATAACGTTGTATATACGGGCGATATGTAGTAAGGAGGATCCGCGGGGGTTTCTTGCGTATCCGATGCATCTGACGATTCTCGTCGGCGGGTCGTCCAGTGCTCTGGCAGCGGCACTTTTGAGCTTTTGAATGATGTCCGGTGCGATTAGCTCGGCGGTCCGTCCCCATTGTCGGTGGACCGCTACGGCTAATCCAAAGTCCAAGGCCCATGCCACTATAGCCATCATAAGTTTCTGTGTGAGCCAGGGTGAGGTCCGACCTACGATCCTTAAGTTGGTCGAGAGGTCGCGCACCAATGACTGGTACACATCTCTGCCTTCATTTCGGGCATTCCTGACGCTTCTGACTATTTCGACGTGAAGTCGGACCGTATGAAATCCGACTGGTCGGTCGCCAGGTTGAGCGTCGGGTAGCCGCTGACGTACGTCATCGGGGGCTGGCCATTCAGAAGCGTCAGTGTCTTCTTCGTGACTCCATTCTTCATTACGATCGCCTTTGAATCCTTCGTATGGGTCGGCTTCTCCATGGTCGGAGATCTCGTCGTCAGGTTCCGACGGTTTCTCCGATTCGTCGTCCGAATCTTTCTTGGACGTAGCAGGTTTCGGTTGCTTGAGTGGTGGCTTAGGCGTCGGCTTAGACCTTTCGTGTGGTCTTTCGGCCTCTGTTTTGGTCACCGCTGTACCTGCTCTGGCGATCAGTTCTCGCATCCGCTGTTTGGCTGCGTCGTAGTCAAATTCCTCCTTGGCGTTCCCCTTTTTGTCCGGCTTCTGTGGGCCAGCGTCTGAGGTATCAAGGTCTTCGGAGGACTTATGCCGTTTGGCCGGGTTAGGTTTCGGCGTCTTAATCGAAAGGTCCGACCTCGGTTTAGTCGGTTCCTTCGGAGGTTGTTTGGTCACCTCCTTTTCAGCTTCCTTTCTGGCTTCTTTCTTAGCCTTCTTCTTTTCCCTCCGTGACAACTTAGCCGAGTTAGCCGAGTTGATCACCTTTGAATCCAGTAATTCGTCCTGGATCTGCACGGAAGGTTCCCTTACTGGTTGAGGGTTCTTCATCTTGACCACCAATTGACGTGTTGTCGTGGAGGTCGACTTCGGGTCCGGTGCGAAGAGTTTCGGTCGGGTCGTGGCGGCCTGTTGTTGTGCCGCAAGTCGGACCTTCTCCGCACGGAATCGTTCTCCCATTCTTTCATGACCTCAGCCATCCTTTGTGTAAGGCGTTCATGTTCCTTACGGACCGCGTCGGTGTTTCCAACGAGGTTAGCACGGCGTGACTTCAATGAGTTCCAGAGTTCTTTGTCCTCTGGGAACGCAGTGTCCACACTCGCATCCTGTTCCGACCTGGTCAGGTCCTGAACGTGTTTCAAGGCTGGGTCATCGTGGTATTCTCGCGAGAAATCGTCAGCCGGTTGCTGCTTCTTTTTGCTTCTCTTACCCGGAGCTGTTGCCGGCTCATCTGTCCGAGATTCGTCAATGACCAACTTGGCTGGTTCCGAAGTCGATTCATTCTGTGATTCAGGTCCGACCTCCTTTGGAGACGTCGTATCCATCTCCTCCGGGGTCTGTTTCGGTTTAGTTGGAGTATTCCGGGGCGTAAACCTACGTGGCTGTTCCTTCGGAGGTTGACTCGGCATCGTTGCCGGTTGAGACGCTGCCCGGTTCGGTGAGATCTGTTTCACCGGAGACCCACTCCTTCTCGGCGTTGATTCTGCCGGTCGAGATCCATATGACGACCTGGAGCTTGTTTGTGCATCCATCAGCAGAGTCTCTTGCCAGGTTAAGTCGTCGTCATAGGTCGGGTCATCTTCAATCTGAGCACCCTTTCTGTAGTTGTGGTCAGATTCGTCGCTACTGTCGGACATGATGCACCGAATCTTCTCGGTAACCTGTTGACCGGGTTGAGGGGGCATCTCCAACGTGTAGGCTGCAGGGTTGATGCGAGGGTGCCGGAGTAGTTGGGCTGGCTTAATAATGGCCGCGTCCAACGGAAGCTGTCGTAGTGCCTGTCTTCCGCACCTCACAAACATCAGTCGGCGTAGAGCCTTGTCCCTGTCCTGGATTAGCGCGTATATCCGCTGACCGAGTGCTTGTTGCTCATCAGTGGATAGCTTTCCTAGCCTCAATCCCTCTGTTAGGTGGGCTTCTGCTGAGAATCCGTTCCAGGTCATAGTTCTTGGCCTGTCGGACTAACTTCTTATGGACTCCAGACGTAAACACTGACTTTGTTACCGAGGTCGGTTTCTGTGACTGACCCGGTTGTGTTTCATCCGCTGGAGTCTTTTTCAAAATTTCCAACAGTTGTTCCTTTGTTCGGACTGGTGGAGGTGAGAATAGACGTCTCCTCGGACCTTTGTCGTCTGCTATGGGCTCTTTATGTGAGAGTCCCAGCAGAGTTGTTGGTCGAGTGAGTCGGGCAGCTGGCTTTGGTTGGCCGTCCTGCGGTGTTGTTGGTGTTTCGGAAGTATCCATATCCACCTGTTCGAATGCACCGACCTCGAGTTCGTTCCCGAGTGGCGGTACTTCATCCATTGGTTCATCTTGTTGAACCTCCAATGGTTTGACAGGTTGGACCGGTGGCTTAAGTGTCGCCTTAATCTTCTTCGCGGGAGTTTTCAGCTTGCGTTCTGCTTCCTGTTGTTTGCGTTTGTAGAAGTCTTCCGCGAAGCTGTCAATTTTGACTTTAAGAATCCGTAACCGATCCTGATTCTTGACGGTCCGTTGCGTCTCAGGTCGGAGAATGAATCGGACCTCCTTGGTATTGTTCTCCAAGTGGCCTAGGTTGATGTCAATCTGGCAGTACTGCGGAGTCTGCGGGTCGGTTGAGTCCCGTAATTGGTAAAGTTCACCAATCAATCTGTCCGCGGTCTGCAGAGTCAACTGGATTTCGTCATCCGGTATGGATTGTGGAACTGCGAAAGGGTCCGTCGGGTTACGTGTCGACTGGATTTGTGTGATCCGAGCTCGACGATCCGTTGCTGCAGTTCGCAGCGATGCTTCAGAGGTTTCCTTTCGTTGTTGGTCACGGTCCCGTTCTTCAATGTAATCTCGGACTCGCGTTTCCAACCAGGAAGAGGTCCTTATTATATGGCCTCTTATGCCGGGAGTCTTCGGCGCGTCTGGATGGTGGAGTTGGCGGAGGAACTTTACGTTGGTTCCCCAAGCCAAAATATCACGGTCCAAGTCTTGTGCTAACCGGCTGTTGGAATCACAAAAGATTCGACGGGCTCTCATTTCTGTGATGAGTTCCATCGTCTGATTCACCAGGTTAACCAAGTGGGGTGGTGCGCTTGTTGGCATCGTTCCTGGGTCCGGTATTGCTGACATTATTCTAGCTTCAGTAACCGGGGACATAGGTCGGTCGCTAATGTCCGCTGGCTTAGGCTGAGTCGTTCCTACTGTTGAGGTCGGTGGAGCCGGTCCTGCTGTAGAGGTCGGCTGAGTCGAGCTAGTCGAGGTCGGTGCTGACTGCTGACTTTGAAGCGCGGCGATTTCCGCCGTTAGTTCGCGGACTCGTTGTTGCGAGGACGTCAGTCGGTCTTCAGCGGCCTTCTTGTCGGCTGCTTGGGCTGGATCTTTGTCATCCATGCCGGCGAGTCGCACTGTCATGTTGACAACGATTTCCTCCGCGTAACTTAGGGCGCTTCTTAACGTAGCCAAGTCCTGTACTGGTGGCTTCGGCTGAGCCGGTCCTCCTGTTGAGGTCGGCTGCTGCTTTGCTGCTATCCGAGTCATCATTCTACGGTGACCGTCGATTTTGTTTTGGAGGTTAGTGACGCGTATCTGCGAGAATCTAAGTTGATCCTGCAGTGCTCTCTTCACATTAGCCATTGTTGGGTCGTGGCCTTCCATCTTGTTGATCTGGGCCTGGAGGTTGGCAGCTATTTGTTCTGCCCGGGCGAAGTCCGTCTTCAACCTCTTCATTTCCTCCCGGTCAAGTTCGCCTTGTGTTTTAAAGCGTGGATTCGCCTCCAACGTTTTCCACAAATCATCAACTCGTCTGGAGCAGATGGTATGCTGTTGTTCCAGCGCTACCTTCAGGCGTTCTTCCGACTTATCTGCTGAGTTGAGGTCGCGAAGCTGTTTGGCTAGATTCTCCAGCGTATCTACAGCTTCTCGGTACTGATTTTCGACTTCGTCCAGGTCGACCTCTTGTTGGTCTCTGGTGTCTTCAGCGAATTCATGTCCATCAGCAGGTGTCGGTGATATGGCTGGAGAGGGTTCCGCTGCAGGTGGCGTTGCCTCCCTGGCTGGTGCTTGTGTTGGCACCGGCTGATACCGTTTAACTTGGTCGATTATCGACCGAAGAGCTTCCTCCAACCGTTCTCTGGGTTGGCCACATGTTGGGACGCCCCATTCGCTAAGTGTTTCAGCGAAATCCAGCTCGATCCGCAGGTGTCGATCCGTTCGTTCGAGGTCGGTCACCTTCGTTGGTGACATCGGTCGATTCAGCTGGTAATTGTAAATTTCAGCCAAGTCCCGACCTGCGTGGGCAATTGTCTCCACGTGCTTCAGGACGTCCGGTATCGGCGTTGTTCGTACCAACGTCATTACTGCTGTTGTGGTCGGTGCTGGCCGTTGAGGAGGTAATGGTGTGGCAACTGAGTGCACGACGATTCTGAATCAAGGATTTCTACGATCCTTTCAACTACCGACCTGAGTTGTCGGCTTTCAGTGTCGTTCGGATCGACCTTATCGAAGAGGTCCTGGGCTTGCTTTAAGTAAGCAGCCAGGGTGTCAATCTTCTGACGCGCCGTTCTAATGGCATCTGGGTCCGTAGGTGTCAGGTGTACATATGCCCGTTGGAGGTCGTCGAGCCGGTCCCATCCATCCGAAATGTGGGTGGATATCCGGGTTTGGCGGTCTTCCTGTACTTTGTTGTGCAGGGCCGTCCTCGGCGACGTCACTGGACTTGCTGACTGTGTGGAGAAGTCCGGGGATACCACATAGTTCCGGTTCGGTAGGGGTATCTGCGGTGGCGGGTTCTTTTCAAAGAGATTTTGTTTCTCAATCCACTCGACCGCCATCCGAAGCTGGTGTTTCTCCTGTACTGTTGCGGTTGACGGGTCTTTCTTAACCAGGCCCTCTGCGAGCTTTATGTAAGCTCGGAGGTCGGCAATTTTGGTTAAGGCTCTTGGTTCGGTGCCCAACAAGACGCGTTCGTAGATTGTCCGAAGCGTGTCTTTGCCTTCGAGAATGGCTCTCCAAGCTGCTTCTGTCTGCTTGGACTCCTCCGTTTGGAGTGCCATTGCTTGATACTTCCTATCGCGGTTTTGGGGAACTTGTTGTTCCGCCATTAAAGGTTCGTTCTGGATCAGAGTTTTTAATCGCTCCAGGATGTTAATGAGCCGTTGAGCTTCGTCGTCCGTTGTTGGTCGACCTCGGCTGCTAAGGCGTTCTGCCGAGTAGATGGCTCTATCCAGGTCGGCAAGTCGTTGTGCGTTGCCGATTACCTCGCCTAAATCCATGATGTGTTCATCCATGGTCCATACCTGGCGAAGTCGTCTGGCCTCGTGCAGCGTGGAAGCGATGGCCACGGGGTCGGGTATCCGTAGTTGTTCGGATCGCCCTTCTGACGCTTCTAAGTTTTGGGAATACTGGGGGTACTGGTCCATTAACTGCCGAAGGTGAGCTATCTTCTGGTGGAAGGTCGCTAAGGGCAGTTGTTCCTTGGGGATGCCGTTCTTGATCACGTGTTGGATCTGGGCATTGGTTTTCTTAATATCTTGGGAGTCCCTTCCCAGTCGGGTTGACTCGTGCAGTTCGAGTCTCCGATCTTGTCCGACCGCCTCCATTCGGGTCATCATTATGTCTGATACCCGCTGGAGATACTGTAGTTCCTGTATAATCGGATCTACTACCGCCTCCTGTTGGGCCGGTGGGTTCGGTGCTGGTTGAGGTTGCACGTTCGGCATATTGGGCACCGTAGCTGGCGAGGTCGGACTCGGCTGAACCGGTTGTATCTGCTGAGTCGGGGGACAATGGCGAGTTCCGGGGCGGTGTTCCTCTTTCTCGATTTGTTCATCCATGTCCCTCATATAATGGTCCCAACCAATTAGTTGGTCCATGACCTCTTTCCATGCGGCATGGTTGTCAGGTTGTTCAGTAGACAGCTTATGTAGCGTCTGTCTGAGTTCAACCGTTTCGTTCCACGCGTCTTCTCGTTGTTGTCGGAGTTCGTCCAACTTCGATCGTTTCAGCTC